AAAAAAAAAAAAAAAAAAAAAAAAAAAAAAAAAAAAAAAAAAAAAAAAAAAAAAAAAAAAAAAAAAAAAAAAACAAAGCAGTCAGAAGCCCCACCAACTACTCCAGACCGTTGGTTATGATGTGTTACAGCGACAAGCTGAAATTATAGATCACAAAATCGATAGTGCCACATTGTACGGAGTAGGTATGGCATTAATTTGATTGATTGAAAAAACCTATATTATTTCCACACGCTTCACGAAGTACCCACTGCACAGATCATCCATGGATGTCTTGGCGGTGCTATACAGGACTCCTTGTCCATGCGCTAGAGTAAAACTCAGACTTGCATTTGTCCAAGAAGCCTTTCCGTTTATAATTTGGAATACCATTACGCAGTTTGCACCTCGCACTATTCGTCTACGGAGTAGCTACTCCGTAAATACCCGCCAAACAACCGGTGCCTCCACACTGTGTGGTTGTATACCCAATTAACAGAAACATACATAACCATCACCCAACGCTAGCATCTGAAAAGCCACTTTCAAGGGTTGGATGGGATCTTTGCTCTTCAAGTTCCGCGGCATCTTCCTGACCATCAGACAAAATGGATGTCACCAATCTTATCAACACTCTGAAGGAAGCTGCGTCGTCCACAGACATTACGAGTGGAATCACAGATGCCGAACGCCGGGAAATATATCAAGCATGCCAGAAGCTCACTTCGCGTGTGGAATCCCCAATCGATCGAGTGATAAAGACAGTGTCCGATGTGAGTGCCCGGGAGTGATTTCAATGGCTGGTTGCCTAAGGCTCAATGCTCATTATGGAAACACCACAGTTCACAATCCCTGTTGTCTTCAGGATTGCAATTGATCTTGGAATTTTTGATATCTTCATTGAGCCTGACCGGGAATTCAGTATCCCCGAGATCGCGGAGCACGCGAAGTGTGATGAGTTACTGATATGTAAGAGACTTGATCCTCATGCCCGAATTTTAAAAGCCTTGGAACCTAGAAATGAGCTGATTTAGAATCATTAGCCCGTGTCATGAGATTTCTTGTCGCTTTTCACATAGTCGACGTCACGCCCGAGGGAAAATGTCGGGCCAATAGTTTCACCAAGGACGTTCAGCCTGGGACTCTGGCCCGTGTGTTGATCATAACGTTCAGGTATGACCTGACTCTCTGACTCCTCGAAGACATCTCACTAAAAACAAACACCAATGGAAATAGTTCCGTGTTTGGGCCAGCTCTCGTCAAGCTTCCTGACTTTCTCCGACGAAATGGAAACACAGTCCCAGAAAACGCATACAGAGGCGCCTTTCAAGAGGCCTGGGGCACTGAACTACACATGTTTGACTGGCTGGCCGAGCACAAAACCACCGAAATTGAGGCTTTGCATCTGATGATGGCTGCTAAACCAAGCCACCATGGGTCTATGTGGACAGACCTTATCCCCGATCGGTGGATATCTGGGATTTTCCCATCAGACGCAGGCGACTCTCGTGCATTCACGATAGTTGATGTTGGTACCAGCTCAGGGATCGTGTTGGATGCATTCAGCCAAAGGCTTCCGGCACAAAATTTCCGACTGATCCTGCAGGACCTACCTGGCGTGATTGAAGGAATCAGCAACACAACATCTATGTGTCAAATGACAACAACCGCGGGCGTGAAGATTGAAAGAATGGATCATGACTTCTTCACACCCCAGCCCGTCAAAGGCGCCAATGTCTATATTGTTGCGCGTAATCTCCATGACTGGCCGGATAAAGAAGCTTTAAAAATTTTGAAGCATATTCAGGCTGCCATGAACGAGCAGTCGACTCTTATCATCTATGACTGTGTCTTTTCAGACAAGTTGGAGGTGGTGTCCGAAAGGGATGCTGTCGCTGACTTCGGAATGATGGCGGCTCTGTCATCGCTGGAGCGTACTGAGGGACAGCTTGTGAATCTTCTACAGTTAGCTGGACTCAAGTTGACTAATATGTGGCGAAGTCCATCAGCTGAGGCTAAGCACGCGGTTTTGGCAGTTTCTCTAAATAATCAGGTGTCGCGATGAAGAGACTTCTTCGGCTTTTCAAGGCTCAATATTGATCTCTCTCCCCTCTCCCTTCTCATCTCTATTTTCTTCTCTTTCCTTTAACTATTTACACCCGCTCTTTTGCTACGTCGTGAGTATCTAAAGCAGCCAGAATAAGTTATTATCCTCATCTCTCGTGGGAATTCTGGAAGTAGCTGAGAGGCAGTGGCAAAGCAGGCTACTGGCTGGAAAAGGAAGAAGAAGGGAAGCTGCTAGCATGCAGGCTGAGATGCGTCTGGGGAGGTGCGTGAGAGATGGAGAGTTCTGGAGCGAGGGCGACCTCGGGAGAAGATGCCAAGACGTGGCAACCACAATTTGCACTGTTTGCACTATCCCGCGTATTCCAGGTCACGTGCTGACCGTATAGCATGGATAAACTGGGACCTACTCCGTAGATTGAATAGTATAAGGCAGACTTTTGCACATTCGGAACTTATCACCTTATTATCCCTGGAATCCCTATCTTTAACAGAAGGAGACCGAGGCACGTGTCTTTGTATCACGTGCTCACATGGTCACATGGTCATGGGACAGGATCCCCAGTTTGACAGTAGGAAATGGCCCTACACCAGGTATGAGCTGATGCTTGAGTGATCACATTGGAATAAAACAGAAAATTTTCGTCGCTCATGCCAAAGACTATCTAAGCCTTCTTCTTTTTCAAGGAAAGCCACTGCATGGGGAAGGCACCAAGCAGAGACAATGCTGAAAACGCCACCGCAAGGTAGAAGGAATACGTGATAGCCGAGCTGTACGCCGCCAAAGCCGTGGGCAACATTTCCTTTGGAACAACAGTCCTAAGCATTGTTGCCCCAGCTTCAACCACTTTCTTCGCATCCACACCGGGAAGACTGTTGGTCAGATTCTCCAACAATTTGTTGTGGAAGAGATTCTGCGCAGCAGAAATGAAGATAGCACCTCCCATCGACTGCATAAACATGACAATGACAGTAGCACTGGGAATATCGCTTGGAGGGGCGGCAGCCTGTACTGCCATCAAGGGCTGCATCATTGCAGATCCGGTGCCAATCCCAAACATCGCTTGATATCCAAGATATTTGGCGTGGCCGGAATCGACTTGAAGGGTTGTGAGTAAGCCACCAGCGATGGCCGATACCACGCTACCGAAGTATAAAAATGGCGCGTATTGGCCGAACATACTGACAATGCCTCCAGTTATAATCGAGGATATTGCGGCCCCCAAGAGCATGGGCAAGTTCAGGATGCCAGACTTTGTTGCCGATACACCTTTGACACTTTGGAACCATATTGGGAGCTAGGCAGGGTATTAGCAGATGGCTCGTCGGAAGAGAGGGCAACTTACGTAGTACGTATACACCATGAATGCTGCGGTGGTGCAAAACATGTAGAGTGCACCACCCCAAATGTTTCGGTTCTTGATTAAACGAGGCGAGACCATAGCCTGCTCCTGCTGCCAAAGTTGCACAGCGATGAAAGCAAAGAGCATCAGACCAAAGCCCACAAATAGTCCAATTACCTGTTGACTGTTCCAGGCGTATTTGGAACCACCCCATTGCAGAGCGAGCAAAAGGCTGATCATTGATGGCATAAAAAAGAAGAGACCAAGAGGATCTAACTGCATGAGTAGCTCTTTCCACTGATCTCTGGTCTCCACTGGCTTCGGAGCCTTGTAAAGCAACAGAAGGAAGAGAACGGAAACGCCCCCGAGTGGTAGATTGATGTAAAAGCACCACCTCCACGTAGCATGATCAGTGAGTGCGCCACCGATGATTGGCCCAGCAACACCGGCAACCGAGAATATCGCGCTGATGACGGAAGTCCAGATTGGTCTTTGGCGAATAGGTGCCGCGTCTGCAACGATGAGCACCGACCCCGAGAAGAGCCCACTAGCTCCCACTCCTGCAATAGCACGCCCGATTATCAATGCCACGGAATTAGGGGCGATCCCGCAAATCAATGACCCAAGTTCGAAGATGCCAAGCGCACCAAGGTACACCCATTTGATGGAAAAATATGTGTACAGCTTGCCATAGACAAGACTCACACTGCAGTTTGTGAGCAGGAAAGCACTTCCGTACCATCCAACATCATCGAGGGAGTTGAACTGGTCGGTGATCTTCGGGATCGCGGTCGCAATAATTGTGTTATCCTGTTTAAGAAGGTAGAATGTTAGCCTCAACAAGACCTAAGGGCATCACAGCCCCGGTCTAACCTCGGACTTACCAATGCTACACAAATGCACGTCAAAGCCAATCCAATCATGAGGATTGCAAATTTCCAGCCGGCCAGATGTGTGTCCGTTATGTCAGCCTGTTGATGCTGGTCGGTCTCATCAGTAAGTTCCAAAGAGGCAGATTCCTTTTCAGCTCTGTCGTTGAAGTCATGATCCCGGGGCTTGGGTGAAAGAGTTGTCCGCGACGAGCTTGAACTTCTCTCGTCTCCTTGTGATCTCGGATCTGGGACTTGGGAAGTTCCCGCCGTGGGAGAACGCTCAGAAACCCTCTCTGTCATTTTGTGGTTGTTTTGCTGAGCAGGTCAACCGGCAAGAGGTGCGTTTATCGCAGTTGAGCAGCCTTGAAAAAGCAAGGTCAAGTGAGAGGAGCAAAGAGGCTGCTCTTTTGACGCGACTTGTGCTCCAATCACCTGAACAGAATGTGGCCTTTCAGCCTCGGGCTAAGAATGTTCCACGCCGTCACGAATATTATGCAGGCATAATCTACTAGGGGTATGCAAGGTATAAGTTGGCTTATGAGGCGCGTCAATATCCTTGGTCTCAGAAAAAGCAAGGTAGACACATCAAGAGTCAAAGTCGGATTGACAGTTGGATAAGCCTTGTTTGTCGACCCGCATCCGACGTCCGATGATCATACTGATTACCGTATGGAACTCCCTACATCGATTGATTGCTGGGAAATTGTGTCGTTATGATTTGATTGTGAATTTTATGACAAATTCAATCAACGAGGAAGAACGCGCGTTGCGGGACAAAGGCAAGATTCATCTTTACTTTTGTTGGAAGTCATATGACTTCCCTTCTGTACATGGTTCTGATCTTGCTTTCTTTTCCCTTCCTTCCTCTCTAGTGCAACCAACGAAGTGTGTTTTCGCCCTTTCTTCTCTCTCTTAGTCTCTATGAACTTTTCTAGATACAGAGATAATATGGAAGTTTGAGGCGAAGCTCCTCGCTCCATGGTCATAGCAATGCTGCCCCGCTGACATTCTTCTGTCTCCTTGATTGATACGTATATACAAATAGTAGCTCAGGAGCTACTGCAATGCTCTTGGTTTATAGAATTGAATAGCTCCTCGATTTTGGCCTTAGCCCCTTTTCTGAGAGACCACTGAAGCCACCAGTTCCCAGAGCAGTCCTTTCCAAAAATAATTCCACCGCCATGCCAGAATATGTTCATCGGGGTAGTGTTGAGGAAGCAAGAAGGAACACCTAGCCCATTAACTCTCTTATCTCGAGCACCAGAGACATTCCGAACGGCTGGTGAGAAATCGAGATGGAAGAAATTTGCTCTGCTCCAATTAGACCACATATTCATGAACATGTCTCGCGTCCCAATCATGGGCGGGGAGCCAGTCTTCTCATGAAAAATCTTCGACATTGCAAGCTGGGCCTCGATCTGTTCGTTATTTCGTTGCTTTTCCAGGGACTGGCGGATTTGAGCTGCCAAAAAACTCAAAGGCTGGGTATAGACCTGCGAGACAGGCAGTATGGTGTATGCGAACGTGACAGCGTTCAGAATATAGGCGATTTTGGGGGGAAGTACAGTTGAACGAACATCAAAGACATTCATGAGCACGAGTGGTTTGCGCTCCGATGGTTTAGCGACAGCCACCAATGTTTTCGTGAGCCAAGCCAGAAGCACATCACTCTCGCTAACAAAATGTGTATCGTTATTCTCCTGGCTGGACTTTAGTGCCAGCTCGGTAAGGGCTTCCTTTCTTAAGCGATTTAAAAACCACCCCGGGATGCAAACCGTCGGATATTCCACTTCGGGATACCAAATCTTATCCCAAATGATGCGAAATATGTAAAAAATCTTGTTAAGCCCTTGCACAGCAGAGTAGTAAAACATGTACTTCTCCGCATGGGTTTTGCTGGCCAAGCGAGTAACACAATCATCAATAAAGGTGCGGCATTCAGGAACTTCGTCTTCGCGGCCATGGAGAACAGATATCCAAGCATTTAGAAAGGTAACATATCCCATCACGTCCATAAGGTAGTGTGGGAATGTCACGAGCATCAATGTGGCATCCGAAAAGTTGATCTGGTCAAAGAACAACGAGGGGGAGTCTGTGTAGATTAAGTCATCAATTCCCCTGGGATCTTCTGCTCTGTGTATCAGAGGCCCAAGGATCTGTGATGAGCCAAGAAAGGTGAGGTTGTTCGTTCCTCTGGGCAATTGCGAGCAGACAGGATGGTCAGTGATACTGCCATCCCACTCTGATGTTCTAAAGATGAAACCAGGACGAGCGGAATCGTATTGCGCAGGAATATGAAGCTCGAATTCCTGGCTTTCGGAATCATTCTGGGAGGGTGTTATTTTCAGAAAGCCAGCGTGGGAAAGGGAAGCATACCCTGCGGCGTAAACGTCCACCCAGATGCCTCCAATTTCCTATCTGCAATAACCGCTCCAGGGATTGGCGTAATTTGTCGGGCTCCAAAACATCGTCAAATTTGAAGGCCAACTCCATCGTCCCATCCATATATCGAAACAGTCCATTGATTGGTATGACCTCATCTGTCAATACCGCCGTGGGCTGTTCGCGTCGGGGTCGGAGATAGTTGAAAAGCCTCATCATTTTTGGAAGAACTTGACGTCAAGGGATCCTCGTTGCAGGATAGTTTGCTTCTTTTGCCACTTGCCGCGTCTCAGGGTTGAGAGCCTCTGGTGTTGGAATTTCTGAGAGAGAGAAACTGCTTCGTGGAAATTCAGCAGAAGGGGCCGTGGCTGATAACACAGCCAAAGAGTTTTCACCAGTTGCAAGTATAGTAAGAGTTCTTCCCACCGAAGCAAGGCGCTTCTGTATTGACCTCGGGAAGATCTTCAGCTTACTCAGTTCTCTTTAGCCCCGGGGCCGTCTGTCCAGGTGACTTGGACACTTCTACTCAATAACTCTTTTCCCCCAAAACGAGGACATACATAGTGATACAGCAATAAGCGGCCGAAGAACTGGGGGGTTGATCCAAATGAGCTTTCCACCACGATTCACTATCTAATGCAACAACCTGCACCTGCATAAACTAATGAATCTCTGCATGTATCATGCGGTACGGAGTATGGTATGGTAATATATGGATTTATGCGAAGTGCTTTTATGAACATACTGAAGATCGTCCCTTGTTTTAATTATCACAGTGGCTGTACTTCAACTCTACACGGAAAACGTGATATTACGTAACTAGGTATACCCTAAAATCTACGGTGTACTAGTAGACCGAACCGGCTGGAAACTGCTATCGAGCCTTCACTGCAAGGTTTGGCACGTATTCCAAGATTTGGATTCTGAGGTTTGCACCGAGGGCGAAACCTGATCACAATCCCCGCGGGTGAGTGAAGCTCGAAGAGGTTGGGACCTTAATGACCTCGGAAGTTATGAACAGTTCACTGCTTCCAAGATTGAAGACTGACAAGGCTATGAGGTTGTCATTATTGAAACCGAAGCCGATGGGCGGTGCAAATCCAGATTTGGGACTTTTGTTTGGACTTCATTGCTATGGTAACATATATATGATGCCCATTTTACTGTAGTCTGGCGGCGTACCCAAGTAGCCATCCCGTCTCTACCTTTCGACTGGGGGATAAAGCGAACATTCGGCGATCTCACACATCCCAGAAAAACCTTTGTGACAATTCATCAAGTAGTAAGGAGATGGCTTTTCCTCCCACCCTTTGCTCTCTCTCTCTCTTCCACTTCCAGGTTTCCAACTTGGAACCAGCTAATCGGATTGATGTTAAAGACTGCTGACTTTCTAGCAGAGCCCTAGGAAGACAAACTCACACCGCAGTTTAACCCCAAAGAAAGCGCGATGAGACAGGGTCTCTACGGTTTCCTGAGTTGCGCTCTCGGCCTTGCCGCATCTCTCCGCACCGATCAAACATTCTACAACCCGATCCTTCCAGGCTGGAACCCAGATCCCTCGTGCATATTCGTCCCCGAAGCAAACAACACGTTCTTTTGTACGACTTCAAGCTTGGTGGTTTTCCCAGCTCTCCCGATTTATGCGAGTCAGGATCTTCAGAGCTGGGAGCTGATCAGCAACGTCTTACATGATCCCGATCAATTTCCTGACATCGCAAGTGCTTCAATTCCGAATGAAGGGTTTCTGGAATCCACCTTGCGATACCACCACGGAAAATATTATCTTACAACGGGGTACTATGCACCTGATGGGAAATTCACGACTCTGATCTTCAAATCTCATAATCCCTTCAACGAGTCTGGTTGGGGAAAGCCTCTGGAATGCCCGACGCTCGGATACGATCCGGATCTATTCTGGGATGATGACGGATCTTCATACCTTACTGCACTCAAAGTCCCCGATAACACTGTGATTCAAGCACCCATCGACCTAGATACTGGCCGCTGGGGCAGCGAGTATTACCTTTGGAACGGCACCGGCGGAGGCACGCTGGAAGGACCGCATATCATCAAAAAAGATGGCTTCTACTATCTGACAATCGCGGAAGGGGGAATTTCAGTCGACCACATGCAGACAATGGCCCGATCTGAGCGTTTAAATGGACCATATATACCATTCGAGAAGAATCCAGTCTTGTCCAGCCGAAATTCATCAGAATACTTCCAAGCAGTGGGCCATCTTGACCTCTTTCAAGACGCTAAAGGGGAATGGTTCGGAGTCGCTTGTGCAACCAGGTCTGGACCGGAGTGGAAGAACTTTCCCATGGGAAGAGAGACAAGCCTTTTCCCCGTCACATGGAATCAGGGTCAGTGGCCGGAGTTTCCACCCGTGCGAGGTGTGATGAACGGCTCAAGTCTGCCACCGCGAATGAGTCTACTAAAGGACGAGGACAAAGTCGATGGTACGGATATGATTGACTTTTCCCCTGGCTCCTCTATTCCCAAACATCTACTCCACTATGGCCTGCCAAATTTCAGCTCTTATACCGTCTCCCCGAAGAATTATTCGCACTCCCTCCGCCTGCGAGCATCAAAGACCAATCTCACAGGAACCATCGGATCAAAAACCGCCGAGCAACGAACAGCAATATTTCGCAAGCAAGCACACTCTTTGTTCTCATTTGAACTGGACATCTTGTTCACACCAGCCATGACAAGTGAGGAAGCCGGTATCACAGTCTTCTTGGCTCCACAGCAACACCTGGATCTTGCAATTGGATCAGTGAAAAATGAAAAAGGATCAGTGATACCAGCCTTGATCTTCCGAGTAATGAACCTTGGTAAAAACGGGACAAATCATCCACCTACAGAATTTTATCCGTTACCGGAGGCTTGGCGCCAAAGTCCCGTTCGACTCCAAGTCAGTGCCACAAATGTGACGACCTACCGCTTTTCAGCGAACCTAATCTCAGCTGAGAGGAAGATGGAATATGTGTTCTATGGCTCCGCTGGGGTAGTGACAGCGGGAGAAGGAAAATTTGATGGTGCGTTGTTCTGGCATGCTTGCACAAAGCCCTCCTGGCGAGGAAGATTTGAGATGCTGATGAAATCTAAAAGGATCCTTGCTTGGAGCGTATGCCACTACCGATGGTGGAAATGGTACACCTGAGGTATACATTAGCCGATGGCGCTACATGCCGCATGGACAGCTGGTGGATCAAGGAGTGATGATAGCTCATACCACTTGATTGTGCTCGAGGAACGAGATGAAACCTAGATAGCTATGTATGTACACGAAGCAGTCAGTGACAAGCACCTTGATTGGCCTTAATCTTGAAACTAGGGCCAAGCGTTGTCGATCTAGGAATTGCCAATCCCATCCATGGATGCCAAGACCAAGACACCTCGCGGAGCCCAAAGCCAATCTGAAACCTTATCTACTCAAAGAAGTGAATCATGGAATAGCATGGATCCCTTCAAGATTACTTCGACAGAGCTGTGCTTAACTCGTACTGCTTTCGATTAAGTTGGGCACGATCAGCTACTTCAGTCGGACGGAAAATCTGCAATATCACATGTAGCTAACTGCGCAACAGGTGAGTTTGACTTCCACAAAGTGATCAGGGGATTGGTCACAAGGGAAAAGAAACCTTTCGGGCCCCATATCCTGCTCCCGATTCTTGTCTTGAGAGGAGTCCCCGCTTTTGGAGGGGAGCGTGTACTACTAGTACTGCACTATCAAGCTGTACGAAGTACAGAGCACTACGTCTGCCTACACTTGCATCTGAGCTGTGCTGGCACAAACATTCACTCGAGATTTTGGAACTATTGACAAAATCCAGCAGGTAATGCATATCTGATGAATCAGATTCAAGGATACTGGCTTTGAATTCAGACAATCTATTTCGTCACACCCTACCGGTGTAGGTAACTTCCGCCCCAACCTGTGCCCATCGGCTGCTATCGGTGATCGACAGTGGCTACAGGTGCCACACGATTGAGTGAGGCACGATGCAAGGTGTAGGGTGCAGAACTGAGCCTTGGCTTTCGTGTCTTACAGGACGAAGTCATCCTGGACTAGCAGTGAACTATGCATCTACTAGGGCCGCAGAAAGGATTGACTACCTAACCCTGCTCTTTATCATGTGAGAACACACGGCAACGCCAGTCAATACGTCAACTCACTCAAGCTGAGGCAAATGTGCGGTTGCCGTCATAATATAAGATCAATTCGACCCAGAATATCTCTTCATTATTTTGTATCCTCTCATACAGTTTCTTCCATCTGCGATATCCCACAATGACTGTTACGCCATTCCAGCAAGTCCCTCTAAGAAGCGTGGATATCAATACCCCACCAGAGGAAGTGGTGCGCATTCTTAAAGAGGATGGAACTGTCACTGTGAAGAATTTCATCGACCCTGAGCTAGTTCAAAAGCTCCAGGAAGAGATTGATCCAACCATTGCCGCGTTTCCTTTGGGGCCCAACCATGAAAGCGAGGTCTACAAAGTGACCATTGGATCAAAGACCAAACAAGTTGCCAACTTGGTCACGGTCTCCGAAACCTTCCGTCACAAGATCCTCAACCACAGCTTCATGCACGAGGTGACCGATCGAGTCTTCCGCCCCGACTGGGGTGACTACTGGATGAACCGAAGCTCAATTCTCCACATCGAGCCCGGCGAGAAGGCTCAAATCGTCCACCAGGATCTCCCTTTGTACCGGGTCAATGATTACCGCACGCCAGACCAGCCAGAGTTTATGCTCAATTATTTCGTTGCTCTCACCGAGTTCCGTGAGGATAACGGCGCTACCCGACTTATCCCCGGGAGCCACCGTTGGGATGGCAAGTCGCCCCGCCCCACTTATGAGCAGGGTGTCCCTGCCCTCCTCCAGCCCGGGGATGCAATTTTGCTCTTCGGCAGCTTGTTCCACGCCGCCGGTGCAAACAACGCCAATGAGAACCGTCGGGCACTAGCAGTCTCTATGCACCCATGTCACTTTACACCGCTTGAGTCTCACTTGCACATCAGCCGAGAGACCGTCGAGACCATGACGCCACTGGCTCAAAAGATGATCGGATGGCGGTCCCTGGACAATCACAATGGGGTCCCGATCTGGATGGCTGGTGATAGACGGATGGAGAAAATAATAGGACTGAAGGCCGCGGAAGAAAAAGGGGACGTGGACGTCTAGAGTGTCCTGCCAGCAAATCACCGATTCTGTGAGATGCTACTAGTACCCGAACTTGCAGTCGGACCCTTGACATGTTCTGAGTTTGCCTGAATTTGCAGGCATCAATGTCAGATTGGGAAGGTTCTCATCTTAGTCCTATCCTTCAATTCCAACGCACGCCTAGTTTTTAGAAACCCAATGGCTAAATGTTTGAATGAATCTCACAAACTTGAATTATCTGATTTCTTCTGGTCGCCAAAATTACCCGGTAATAATACAAAACTGTGCTTTTCCCGCAGACCCCTTGCCGGTGGGTCGGTCCGAAGATCGCGCACATTAAAGGGTGTGAGGGTTATGTCCGGAATAGATATGTACGAATTCGGAGGAGTAACGCTTATGATAAATTAATTTATTATGTGGGAATTGCGGAGAACTCCGTACTAGCGAGCTGGATTACGATCTCAATCACTTGAATTTCGTACTGGTGCGAAGCCAAAACAGGAAAAAGCAAAATACACTGCTTTAATGCGCTTGAAGCGAACAAGTCGCTTGCATACCTAGGTAGTTAGTCACATAGGACTACAGTAGTCATAATGCAACAGACTAGTTGAACCTTAGGTACGAAGTACTCCGTGCTCATAAATACCTAGGTAGCTAACCGCCAATCAATTATTTGTTGTTCGAGTACTCCGTATGCAAAGCAGACGCGACCAAGTGGCGGTCAAAATTCCCTCATGGCTGGTTGCCAGCGATGGATAGGTCTAAGTTTTCACGGGATGAATCGAGCTCCAAAGAAAGGGGCGACACGCTTCGCAGCTCATGCCCATGCCCTGCTACTACTCGCCCCGCTTTGACTTCCAAGGTTCCTTATCAGACGTGCCTAGGTCCCAAACTACTATGAGGTCTGCATTAGACCGCGAGTTCCTGACGTACAACTTCTTATGCTATGTATGCATTTCGATATACTGTCGGTCGACGTAAGGAATGCCATGTATTGACAAATTTGAATATCTCTGGAGATCTTGCTTAAGAGGAACGCTCATGATTTCATTGCTCCCTTCCCTCGCGTGCTACTGAAACTTGCCACCCATCGAGCACAATACTCCAACCAAGATTCCACGCAGATGAAGGAATTGGTGGAAAATCCTCAGCACCGTCTGCTAATGCAGACGGGCGCTACTGTCGTTCTGGCTTTGATATTCATTTCTCTGCTTTTGAAAGCTCGCCAGAAGAAATTACCCCTACTCAACGGCAGAAGACACAATGAGTTCACTTTGTCCAACGCAAAATCGAGGTTTCTTTTTAACGCAGAAGAATTGATAAGATCGGGATTGACCAAAGTAAGTACTTCCCGAGGTCCTCGCCTTGTAGCCCAGCGCCAAAAGCTAACAAAGCCATGAAAAGACACGGAAAGCTTTCAGGATATGCACAGATGTTGGGACCCACATTATGGTTTCGCCAGAGTATGCCAATGAGATAAGAAACCACGAGCACCTGGTTGTTGATAACATCATTGCCGATCTGTTTCATTCGGATATACCTGGATTCGAAGCCTTCAGGGCTGATTTCTTGAACCGGAAGTTATTGACCAAGACTCTGTCAAAATGCTTGAACCCATCCCTCGGTAGGACAAGTTTATTCATCCCGAAACTTTGGTGGATTGAAGACTGAAAATAGTGGTGGTTGAATACAGGCGCGCTCACAGAGGCTGTTTCAGCGCAGGCCGCACTTGGGCTGAAAGATCGTTGGGGAGACAGTTCCGGTAAGATACTCCTGGAAAGACCTTGTTGCTTTTCTGTCATTTATTCTTCGAAGGGGGACTAACTCATCTTAGAGTGGAAAGAAGTCATTCTCAAGCCAACTGTTCTCCGATTAGTCTCACGCCTTTCATGCAGAGTGTTCTGCGGAGAAGAATTGTGTGACAATGACAATTGGCTTCGAATCACTGAAGATTACACAGTCACAGCAGATACGACTGCCAAGAAGCTATGGCTTTGGCCCTGGCCGATGCGATATGTTGTGCACTGGTTTATGCCCTCATGTGGGATACTACGTTCTTATCTCACTGAGGCTCGCCAGATCCTCAATCCAATCATCGAGAAGAGAAAGACCGAACGGTTGGAGCGAGAAAAGGTCACAAAAACCGAGAAAGGCGATATGATTGACTGGTTAGAGGATACCGCCGATGGTGGTTTCTATGAACCGATAGCTGCGCAATTAGTGTTGTCTGTGGCTGCCATCCATACCACATCAGATATGTTGACGCAGGTGGTCTACGATGTGTTTCAACGACCGGAGCTTGTCAATGATCTTCGTCAAGAATTGATCTCCGTTGTGAGAGAGCAAGGAAGCTTCAACGGTGCTTGTTTATCGCAGTTGAAATTGATGGACAGCGTACTGAAGGAAAGTCAGCGCCTGAAGCCATTTTCATTGAGTATGTAGTCCTTGTCCTATCTCCTCTTGTCGATTTTGTCTAACAGCACTTCCAGCCAGCATGCATCGGAGAGCTACTGAAAATGTGACTTTATCGGACGGACTGGAGATTGCAAAGGGTTGGGAAATTGAGATGCCTTGTCTTCATATGTGGGATGACACTGTCTATCCCGCGGGCCAAAAGTTTGTCCCAGACCGTTTCTTGAAGATGCGACAGATCCCAGGCCAAGAAAATAAGCACCAGCTTGTCTCCACGAGTAGCAATCATCTAGGGTTTGGATATGGCAAGTATGCTTGCCCAGGTCGATTCTTCGCAGCTGTTGAGGTCAAGATTGCCCTGTCCCACATCTTGATGAGCTACGATGTGAAGCTTGTGGATGATGCCCCCGCACCCCACAGGATCGGGGTTGTCATGGCAGCAAATGTACTTGGAAGAGTCGCTGTTCGCGGACGACAGCCAGAAGTTTCGTTATAGATGACTTGGTATCCCATGGGATGCTTGGGGCATGATCAATCATTCTGAAACCTACGGAATTATTGAAAGTATTAAGAAACACAGAAAAATGTCAGGGCAGATAAAGTCGTGGTTAATACCTTGGATCATGTTTTGATAGGACGTCAGGATAAGTTAGAGATAAATTATATTGATACCTAGGCCCGCGAAGCTCCTTCTATCGGTCGGTGAAGTTTTGCTGGACGGTATGCTGAGCGGCCTGTTGGACAGTCTGCTGGAAAGCCTATTATATTGTCCCTCATGATACAGTTCCAGTATCATTAAAACTTTGAACCTGTGCGCGAGTTATAATAACCGCATCGCTGTTGGTGTTGGAAGCCATGCCGTCTGACAAAACTGGAACGGTTCAGAGGGTGGTAATGTGGGTTCAGGTAGCGTATGGTCGAAAGGATCTGGTAGCTGATAGACAGAGGTCATCATGAGGCTGGTTGGAAACTAGGATCATAGAACGAAGCAGCTGTCATGCGTGAGGAGAGAAGAGAGGGAGAGCTGAGCAGGGCGAAGATCGATGTCACGTGATCCAAGGGATAGATATCACCACTTCTGATAGGAGCACGTCGCAGATGCAGCAAAAAAGTGCCCAGAACAGTTTCAGGAAGCCGAGGCAAATACGATGGCGAAGAAATGGTGACAGGTGACGGACTTGAAAGGGTTGATGACGCAACGGCCGACGAAGCGGCCGCCGCTTGTGGTTGCTGTGGGGGGAGGGAAGGGGTAAGTACTGTGTCTCGGTAGGCCAGAGCTGTAAAGTGATCAGTGAGGAGGTCGTGATAGATATTTTCGTGTCTTTTACTTTCACTTCGCTATCCTCTTCTCACTTTCACCACTTCTCAATTCTCTTTTATCTCTCCTATTTGACTTTTGAGTCCATCCGACAAGTGTATATACGCTAGAGGTATACGAAAAATTGGACTAAGTCCTACTTCCACAGCATCATAGGGTTATTCAGACACAAGCCGTATATCACTTTGGAACGAATCATCTCTTCTTCCTGACAAGGAATGATAAACGTCTCTTTGGGACCGTTATTGAACTCCCGACTGGGAAATTTTATCAGAAGCTTTTAGCATAGCTCAGAGCTTAGGTGGCACACGTTGCGACCAAGCACAAGGTCCTAATACTGCTAGAATCCAGACCGAATGATTGAAATGCTTCACAGTTCCAGCTCTTCCTGGCGGCGCCGCACAGCAATCTTTCCAAATGGATTAGCGCTGAGGAAGGTACCGTTTGTGATGACTGGAGGCACATCACCCAGTAACTTCAGATCGTACTTCATCAGTATATGACAGAGCGCAACCTTTGTCTCCGCCACAGCAAAAAAGCGCCCCGAACAACCCCAAAGCCCATGTCCGAACCCAAGGTGATTCTCGCTCGTAGAAGACATATGAGCTGCGCTTCCCCACTCTGGATGATCGAGCATCTTATAGAATCGATATGGATCGAACTCACCCGGGTTTTCGTATACTTCCTGGTTCCAGTGGTTGTTGGTAGATACCATGACTAGGTCCCCCTTTTGTACGGTGAGACCATCCGGAAGCTGTATGATAGTGTCCGCAATCCGTCTCATTGATACTAGAACCAACACGATATTAGCTTTTCAATTCTCCAAAATGAGGTATATCGACATTTCGGAACGAATTTGATAAATCCTTACCGAGACTCGTTGGCTTCAATCGCTGACTCTCTTTCATCACGCTATCCATGAGCTTCAGGTTGAAGATGGCCGCTTTGTTCCAAGGAAACTCCGTCCTGACACCAATTATCTCCTTGCGAAGCTCGCTCACCAGCTCAGGTCTTCCAGCCAGGTCGTAAATCAACTGTGTCATGAAGTCTGTTGTGTTGTGCATAGCAGAGAGCGTAATCGTGAGTTGTAGCACCGCTGGATCATATTTCTTTCCATTAGCAAATTCTTCGGCCCATTCAAGCGCATCCAGAGATGGTGCAGGTGCTTCGCCTTGCTGCGCGAGCTTGGCTTTGGCTCGTCGCCGCTGCTCGACTATTGGGTTGATGATATCACGCGCGTTTTGAACTTCAGCGCGTAGCTTCTGAAAGGTGGGAATGACGCGTGCCACCATGGGGCGCAATACTCCCGGCCACATGCGCGCCATTTCGACCGCCTGGAACGCGAATACAGTGACTTTGGTGGCTATCTGGAGCCATCTTTGATCACGGCAGAAACCGGTGCCTAGGAAAATGCGTGTGGATTGCTGAGAGGTGATCGCCAAGACGCTTTCCTTTACTGACACCTCGTGCCAGGCTGGATCTGTCGAGGTCAGAAATTCCCCAGCCCCCAAGCAGTTGCAAGTGAGGATTCCACTCACTGTCTTGGCTGTCTCTCTCCCAGATCCTCTTCAGCGCATCACCTGCTTCCTCTGACAAGGGCTCAATCAAATTCGCTGTTTGCGACCGAGTAGTTTAGTTGAGTAGTTTCAGTGTGGTCTTTGAATGAGACTCACTTAGATCTTTGGTCAACTTTCGCCCAATGACGTATGCCAAAAGCTTTTTACCCATTTCATCGAGGGTAAACACATCTAGACCGGATATGTTCGAATGAAGTGTCTATGATAATTTCAGATGGTCAGTCAAGTCGGAGAGTTACTCGAATGTAGGGGAAAGTGTTTGCTATCTTACACGAATACGATATGCGTAGAAATTGAACCTCTTGTCATTTCGAACAACGTTCGCGTACTGGGGCCCTAGAACCAGTTCCTTTCCATTTTCTGTAATGGTGTAAAAGCCTCTAGATGACTTTACCACAATTTCGTTGTCAGCGGGCAATGTTGCGTAATAGACGTGTTCTCCATCCAGCGATAGAAGGACACATCAGTATCCAAAGGTCAGATCTCACTTTTGCAAAACCCTCCTCAATGATCTTCTTTGAGTCTGCTTTCCATCGTCTCATTGCATTTGTGAGCAGCAGTTCGCCCGGGGCTTTTCTGTTCACCATTGGCACATCATCGGCGCGCGAGGACCATGAACAAAGCCCCCAAAGCCAGGCAAGAAATACAAGAACAAAACCACCACCCACTCCGGCGAGTAGGATCGCGGAAAGTGAATCTGGAGCTGCTGGATACATTGCCGAAGGAAGTAGTATACTAAACGCTCCCAGCGGTTGGGGTTGGACACTTCACGGTGGGAGCTTCAACAACTGAAGTCGATTATCATGACTTCTTGGCAAATTTCTTTGACAAATAGTAGTGACCTGTTACTAATGGGTACTGGGCTGGATGGGTTGAGATTGCACGCAGCTTGATGTCCTTTTCCTCTCCGCTTCCTGTGAGTGCATTTATGATATATCCGAAGATACTGAGTAGGAGCCACTGATCTACAATATCTACATAGGTCCAAAAAAATATGCTGCTAGGGGTAATGAGACCGACTCTGCAAGCTGAGGTACAGGATCAATCCAAATACGTTCGATAAATCTGTAAGAGGGAAGGTACATACCGAGGATGTAGTTTTCCGTACTCCGTACAGCACACCGTGGCATAAATACGTTATGCACTCATCAGCAAGCATCTCTGCTCGGTAGTTTCCAAGGCGTTCCTTTCTTTTCTATCCTTCTTGAAGGTGGAATGGGTTGTTGCATGGGGCGGCCGGAAAGTCAAACGCGACCAGGCTTGCGCAACAGGCTTGGCCCTGGGCGAGAGGCGCGCCCCCAGTCCAGCCCAGAGTCCACTACTGGGGGCCTTGTGAGCTCCCCAAAAAAGCCCATCTGTATGCATGATTACAGGCTTGGCGCTCATTTCATATAGTCTCGGCTTAGAATCTTTCAGCTGGATGTGGGGACTCAACTTGCACGATTTTCATGAAGGTGGAGCCCTAACATACGTCCCCTTAGCTTCTGTATGTCTCACCGAGTCTAGTCCAACTGATATCACAATCCATGGATTTTTATGAGCTCGAGACGTAGATGCGGGGTAGACCTTTTTCTCAGGATAGTCAAGCGATTGGGAACTTATCTGGTAATGTGGTAGAATCAGAAAGGAAGTACAGTGTAGTATCCGTGATAATTAAATAGACCGCTACAGAATGTATTGTTTGTGAAGGCGCATATAAGTGGCGTTTTTGTATCGTTTGGGCCCCAATTGGCCCCTAGAAAAGCCTTGGGGGCTGGGCTGGGGTGGACTTTCCAAGGTTAGGCTTTGGGCTTTGTGGGTCGGCGCGGAAGTCTAAAAACAACTACTTGGTACGGAGTAGATCGCGAAGAGTTGATCAGGCTTGATCAGCGAATACGAATGATCTACAAAATCGGCTGTGCCTAAAATAATCTACTAACTAGATTCTGAATCGGGATTTGAAAAAATCGTACCTATACTTAATTCTGGAAAATCCAAATGAATCGATGCACAGACTTGCCCACCACCTTTGCTGAACCACAAACGTGGAAGAAGATCTCGTGTATAAAGCCTTCCAGTGACAAGCCGTCCACAACGTCCACGGGTACTGCTTCTGAGGACGCCTTATCACAGTGAAAGGAAATTCACTTTGACTGAAGACCGAGTTCATTTTAACAAATCGCAATGGGGAGTCTTCAAGATCGCGTAAGTGATACTTTGCTCATTCCTTTTCTCTTATCCCAATAAATAGTCTCTGATCATATACTTGCAGGTAATTATCATAACCGGCGCTGCGTCCGGTATAGGCCTTGCCACTGCAAAGGCTGCCTTGAAAGAGGGCGCAAATGTACTCGGCGTGGATGTTGTGGCCGAACCACCGGCATCGTTGTCGGAAATAAATGCCGGGTCTGACACAGACTGTCACTTCTCATACCATGCATGCGATCTCACAAAGGCGACGTCACCTGCAGAAGTTTTGGCGACCTGTCAATCCACGTTTGGCGGCAGAATCGACGTACTTTTCAATATTGCCGGTGTGATGGATCACCATGGGAGCATTGATACCGTTACAGATTATGATTGGGAGCGATGCATGGCGATCAATGTGACGGCACCTGTCAAGCTCATGCGGGAGGTAATACCGGCTATGCGGGACCAGCAACAAGGGGTGATCGTCAATATGGCCAGCCGGGCGGGGCTTAGTGGAGCTGCGGCCGGGGTGGCATACACCGCAAGTAAGTGTCGATCCTACATCTTTCCGGTATTAATGTTGAATGTTTGAATCTGTATTTTCTTCTCATGTCACATGCACAAACTGACACTATTGCTTGTTTCAAAATAGGCAAACACGCCATTATCGGGGTCACGAAGAATGTCGCCTGGCGATTCAGGGATGAAAACATCCGCTGCATTGCAGTTTGTCCTGGAGGTATCGTCATCCGATGGGCGTGACGCAATTCTTTTCGGCTAACAAGAGCGTGCAGGCGTCGGTGATACAGCGATCGTGAGTAGTGTTGACCCAGGGAGCTTCGATAAAGAGGCCATGGCGAAAACCATGCCGATCATCAATGCCGTCTACAGGCAGCGCAATGAGAATTTCAAGGCTATGATGCCTGAGGAACTCGCGGAAACTCTCATGTTCCTGGTTGGGGAAGGTAGTAAGAGAATCACGGGAGCCGTGATTCCTATTGACGATGGCTGGTCAACGATTTAGTCACGAGCCAGGATCGGGGCCAACAAGGGATGTGATCCTGTACTCCGTACAGCGGAAGAAATCCGGTGTAGCAATGAGTAACTTTTGCGAGACCAAGTATTCTTCGCAATAATCTTGTGGAATATTTCACCCTCTGTACGGAGTAGACTGCTCGCTCTCCCTCTAGCACGGCTGTATTCATCCGTTTGGTAAAGTAGATTGCTTCTGGACACTTCGTAAATAGGTTGATCTCTGGATTTCGACAATAACTCTGTGTGACGCGTCGTTTTTACCAGTGTGGATATCCTTTGGAGGTACGGAATAGAATAATACCGAATATTGGAAAAGGGAAAGGATCGCTGGCAGCGCAGATGACAGAAGGGAGAAAGAAAGAAGGGAGAAGAGAGAGAGAGAGATAGAAAGAAGCAGGGAGAAAGAAAGAGAAAGCCAACTACTGGTTAGAGGGGTCTCGGGCTAATGTGCTCACGCTGCAATTCCATATCACTTGTACGGAGTATTCGCAGACAATCTTCACATTTCTCCCTCTCTTGATCAATACATCCATCAAGCCTGACCAAGGTGCCTTTCCCCCCGTGATATCGCAGGGAATCTTCGCAATTTGTCTCTTGATTTGTTGTCTCCGAAGAAGCGCTGCGGCATCGACAATTGTTCCAAAATGGACATGGATGATATGGACTTCTCCAAAGCACCTCCAAGCTTCCAAGAGGTGCGATGGATCTCCACGATTCTGCTCACGACTCTCGCCTCTGGCTGGTTGGTCTGTTACATTGCCACAATTGCCAAAGCTTTCCGTGACCGTGCTTGCTGGATGCCGATTATTCCACTATCTTGCAATCTTTCGTGGGAATTGGTGTTCGTGTTCCTCTACCCGCCACCACGCCTTCCAATTGTCACCTTCTGGTTATCCCTAAACCTGTGGGTAGTTTTCGTTGCCGTGAAATTTGCATCAGGGTCCAACAAGCAATCTGCCGTCTTCTCCAATGGAGCTCTCCAACGCGGAGCATTCTTTGTACTAGCTACAATTTTCTGGGGTGCAGGGCATGTCGCATTGATATCTCAAGTTGGACCTCTGACGGCGTTTTATTATGGTGGTCTTTGCTGCCAGATAATGACCAGCTCGGCAGCGTTGGATAAGCTTCTGAAAGCTGGACATACAGCTGGTGCATCTTACACCATTTGGTAAGATGATTCATCGCTAATAGAGCGCCTGACGGATATGGCTGACATCTGAGTTATAGGATCAGTCGAGTCATTGGCACTTCTAGTGCGATCCTGGGAGTGTATTTCAGGGCCTGTTACTGGCCCGAAGTTTGGGCTTGGGCTTCTAATCCGCTTATGTACTGGACGACAGCAGCATTTATTATTCTTGATGGGTTGTATGGAGTGGCCTTTTGGAATATTCGACGATCTGAGAAGCAACAGCAGAAACGCCACGCAACCAAGAAAAATTGATGGAAAGAGGACTGGATATCAAGTTCAACTGCTATCATGTACTCCGTACCTAAGGCAATTGTCTATTGAGCCAACCTAGAAGCTAAGAGCGAAGTCCCAAGTGCGAAAACAACGCGAATATCCGTACTCTACCATATACTCCGTAGTGCCATGGGCTTTATTGCGGTGGTAGCCTACATTCACGTATCAACCCGGCCAGAGAGTCGGTGACTTGACTCAGATTGGGGCGCAGCTATTTACAGAGTACCCATGTATGGCAGCTGGACTATTGATCTTTGAGCTTGTTATCTTAGAACTGATCATGACGTTGGTTCGCAAAGTATACCGGGCTAGGGAGTTCCAAGTTAGATCTATCAAGTTCTCTCCAAGTGCGGAGTGCTCCATACGCAGTAAGCTGCACCTCGTATAAATTCGCTGGCCTCCCTTGCGGTGTTCTCAGTCTAAAGGACTCTGTAAGGAATATGGAGTACAAAGGTGGAGATCACGATGTTGCTAAATTTGCCTGCATCACTGTGCTTTTCTACTAGTGCGTCGTCCACGATGGCTGGTGTCTTAACAGGCCATGTCGAATCGAAGCACAGGAAATTTAGGGCCTAAAGTGTTGTTTGTTTCTTGTAGCTGGTCAGGTATATGTGCATAATCATTATGCTGCATGCATTTTACTGTAAATCCACCAATCGGGCCCGGAAGATAGTAATGAAGCACAACGGGACAATCGCAGAAAGGGGCCGGCATCTCATCGTCGGCAAACTCTTCATTCCAAGTGTACTGCAGGTCTCCGATTGCGCACGGGCACGGCACCCGATTGTCCGGGTCGATCCATTTCGTAGTGCGTAATCGTACTCGGTGGTTTACATGGAACATATCGGCAAGGGGGCGATCTCGATCGAGGTGACACAACAGAAAATACATAAAGCATAAAAACACAAGATAAGGAAATCAAACCGGGGGGAAAAACAAAAGAAAAAGAAAAGAAAAGAAAAAGACGGAAGACAGGGGTAAAAAGAGAGGGAGAAAGGGAAACCTTGATATCATACTGAGACTCAAGGGAATCCATTACAACGTCAACCCGAAGCCCCAGATCGGCACTTGAGGCTTGAGATATTTCCTTCTCAAACACACCACGAAAAGGGTGGATCACGCATTATTTCAGGATGGAGGTTAAGCCAAAGCCGTTTAAGGTCGTTATTGTTGGGGGATCAGTCGCGGGACTGACTCTTGCTCACTGTTTAAGTCGAGCAGGTATCGACTATGTGGTATTAGAGAAGCGAGGCGAAATTGCGCCGCAGGTGGGTGCCTCCATTGGGATTATGCCTCATGGTGCTCGGATCTTGGATCAATTAGGCTTGTTCGATTCCGTAGAGCAATTGATTGAACCATTGCACACGGCACACATCTTGTACCCGGATGGGTTTGAGCATACCAATCGATCGCCGGAGCTTCTTGAGAAACGGTATTTCAATCTTCCTTGTCCGCGATCGCCCTTAATAGCTGCTAAAAAGGATTTACTCATTAGATTCGGAATCCCACTTGCGTTTTTGGAGCGACAGAAACTACTCCAAGTCCTCTATGATTTCCTGCCAAACCAATCAAAGGTTCTTTCAAACAAAGCCGTTGTATCCGTATCTCATGAGAAGAATACACTGTGTGCAGTGCGCACACAAGATGGTGGCGTGTACGAAGGGGACTTGGTTGTGGGAGCAGACGGGGTTCACAGTCAAGTTCGCAGCCATATGTGGAATTCGCACTCTGGCCAGATCTCAAAAAAAGAGGAATCGGGTGAGTTGCCGTCCCAAAGGTGTCGATCAAAAACGCTAATAAGCACCTATCAATAGCCTTGACCACTGAATATGCCTGTGTGTTTGGAATATCAGAAGGTGTGTCCGGCTTGCGGGCTGGCGAACAGATCACCAGCTTGAATGACGGCCATTCTTTCCTCGTCTTCCCGGGAAAGAACAATCGTATCTTCTGGTTTCTTCTGTGGAAGCTTGACAAAGTGTATGAGTACCCTCATGCTCCTCGATTCTCGACATCCGATGCCGAAGAACTCTGCCGAAAGCATTTTGATGATCGGATCTGGAAAGATGTGCTGTTCAGGGATATCTGGCAGAAGCGAGTGGTCTTCTCTATGACAGGGTTGGAAGAGCATGTCTTTGAGACATGGCACTCTGATCGAGTCGTCTGTATTGGCGACAGTATGCACAAGGTATGTCATAAAGAGCAATCACCCGGTCAGGCACGATATCTGATCACATGTTGCAGATGGCACCAAACACTGGACAGGGCGCCAACTGTGCCATTGAAGATGCTGCAGTATTGGCCAATCTTCTCCACGATGCTCTCAAAACAGAGCCAGTTGATTCTCGTCTGTCAGATCAGAAGATGCGTGCGATCCTCCAGACGCTAAATGCTACCCGGCTGAATCGAGTGCGCGAGATCTACAAAGGAGCCAGGTTTGTCGTCCGTCTGCATGCACGACACAGCCTCTTCTTGCGGCTCCTCGGTCGGTATTATGTTCCCCATTCAGGAGATCTTCCCGCGGACACGGCTTCGAAGGTGATTGCAGGTAGCGGAGATCTGAAATTCCTGCCCCCTTCGCAACGTGTTGGGCCAGGCTGGGAGGAATTTCAGGCAAAGCGCCCCGTACCTATAATTTTCCTTGGTAGCTTAATCGTAGTCTCATTGGTGCTTTGCTCATTGGCATGGCAATGGAAGGGCGTGTTGTCGCGATGGCTATTCCGAATGTGAAGCTCGTGCATGGACTCAGAGTACTAGTACCAAGGTGAAAATGACAAGCCATGAGCGACTCTTTAGTCGCTTTCCATATAGAAACTCGTTTTTACCTCAATCATGTGATTCTCTGCCTCCAGGTGGCAAGCTCATTCCCTCTCGCTCTTATGCGCTTTCCCCTCTCTCGCTTGCCTCTCCATGGGGTCTCTTCGGGCGCGAGGCTACAACCTCCACAATCGCGCGAGAAAAAAAAAACTTGCAGCAGACGACAGGTGAGAGAAAGCAGCCACACGGGAATCTTGATGATCAAATGAGCGGTAGGCAAAGGCTATTGGAAAAGAGCATTACGATCAAAACAGAAAGATTCCTGAAAAAAAAAAACACCCCCATCACTCGAGAAGAAACTGAGATGTGCTTTAGATTCATGTTGACACACGTGACCTCCAGCCACGGCCTTCACCCGATCTACCAAAGCGAAGAGAGCATCAACAACCTGCATTCAGGGTGTTTGAATCTGGCATGAAGGGGAATGACAGCCCTGGAGGTTATTCTAAAAATTACCGCCCGAGTCATCGAACCGCCTCATAACTGATCACTCATGTTGATATCCAGCGCAATTTCTTCCTTTCGTCGGCGGATAGCGATCGGAGCCGATGAGTTGGCCAGAATAGCGTTACCAATATGCTCGACTCGAGGCTCTATGCCGTCCACAAGTTTCATATCGTACTTCAACAAAAGATGGGCGACAACAAATTTAATAGTTGTCTCCGCAAAAAACCTGCCCGGGCACGAGTGCTTTCCGAGTCCGAATCCCAGATAATCCGGAGTGGCTGAAACAAGATGAGCCTGGTTCCTGGTCTCTGCATGTTGACGGAGCCGATAGAATCGGTATCCGTCGAATTGATTCGCGTTTGGATACACATCCTCATCCCACATATTGTGGCACATGAGATTCACCAGAGTGCCCTTGGGGATCTTCAGTCCGTCGGAAAGCGTGATCGACTCCAGAGCACCGCGTGACATGGGAGCTAAAAGTTGAGCATTGAGGTTAGAGCTTCATAAGGAAATTGTCTCCGGCATTTTTCGCGATATTGACTTACCCATGGTTCCTGGTTTCATACGCAGGGTCTCTTTCATCACACTATCTAGGAGCTGGAGCTTATGGAACGAGGTTCTCTTCCAACCTTCAGCGCCAATGTTAGTGATGATCTCCTCTCGGAGACTAGGAATGAGCTCCGGATTGGCGCAGATATTGAAAACTGTCTGTGCCATAATTTCCTGAACGGCGTTGACGCTCGCGAGTACCCCCTTGAGCTGAAGCACAGCCATATCCTTGGCGCTGCTGTTTGAGAAAGCTTCCATGTCTTGTAACAGGTCAAGGTGCTCCTTTGGATCTTTGCCTTGGGAAACACTAGCCTCTCGATCAGCGCGTCGTTTATCGATCACTGTCTGTATCATTTTCGCTATACTGTCAAGCCTTTCGTGGAGCACGTGACACTGTGGAACAAATCTTGCTACCAGAGGCCGAATGAAGCCTGGAAACATGCGGACAGTAGCCCCCGCAGCAAAAATATCGCGAGTGTACTGCTCACAGCCCTCAAGCCAGTCTGGGTGGCGACAGAGCTCTTCCCCAGCAAATGCCCGACCAGAGACTTGCTTGCTGATAGCTCCTGCTGAATTGTACAGCTTGACCTCATGCCATTCTTTGGGTCTCGTCAGCAGCATACTGTGAAATCGAAATCGGGACTAAGAGCTTACCAGTACTGTCGGTCCAGTGCTTGCGAATCGCATCCTCGGCTTCGACCACGAGAGGGGCCAATAATTTTCCTGTTTTTCCGACATCAGTGTCCGAATCTGATATCCAGTATGAGAAATTCACCTAGCATCGGCGTCAAGCGGTTTTGAATCATATCATGGAAGAACTTCATCTCCACGGAGTCGATTCGCACGCCTTCAAACCCGTAAAGATGTCCGTTCAGCATCTATCATTCTTGAATCAGTCATTTGGTACATTATAGACGGTTTTAGAAGCACCATCTCACCTCAGCGTTATACATATCAGGGCTCAGTCTGGGGTCATTGCGAATCTCGTTTGCATATTTTGGAGACAAAGCCAGATGGATGCCATAATCGGTCATCACATAGAATGCGTTTCCATGCTATAAAAAAGAACTTTGGTGCTTAGCATCATTGACCGTAGGTGTCAATATGTGAGTATTTCTTATTATTTCATACCTTGGCGAAACCCTCTGCCATGATCCCTTTGCCATTTTCCTTGAATCTTATCATTGCATTTGTCCAGAGAATTTCAAAGCCCTTCCGATTGTTCACAAAAGAGTGGCTGAGCCATAGCCATGGAGAGAGGCTGTAAAACAGATACAAGACGCCAAAAATAGGTATAAGCTGGACTGCCCAAGAGCTAGTCAGCCTATCGTCAGAAACAAGGCGTTCCATGCTCTCAGCTCAAGTGGTAATTCGTATAGCCAAGGTCAATGCCGGGATTGCTACTAATGTAGAGTTCCGGTCGCCGAGGTGCCGTCTTATAGGATTAGTCACAACTGCAGTAGCATGTGTGCAGATCTAGAGAGTGGATTCACTCCGAGAGAGCTTTGGATACCGGTATTACAGATTGCTTTTTCTTCAGTTTCGCTTTCGTCATATCACATCTGTACGATGTCGGCATCATATTGCATGTACATGCAAGGCGTAATGAGATGCAAGCTAACGCAACAATATAAAATACTACAACAGGTATATTGTTCTATTGAAAAATAAGGGATCGGAAATGGTCAATTCGCGTTCAGATCGACACTTTTGTCCACTTTGCCTCAGCTGAGCTGAACCTTACACGTACGTTGATTGGCATTGTATATGCAGATCCTTTTGTCGGAATTGTTCCTAAGTGCTCGATGGAGAGAGGATTCATGATAGGCCTGAGTCATGTTCGGTTATTGGATTGGAAATAGAATAAATCAGCGGTCTGGAAAGGCTGCCCTGCACTTCTACTTTCATCGACAGCACGTGTCAGACGACATATGTATGATTGCGTGCGACCTATCCCTGGCGGGTGGCATGTCGGGTTGGAGTAACCTCCGGGGTTGCTATAATCCATCTCGGGTCCTCAAAGCCACCGTTTTTGGGGAAATTCAACTGATATCATTCCAACTTGGATTCCATAGAGCTTTTTCTCCTGCTTTGTCTCCTTGATCTTTGACTTTTCCATCATGTCTGCTGCAACGGATTCAATTGACATCGGCCACCAGCTGAAGCCAGATTTCGGGCCTCTCAATTCATTCCTACCAGATGAGTCCCTGCCTCAGGCTGTGGCCATCCAAGCACCCGAGTCCAAGGCCGATATTGAGTCTGAGGTACCTGCCAGCGAGGAGAATGAGGAAAGCAAACGGGAGAAGAAAGAACAACTGAGAGTATGAGAGTGCATTCAACGGAATAAATATTGAGCTAACTAAAGAAACTGGTCGTGCTTGCACCACTAGATTACCTTGCGAGTCTACCGGGCAAGGGTTTTCGCGGGGAGCTGATGTCTACTTTCAATCAGTGGTTCAAGATTCCCGATGAGAAGCTGGAGATTATTAAGAACATAGTGGGTTTGCTTCACACGGCCTCGCTTCTGTGAGTGTCTCGGGGGATTCTCTATCGGTCCCATCATCACCTCTTCTGCAACATGAAACTCACCAATTTTCAGCATCGATGATATTCAGGACTCATCCAAACTTCGACGTGGTTTCCCAGTCGCACACAGTATCTTTGGTGTTGCGCAGACCATCAATTCTGCGAATTATGCCTATTTTCAGGCACAACACGATCTTCTCAAGCTGGGCAAGCCGGAATCGTTCCAGGCTTACACCGAAGAACTCCTCAGCCTCCACCACGGTCAAGGCATGGATTTGCACTGGAGAGACTCCCTTGTCTGTCCCACAGAAGGGCAATACCTTGACATGGTGTCGAACAAGACAGGTGGCCTTTTCCGCTTGGCGATCAGGCTGATCCAGCTCGAGAGCGAGAGTGATCTGTGAGTGAGATCTAAATAGATTCTTTTGGAGCTCCAAAGAATCTCTCCTACAATATGGGCAGCTTGCTAATCCAAGACCTTCAGAGACTGTGTGCCGTTGGTCGATCTGCTGGGAGTCATCTTCCAAATTCGGGATGACTACCAAAACCTCCAGAGTACCTTGTATGCCGAGAACAAAGGATTTGGAGAAGATATCACAGAGGGAAAATTCTCCTATCCGATCATTCACAGCATCTCCAGCACCCCGAATAATCCACAGTTGCTGAATATCCTCAGACAAAAGACAGAGGACGACAACGTCAAGAAGTATGCTATCAGTATCATTGAGTCAACGGGCAGTTTGGCATACTGCCGAGAGAAAATTACGAAGTTAGTGGCAGAAGCTAGGGACCTTCTGCAAGCCATGCCAATCGAGGAGGAGAACATGAAGGGTGTGCAACAGATTCTAGGCTTTTTGGACTTGTCCAAATCATCTTGAACTGAATAGAATCATCGTTCTCTCTATCTACAATTGAATTTCTTTTCGGGCAATCTGGTTCCTTGTTCATGTTCATCATCTGGGCTATTTAGTACAGAGGACTCTGTATTCTGTTGCAAGCTTCCGGAACAAGAGTGAGCAAGATCTATTTTCAAGGCTACGAGATATTCAATTTTCATAGTCTTGGTAGTCACAAACCTTTCCAAGGCTTCGTGGTTGCATATAGTCATCTCCGTATAGATCTAGCTTTCTCTCTGCCTCTCCCCTCTCGCCGTAGTGAGCTTTTCCGCAAGCCAATTCCCAACCAGGGGCCATAACATAGCGATGCAATCGAGAAGCTAAAGAGCACTCCGTGTGCATACGCTCAGTTGCGAGTAAGGGAACCTTGAAGCTAACGTACAATAATGCCGACGAATGAAACATACATCACACAAATGTCGACGTCTGCTAAGGTTCACAAGATCAAAGCGTAGGGTGGCCTTACCGGAAGGAATCGGACAGAATCAGCTCGGTGGTGCTAAAACTGCAGCTTCTCCGAGTTACAAGGTTCCAGCGTACCCTTCGTGCATAGATGACGCAATTTCGATGAGATATTCTTGTCGCCAGAAGTCGAGATTAGAGATTTTACACACTGTAAGGCATAGTCATGGAGTAGTGGAGAGGTTAGTGAGATGTGAGTGGTACGTCACAGACAGAAAAGAAAGGAAAAGAAGGGAAAAGAAAGGAAAAGATGCATACGAGTTTAGAGGTCTCACCTGTGAGGGATCGTCCTCGGGTGCCCTTAGGCCCGCCAAGCCTGATCTTCAGGCATCCTCGCACCAACCACCCGAGAAATTTTGGGGTCTTATTTTGGGTTTGAAATATGGGAACGAGCGATATCATGCAGATTCCACCAACGCCGAAGCTTCAAGCATCGGCCACTAAAGCTGTGGCAGCAGGATCATATACGCTAACGATACAACGCATGAGATATCGTCGCACTTTGGAAGAAACCACGCCGATTATCTTGTGGTATTTGTCACATCCAGATATGGTGTTCTACGTATACATCCAACGGGTGATTGAGGGAATATTTCAAGCTTATGATCAGCGAGTCTCATCTCTTCAGGCTATCATGACATACATGCGAGATTGCAGACGCACCATTTGTATTAAGTTTGTACTAACGGATCACGGAGTACAAACTAGCGACTTTCAGCGGTGCAAGATTCCCAAAATAGATCGATCGTATTTGCTCATTTCTTCGCTGCCGGTAGACGCTGCCTGCATGTGCCCAAATATACGCGTTGGGGCTCTACCTGCCGAAGGCCTCGAGTTTTTCTGAGCCTTGGAACATTTCCGAAGAGCCCTTTACACTTGGGCATAAAAATAATTCGATATATTTTCACAGCCGCTGCAGCTTTTCAAGTCCTAGGTTCTAGTATCTCTGAGTTTCAAATTTCTCCTATTGTCAAACAAGTTTTCTCTCAAAGTTGAAGAACCGCGACGAAGAAACCATGGCCGGAAAAAATGACAGCCCCAGCCTGGATTCGAGCCAGAAACCAAAGCCATATCTGGCTACAGATCTCATAGTCTTGTCTCGGTTCCATCTGTATAACGGCTGGCTCGCCACCTTCTGCGGAGGTAAGTTGTGTGCAATCTTGCAAACCCCATGGTTTGCGATAAATCCTTCGGCTTCTGACTGACTGAAATACAGTGTGGGCTACGTTGCTTGCTGGTGCGAAGAAACTTGCCGATGATTCAGACCTGACACCTCTCGATGATGTTCTTTACCAAGCCCTTTATGTGTTCATTTCGGGATACATTTTCTGTGGCGCGGGAATGGTTTGGAATGATCTCATCGACTCTGCCATTGATCGAGAAGTTGCCCGGACTAAGAATCGACCTTTGGCGGCAGGCAGAGTTACGACAACCCAGGCTATTGTTTGGATGACTGTTCAGTATATCTTTTCATGGTGGCTACTCAATAGAACCCTCGGTGGGCTCAATGTGTAAGTCGCTGGCTCTTGTCCCTTCGAGGTCCGAGGTCCCACAAAGTGAATTAAGCTAATATTCATGCTATGATAAAAGGCCGCATGCAATGGTTCCAGTTACCATCAGTACTCTTTTGTATCCTTTTGGGAAACGCCAGTTTTTCCACAAAGTTTACATCTATCCCCAATACTTTCTTGGATTCACGTTGGCGTACCCCAGTGTCATCGGCCAAATGGCCATCAGTGGGCACCATCAATCATTCGAGGATTCCGTGATCAAAGCGCTACCGTTGGCAATTGCGGTATTTACTTGGACCCTCTATTTGAACACGGCATACAGCTATCAAGATAAGGTCGGGGATGAAAAGATGAACGTCAACTCAGTCTACGTCGCCGCGGGCTCGCACATTCATTCATTCCTGGTTTTGCTGGCCGGTTTTGCGTTGAGTGCAACCATCTTCCTGCTTCGAGCTCAAGGCTCGATTTGGCTGTGGGGCTCCTGGATGTGCGTGTGGACACAGTCATTTGCCAGCCAGCTCATCAGATTCGATGCAAAGAGACCGGAATCTGGAGGCCCGATACATAAGGAGAACTTTGTGTTGGGAGTGTGGACAATCATTGCTTGTGCGATCGAAGTGGTGATTAGTTCCTAAGGTCTTCGGCTGGGGACAATGCACTGGGGACAATGCATCTTCGGCAGTTTCAGTTACATTGTACCGTGAAGAGCTGCCATCCCCCTCTCCTCAGCTCTCTTGCATAATCTGGAGAAACAATGTTACAATCAAAGAGGACGCCTGAGCTGCATTTTTGATTCCAGCTCTCAAGCGAAGCTCTTTAGCCTAGCCAAATCCTCGTGTTACATCCACAATTTACATTAGCTACTTCTCATGATAAGACGTCTCTCTGTGACTCGGCGCTAATCCAGGTCGCACAGAAAGGCGGAAGCATGCTATCTTATGGCCCTCGGTGGTGGTGTTCGGGTGATCAGCCCGAGTGGTGGCCTAAACAGCTCTTTTCCTCTTTTTCTTAGCTCAATTCATGAACTTCCTGAGATCCTCAGTCTGCTATTCCGTGCTGTAATTCCGTCACAGCTGTACACGCATACGCAAAGGTGTAATCGCATGCCTTGATAGTGGCTTCAACCTCACCTGAGGTGGCTGCCAGACCGAGGTACTCCACCTCAATGCATATATCCTTGCTTTCAATAGTTCTTCCTATCTGCGTCCAAGTCAGCACGGCTCAGTGTCCGTGCTATCTTGGTAATTTGATCGATCTGATCTGAATCGTACCCGCTGCGGACAAGAATTTATACAACGCATGCAAGAAAATGCATGCAGGTTGGCGACTAGCGCGGTGTATTGTATGGTATTCATCCTAATTAGGCACTACTGCCAATGTTTACCACCCCCAAGTTTAGCGATCACATGACCCCATCCGGGCGAGACTTGGGGGGTTAAATGAACTTTCTTACTTCTTTCGGTATCCTTCAAGGGTTTTAGGGCTACTTAGTCATAAAAGAAATCCATTTAAATTCTGTGTAATATGGGGGTAAAATTACTAAATTGAATACTAGCGGTAAGTGGCGCTTGCATGCGGGTCGTACAAATTCTTGTCGGGGTATAGCACACCTACGAGACTTTCCCAGCACTGCAATGAGAGTACCTTGTAAAGGACACACCGCTGGATTCCTACTCGTGGCCCCTCAAACCCCTTGCAAGAGACTAGAGGCCACACTGCAGGTGTATCTTACCTTCCACAAGCCGAGAAAATGACCAGTCTTCTACCCATTCCGTACACCGCTATCAGGTTCGATGGAAGCATGATGTCTCACGGACGAGATACCGGCACATTGGCAGCAAAAGGTTTCGGCCTTAGATCTCTCCAGGGCTCCACATTCATGCAGCAATATATCTGCGCTTCAGCTGTAGACATATTGCGCCACCCATTACAGGCCATGAGATAGTCTGCACGAGCCTGAAGTGATCGAAGTCGATCACGACTTGCGTTATAAACCTTGGAAGTACTAGTGCGAAGTAGCTGAGAGTCTAAAAGCCATTTGTGCAGTGCTGGTCAGCTTCAGTCCAAAAAGAGAGAAAGTCACCAGTCCATCCAGTCAAAATTGTTCACTATAACAACCTCTTACAATGGCGGCTCCTTCATCAAGCCCTGTATTACCATCTATTGTGATTTGTGGCTCGCAGACCATTCCTCCCCGTTCTCAATTCCTCGAAGAGCTTGGCCACCAGCTGCGTGGCGATCCCGAGATCCTAGGCTTGAAACTTGCAATCATCGGCCTTCCCGATCTGTGCACTCGGCTGATTCAAGAACTTCCTGTTCTGCAAGTCAATGAAGCTAGATACGAGAGCCATTTGAGATCTCTTGCACGATGGATTACCGAAGATGATTATGAGTTGGTCATTCCAGAGAACCTTCCAAATGTGATTCTGGCCCCTCTTACTGTTATCATTCATATTGTTCAATATTTCCGCCACCTCGATGTTGTTTGCACAGATGACTATGGGGATTCACACACCTTGATTGTACAGTCGGTGCAACGTGGCGGGTTCCAGGGGCTTTGCTCCGGGTTTTTGACTGCTGCAGCCTTGACATCTTCCGCCAATAAAGCCGAACTCATTGCAAATGCATCAACCGCTATCCGTTTGGCTTTCTGTATCGCCGCATATATTGACTTGGGCGAAACCACAAGCCTGAGTCCGGATGGGACGAGATGTCTGATTGTAGAGCGAGGAATGGAGTTAGGCGAGACGGAAGCAAACTGTGAAATCGACACAATTATAGGCTCTTTTCCGCAGGTATGTGAGAATAACGACAGGAATTCAGCTGGGACTAACGATTTCCTAGGCATATATCTCTGTGGAGCTGAATGAGAGAAGCTTGACCATCACTGTGCCGGCTAGTGATGTTGCGCCACTGCGGAAAGCTCTCACCGACAAAGGAGCCAGGACAACTCTTATACCCATTCGTGGCCGATACCACACGGAAAACCATTCAAGGTCACTGCAGGAATTGATGGTGTTTTGCGAGACTAAAACTTCCCTGCAATTTTCGCGGCAAGATAAACCACTGGCTCCACTGCGATATAACACAAGTGGAACAATCGTAACCGGCGAGGAACCGCTACATGAAACCTGCCTGCGATGTCTGCTGACAGAGCGGGCAAACTGGCACGCCGTGATGAGCCAGTCGGAATCAAATCTGCTCGCTTGCAAGCTAGAAAGCCCTTCTTTCCTGGAACTGGGGATTTCTGGGAGTCTAGCAAGAGGGCTGGGCGGAGTCACAAACCTGACGAGTATCCCCCACAGCTCAGTAAATACAACGACCGAGGACCCTCAGATCTTTGACTACCCCGAGCACTCTATCGCAGTAATAGGAGCAGCGGGTCGATTCGCGGGTGCCGATTCACTTGACCAGCTGTGGGAGATCATCAGGACCGGGAGATCTGAAGAGGGTCCTGCGCCAGATTCTCGGTCCACAACAACGAACAACGGTTCCCTTGCAAACTATATGACAAGTGTTTCAAAATTCGACCATGAATTCTTTGGTATTTCACCTCGAGAAGCGCAGTACATGGACCCTCAGCAGAGAATCGCACTGCAAGTTGCATACCAGACTGTCCACTCTTCCAACAACTTCGCAAAATCCGAACAACCGCCAGACGCGAACATTGGATGCTATGTGGGCGTTGCAGGGTCAGACTATGAGCATAACGTCGCATCTCACAAGCCCACCGCGTTTTCCTATACAGGAACATCACGCGCCTTTGTCGCAGGGCGGATCAGTCACCATTTTGCGTGGGAGGGGCCTGCGATGACAGTTGACACGGCATGTTCCTCTTCTGCGGTGGCAATACACCAAGCATGCAAGGACATCAATCTGGGCGAGTGCAAGATGGCGCTTGCTGGCGGAGTGAATGTCATATCGAGCCCTGTCATCAACGATTTCCTGCACGCAGCGCGATTTCTGGACCCAACGGGGCCCTGTCGCTCATTTCAAGAAGGCGCGAAAGGGTACTGCCGGGGTGAGGGCTGCGGATTTGTATTGCTGAAGAAACTTTCCGCAGCCATGGCCGATGGCGATGAGATCATGGGAGTAATTGCAGGGTCCGGCAGCAACCAATGTGACCCAGCCAGCTCAATCACGGTGCCTTCATCCGCTGCTCAGATGAAACTGCAGAGGAAAGTGCTGTCACAAGCCGGGATGAGTCCTACGACAGTCTCATATGTTGAGGCTCACGGAACGGGCACGGCGAAAGGAGATCCGATAGAGTGCCAAAGTATTCGAAAAGTCTTCGGTCGTAGTAGTGATGACCCAAAGCTGGCTTTGGGCACTGTGAAGGCTAATATCGGACACACGGAAGCTGCATCTGGGGTCGCAGCACTCTTAAAAGTGCTCCTCATGCTGCAACATAAAGCAATACCGCCACAGCCCAAATTTTCAGGGCTCAACAAGAACATTGCACCGCTATGTTTGGACAACATCGATATTCCCGTGCAAGAAAGGGTCTGGGATGCCAAGTTTCGCGCAGCTTGCGTGAACAACTACGGCGCCTCTGGAAGCAACGCAGTGCTCCTTCTTTGTGAAAGCCCAAAGAGGCCAGTCCAGCATGGCCATGGGAATACAGTGAAGAGACATCCATTGCTTATCTCCTCGCACTCTACCAGAGCCCTGCATGAATATTGCAAAGGCCTAGAGACCTTCTTGGCAAACAGCCAGTTGGCTGCGTCGGATCTTGCATTTGGGCTTTCACGCAGACAGGACCGGGCTTTGAGTCACAAAGCTGCTTTCAAGTTCGATTCTGTTGGGGAGCTACGCGAGCAGCTGTCGAGATATATCCTGGGGCCACATATACCCAAGCAACGGCAGAGGCCCGTGGTTCTTGTATTTGCCGGACAGTCGAGAGACACGGTGCGGTTCAGCAAGGCGGCGTATGAGGGATCAAGCCTGCTCAGATATCACTTGAACCAATGTGATGAGCTACTGCGCAGTCTAGGACGCAGAAGCATGCTCCCTGAGATCTTCTCGTCGGAGCCAATCGAAGACATTGTCCTCCTCCACTCAATCATCTTCTCCCTCCAGTATTCCTGCGCTGCGGCATGGCTGGACAGTGGCCTCCCGGTGGAGCGCGTGATTGGTCAAAGCATCGGACAGCTCACTGCGATGTGTATCGCGGGTGTTGTGACCCTATCGGACGCGTTGAAACTGATCGTCGGTCGGGCCTCGCTTATCCAGAATAAGTGGGGACCTGAGAAGGGAAGCATGCTAGCAGTCGACATCGACAGGCAAGGTGCAAAAGCTTTGGCTGCAGCACATGATGTCGAAATTGCTTGCTTCAATGGACCCTCGCGTCATGTTTTGGTCGGAACCGAGGCCGCTATTCAAGACGTCGAGGCAAGCACGGGATGCAGAGTGCAGCGCGTCAGAACCACAAACGGGTATCATTCAGCCCTCATGGACTGCCTGATGGACGACTATTTGCAGCTTGCTCAAAGTATCACGTACGCATCGCCTCGGATACCGATTGAGACGTGCTCAGAAGGAAGCGGCTGGTCGAAATTCACGCCAGAGCTGGTGGCACAACACTCGCGGGGCCCAGTCTTCGTGTGGGACGCGATTGAGCGTATTGAAAGGGACCTGGGAGAATGCGTATGGATTGAAGGGGGGTCTTTCTCATCAGGTGTCTCGCTTGTGAAGTCCGCGCTTGACGCCGCGTCCCGCGCCGGCCACTCTTTCCACGGGGCGCAGTTGGGCAACTCCAACCCGCTCGATCATCTTGCTGATATGACGGTGAAGCTTTGGGACGAGGGAATTAATGTTTCGTTCTGGCTGTATCACCATTCGGAGAGGCATCGCTACTCCCCTCTTGCTTTGCCTGGGTATCAGTTTGATGAGACAGACCATTGGGTTTCTTACTTGGACAAAGGAACATCGAAGTCGGCTCATGGCCTTGTCGAGCAGCCTTTGATCTCCCTTGCTCAACATCCTGCTCGAAGTTCTGCAAGATTTGAATTCGTGATCAACCAGTGCCACGCGCAGTACGTTGAGATGCTGCAGAGCCGGCAAGTGCTTGGAGAGCGACTCTTCCCTGTGGCTTTCTACCTCGAGCTCGCCTCTCAAGCTGTGCTCCAGCTTTCTTTCGCAGGAATCCCACTAGCCAACTCTTTGCAGTGGCAGAATATCCGTCTTCATGCTCCATTAGGCTGCAGGATCCCGGAAGGTCTCCATCTCCGGTTTGAGAAGAGCTTCTCAGATGGTTGGGAGTTTGGGATTTTCAGCTCCGAAGGCTCAGAAGAAACGACGCACTGTACTGCAAGCCTCAGCAGCCCGAATGTCGCATATGCCATGTCAAAGGCAGCACAATATTCTTGTTTTGAAGATGTGTTGTCCAATCCAGAGGCCGCAGCTGTGCAGGGTCACCTCGTCTACAAGCTGCTCGGTCAGGTTGCCGAATATAATATCGACTTCCGCGGTATCAAGTCTCTTGCTATTGCCGGACTGGAGGCTGCGGCTGTTGTCGAGGTTCCACTTGCTGCGCGAAACCGTCCCCGGCCTTTGGGCTGCCATCCAGCTCACATAGATCAATTTTTCCTTGTTGCTGAGATTCATGCGCTGGCTCTGGAGTCATGTGGTCCATCGGACGCCTACCTGTGTCGTGAGGTTGGTATGGTGTCAGAGTATCTACACACCGTCGTCACCCAGGGGTCATGGAAAGTATATACACGCTGTACAAGAAAGTGCGACTCCGAGTTGGTTTGCGACACCTTCATCTTCGATATGAATGAGTCTCTTGTCATGACTATCAGCAATGCTATCTACGTGAAGGTGCCATTGTCCACCCTGAGATCTATCTTCGATCGCGCCAAGGGTATCATCACCCCTGAGCCGACCGATGAAGATAAATGCGATGATAACTCCACTGATGAAGGACCGGATCTCTATGAAGCCACTGCTGAGTTGATATATGAGACGACTGGCATACCACCTGAGCGACTTTCCAGTTTGACATCGATTACAGCGGCCGGGGTAGACTCGCTTGCCGTCACAGAGCTCGAGAGCAGGATTCGTGAGGTCTTCAATGTCGAAATTCGAGTTGATCTGAGCGATTCCGAGTACACTTTTGGTCAGCTTTGTGGCGAGATTCAGTCCTGCAGAGTAAAGTGTAACGATATTGCGATTCAATTCACTCCGACATCGGGTACCTCATCATCCTCATATGAGCGGCAAATACCTCACGACACATTCACCGCTTTGATACCGATCCTCGGGCAGTATCTCAGCACAGCGAGTACATTGCATGCCGAGAGCGAGCTGAAAAGCATGGGTCTGGACTCATTGGTCTCAATTGAGCTTGAAGCCAGCCTTCATGAGGCATTCGGGGTCAGAATTGACCTGATGGGCCAGTCAGACTCGTTAACTGTGGGCGATCTAGCGGCACTGCTACTGCCTTCGGGAGAAGAAAACTCCGCAAGTGTAGCAAGCAGAGGTGGGCTAAGTGGTCCCTTCCTGGGCAACCAAGCTGTCGAGCTATTTGGCCATGTTCGCCACGAAGTCGGGTCCTGTGCCCGGTTATCCGGATTCGAAGGCTTCTACGAGACAGTATATCCCAGACAGACAGAGCTCGTCCTAACTTATGTCATTGAGGCACTTTCCGCGCTCGGATGCAACTTGCAAAGCCTTGAAGCCGGTCAAGAGGTGCCTGCGATAGAACACATGCCGCGGCACAGCAAGGTTGTCTCTCACTTCTGGAAGTTCGCCGAGGAATCGGGCCTAGTGGTCAGGTCTGCTGCCGGCTTCCTACGAACGTCCAAAACAGTTCATCTCTCACCATCATCTACCTTATACCCTGAAATGCTTCGCGATTTCCCACAGTATAAAGCTGAGACCCAGCTCCTCAGCTGCACTGGGCCGAGACTTGCAGACTGCCTATCGGGTCAAGCCGACCCTCTACATCTTCTCTTCGGAAGCCCCCAAGGAGTCCAGCTGATGCAAGACGTCTACAAAAACACTCCAATGTTCAAGATGGGTACGCTGATGCTGGGTCGTTTCCTCACCCAGATTCTCCCGCACGCAGGCCAGAGCAGGGTACCCATAACCTTGTTGGAAATCGGTGCTGGAACAGGTGGGACGACAGAGTACATCCTCGAGCAGCTGACCGCATGCGGCATTCCATTCCAGTATACATTCACGGACATCTCACCGGCGTTGGTGGCCCGTGCTCGGAAAACATTCGCCAAATACCCGAACATCGAATACACAACTCTTGACATTGAGAACCTCCCCGACACGGCAAATCAAACATACGACGTTATCATATCTTCCAACTGTATACACGCGACCAAGGACCTGACACAGTCCTGTCACAACTGCTATAAGCTTCTGAATGCCGGTGGTATCGTGTGTCTTCTCGAGCTTACCCGAGACCTCTGGTGGTTGGATTGTGTCTTTGGTCTATTGGAAGGATGGTGGCTGTTTGACGATAAACGGGAACATGTTCTTGCGAGTGAGAGCTTCTGGAAGGAGACTCTTCTCGCCGCTGGATTTGGACACGTCGACTGGTCAAATGATAGTAGTAGAGAGTCTGATGCTTTCAGACTGATTGTTGCACAGAAGGATTAGTACATCAACTGAACATTAAGTTTACTGTGGTTTAAGACTTTTCCTAGGTCAGATACCTCTGTGTTCTCCTTAAAACCCGAGCTAGCCCCTTCATACGGCTATCATGGTGTACGAACCTACTAGGACGAATGCGATGGCGGTCTGACGAAGCAGACACAACGATGGGGAGACCATGACCCTAAGGACTACTTAGGGAGAGGATTTTGGGAGGTATAACGGCTGAAAAGACCGGTTGTCTCTCTCGATTCTTATAACCGCACAGGATTAGACTTCCTCACCAGCCCAGAAAGCCCAGGCCTGGGCCCAGTAATGAGCTGTTGGCTCAGGGTCGAAGCCCAGGCTCTTACGAGGGCCTAGATCTGGCACTTACCCGCGGGTGAGCCTGAAGAACCTAACCTGAACCTCCATTTGGGCGGGTCAGGTTCTGGGATTTAGAACCTGAGGGCGGTTCCATCCGAGGACCGAACCTCATCAGGTTACCCGCGGGTGAACCTCAGGTTAAATAAACATGACAAATAAGTAAAAAACGTGACTCGGGGTCAGTTACATAAATTATGTAGAAACATGCTGTATTCCATTGGTACCAGGGATCTCGGTGGCCTAAGGCCACCAGAAAGTCATGCGGATCGTAGCGAAGTGTGCCAAGTCACGTGATCTGCCCCAAAAGGGGGGTGGAGGCATATTGGTCCAAGCAAATTTTTTTTTTTCTGTAAGTCGAGGTATTCTGCCGTTTCTCAGCGATGACAATTTCACCGCATTGAATGGGCAGAATTCCTATGGATTTTGAGCCCACCACCAAAAGTGTGGTCACGTGACGCGCGCAGGAAAAGAGGATTCTAGGTATAATGCTTCACTTCGCTCCGCAATTAGGCCTGTTTACTTGTCACATATCTTTTTAATTCAATTCTAAGTATAGATTGAGGAAAGAGTTAATTGTACACATATTGATTTGAAGTAAGGCCGGATCTGGTCAATAGGTATTGAGAAATCGCGGAAAAGTCTCGAGTGATGTTTTGATGTCGAACCTCCAAGGCTTGGCATGAATAGTTATATATTTTAACCAGCGTCGTGTGGACTAGAGATGAGAAGGAACTTCCCAAGCTTTTCCCGCATCCAATGGATAAGAAAACTGTATGTTCGCTGTAACGTAGAGGATTTAGTCGTATTTCTGTTTTTATCGACACGCTGCCCATGTTTTGCCGTTATGTTGTCTAGTTGGTGCAGGAAAATCAACAATAATGAAGCGAATGCGCATTAATCACCCGGATGGACCTACGTGAACATTATCACTGCCTTACAGATATTGCTGAATATAATGAGTACCGAGAGCGAACATTGGCTTCGACATCGAGACTCGGGATTATCAAGGTAATCCTCACGGTCCTACGTTCGTCACATTTTGTTCAACGGACTATTTTTTTGGCTCAACAGCTTCCATACCTAGCAGCGGCGCCCACAGCGTCGGCTGCTCGCATTTATCCGAATTCTGCTTTGATTCATGACTCCACGGATGGGCTCTACTTAATAAGTCCACTGGTACTAGAAGGACTCAGGTAATGATCACCCTAAGACACACAGGTTCTCGCGTAGGCTTTTCACTGGTGTTTTCAGCCAGAAACTCTCATAAAATTGGCCAGTGCTTTGAGGTGCCGTGGCAAGTGGTCAATCTGTACGGGGTAGCCGAAGTGACATATGTAAAAATGCAATAGAGTATCATATCACCCCCATCAGCCCCACTTCAACTCGCTATGACATAGAATACGATCTATCACATGGTTATGCCTTAGATCAACTGGAGACCATGACCAATGATACTTCCTAGTGTCTACACAGCTGCGCTCTATGCTACAGACTGCCGTGGATATTGTCAGTTAGTACATCACCACGTAACGTAGAGGCTGTTGTGTTACGAGACAGGTTCGAGTGCTTTATTGATTCCATCTACTTCTCCCTCGCTCTTGTGCAATGCAAGACGTCATTTCAGAGACGATCTTCTCAGCTACTTCGTACAACGCCCATCCCTCTCCATATGCAGTTTTGTTATACAAGCCACCGACATGAATTTCTACCACTGTAAAAGGTCTGTGCCAAATGATCACATCGATTGCAAGTCAGGTTTTCAGCTGAGTGCAGGGTTTTACGCAATCAAAGACGTTTCCTGCAAAGATGATGCCATCAAATTGAATTACGCGAGGTCATCCAAACCAATTACAGTCAAAACCTCGTAGTCTAGACAACCATAGATTCGCAATAATGCAGCTTGAGAGATTTTTCATTAGTGACCGCTTCATGCGCCGAGAATACTGATGCAATTACACACTCCTCACACGTGTACACACTGGAGAAGGTGAATGCTGAAGAAACCTATAAATTCTGCCATTTCTCTCTACGAACCTAAGATCTCCAGACATCCAAACAATCAAGTTCATTATCATTTAATCCTTTCACAAACACACCAATCTCAAGCAAGCCAAAATGGTCGACGCAGCCATTGTCCATGGAGAGAACCAACAAGGATACTTCTTCTCCGGCAGACGTTACGCTCGGATCAAGTGGACTTCGTACGGCAGCGACGAGGAGATAACCTTCGGTCCAAAGCAAATCAAGGACTACTGGCCCGCGACAACCAAAGCCGGGTTCGGCAGAATTGATGGTGCGGTTAACGTCTCCGGCACCAAAGACGAGTTCTACTTCTTCTTTGGCGCCCGCGTTATCCGTATCAAGTTCAGCCCAGGAGGGGAAGATACCCTCCTCGAGGGACCCCTCAAGATTACCGACAAATGGAAGAGTCTTGCTTCTACACCTTTTGATACAATCGACGCCGCGATCAATGTTCCAGGCACTGCGACTGAAACGTACCTCTTCTCTGGAACACAGTCCGTCCGGATCGATCTTGCCAACGACAAGATTAAATACGGCCCTTACACGATTGCTTCCCAGTGGCCAGGTCTCACGGGCGCTGGCTTTGATTCGATCGATGCGGCTATTCCTGTTCCCAACGCCAAGGTGGACGGTGAGCATTACGTCTTCAAAGGGTCTCAATATGTGAGAACCCAGGTTATTGCTGGCGCCGCCGACAAGTTGACCTGGGGCCCGCACCCAATTGCCGATTATTGGAAATCCCTTGATTGGTCTTGAATGATAGGGCCAAGTTGCAGGAGCTGGCAAACTTCGACAAACTTCGACCAATAGTCATTCATTATCAGCCAGCTACCATCCTGAATGAATCTGAATTCACGATATGCCATTGCAAATTGTTCTCTAGTAAATATAAGTAACACCCATGGGGCTAAAGATAGTACTTCTTGTCTGTTCAGTCACAGGATTCTATCTCCGTAGTCTCTATCTCGGCCCACGCAAACAATGCAACTGTAGTATTTCAAGGGAAGCGGGCAGTACCATAGTTTTGAGTTCAAACTTCACTTGATAGGTGCCGAAACCTTGAAAAGAGCACAGACGGAGTAATCTGAGTGGATCGGCTCGGGCCGATCCAGATCGATCTCAGCCACCCAACCTTGGATGGCTCAGTGGATAGAAAGGCGGTGTAGTATATAAGGTTTGACCAATAAAACATGACATCACTTGTGTAACCTGTGCCCTGGAGGCAAGGGCGGTGGAGATGTACATATGTGATGGCACTGCATGAAATACGGGACCTCGGGAGCTGTCTCCACTGACATGAGTCACTCCCAGGGCCTTGTGTAACCGTGGCCATGACCTCGGAAAGTTGAGCTCGACGCTCCACCTATGTACCCCGTACCGTGGCAACCTCTATGGCCATTTATGTATATCAGAGACGCGGACTACATAATATGCTAGTCTAGATATTGATATCGCGTGAGCAATCAATTCTAGAATGAATGAGGTTTTAAATTTAGGACCATCGACCTAGGAACCCTGAGACGCGACTCCTTTTTTTTGTGGTTGAATGAGCGAGGTACATATCTTCCAATACCCACTTTCCAAGAAGAACGTAGAGAAGCCCAGAGAGCATGTAGATCTTAGCTGAAACAAAGAATCAATGACAGTATGTATACTGTACATATGAAGAACTCTAAAACTAACCCCTCATCTGACTTCTCAACAGATTAACAGGCCGACGCGAAGCTGCATCACACGGCAGCAAAGATCGCTGATGAATACCTGCATACGACGATTCCAGTATTCTCTTTTTGGGGACCTTTCCGGCTCAGGGGTGTGGAAGGCTCACTATGGAGATGATTTTAATTCATATTAGAAGGGAATATATCAGGTGCAGAATCGGGTGTCATTAACTGTAGAATCAACTATTTACTACTTTCCAAGGTTTACTAAATGAGGTTTACATAATAGTACGGGTGGTGAAGATTCTTTGTGTATACTGTACTGTAATCTTTGGTTCCAAGGTTGGGCCCTCGGGCCTCAGGTACCAAGCCTGGAACCGAGGGCATTACCGCTAATAAAGGGGTGTCGAAGGCTCACTATGGAAATGATTTTGATTCATATTACTCTTTCGAAAGAGAAATTCTAGAACCTTGTAAACATCTTCAAAAGTCGCGCCCTTTTTTTTTAGGTTTTTCATTAGAAACATATGTAGTAGTACCTGACTCGTATGAGTCGTATCATAGCGGAGGAAGACATTGAAAAAAAAGGCTGGGAAGGCAAAGATGTCTACAATAAAATCGTCTTTAGAATTATCCAACTGAATATGCTCAATTGAATAAAGGTCAATCTAAATCTTCTTTGATGGGTTATAATCTCCAAAGCCATTTTTTCTGTCCCTCGATGCGCTCTAACATGAACTCCACTCGGGCCCAAAGTACAGTCACAGTTGATGCAACCATTAATGTCCCCACGAAAACCGCCATATAGAGGTAGTTCTCGGACGAGAGGCTTCCTGCAGACTTAACAAGAACACCGGCGACAGGTGTTCCAACAAATCCAGCCGCTCCCTGCAAGGAGTACATGATCCCCGTCATTCGGGGCATATCCTCTAATCCAAAAAGCTCCACTAAGGCAGGCGAGAACAAGCCGATGTTTGCACTTGCAAAGAGGCCATAGAGAACGGTGGAGCCTATAAAAAGACCCTTCCCTGAAGTTTCGTTCGTAGCACCAAGAAGAGTGCTTGGAATCCACAGACCAGCAGTTGACACGGAACTCAGAAGTGTGGTCAAAAAGAAGGAGTCTAGTCTTCCAATTTTGTCTGCAACAAAACCAACTCCAACTTTTCCGATAGCATTGCAAGCATTGCTTAGTGCAGTAAAGTTCGAGCCGTCTGAGTCGCTATATCCCAGGGTTTTCGAATAGGCGGCGATATAGAAAATGGGAGTGTAGTATGCCGCACTCTGGAAAATGGCATTAAGACTCTGGGCGACAAATTTTCGTGTGCAAACGATTTTCCGAGGTGGAAGAGGAACTTTGAGAGAGCCAGATACCCAAGAATGCTTTAGGTTATCTTCATGAAAATTAGCGGCCATCTTTGGCTCCCAGCTGAGAACAGAACCAGAGGCACAGATCAGAGCGGTGCAAATACAACCTGTAAGCCGGAGTGTATTGCGGTACCCAATCTTCTGCAAACATGCGCTGAGGATTGGCGACCATACGAGACCTCCAATACCAGTTCCAGCTGAGATGATCCCCATGTTGAGACCACGGTATTTTCCAAACCAAGCTGGTGGAATTGCCATAGATGGCATAAAGGACAGACAGGTGCCAATGCCAACCAAGAACCCTTGTGTAAGTTTGGAAATGCCAAAGTTCTTTACCAAAACTGGCCAACACGCTGGCAACACCATACACGATTCCTCCCACAAACACAACTCTTTGAGGGCTGAAGTACTTGCACCATGCGACGACATATGGTGCACCAAGTTTCATCATAGCAGCAGCGATGCTCCCGATCAGCGAGATCTCGGCCGATGAAGCACCGGTGAATGGGTTATCCTCCTTTCGCGCCATGTCTTCATAAAGAGATTGATATAGACCGAAGCTGAATAAGAGACCACAACCGGAGAAGTTGAGCATAAAGGCTGCGAGGATGATGAGGAGCTTGCGCCTGTTCTATTGTAAGCTTTGCGCCAGGAAGGGTAGATTGGGTAGAGAAATAGAACATACTTGTTTGAAGGCTTACTTTGTATCTGTACATTGCTTTCTGGTTGAGCTTTCTCAGAGTCAGCGGCATTGGAAGCCTGCATATTGTCGACTGATGCTGTCATGTTTTTATCCCTAGACCAGGTACTCTCGATGACAGGTCTGGAATGTATTGGAATCGATTGGGAATGCTAAAGATCAATGGTCCAGTACCTTGGCACGGAGGTTGCAGTACTTATATTAGTTCTGACTCAAGCAGCCTCAATCCCGAAAGAAATTTGTGAGTTGCCGACCACCAGCCGATCACGACCAGCGGGGGCTGTTCAAAAGCTCCCCGGAAAGGCAAGCATTCTTTTTTCCACTGTCTGGTGGACACGGCGGAATTATTTTCAAGCGTACCTTTTGGAAAGTCCCCACTGAAGAAAACTTGTCTCGTTCGACTTGGGGGATTCCCCGATCGGTCACAGGACGCCACATTCAGCCGAGATACCGGGGAAGCTTGGCATTTTGGAGAAAGTATCGTTTTTCTCATATAGCAATCTTAGAGGGCCGTTGGCTTGCTCGGCCGAGATAATTTGAGTCATTCGTACCCTGGATCGTGAGATGTGGTTGCCAATAAATCACTGAGAATTGATTCCTTGAAATCTTTTTGGATAAGTTTGATGCCACCAATCAAAACGTACAAAATTGGCTTTACAGTGTAGATTCCTTGCCGTGTGTAAAGCGTGATGCTTATAATATGATATAAGTATCCTCCTAATGGCTCCCGAGGTCCCGAGGTCCCACGACTCGATTATGCAATGGTGTTTGGCTCTGGTGTAGTAGTAGGAGTCGTTAGTAACAGTTATTTTCAGAGTAATTAGGAGAACTATAGATCATTATTTCCGGAAAAATCGTTGTTGCAAAAAGCAAAAGCAGCCTTACTTCGAGGGCTCGGATAGTTACCGACCACCTACCGACCACCAGCGACCGGAGTTATCCACAGCTCCCCGAGGTGGCAAACACTCTTTCTTCAATGGCTTGTGGAGACAGCAGCGTTGTTCTCATGCAAACCCCTTGGAAAATACCCCACTGAAGAAAGCTTGTCTCGTTCGGCTTGGGGAAATAAGGCTTGGCATTTTGGAGAAAGTACCCTTTTTCTCACGTAGTGGTAAGGGCTCCTATCGGGGAGCGCGGTGCATTCTCCGATGGTACGCAATAGTATTTCCCTCTGGCACCAGTCACCAGCCTTCGAAAGGTTACTGATCTTCGGAAAAGCAGCACACGGGACACTTACAATCGATGGCGATGCGAACTCACCTGATGACCCCGTCAACGACAATCTAGACAATCTCGACGATCCGTCAATACGAAGCATTGATGAAGATCCGGAAGAAAATTCAAGAAATGACCTTGCAATCCGCGTTTTTGAAACTCTCAAGGATGGTCATGACATGCTTTATGGCATCCTCGGCGCATTCATCCAGCGCGTCAATCACCACCAAGACAGCGGGAGGGGCGAAAGATCCCTTTGTCGCACTTTGAAGGGCCTTTAGTGTCTCCTGAATCATTGAACTCCACTGCTCGTCGGCGGGGCGATCAACAATGCCCATGATCTTCCCTCAAAGCTCTGCAGATGCAATGCTTGAGCACTTCCGATGAATCCATGAGCTGACGGACAATTGTCGGGACCAAGCGGCCTGTTTTGTAGCGGGTGGAGGATTCCCTAAAGAAGAAGAAGCTCACAGCAAACAAACCCTGGGCTAGGCAGTATTCTGAGATGGTCCCTGCGATGGTAGATTTGCTCATTCATGCCATCCCCGAAATCCAGTAAACTCTCTCCTCGCCCACATCATCGCTTGTGATCCATGAATCGAGGTCGGATAGAATTGTTGAACGGGTGTCCGCAAGGCATCGTGGTTTGTCTGAGCTGTAAACTGCTCCGTCGGCACAATATCGTAGGAGATCAGCGAAGGTCTGTCCGTCTCCCGCATAGAACAGTTGGCTCTGGAGGCTCTGTGCAACACTGTCAGATTTCTCTTTTCTCTGTACCGAAAACGGGAATATTTGTTGGGGTCTACATCCTGCAGAGCGAGGATGGACGAAAACAGTCTCATTGACCGATCTGGCTGACGAAAAGGAGAAGAGGAAAGAGAGAAGAGAGAAGAGAGACGAGACCAAGAAGAGGTCCTTTTGTCGATGGCCCTCGTGACTCTGTATCCCTCCCGAGTCTTTCTTTCTCCCTCTCACACCCTCACACCGCATTGATCAATCATACCAAGTCTTTTTCGTCTTCTCTTCTCGGCTCGTAGATACAACATTATTTGCTGGGCTCGAGGGTCTCACCTTATAAGCAGCAAGCTGGCTTGCGACCGAGTGCTTCAACTCTTTCCGAATTTCTCTCAGATACTCGGAATGCTTCACGACAGCCGCGCTACTTTCGCGCGTGAGTCTCGTTGCAAATACTCTAATGGTCCTTCATCCCTTGCAACAGCTGAGCCCAATGGTTCGGGTCGATTTTATCATTCCAAACCCGATGTATTGTGTGTCGCGTGAGGTATTTCACAGCCTCGGCTTGAAACAAAAGAACCAGGCGATATAATTTGATTGCGTCTTCTCTTAGCGTCGACGTGCTTTCAGACGCCTGTGGCAATGTTTCAACCACGGCGAATCGACTCATCATTTCGGATATGGTGTTAAATGCATCTAGGAAGTCTCTTTGGCCCTTGATCGGATTCTCGATGAACTATCATCCAGATTAATCAGGAGTGTTCATTCATTCTGACAGGCGGCTCCCAGCGGGCGGTCATGCAGAAGAATTCAACTGGGAAATGGGACTTACTTGTATCCCGATACACACTGCAGACCAACCCAATGAGGCGTATGGATTGCTTGCCAGTGCTGTGCTAACAAAGTCCTTCACTAGTCCACGGGTACAACAACGTCCACGCATGTCTCAACCACCTCGCTGAACTCCACTTCTTTTCGCAGTAGAGGAATCTTCCATTGGCGATTTTCGAGTTTCTTGGTTCGCTCGGGTAGATCCGATTGAAGTGCCGTACTCAGGGTCTCGAACTCCTCCGTCCTGTCGACCTCGCCGCTGTTCACTTCGTCTTCTGGAAGTCCCTGGAAGCCGAGGATAACCTTCAGATCATCCAGCCGCGTCGAATCATCACCGTTTTCCTCATAACAATGAACATACGCTTCACACCATATACTAATTGGCTTCATTATCGATGCCAGTTGACACAATGTGTTCTTGTTTTTCCAAGGTTGTGACCGATTTGCGCTCGCGGTCAATGACTCAATACTATCTTCAAGAAGATAAAGAAACCGAGTTTGGTTTTCTGGCCTGCGTTCCTGAGGTGTATGGCATCCTAGACAGGTATGCCAAATTCATTGTGATCAAGTCCTCAACTGAGGGGCCCTCTTGCGGCTGAACAGAGCCCGGGCCCGCACGCGCCCGAGCGGCGCCAATTGTGACAAATCAGGCCAGACAGTGGACTGGATGCCTGGGGCACCAATAGACCAGTTGACCCATCAACGAGTGCACCGTGAGGCACCTGGGGCTACAGCCCTGGACCTCGGGAGGTATTATCGCCTGTTGTATAAGTACCAAGAAGACGCTACTTCACAAATCAAAATCCTGATTACAAGATATTCTCCTTGTTAGTTGACCGATCCTTTCGAATACTCGCAGAATACGATCGCCCGTATCATGCTCCAGTGGACCCCATACCACAGCTCCATATTCAACCGCACAGAGTCTCCCAAGGTCCGGATATTACTTGATGAGACTGTTGAGAATTAGTGAAAGGTGTCATTGAGGGAAATTTAGACAAGAGTGAACGGGTGGCATTTTGGGGTCCCATTGGGGTAGAAACGAGGAATCAACGTGCAACTATGGAGTAATAACTACCTCCATAGCCTCTTAAATGAGCTCAACTTGATTAAACGAAGCAAAAAGGATCTTGGAAAGGGAAAACGAGGTACGTGTATTCCGTATATACCCAGCTGCTCAGGCGCCTAGATACATTTGCCAAGACAATTCCCGCAATAACAAGCAGACGAAACCCTGGAGGAAACCCCACATCACCTGCCTAGTAACTGCGATGAACGCTTCGTGAATGCTGCAAGAGGTTGTCCGCCCTATTGAAAGCCCTGTCACAACCTGGCACTAAGCAAGGGTGGGCGAGGGGGCTGAGGTGTAGGTTCCGAATGTGGCGGAAGAGAGAAGACTCCCGCTTAAAGGTACCGCTATAACCACAACCCTCCCATTTGCAGCGAATTTTGTCATGATCAGGGTCATCCGATGTGGAACTGGGGTACCAGTCAGATGTGGCCCGGGTATATGTATTTGATTTCGGGAGAACGCCCTACCATCTGTTTTGGTTTCTTCCAGTGCGCTTTCTATTCGGTTCTCCAGATCTTCCAGCAGGCTCCCGGGAGATTTGCGACACATCAACTCTAGTAGTACTAGACGATTGCATCTGCGGGTGGGGCACACCGGATGACATGGCACCAATAGAACCCTGCATTGCCAAGGGATTCACCAGGGTGCCAGGCTGCAAGTAGGCTGTATTTCTATCATTGGGGATTGCGTCAAATTCGGGAGATGCTCTCCAAGCAAAGTCAGGGACGGGAGGAATGCTCGGGGCGATAGGTTCGAGTGGAAATTCGTACAGATGGGAGTTTTCCCAGTATGAATGAGGGGTCCATGACATGTTGAGCGGAAATAGATTTGAGGGATTACTCTGTACAAAGTAGTACTTTCAAGAGACGCCTATGGTGTGAGGAATTCAAAGTATGAAGACTTTGCTTGGGGCCTGTAATGGAGAGATATTGAAGAATGAATCCCTATCCTCGGGAGCGACGGTCGATTTATAGATCATTGTGATCCCTATCGCAATCCTGAGTCCTCCCAACTTTGAATATCGTTTTCTGAATTCACTGAGGAAATTCCAGGGCTACTTCCCATCGTGCCGAGAGAAGTCCATAAGTCGCATGATGGGTACTTACGAAAACGAGCCCCAGAGTGGATCCGGATCTAGTGATTGGCAGTGACGGAGCCGCGGCGTACTGCGGGCCTATCATGGGCTCGATGGGTAGGTAGCCTAGCCCACACTCGGTACATGTGCACTGTGATATCCCTTGCCTTCTTCCGCGTCTCAGACTCCGCGCGCAAAGGTTCGAGCGTCTTCAGGCTACGCGCGCAAAGGTTCGAGCATCTCAGATCCAACTAAAGAATATGCAGGCTTCTTCATTTGTGATCGTCCCGCAAGCTCTGCCCCACAGCTAAGCATAGGTAGCCCCATGGGGGGCCCAGATCTTCTGTGGCTCTGAGGTCACTTAAACATCACTTGTCTTGCCCAACCACACACCGTATTCTTTTGAAACCACAACCATCAAAGAAGCAGATTTTGAATCATATGGGCGCAAAATCGAGTGTGTGTACCTTTATGAGAGCAAAAGATCACATCGAGTTCAAATACTCTTTAGTCAAATCGTAAGTCTTGAGATATACTTCACTGGACTCATTTACAGAAATGACGGGCCACCACAGTCGTCAGCTCAAGAAGCGAGGATTTTCAACTTTCACGTCAAGGAAACGGAACAGATTTGAGTTTGGGCGATGATCATGAGAGTGAATATCAGTTGAAGCATCGAACATCATCATGTTGGCTGAGCATAACATCAACTTGCCGGCGCGGGATCGCCAATTTCTTCAGGGAGTGGCTCTACTAGGCGAAGCCGCTAGCTGAGCTGGCCCGCGGTGCCACCGGTTATTGGTCTGTCTGTCTGAACCAGTTCATATTTCGTTCTCTGGGTTCTTTTTCGCTTTTTCCATCGCTATCGTGTTCAATAGTGAACTCTGTAAGGAAGCTGAAATTGGGTCCTTTACCAAAGTTTAACTCCGTCGGGGATTGCAGGTGCCTTCTGTATCCAGGTCGATTGAAGCCCGCTTCGTAACTCCTCACCGGTCCTTGTTCACTATGACTATCCTTCGGTACTCTAGGATTTGTATGTCAGATACCATTCAGATATTTTCCAAGCCCGCGGGCCCGCGGGCCATTAATCTGCTTGCATAAGCCACCTAGACGGGGTCCCGAAGTCCAAAGTTAACACTAGTGCAGTGCCGCCGGTCTTGATGGAGCGTGCCCTGTGTCTTTGTCTTGATATTAGGCGGCCCCGGCCGCGACTCGGAATATCATCTCTATTCCTCGCTGGCTTTGCTCGACGCACTCCGTGGGTGTCTCGCCTTTCTGCAACACGCTTAGCTCAATTTACTGGATTGAGTGCCCACAGTAACAGCAAGAGAAATACGCAGCTGTGGAGAGCAAGTTCCGAAAGACCGCTAAAGTGTGACCGAGTATAGTCGCCTCGATATGCTTCAGGTTCTGTTTGCTTGTGTTGTCGCCGACGGTATATCACAGTGCTACAGGGCTGTTGAGCTTGTTGAGGGTGATAGACACCATACTGCTGCAAGATTGATGGGCGCTTAGAGGCAGACAGTCTGAGCTTCTCGGCTCTTTCACGGATTTATTGCGAATACGATCAGTGCAAGGTCTGGGTTTCGTTCGAAGATCCTGTCCCTCGACGCGTTTGCCATGTCATCGAGTTCCGTGGCCCAGCCAGATGCATTTGGGCCTTGGTAGACAACTGCGCGACCTTTCAAGAAGCATATGAGTTTAAATATCGGAACCCAGCAAACGTCAGACGTGGGAAGCAAGTATATTAGTGGACCTTAGAAAGTCCATCAGGTTAAAAATCTGTCCAACTGACATTCGTACCGACAGCCGGATTTCAAAACATAATGCGAATTCAAGAATTCCACAACGCTAATTGATGACATGTGTCCGTCAGCTTCGGCACGGGATCGCCGATGTCGTGTTCCCAGGGGAAATTCTTGGCAGAGAGTCGACCTGGTCAGCTCGGTTAGGACGGAAGACGAACTCGCAAAGGATCATGATTGGCGAAGCGAAAACTGGGGCGGACTCGTAGGGCTGTCCCACAAAAAGGCTCCATGTTTTATGTTTTGGCCCAGTATTCCACACTTTCTTGACCTCGAGGGGGGGGGGGATGCCGGACGGGTGAATACGAGTCGAACTAACATGCGTGCAGCCGTGCAGTCGTGCAGACGTGGCATGTCAACGCAGAGAAGAAATGGGTTGCGGTGAAACTGCGGGGTCCGACGAGCGGAACAAGGAGGCTCCAAGGTAAAACGGACCGCTGATTGGCTGTGAGGCGCCCTACCGGGCACAGAGTCGGTCCAAAGTGACAAAATCTCACCGACACACCCCATTTCTGGTCTTCTGTGCACGCCGGTGGAGTGCGCGGCCTTCTCTCATTGGGCCAGTCTCTCCTGAGACGTGCCTTTTTCCGTAAATGGCATCATGGACCCACTGGCGGGCGTTGTGGTTGGTTGCCCTACAGGGCCATGAAGATCGATGAGGGGGACATAAATATGGCCCCTTCCTCAGGCTGCTACTTTTTTGTTTTACACACACCTGCCTCTTAACAGAAATGCATACCATTCCTCAGAGATCCCTCTCCCAATCATCCACCACTTCCTCGCGCTCCAATCAGTCCCAGAAGTCCTTGAGACTCGCAAACAGACTGTCTTCGAAGATCTTCCGCTCCAAGTCTCCGGCCCCAATCAACATCCCCAAGACCCGGACAGACATCCCACGCAGCAACCCCGAAGCTTCATACTTCCCTCAGAGCTACTCCAGCCCAACAAGCATGTCGCCCTCAACTTCATCTCCTCAGTCTCCCAAAGCAGACTACGAGGTCAAGCGCGCTTCCACGCCGACTCGCAAGAGCAGCGGCGATTACAAGCGCTACAGCGGAACAGTCAACCACTACGGCCGACACTCGAATGACTGGCTCTTCGGTGGTTTCAGTGTCCGCGACTCTGTCCGCGATGGCATCGAGAAGCTCCGTCACTCCGATAAGGAGAGCTGAACACTTCGTTTCCAATTTTGAAATTCCCCCAATCATTTCTTTGGACATTCTTGGACTCGGTGCTTGGTTCACATCACACTATGACTCCCACCCCGGCCGTTTAGGCGAGAATCACTAGATCCGCCTCGTTCGAAAGCCCTTCTACGGCTTCCCCCTAAACGGGGAAGCCGGCTTGGAACCTTGGAACTCATTTCTCTGAGATCTTTACTGTTGTGTTGAGAAACGGGCCGTGCAACCGCTTGAATTCCGATGCGCGAAATCGCATCTTCTGCCTGAGCGATGGACTTGCATACGCTCATCCCTTACGTTGGGTTTCGAAATTGGTGATCTTCATGGTCATCTGATTTGGTTCACCCCTTCAATTGCCTTTCTTTTTGGCACTTGGCAATTTCATTTTTTCTTCTTGTCCTGTGAATAGGATAATAATGTCGCGCAGTCGGAACCAGCAAGGTTGAAAATCCAACTGCATGGTCTGGAATTTATTTTGTTTCGAAATACTACCTTCATACCCACACATTTCCAAGATTTTAAACCAATATTAGCTTTCAAATGTAGTCGTAGGGCTTGGCAAGATGCCACTCCTCATGTGTATTGGTCTACAAACAGCATTGGGCAATTTGTTCATTGTCATACGCAATAATATGCAAGCCCCAGGTTCTCGTACTAAGGATTCCCTTTCGATCGGAATATAGTTCATACTCCCTCGATCTTCTGGCGGGCAGCGTCTTGCTCTTCTGCAACTATATCTGCCGGTATACGGTCTGGCGTGGTGTTCACCAGCATGATCATAGGACACAATGCGGCTCCGAGCAGGGCGAACGTCACACAGCTTGAATTGCAGTCAGTATCTGACCATCGGGCAGTTTCAGCAGAAGTAATTCAACTTACAATCCAACCATCGGATCATTCGTGGTTTGTGTGTTCATTCCATAAGCAACAGCTTGGCCAACAGCTTCAATGCATCTGAAAGCCGCACCGTTACGGACATTTTCTAACGACAGCATTAGTTCCTAGTCCAGATATTATCCGAGACTGTGCGATTCGGTCTTTTGGTCACTTACCCTGAGCATCGGTTGCGAATGACGACAACAGCCAGTACATGTAGGACTGAGATAGTGGGCCTGTAGTCTGCACGAAGAAGTATGGTAGGAATGATGACGCGTATAATGAGTCGTCCCAGTCGATGGCTCCTGGATCGGCGCGATTGAACTTGGACTGCATGATGATGGACCATATATAGACAGCGACATTCAAAATAACGACGGTATATAGTCCGATTTGCGCGCGTCGACGCTGGCTAAGACCTTTCATGTCCAGGATGAGTCCCAGGCCAAAACAACCAACACTAGAGCACTGGATTAGTATATTCCAGTAGATTTTTTCCAATAGACTTACATGCAGAAGAAAGGCGAAATGAGAGAAGAGAGAGCGCGAGCACGGACTGTGAAGTAGGTTCCCAGATAGGTGCTCCAAGTACCACTGACGAAATTATTAGCACTCACCTACTTCTCCCGGATTGTGTCATTTTCTCTGACTTACGAGTAAAAGAATGACCAAAATGCCCAGAGTGCAGAAAGCAATATAAGCTTCGAGCTCATAGTCTTTGCGACGCGTTTCATCTCCATCTTGGTAGACAGAGTCTCTGAAGTGACGATCTTTGTCCCGTCAGATCGCACCACTCGCTCAAAGGGTATGATCAACAGCGCGAAAGGCAGACTATCCCACAATGTCAGCCATCGCCGTGCTCAATCGGTCTTCAACCTCCGCGACACTCACGCAAGACACTCAATGATCACAAATGCAAGATAGGTATCGGAAGTCACTCCACCACTGACACCTTTCTCATAGTTCTTCGAGAGACTGCACGTTTTCGACCATTAGTGGGACTTGCCGCTTATTGAGTGTTGATCACGACTCTCACTCACTTGATTGCACCGCCCACCAACTGTCCAAGATTTCGCGAAACGATCCACAACGCGAGATACTTTCCACGAGCCCCAGATGGGGCCAATGTCATGATAGCTCCAGCTTCGGCAACATACCAGCATGCAGTCCCGATACCACTGATTGCACCACTCAGAATCAGGTACTGTAGGAGAATGTCAACTTCATCATCTTCCGCGATATGAGGTGAAACTCGCCCATTCGTTTCCGAATTTACTGTTGCAGTAATATGCCGATCCCTGAATGGGGAAAGACATGGAGCCGATGACGAGAGCCCATTTGATACCGATTTTATTCACGAGCGGACCACCTAGACAACAGACTGGAGTGGAATTACCAGGTTAACATCATCACATTTGATCGAAGGGTCAGATTTACCAAGAGCTATCAAGGCATATGTGATCGCATTTGTGATGTTTGATACCCGAGGTGAAGCAAGACCACCGCCGCCGAGACCTGCCCAGGTGGAGATGTTAGCATAACACTCATTCCAGTCTGCAATGCTACAGTTGAGGAGGACATATCATACCGGTGATTGCATCGGACATCGCAGGGCCACAAAACGCCTGCACACTCAGGAGCATCATCTGCGTCAAACTGTGCTGCCATACTCGTCTCCACAGGGGAACTGTTGCTTGGTAATGCTCCACATCAATAACTGCCCCGTGGTGGATATCATCAGCTGGATAGGAGGAAGGATTGACATCGTCGGAGACTGGATCGGGGCTCTTTTTGTCGGTCATGATGGAAAGGTAAGTTCTTATGGCGGGCGCTGAAAATGAACTACCAATTAAATTCTCTATTCCATCAATAGAGACATACTCTCACAGTGGAAAATGGCCGAGATCGCTCATTTTATACTCCCCAGGTGGCTCGGCCTTATCTCTGCGATCCTGTATGTCCCCCGCACTGCGGGTGATGTTAGCGCCATTCGAGCTCATGAAGGTCCACGCGAGAGACATGATTGCCCAAAGTCGCTCCCAATCGATATGCGGCGTTGATACCGGAACGAAAAGCCGGGGTGATAACCTATCTCTTTATCGATTCCCCGCATTCGACTTCGGCGTTTCTTCGGCGTGGAAGGTCCACGCGAATGGCGTGCCTCACGATACTTGCCAATTGCAACGGTCTGACTCGTAATAGCGTCGACTTTATCTCATATATCGCACTACTTTCTCTTGTTTTATTTGTGAATCTCTTGTTTTCTAATCGTGCGGTTCAGCTTCAATACGCGTCCTTATCCCATTCGCGCCGCAAACATCGGCGATAAGCAAACATGGCCTCGTCGCGTAAGACTAAGAAAGTCATTGTGGTCGGAGGAGGAGGCACGATGGGCTCTTCTACAGCACTGCATCTCCTACGCGCCGGATATACGCCTTCCAACATCACCGTGCTCGATACATACCCAATCCCTTCGGCGCAATCGGCGGGGTATGATCTGAATAAAATCATGGGCATCCGATTGCGCAATGCGCCAGATATTCAACTCTCACTCGAGGCTCTTGATATGTGGACCAATGATCCATTGTTCAAGCCCTTCTTTCACAAGGTTGGGATGGTGAGCCAATGCGCGTTGCCCTGTGGCGATTCACCGTTGACGTACTCAGATCGACTGCTCATCTTCGGACGATGGTATTGCAGGCCTTCGAAGAAAGTATCAATCACTTTTGGACGCGAATATTGGGCTGGAGAAGACGAATTGGTTGCTGGATAGCGAAGAGGACATCTTGGAAAAAGTTCCAGCGTTTACAAAAGAGCAGGTTCAGGTACGGGATTATCCGCAACTACACAGAGACATCGGCACGGCATTGGCTGACATATTGACGCATTATAGGGGTGGAAAGGCTTGTTCTGTGGGGATGGGGGCTGGCTCGCCGCAGCCAAGGCTATCAATGCGATCGGACACTTCCTCAAAGACCAAGGGGTTAAGTCTGGATTTGGAAAGTAAGCACGATTAGTCGCGAGCCTTTTACATGATTAGTATTGATTTACTGACACGTTTCAATTAGATCCGGCACCTTTAAGCAACCACTTCTTGCGGCAGACGGCATCACGGTTACCGGTGTTGAGACGGTTGATGGCACAAAGTACTATGCCGACAAGGTTGTTTTGGCTGCTGGTGCTTGGAGCCCAACATTGGTAGACTTGGAAGATCAGTGTGTCTCGAAGGTAAGTTTGCATACTTTATTTGGAATTATTTTCCAGTACACACATCTTTACTCGCGGAGCAATCTCCCGCTAACTATTCTGTAATGCTCTTAGGCTTGGGTCTTCGCTCACATACAACTCACACCCGAGGAAGTGGCAGCATACAAGAACACACCCGTGGTGTACGATGGTGAATATGGATTTTTCTTCGAGCCCAATGAGTAAGTAATTCCTCGATTTCGGGAAAACCAACCCCACGATCGACAAGATCACTAACAATCACTAGACACGGCGTGATCAAAGTCTGCGATGAGTTCCCAGGATTTTCTCGCTTCAAACAGCACCAACCGTTTGGTGCTACATCTCCCAAACTCATATCCGTTCCTCGATCACACGCCAAGCATCCCACCGATACCTATCCTGACGCCTCTGAGCAAACCATCCGCAAGGCAATCGATAGGTTCTTGCCCCAGTTCAAGCACAAAGAGCTTTTCAACCGGTCTATGTGCTGGTGCACCGATACCGCCGATGCGAGTTTGTTGATTTGCGAACATCCACGGTGGAAAAATCTCCTCCTCGCCACGGGTGACAGTGGGTAAGTCGATATCAGATTCGACCCGGTGTGCAGCCATCACTGACTCTATGTTCTCCAGTCACAGTTTCAAGCTCCTACCGAACATTGGAAAGCATGTTGTTGAGCTCATAGAGGGATCACTCTCATCCGAGTTGGCGGATGCGTGGCGGTGGAGACCTGGGGGTGATGCGCTCAAGTCTAGACGAGGTGCCCCGGCGAAGGACCTGGCCGATATGCCGGGTTGGAGACATGATGCGAAGATCTGAGGGTTGGGTTATAGAACTGCTGTCGCTTGGACCTCGAGAGGAACATCGAAAGAATCGCAATAAACTTAAGGTTCCACGTGCCTTTAACCGTGGGTGAACCTTGGAAAACGGATATATATCCCTCACCCATGGATTCCTCTTTCGGCATTTCCAAAGGTTTTACCTAGGTACCTAGCTAGGTAGTATTTACACAACTGCCCATTGGTGAATTTGAGTTCTTCTACAACTTTGTGTGGCCTCAGAATTCATATTACGATTGCAGGAAACATGTTGAAGTGAATTTTCGAAGCCAAACAGGGTGATTTTAATTTTGCCTTTGATGTCGAACATATTAACAGAAATGGCCGATCCTTACATCAACCAGCCAAGTGGCCGAGCAGTAACTCGGCCATCTCATCTTCCTTGGTCTAGTGGTGATGATTTCCGCTTGTCATTAACACCGATAAGCGCGGGAGACCGGGGTTCGATTCCCCGAGGGAGAGATTTCTTTTTTGTCCATCTACAAAATGTCAGTAGTAGCAGCACCTGGACATTGCAACTTTTTTTGGCTCATTGTTGTTGAAATTGGAGCGCAATAAGAACCATGCATGGATCTCGGCTGAATGTCATACCATGGAGACCAGTGTCCAGGGAGAATCCAATGGCGTGCTACACCCGAGCACGGTCCCGAGCACTGCCCCTTGGGAGTGACCTGTGAGAATGTAAGCAACAAGAGTCGAGCATAAGCATAGAGTCCTGCCACTAAGAGACCAAGAGAGTGAAGGGAAATGACCTGTCACCGAATCCGGAGAATCAGACCTCCGCCTCCGCACTTCGGCTAAAAATAACCAGGGCAATGACGTCAAATCCCCTCTGTCAACACCCAAGCTTTCATCCCCTGTCCATACACCACCAGAATGAGCAATGGATCAGAAATGCCAGGGGAGTTCGACGATGAGAGCTACGACCTCACACAGGCCCCAGAAGAAGTTGGCCCCCTCGCAACGCTGAGCCCAAGGCTACCCAATACCCAATGGAAGGCTTCATCCCGGACAGTGGAGGAGACACTAGCCCAAGGTCTATCCAATGAAGACCTGTGGATGTTGATCCGAAGGTTCGACAAGGTGAGTCCTGTCTCAAGGCCGAAGAATAACCTCTGACATGTGACTAGCAAATCTACCATGTGAAAGCCGTCCAGGATGCGAAAGAGAAGATCGATCTAAACCGCACGGAGAACGAACAGTTTCCACCTGAGAAACTGCGCATGACATTGGAGAGGTTCTACACGTCGGTGATAGTGGGAGTCACCGAGTTCTTCCGACATATTACTCGTTTGCGATCATGGAAGGAGCCTGTTCGAACGAGCGCGTTCTGTGGCGTATGTTAGCTGAATCGGCCATGTGTGATAGAAAGCTGATAATTCACAGGGATATTTCCTTGCCTGGGCGGTTGATCTGTTGGTCCCGACAATCTTGGGACTGATTGTCGCCTTGATAATGGTTCCCCCGGTTCGGGCATGGCTGTTCCCCGCTCGAGTAAAGACAGAAGGCGACAAGATGGCAAGTGGGAGTGGTAGTCCGACCGAGCAGCCTGCATCGGAAGACAGTCTTACTGGTGCCCCCGAGAACCACAAGGGTGAAGCGGCTGAACAGGAGGCCAAGAATTTCGTGGACAGCTTTGCTACCGTTGCCATGGAAAGTGCAGCCGCCAAATATGGCCAAACAGTGACGGAGGATGAACCAGATAGGCCTGCGATCACTGACGGCCTGGAAGCCGCCGAGGCTGCTGCGGAGAATCGCACCGATGACGCCCCAGAAGACAAGACCAAGAAGCCAATGAAGAAGAAGGTTTCGCATGCGACAGACCAGGTGATGCGTATATTGAGTGATATTACCGACATCTACGAAAAATTTGCCAAGTGAGTCGATTCTGGGAAAAGCTTGATACCGAGTCGCTAACGATCAACAGCCTGCTTTCTCCCACACCACCATTTTTCTTGGTCGCATCTAGGCTGAGACTTGCGAGCATCTTCACACTCATCTCGGTCGTTGTACCATTTACATCTAGCTATTGGATCATCAAGTTCGTTGGTTTCGGAGTTGGACTCGGCTTCTTCGGCGACCCAATCTTCGCCCATACACTTGACCTACTCAATACCAAAATCCCGAACTGGAAGGATCACATGGATATCCAGAAGTACGTATAAGATTCCTCAAAGTTATAGTATGCCCGCTAACGCAAGACACAGGACGCTGTTGGCCGGCGTCCCCACAAATGCGCAACTGACATTGACTCTTCTGCGCATCGGCGAAATCAACTCTTCGCCACTACCCCCAGCCCCAGTATCCGACGACAACGGACCAGCATGGCCAATTCGCCGCAAGAAATCCCAAGCAGCGAGCACCACAGACCTCAGCACGCCGGGCTCATCTGTGAATCTCCAATCATCAGACACAAGCACGTCCACGCTAGAACCAAAGCCAAAGAAGAAGTTCATATTCAGACTCTTCAAGTTCTTCCGCCGGACCATCGCAACAGCAATCAAAGGCCACATAGCTATCGACCGAGCAATGGCAATTGCAGGCTCTGCGCATACAAAGAACCTGATTGGAATGCTGCAAAATCGCCAATTCGGCAACACAACCTTCGGTCCTCTCAAGTTTGATGCGAAGTTCGAACGCAAGAGAGGTGCTGTTGTTATCGACTCGTCGAAAGAGCCTCCTATCTTGTACTTCACCACTTATCAGTCCGCTGGGTTAGATGATCTGCGCCTCGAGAGCCGGAAGAAGGGCTCTGTTCTGTTCCAGATCCCAGTCACTGAGATTAAAGAGTTGAAGAAGACTGAAGGATTAGGTTGGAAAGGTAAACTCATTGTTGAGTTGACTGCTGGAAGTAAGGAGGCTGCGGATGGATTGGTTATTGGTGGTGATGAGTTGGGCCAATCCTATCATCTTACGGGTATGAGATCGAGGAATCAGCTGTTCAATCGGCTTGTTGCTATCGATGCCCAGTTTTGGGAAAGTCGATAATTGGAAATAGAGCTGAGGCTCTAGTGGTTTTCTATCTCTTGTTCGGCTTGCTGCTTGCAGCCTGTGAAGAGAATCACATATACCGTGTACATATCACCAATAAGGAGATTCATCAATCATTCTGATTCCAACTATGCTATGGACCGCTATGCAAATTTCGGCAATTGCTGCCCTTGCAGGACAGCTAAGAATTCATCTCTGTCTATCATAGCCGTAGAATGTTAGCGCAATGTCCACAATGCATTGATCGAAAAATCGGAGCCTGGCTCACCTTCGCTGCCATAAAAAGAAATAGAGAGAGCTGCCTCTTTGTTTTTGACAGTCGGGTTTTTTGGAGCTCGCGCCATAATGTTCATCATGTCTAGGGTTGTTCCACGCAGGTATGTCGTCCGGGGAAATACCACACGAGTCTTATCCTTTGAAGTATCAACCAATTCAGAAGGAACCGATATTGTTAGCCACTTGTCCGAAGCGATCCCAGCCAACCGAGCAGCCAGTTGAAACGATGTTCCCCGGCGCCATAACTGAAGCTCGACGTTGCCTTTCCCCAGCTTTTGGAAACCGAGTATTGCACTTGTTTTTGTGGAAAGATGCTGGACACGCCGAGAGTAGACATTCTCATATAAGGGGGAGAGAGAGCTGAGAAAAGGTCGGGCTGTAATCTCATTACCAAACTCGATGGTAGCCTGGTTGGTTTTCTTTTCGCAGTGGGAGAACGTGACGGCATCCTCGGGATGGTAGAGCTGATCCACATGAGTGGAGATGTAATCTGTGCTATAGATATGATGGAAGCAGACACTGTGTGTGGTGTGATCATAGGTATAGTCAGTGTCACGATAAATGAAATAGAGATCCGAGTATTGCCAAGCTGAGCGATTCCGTAAAACAAGAATAGCCTTGTACTGCTTGTGCTCTATCCCTGAATCAACAACATCATAGACAAGACCAGAGCTACTGGGCTGTGACCAGGAGAAGCAAGGGCGGAAACCCATCTCGAGAACGGCTCTCTCGAACTCTTCTGCTAGTTCCTGTTTGGAGAATTGTAACCCGATGCCCAGATTGGGTGCGGATTCGTCGTACACATATGAGTGCAGGGTGTTATAGTTGCCGTCGGTTTTGTCAGATCGTGCCTGGCATGTGTCGGACCATTGGAGAAGAACTTGACGGGACAAGTCATCACGCTTTATCAGGGTTCCGCTGAGAGGCATGAAGAACTCGATTGTCTTAGGTGCTTTTTCTGCTGCAGAGGAGCTGATGACCATGCGACGAGTATTCCGCCAAACTTCCCCATATGATCGCTCCAGGATGCGAACCTCGCACGAGTTTAGCATGACAGTTGGGTTCATCGATTTCATAGTCGGCGTGTTGAGCTGTTCAAATACCTCCACAGAACTCTTGAATATGACAGTTTCAGTAAATTCGGCCGAGTTGACAGGTTCCCGCTGTGCAACGGCATCAAAGTAGGTCTTTGAGATGTTGATACAATGACTGAGGTCTGCCTCAAACTGGAACGAGATGGCAACGCTCATCTCTTCAAACTTGAACGGTATAGGCTCTAGGGCACGAGAGCCCGGGAAACCAGCCAGTGCGGAGTTCGCCAATTGTATGAAGGCTGGTAGGTCTTCCAATGTAACTATGTGATTTGTTAGATTCACTCGGAAAGAATGAGACGGCAATACCAACAATCTCTTTCAAGACACAAAGTACCACTTTGGTTGCAAAGAACGATTTTCGGCTCGCTTTCGCCCTCTCGCGTTGCCAGGAGCAGCATATAGGGAGCACCCTTTGTGCGCATGCGTGATTTCTTGTTTCCTATACCGGCATTGACAAAGGTACGAAAGAGAACCTTTTCGTGCTCACTGCCTGCATCCTCAAGGTCCACGGCGATCCAGCGCAGGTTTTCTAGGCCGAGATCGAGGTCTAAACCGTTGTCTGGTGTTTCCTCAGGTTGCATAGGCTCCCAAATATCTGTATTCTGAGCCTGCAGAGTAGAGAGCTCGGGGATATCAATAGATGTATATTGAGATAGTTCCTCGTTAAGGCCCTGTTCAAGTTCGCAGTTAGTGATCAGGTGGTCTTTGGCGAGTTTCATGGGACTACACACCTCGGAAAGCTCGACAATTGACTTGCGGTCCTCGTCAAGTAACGGGGCAGGTGATACTGCATCTGCCAGCACCACGTTGTAGAGAATATATGAAGCCTTGAGGATATCAAGGTAAGCTTGGTTGCCATTGGATTTTGATTCCGTGGAAGGAGTCAGGCTACCCCTGGCGCTGAAGTAGACGTGTCTGTTGCAATTAGCTAGAGTTGCGCGCGCCTGTTTCGTCATCAGCACAGAAAGACCTAGCATGAAAGCACAAAGATCTAACCTTCAATAACCACCACGTAGCAACACGGAGCCAATCCCGAGGGATCAGTCTTCTGATTTGCAACTCGTAGTTCACAGAAGCCTCGAACAGCTTCGATAGTTCAGGAGATGGTCGATGCAATTGATTTTGTGGCTCAACGCGGATCGGACGAGAAATCTGCTCCTGGTGACGGACGTGGTGAAGATGCTGCATTGCAGACGTGACCGCCTCCATCACACAGGGGTGGTCATCATCAGCACAGTTGTAGCCACTGCTGTGGATTGAAAATTGCTTCTCGGCTGGGAACCTGTCGTTGGACCATGTTTTATCATCCAGTGCTCGCCCGTCGATGGAGCCGTCAAAAAGAAGTTGCTCGCTGCGCATTCGAGAATGAGTGCTGTACTGTTCCGTGGTGAGAGGCGATGTATTCAAAGATAACCAAGAAGTTGGCGAAGTACCATTGAGTGATGCTTCGGATCCGGTGATGGCTGACTCGGAGGACGTGGAGGCATGTTTGAGTCTGCTTGCACTGCCAATGGAGATTCTAGTGTCGGCCAGCTCGGCGACTTTATTCCGCACTTGCTGTATCGCATATTCTTCGTCGTTGGCTGGTAGCTCCACGGCATCTGGAGTCATGGGGGAGACGATAGAATCTGTCTCGCGGACTGGGGACGGTGCGGTGCTAATGACAATCTCTTCGTCCTCCTCCATTGCCAATGCCATGGAAGTCTCGATTCGAACGAGTGAATCACTGAAGAGATGAGACCATGAAAATGAAGGGTGATTAAGCTACTCACTTTCCAATAGAGCTTATACACAAGCCCAGGTTGCAATTGTGCATCATGATCTTGGATCTGATATCTTCAACATGAGTCCGCTGGGTTACCCATTTGATCCTCCCCCAAAGACTATGTCCATCCCCTGACCCGAGGCCTTGGAATCGCGCAACTAGTTCCTTCAGCCCATGGAGTGTTTTGAAGCAAGCACTGAGGGATCGCTGAAGGGTCTGTTTTCGGTCTTCGTCCATCTTCTCGAATATAGACAGATTCGAGGCTGAATCTCCACCAAAGGTTCGAAGTGTCCCTTGTAGTGAGCCCAGCTCAGTCACCAGCTTCTTGAATCCATCGGGACCGTCCTTGCTCAGTACAAGGCATTGGTTATGAAGGTCCCATGTCAGCTTGGCGAGGATGGGAATATCGACAACACCGAAACTGGACGGCATGCTTGGAGAAAGTTCTCGGTGTCATTTGATCTTGAGACACCCTCAACACCTCGAGATGTTAGTGATGATTTGCCTCTTTCATAACCCACTGTAGAAGAGCCAAGTCCCTTAACGGTAGCCCACAGTGGGGCCGTTGCAAATATAGCAGAGCCTTGCTAAGAAACAATCTGAAGATCGACAGCTCGAGAACAAGTGTGAAAGAAACATACTTGAAGGAATGGCCGCCAAGCATTCTCAGCTAATCCGGGGTTTGGAATGGTTACCCCCAACTGTCGTCGATAACACTCTGGCCAGCCATTCGAAAGCGTATGTTAGCCGCCATGCAACAATTGGCTAAACCAAGTCAAGGCTAGTATGTGTGGTGGTATGTATTGCGAATACCCAGGATGCATGTTTCTTTGATCAATGCGCCACTAGGCTATGCCCAGGTGCATTCATGTGAGTAAACAAAGAAGCATTCGGAACGAGGCATCCGCTTGGACGCTAGCGATGTGATGGTGAGTTATTATTGAATCTATGAACTTAGACACATTTTTGCGATGTGCAACTAGGTCGCCCACGATACCTCGAACTATGTGTCTAGTGAGCCTGAGCCCTGGCCTCGATGTCGACCCACTTCCACCGTGGTATATCTAAAGTTAGCAACATATCTCAAACAGGATACCATGGGGCTTGGATGCGTTGAGAAATTCGTTTGGACACAGCCGAATTGACAAAAACAAATCCCACCAGAAGAGGTTGACTTTGCAGGTCGCTACGAATGCCTCCCTTTGGAGGTTTCGCTTGTTTCGCTTGTTGACTGCTGTGTGGGTTTGGATGTACAGCCTCGCTCCAGATTTGGCTTTCATGTACATCGACCTGGGCACCAAGTCGACCCGGAAAGCTGACTATTGTTGAGGCCTATTGGAGACGGCCTTCCATGCATGCATAATGACCATCATCCCCGTCTACTTGGAGGTTCAGACTCATACGGACCGCATGGATATGGTCTGAAGATATTCATCGCCGACATAATCCATGGATGTCATAATATTGGCGATATCGGTGATGATGATGTTCACGAGAACGGAAACTGACTCTAAAGGGGCTGCCCAGAAGGGACGTTCTCTGTACACTCCCGAGGTCCCAGGCGCCAAACAGTGCAAACACCACTGACACCTGAGGCAATACCAAATGTTGATCTCAGCTTGGTTTTCAGCTCTCAATTCGTTTGTCGACAAACACTTCCGTGCTGGCATGACTTGTATATAAACCCTGCTCACGCCATTCTGAGCTCGTCAGCTTCCTCCCTCCTGAACCGCCCCGACCCCTGAACCCCGTACATACAACCGTCATGTCGTCCACCGACTCCTTTACATTGGACGTTCCAACCGTCCTCTGCATTGCTGTGTCTCTGTCTTTGATGCCAGCTGCATTCATCCTCAGCAAGGCCCTAATTCCCGCGCGCAAGACACGCGACCGTATTCTCTTTTTCTGGCACGCCTACGACGCCCTGACCCATCTGTTGATCGAGGGCTCCTTCGCCTACCACTGTTTCTTCAGCTATACAACTGTTTCCGATGCCCCCCACGAGGGACCCTACTGGTTCAACGACCCCACCCGTCTCTATGGCCCGAGCTATGGCACCGGCCCGACCGCGCGACTTTGGCAGGAATATGCCAAGGCAGACCGCCGCTGGGGAGGCACTGATACCGGGATCGTTTCTCTCGAGCTCTTGACCGTCCTGCTGGGGGGACCCGCCGCTATTTACGTCTGCTATCTGCTATTCCAATCGTCGAACGAGACGCTCAGTGCCAAGTCTCGCGGTGGTGTTAAAGCGACATTATGGTTTGTTTCGATTGCGTTGGCGACGGCAGAGCTGTATGGTGGGTTCATGACCTTCGCGCCGGAGTGGCTCACTGGGAGCACTGCGCTGGTGACCGAGGACCCGGTCTACCTTTGGCTGTACTTGTTCTTTTTCAACACCCTCTGGGTGTTCATTCCGTTGTGGGTTCTTTGGGAGGCCGCTAAGGAACTGCGCGCTGCTTTCATTGGGGTTGAGACCCAGACTGAGCTCAAGCGTCAGTGATAGACGAGGCTATGGCACTTCTGGCACATTTTACCGCCATAATTTGAAAGTGCATGGACCTTGTCCATCGATCATTTTTGGTTGTTGGAGCCACCCAGGTTAAGAACCTGTGTTTCGCATTTGAGTTGAGTCCTCGGGGGTAGCTAGCGTATCGTGTCAATTGACTTGTTCATGTACCTTACCTCGCACGTTCTGCAATCAAGGTCTCCACATCACTGGTGGGCCCACCGTTTGAGGGGCTCAAGGAGCTCACTGAGCTTTGACACGACAAGGGCTAGGACGGTCTTGTAGAGAGTTGAAAAATTCTGGAAGATTGTGAAGCCACCTTGAGTATCTTAATGGGAAATGTAAACAATCGACAGACGGAAGAACCTTGGAAGATGTTTTGGCTGAGCACATGATCGGCATGATGTAATCCCTCCGCATCCTCGGCTTCTCACACTTCCTGACCTTGAATTGTCTGACATGGGGTTCACCTTGTGTTTATAACCACAGCCCTGCATTTAATTCTTTCGAGGCAATCCTCGGAATAGCTATGGCAGAATACAAGTTATCATACGAATCTCAGCTGGTATGTCACACGTTCCAGGACATCTTCTCAATCGCACCAATCTATTCGGATCATCTGAGATAACAGTAATCTTTGATCAGGATGTCTATCACCCCTCCTATCGCTACGAAGCCCATGATCCGCGGGACTGGAAGTCGGCTGCTCTTCGTGGCCCAGCCCTCCCAGCACTAGGCAATGCGACTGCCGGCGCGATCGGCGCGGCTATATCAAACGTTGTTGTCTACCCCCTTAATGTGATCGTAGCCCGTCTACAGACCCAGAATCGGAAAGCCAAGGACGAAGACGAGAAGTCGGATGAAGATGAAGAGTACGCCAGCGTGCTTGATGCCGCTCGCAAAATATATGCCCAGCAAGGTATCTCCGGCTTCTACCCCGGTTTAGCGCAAGATACCTGGAAGACAGTCGCAGACTCCTTCCTTTTCTTCCTCGCATACAGCGCTATCCGCCAGAAAAGAATAGTCGCGCGCGTTGGTGCGGAACGAGCAGCCAGAAGCAAGCACATCATTCTGCCGGTACTTGATGAGCTCGCGGTTGGGATTCTGGCCGGCTCATTCGCAAAACTCTTTACCACGCCGCTGTCTAACATTGTGGCGCGCAAGCAGACGTCAGCGTCGCGCAAAGATAAAAATGCCAAAAATTTGTCTACAAGCGACATCGCAAGTCAAATCCACTCCGAAAAGGGTCTTCTTGGCTTCTGGTCCGGATACTCCGCCACCCTGATCCTGACACTCAACCCGTCTATCACATTCTTCCTGAACGAATTCCTCAAACGCACCCTCCTTCCTCGATCAAAGCGGGACAAGCCCTCACCAGCCCTCACATTTCTTCTGGCAGCCTTGAGTAAAGTCGCAGCATCATCCATCACATACCCTATCTCACTTGCCAAGACTCGGGCGCAAGTAATGAGCAATTCGAAGTCCGAGTCTCCAGCATCCGAGAAGACCAAGTCACTTTTGTCCTCGCTCACACCTGAGATTCTTTCTGCAGTCCTCACAATCGCCCGTACAGATGGCGCATCAGGGCTTTATGCAGGTCTGCAAGGTGAAGTTCTGAAAGGCTTCTTCTCCCACGGCTTTACAATGCTAGCTAAAGATGCGGTATATACCTCCATCATCAAGAGCTACTATCTTCTCCTAATGCTCGCACGACGCTACCCCTCGCCCGAGGAATTGATGGAGCGTGCTCGCGAGCAGGCCGAGGAATACTCCGAGGTGGTTCGCGAGGGAGCGCGCGACCTAGTCGAGCGAACTAAGGAGGGTGCCGAAGAGTTACTGAATGCAAATGCTGGCAACGTCGCCGTTGACATGACATCGAGCTCGGCTGGTGCCGCTGGTGCCGCTGAGAGCGCACGTCACGGCATCGACGCTTCCTCTGGGCTCAAGGTTCCAAACCCCTCGGTCCCTGACGAGCTCAACGAGACAGCTGAGTTGGTCGGTGACTATGTTGAGGATGAAGCGGTGGAATGGAAGAGCTTATATCATTGGTTCTGGGAAAAAGATCGCAGCCCGCATCGAGACTGATTTCCCTGGTTTCGGCTCACGGTTCACATATGCTTTTTTGATACGATCATTACCTTAATATGTTATATTGTAAATTTGAAAGCGGATTGAATTAATGACATGACTCTTTTTAGTTTCAGATGCTGATCTACCTAGGCAACCACCGACGTCAACTGGTCACAGTCTATCCATGGATCCATTGCACTGACTTTATCTCTATCGTTTCGTATATATCGCATATTACGCTACTGCAAGACGGAAGCGAATGATGTGATATGACGCGCCGCTGGCCCCCGCTAACATCATGCTGGAACTATCTGAGACATCGGCCACTTGCCGACAATACCGTTGGAGACATCTGGCCAGTACTCAGAATCCCGCCTCAATTCGGCATCAATGGCTTCTAGTTAACGAAAATCCAAGTGTTTATCTTCTGATCTTTGCGACGCACCGAACTTCTGGTTCATCTGGACCCCCATTACCCGATTGAGACCCCGGCCCCTCGTTATCACTGATATCGACTAGCTCGGTCTTTGGCGTCGGCCCCCTAAATTGATTGGGCCCAAAGCGAGGCCTACGATGTTACCCTCTTCTAATGCTCTCGTCAGCGACATTTTTATAAAGCCAAGTCACCCAAGAAACAACACTCGATCGCATTGAACCGTACACACAACCTTGGAACACCCAAGCTCCAATGGAACTATTCAAGTCAGAGCGTCTGCTCTACCGAGCACCAGAGGACTCTGCGGAGGACAAAGAATTCATTCACTCCTCCATCATCAATGACAATACCATTCAAACAATGAGCACGATGCGGCTCAGCCGCCCGGCAAACAAATCCGCCGCTGATGAATTCATCAAACAAATGCATGGAGCCGTTCTGGGAGTGCTTATATGTCTCCCTGCTCCAACATCCGAAGATAAGACGACCGCATCTGAGGGCTCAAGTCCATCCACGACTACCAAGCCAATTCCAATCGGTCATATGAATATATTCTATACGCACGGAGCAGATGCTTCTCATCACCGGAACGCGATGATAGGCATCTCATTCGCGGAGGGATATCGAGGCAAAGGCTACGGCGGAGAAGCAATCAACTGGGCCCTTGACTGGGCATTTATGCGTGGTGGTTTCCACAGAATTTCTATTGGGGCTTTCTCTTTCAACACCAATGCTTTGAAGCTTTACCGGAAGCTTGGGTTCGTGGATGAAGGCCGTGACCGTGAAGCTATATTCCATCTTCGGAAATGGCATGATCTTGTCAGCCTTGGTATGCTGGAGAATGAGTGGGAAGAATTGAGGTCTAAGCAGTCGGAGATTACGCATGGAGGCGAGTAGATATTTAGTACAAGTAGCCCCGTTGGGCGAGTCATTCATATTGATATCTCTTTTTATCATGTCAAGATATGAAGTGAGGATTCAGTTCATTGATAATTGTATGATGGCAGCAATACCAAGTCCTCGTTCACTCGTCTAGAGCAAGAACTGGTTGAGTCGCGCAGTGGATTACGCCTCCGGCCAGAGGAAGAGCCGTGACATGTACTGGGCGAACCACGCGATCAGGACACAACTTCTGGAAGAGTTCCAAAGCATCTTTGTCGGTTTGAGTATCCCCGAATTGAGGAATGATGAGACCACCGTTGACGAAGTAGAAGTTGACGTAGTTGGTCGCCGGTTCCTCATACGCCAATTCTCCAAAACAGCGAGGATCGGGCTCCTGGACTGTATGTATCTCGAAAGGACGACCCTTCGCATCAACCGACTGATCCAGTATCTTCTTTATGTCTTCATAGACCTTCACCCACTCCGCTGGAGCGCTCGAATGAGGACGTGAAAGAACAACGACACCGGGACGAATGAAGTTAACTTCGGCATCGACATGCACGTCTGTCACATCTAAATCTTTCTTCCCGGGGAACCATATGATTTTATCAACGCCTAGCAATCGATATAACTCTGCCTCGATCTCGGAACGCGAAAGATCCGGGTTGCGATTGGCGTTGAGGATACTGCTTTCCGTCGCCAACAGGGTTCCCTCGCCATCCACAACCAATGCCCCACCTTCTAGACAGACCGTAGACTCCACTGCAGTTACTGGAGACGGAGAACTATCAGATTGAATAACCCGCTTGGCAAAGGTTGCGTTTTCTTCGAGTTGCGCGCTCTCCATCACGGGCCAATCCATACCATCGGAGGCCCGATCGTGGTCGCCAATGTCATCTTTTCTTCCCCACTCACTGAAGCGGAAGTTGATTGCAAAGCGCTTCTGACGATCATCCTCGCCAGCTCCCTGCACGTAAACCGGTCCGGTGTCTCGGACCCAAAGGTGGTTCGTAAGGAAAGGGATAACAGATACATTTGCGGTGTCGCTTGGGTACTTTCTGCTCGCTTGGGCAAGCATTGAGTCTGCCTTTGACACATCTTCAGGTCGTGTGTATAACCTCACTGGCTCGTGGGCTGAGATTGCAGCGGCCAAGCTGGCGATGTCGGTACATGCGCTTTCATAGTATGCCGGGGCAATTGAAACCTTGGATGGGAATCCGAGAATAGTCGCGGCATGACGAGCTGTCTCCTGGGGGTATCGATACTTCCCCGTGTATTTGAGTGTAGATGCCATTCTTTTGAATGACATTGAAAGTCTGACGCTTGCGACTAGAGACAGACGGGTCAGTCTCTAGATCATTCAATCGTCTTCACACAAACCCGTACACTGACTTCGACCTAGTGGTGCTATGGCGAAGTGTGGATAGCTCGATGAAATCTTGAGCATGATCGCTGGGGAGAAGAGGGTAATTTATGGGCGTGATTCACAGCGAAGTAAATTAGCGGACAATTCTCCGCTGCGTTGATCAGAGCTTGGCTTTCGGGGGCCGAGGACACCGGTACATTACGTAATTTCTAATATTTCCACCTGGGCATCGAAGGGTTTCAAGAGCATAAACATGGTGTAGTCTGATTGCTGTGGGTGTTCTGGTGATGATATCAAACCCTGGAGTCGACTTTGAACTCGAGAGGCTGGACATGATGACGCTGCCCCACGTTCATTTCAATTCGGTTTCACCTAATTCCGGAAAGTCACTGTTTGGGGTTGGCCGCGATCATGTCTGTGACTTGCTCGGCGACCGGGATGACAAGGTAGTTCCACCGCCAAAGAGAGGATATCTATCTGTCACGGCATCCGTGGATGAATAAATGAGCGTCCAAAGTCCCGACTCCACTCCACTTTTCCAAATCACGGTATATATCTGTAGTATGGGTGAGTTATATAATGTTCACGGGTGCAATCCATGATGGCATCCATGGATGTGGTTCTTTGACTTGAGGCCGCGTTGCAGGATTAGATACACTCCAAGTGTGCACACTGCTGAGTGACCTAGCAATGAGTCCACGGGTGCTGTCATGAATAGTAGGCAACAGAAGGAAAGACAAACAAAAGTAAGCCTTCAAGTCTGAATGGTATCAAACTAGGCGTTTCAAATCCAGAGGTCGCTTGGGATGAGCTCGGAAGCTATCCATCGAGCCTGACAAACACGCAAAGCCATAGCTGAAAGATTAGAAATCTGGAACATGCTGGCTGAAAAAGACCCTATATGGCTGATGCGATATGGCAAGCCAATTCATTGTCGCATATATGCTCTGTGTGCGCCAAAACGTCTCTGGCTGATGTTGCTTTTGGAATGTCGAATAGATGGTCGAGACTGGACTGCCAGTGCCGCTTTGGGGCAACCCCGGGCCCAATGTCAACGAGCTATTCAATACTGCAGAAGCAGCTGACCAGCGACTTGGGTTCCCCCCAAAGAAGGTCAATTGCTGCCATGGGGGACAGCATGGCGATGATTGAAAGTGGAATTGAACGGTGGACCCAGTGGACCCGATTTCACCAGGGCGATGACTCAGCACCCGACGCAGCCAATGGACGGGCAGCCCTAGCGAGTTGGTGAATCATGTGACCACACACACACCAAATTATTTCCATTAAACCTTTCGGCCTAGAAATCTCGACGACTCCAACGACAACCGCCCCGAGCTCTTTCACGATCCCCTTAAGAGGCTCCGACAAAATGCCCGCCATGAACCAGAGTACGTGAACTCCTTGTGCTCTTTTTTTCCTACTCGCCGCCGTACCCATGATCGATCCCCGAACGAGTATGCTGATGGTCAATCTCCAGGTCTCGCCTCTTCGCGCCGGAAGTCGCGCAAGGCTCACTTCAACGCTCCCTCCAGCGAGCGCCGCGTCCGCATGAGCGCTCACCTGAGCAAGGAATTGCAGGAGAAGTACAATGTACGTTGGAACATCCGAACACCCACGATCTGAGAACCCCTCGAAGTTGGACTGGGAACGGCATGAGCATTTCGTCCACATGGAAGTGGGCTTGTCCACCATTGGAATGGAGGAGGAAATTGCACATGCGAAACCAAATCAACGACGCCAGATTCGACGACTGGGATCGAAAATTTTCCCACGCAAAGAACTTTCATCTCTAACCTGTCTCCGTTCATAGGTCCGCTCCATCCCCATCCGCAAGGACGATGAGGTGATCGTGGCTCGGGGCTCCAGCAAGGGACAGACCGGCCGTATCACCACCGTCTACCGTCTCAAGTACTGTGTCCACATCGAGCGTGTCGCCCGCGAGAAGACCAACGGCCAGTCCGTCCCCATCCCCATCTCCGCCTCCAACGTCGTCATCACCAAGCTGCACCTCGACAAGGATCGTGAGCAGATCCTTGCCCGGATCGCCAAGGGTCGTGAGGCCGTTCAGAGCAAGTCCGCTTAAGTGATTTTTGGGGGGGTTTACGTTCAGTTTACTATGGTGGTGACAGCGCGGGAGTTCTGAAAAACGCGAAAAATGCGAGGCCCAACGTCTATGATCACACATCTACTGAAATAGGCGCATTAAGATACTGAAGAACGAAAATTCCTATTTATCTTTCCATTATCTGCGCCCTGGGCTCATGGCCTTTCTCGAGCATTCTGCGTACCGCGGGCCATGGGCACTGCATCGGAGATCGTCCATTGCTTGTCTTACGGTTCTTTTTGGATTGCTTTGGCCTGCTTCTTTTGACCCCTCACTGCGCCCCCTCCCCCTCGTCCTATACATAGGGAAGCCGTGCCGGGGTCAATCCAGTAATGTCCACATACTTTGATGTCTCTATGCATCACCCGTAAACTCTGGCTGTCCCTGTAAGCCCCACCAAGACAAGCCCTTGGCTGCAAAGTTGTCCAGACCCTTTGACGTAGCCACTGTATTCCAAGCGTTGGTATATCAACCCAGATCAGCCGGAAAAGTGGGCACGCAGTCTGAATTAGTGCTGGTACCTACCTGGTGGCGCTCTAGTTTCTGTTTCAAAGTGATGTGCCCTCATTGTGGAGCATTGTTGACCTACTTGCCCATCGTAGGGTTACTGTCGTCCATCCCGATGTCTACGAACGCATACTGCCTTCTCAATTCAATTACCTCTCATTTCCAATTTTGAGAGTAGAAAGTCTTTTCTTCAGGCTAGTCGCATTGTGGAGCTCAATAATATCCCGGGAAAATCGTGCGTTCTACGGGCGATATCTGATGGTATATATATCCACCTGGGCATGGATCCCATCATGGAGTCGAGCAATTCAAAATGAAACACCAACTTGGAACGACCTAAGAACTTTGACACATGGTTCACTGGATAGGTAGTGCATATTTGGCCAGGTGGGGGCCTAGAAACCGACTGCATTGAAAAACATTCGAAAAGTCTCCAGGGTCCCAACCTTGGAATGAATTCCAAGTGCGCCTGAAACAGCAATCGAGAATTGTCGACGAGACGGACACAGGCACAATGAACATGCCGCAAAACATATGTATTTCTTGCCTATAAACCCGACAGGGCATTTTCATACAAGCACGCAGTTTCGGGATATCATTTATGTGTACCTTAGTCTGTATTTGACTTCATAGGGCCAATGACATGCCCACCTGGGCATAGACCACTGCAGTCATACCTGGTGTAGTGGCCTCGAGACTCCACACGCACCTAGGCTGTCTGCCTCGGCCACTTATCCATCCATGGATCTATGGTGACATGTAGGGTCCCTAGGTATTTCAGACTGCGTTCCACGCTCGCAGGAATCACGAAATCATACACCTATGTATGAACCAGCTCTGAAAAATACCTACGAGCCACCTTGCATGTATGAGATGACCTTGGAAACTACCTGTGCAGCTATATATCACTGAAAATCGACCCACATCGGTTGAATCATCCATGGATGCTTTTGAAGCCATATTAAACCAGCCAGCCCAATGGGAGGACCACCACACCCATTTCAGGTGACCGTCCACGGGTACATTTCGAAGAAAAGGACATGTTTCAGGTTATTTGATGGGCTGCGGCAAATGGTAAAACTGCGAGGTGCATGCTCAGCTGGACAATGGCTTTGAAGGCATGATCCCAAGGTTTCGACGACATTGGACTGTCAATCCTGAATGAGTGGTGATGTAACAAATAGTTCTCTTGTTCAAGTAATTCCATGCCCAGGTGACGACCATCGATGCAAGACGGCGACATTGGACTCTAAGCACCCACTACAAACGTACAAGCATATACAACACCTACAGACTACGCAGCCTACGACAAAAAAACCAAACATCAAAGAGTCCATTCACTCCATCGACAAAGCCGAACGAAGCCAACGACCCAGAAACCCATTTTCAAAAGAATAACCATAAATCCAAACCACGATGCAACAGCATCACCCATGTCCAAACCAAACCCAAACCCCAGAAATTAAACGCAAAAGAAGAAACCCATCACACCATATCGCATTAAAACCCAAGCCATCGGCAATGAGAGAAAAAAGTCCAAAGACCAAACTCAACCACCGAAACCGTAGAGGGTACGGCCCTGGCGCTTAAGAGCATAGACGACATCGAGGGAAGTGACAGTCTTGCGCTTGGCGTGCTCGGTGTAAGTGACAGCGTCACGGATGACGGACTCGAGGAAAGTCTTGAGGACACCACGGGTCTCTTCGTAGATCATGGCGGAGATACGCTTGACACCACCACGGCGAGCGAGACGACGGATCGCGGGCTTGGTGATTCCCTGGATGTTGTCGCGGAGGATCTTGCGGTGACGCTTGGCGCCGCCTTTGCCGAGACCTTTGCCTCCTTTGCCACCTGTTGGGGGTTAGTTGTGGTCTCATATGTATGTATGTATGTGAGGGTGGGTTGGGTTGGAATGGAAGCTATTCCCGATTGGGAATGGTGGGATGTGGTGCCTTGGAACACGTGATGTAGGGGATATCGCGAGATTTTGTGTCTTTGTTGCCTCATGACGACAACAAAGGCTGCGAAGGTGGGGTTTGATGATGGAATGGGTATTCGCATTGTCACTTACGTCCAGACATGATGGTAGAAATGAAGAAAAGATGGAAATTTAGATGGAAGTGGTGGATCGACGATGTGAGTCGATCAAAAGAGACGCGTAGATGGAGAGAAGAGAAGGAAAAACAGTAAGCGGGGGGGAGGGAGTTAAATAAGGGAAAAGGAAAGACTACTGATTCGGGGGGAGGATTTAGGTAAGCGAAAGGGAATAAGTGCAAAAAGCGGTGATTGGCGCAAGGCGGGGGAGGAAAAAGGGCGTTATGAAGGGTCGGTTTCCAGCGCGTCTACCAGACATTTGCCCGGCAGGTTTCTGCTGTGAGCGCCGAAGATGTCACGTGATTTACGCTAACCCCGTTGGGAAGTATACATCTCAATTTTGGAACTGTACATCTTGTCTCATATGTGTTCGAGCTGTTTATAATGTCTAATACTATGTCTATGAGTATGGAATACAGTGTAACACTATACTCCTTTTATTATTGTCTTTACTTCTTAGCGAGGTACTGTTGCCTACGAGTTTACAAGGATCAATTGCGTTCATCATGTCTCGTATCATTTGGAACTACGTCACAATGCCGAGGGCAGTCATGTATCAGTATCTTCGCATCTTCGCATCTTCGCATAGTCGCGTCTTCGCATCTCCTATCCCCGTCCTACCAAATCGGTGGACCATATTGTGGATACTGAGAGTGGAAGAAAAACAAAAAGCCAGAGAAAAGGGGAAAAAATCAAAGAGAAGAAACAAGTAGAAACGGAATAAAAGGACAGGCGAACGAGAATCGAAAAAAAGAAGAGAAAAGAAGATCCCTGAACACCATGCAAAAGACAACCCATAAAAGTGCAATGCATCAGAAAAATCGAAAGTGGAGGCGGGCGAACTAAAAAGAACTTTTGCGTTGAAAGAAGAGCCATCCAAAGAATAGCGGAGAAGTGAAAATGCCTCGAAAAAAAGAAGTCGTATCGTCATCATGCGCAGTCGTGGACCACAGAGCGAGTTAAAAAGAGGAAAAGAACAGCACCGAGGAATAACGTAAAGGTGACCGAGCCGGAAAATGGGACGGTCGCGTCGATAATTTCTCTCGACGCAAAGTGAAATCCCAAGTCATGACTGACGAGACGAAAGGACTCCGCGGTTTATTATACATCGCAAAGCCCAGTCGCGCACACAAGCCGATGACTGGGAATCACTGGCGGAATTGAGGGTTGGAGGGGGGAAGAAAATGGAGACAACATCCACATCAATCAAACGCCGATACAAGGGGTTGCAAAGGAAGTCGAGATTGGGGCAAAGGATCTGTCCACTTCATCGTGAGGAAAATCAAGTCCTCTTCACAGAAGGCGTCAACGAGGTGCACTCAAGGCCAGGGAGAAGCGGGGCCAAAGAAATTTGAGGCGTTCATAGAGTTTTTCTATGTTACTCACCCTCTAATAACGGTTGACGTGTGAGGGTCATTCATGAAACCGCGGTTGAATGAGTAGTGAAACCCCAGAGGGGATGGGGAGGGACGGGGTGAGGCGCGGGGGCTGATGGAACGGGAGGCCTCGACCTCAGGGGCCTTGAGAGGGGCCGGGGAGCGTGGGGAGAGAGGTGGGGATGGGCAAGCAGGCACGGAGACGTGCTTGGGAGCCTCACCTCCACGGGTGGTGGCAGTGGTCGGTGGTGCCTTCAGACTGGTGCCTTGGGGCGACCCATACTGTCGAAAACGAGTTAGATGACTTGTCGTGGCGAGGAGGGATTGGTGGACTTACGAAGCAGTACTTATCGACCAACTCCTGGTACACAGTGGACTCGAGGCGTGGCTTGCTAGATACCAAAGAGGAAGGTTTCAGATCTTCCGCACGACCCCCGGTGCGGGAGGTATCGCTCACTGCAGGACCAGGACCACCAAAGCTTGCAGTCTTCTTGACGGGCTTCGCGGCCGGCGGGGCGGACTCTCCGGATTTCGCACGGGCAGTCAGGGTGGTTCGATCGACGGGGGCCTTGGACCGCATAGCCGCAGTCAAAGACGCTCCGAAATCGTACCGGTTCCCGAATGCTTGGCGGTTGGAGTTCTCGCGACGCTTAGGCGGAGCGACCGTGTCAATCTCTTCCGAAGGCGTCCGGGTGAGAGGCACACCGTTGGAACCGTTGAACGGGTTGGCGAACGACGGCTTCTCACCCAGGTCGGGGAAGTCATAGGTGGGAGGCATCGACTGCGGGCGAATGGTGTGGGTGCTAGTGAAGGATCGGCTGCGAGGAAGAGCCGGGCGAGAGCTACTGCCAGCGGGCTTGTTCGCGGGGGCCTTGGAAACCTTGTGGAAATCGACCTGGTAGTTGACCGAGTCGTTGTTGTCCCAGTATTCCTGTCCATCCACGTTGTACCGGATGCACATGAACATGGTTTTAGTCTCGAGGTTGGCCTGGTCATTCAATTTGAAATCGAAAGAAAAGCGATCAAACCCATCGGCGGCTTGCTGACGACGAACGTCGTGGCAAAATGCCGCCCCGACCTCCGAAGTCGTCCTCCAATAATCCAGGGTGAACCGCGCAGTGACGAACTTCTGGAAGGCAAGGTTGGCCACAGCCACGGTGCCAATCAAGGTGCTCTTATCAGCCGACAAGAACAAGCGCTCGAGGCGCACGGGGTTGTTTGCACGAGACGAGTCGTTCTTGGGCCAATTGGCGAGCTTGATCTCCCACTCCCATGAGGGGCCTGAGTCTGATCTGAAAGGGAATTCACCTTTGGTGTCGTGGTTGTCCACCGGGGACGTTTCCGCGCTCACAGCCAATGGCCGGTCGAGCTGCAGGAAGTGGCGAATATGCTCGAGGTGGGCGTCGAAGTGCACCGCCTTGGCGTAGACTGGGGTGCCGGGCATGCTTGAAGGCCGTCGTCGGGCCGAAGCCGGGCGAAGAGCCGGGCGGACCAGCTCGCCGGACTTCTTTCTGACCATTGGGGGCTTCACGGTCATTTCCACATCGCTATCGTCGGGCGAGCTTGTCAGGGCCTCTTCCCGGGCGAAGTCAATGGCGGTTTCGGTGGAGGATCGCGAGTGGGTGATCTTCCGGGCTTCCTTGGACAAGGGTAAGTGAGGAAGCTTGGGACGAGTCGGCTTGGTGTCGGTCTCAGTCGACGACTTGGAGGTCGGGGCCTGCGCCGACTGCTCCGGACCCATCCTCTCAGGCGAGCTCTCCCTTCTCAGTTTGATTGAGCGCACGGCGGCCTCGAGCTCCTCCATCTTCAACCCCTCTCCACGCGGGTAGGGTGATTCCTCATCGCTGGAGTTGGGACCGGACTCGGGGGGCGAGATGACTGCCCCAGGAGGTATGATGGCGTTGTTCACCGGCGGTGGGGATTGGCGGAGACTGGCATGTGGGTCGATGGAGGGTGAGGCGCGGGCCGGGGTCTCTGGAGCGGAATGCACTGTTGCTTTACTGATCGAAGGGCTCCTTCGATGACGACGGGTGTATGATGTGGAGGAGTATGAACGGGAGTTCTGCAGCCGTTCTGACGAGGAGCGGACCAAGGGTGGCCGCTCGCAGGTCTCGGGGGAAAATTCAATGTGCTGCGCGGAGAGCAACGTCTTCAACGGCGCAGTGTAGGGCATCCGGCCGACTTGTTCCTGTACACCAGCTGGGGAAAAGGGGGATGGCAATGTCCAAGACTTCATTCACAATGAAGTGTCTGAGGTCATATTAGTGACTGGCCACAGATGAGGTTCGGGGCAAGTGCAACGGAGGGGGGAGAGAGAGCTTATCAATTACCTTGGTGGCAAAACCGAACTACAAAATGTACATTAAAAAGAAAAGATCAAAAAGCCATTCCCGCTATGACCGAGATAAGGAGGTGTGAGAGAAAAGTGAACCAGAAGATAAAATTCCGTTATTATAGCATTTTGAGAGGGTGGAACATGGATATCAAGTTTAGGAAAATTCATAAGAAAATTACCAAACGGTCGAAAAAGATAATAATAAAAAAAAAGGAAAAAAAGGGAATATAAATTGCAGTGCGTCTGCTTTGCAGCTCCGCTTGGGGGTCAGTGCGATGTATAGCTGTGGTATAGCCATTTCTCCTCGGGACCCCAGTTTTTTTTTTTCTTTTTAATTTCCTATATACAGTACTACTAGCGAGGTTCTCATCTGTATACCAGTACCATTACTACAGATCCATACTGTCAGAGTTCTCAACTTCTCAATTGCTCGAGCTCACTATACTGTGCTGCTCGGCCCCTCTAGTGGCCGAGCTAGCGGACGACAGACCTCCATCAGCCCACAGGCGCTAGGCCACCTAACTTTCCTTCAATGTTCCCTGTTTTTGGACTGACGTATATCATCCTAGCCGCTTGACCTGCACCTCACGAAGATTCATATACTGTACAGTATACTCCGTAGTAGTAACAGTATAGTACGGTTACTCTAGGTGGAGTAGTTTTATCAGTGTAAAGAGTCCTTGGATCATCTCAATCTACTGTAGAGTCTGCGAGCAGAATCGAGACAGAGAAAGAGAAAAATTCCGCTCCACTTTTCTTTTACCGATAAATACTAGGGATATGTTTGGCTATGCAAGTGCTAGAAGTATAGGATCCACTCCCCAGATTGGGGTCCCCCTTCGCGGCTCGACTGGCTCGTACCACTTCACCTGGGCACAGTATACCCTTGGACGGTTCTTTTTAATTTGAATATGTAGGAGAGCCGGGAGATTATTATACTTTACACAGTGCCGGAGAAAAATACCGCGCAGTATCTTCAGTTACATTGCAATGCGACCCGGGATATTACGACTCTGTTATCGCCGTGATCGGAACCTTGGATCGCAGACGTTCGCCGATCACGATTTGGTCGTCGCCGGTGTACTGAGTACAGTATGTACGGAATTCAACCGTGACGTGCATCACTGTTGTACCTAGATCAGTTCACTGTACTCCGGAGTTTGGTGGATCTACGAGGCGTAGCATGCACTCCAGGGCTCCACCGACTGTGCCGCCCAAGCCGAATCTGGAGAAACGTCCAAGAACTGTTGAATGGGGGTTTGAACTGTTTGAACAGGTGGATTTCGAAGATTGAACCATGCATCGAAATGCAATCGAGTACGGAGGATTAGTGCACCATCGATTGCGAATGTCAGTTGTATTGCCAAATGTCGATCGGAAATCACGACTTGCGTGGTATTTCCACGAGAAATGCATGATGTCACGATGCAGTTGACAGATGCCTTGGTTTTTTTTTTTTCTTCGCTTCCTTGGCGAATGGTCTGGACCCCCGGTCGCTCGTGCAGGCGATTATCTTTGCTGCCTTTGACCTGTCCCCGTCGATCGTGTCTGTACATACAACTCCTGACCCAAAACTTGGAAGAGGATACATATGATGGAATGCGCAGATAGTGAGATCCTCTGAACTTGGCGATGAATTGAGATCGGGGGTATACGGAGATCCTGTGAAACTCTCCGTGACGTTCGGACACTCTGGTGCAGACCTATCTGAACCATTTAGTTCTGCGCCGCGTTTCACGATTTCTGTACCAATGAGAAGCTGGAATACGAGTTATACTAAATATACTGAGTTTAGCACGATTGACTCTATATTTCTTTTACGACGAGTGCCCACTAAAAAAAAAAGGGAAAAAGATAACCGAGAAAAATGAAGTATACGAAGCGTTAAACGCGCCCGGGCCAACCCCTTTGTGAGTATCTTTTGCCACCCCTTGATCCCAACAAAACAACATGTGGCTTTGAGAACGTTCAGGTGGAGCAATATGCGAGTCTCGACTCGTTCATCTGACTGCGAAAAAAATTCGATCTGCAAGGTTGATCCAATGCACTTAGTACGGGGTACCAAGGGTATCCATACTACTCCGTACTCCGTACGGGCGTTCCCGACTCCGGGTTCCCTTCTGAACCTCTCGGTGAGGTCGCAACATTCCGAGACACCCATGGGGAACTCTACCGTTGAGTTTTGCTTTTTTCTCCCTTTCTTGGCTATCAAAATAAAAGCTCGGTCCAGGCCGTTAATATCATGGTATACAGGTCAAACCTACATGGATTTACTGAACCCTGCGATCGCCTTCAGCCTTAGGATACCCCCGCGCTTGGCTTTCCAATTGACCACTCGACTGTGACTCAATTCCGAAAAGCGGATGAGTTTGCTCCTGGAAATCCGCTCTGACTCGCCATGGCGACAAAAATCCCCCCAAAAACTGCAACTCGCCCCGAGGGCGTTACCGTGGCTGAACCCAGGGGTCAACCTGAGGACTGACACCGGTCAGGTCCCCGAGTCTCATCTCGCGCCATCAGGTCCGACCGTGCTAAATTTAAGCTTCTATCGGTTCACCCTGTCGATATAACGCGCAAGCCGCTTTGGGCAGCGGCTTGGCTGGCCCGTCGCCAAGAGAGAGATGAGGATGCAATTGATGTGAAATGTGAAGTGAGCGCAAAGAGGGGCAACGCCTGAGAGAGAGCTACCCCGCCGTAGGGTCGGCGTCAGCTTGATGCAGGCTCGAACTCGGACGATCTGGGGACTGCCCTTTGCCTACCCCGCAAGCTATACCCCAGAATTGCATTCGGTTGGAACCGACTTCACTGAGGATCTACCAATGAGCAATTGTGGTGGAAATTGTAGATATCTATCGATGGAGTTGTCTGGACAGTTTTCGTCTCGTCAATCCCAACATCTAATCTCCTGATTGAACATACCACTGTGCGATCAGCCAACAATCGCAATGTCGCACAACATTGTCCGTTTCAACCCGTTTCAACCCACAGAAGCCGACGAATATGAGACGAGATATGGGAATGCAATATGATTGGTCCAGACCGGCAGATAGCTCAGGAATAAGAACTCGCAACGCATTGTGGGCTGACTATGCAATGTCGCACGTCGGGCTAATCCCAGACGCCCTTCCTGCACTGCACTGCACTCAGCACCTGACCTTCCAGCATCCCTGCCAGATGCTTCTCGTGCCCTCAAGGGGCATCTGTACACCGGGCGCTGTATCTTGCAAAATCCGCTGAGGATGTGGCACCACCTTGCACGGCTTGGCGTGGGTAGGCGATCAGGGACAGCCGCTTTAGTCGAGAGTGCATATAGTACTCCGTCGCCCTCCAGCACAGACTGGGGCCAAGTTACCCGAAGTCATAATACAATTCCAATATACATACCTCGTTGCCAAAGGCCTATAATAGCAACTAATCTCGAAGTATACATACTTCAGGGCCCCACGCTTATGCATGGCATGCGAGACAGGCTCAGCGCCAAAAGAGGCCCCACCAATTTGGACCGGCCAGAACGGAGGCGCGGTAGTCAGTGCACCCGAACCCGGGACTACGACTCGACAGCATGACTGTGGGGCTTGCATTGCTGGATTAGTCTGTGAGGCCGTGCATAAGGCGTTGCATTAGTGCGGCGAACTGACAATCGCTACGCATGGGAGAGGTCAATGCATGTTGTTTTTGCTCCCTCAGGGGTTTCATCTCTGCATGCTCTAGCCTGTGTACGGAGTATAGTACCAAGGACGCAGTACCAGTCGGGCTTATCTGGGGAAAATGATGTGCAACTTGCAGGTGTACCCCGAGGTCGCGGGGGGACTGTTCCCAATCTTTGTGTGCAGATACGGGGGTAAACTGTATCAAACTCGCATTGAGGCTTTTCTTTGGCTTAAGGATGAAGGTCCTCGCGCAACCTTCGATGTAGTCTCTCGGCTAACTTGGTCAAATGCAGTCGACCCCTAGCCCTATATTACCGCATCGCGAGCACAACTTGCCCTCCAGGGCTTGGGGGCCCTGGAGTCACTAGATTACCTAACAGCCAAGCCACCCATAGTAAGGCGTGCTCTGACTTGTCTATCTGAACCGCCGTCAGACGCCCAAGCTAGTGGATTGGTCTGGTAGCTCCCGTTATCATTGCGCGCCCAGCGGGAGAGGCGCTTTTCGTGTCAGCGCTATAGTTTGGGAAATAGATGTTACGGGATGACACGGCACGAAGAGTACCCATGACTTCTGGACCGGGACTGGTTATCCGTGATATCGACGTTAATTAGGGATCAAACATCCTCACCGGGATCGGACCCGGGGTATACGGCATAGCTTCAAACCAAATGCACGGCGTCGGGCGGATCCCTTATCGGTGAATGGCACCTGAGACCCAGAGAGGACGATCAATACTCTCTCGGTAGAGCCTTTGAAGGCCTGGCGCGCAGACGTTGGAAAGAGGTCTGAGTAAGGATGATCGCTACTTGGATGATCATTGACCATTCCCTGATCTCCTTGTGAAAGACCCGTGAAAAACCCTCACAGCCTCGCATATCGCGGGCTGCTATCTGAACGCGAGATTTCCTAAGACCACTGCCCAGCCAAAAAAAACATACAATTACTTGTTCACCATTGCGGGGTGCATCTGCCACCTCACCCTGTCCGAGCGATATTATCAGCTTACTGAACCTAACCTCGGTTTGGTCTACAATCCATGCCCAGATCTTCCCTAGCAGTAGACACCTGACAAGGCTCACGAGACGGCCAGCAAAGCAAACTTCCCCTCAAAAGCAATAGCCGGCTCTACATCTTCCGATCTATCAATAACCGCACCACCAAACGCCCTCTCCGAAGTATCCCCTCTCATCCCCCAAGCCACAGCAGGAATCCCGCAAGGCCCCAGCAGTCCCCCCGATCTCATAGGCCTTCCCCACACTTTCTTTTTTTTTTGCAAACTGATGTGCTCACGCAGATGATCACAGCATGCATCTCGCGCCGGAAGATCCGTGAGGAAGACTGCGTCGGCGTCTAATCTTCCCACGCGATATCGGCACCCAAGAGAGACACAGGCCCCTCCTCGCACGAAGGAACACAAAGTTCGCACTCACATGATTCTTGCAACGGTAGGTATCCAGTTCCGACGTTCCGGCTTCACAGAGAGGTGGCTCAGATCCTTGAAGTGAAAAATCGCCGTCGAAAAGTCAATTCTTCGTGCTGGAAGCCACCCCCTCACCGCTACCTCTCATGCTCCGATCGTCGCGGTGGAATGATGGAATACTGCCCACGCCACAGAGGCGAGGTTCAGAGAGACTTCCACCGTGCTTTCATCTCGCCTGGTTCGGTATCCCCTTTGCAATAAGTGGCGGCGCCAAGGGTGTACTCAGATACAACTAAAACTCTTTCTTCTCGGCCGGTCTGGTCCGCCAACGGACGGCCGCTCGGACGTTGTATCTCAAAGTCACTGAGAGGTACCTCTGCTTCTGCCAATAGATGGTTGTTTCCTGTGTTGCCATGGCGTTGAGGGGACGTGTCCTGCATCTTTGCCGCCACCACCGTAGTTGCGAAATTTGTTCTTTTGTCGAGGATGTAACGAGGTGTAGGACGGATCCCTATAGTCCAATTTCGAATGCATCCTTGGGTTTGGCGACCATCAGGTGACTTGCGTCTTGAACTTTCTCGGGGATTTCCTTTCTGGCGGAAGCGACTGGGTTGTGGGGGAGAGAACAGCCCCGGAACATATAGAACGTGATCGTCGATGCGATTCGTGCATGGGGTTCCAAGGTTGGAATGTCATCCAGACAAGCTGTCTCAAGGGCATGAGATGATCTGGTTTAAAGCTTGGAGAGGCTGGTTGACATGTAGCTAATGTTCACATAGATTGGAAGAATGTTGAAGTGCTGATATTGGGAATGGCAGAGCTGGCGATAGTCTGTATATCTCAGCTGATCTGGTCGCCTGAGGCTGGCATCAAAGAAGGGAAGTTGAAGCTGAAGTTGTAAGCGGAACGGGAGTCCCACTTCTCCCACTTTCTTCCCTTTTGTTTACCACCACCAAATGTCTCAAGCTCATGGGCTGGCGGACTTCGAAAAAGAGCTGGTATGCTCGGTAGGTACATCCCCCCCCAATCCCCCCTTACATCCCGCTGATCTCCATAGATCTGTACCGAGCTCTTCTACCAGCCCCTCACCCTCCTCGACTGCCTCCACACCTTCTGTGGCTCCTGCGTGAAAGAATGGTTCTCCGCACAAGGTTCGCGCTCCTCCGCACCCCGATTCACCTGCCCCTCCTGTCGCGCCGAGGTACGCGATACCCGTCCAAATGCCACCGTGACAACTCTACTGGGCATGGTCTTGGACGCGCATCCTGATCGTGCCCGATCCACGGACGAGAAAGCGGAAATCGCCCAACGCTATACACATGGGGAATCTGTATTTCCGACTGCGTCGGGCGGCGAGAGCGCAGACGAGCGCGACGATGCTCGGGTCCTGGACGAGGTGCGCGAGTTGAGTCTGCGGGAAAGTCGGGCGCAGGCGAGGCGGGAGACGAGGCGGGGCGCAGGCTCGCGAACCCGCGACGGGCATACTGAGAGGCATACGGAAGATGGCCGGTCAAGACGACGGAGGGAAGAGCGTGCATTGCGCTCTGATGATACGGAGCGGTCAAGGCGAGTCGAGCATCAATCGAGCTTGCGATCGCTGTTGAGTTTGTCCTCGGATATGGAGACGATGGAGGAGGAGATCTTGCGACAGATTCTAGAGGATGGTCTGCTGGATGAGATCAACTTGGATTCATTGGGACCGAGACAAGAGGAGGAGCTCAGTGAACGCATTGCGGACGCGTACCGTCGGAGACATATGCGGCAATCGCGATCTGGGCGACAAGATCAGAGCCAGAGACAGGAGTCCGAGACTCCTACACGAACGCATAGATCGGATTCCACGCAGAGGAATGCAGAGTCTACAACAAGCACTCGAGAGCACGGTGATAGACGGCCGCCAGCCTCGAGACCGCACCTGCTAAATTCCACACCGACACGACCGAGCATTTCAAACCACCAAAGACGAAACTCAGAACAGGGTCATGGGCGCCGGCGCACCTCGCCAGTTCGAACAAACCAGGCGTCGGCCTCAGACGACGCCATACGGCCCGCCATCCGCTCTTCGAGTGATATGACTGCTGACCGGGCTCGTGTGTCTCAAACTGGGCGGATAAGATCAGAATCATCATCAGCCAGATCGCGACGTGCTACTGAGTCGGGGCAGAATCCCACTGCCACCTGGACGGCAGGTCGAGAAAGAAGCTCCCACCGACAACCGACTAGCGAATCGGCCACCAACTCTCCCGTTGTTGCCACCGCACCCTCGACGACAACACAGCGCCAGACTCCAACCGAGCAGAACGTGCCTTCCATGTCCTCTCCTCTTGTTCCGAACAGGTCAGATAGGAGAACGAGACCATCGTCTCGATCCAATGGTCCTGCTTCTGTACAATACATTGAACCCTCCATCTCCTGTGACAGGTGCAGAAAGACCGGGATCCAGTATGATCTGCACAAAAGATGCACAAAATGCAAGAACGGGAACTTCCATCTATGTCTTCGGTGCTATCGAGATGGGCGTGGCTGTCACCAGTGGAGCGGGTTCGGGGCATCTGCCAAAGTCAACTTTCAACGGATCATTGCTTCCTCCTCTAGCCGTCCTTTGCAGATCAATGAGTCGGGGCATGTCATGGTCTGGTTCAAATATCAACGTCCACCAGAATCTTCCACGAGCACAGCAAGCGGCGAACGGCAGATGGTCAATGACAATCCTGCTCGCCGGCTACAGAGTGGTCTTTTCTGTAATACGTGCCAATCCCAGACCAACGACTGCTTTTGGGAATGCAGCAAGTGCAACGAAGGTGATTGGGGATTTTGCAATTCCTGTGTGAACCAAGGACGATGCTGCACCCACGCCTTGCTACCCATACGTCGCATAGCCCACGCTCCACCTCCTGCATCATCTGTTCCACACCCGCCAGTTCCTGCCGACCCTCCTCTGCCTACCGAACACGAGAGCTTCAAAATCCTGTCATTCTCCACCAACTGCGATATCTGCACATACCCAATTCCGGCCTCCAACACTCGCTACCACTGCCTGGAATGCAACGGTGGAGACTACGACGTCTGCAAAAACTGCTACCTAAAACTAGTCGCAACGAGCAAAATCAGCAGAGAAAACGGCCACCAAGGCTGGCGACGCTGTCTCGCCGGCCACCGAATGATCACAGTCGGTTTTGAAGACCACGAAGAAGGCCAACGCCGCGCCATCGTCAGTGATCTCGTCGGTGGCCGCGCCCTGAAAGACGAACACGTCGCACAGTCGCAGCCTCAATCCCCCACCCCAGATGTAAGCGGTCCAGTTGTATCTCCCAAATTCGGCACCGGCGACTGGAGCTGGAAGGAGGGTCCTGGACCCGAACGACGAAAAAAGGCATCCCGCGTCCGCGGCCTCGCCCTCGGTATAGGCCACGGCTCTGGTTCCGACATTTCGACTCCCGCGAGCCCAGTCCAAGGCATCCCGCCATTCCGCAGATTCCCACCGAATGGCGGTGTTGGCCTCATTGTTGAGGCTATTTGGCCTTGGTATCCTGAAGACGACGTCGTTGATGAATTGTCTTTCCCGCGTGGTGCTGATATCACCGAGGCGGAGAATATCAATGGCGATTGGTACTGGGGCTGCTATGCTGGGAAGACGGGGCTGTTTCCTGGTGCGCATATTAGGGTCGTGAGGGAGGTCTACAAGTGATGCTTGATATGCCTCTTGAGGATAACTTGGGCAACATGGCTGTTGGGACTTGTTGCCTATACATGATTATGATGATTATGATGATGGACTTGATGAATTTAAGCATCTTACATGATAGTTACGTTTTTTTTTAAAAAAAATATACCGGGAGTACTTGTTTCGATGACACAAGCTCTAGAGCTTCTAAGGATGCATTTAGTCAAGTTGACTGTGTAAACGGAGACCCCAGCCCTAGAGGTGTCCGGGCCACTCTAGGGCGAGGTTGTTGAAAAGGCTCTTTCTCACTATTTAGTAGCACCTGTACTCCGATATTAGCACACGCCTGCCTCAAACAGAGTAGAAAGGAAAAGAAAACCAACCTAGGAGCTTCTTGATATCCCAATAGATAGCGAATTGCCCTGCAGTAAGTCCACCAACCATGAAAAGACGCGTTGGGAGACCAGCAAAAGAGCCACGCAGACCAAGCTCACCCGCAATCTTGACCAAGCGAGAAACAGTGCTCTCACCAGGCAGACCCTTAGTCTTGTTGATCTTAGACAACATGGTATCAGCAGGTTGCGACACGATGGCAGCGGCAAAGCCACTAAGCAGACCAGAACCCAGGTTCACAGCAGTGGATGTCCCAGCCGACATTTGCGACTTATCAAACTGGCCAAGAATAGCTTCTGAGATCTTCTCGAAAGCGACGAACTTGGTTATCGTATAAGGAACCCTGTAGCCAGTCAGTCAGTACTTCATCAACCATATCACTCTCAGGCCTTGCAATAATGCAATCGACCGAAACAATAAACATACTGCTTAAACAAGATAGGACCAAAGCCCGAATAAAACGCAGCCACACCCTCATTCTTCAGAATCTTCCCAAACCCACCAACCAGACCACTGGCAAAGCCAGGCGTCGAGACAAGCCGAATCCGCGTAGCTTCCAACGGACACAGAGCAATCGAGGCAAAGAACTCAGCCGAACCAGCTGCAAGAACGTACCCGAGTGTACGGTTCTGCTGAGCTCGCTCTGCACCGAGCGCATCTGTGAATTTCTGATTGAAGAATTCGTAACCGCCAAATTTGAAGGCTCCTTGCATGAAATAGCCTGCGAAGGTTGGCCCGAAACCTGTCGCTAGAACGCTGATGCCTTCGTTGCGGATTATCTGGCGGAAGCTGCCGATCATGCCGCGGTTGTAGGTGCTTGGGTCGAGTTGGATTTTAGTCTTCACACTGTGAGTATATTCGTTAGCTGTTTTGCTGGTGAGTGGGGGCTAATTGTGATTACGGACACGTCAACTGGTGTGAAGGCGCTGTGGGTGATGGAGCAGCCCAGGGCACCGGCGAGTGCGAAGCGGGCATAGAGGTCGATGCCTTCCGGCTTGCTTGGGGGCTTGAGGGGAGTGGATTCAGACATGTCTTGGGCGTAAGGTGATAGAATGAAAGGGGACATCTGGGGCTGCGTAGTATTAGGGCATAGATGGGACGGAGTTAGCGGCATTAAGTCCGTGGGCTGCCTTGTCGTTCCTGTCTTTGGCCCCCAAGGCATGCTGTTTAACTCCGGTATGTCCAGTTCGCATTGGCAGACTTTGGCGACCCTCAAAGGCATTCTTAGATATCTATGTTTTACTTGGTGTGACTACCTTTTCACCGAGCCATCTGTTTCCAGTGAACGCAGTTTCATCTTTTCTATGGAAAGATGAGTTAAAGTGACCTTGGAAGCCAGATGTCTCATGAGAAAGGGCCCCGGGGATCATACAAAAGGGTTCTTGAAGTTGGATCTATGTCTATCTTGAGTGTAAGTGCCATGTATAAGCCTTGGAAGCCACATATCTCACTGGGTTTCGATGGCTGATACTTTCACATCGCCAATCTTCGAATCTCCCTGTGGCTCCAATGCATCTTTGGTGAATTCTGAACTCTCTTCATCAGCCCTGGACGAGAAACCAGACGCTTCATATCCGTATTCAGCCAACTGGGTGTTTCGCCGTCCCCACCAAAGCATCCCAAATTGAACAAAGATCGAAGAGAAGATAAACGCAGTGGCAAGCGGAAACCCAATCGGATACCTCGGGGAGTCGCTCGTCCTCCAGACTCGAATTGGAATCGTGGCATGGCCAATGTACACAATGGTCACCGTCAGAGCAACAAGAATAGACCGTGCTTCCGGTTCTTTCTTGAGCAGCTCAGCCAGCCAAGCTAGAAGTGACGGACTTCCCGCATTTGTCGCATATGTGAGGAAATAGAAGACCAGGATCACCCTCCAGTCCGAAGGCCAGGCACTCAAGACACTCAATACAATGCCCAACAGGAATGCCGGAGCAATGCTAATTTGCCAGCGCCATTGCTTCCAATCGGATAGTGCGTTGAGGCCCAGATTTGTGAGAATCTGGAGTGCATAGCCTCCCATGGGAATCACGTTGACTTGATACGTGCTGAATCGAAGGTTTCCGGCCGAGTCCTTCAATCCTTCAAGATAAAGCGTGAAGTAAGAGTTTGCTCGATTCGCCCAAGCGCTCAACGCAAACGAAGCCAAGAAGAAATACGTCACAGGATGAATGACGAGCTTGCGTAACTTCTGCACCACGACCTTTGTCGGGATCATGTTGGAAGTCGTAGCGCCAAACTCGGCCATTCGCCTGCGTGCAATGCTTTTATCCGCGTCCGTGAGCCAAATCGCACGCGTGAGAGAGGGGGTATCTGGGATGATGATCAGACCAAGCAGACCCTGTCCGATGGTGATTGCACCCGAGACGATGAACAGCCATTGCCATCCGGAGATGCCATGCACCCCGTTCATGTTGGTGTAAAGTGCCGCTTGAAGAGCGCTCAGGAACATACCACCTGCTGCATCTGAGACGCTGAAGAAGGCAATCCTCTTGGCTAGCTCGGCGGGTGTATACCAATTGAAGATCATCGATACTGCTGTAGGCCAGAACACTGCCGAGAACAGCCCCAGCAGTACTCGGAGCGCATATATGGTTTTCGCATTGGGTGCTTGAGCAATGCTATACCACAATTAACATGATTTCATACTAAATGGCTATCCACTTACCAGGTAACCAGGATTCCCCACGAAATCTCGCAAAATGGCAGAAACAACGAAGGCCGAACCTGGATTTTGAAATCAGTACACTACACATCGACTTTTGGATCCCATTTACCTTGGTCTGAATCAACTGGCCCGGAATGAGACCAATGGCATATCCAACAGAGAAGAAAGTGTTGAAGTTGACCAATTCATTCCCGTATAGTTGCAGGGACTCTTTCATCCCCGAAACATAAGCCTGCGCAGTGGCACTCTGATCCATCTCTTTCAAGATTCCAGCAATGAAAGTCCATGTCAACAGCAGACAGTCCAGCTTGAATACCAAGACATGCTGCGGATTTCGAAAGTAGGGAATGTAGCGTGCTACGATTTTGAAAATCCCCTGCTGATCCGCACCTTTGTCCCTCGATGAATCTGCCATTTTGATTTCATTGAATTTTCAATCAGGAATACTGCATCCTTGGATATCTCGTTAAGTACCTTCGTGTATTCCCCATCCTGAGGGGCGATCACGAAATTGGCTTGGCGCTGCAAGAGGAAATCTTTAGACTCGATTGACCGAAGGATTGACTTGAGCTCTACGCCATTAATATGCAAATTCTTAAATAGGAATGATATGTCGGAGGTTGGCCGCTACACACAGCGTGTCCACGGTCATGACTGACTCCCAATGTCGGGGCTTCTATCGCATCACTTGCGGCCAGGCTACTTCGTAGGTAGGATCCCATTGTTGATCGATGCCATATCTCTCATTGCAGATCATACATCAGGCGTAAACACATAAATCATCAAGAACATAATATATACAGTACTTTCAAGCATTACTCAAGAAGAGCAACCATCAACCGCCCGTAATCACCAGACGTCTCCCCACGCACCCTCTCCACCAATGGCTTTCCAAACTTATGCTGATAAGCGCGCTTCATCGTATCCTTATGCCTGCGATCCCAATGAGTCCGCACAACGCGCACCACAAGACGCTCATCCTTCGTGCCCATGCCGCGCATGCAATCCTCCAACAACATCGCATCCCGCATAGCAGGATCCGTAGCCGTACGAAGCATATGAAGCAACGCATCCTCCATATGACCCGAGAACTCCTTCTCAATATGCTTCTCCAGGGAAGTATGGTAGCGGGAATGGAAAGTCTGATCGATGGCGCGGATCTCAGCATCGGAGGATCGCGCAAAGATCGCGCACACCTCCTTCACGTTCTTTGGACCCTGGAGACAACGCACATCCGCCTCGATGGTCTGCGGGTTAACGGGCGCGGACTCCTCGTGACGCGCGGCCCGGAGAGCAGTCGCGAATAGCTCCGAGGTTCCGAAGGAGAGATCTGACTCGACGTCTCGGGAGAGCGAGCGCCCGTAGCGGATCTCGTACGCGGTTCGGATCGCGTTCAGATCGGCATTGGACCGTCCCAGGAGGATGTCGTTGAGGAGCCACTCCTTTGTTCCGGCACCGTCGATCGCTGAATGGATGCTCTCAACATCGTGAAGGAGGGGTCCGTTTATCACGGAGATGAGTCCTTGCTCGAAGTATCCGCTTGTCTCGGACTTGACGTCCTTGACCAAGTCGCGACCGAGGTGTTTCGAGAACGTGTCGCGGACGGCGGCGACTTGGAGCGGATCGAGGGGCGCGAGAACGGCGATCAGAGCCTTCTCGTCTGTTCCGAAGCCCTTCATCGCTTTGCGCAGCGCGTCCGCCTGCGGGCGGAAGTCTCCGGGTGCTAGCGTGCCGGGGATGTAGCCCAGTGAAGGTCTGGACGGAATCACCTGAGGTTGTCCATACCCGCCTGGCGCCTGGCCTTGGGGAGGGAATCCGTGAGCGCCAGGAGGTGGCTGGTTTGGAGGAGCATGGCCGTATGGAGGCTGTGGGGGTGGTGCATGGTATCCGTGGGGTTGCGGCGAGGGGGCGCCGTAGTGGCCTTGTGGGGGGGCACCGTAATGGCCTTGAGGAGGACCTTGAGGGGGATATTGACCCTGAGGAGGGTATTGGCCTTGTGGAGGATACTGGCCCTGGGGAGGGTATTGAGCTGGCGCCCCGTAGGGCTGCTGAGGCTGATGATAGCCCTGGGGCGGGGCACCGGGAGGCCCCTGTGCATATCCTCCATAGGGAGGCTCTGTTTCAAGTTAGCCATGCGCTACAACATCGGTCTGAGACACTCACGATTATAGTGAGACATGATAGAGAGACAAAGATACGCGGATGCACGGAATAATCAGCAGGGCGTCCTGTTTATGTACGGCTGGAGTGTGGCGCAGTAAGGTGGGGGCGTTCATTGGCGACGTCTGCCAATGTGAACTGCCAGGCACAGTGCGATTCTGTTCTAATTAAAGAAATGTGTAGCCTTGACTCAGACTTCGTCATTCGTATGTACTGATGTCTTTGCATTAGAGCTTGAGCCACTTTCCTCCTCCTCCGACATTGGTCCCCTTCTTGACCTCACCGTCGCTAAAGGGCATATCAAAGCCGCCGGTGATCGCAACTCCATTCTTGAGCCTGAGCTGGATCTGATCTTTCTGAACAGGCAGTTGTTCAAAGTCCTCGGATTGTTTGTGTAACTGTTCCGCCGATTCGTAGGCAACATCGGCGTTCGGAATCGAGAATGACTGCCCAAAGCCAGTCAGGTTTCCAACGAAGATATACTGGGAGCCTTCGACTTCAAATTGGCCAAGGACACGTCCTTTGTCGCTTGTGAGGGTACCAGTTCCTTGGGGCATCTATTGAGAGCAGTGGTCAATCATTTTTGTTCTATTGTTTTCACATTGGACTGAATGATGTAACTTACCGTGGATGGGTTGAAGGGCAGCTCTATAGACCTGGATCTAGATGGGTTTACATTCTTATAAGAAAGGTGATCGAAGAAGAGCGGTCAACTATAGGGCGTTCAAGGCGGGAGAGGGTGCATCGTGTCCGATGTCATACATGCAGGCCAAGTGGAGCCATGTGTGAGCTTGCTTCAATGTGGATGGTTGTCAAGCTTATCAAGTTCAATTGTACTGGAGAGCATATGAATACTATATGCAAGGTGTGCTGTGCCCATACCAGGCACGTACCTCCCCATGTAAGGGGATTTCTGATGCAATTGAACAATGGAGGAAATGACATGGATGTAAAAGAAGCCATTGAAAGAAAGCATTCGCGTGCTTTTAGCAAGCCTCGAGTGAGACGCTTGGAAGTCCGGGGTTCGTCTTCCCTTAGGCCTGGGCAATGTCTGTGACTCAAGCTGGTGCCAACGTTGACTTGGCAACTTTGTGAAAATCCAGCATCTGCAAGACCCTGAAAGAGGCATGGGGCGCATAAATCTACACTTGGTTTGGGTTGATTGAGAAAAGAAGATAAAGATTTTTCTCTTCCGTCCTATCATGTTGGATCAGATGAGCAGTGGGAAGCATGGGGTGCTCCGAGCATGCTTCCTAATCGAGTAATTAGCTATATTCCAAACCAAAAGAATGTCACTTTTACCAAGCTGGCAGCATTTGACGACAGCTTTGGCAGAAAATCACCAAGGACGCTCAGTGTGCTGCGGCCACTCTGTACAGCCTCAATGCACCATTTATAGCGCTAACCCGATCCGGCTAGACCCAACCCCTAGGATCCGATGGCATTGATGATTGCACCTCCCAGTTGCAGAACAGGCTCCTAGATTCCCAGATGGTATTTTGGATACACAATTCCTCGGCCCAGTTCATGGAGTGCAGTTGACATGGCTACATACCCTCCAGGTCGCCGCTCCCACCGGAAGTCACGGGCGGGTTGTGTGCAATGCAAAAAACGAAAAGTCAAGGTACGAGATCCGAGCGGGGGCTTGAACGCCAAACTCATAGCCTCGTAGTGTGATGAAAACAAACCAAGCTGCCAAAATTGTGAAAGGCATGGGGTGATATGTTCTTTCGCCAGCCCCTCGCGGCTGCCCTCCGCACCTCCAGCGGTGGACTTTGCGGAGTCACCGGGACCATCGTCAGGCCCTGAAAATGCCACATCTAGAGTGACAACCATATTACCCCCAATTCCGCCAATCACACCTCAAAGTCTTCCAAGCTTGCATTCATTAGCTCCTTTTCCGTCCACATTGGCGGTCTTTGATCTGGAGCTCTTACATCACTACACCACTTCAACTTGCTACACGCTGTCCCGAAGCCCGGCAGTCCAGACAGTTTGGCGCGAAGAAGCGCCCCGGATTGGATTCTCGGAGCCCCTGGTATTGCACACGTTGTTGGCACTCACTGGATTGCATCTCGCTCGCTCCGACGAGAGTCGACGTGCGAGTTGCCTGGCACATGCGCACATGCACCACAGCATTGCAGTGCGAGAGGTCGTTCCTTTGGTCGCACCACTAGCGCAAGATAACGGTGCTGCATTATTCATGTTCTCCACCCTGACCTGTATGTTCTCCTGCGCCAAACCATCAGAGGAAGGCCAATTTCTGGTCCTTTTTGAGCGAGGTGGTCTGGCAAATTGGGCACGCTTCTTCCGGGGAACGAAAACGATCATCCATAGCGGTGGAGAAGATCTGCGTAAGGGAAAGCTGGCTCCAATCTTCATGAATGGCGAATTCCTAGCTGCATCTCACCGTTCGCCAGAGGCGCTTGAACAGGGCAAGCCGTACGTCTGGGAATTGCAAGTGATGATACAGAAAGAATGTTCAGCGGATCCTCAATTACTGAATGTGTATCAGGAGACTCTGGACGAATTGGCCCGGACGCTGGCTCTCACTATCCGGCCTGACAGTATGCGACGACTTGAGACTGCAGATGTTTTCCGGTGGCTGCTTGATATCTCGGACGATTATCTGAACCTCGTGCTGCAGGAGGCGCCTATTGCGTTGATTATATTTGCTTATTGGTGCGCTGCTATCCGCCAGATTGAGTGGATGTGGTGGATGGATGGCTTAAGCTCGCGCCTCCTCACACAGCTTGTTTCCGTGTTGGACCCAAAGTACAGAGAGTGGCTTTGGTGGCCTGATGAGATCATCAATGGCAGACAACATCACGCTATATGAAAAGCGAAGACACTTGAAAACCAGCATGATCTTAGACCACGTCAATATGGCTACTTGGCCGGATTGAATTCCTTCAAATACATCACAGAGGTTCCATGGCCTGCTTCTGACCTGCTTCGGGTAGCAGGCCATCGGGTCAACCCTGAAATTACCTTGCCACAACTTACTACAACATACTACAATCGCCTTTGACAACTCAGGCCCAGCCCCGAATTTTACTAGTCACTTGATCTATCGAAATCACTCCCAAGCAGTTTTTAGAGAAACTCCGACGCCTTGGTGTTAATAATGGCCTTTTCATGCGTGACTTACTGCCAACTCATATAGAAAGAAAATTACTGATAGCCGGTACAAATTTGAAACACCTCCAAACCAGCCCAGGGGGTTTGCCCCAAGTCCCAGACGAGTAACGACAGCGTTATCAATGGACCGAGGCCCAAACAAATACCGACAGACACCAGCAGCCATGGCGTGCCGAAGATCCAGGACGTCAAGCTAGTTGTAACTCCAGCCTAATGCACAATTTAATGTTTGGACACACTGAAACAAAGACATCGAATGTCTAAGGATGGGACTGTATCGTGGCGAAGTGACCCAGATATGAGACTTCGTATTCGCATTGCGCCCACCAAGTTCGGAGTAGCACGGGCTCGTATTCGGACTCGGGTTCGGGTCTTGACTTCGTCTTGCACGTCGCACGGATTTTTAATCTCAGATTCAATGTCGATCGTTCTGTGCCTCGGTGGATTCTCACTTATAACACGTCGTGTCTGCACACTTGTGGAATGATTCCAGAAGATTGCAGAGATGGGCATATCAACTAACCTGCAGCAGGTGCTGGTGACGGGTGTATTCACGGTATATCACCAGCCTCCAAGAGCATTGCTTCCCGACTAACACCTAAAAGTGCTTCATCTATGTTATTTCTCAAGTGGTCTACAATGTGTTCATCCACCCTTTGAGCCGCTTCCCGGGGCCAGTGGAACACAAAATAACCCGACTGGCATATGCGTGGAAAGCTGCGCGAGGAACTCTCCCCTTTGATATGCTGGAAATGCACAAAAAGTACGGTGACATCGTTCGCATTGCGCCGGATGAACTGGCCTTCTCGCATCCAGATGCTTGGCAAGAAATCATGGGCCACAAAAAAGGACAGCATGAATTCACCAAGGCGAACTGGTTCTACCGACCGGTGGAAGAGCAGCCAACGCATGTGGTCAACGCGACAAGAGAGGAACACGGTCGTCTCAGACGACAGCTGGCGCACGGATTCTCAGAGAAAGCAATGAGAGACCAGGAGCCGCTGATTCGCGGGTATGTAGATCTGCTACTTGAGCGATTGACTGGATTCTGCGCTTCTGGTAGTCCGGTGGCTATTTCGGACTGGTACAACTTCACGACTTTCGATATTATCGGGGACTTGGCTTTTGGTGAGCCGTTCGGCTGTTTGCAGGGCTCTGATTTGGATGGCTGGATTAAAGGGATTTTCGATGCTGGCCGGCTGGGCATTCTGTTGCAGACTTTGTCTTTCTACCCGGTTTTAAAGCGCGCATTGCTTTCGATGGCACCTGCTTCAATGAAAGAAGCACATGAGAAGCATAGGCGATTGACACAGCAGAAGATGGAGCGTCGAATGGAGAAGGAAGAGGGTCGTCCGGACTTGATTGAGGGGCTTTTGAGAAAGAGAGACGAGCTGGTGAGTTCTTCTTCATTGATTTCCTGAAACTAGCTGATCGTTATTAGAGCTTGACCCTTGATGAACTCATCTCCAACGCCGAGATTCTCATCATCGGTGGATCAGAGACAACAGCCTCATTGTTGAGTGGAGTCACCTACCTCCTCCTCGCCAATCCTCATACCCACGCTAAGCTGAAGGAGGAAGTACGGTCTGCATTCCAAAGCCAAGAGGAGATCAACCTGATCTCTGTCAACAAGCTATCCTACATGCTTGCATGTCTCGACGAGGCAATGCGCATGTACCCACCCATCGCCAACGGACTGCCTCGCCTCTGTCCCGAAAGCGGTGCTACAATAATGGGCGAATACGTACCGCCAAATGTAGGTCGCGACGCACCTGAAAAATCATTCGACCAGTGACTAACCTTAGATGAAGACATTTGTATCAGTGCACCACTGGGCGCTTTACCGACGGGAAGAGTATTTCAAAGATCCCAATACCTTCCACCCGGAAAGATTTCTAGGTGATCAATCATTTGCGGATGACCGACGAGAAGTCTTACAGCCATTCCATGTTGGACCCCGAAATTGTCTTGGGAGAAAGTGAGTGTCCATTAACGAGCGAAAGACCATTGATATTAACTCTCTACTAGTCTTGCATATAGTGAGATGCGTTTAATTTTGGCCCTGATAATCTTCACCTTCGATGTCACGATCGAGGATGAAGCTCAGGATTGGATTAACCAGCGCAACTTCATCATGTGGGAGAAGGGGCCTTTGAAGGTTCGTCTAAATCGAGTCTCAGCTCTACATTAATGCATTCCAAGGTTGGAGTTGTATGAATTCTGTGAGTAGAGTAGAGACCCGACTGTCAAGCAAGTACTGCCCAGATGGCTTGAGAGGTTTCAACTCTCTTGTAGATCGTGAATATTACGTGTGAGCTGTGCCAATGGCTGTCCGAAAATGGCTTTTCATACCACAGGCTAATTTGCTTGACCACCATCTCCACCACTACTCTTTTTTCTCCGAAGGGTTGAGAGAATACGTTTGATTTCCCGCTCATGACGGGCCATCACACCCAACAGTATGATGACCATATCCACTGTTTTCCTGGCGCCATCGGCCCCCACGAAGAAAAAATGGTTTCCGGGTATCTCCATGGTCATCAGCTCAGGAATCTTCAGTATCGCTTCCTGTAGCTGCTGAAAGTCAATCGGGTCAGCTACACCAGGTTCACTGCACAAGTCTGAGATTCCCTCGTCAATTAATCTGCAGGTGGCTCGCTGAATCATAAGATGACCCCAGATTGGTTTATCGGTCAATGCGTGTCGAAAATCCAGGGCACTGCTCGGGAAAATCGCTGCCATGGGAGGTAGGTTTTTGAAATCGTGCACTTGTCCGTGTTCCATAAGCTTGCCTGGCTCTTCTTCGACAAAATCGTTCTTTTCGGTGTCATACCGAAGGCCGGATGCAGTGAGGCCAATTGGAGTGGCACCGAGATAGTCTCGCTTGTAGGTAACCGGATCAATGATGGGTTGATCTCCGATCAAAATGTGGCGGGGTATATCGTTTCGATGAAGATATCTCTCCGATCCGGATCTTGAATTTGTTTGCTCCTCAATCTGTTGAAGGAACTTCTTCTCCAGCGAAGGCTTTGTGGCATATCCGGCGGCAGTCTTAACAATGTCTTTCCTGGGTGGGACGGGAAGGAGTCCGGGCAAGGCGGGTGTTGCGGCGAGGGAGACAAAGAGCTCGACTTCAATATTGAGCTCGCGACAGTAAGCAGCGACTGGATGGAGGATCTTGCCGGCCATACTCCAAGCCAAGATGATCACTCTGCTGGGAAGGCGATGCCCCACAATCACATCGTGGATTACCGCAGCGGCTTGCAGACCCCATTTGGGGATAATGAAGTCGGGGCTGGTGGCTGGCATGAGTGAGTCGGAGTCCAGAGGATAGGAGAGCCCCAGAAATGAGTGGCCTTCATCGTTGAACCAGTAGGCGAGGAAGTCCTGGGCATGGGAGCCGGGGTGTCCGCCATATGAGATTCGGGCATTGTGAGCCATTCCCGGTATGAAGACGACAAGGGACCCGAAGACACGCTCTGCTGGAAAGAACCTGTAGACTACAGGATGGGGATTTAGCGCCAAGCGCTCTCCCTCGTAAAGTGTAGACATCTTGAGGTTTGGAGGGGTTGCAAAGAGGGGAAACACTTCCGACCAGAGTTGATTGAAGAGAGTAGGAAGAATGGAAAGACCCTGTGAATATGAACTCTTCACTTCCCTTCACTTGCCTACTTGTGCCAGCCTTTGCCTTCAATGTGCACTAGGTACACATATTACGGAAAGTACTTATGAAAATGCAGTCAGACAAATTAAGTTGTATATCCATATTAAATGCTTGTACAGAACCAACATGCCTCTGTATAGGCAAATCATAGCATCATAAATCGCAATCAAAAAAGCAAGTCTTGAGCTCATGTCCGTGTCTTCCACTGCAAGAACTTCATGGGTATTTAGTTTTCCGTATGCAACATTGATCTCATAAAAGCAAAGTAACAAAATCATCATGTCGTTTACACGCTCGCCGTTCGCCGGGGAACCTGGCTCGGTTTCTGAGCATATGCAATGAACATGCGGAATCCGGTTCCGCGCTTCTGGCATTCGCGGAGGAGTTTGCGGTCGTTCCACATGGAGGTTTGGCTGTGGGAGATGGGATCTTCGTAGCATTTCGAGTACCACCATCTTCCGACGCGGGCGACGATCTTAGCGATTGATTCGTCGTTGGATGGGGAGGAAGGGTCGGAGAGGAGGTCACCGAGGGAGATGTTTGCGTCTGGGGATTGGTAGGTGGGGATGGTGGTTTGGTTGGTGTTTGTGATTGAGATTGTTGGGCGTGGGATGGAAGGGTTGGTTGTTGAGAAGGATCGAGTGGATGAAGAAGAGTCGGAGGATCGGAGGACAACTCCTGCTACGGGGATGCGGACCATGCAGCGACGGAGACTGTCGAAGCCTTGAGCGCCGATCTCGCGTTGGATGCTGTCGCTGGTGGACTTGAGGCAAAGGGTCGGGTCGGAGATGTAGGTTATTTCCTTGAGTTGGCGGATGGCTTTGCGTGTTTGAGGGCCCATGTTGACCATGTCGCGGTCGAGGAGGGTCATTTCAAGATATCCGCCTGTGCGGAGGACGCGTTTGCATTCTTGGACGACGTTGCTTTGCACGGCCTCGGAGCATACGGCTGGGAAGCGGAGGACAACGACGGTGAAGTAGTCCTTCGGGAAGGGGAGTGGGCTTCCAAGTCCGCCGTGGTATACCGTGTGATGGTTTGTCGGAGGCTGCCACGCAGCGGGATGAGGAATATAGGTAGAGGTCGGGCGTAGACCGAGACTATACACCTCTGCATCGGGGTATGTAAGAGAGCAGTAGAAGGACCAGTCATCATTGCCCAACCCATCGACCACGAGTATCCGGCCCTGGCCTCCAGCTTTGACGTGATTATGTGCTGGGCTGAAAAGGACTCGACCGAAAGACAACCAACGACTGGTCATCAGCGAGGCAGAACGAATATTAGTCTGAGTGACTGCATCCAACTCATGCTCCGAAGGACCAGCTTGCCCACGGTGAGCCTTTGGCAGAGGCGAGGGAACGGCAGCGAGGGAGTTTAGAAATGCGGACTGGTTTTCCCGACATTGCTCGGTGGTAGACGGCTCAGTGGATCCAGTGAGATCCTCCATGTCGTCGTTCAGGTTCCCGTATGGCGTAGCAAGATCGCTATAGGAAGGCTGAGAGGAAGGAGCCGTGGAAGACTGCAAGGCCGACACGATTCGAGACCTCCGCAGGTGAACCGAGCTGCCACTCGACCGAACTGACGTGCCACTAGGGACAGACTGGGGATGATGCGCGCTGTTCAACTCATCTTGAAGAGCTCTGCTTGCCATGGTTGCGAGCTCAAACCTGTCCGTCTCCTCCTCCTTACTGGTCTCATCTGGCTTGGGCGTGGGCTTGTCCGGCGATAAAACATGATCAATCAAATCATCAAATTCATTCCACACCTCATCCTCGGTAGGCGGAGAGCCAGGCACTGGTGCAACAGCCGTCACGGCAGCCAAAGCGCCGGAGCTTTCTGACGAGGTTGAGTCTTTCTTCGGCGGGAACTGAAGAAATTCATAGGTCGAGAATGGTCCAGCAAGGAATTCTAAAGCACTTGTATCCTCCGCTGCGCTGAATGTCGGGTTGAATCCGCGGCCCCATTCCGGGGAATCATTAAGCGCGATTGCTGGAGCATTCGGTGTTTGCATATGTGGAGTAGCGTTCGCCAACAGAGGCGGGTCCCGCATACTCTCAGTCGTTGGGACCGTCATAGACGGAGACTCAATACCACTGAAAGGTCGGGAGAAAGATTGCATGGCAGGTCGATGATGCCTGTCACGCCTTGAGACTACCTGGGGAATTCGACCGATAGAGGCTAGCCGTCTTGGTTTTCGTTCGGGTGATTCAAGCTCCTGGGGCATTAGGTTGCGATTGAACATAGCCGTCCGTGGCGATGGGCGATCATCCTTCTCAAATTCGCCGTGCATCTTTGGTGGAGAGGGTAGCAGAACGGAGGGTTCTCTCTTTCTTATATTTAGACCTCGGGGAACTTCCACTGGTTTGAACGCTTCTTCTTCGCTCGGCGGCGAGTCTTCAATGTTCTTGATGATTTCATCAAGCTCATCCGAATCAGTATCTACTAATGCATAATGGGCGATAGGTCGAGTGTTCGGCACCGGTGTAATGGCCGCGTGAAGCTTGGTGGTTGGAGGCGCTGTTGTCGGAGGTGCAGCCTTCTGATCAGCGCCGCGACTTTTGTGGAAGAAACTCCACATAGATGGTTTTTCTTTCTTCGCGTTCTGTGACTCAGCATTTACGGTCTTGGCTGGCTTCCTTGGAGACTGTTGAACAGGTTGGCTTGGCTGACTTGGAGGAATGATGCTAGGAGCCGCAATGCTTGACTGCTGGCTTGATAGAGACGTGCTGGTTCCAGAGGCCTGAGAATTCGAATATACGCCATGCTTCTTCCCTTTGGGCACTGGCATTCGCGACTTCGGCACATTGGCAGGGACACCACTCTTCGTTCGACGTTCCGGGCTCTTGCTGCGAGTCATTCCCCCAAATTTATATGGGGTAAGAGTCTCGCCAGACGTCTCCGCTGAAGTGGCGAGAGACTCAGTCGAGGGGGCGGTCGAGTATGAGAGCAGTGTTTGGCGAGGCAAGGTGGAAACAGAAGCAACGCTGACACTGCTCATACTCTGCTCGCTCTGCGTCCGCGACAAAGATGCACCATCCATGCCACCGCCATTGATGATGACGGGCTCAAGACGACTCATCAAGAAATCATCAATCTCCAATTCCGGTCGACTCGACTGGCTCCCCTTGCTGGCAGCGCTTCGAGTCGTGCTAGTTGACCTGGTCCTCGTACCACTGCTCGAGCTCCCACTTGCCTTGCGGCCACGCTGTCCATATTTGCCATATCCTTCGTGTCCTGTTCCCGCCGTAGGGCCTTTGCGAGGTAGGCGAGTTTGTTCAGATGGAGCGTCTGCCAAATCTGGCTTTGACTTTTTCGAAAAGAGCCCAAATCGCTTCGACACGGGAATTTTCGGCTCCATGCCCTCCTTCGGTACCTCCTTTGTCAATGTCCGGGGTGACTTTCGAGAGAGGATTGGTGATGCGCCATCGCGAGAGGGCACTTGCGATAAACCCCTCGAATGCAGCGAGTCAATCGATGCACTGGCTGATTGATTGGGGGTTGGACTCGGTCTTTGGATGGCTTGAGCTTTCTCGAGTGACTCGCGTCTCGTGTGGCCTGTTGAGCGGAGGTAGCGCAGATTGCTTTGAACGACTGGAGATGTTCCCAATTCCAAACGATGGGTTCCATCTCTGCTCGGTCGTGGTGGAGTTTGCGGTGGCTCCGCTCTGCGCGGGGAACATTCCGTGACCCCTTGCGGATCAAACAAACGCTTTTCTGCTTCTTCGACTTCTCTCCGGGCCTTTGCAACATCAATCTCTGCAGAGTTTGGAGAGCTGAGATGAATTGGGCGATTGTTTGACGGGGGAATATGGGGTTTCCTGGTGTCGACCGATGGCGACTTGGTTTGGTTGCTTCTACCCGCATTCATGGGGCGTGCTGATCTCGATTCGAATTTGATGCCATTCGGCTGGCTCTCGGTCTCGACATCTGGCTGCTGCTGCTGAGGGCTTGCTTGAACTGGCGGAGAGAAGACAGGCAACCTCGTCTGGGATGGACTTGGCTGCCGCAGACGACCGATCTTGGATTGAACAATGCCCGGAGAATATGATGATAACGATGTCGGTGTGGATCCTCTACTCCAGATACTCGGAGACACCGAGTATCTTGTTGAGGGACTGGCTGAAAAGAAGGGCGTGGGAGGAGGTGGCAGGTTCTGGGTATCAACTGTTGTTCGGAGACTTGCCAGCTCCTTCGGTCCACTGAATTTGGAACTTGCCGAATTCAAGGTCCCACTACTATTCTTCCTGTGGCTCGAGTATGAAGTTGTAGACTGCGACGGTGTCGGTGTGGGGGCGGGTTGATATGCGGAGACATTGTTCATGTTGTCCTGAGAGTCCTGAGGGATGACGAGGCTGAGCTTGTTGGACTGGGATTGCTCCACATGTTGACCTATTGTGGGTGCTCTTCTTCGCAAGACATTTCGAAGTCGCTTTGGAGGCAGTTGTTGACCAGCAACAAACAGCGATGGGTTTGTCTCCGGGGTCGAGACCGATGAGAACGATCGTTGGGTGGAACTCGAAGACGCTGACACCGGCGTGATTGGGGATGCCGTCGCGATATTGGGGCGTGGAAGCATAGACAGCCGATGACGGCTCGATCGTTTGGCTGTATCGAGTCTATCGACATCAGAGGCTTTATTCGCCGGTCTGGCGATTTGCGAACGCGGTCCATAGACAGGCATGTGATCAGAACCGTACGACATGTCGAGATTCTCTCCCCAACGTATGATATGGGTACATGTGTATAGTACGCATCACGTCTAGTTCTCTGCAGCCTGGTTAGTGCCGATCTCTGAGCCTAGAAGATCGACTCACCTTGGGTCATGGCAAACGAGAGTATGTTGGCGCCTAGCAAATTCTTCAGATGTAAACAGAAATCAAATCCGCGCTCTTAAAAATGCACTACCCAGCAGTGACATCGGAAGATTAAGAATTAAATCGCCGGCCTGCAGACGTCAAATACATAAAAAGGCGTTTGTGGATATAGCTGCAGCTGCTTCGCCACAGTAATGTGGCGTGAAATCCCAGGGTTTTCCGAGCCCTGGCCACGTCAGAAATCTAATCAGGCTGAAAAGCAAAACGTCAAAAGTCAGTGTAGAAATTCAGGGAACTCCGAGACGAGTCTTTATGTGTGCCCCTCGTTGTGGAGAAAAAAAAAAGCCCTTCAACCGCCATGACCATATAGAACATCGGTCTGAACGGCCCCTCCGATATCGACGGGCTTCCCTCCTCTCATTGGCACTTTTGTGAGGTCTGTGACGAGAGTCGAGACACACTACTAAAAAATCCAAAATAATCTGAATCCACATCGTAAAGTCAAAGGAATCTACAGGGACCATTCCCCAATGGCCCCATCGCGCGCACGGAAGTCCACACGGGCACTTAAGGACCCCCAGGTCCACTTGATTCCAGACAGAGACGGAGTAGACAGCCAGGGAGGATGCGACTCGCGGGGTTCAACTCTCGGCGGCAAGACCAGACTGCACACAACCTGACAGGCTAGTGCGTGGCGCGCTATAGCGGATTCGTCATGGCTTACTTCGCGATGCTGACTTGAGCCTTCTGTAGCGCACCATAGACTCAAGCTGAGTGCATGCAGGAAGAGTCCCGTATCGCGGTTTATCGCGTCTCTCGCCGCTTGAACAACGCATTCGGAGACGCCGAGTCGATCCCGATCGGGTGAGATCTGCCATTTCGTTTTTACTGATTTCTTTCCTTTCTGTTTGTATTCAGCCTGTCTGCTTTGCATATCCTGGAGTCGGAGAATTTTCCATTGCACGTGCAGCAAGACGTAAGAGTGCAGACTGTAGGCGCTGGACCGAAACAGTTCCTAGTTTGTCTTGAGACAGATCAAGTCTCACCCGTATTCAACGGCCATTCCAGACTTGAGAATTGTTTGGTTCCAAGGCCCGACCCGAGAGCCTTTTCTGGCCCTGGTTTTCGATTTTTGTTTTTGGAAGTTCAAGGGTGGAGGCCGCTAGAGTATAGGCTGTGATGGCCCACTGGCTGATGGAGCAATGAACATGTCCTGGAGGATCATCGTAGGTTAGCCCTGCAGCCACCGTCTAAAAAAAGGTGTGTTGTGGGTTGCTATTCGCGGGGACAAAGTGGAGTGAACGGCACAGTCGTGCTCAACGCAATTGTTCATCTCCTACGATTTGCTCGGTTCACGCTCACTGGTCAATCCCCACGCAGGAACAAGCGACTACTGCACTTGTCAGCTCATTTCACACGGTATCACCGGGGAAGTCCAGCTCGGCGCCGCGAGAGAATTTAAGATTGAGTTCGTCCCTGAAGGTTTCAAGGTTCAAGTTCGCGAGTCCACACCTTATACAGCGAGTCATACACAGGTTTTTAGTTCCACTTATATTAAGACAGAAAGGGACTTGGAGGGTCCAATAGCATATCAACACACAAAAACGCCCAGATAACATTGCGATAGACTTAGGCCGCCGCAGCAAACCGCTTCTTGCGGGCCTCCATGGCCGCTTGGTCCTTGTCGCTCCAGTTCTTCGGCGCACTGCCGCCCGTCGCAGGCTTCTTGACACCAGCATTGGTCTTGTTGCCATCGTTGCGAGGCCGGTTTCCATCGCCACGACGGTTACGGTTGCGACCGGTATCGCGTCGCTTGCCACCACGGGCATCGCGAGACTCGTTCCCTCTCTTGCGAGGACCGTCAGGAAGTGCCTGATCCAGACGGCTGACCCCGGTCTCCTCGGCGCCAGTGCCAAATCGCTTAGCCCGCTCGAGTTGTTTGGTAGCCTCCTTCAATGCCGTAGCTTCATCCTCGACAATGCCGAACTTCTCTGCGCGAGCCTTGCGCTTCGCCAGCTCGGCCTCCAGGTCCGTCTGGGGGAGTCCGCGCGTGTAATCGACGGGAGGCTTGGTCTCAACGGGGGCTTCGGCCTGGGCGGCTTCGGGTGCTGCGCCAGTTGACTCGACCTTCAGATCGTCGGTCGCGGCAGGGTTCTCATCGAGTTTCTGGTTGGGAACGGCGACAGGATTGGGGACGGCGCCTTGTCCGCCGGCGGCGATGGCAGCAGCTCCGGCTTCCGTTGAGGCCTGCGCGGGTGTCTCTGATGGCTCGTCGTCCCAATCAATCACATCCTCGGTATCGGTCTTGGCCGCAGTTACGGGCGCAGCAGCAAGCGCAGCACCGCCGGGGTTGCTCTGGTCGTTTTCTTGCAGGCGCGAGACCATGTCGGCCTTTTTGCCGGTGTGGGGGAGGGATCGAGCCTTCAGGATCTCGACCAGCTCGGCGTTCGTCTTCTTGCTGTAGTCGGTCATTTTGCAGAAGTCGCTCGTGGTATCAGGTAAGGACAGGGCTCGTTAATTAGAATGAGACAGATGGAATTTTGTAGAGAAACAAATGAAACCAGCCGCTGGAGGCGAAGACGCGACAGCTGAGGTGTGTATGTAATTAGACACCTCAGGCGGAAACAACATCACTCCGACGTTCGTCCTTTGATCATTTTACCCCGTTGCTATTTTGATCGATCAATCACACCTGGGCATGCAACTTCATTCAATATGATCAATGCGACTTCTCGAGCTGGGGTTCGTCTTAGCCTCTTCTCCCAACGCTTCCAACGCTATGAACAGCCGAACGCAAAACAACCATTGTGTTTGTACCACAATAGATAAAACTTCGCTCAGACCACCATTTCTGTCCTAGCACAACCTGAGACAGCTGCCTTGGGATTGATCGTCTATGTTTTGGCGGACATTGCTCACTACATCCTGGCTACACAAAGGCGATTCTGCATTCAAAGAGCCTTGGAAGCCCTTCAAGATTCCAAGATTGACGAAGACGCTTTGTTAGAGTATGACCTGCCCTAGGGTAGCCTTAGGGTGCCCAAGCATTCCAAGGTTGGTAGACTGCTCCAGAACCCTATAGATAATCATCAACTATATAGCTTGACCTTGGAGCATCTGGCACACGTACAAATGGCACCTACATGTGGTTACATTATGTCGAATAGCCAGAACTGTAACATGATCTGATGAAAGAGCGAAGACTTGTTCATGAATCTAGCTCCCTGGCCTTCTCGCCGATAATAAAATGGAAACGCATTGGTCGTGTCTGAAATCTTCGAACTCTGCTACGACTGGTGACATATGTTTCTTTCAAAATCATCGTTTCTCTCCATCGTTCCAAGTTGCAAAAGCTCCCGGGGCCTCGCATAAATACATAATTCAAAACAAATTCGATGACCGGACAAACCCAACTCAGGCTCCGTGAATCTTTTTCATTTGGAACCCAGTCACACCAGGCTGACAGTCCACATCATCAGACAGCTCGAAAGATACACCGCAGTATCCATCAATGGTAATTGCAATTCCAATGAAGTTGGTGTCGTCTTTGCCATTTGCAGTGGCAATATCCACACCATTCTTGTCGCGAACGGCGCACTTGTCCGGCGTCTCCATATGCGTGTAGCAGTAGAATTGGAACTCGCCATCATCTTTCAGGCACCCGCCAGTAAGGGAGTAGAGAGCACCACGCCCGCCCATACAGGGGGAGTAGCCATCGGGGTAGGCGACGTTGAAGACTTGGGATCCGTCCTCCTTGAGGAGAGAGAAGCCGTCCTTGTGCCCGATCATCGAGTCGCCTTTCGGAGGGGATATGGTTGAGTAGCTGCTGGTACTCCAGACGGCGTTGAGCTTCTGGCCGCAATAGCCGGTTGAGGCAAAGAGGAGAGTGCCTAGCGAGAGGGCTTTGGCGAGGCTTCGAAGGAACATCATAGTGGCTATACTGGTAGAATGATATTGATGTTTCTGATGATTTCTAGGAATTGCATCTCTAGGGCTCTTTATACACCTCTGGAATCATGGTACTCATAGACCTTTTGGTGAGAGATTAATTTTGGTACATGTTGCTTAAAAAAGTAGGCGACTTCGTCTGGGCATACCTCATGGCCCCCAACTGATCCCCAACATAGTTACCCAATGCGGTATGTATATCTTCAAACAGTCCCATTGGGGTACTTCTCTAGGCACCACGTCCACTGTTCCTGCAGAATATGTACGTCATGGGGTAAGCATAAAGGAAACGGGGCGCCTGATGAAAACGTGGGGCAGTAGATGTCGGATCTATAGACCCGGGGGATTGATATTTTTCATGGTTTCATGTTACATAGACCTAATATCCTATTGCTTCTGAATGAATCCTCAGACACATTCAATTGTCTTCCTGCTACTTTTACAAAAAGAGGGATTATGTGGTCTATGCTGGTATGGATATAAGGAAACCGGATAGTAAGGTCTGGAGTAGAGACCCCATGTCCCATTGGGGGCTAGAACGTAGATCAGGGAAATCGCCCCCAACATTTTAAGGGTAACAACGTTGAGCTTTCAGGTTTTTGACTGCATTAGCCAGTAGGGGTAAATAACAGGTTGCCCTAGGTGGCATAGGTATGGAATGCCTTCATATGGCCTGTAAGATGCATCACGGTCGTTGTGGAAGCGATGGTAGCTTCTTCCAAGTTGACCTCGAGCTCTGGGGAGATCTTTTGACATCCGTGATGTAATAGAACATCACTATATTGGTCAATACTTCTAAGAGATCCATGGATTGAAACTCTGCCTAGGTGTACACCGTGGACATTTCGCATCTTGAGATCACGGGTGAAGCTTTTGAAGGGTAATGGTAGAATGAAATGTGTCATACTAGGTATATCTCGACCTTGAGCCTTGGAAGATATAAACAAAATGAACGTTGCTAGCTACTACCTAGGTGCCTAGGTAATATTTACCTAGGTAGGTACTAGGTATCACATCATATAAACACCTGGCAGGAAATATCCATGGAAGGCATCCATCCATGCCCAGGTTGATATCAAAGGCCTATGGCCACAGCTTCCTCCTCGATCTCGATCTCGATATTCTCTTCATACTTAACAATGCCAGAAGAATCTTGCAACGAATGAATGAATACAGTTGGAGATTATCAATGTAGAAGAGCTTTGGAACGAAGCTCTAAACTTCTACCGGACTTGAATCTGTAATATCTAGACTCATTGAGAAGCGCCCATGAGCGCATGGAACAGTACAAACAACCCTGAGAGTCTAACAGGCAGACGAAGCCATGATCAAAGTTTCCTATCCAAGTCAAGCCTAGCCTGTATAGCTCTCCGACAGCTCTGCAGTCTCTACGAGGTCTACGTCAAACTACTCGGAGGATGGTCAAGTGAGCTCAAGTCTAATTAAAACACGTAAAAATGAGATACCAAAAGCTAGAGGGAGAATCGAGGTCATTGAGAAATCTTGTCGATATTCACTTCTCTCAAACTTCTAAAAACACGCTTGTGCTGCTCTAATAGAACCAGAGTCGCAACGGTTTGAGGCCCAAGTCGAGCAAAGCTAGGAGTCCAACCTCGAAATATCCATCTGATCCCTTCAGAGACGGTCAGATTCCTGATAACTTGAATGATTCCCGTTGCGCCAGAGGATCCCATCAACTGCGTCTTGATAACATCAATTGGACTGCATATGGTGGTAGCAACCAGCGCTGCCATACAAGAGGCCAGGAACTGCAGTCCCGCATGATCGCTTGAGATACCAGTAGTTGCAACTAGTAGATCCCTGAAGCTATCATACGAAGCCAGCTGGCAGCTAGTCATCATCCCGCAGCGGAAAGCATTGGGCCATAATCCCTGTGTCAAGGCTTTCCAGCCTTCTTGTCGTTTGATCTGTACCCATGCATCGAAAATATGTCGATAGTTCCGCCGAAGGTGGGCAGGCAATGAGCCGTCGTTCTGCATGCGGATATTACCGATGTCTGAGGCATTGCCAAAGATTGCGCCAGTAAATCCTGATATTCCTGCAAGTAGACCCAGCACGGGTGCAGAGTTTGGGATGCCATTCGCTTTCGTTTGCTCTTTTAATGTTTCATAGAGGCCGATACGGACTGAGCCATATGTCACTGACGCGAGAATTAACAAGAGCTAGAGCTAGAGGACTAGATAGGCTCACACTGTCTCATTATACCTGCAGAGAGCTTGGGCTTGTCAGCTCGATTAACTCGAAGCGCATTGGGGTCATTACCCCGTTATACAGCGCAGATACTCCTTCTCCCCGTACAACTCGAATGCAAGTGGCAAGGGTGTTTGCTTTGGCTCCAGTCTCCATCTGCATCCTCACTTTGACTGTTTGTACGTTGCGTCAATCCTCTAGATCATTGCTGGGCGGGAATGAATGCTCACTCAAATCCAAAGGGTGAGAAACAAGTACAGCCATGCATGATGCAGAGCCCCCAAACCATTTGGGATATATGATGTGAGGATCTGATGACCTGGTCATGGTTGAGATCTTCTGCTTTTTCCCCGAGGAAAGCCCCTTATTGATTTTCTAGATGTTTTTGTATGTGTCGTGGTTACATATAGCCGATTTGGAGACATCCCCAAAAAGCCGTTCGGCATGCGGGGATTACCGAGCAACTGCCCAGGTGGGCTTTAGGGCATGTGCATGATTATCACTTGATCCTGGATCTGATTATGGTGTATGTACAATGCACCTAGTCCTGAAAGCCCCTGCAGCTTGCGCAGCGCGCGCAGACTATAGGGCCCCAAACGTTCCAAGCTCCATAGTTCGATGATGCTAAAGTAGATACTCAAGTATACCTTGGGGTTTGGTATTTCAATTGCGAAAATATGAGAGTACATACGCAAATGTCTACCAATCTTTACAGGTCAGATGCCTGTCTATGGTACCTAGGTATATCCAGCCAAACCAGTCGTAGAAGCAAGCTACCCTTTCCCGCCTAAGCTCAGAAGTACCTACACTGGGAAACGTAGCTCACAAAAGAAGAATCGGGTTCACTATACACAGGGCTTATTGAAGCAGTAGTTGGGGGAGATAAAGCAGACAAATGAGAATGACAAGACATAATAGCACAACGCCATGGGAAGAAAACATGGAACATTTGGTACACCCCCGGCCAGCATCGAAAGATTCGGGGTTTACAGATCACTCGAGGATATAGACGGTTCCTCTTTTCTGGTTCTCCCCAGCACAGGCGAATCTAACCATCTAAGAGTGCCATGGGAAGGTTTTCTTCAGTTTTGGTTTTTCGTTTTAATTATTGCGTTGCCAACATGGTTTACCGGTCAACCTCACCGAACACCAGATCCATAGTACCTGGAGATTGTTAGAAGATGATTTCGAAATCTGAGAACTGAAAAACTTACCGATAATAGCGACAGCATCGGCGAGAAGGTGACCACGAGACACCTGGTCGAAACCACCCAAGTGAGCGAAACCAGGAGCACGGATCTTGCAGCGGTAAGGACGCTCGCTGCCATCGGAGACAAGGAACACACCCATCTCACCCTTGGGGGCCTCAATGGCGGAGTATGTCTCACCAGGGGGCACGGAGTAACCCTTGGTGAAGAGCAGGAAGTGGTGAATGAGGGCCTCCATGTTCTCCTTCATGGCGGCACGGGGAGGAGGGGAGATCTTGTAGTCCTCGACACGGACGGGGCCGGCGGGCATCTTGTTCAAGCACTGGTGAATGATGCGGAGGGACTGGCGGAACTCCTCCATACGGCAGAGGTAACGGTCGTAGCAGTCACCGTTAACACCGACGGGGACGTCGAACTCGACCTGGTCGTAGGCATCGTAAGGCTGTGACTTGCGAATATCGTAGGGAACACCGGATCCACGAAGCATGACACCAGTGAAACTCATGCTGAGCGCATCAGCGGCGTTGACAACTCCGACACCCTGGGTGCGGGCCTTCCAGATACGGTTGTCCGTGAGCAGCTCCTCAGTCTCGTCAATGCGGTCACCGAACTGAGTAGCCCACTGGTAAATGTCGTCAAGGAGACCAATGGGGATATCCTGGGAGACACCACCGGGGCGAACGTAGGCGGCGTGGAGACGGGCACCGGAGACACGCTCGTAGAATTCCTGAAACATCCAGCATTAGAAATCAAGTTATCGCGAGTATGGCGATTGGTAGCTCTTCAATTACTCACCATGAGCTTCTCACGCTCCTCGAAACCCCACAAGAAAGGAGTAAGGGCGCCAACATCCATGGCGTGGGACAGGACGGACATGAGGTGGTTCAAGATTCGGGTCATTTCACCGAACAGAGTGCGAATCCACTTCGCGCGCTCGGGAAGCTCAACGTTCAGGAGCTTTTCAACAGCAAGGGAGAAGCACTGCTCGTTGGTCATCATGGAGACGTAGTCCAATCGATCGAAGTAAGGCAAGGCCTGCATGTAAGTCTTGTACTCGATCAACTTCTCGGTACCACGGTGAAGCAGACCGACGTGGGGATCAGAGCGGACAATCTCTTCACCGTTCAGCTCCAAAATCAATCGGAGCACACCGTGAGCAGCCGGGTGCTGGGGACCGAAGTTGACAGTGTAGTGACGGATCTTGCGGTCGATCCCTTCGGCCTCGGATTCGAGGCCAGCAGCATCGGGGTCCTCGGTTACTGGCTTGTTGGCCAGAGAGGTGAAAGTAGGGTCGGTGGGCACAAGTCGGGTGGCCTGGTAAGCGGCAGCCTCTGCATGACGGCGAGGAACAGAGGTGGTTATCGACCGAGAACGAGGAATGGATGTGTTCAGCGAGGAGGGGCGGAGGCAGAGTCTTTTGGGCGCATTGCCCGCCAGGCGGGCGAAAGAGGCGGCCATGAAGGATGAGTATTGGGAGGTCCGAGGGGGAAAAGAGGGGAGATGATCCTCAATCCAGGCGCATTCAATGGGTGGAGATGGCTCGCTACGGAAAAGGACTGGTGAATTGAAGTTGGCCCGGAGTCGCGCATTTTGGCTCGTCACGTGAAGAGCTGCCGGGTCATCAGCCCGATGCTGGTTGGCTTACCTTGGTGTTTATAATGCACTAACTCTAGTGCTGCACTATGCTAGATGCGGCAAGGTGGCATTCCATATCTCACATAATTCACCCGGGAGCCCATTATGCAGCTCACGTAATCCAGCTTTCTGGTAGCAGAATAAAGACCCAAGTCTGCCTCAGGCCACCTAGAAAATTGCTTCGAGAAATTCCTCTTATCGGTGATCGCGGATTTTACCCTCAACCTTCACCAAGCCCTCTATAATTGCCCACCATGGCGCCTCTTGTCCCCTCGCAGGAGGAGCTGCAGCGTCGCCGAGTATGTACTCAAAGTCCAGAAATCGTCATACATGCTAATACTCCCAGATCATCGGCATCAATGCTGAAACTGTCACCAATATCCCCTCCACAGATTTTCCCGGTCACTGGCCCGGCGAGTCGCATGGCTGGGCAGTCGATGAATTCCAGAAGGTATGTGCTCAAACTTTCTTCAGAGCTATCACATGTGCGATTGAAAAAATCTTAACTATATGCATCGAACAGAATTTCCAGGTCGAGTTCCACCGCAATGACCAATTCGAGGCTTCATTCTCGCTGATCGGACTCGATGCCTCGGTCGCCAATGCTTTCCGCCGTATTCTCATGGCCGAGATCCCGACAATCGCCATTGAAGATGTCTTCATTCACAACAACACCTCTGTCATCCAAGACGAAGTGCTCGCACAACGACTGGGTCTGATCCCGCTGAAGGGTTCCGTCGAGGGAATCAACTGGATGCAATGGTTCAAGAAGGCCACCGAGGAAGGCGGAGAAGAAGATGGTCCTTGCGATTTCAACACCATCGTGCTCCACCTCGATGTGGAATGCTACAAGAATGAGCACGCAGCTAAGGACGAGCAGGACCCCCGCAAGCTCTACACCAACGCCCACGTCTACGCCAAGGACCTCTTGTTCACCCCTGTCGGTCGCCAGGAGCAATACTTCGTCGGTGACAACGTCATTGCGCCAGTCAACCCGGACATTCTGATCGCCAAGCTGCGTCCCGGCCAGGCGATCCAGATGGAACTTCATTGCCAGAAGGGTATTGGTGCCGACCACGCTAAGTTCTCTCCGGTTGCCACTGCCTCGTACCGTCTCCTGCCCGATATCAAGATCGAGCGTCCCATCCTCGGAGACGATGCGAAGAAGTTCGCCAAGTGCTTCCCGAAGGGTGTGATTGGTCTTGAGTCTGTCACCTCCGCGGAGGCCGCGAAGCGCGGAAGCGGGTACGAAGGTCACGCCGGCGAGCAGAAGGCTGTTGTGAAGGATGCATTCTCCGATACTGTCAGCAGAGAGTGCTTGCGCCACGACGAGTTCAAGGACAAGGTCAAGCTCGGACGTGTGCGCGACCACTTCATCTTCAACGTGGAGAGCACTGGTCAATTCGACAGTGATGTGCTCTTCCTGGAGGCTGTCAAGGTCTTGAAGCTCAAGTGCAACCGGTGGAAGAGGGGTCTGACCGACCTGATGGCCTAGGCTAGCACTCTACACCTTATTTATGCATTCTCGGCGTTGGATATATTGGCTACGTTTGCGCTGTACATTTACGAAAAGTTTGGTCGGGGCTCCGCCTCACGAGGCTGGAGTGTGGATGTTGTTAATTGTCTTGGAAGAGAGCAGGCTAACAGCTATCTTTTGAATTAAACACAAGTAACTAGAGCTTAATCTTCTGGTCTCCAAGTAGCTGATTGTGATAAAATTCTCACCATCGGGTAAAGACTCTCAGTTGAAGTTAAGACGGAAGCGGAAGTCGATGGTGTAGGCTGGATCACTAACGGCAATCTCCTGGCCATCCTCGAGTAGTTCTGCCAGCTTCAACTTCAAGTTAGGCCGCGTCGATTCCTCCAGTTGAGGTGGGAACCGTTGGTAGAGGGTCTTCTCTTCAGTTCGCATGCTCGGTTTCTTCAGTTGAGACTCGGCCCTCTCACCCAGGCTCTCAATGAATTCACCCAGTGTCATATTGGGATCCACGTTCATCTTCCGAGCGAGGTTACCACACACGGGACAGTCCGGCTTCTTTTCCGCCTCAAAGGTGTATGTGTACACGCCTTCCTCGCCGGCATACATCATGTAGTTGTCCAGGTATGGGTTGCAGGAGCTGGCAATCTTGAGCACTTCGGAAGTAGTGGATGCTGCAATCACTGCATTGGTTGATGCAATCGCAGGAATAATATTCTTGACCACGCCCTGCGTCATCTGGAAGGTGACGCCGTGGATGTGGAATTGCTGTGCGCGCTCGTAAGCGGCATTGTAAACCCAGGAGATGTGTTCCATATCGTCGCTATCAAAGGGGTCATCCTTGCGCTTTTCTTGCCATGCAATCTGATGGGCCCATTCAATGCAATGCTGGGGCTGACGTGGGATGGTGGCTATGGTGCAGAGAGGTACTGCTGGACGGGGGGCGTGCATATCAAGTTGGCACTCAATGCATGATGATAGCGTGGGCAGAATCACACGCGCCTGTCCCTTGAAGCCTGTTCTGAGATTAGACCTGCCCTTCAATGGTGCTGGGTGATAGCTCGTACCTTCGGTTCCTCCGTCAACCAGCGGTTTCAAACTCTCGGGGTCTTCCATGTCGACCATTGAGATCAGTGTGGCATTAATCCAACGTCTGGCTTCGATGCTGTCCAAGCCACAGATGATGATCTTAAACTGCATGTAGTAATCTTCATCTTTATCCTGAATCTTGCCAACGAAAGGCGTGATCGTGACTCCTTTCACTCTCTTTTGAACAAAAGCAGCAGCAACTTCGGCTTTTGGTTTTCCAATATCAGCCTGGCGAAACAGGAACTGCCGATTTAAGTTTGAGATGTCAATGGTGTCTGTGGACCGTGAGCTTCATGCTTTGGCGACAAGGGCCATAGAACATACCCATATCGATCACATGGATGTCCTTGAATCCTGACAGAGCCAGATTTTTCAAGATCTCGCATCCTAATCCTCCCGCACCGCTACATGGTTGTCAGTTCGCTGGTGGGGCATCACAAGGTAGCCAAGCTGACACACATTACCCTAGCATTCATGTTAGTTGTAGCGATAGCGGCACGATACATCCACTTACAGAATTTTGGATGACTCGAGAGACTGAATAGTCTCAGATCCAGGAGCCCAGTCCTCATCTGTGTAGGGACCCGGTTTGCTTAGGACATTGTAGAGGTGCTTCCTGTGGGGTAGGCATTAGAGAGATGATGATGGCGAGAGCGGCGCAACTCACCATCGACCCTGCTGGTCCACGACCGGAGCCTCCGGACTTCCAGGGGTTTCAGCATCTAGATCCATTTTGATAATGTTCTTTGTTGCAAGTGATGAAAATGTATAGGTCCGGTCACCTATCGAGTCGCGATCCGCTCCGAGCAGTTGGCCTGATGCGATGCAGGTGTTTGAGACGACGAGAGCTCACTTTCGAAGGAGACTAAAGGCGGACAAGAATCAGCTTTTCGATCCAACGACAGAAGCACAAGTGCGAAGAGCGAAGTCCACGGTGACAGCACTCATCGCGTGGGCTGCTGACTAAGGAGCTGCCCGCATACTGGAAACTTCACCTCGCAGCTTTCTGTCGAAAACAATATTGGTGAAGTCAAAATGGAGGGTCTTTTGACAGAGGTTAGGACGGTCAAACGGGATCAAGAACCTTTGATCACCCCTGCTGCCCACGCTCAGGATGTCTCGACAACACACGACCTAGATCTCGACCACCTATCATCCCGTCACATTATAGATCTACTCAAGTCGAATCCGGATCGTGACCAGCTTTCTGCCGTCCTGGCATTTATTGATCCGTTCAGCAAAACAAAGGCTCAGCGTGATTTCGATCTTCGACTTGCAAGCCCCATCACAGCCCAGATTCTCCAATTGTTAGTCAGCACTACGATTCCCACCCATTGGGGAACGCTCGATGCCAAAGAGAGCAAAGGGAAAGATGCGAAAGCTCGAGCAGCATTATTGAGATGCCTCAGCAGCGTCGCTGGACTTGGCTCCCTGGTGGCCCAACTGCGAACTCTGATCAGCGCCGCACGCGCCTCCGCCCAGCACGCCCAAGGCTCAAGTAGCCAGCTCGCCATTCGCGAGATTCTGGCTGTACTAGCGGCTTTGCTGGAGCCGAAAGATCTCTTGTTCCGAATCTCCTCAGACATCTCGAAAATTTATGATAACAAGACCCGGCAGCAGGTTGCATGGAGAGAGCTTGTCTCTCTGGTGTCTGCCGGTAAGATTCTATCTACGGCAGCTGAAGCCCTTACTGTTCTTGATGAGCCTCCGGTATCTTCGGTCTCATGGGTTGGAACTGGCTCTCAGTATGCGGCGTGGATTGGCCGTAACGTTGCCCATATGGCGGTCAAGCTCGGCCAAGATGTTGAAACCCACTGGGATTCACTTGCCCTCTTGACCGGCAGAGCCTTGAGTCTTGGCTATACCGGTCAGTATACATGATATCTCACTGTAGGCTTCAAGCTAACATCACACAGACCAATTGGTCAAAGAGATATATGGGAGTCTGCTTTTCGAGCATTCATTGCCCGAGTCTTTTACCTTGCTCCTGAGTCGACTCAAATCTATGGAACAAATCTCGTTTATCGAGGCAATTTTCCGTGATGTTCAGCGAAAGCACTTCTCGGGTGATCTATCAGAGTCGGCAGACCAGCCGTTGGCCTCGTCGGAAACTATCAAGGCAGTGGCAGCCTTATGCTCCGCCATCATCGCTTCCCAATCTAATCTTGAGGATATGACCATTGAATGGCTCTCAAAATCACAAGGCGGTTCGGTCACTACTTTAGGGTTGCGTCGTGCGCTTCTAGCCACTTATAGTAAACGCAGCGGTCAGTTTCTGCAGTCTCAAAAGGATAGCCATGTTGCTAACTGTCACAGATATCTTAAAGTCAGTGCTACATCGCAGCTTAGAGAATTTCGGGGACAAATTTTCAATCAAACATGTCCCAAATGTTGTGCAAAATGGTAAGTCGGCTCTCCGTGCGTTTGTTTCGAATAGACTAGCTTATACCAACGGTCAGCAAATGCGCAAATTATTCTCCTCGCAGCCGGTCATCTCCATCGATTGGACAGATCAGGTGTACAAGAAGCAGGCCGATCAAGCGCATTCCTCAACGCAGTCTCGAATCGACTGGCTGCCTCATCGAATAGAGCCCGATTCCTCGGTATGATCGTTGGAACAGGAATTTCCGCGCTCATTGAAGAGCCTGAGAAAGCCCTGAAGTTTGACCTCGAGGAAATGAGAACCCCCGAAGCACGGTGGTATCTGAGTTTGACTAGCATTTCAGACGAGCTTGGCTTGCCTGGGTCTATCACCATCTTGCAAGAGACCCAGCCAACAAGGCCGGAACAAAGTCGATCAAAGCCCGCACCAAAACCAAAGGCACAGGCCCAACATCAAGGAACAAGCAAGATTGTTGCCATCGAAGAAATCGATGACAGCGATGAAGAGGAAGAGGAGGATGATGATCTCATACCGTATGAGAAACCAGACGACGACGCATATGATTCCGATGATGACCCTACGTTAATTCAACGAAATAAACCAACAGCGCCTGTGTGAGTATTCACATGTTCTAAGCTATATGACAATGCTAACACATATCAGGTACATCCGCGATCTGATCCCAGCCCTCAGAGACACCGAAAATGTCGAACGGCATCATCTTGCCATTACAACAGCCCCGTCCTTGATTCGTCGCAAGATTAGCTTTGGCACAGAACTTGCTGAACAAATTGAGGAGCTGGCATTGACAATCGTTGGTCTTCAAAATGACAACAACCACCCGACATTCCATGAATCTCGTCTACAGAGTATGATCGCATTGATCGTATCTCATCCCTTCAAAATGGGCCGCTGGTTCACTGCTATCTATTTCGACGGAGACCTGTCTCAGGTGCAAAGATCTGCAGTCCTCACAGCACTGGGATTAAGTGCTCGCGAGATTGCTGGAAACGGGGAAGATGATTCCAAAGCACTGCGTCTACCTGACACTGGCGATACATCATTCCCATCCAAACGTCTGTCACCCTCGTTGGAGGCAATGTATTCGGGCACCGAAGAATCGCCCATTGCAACTCTCACACGTGAAATGTCACGAACATCGTTGCAACCACTCGCAGCAAACGCAGCAGATGCAATGACGGGTCCGAATGCTCTGAAAGTGCGCACATTCTCATCACGCATGGAAGTCGAAAAGAAACGCCAGCAGCGTGATACTCAGCGTCAAAAGACAACAATCAAGGATCTGCATAAAGTGCTGGCTGAGGGTTTCTTCTTCCCAATGCAGGGTCGATTCGAAATCATGATGCTACACCTCTCCTCGTATGTTGAAACGCCCCTGTCTAGTTCCCCGTGCATGCTAACCCAGTAACAGATCGGCATCCTCTTCGTACAACCCATTCTTCATTCCTCATCTCCTCACCCTATTCCTCCAAACCCTCACTCTCATTCTCTCCACGGCAGGCCCCAGTACCCCCTTCCTGCCTGGTCTAACTCATGAAACCCTCTCACTTCTTCTTCCACTCCACACGGCCTCAGCATCCAGCGAGCCAACCGTAACCGTCGCCCTACTATCTCTGTTCCTCGCCCTGGTGGATCTCAATATTGCATCAGGCTCAAACGGCGAAGAACGTCTTGTGACAGAGTATGCGACACAAGTAATCGAGCTGCGCGAGTGGGCCTCTCAGGTCTTCGACCGGACGCCTCCCTCTGCTGCGCGCGCGGATCCGGCTTCTGCCGTCAGTGATCCGCAGGAGCAGATACGTACACTCTCAGCTGGTGTTATGGTGCGTCTTGGTGAGGTCATGGAGCGATACCAGGGCCGATTAATGGGTGTGCATTCTGGATTCAGCTACTAGTCTCGTTGTCGGTGTCTGTAGGCGTCTGCAGGCCTAAGCACCTTCAAATGGGCTCAGTTGATATCTTAAACAAGTATTCCCAAGTTGGCAGGAAAAAATAGCCTCCCATGTACTCAACCTGCGAATCTAGAAGTTGAGATATGATTGATGATGCTTGATTGCTTCCGAAAATGACATAACCTCATTAACACCAAAGTAGATTAATCTATTTACTAGCGTTGGCCGGACCAAAGCTACCCTTCTCGATAGCTGCCTCCATCATCCGATCACCACTGATGATACTCGTAGTGCAGATAACAATCTTCCTCTTCGGTGCCTCCTGTGCAGCAATGAAGCGCAGGGCAGCAATTTCCGTAAACGTAATGCCACCCAAGAAGAAGACATACACAGTCTTCGTTCCCGAGTTCCCGCTGAGCGTCTGACGGGCTCGAACAGCCTTGTCATCGCCTTTCTGCACAATGCTGAAAGTCGCACCACGCGCACTCTTGACAACATCCTCGAACCCAAGCCAGCCGGGGGACATTGTGCTGGCATTGTTGAGCGCAGCAGCCGGTGTGCCACCTTTGATGAGCGAGACCATGTATGACTTTTGGAGAACACATTGCACCAATCGGACGCTTAGTGGTGCAAAGCCACTGTACACGTAGGAGATATCATTGGGGTCTTTCTCGCTTACTTCCTCGATGACAAGGCGAAGATTCTTGCGCAAATAGCCGTAGTTCGTCTTGGTGCCGGCCTGTGCGCCCGATGTTGGTAGAAGCATGGTTGTTGCTGGAGATCGGGGCTGAAGCAGTTCCATCTTTTCCAGCGCCCAGAATGTGAGAAGGTGCTGGTGACCGTATGCTTGGACGATTTGTCGTTTGAAGTTTTCTAAGTCGCGTGGGCGGAGACCTCCTGACATGCAAGATTCCAGACATAGCAGCCGGAGAACGGTTTTTAAAGGAACGTCTCGGGCAATGAGTTCTTCGATGGTCTCGTGCTGATATGTCGAATCTGCGCCGGCAGCGTTGTTCTGCTGGACTTCTAAAGTCTTGCGGAATGTTTCGGAGCGAGTAAGTCGCATTATCTCTTCTGCTAGGTTGGTGTGGGTTCGGAGACTCTGGTGCTCCACCTGGTATGTTGGCAACCGGTTCACGAACTCTCGCAGTTCACCGGTTGTTTTGGCCGTGTGGCGGGCCTCATATTCATTCTCCAGACGACGCGCAACCTTATTCAATATGTCACCGACGATTGCAAAGTTCGCGTCTCGAAGCTGATTGAATAGCTGGTCTGAGGCATCCAGCTGGACTTTTCGTTTAGGTGGGCCATGCTGCTGGGGTGTCTTGGAAGATTCTTGCGGCTGAGGTGCAGATGCAGGACCGACGATGCTAGTGTCGACATCTGCCTGGTTGTTCTTGATACCAACGTACTCATCGATCAACCCTTCATATGTGAGTTGCGTGAGGAGAGCAGTGCCAAAGTCAACATCGCGATCTATGATGATCAAATTCTCTACATTGGGGCTTGGCAATAATCCCCGTGCTGATGGATCAGCCAGCCCAGAGCTTTCCTCTGCATCGAGTTCTTTTCTCATGCGCAGCAGCAAATCTGTCAAGCGGCGGGCATTATCACCTTTGCCGACAATTCGTGGGAAATAGCCGTGGCGCTGTTGGATACTCATAAGAGCCTTTGCGGCATGGAAAATGCATCCTGGGTCCTTGTGCTACTTTCGATTAGAGAAAGATGCAACAAAATGAGACTCGTCCGCTTACCAAGTACAGATCACTGAAAGAATCATCTAGTTCCAGCGACAAGATATCTTGTTCTAGAGGCATGAACAGTAGTGGGAACTCGGCAATGTTCACATCGCCGGTGATACCGGCCTCTTCCAATACCGCATTGCCTACGAGGGTCCGTCTTGGCGAGAAGAAGATCGAGAACTCATGCTCAACGTTGCCGTTATTCTGCAAGCGCTTGATCTGTTCTAAAAGATAACAATGTCAGCTCATCCTGATGGCGCTCAATGTAGATATCTAAAAGATGCCCTAATGAAATGAGCCTGTAAAGGTGTGATAAAATGTATATCAATATAGGGCGAAGATCATCCAGATTGCATAGAGTTGGCGAGAGATCTGCGTAATCTGGCGATGTCCCATACGGGGCCAGAAGGGGATCCAGCCCACGGCTTCACAGACCGAAAATGGAGGCAAAAAAAGTCATGTCATACCTGCCACAATTCGAACGTGGCGAGCCTTCTCGCCACGGACTAGGAATACCACATTGCGTTGTGATGAGTCAATGTTCGCATTCTCCAGATAGAAGACTCGGTGGACTCCATAGTCTTGGAGCTCGGAGAACTTGACGAATAGCCCCACTGGACCAGCCAGCTCCTGGCTTATGACGAGGTTCTTCTTTCCCCGGACCTGAACGAGTAGTTAGCGCCAGTTTCAAGGGATCATGAAGCTATGCTCACGCTTTCCAGGAGGGTTAGGAGATCCCTCCGCGCCTTGTCCTTGAAATGGTCTGCATCAGACCCCGAGAAGGGCGCCATTTCATTGAAACAGGCAGCAGAATGTCGTGACCAAAAATAAACAGATGTCGTCGAAGTGCCACTGCGCCCGCTTTGGGTTTAGCACTGCCACTGCTGATGTAACTGCGTATGGTTCTGTATTGGTATGAATGCTACTGCGTAGATGGTGGGGGTTTGCGTGGGTAACTTTAGGTATGCCTCCGGTATATTTATTACCACCAGGCGGCGATCTCGAACAGCCAATGCTCCCCTGAAGGCGTCTCACAATTGATCTATTTTGTCTCACTTTCTTTCTCTTTTCTCTTTGTATTTCCTCCAGTCCTCGACTGTTTTTAATCTATCACACTTGCCTCTCACCTTACACCCCACACATCATGGGTCTTTTCAACAAGAAATCCGATGGCGATGACGATTCCAACCGCCGAGCACTCTTTGGGCGGAAGAAGGACAAGAGCCCGGCCACCCCTGCCAACCCTTACGCCCAACCAATTCCAGTAGACCCATACACCAAGGCCAAGATCGGAGCCGGTGTCGCCCCCTTGCCTGCCGACCACCCTGCCGCCAACGGCGGCCCCGCGTCGCAGAGCCCCCACAACATCCCCTCCGACAACAAGTACTCCGGCTACTCTGCCAACAAATATGGCAGCCAGGGTGGTTACGGAAGTGACCGATTCGGTGGATCCGGCGCAGGCGTCGGCTCCCCTGCCTCAGGCGCTGGCTCCGGCTCACGCTACGGAACCGGTGGCTACGGTGGTCTCGGCAGCTCTGACCCCAACGACCCCGCGGCGGCGGACGCAGCTCGCAGTGAGCTATTCAGTGGCGCCAAGCGCACCCCCGACAACTCGGGCGGTAACCCGCCGCCATACTCCGAGGGCCAGGGTGGTCAAGGTGGACAGCCCAACTACGGTGGCGGCAGCAACGAGTACAGCATGGCGACCTTCCAGGACCGTCAATTGACAGCGGAAGAGGAAGAAGAGGAAGAGATCCAGGCTACGAAGAACGAGATGCGATTCGTGAAACAGGGTGATGTGGCGTCTACGCGGAACGCGCTCCGAGCAGCTGCTCAGGCTGAGGAAACTGGTCGCGCGACGCTGGCCCGACTAGGCGCCCAGGGAGAGTCGATCCACGATACCGAGAAGAGCCTGGATATGACTACGATCGAGGGTCGCATTGCGGAGGAGAAGGCTAAGGAACTCAAGACTCTCAACAAGAGCATGTTCGCCGTGCATGTCGCGAACCCATTCACTGCTTCCCGACGTCGGCGCGAGCGTGACGAGAAGGTTCTCAACACTCACCGCGAAGAGCGGAACATTCGCGACGGAACTCGGTCCGAGGCACATGGTACCAACCAGCGCATGGACCGCGTGTTCCGTGATATCGACCGTGATGCCGCAAAGCAGGGCAAGGGCAAGAAGGCCAGTGTCACGGAGCGTGCCAAGTATCAGTTCGAGGCGGATAGCGAAGATGAGCAGATGGAGGACGAGATCGAGCAGAACTTGGATCTGCTTGGTGGTGCTACTGGCCGTTTGAATGGTCTTGCCAAGGCCACTGGCAAGGAGCTTGATGAGCAGAACCGCCACTTGGAGCGTATCACAGGCAAGGTATGTTGTTGCGATTCTATATGCATGATTATGAGACTAACTGGCTGCAGAGCGACTTTGTCGACGACCAGATTGCTATGAACCGCGCCAAACTCGATCGCATTCACTAGACATATCGTCCAACGCAATAAGGGCTGCGATATGCCTGGTGCTGTCGGGCCCGGTAATTCATCTGCTTGTGCTCTGTTGACAATCACATTGGCGTTTGGGTTGGTTCTGCATTGTCTGCCTTGGGTCACATCGGAGCCGGCGACTAAAACATTTCGATATTGAATAATAATTGCATTGCACTGATTTCGCAGTCTCTCCAAGTAGAATTTAACTGCTCTGATATGGATTTTGCCGACGCAATCCCGGATCGAAGTATACACTGACATGTCGATCACAACTACAGGGATCTAGGGATCGACACTGCGGGGAGTGTGGGGGGTAGGAAGACCTCCAGGGCTGCAGTATAAAGCCACTGAGACCTGGGGCACTTTCATATACTCAACTGCACCATCCTCAAAGCATGTCTTGCCTCCCCTCTTCAACCGACATCCTCATCATAGGCAGCGGCAATGCCGGCCTCAGCGCCGCCCTCTCAGCAGCCCAAACCAACCCAACCCTCAAAATCACAGTCATCGACAAAAGCCCCGAAACCTGGGCCGGAGGCAATACCTACTTCACAGCCGGCGCATTTCGCACAACACACAATGGTCTCCCAGACCTCCTCCCCCTAGTCAACAACATCACCCCAGAACAGGCCTCCCGCATCGACATACCACCCTATACAGCCCAAGACTTCCAATCCGACCTCAACCGCATGACAAACAACCGCACCGACCCCGCCCTCTCAGCAGCCCTAGTCCAAGACTCCCACTCAGCCATAAGCTGGCTATCTGCCCACGGAATCCGCTTCCAACTCTCCTTCAACCGCCAAGCCTACGAACACAACAACCGAATCAAATTCTGGGGTGGCCTAGCCCTCAAAACCCAAAACGGCGGCAAAGGCCTCATCGAGGACGAACTCCACGCAGTCCGCAACGCAGGCGTCAACATCTTCTTCTCAACACCAGCTACCGCCCTCCTCACAAACCCCGAAGGCGCCATAACCGGCGTCCAAGTCCTCACGGGCACCCCACCCCGCAAAGCCACCATTCACGCTGGCGCGGTCATTCTCGCAGCAGGTGGCTTCGAAGCCAATCCCCGGCTCCGGGCTCAATACCTAGGGCCAGGGTGGGATTGTGCCCGGGTGCGAGGCACGCCATATAACACGGGTGAAATGCTGGGTATTGCGGAGCGTGATGTCCATGCGCGCAGCGCGGGCAATTGGAGTGGATGTCATTGTGTTGCGTGGGATGCGGATGCGCCTACAGGGTCAGGGGACCGGGTGGTTTCGAACGAGTATACGAAGAGCGGGTATCCGTTGGGGATTATGGTGAATGGGGACGGGGAGCGATTTGTGGACGAGGGGTTTGATATGCGGAATTATACGTATGCGATGGTTGGGCGGCGGGTGTTGGCGCAGCCTGGGCAGGTTGCGTTTCAGGTTTGGGATGCTAGGACTTTGGGGTGGCTACGGGACGAGGAGTATCGGGGGGAGGTTGTTAGGAGGATTGAGGCGGATTCGATCCAGGAGCTTGCGGAGAAGTGTGCGCTGGTTGGGCTTGATTCGGGGAGGTTTTTGAAGACGGTTCAGGAGTATAATGCTTCGGTTGAAGGGAATGAGGTTGAGAGTTGGGATCCTGCTGTGAAGGATGGGCTTGGGACGAAGAATTTGGCTATTCCCAAGTCGAATTGGGCGTTGCCAATTGACAAGCCGCCTTTTCTGGCTGTTAAGGTCACAGCAGGGATCACTTTCACTTTTGGCGGGTTGGCTGTCAGTCCTGAGACTGCGGCGGTCATCTCGGAGGCAACTGATGAGGAGGTTCCGGGGTTGTATTGTGTGGGCGAGATGCTTGGAGGCATCTTTTATGATAATTACCCTGGTGGGAGTGGATTAACTGCTGGAACGGTGTTTGGACGTCGAGCAGGCCGTGCAGCCGCCGAGCGAGTCGGGCAGATGAAATAGCCTGAGAGTTAAATCTATGAACATAACAGCTCTGGTACGAGAAGTTCGGAGCAGCTGTGAAACAGGTAGATGCCTACCTAGTATCGTATCAGACAGTGTTAATCGCACCATAATTCTTCAAGACGCAGAGCCAAGGGAATTTGTGTCGATGCCCTAACTTCGTCAAGACACTTCAAGTACTAAAATACAAAGATGGAAGAAATGTTTAGAATGTCTTTATTGATTAGACAATATTGTCATAGTAGCGACTGTAAGAGACTGAGCTCCAAACAATAAAACCAATTTCCTATGCCACGGGTATCATCACCAACACCATCCCAAAACTGCACTTGAAAACAGACCCGGCGGGAAAAAGAGTGTGCCAGAAGGCGCACAAGAAAAGAAGAGTAAAATGTAATAGATCTGAGCCATGCTCATGCGCAGGCTAGAAGAAAAAACGGCACATCACCGAGTAATAAGAAAGTGGCCAAAAGAAACATCGAATCATCAAAAAAGCCCATGGTATCGAAACAAAAGCAAAAGAGGTGACGCCCAGGTCTAGTGATGGGAGAAGAAAAGAAAAAACAAAACCAGTAACGCAGCCGGGAACCTCTATGGTCGTAACGTCAAAATGAAAATGGAAAGGCTCTCCCTGGGGGCCCAAGCGAGCCCACTATACCCTCCACCGGGAGGTATAGAAGCAGGTTTTTCTCTCCGATTAGGAAATGTTTCCGGAGTATGTGTAGAAAAAAAGAAAGGGTATCCAAGTTGTACAAGTACAAGGAGAACCGAGGGGAGAGCTGGGGGAACTCGCTCGGGGCGGTTTTGGGTGGATCCTGCGTTGATTACAGGGAGAGCGCGCTCGAGATTTCGAGTCTCGAGTAGAAAGAGTAGTCGTATGAATGAGACAAAAGGGTATGGGGCGAAATTACTCGTCGTCGTCACCGGATCCGCTGTCTTTCTCGCCCTTGTGGACCTTCTTGTGACGGCGCAGATTCGAGACAACGGAGAAGTGCCGCCCGCAGCCTTCAACATCACACGCGAATGCTGGAATGGGTTAGAATGAGATTTCGTGGAATATTTGGGGAGTAAAGACTTACGCTTCTCGCCGGTGTGGCTGTACATATGTGTTTGCAGGGATGAGGGGCGCGTGAAGCGCTTGTCGCACACCTTGCACTTGTGCTTCTTCTGGGTGTTTGAAGGCAACTTGGAGCTGAATTGGCTCATCATGGATTGCGGGCCTGGAGGGGCGCTGCCGGCCAGGAGGCTGGTCGGGCGGGGAAGAGTGCGCGACTCATATGACTCGGATGTGGTGGAGCTGTAGTCTGTGACGGAGGAGTCGACGGAGCCGACAGAGGCGCTGTAGTAGGGGTAATTGCCGCCGGAGGAGATGGAGGAGGCGGAAGAGTGGGTGGAAGGGAAACCGTAGGAGTCGGCAGAGCTGCGTGCGCCACGAGGGCCAGGGCCGTAAATGTTACGGGGGGTCAGATCCTGGCTGAGAGCGACCATTCCGCGGCTGGCGTCCAGCGCATCGCCGAAGGTGGGTGCGGAAGCAGAAGAGTTCACGCGAGCATCGCTAATCCATGTGAGCTTGCGCGCGAGATCAGAACGGAGAGTCAACTTACGAGTGGGAGATGCGGCGGGTATCGGTGGGTGAAGGGTGAATGGGGGCATAGCTGACGGGGGCGTAGCTGGCCGGCGCGAAACTGCTCATGGGGGGAGCGGTGGTGTAGGAGGGGGTCTGGTCGAAAGTGGTGCGCGGGACCTCGTGTTGCATTCCCATAACCTCAGGTCCGTAGCTGGGCGCGTAAGTGCTGCCGGCGACCATTGTGGGCGCGGACACGGGGATGTTGGGGTATGGCATCGACATGGCGGTGCGGTTGACTTCCTCCTGCTTCACACCAATGGGCATGCTGGCGCCATTGCCCATGGAAGTCGCATAGACGGGAGGGGTCGAGTGCGAAGAGGTGTGCGCCGCCCAGGGGTCTGTGAATTGTGGTGGGTTGTGGTAGACATTGTCGAAGCCCATGCCGCCATAGGGACGGTTCTGATTTTCCATAACCATCGTCATGGTAATAAAGATGCAGCAAAGATCGATCGTCGAGGATAAACACGAAGATCTATTATTCCGAAGGAAGGAGAAAGAAAAATTGAGCAGTCTGGGGAAGGGGATCGGCGAAGCTTATGAAGGGGACAAACAATATAAGGTGTTGAGGCATGAGTCCATACTCCAGTGCCACTGACGACGTCCCGTCGGGGATTGCAGATCGTTACAATACGGTATGGTCATTTGTCCACTTTTTTTGTTTTTTTGTTTTTCTCCTTTTTGCTTTTTCTTTTTCTTTATTTTTTTTTTCCGGTTTTCTCTCTTCTTTTTCAAATTGGTATTCTCTTTTCTGACCTCCCTCTTGATTGGCCTGCCCTAGTGTCAAATAGTCCATTGGGGTAAGGTTCCCAGTTCCCTGGACCCTATGTATCTTCCTCAGGCTAAAATTATCTCGATCAGGGTCTAAATTATATTAATTGCTTAACTTAGGAATGGAAGATCTGAAGATTCGATGGGTATTTAGACGCGCAGACAAGAATGTGGGTGGCCGGAATCGGAGGTATCGTGGCCATTCCCAGAGGGAAAGAAAAGGGAGTACAGACCAAGCCCAAAAAGTAGATAGTGACCTCACCTGGACAGAGAGTGAATATTGCTGAGCTGTGCCGTGTGGGCTGAAAAGGGAAGTGGTAAAGCGGAACACCAAAAAAGCAAAAAAAAAGAGAGAAAAGGGACGCCAAGAAGACTCACGGTGCACCAAGGTTCGCCTTTGTTTCAAGGCAGCGGGGCAGATCCCAGTGTCAAAGGGTATACCCGTGCCGGGGTTAATATGAGTCTGCAATAGATTATCCTCTGTCGAGTCTCCTACATAGGTAGTATACTAGTATAGTGCTAAGTAGGTAGACCTCAGATACTGTATGAGGTAAATTGATGAACGTCACAGTTGTCGCACTGCATTCGAATATGTCAAATCTCCAGCGGAATGGCTGAATGGCTTAAGCCATGGGCCTTTGACACGGCACAGAGAGGGTTTAGCGTGCCAGCCCGACCTTACAGAGGGTTATCGAATCACTAGCCGGGAACATTATTGACTGCATTCTAACTCCATTCGACAGGAATCCAGCAAAAATGTGATGACGACGTTTTGAATCGAACAGCCTGAATGTCCTTGTGGAGGATGTACAGTGCAGTCAAAGTCCCACACGGGACAGGTGGAAACCGAGTGGACATTCCTCTCAGCGAGAGCGAGTACCAAACTTCCCGTCGGACTTGCTCCGGACAGGCCTCGTTTCATGGTGTGCAGACAATACGAGCGGAACGGCGGGTGTGCAAAATAATAATAATAAAGGCCCTGCAGGGAGATGCAATAAGTTGGAATCCCAACGATGTCATGACCCGAGCCATGCGAGTTGTATCACATCAAATCACGCTAATCTAGACACCCTCTGGTCGCGCATATCAAATAGCTAAAATCAACCTTGAGACCCTCGTCGTGACGAGGTAAACAGATAAGGCGAGCCATTCGGTCAACTGAGCGACGTCAGAGCGGGAACGCGGGAATTGGGGTAAGGGCCTGGGAACAATTTAGTGCGGCTGCAATAGCGCAGATGTCGCCTAGATCGGACATATCATAACCTGCAATTTGTCTGTACGGAGTCACAGAAACCTATGGGAGAATACTCTGTGTGCCAACCCGTGCTCAGTGGAACCATCATTCTGCCGTTGCCAATAGCGTCTGTAAATTTCCGGTCTCCACGGTCCCCGTTGGAGCAGAGGTACAGGTTCGATCACAAGGTACGGAACAGAAAAAGAAAAAGGCAAAACAAAAAAGGCAGGGAAAAAAAAAAAGAGGATCAGTCGAGAACCAAGAGGCTGAAGAACCGCAAGTTAACCTCGCCGGCAGCCAATCACTCGCCAGCTGCATGGGATGAAGCGTGGTGATTGGCAACTCGGGGAGGAGGGCAGCGTTAGATTCAGAAGTATATTTTTCCGTGATCAACTGCTGCTCTCCCGGTAGAGAAGGACAGCCGAAACATGTTCCGATGTGACTCGCCACTGCGGAGATACTCATCCAGTGTTTGCCTCGGTTTCAGACCTCAACTTCTCCGCATTCCCATGTTCAGGTTGGGATTTCCAGAAAAACTTAGCTGTTCAACCGGAGGATCGTGTCCCATGGGCGAATTTTGTCTTTGCTAGTGCTTTGAGGGGTTTCCACGGCTCACACCTGTGCCTCGACACCGACCGTGGGTCGCATGTTACCGGTTTGTGCCAGGTGCAGTACACAGATTAGGTTTCTCCCTATCAAACTACTCCAACCACTTGAAGGACCTTATTTTCGTTCTAAATTATCGTGAACTAGTCGAACTCCCTGAAACTTCGGGATGGTGGTTTCTGATTTTTTTTTCTCTGGTCGCAACTCCTGTCTCACCCACAACCGGGATTTACCTCAGTGCTTAATCTTAAAATCCCAGCAATGGGTCCTGCCCTGAGGGTCTGTCGTAGTCTCGCCATCTTTCCGTCCAGACGGAAAGTACACTAAGACTATCGGAAGGTGCATCCGAACAAACACTTGGGCTGTGTCCAGGTTGGGTACCCAGCCAGAGCCCACAGGGCGTGACCTAGTCGAATGGAGCCCGTGAAATTAAAGCGACCTTCACAGCCGCCCAAATCAAATAGTCCTACTCCATACGGGAGAGTAAAATGAGAATTGAGAAAACAAGCAATGCAAAAGAGACATGGTCTCCAGTCTGAGCGCGACCCCCCTTTTTTCAGCCATGCCGTGTTTGGCCCACTTGACATTTCACCGGTTGAACTCCATCTCTGTTGGCAGGTGGCGTTGGGGGAGGGGACACTAATTTTTGAGCGCATGCTCAACTTGAAGAGGGGTACTTCGTACGGAGTACGAGAGTGTCGGAACCCAATTCGCGGGTTTTCATTTTCTTTCCACAGTGGATATACTTTTTGACACTCTTTAAGTTAAAACCTCGACAACATTTTTGAGAGTTGTCCAAATATTGAGTCGGAGCGTGCCGGATGGACAGATAGACACCTCAATCGCAAAGTGAATCTGTATCCACAGTGGGTTTGATATCGTCAAAAGGTTTCCTTAGCTTGCCGAGTTTCTTGGTTAACTGGGCCCTGACCGCTTCTCCGTGGAATTTGCCCAAGCGGGAACAGCGCAGTGACACGGCTCAAGTTGACGCGTCACGAAGGGCCCTTTTCCCTTTTCCCAGGAATTTCCGATTTTCCGAGAAAGCCGGGTAAAAAAGGAGACCACAGAGGGAAAAAGGCGGTCTGTCCGCACATTTGTCGGAGAAATTGCAAGTCTGGAGATCAAACCCCAGACGCTATGAGATACCTAGTCACTGATAGTCACCACATGGCTGGAACTGGGATGTTGATTCCCATGTAATCAGATGAGCACGTTGACGATCTGCCTTAATGCCGAGTGTCAATCAGGTACCGGTCCTTGGCCAACAATGGGCTGTCATCTGCACGGAGCTCCGATCGTGGCGGATCCCACACGGCAGATCGTCATCCCCAAATCAAGGTTGACAGAGTGCACATCACCGTTCTTAGCCTGTGCATCCGTCTGCTTACTAGTACAGTTGTACCACTATCCTCGTACTGTCCGCAGCTGAGCACTGTCTATACGCATATGGGGTACACCGCAGCAGGATCTCTTTCCTACATAATCGGTAATTCCTTCAGGTTGCATCACATCTCGAGAGAATCCAAGCGTCGGTGATTGGCCGAGAGAGCCCGATGTCGGACTGTCCAGATGTGTATTTTACCTTCGACTCCACATTCTTACATGTTGGTGGAACCAATCACCAATGCCTCATTGCAAGCCTGGAGACCCGTGGACGGCAGATAGTCGATAGCCGAGCTTGGCACTGACTGATCGACCAATGGAATCAGAGGCCCCACCCTGAGCTGACGCGTGCACATCCCGTGCCTTTCCAACGTGGTATCTGGTTTTCGTACAATACGGACAATACCCCGTACTAGCATACTATACACTCCATACTCGACTGAGTCTGCACTTGACGCTCTCTCATAGTATCCTGTCAGGAAGTACTCCGTACTGCGTACAGTACTATCTTCAACATCTGGACCATCTCAAATAAGCAATTACATGACGTGTGACCCCGCAACCCGTTTGACTGTGTGATCCCTGCGTGCGATCCTGAGACCCCACTCATGAACACTGCCTCAGGGTCAACGCTAATCATGAAACATGAAACACGGGTGGATCTCAAATCCGTGATGCAAATCCCCTAACCTTCGCGCTGAACGTCATATCCACGGTCGGATCTCTCGAGACCCGCATGGTCTCGTCGTGGGGATACTCGTACTAGTCTGGAGTACGGAGTACAGAGGCCCAAAATATTACCTGATACGGCGATAAACACCATGATCGGGCCCTCCCGAAATGAGAGTTCCATCGTCGCGGTTCACTGGTTTCCCCGAGCTAAAAAAGAAAAACGCAATGTGACGATTGGATGCAGAACTACGGTGTGTGCTGTCTAGGTCAATCCGGTCCCCAGGCCGCACATAACATCATCGGGAGGATCAAGCTCCCCTGTTCGTAAGACTCACTTGCAGAAAGTGGATTGACTCCCCTTGGCTTATGTCACTGCACTGTGACTATGGGAAATTACCAGAGTGCATATACCGATAGCGCTTCACGGTAGGGGGAGAGCCCGCGCTACATTGTATTTCGTATTGCGTACTCCGTACTCCGTACTGTACTCCGTTCCCCAAGCTTACAGTTTGTTGACGTCGGGAGAGCAAGACCGCGCCAAAGGCGCCCGATCCACAAAGAGCCCCTCACTGAGTGCCTCAACCGTCGTGAATGGGGCGTCCTGCAGGGTCTCCGATCCCTTACGGGCTTGGACTTGGACTTGAGTGTTCAAATAAAAAAACATACAATCAATGTACAGAGTAACCCCTGTCCCCATTCACTCTGTGTGACTCCATATCCCAGCATTGACGACATTTCCAATCAATTCCAACGCAACACTTCTCCTGAAAGCTCCGATCCCTGTTGGTGTGCGCAATCCTATAGCCGTGTGGGGTCTGATTGGCTTCTCATCGACTCCGTAGTATACGAGTGGTTCCCTTCACGTGAATTCCGACAGACCTCCCGAGGTCGGTATCTCGCATGACAGCTTGCTTACATCCAATGTACGTGGTACATGCGCATGAGATATTAGGCATTTAGCATTTAGCATTTAGCATCTAGCGCAACACGCGATCGCTACAAGACGTGCATACTCGTATATTAATTCTTGGACATTTGTGATATCCGGTTATTTTCCGAAATGAAGAGCCAAGGATGACCTTTGAACGCCCACGAACTAGCAGAATAGGGAAATCAGAATTAAGCAGAATTAAGCAGAATTAAGAATTAAACTCGGGTCACTCTACTCCAAAAGGGGGCTAGTAGACCCTGAAAATGGGAAATCGAATATCCTTCAATACAAAGACCCTGTATGGAGGTAAGAAAAAGGCAAAAAGGGGGCACCCCTTATCAGGGTCTGTGTGTGTACACTCATTCCCCGGTTCCTGTGGGAATCTCATTTCAGGGGGAGGCTGTGTCGAAGAACATATTCCAGTCCCGAGTGGTTGGATCTATAGTCGTACGTACTCTTGGAGCTTGCATATCAGAACACATTACGGGGTGCCCTTCTAAGGTTTGGGGTACTATACTACTATCTACCTAGGTAGTATATATACAGTTTGCTAGACTATGTAGAGTACTATAGATTGGATCTCGAAGTATGACTGTAAGGTAAATCGCACTACCACTGCTAGTAGATCGCACATTGTATCATTGTAGACCCTTAGCTTCCTCACGATCGATAGATTGCAAATAGTATCCCATATCCTGTACTAGTAGTCCCCGTTCTCAGATATCAAGCACATACATACTCCAAAGTAATTTCCAAATTCCCCACAGCCAAGCCTCAGCGCTGCGAGAGCTTACGCGGCCACATCCTGCGCCAAGCCTGAGCTTAGGCATTTGGCGCTGCTTGGCAGTCCCTTGAGCCCACCGGGCTGGGGCCCCCCCTCCTTTCCTGCTTCCTTATTTTCGGGACCCTGATGACGAATGCCTTTACGATATTTTTCGTTTTTTATTTCTCATGTGGCGACTGAGTTGAGGCATTATTTGGTCGCCTGGCGGTGGCGATGGTGTACGTATGGGTTTCTATGTTTAGAGCAAGGGGAGTGCAATTTCGCTTTGGATATTGGAGCTGCTTCGAAGTCGCATACCCCAGATGCCCGTTGGTTTTAAGATAGTCCGATATGATTGACAATGATTGTCGGCTTTAGGAGCGATCCCTGCCTTATTGCCCCTGTCACCATGCTTGGCCTTGTAGATTATTCTACGAGATTTGATAAAAGCAAAGATCGACTCTACACAGGTTCATGAGATATTTGGATATTCAGACTCGAATTTAACAACATTTACATTTCATTTTGTTCTTTGAGTTGTAAAATCCATGGATGAAATACCATAACTTGGATTGGTTTAGTTGATAATATGTCAATAGTCGGACCTCGGGAGGTTGAAAGAAAATATATATCTACAGCCACACAACTCTAAGCAGCCACCTCGTGTTATCAAGTTCAAGGGTCCAGGTTGTGCTACCTGATGTTCAATTATACGAAACCTTGAACTTGGAACCTTGGAAGACGTTACTACCTACCAAGGTACTAGGCAGTTCATGAAATTCCAAGATTGGATTTAACGGCCATTCAAATCTGAATTATGAGTTCCTAATGACTTTTTCGATGATATACACTATTGACACGCCGAACGTCCGTGTATGAAACAAAACCTAATCAAAACACCGGCTAGAAAGTGAAACAGACCATATCGTAGCTGTAACTAATAATGCATGAAGAGAAGCAAACCAGTAACCCCATGGCACCATGGACCGTCCTTAGATCATGATGGACAATTCCGGTCGGTCCATATCGCCCTCCAGGTCGGGGTAGTAAGGGACCATGGCATCGGCACCCTGGACATACGCATCGTTGTAAAGACGCCAGTAGGGAGTGCGCACCTTGCGAGCAGGGTGGAAGAGACCGGCCCAGATATAGTTCATGACGGTACCTGTGCCAACGGCCATGCGGATGGCTTCGATGGCCTCGATGATGCGGTCGATGACGTGGGGACTGGTTTCGAAGATGTTGGGGAAGACGAGGTTCAGCAGATGGAGCATGGCATCCTCGCAACCGAGACCGACAACACCTAGTGCAACGTGCTTGACCACGCTGGCGGCGGTTTGTCGGTGGACTTGGTCGCGGTCGATGAGGGCATCCTCCAGCAAGGGTGTGACGGCGTAGACATAGTCCTTGGCCATCTCACCGATGTATTCGAACAGGAAAGACAGAGCCTTAAGCACACCATTCTGCACGTTGAGCTCAGGCACCCGGTACTCGTTCATCAATGCGGGGAGAACGGTGAAAGGAGCACAGGTTTCAGCCACTATACCGATGGCAACGGCTGTGCAGACACGAGATTGACGCTCTTGCACTCGCAAGTTGTTGAGGAGTGTGGCAAGGACATCTTGAGGACCAATGGCCTTGGCAATGAAACCGAAGGTGTTGTTGGCTGCTCGGCGGATACCCTTCTTGTGAGCCTTGAGCATATCAAGCAACTCGAAGCAAATACGCATCCATTCACGGGCGTTCACAGACTCGGGTCCGCGATCGGCAATTCGACCAACCAGATCGATTGTGTTTTCCTGCACCTTTTCGTGACGGTTACGGAGAATGGGGGTGAGACGGGGAAGGAGGTCACGAATGGGTGGCTGCATCTGGGTAATACCGACGACTGTGACAATAGAGCGGAGAGCACCCAGAATAGAACCCAGAACCTCGGGATATTCTTCACCGAGGTATTCGTAGAGAACAACACCGAGCTTGCCCATGAGTGCGTCCTCGCCGCACTGCTTCATGACCATCGCAATTCGAGAGATAAGATCGGCGGCTTGTTGTCGGACTGTAGCAGACTTGTTGTTCAGACGCCAGAGAATGGTACTGACAATCTGTGGGAGGTAAGGCTTGCAGCGTGAGCCAAGTGCGTTGACGACAGTGCCGAATCCGTTCAGAATAACAATGTCTTCAATGCTTTGTTCCTGGAAGGCGAACAGGACGCCGTCGATGAGGCGCTCTTCCAGTCGCTCGGAGATATCGGCGGCTCCAAGTGACGCAATGAGCTTTTCGATAGTTTCCACCGTCATCTTGCGGTATGGTTCGCTCTCGTCTTTCAAGTTGTTGACGGTGCGCTCGAGGATCTCACCGACACCAACCTTCTGGCCCAGGTCGACGGTGGTATCAACTACCTGGCGATAGTTTCGTCGGTCGAGTGCCATGCGCCGCACCCAGAAGCTCTTGAAGAACTCTGCCAAGACGTGCTCCTTGAGATAACTGGCAGTGACACCGTCCGTGCTTGCGCACTGAGACACCACCTTCAGGACCACCTTCTTCATTTCCTCGTCTGGCGAGGAGAACTCACGAAGGAGGATTTCCATAATCTGTGCAGTATAGTAGTTCGAATATTCCTCGTCCTATGATTCTTAGTTAGCTAGCTGTATTCCGCCGTGTTAAAAGGCATCACTTACCATCAATGGGATAATGTAACCGACGGCCTTCAAGAAAGCAGCGAGACCCTTGCCGCGCTGCTTGCGGGCACCAGTCCAGAGTGGGTTCAGAATATTATCGAAGCTTTCAATACCGTAGGGGTTCGCAGCTTCGGCCAGAGCAGCGACTGAGAGAGCAGTGACAGTTCGAACCTTGGCTTGTTCATCACCTAGATTGTCAGAGATACATTCCACCAGTCCCTTGAGGTGAGGGAGAATGGCACAACCCATGAGAATGGGAATCTGCTGGATGATCTTGACACCGGTGTGACGGGCTTGCCATGATTTCTTGCTGCGGCAGACAGCTCGGAGGAAAGGAAGGAGGGCTGGAATTCCGAGAGCAGAGGCCACAACAGCGAAAGCTCGTGCTGTTGTGTTTCGCACATATTCATCAACATGATCAATATCAGGACGCATAGTACTAATCATGGTCGCAAGACCGGCAGCCTTCGAGAGGTTGGAGATGATCTCTCGTCCCTCAACACGAGCATAATAGTCTTGATCAATGAGCAACGGCTCAATGACAACCAAGATCTTGTGGACATACGGGCGAACCAGATCATCAAGCTTGTACAGAACACGATCAATGACCTTGACCAGCAAATGGCGTTCCTGGTCCTCGAGGGACTTCTCCATAAGCAAGGGCAGAATTTGGTTGAAAAGGGCTCCGGCACCGAAGTTGCGAGCATTGTCTGTAAGTTGTCGCAGAGCAGTCTTTCGCATTGGTGGTGTACCGTTCTTGACCTTGAGCAGTAATCGCATGATTTTCCGCTCTTTCATTTCCTCCACGGTCATGCTGGTTTCGTCGCCACCCTCCATGAGCTTACCGAAGTAAGCCATATCTTCCGGCTTGAAGAATTGAAGATCACCAACACCGGGGATATCAGTTGGGAGCTCCTTGCCCATGGACTTGGCGCTCTCTGGTTCTTGCATCATGAATCCTCCAACGCCTCCAGCCGCCATTGGCGCCGGCGTGGCCATGAGCTTGCGAGCCTGAGTCCGAATAGGCTCATATCCGGGAGGGGGGTCAAGAATCTTATAGCCCTCAGCCTCGCCAGGAAGCATGAAGTCAAGCTCTTCGTCAGACCATCCGACCATTGGACCAGACGGGCCGACCGCTGCAGGGACTGCCTGTGAAGGATGCATCGGGGTCGCGAGTCCTTGGTTGCCAACCGGAGTAGCAGCCGTAAGCGATGGTGCCAAATCCCACCGAGATTTCTTGGGAGCTTCATCAGAGGCCTCGGGGCCCGGCGCTGAATCCCAACGGGATCTCTTAGGTTTCGCGGTAGTGGAATCCTCGCCTTGTGATTCAGCGGGAGTTTCCGCCACATCCCATCTCTTCTTTCGCTTCTTGGGGGGACCTTCGTCGCGGGCTGAATCCGCCTCAGCATGTTCCTTGTTGTCCTCCACTCTCTTCAGTGTAGCCTCGTGCTCGGTCACATCTTCGCCAGCTTCTCGCTTCTCTTGGATCAGCTTGTGAACGCGTTCTTCCTCCTTCTCGAGCTCGCGCTTGGCCATAACCTCACGGTACGTCTCGCCTTCTCCCTCGGCATTCCCTTGGCCATTGGCGGCAAAAGGATCGGCGCGTGTAGGAGTAAGGGCTCCACGGTTAAAGCGGCGTTTCTGGTAGTCCGTCTCGCGATCGGCAATTCGAGCTGCCTTCTCGCGACCAAGAAGGATATCCTCCTCCTCGACGCCGTTCCCCCGAGCCATTTCATCGATCTGGCTTCGGGTGGCTGTGTATTGACCGACCAGGTTGTGTCCTCCATTCGCATCCTCCATTTCCTCGTCGTCTCCGTCGACCGCAATGGAGGTGTTGTAGCCCGAGTACTTGTCAGCACCACCCCGATCATAGAGAGTCGTGTCGAAGGAGTCCGTCAGGGAGGCCTTCGTCGAGTTATCAGTACGTTGACCAGATGGGTCAAAGGTCCTTGAACCTTTATTGCTAGCGGCAGCAGCATTGCGCTCAGCTTGGAGCCGGCGAACGGCCTCGAGATCAGCTGCAGTGGTGGTTAGTTCCAGGTCCTGCCGGAGAGCTTGCGAAAACGTACCGTCGGACATGGTGATAATAATCAGGAGTCGCGAGTGTGTGAGTGAGCCTGTGTTACCGCAAGAGGGCTCAACGAAGCTACATTCGGATTGGAAGCCGTTGCAACGGTCACAAAAGGTGGCGTCGACGCTGTGATGTTGCTTGGGCTTCGCGATGAGATGCTGAAAAGGTCGTTGGCGGTACGCGCTAGTGGATCCTGACTAAGAGCCCAAACTGCCCCACACGTGATTCAAGATCACATGACCCAACACCACCCCGGACCCACTGATCCGCGGGTTGCGCTTCCTTTGCATTCTTCTCTTCATGACTCTCCTTGGTCTGGCAAATCAATTGAAAGGGGAAAATGATGAATAACTTTGAGCTGAGAGCATTCAAAGTTTAGACCGTCTTCTGTGCGGGCTACCTAATGCCTTGCGCTGACCGCTAGAATCAACCATCCATCTCATTGCGTGGATGGAATTACATCTCAGAGATATGTGAGAGTGCTTGTCTTCCAAGGTTCAACCATTCAATCATTCAAAAGGATATGCAATTTGGGCGGTACGGTACCTAGGTAACTCTGAGATTGTGCACTCCATCTCCAAGGCTCCATCAAATTTGATAAAGCACCTCGGGAGTAATCTCTAGGGCCACCTATGTCTGGATTCTGTCGTAGGAGCATTACAACCAAATTCAGAGCGATTTTACTAATTGACAGTCGAAGCGAAGCCTCAGATATCTAATCAACGATGTCATTTGTGCGAGAAATATGAACGTGAGTTACGTGACCACCGTTGCCAGTGAACACCTTTCAAGACGTCATTGGACATTTGCTGCAACTTGGTTCTTCTCACTGGAATATTGATGACAGTCAGTAGCCCACTGCCATGTAATCGGACACCTCACTGGTCTATCTGATCGCCGTGGCGCCGCGAGGGCGCTTGTAGTCTATTTATGTTCCACCAGTGTGTCAATGATATTAAAGGTCTGCATAAGCCCACTCTGGTGCCTAACCTGGAAGATGCGGGCTGTCTAAAATAGGAAGAAAAAAAAAATTTGGAAGTTAGCGAACAGGGACATTCAAAGAGAAAACTCTCCGACAACCAATGAGAGATCTCGTTCCAGTGGGCGCTTATGCGAAGCGCCTGCAGTCAAGGTTCTAGGAAATTAGAACATTCTATATTTGCACCGAGAATATCTCAAGTCTGACCTTCAGAATGAGTGCCTGAAGGCAATCATTATGCTCGGTCAAGTGCCAATCTGCTTGTCATACAGTAAAGCGGCTGTTTGCTGGCAACTGGCCAGTCAAACGGGTGCAGGTGTAACCCCCAGCCCCCATGGTTACATGAGCTAAGATTACCTATGGACCCTTTGATGAATTGACTGCAATTTTATTGATGTAGGGCTGTATCTCCGCGGCGAACTCTATGGGGCATAACAAAGGCCAAATTTAGCATCATTTTCCAAGCGATCGTGTCCCCAGTCAGCCGACTCGGATACTTTCCAAGACATGAACTACTCGGATGTAGATAGCGGTGTCCACCTGGGCACCTGTTAGTGGGAGTTCCCTGTTCGTTTCCATCAAAGACTCATTGAACCCCATAACGCTTGGTTCGATTTGGTATACGCTATAAGCCTAACTATCTGTGCGGCATCCCCAAACTCAGAAAACATTCTTTGTTACACATTGGCAAATCCCAGACTTTTTATTTAATGAGATACATGTCTGTTTGTTTACCCCTATGATCTCGGTATTTTTCATTGCCTTGGTGTTCTGCTGAAGAGATTCCAAAGTGCCTGTCCCTACTGAACCCTCATTTTCAACCTGCGGTTTACTAGAAGTTTTACCCATATACCCTCTTCTTGTTATTTCTACCTTCTGCATAGGGCAAAAGCCGGTCCAAAACCATTGATCCTGCCTTCATTCTTTGATATCACACCATTTCATTTCATCTCACTACTTGGGAATCATGAACTTCCACATTTGGCTCTTCGCTCTACTCACAGCAGTGGCTGTGAATGGAGATCCAGGTCAACCTCGTCCTTTGGCACTCGCCTCATCATTCGCCCACATCTACCATCAGCTCGACAATATCCACCTCGGCAACTGCTCCCTGGCAAACGCAACAATGCCACTGAACGCCACCAAGATCCCGCTTCCAGCTCCATCTGCAAACCTTACACTGAAGTATGTCGCGCTGGGCCGAGGGACTCAGAACTATACATGCCCATCGAACAGCTCCTCGAATCCTAAATCCACGATCAAACCAGAAGCAACAGGTGCTGTTGCCACTCTATTTGACGCCTCTTGCCTTGCGGCCGCATCGGGCCCTATCCTTCATGAAGTTCCGGCTCTGGTTAGCACCACACCTCTGGGATCTTTGGCATTCATGGCAGCACTTGTAGCCCAGGGCACAAGGAGTACCAACTTGATTATCGGAGAGCACTACTTCAATGCTGCTGGTGACCCGTTGTTCGACCTTACTCTGAGTGGCTCGAAATCATGGATTGCTACCAACAAAAAGGCGGCTGTTCCAGCACCAAAGTCGACAGGAGCCTCAGATGATGTTCCATGGCTCAAGCTGGGCTACAAAAAGGGACATGATATTGAGGTGAGTCGCAGTATCCAAGTACAACAAAGCATGAGAACATATCTAACGCCGTGATACAGGAGGTTTATCGTGTTGTCACATCCCTAGGAAACCCACCCTCTACCTGTGCTGGCCAGAATGCCACAATTCTAGTGCCATATGCGGCAGAGTACTGGTTCTACGGGTGATGCTTCGTTTCTATATACGTTTTCATGATGCATGGATGTTCTTCTGGGGGATATTTGAATTTACAACCTTGGAAGCAATGGATATAACTCAGAACTCTGATGGTAACTAATTATCAGTCTAAGTGCCATGGCCGAAGATAATGAAATACCTTTTACGAACCAAGGCTTCCTACACCTGGGCACATCCATGAATGACCGCTAGACACAACCTCGGAAACACCATGTCTTCCAAGGTTCAATCGCTCAAATGATTTCCCAATATATCATGTATCACAAGCCCCAGCCTCTCCACCCCCTCAACTAGCCGCCCTTCATCCTCCCACATGAAACACAGCCTCAACCTGCGATGCAACTCCCCCGCTGAACAATTCCCACCCGGAACAGCAAATGTCTCACCGCTACCCAGAACCAAGTTCTGATTCTTCAGAGCTTCCTCGCAAACCTGCGTTGACGTCAATGTGTCCGGAAGCCGAATCCAGATGTAATATCCACCGGCTAGGGCGCTGGTCTCGGGATCAGGAGAAAACGTCACACCAAAGGGACCGAGATGCGCTTTGATCGCAGATGCTAGGAGCGAATGCCTTCTTCGTCCGTCGGAGACTAAGTATTGACTGACATATTCAGGCAGGAAATTATCCTCAAGCATTTCATTCACAAATGTCGACATCAGTTGCGAAGGAGCACCACCTGATCGTGTTGAACCACTGCGAGCGAGCAATTAGTACCAGACCTCTCTACAAACTTGATTGGGATATAGGCGAATACATACGCCTCAGAAAGACCATGGATGGAACTCGGCGTCCCTTCAGCCCATCCAACTCGACACCCGGGACCGATCAGCTTGCTGAAAGATCCATTACTCAAGACGTTCCCGAATCGATCATGTGGCCCACCGTCGAGAACTCGATCTATATCCACTAGACGTGGCAGAGCCGAATTCTGGGAGCCAAGCGCAGTGCCCCAACTCAGGAAATCATATACATCATCCGCCACAACGAGAGCGTCAAACCTGCGCGCAACTCTCACAAGCTCTTCTCGTCGAGCACGAGGCATCGTCTTTCCCGATGGATTGGAAAAGCTCGGAACGCAATATATGACATGTTTGTATATTTTCCCATGCGGTCTTTCAGCCTTATAAACCTGCTACATGTAAGTCTCATACCGAAAGCAAAGATCAAAAGCAAAAACCCAAAACACATACTGTGCCCGAAGTAACCAGATTCTCGTGCTCAAAAGCCTCCAAAGCAAGTTCCAGCGCGGCAACGTCTAACCCGTCTTCGTCCTCGGGTATACCTCGCAGTCGATCCATGAATCCGGCATCCTCAAAAATCCGGAACCCAAGATGATACGTTGGCTCAACGAGCCAGATCATCTTTGTCTGTCCCGGATCTGTGAACACCTGCAGGACGCAGGCTAGATTCTGGCTCGCGCCGCCTGTGATGCACACGCGGTCTGCATCGATGGGGTGGGAGGTTTCGTAGAATTCGGTGAGCCATTTGGCTATATTCTTTCTCATAGGCAGATGGCCTTCATTTGGACCGTATTCCAGACCTGTTGCGAATATTGTTTCGTCGGATAGTGCGGCGCTAGTTGCTTGTTTTAGTCGGTCGACTGGGAGCATGGAGATGGCGGGCCATCCTTGGAAGAGGTCGATTTGGGTGGCTGGATACATCTTTGATATTGGAAAGATGTCTGTAGGCTTTGCCCGCGATATCTTATACTTTTCCCTCGACAAACCCCTCTGGGCTTGCTTGGGGAACATATGCGATCTGACCAATCACATCGGACTATCAGATTGGCTTCTATAAGAATCTTCTGTTTTGTCTCTTTACCCCCCCTACTCTTATCCAAGAAGAGAAAGAGTCTCCGATTCCAAGATTCCAAGGTTGTTCGCGCTATAAAATGCCACCCGATAACGCCATAAGCACTTCTCCTATCTCAGTTTCGGGTGTGAACCAGCGCCCCCAATGCAAAGCAAATACAAAGGGACATCCATGGACATCCCTCGTCAAAATATGCCCACCCCGTCTTTACTTCCGGGGAGGGAAAAAAAATCACATACACGAAGAGAGCGCCGGGTATGTCTTGAATGATATGATCTAGGCTCCAAGCCAAGATGCACCTGTGCTAGAGGGAGTGCGAGAACAAGCCTCCAGTTTATACATTGTCGTCTTCATAGACGAAGTTGATATCACGAATGCGACGGCGGTTGGTGGCGACGAATTCCTGATCGCCGATGGGTCGCTCGTCGCGCGTGTTGGCTGTCAGCATGCTTTGCAGACTCATGCAAATGCTTTCGACATTCTGGACGGGAGACCAGCCGGACGAGCCGAGTAGATCGAGGCAGATGATGCCGTTGCTATAGATGTGGGGATGGATGGGGATCGAACGGGGGGTGCCGGTCGATTCGGCGCACTGGATGAATTGGACCTCGGGGGGTTCTGTGACGAGGACGGATTAGAGGCTTGGATGATAATGACGGCACTGAAGAGCTTACCGATGGGGTACTTGTTGCTGAAAGTGAACTTCAGGCGATAGGTTTGGTCCAGATAGAGTGGGTTTGTGTCTAGGACCTTGATGTCCATCTGCCACTCTTCCAGGTTTTCAGACTTCACCATCGCAATACCCGGAGGTAGGTGGTCTTGCATCTGTAGCAGACATGGTATCAGACATGATGTATGGCCAGGTGAGTGAATGAGTGCTGTGTGCGATCGGCGAGAAGGTTGCAGTCGGCGGGGCTGTGATAAGAACGCGATAACAGAAAATTACCTTGATGAGCTCCTGGAGAAGATGAGTCAGTATGTTCTTTCACGGTTCTCGAGTATTCCTTCCAGAGGCCTACCTTGCTCAGGCGCTTCGTAGCAAACATCTTGGTGTGTTGGAAGATGGAGAGCTCTGGTGGGGATGAGGGGCGGTGGACCTCGGGAGCTGGGCAGAGCGGATGTATGACGTGAGGGCAGTGACTTGCTAAACACGCAAAGTCGATGGCAGAAGAGAATTATTTCCCTCGAGTGGGGAGACGAGGACTACACGTGATGGTCCAAGTGGGCCGTAAGTTGAGGCTGAACAAAGCCACCACATAGGGTGACTATATATGTGCTCCAAGGCCAAAAACTGTATGTTCACTCTGATTGACTATGAAAAGAAGGGGAATCATAGAATTATATCCAAGAAACCGCCCGGTCGAAGAAAAGTATTACAGGGCAGGGCATCCGTAAGATCAGCATATCAATATGAAAGAAAAGAAGCAGAAGCAGAAGGACGGCAAAGGCTTTATGCAGAGGAAGCCTTCTCACGAGCTTCACGCTCGACCTTCTCACGCTCCTCGTTCTCCTTTTGCTCCCGAACCTTGGCCAAAACCACCTCACGGAAGATAGCACCGCGAGCAGCGCTGCCAAGGCTCTTCTTCTTTGCGTGGCCGGGGGCCGGGCTAGCCTCACCATTGGACGGTGGGGCCTCCGCCGAGTCTCCAGAGTTGCCCATGTCCATGGGACTGGGGATATCCTCACCATCTTCTTCCTCGTGCATCTTGAGCGACTCAATCCGGTTGGCGAGCTTGACGATCTCGATACCGCGGCGGAGACGGGCGCGGGCGATGTAGGCGCGGATCTCGGGCAGCAAGTCACGGTCACTCGCGGATTCTCCAGTCAGCCATTCGTGCTTGAGGGCTTCGTCGGAGGTGACTCGCTTGGCGGGGTCGGCGTTCAGCATGGTAAGGATGAAGTCCTTAGCATCCTGGGACACGTCGCGCCAGTAGCGCTCGTGGAAGATGATGCGACCTGTCCGGCATTCTTCAATGAGGTCGGTGAGGTTCTCGGATCGGAAGGGAGAGTATCCACACAGGAGGGTGTAGGTGATGACACCGAGCGACCACATGTCGACGGCCTTGCCGTGGCCCTGCTTGAGCATGACCTCGGGCGCGGCATAACCAAATGAGCCGGCCATACTGGTGAGGACCTCGGAGGGGCTGTGGAGCATTTTGGCGATACCGAAATCCGCCAGGACGAGCTGGGAATCGGCGGCGCGGGTGAGATAGAGCAGGTTCTCGGGCTTCAAGTCTTTGCGGGGGTCAGTACCGAGATGAGCGTTGCAAGATGGCAGGGGTGAACGGACCTCGGTGAACAATGTTGCGCTTGTGCAAGTAGTTCACAGCTTCAAGCACCTGGCGAATGGTCTGCGACGCATCCTTCTCAGTGAACTTGCCGTACTCGCAGATACGGTCGAACAACTCGCCACCAGTGGCTAGTTGCGTAACAATGTAGAATTTGTCCTAGAGCCCAGGTTAGCCCCTGTGCCCAATGTAAGGAGGTAGCGGGACGCTCACCTTCGATTCGAACCAGTCGACGAATGAGACAATGTGGGGGTGCTGGAGGGATTGGAGCATCTCAAGCTCATCATAGACCATGCTTTCATTGCCGCGGACGTTCTTCTTCAGGATGATCTTCACCGCAACCTTCCCGCCGTCGGTTGCTTCAGCCTCGCGGACAATACCGTATGTGCCAGCACCCAGTGTTCGCCCGAATTTGTAGAGAGCCCTGGCAGAAACACGATTAGTAAATTGCACCGTAGCGAAAGGGATAGAATTGGCTCACTTTTTCTCGTAGCTCTCCGGCTGTCCAGACAGCTTGTTGAGCATGTTTGCGACTAAAGGGACAGTGGTCAGCGAATTGAGGGGTCCATCGGATGGAATGCGCGCAGTGAACGAAGCCAAAGGCCCCTGAAACAGGCGACCGAACGAAAAGGGAAGAGGCATTGCGAGGCAGACCATGACACAAAAATATTGCCAGTAGGCTCCCTAGGCCACATATATGCCACAGGTAGCTTGCAGGCAGTGCATAGATCGACATCATCAATGCAGCGAGGATCCCAGCAGTGAGCGAGGCCGCGGACCCCGATATTTATCGCCAAAAGCAAGGGAGCGAATCACAAGGAGACGAAATGGGCAAAAGTCCGAATATCGCATGTCGACTCACAACTCATGATGTGGGGATAGGGCTGCAGACGCCCTAAGATGCCAGACGCGAAGGGCGATGGGCTGAAATGGGGCGCGGGAACCCGTTAGGTAGCAAGGTATCGATACGGTAGGCTTCGAGGACGCGAGGTAAATGCGAGGTTGAATGCAGTCCAATCTAAGAGAAGAAAAAAAAAAAAGGGTCAGCGATCTAGAATTGGGAACACCGAGGGGTGAGGCCGGGCGCGGGGGTGGCTGAACATGCAGAGACGCGACATACCTGCAGCACAACAGAGACTCACGAGAGATGGACTTGAAAGAAGTTTCGATGTCAAGACAGCAACCTTGCAAGACCTGGAGGACACAGTCGTTCTGGCCCACGATAAGGCAATCTGTAAGGTTTAGCGTGTGGCGCAGCCGAAACACGCCTGCCTGACCGTTTAGGACCGATGAGCCGCCAGACTCTCTACTCTCCCACTCCAGGCAATTGATTATCTACTCTTACTCCGAAATTGGTGATATGTCCAGATAGGCATCGATCGTTTCCAAGCCTCGTGTCCATCCCACAGACCAGACCATTGCACTCGGCCTAATTTCGCCCTGTAGGGCTTATTGCCAAGATGTGGATATCCCAAGGCAACATGGAAGATGAGTGGCACACGGACTGGATCATTTGGGCTGAACAGTTTCGGGTGATTCGTAACCTTCCAAGGCCACCTAAACAATGGATCGATTCAAACACATACCTTGAAAGCAATGAATGTTTTCGTTAACACAAGCCCCGGAACCTAACAGTATGACGTTGCCCACAAGGTGTCCACTATCCGTTTCACCTAAGAGGCTTGTCATTGCGCAGGGTTATAGCACCAACACCTAATTGTGACATATAGGAATTATGACTTTGAAATAGACAGTTTGATTCGGAATTCTTCAATCAGACCATCGCTTCATAAATATTATGATCGAATTCGAGCGATGGTCTTTTCTCTGCCCCAGCAGATGTGGCTCCAGTTTCTAAATTGGCTCCCACCCATCTAAGCATGAAGCTCCCAGGCTGCGAAGCCTGAGAAACCCTCTGATTCAGGTTCTCATTCCATACACACCATTTGGCAAACCGTGATTTCAACCATGCATCAGCGAGGAGGAACCTTGGAAACGCCTCCATTGGAAGCGTCGTTGGCAATTGGACACCCGAGGCCGCAACCAGGCAGGATTTTAGATGTGTCGCATGGCATAGTGAAACCAGTAGGTGTTCGGCTTGTCCACGAGGCGTACAATCTCGTCGACGCGAGCCTGGGCACGGCCACAACTTTAATGGGGAACCCTCGTTCATCTGGTGGTTTAAATTAAGGCCCTTTCCAAGGTTTCTTGCATACCGAGATCCTAAAAGGAGCCTCACTGGGCTCCCGAGGTCATGAATACCTCTAGGTGATTCGGCTCTCGCGTTTACCTAGTACAGACTCGGGACTTGGCAGTCCACGCCAAAGATATAACAGGAATATACATCGGATACGGGAGACTTCTCAGCTCTGTTTAGATCGGCGCCAATCTCGGCAATCTTTAATTTTGAATCGCTGCTGTACTGTACGGAATATCTACCCCTGCTTGAGCCAGCGACTGATAGGCCGCCGTTATAGGGCGGGGATGCTTTTTCATCGGGTGGGCCAGATGGGCTCACCCGGAGTGGGGCATCGAATCTTGGAATCTGGAAATCTCAGCCCGTTACACACACCTTCTTAGCGCGCGGGAAAACTAGTACATCCGGCACGCCTATGCTTGACCCGAAGGTGCAGGTGTTGGGCGCGAAAGGTGAAGGTGGTCAGGGACTCAGGGGTCAGATGAATCCATTGCACTTCGGGCTGGAAAGATGGAAACTCGAACTTGATCAACATCACCCAGTTGCTTTAGACAACAAAGCGTCAATTTGAGGCTGAAGTACCATTGATATGTTGATGATTGGAGGTCCCCAAGCCACCGGCGGGTACTATTCTGGTCCATGTGGTATAGGTGCACACTCCCAGGGGCCGTCAGTCTCCAGGCTGAGCTTGCGCCTCGGATGGTCACCCTACCATATTTTGTCGCGGATGTACTCCGTACCAGTGCTGTTATGCCCTAGAAATGAATCAGATCATGCACGATCTGCTTTGTTGATATTCTCCCTGCTACAAGTTCTAGGAATCACCTTGCTTTCTCATTCCTGCTTCCACACCATGCGCGGTAGATGACATAGCGACTTCTAGCGATACCTGTCTCTCCGTACGTCGTGCAAATCGAGTTTCTCCTCTATTGAAGGAAAACCCAAAGAGATCACTATGCCCTTCTCTGCTAGGGTTGCCAGGTTCAAACAAAAATTCAAAAGCAAGACTGGAAGTGGAAATCAAGGTAAGGGAGTCGATTCATCAACCATAGCTCCAGCCTTTTACAAAGTCATTGAATCGTTTTCTTCGACCCAGCCCCCACGCGGACCTCAGACACTGCAACTGTCGCACCCACTCCACCAGAGCCCTCCGTACAGACATCTGTTTCTGATCCCATCCCTGTCCCACCGAACGCCAACATCGAACCATGGGCTCGAGCATACGAGATGGTGCTGGCCCGAGAACCAGAATTGATGGAAGCTTACGCGAGGTATCTTGCGTCGCTACAGGGCGAAAGTGCTGAAAACACTGATCTCTCAGTTCCAAAATCCGTTGAATCGGCAGTGGAGCAGTTGGTGAAACTTCGGGAGGAAAAACAGTGGCGACTTTCGATACTCGGAAAAGAGGTCAAGATAAGAGAGCAAGTGGAGAGGCTTGCAAAGTTCGTCCTCTGGTCTGAGCCGATTGTGACAAAGGCCCTTAGTGCTCAGCCGTATGCAGCACTGGGTTGGTCTGGAGTTACATTACTCCTTCCGGTGGGCAAGCATGACCAAGGATCATTATGAACTATGCTAATCTTCAAAGTTGCTCGTGGGTGGATTAGAGAGCAACGAGGCTATGCTGCAAGGATTCAATTCGCTAGCCGACGTACAATTATACTGGCATGTTTGCGAGACCAGGTATCTCAACAGCCAACACAGTCAAGTGTACCAAGAGCTCTTTGAGCCTTTGGCCAAGCTATATTCACACATCATCGAATTTCAGGCATGTGCCATCTGCCATCTGTCTAAATCCCAGACTTCACGTGCCTGGAAAGACATGACCGGTTCGAACGACTGGAAAGGGAAAGTCACAGCAATTGATGACCTGAGCACAAAATGCAGCAACATGATTCCTCACCTCGAAGTTGGAGAGGTCCGAGATGAGAGAGACAAAGTGTTACACGAAATGCAACAATCACAGGATATCTTGAACGGAATCAGAACACTTCTAGAGACCGAAAGCAAACAGAATCAGACCATTCATGAAGAGGAGAAAACAAAAGACCTCCTTCGTGATCTCATATCTGACCACACTCCCGAGGACTATAAAGACTTCAATCCAGAAAAGGTCAAGGGCACATGCGAGTGGTTCCTTAAAGACGAAAGATTTTGCGAATGGAGAGCCGCTACCAGCCCCAGTATCCTTTGGGTATCTGCAAGTCCTGGCTGTGGAAAGTCAGTCCTAGCGCGAGCTCTCATTGACGAACGTCGACTGTCTACGAGTGTAACGACCTCAACTGTCTGTTATTTCTTTTTCAAAGACGGAATTGAACGCCGCATGCACGCCACCGATGCGTTGAGTGTGCTACTTCATCAGCTCTTTACAAAACATCCCGAGAAAGGATCGATGGTCCAAATTGCCCTTTCCGATCATGCGGAACTCGGCTCAGGTCTCCCCAGGAACTTCTCTGCACTATGGCAAATTTTTGTGAATTGCGTTGAATCACCAAACGCCGGGGAAATTATTGTTGTTCTCGATGCCTTGGACGAATGCAAAAGAAGCAGCTGGCTGCAGCTTCTGGAAAAACTGAACAAGACATATTGTGATTGGAATCGGTCTGGAAGTCCTCCAAAGCTCAAGTTCTTGATTACAAGCCGCCCTTACGGCGACATTAGGAATTGCTTCAGAAAATTCCCGCGGGGGTCTTCATGTGTGTCGCTTGATGGAGATGAAAAGTCAACCGAGATCAGCAAAGAGATCAATCTGGTGATTGATGCAAGGGTAAAGGAAATCGCCCGGGAATTCAAGGAAGGTGACCGTCGTTTGATTGCAGACAAATTGAAGAGCATGGGAAACCGCACATATCTCTGGCTACATCTCACCTTCGACATCATTGACCAGAGTCCCTGTCAATACAGTCGGCGGGCTGCTGTGGTAGAACTCCTCTCCGATTTACCATCCCAGGTTTCAGATGCATACGAAAAGATCTTGGAACGTAGTAAGAATTCTATCCAGACTACCACTCTGCTTGAAATTGTTTTGGCCGCAGCTCGACCCTTGACTCTGGATGAGGCCAATATCGCCCTGACCCTAGCTCTGTCAAGGGAAATATGCACCTCTCATGCCTCCCTTGAAGACGAGCTGTTCTCGAAGAGCGATTTCTCAGACAACGTGAAAAATCTATGTGGTCTCTTGATCAGCTTCCATGATTCAAAACTTTCCTTCATCCACCAGACGGCGAGAGAATTTTTGATGCACGACGAAAGAAGAGGAAAGTGGCAAGGCAGGCTGAAGATATCAAACGCGCACATCAAGATGTCTTTAGCATGCCTGCAATACTTGTCTTTTCTAGATATGCCCAGCTCAAATGAATGGCTTGTGAATAACTTCCCGTTGGCAGATTACTCTGCAAAATATTGGATGGAGCACGCAAGACCAGTTGAGACAGAGCAAGAGGTCCAGAAGACCATCCTCAACTTCTTTGAGCAGAGAGGACACCCCTTCGTGAACTGGGAGCAGCTTCATAAGCCAAAGTATCACTGGCTACACGAACCCCACCCGGGAAAATTGGAATGTCCTATCTACTATGCGTCTCTGGGAGGTCTACGTCATACGGTCCATTCTCTATTGAAAGAATCTCAGAGGCGCAGCCGCAATGATGGTACCCTTACCACGTCTCTCTGGGCGGCAGCTCAAAATCACCACAAAGATATTATGCAGCTAATACTTGAGAGCGGAGCCCACCCTTCTTACAGGATATGCAAAGAGATTCTCGAAGACGTAGTTTACTGTGGGAGAACAGATATTGTGCTGCTTCTACTTTCCAAAGCCAGTCCGAACAACTCCGATGACCTCGTCTCTTCCCAATTTGATCTACATCACGCTGCTATTCTGTCTGCTGCTTGGTATAACAGAGAAGATATGTTAAGGCTATTGCTGGATGGAGCCAACGCCAATATTCTGGATGGAGATTATAGCGTATCTCTCCCCATTCTATCAGGGGAGGGACACGAAGGAGCTCTACGCCTATTGTTGGAACGAGTCAAAGTCGACCCCACCACCTATAACTATGGCCACGCCATATATCGCACCGCAGAGAAGGGCCATGAAAGGATCGTTGAACTTCTGATAGGTGGTGGTGATCCCATATCTCACGCTGGGCAGTATCACAAAGCTCTACTAGCTGCCGCTGCACATGGCCATGAAGGTATTGTGCAAAAACTCCTAGGCTTTACCGACATCAATAGCCAAGATGGCTCATATAAACTATTTTCAACTGCTATCTGCGCTGCTGCTACCTGTGGCCACAAAGAGATCGTGAAGCTACTGGTAGCCCACGGAGCCGACATGAATGTTCAGGGTGCACCTGAGGGCAGCGCTCTCCACGCCGCTGCTTACCATGGCCATAAAGAGATTGTACAGCTACTGTTAGCCTGTGGAGCTGAATTCAACACCCACGATACAAGTCATTACCGGGCTCTCCAGGAAGCAGCGGCAAATGCCCAAATGGAGATAGTGCAGCTATTTCTGAACAGGGCTCACTTCGACGACCAGGAGCAAAAGTACAAAGCGTCCATCACCACTCTCAAGGCTGCAGCGACTCGCGGTCGCATGGAATTGATGCATTTACTTCTGAATCAAGCGGACGTCGAGATTCTGCCGGAATTCTGTTCCAATGCTCTTGAGGATGCCGCATTACACGACCAAGAAGAGATTGTGCAGCTACTGTTAGCTCATGGAGCCGACATCAATTTCCGGGATGAAATACAGGATCGCAGCATTATCCAGACTGCAGCGGAGCATGGCCACCAACGGATTGTGCGGTTGATACTAAGCAGCGGAGCTAGCATCGATGATGAACTGTTAAGCGATGCTCTTCGGCGCGCTGCAGAGTTTGGCCACAAAGAGATCCTGGAGCTAATACTGGAAAGAGTTGATCCCAATGTCCTAGTTGATCATGGTGCTCTCTGTGCGGCAGTGGAACATGGTCACAAGGAGATTGTGGAGCTACTTCTTGCACGGGGAGCCGACGCTAACTCCTATGGCGGTAGGTATGGTACTGCGTTGGGAGCTTCTATTTGTCTTGGTCTCTTGGAGATCACGCAACTACTACGAGACAATGGGGCTGTTCCAAGTGTCTGGTGATGAGCTTGGTTTTGGTGCGATTGATTTTGGAATATGGCCGACGACCATGACTGAAGACCTCGGGAAAACCTTGGAGGATGTCATAGGGTACTTGCTTCTTCTGCTGTCAAGGGAGGAGGTCGGAGTTCGAGGTCAACAAGCCAAGGTGGCTGCATTGTGATGTTCTCATTCTTGTCATCCAAACCTTGGTGTGCTCCCTCAATAGAAGCATTCACAAAGAGCGTTTGCGAACCCCATTGTAGTGGATGAGCATCCCCGGAGCAGTGGCTAGTAGTAAAACACTCCAGAGGCGCACTATCCCCACTCAAGGGATGTCTGTTTCTGTCATTGATATCGGAGAGCTTTGCTATGGAACAAGACTGTCCGTTGTCGATATCTGTTAGGTGAGAGGGAAAATCGGATGTTCTGTCACGCCATGTAACAAGTTTCGCACCCCAGCCTTCATGAATATGACCAAAGCAATGCATCCGCGGTCGTGGCCGGGCGCGAGCGAGGGCACGGAAAAGGTCTACGGAGCCTGCCCGTTCACCCGAATTTGTGTAGTCCAGGATCCCCCTCGGCGGCCCGTGTGTTATCACAATGTCGATAGAGTGAGTATGACTGCTTGCATCAATCATAAAGTCATGGCCTTGATCGGGATGATACTGGAACCCCCAATCGCCAAGTGAGGGCGTGTAAGGGCTGGCGTAAACAGTCAGCAAAGCGCCATTCTGTAAATGGAAAGAGTGTACGCCTTCGTCGAGGAAAGTAATTCCTGTGTCTTCAAATAGTCGCCTAGCCTCCCCGTCATATCCATAAGCTCGTTCTACGAGCTCACGTTCTAACGATGGAGCCTCTGCGACCTTTTTATGGAACATTGGTATGTCCATAGTAAAGTCGTGGTTGCCGGCTATAACAAGCTTCAAAGGCGCGTTGATTTCTTGGAGCAAAAGGATTGACGCTTTGTATTCATGGAGTTGAGATTCAGTGGTAAGATCTCCACAGTGAATCGCAACGTCGGCATGTTGCTCCGTGGACGGAACGAGCCCGGGTAGACTGCTGATTCCATGGGTGTCTGAGCATATTAAAAAGCGGGTCTTGATGTTAGTTGTCATTTTGGTCGTATGTTGGTTGATTCGTGCTCTCAAGAGAGTGCAATGAGAAGTAGTAGTGACTGATTGGGCGCGGAGCAGCGTCATGGTTTGCAAAGACTTTGGAGCCTGAGGCCGAAAGTATACATCGAGGACAGTCTACTCCGTACTGTATTGCCAGACTTTAGAGTAACAGGTCAAGTAATGGCTCTGACGGTTTTCTGAAACACGAGATGATGAGGGACAATTAATCTATCGACGCCATGTGTCTCCACTGGGGGTCTGTGTGGCACGGCGTCATCCGACGTCATAGCAGACGGTGCCTTATATCAACAACGGACTCCGGCTTGACAAGCATTTCAAAGTCTCAAACACAGCACAGCACAGCCATGTTGTCCTTACTATTCTTCTCTATTTTGCAATTGGTTCTCGTTGCCGCTTGGGTCTCTGGCTACCTAGACCCATACCAGAAGAGGCTCCAAGAAATCATTTTGGATGCCATGGGCGAGACAAAGGTTTCCTATGGGCTGAAGAGTAAGTGATGACACAGCTTGGTGTTAAGCAGCGTCTTAAATTGAATCCTATATCTGACCTCCAACAGAAAGCCTGACGGGCAAGAAGCTCATCGAGGATGAGAATCTAAGCAAGATTCAGGACCAACTTGGAAGTCAACTGGGTGGAGTTTTTGGAAAAGGTGGACTTGGTGAAGGACTTGGATCTGTTTTGAGCAAGGGGCTTTGAGCTTCGATCTTGAATTGGAGTGGTTTTTCGAAGATTAGGGTTAAGCTCAAGATTAAACATTGGGTTCAACCCAGACTCACGCTGCATTTCTTCCATGAAAGACCAGTTCGGAATCTTCAAAGATAGACAGAACACAGCCGCCTTCGCAGACAGGTAGGCATTCCTTAATGATGCGGTCATTGTGGCACAGAGATCGGATCGCTGAAACATTCGTGGCTGGTCACATTATATCAATTCTCCTTCCATCGCACTGAAGGTTCAGAGTAAATCATCCGCACAAATCGTCTCTTAGCATTGAATGGACTGCTTTACCACTTCCGTAGATCCGCACGACCTTCCACAGTCAAACCACGGCTATCTCCCAACTCCTTCAGCGCAGTATCGCAAAGCTTGTCGTAATACTCAGTCCCCTTCCACAAACTATGCTTGGAACGAGGCCCAATGGCCCATCCTTCCCTGCGAAGTCGCGCAATCCGCTGAGCCCTAGTTTCGACCCGCAGTACATTTCCATACTCATCAAGATTCGGTCCATCCGGTGGAGTAGCATTATCAATTTCGGTCTCGGTCTTGGTCTCGGTCTCAGCCTCCGCTTTGGCCTTAACCGGGGTGAAAGTCCAGAAAGATACAGAGCGCGAAACCCTCCGGGTGCGATTGTTTCGGAACTCTTGCAACCTGCTAATGCTTTGGATCTCCTTTTGAAGGTTGCTAAGGTCCTGAGGGATGTGCTCACGAAGCCAAGTTACGGCTTCGTTGAATTTGTCAACTCTGGCCGCACGAGCAGCATTAGCCTCCTCATCGGGTGAGGCTGGTGATGAATAGGGTGACATCGAGCTAGGTGCGGGCGATTGTGCAGGAGTTTTGAAAGGCGAGCCGAGGGATGGGAATCCACTTCGAACCGCGGGAGTGGGTGTTGCGAGAAGCTCGGTGGAGGTAGAAGGAGAGGCAACGGGACTGATCCGTTTCGGCTGGGGAGCTAGAATAGAAGGTGGTGTCTTCCCTGTGTTAGCAGTCTGGCTATTGTTTGGGATGATTTTCAGTGGTAGCCGCGGAGGGCGACAGCGAATGGGCTTCTTTACGGTAGCTTCACTCCCAGAATCCGGCGCCTCCCAGCCCTTGCGAATAACGACTCTTGGTTCGCTGCACTTCAGAATATCACCAGAAGATTTCCGAATCTGAAGTGGCGATGGCATGAGCTTGATTTGCTTCGACGGGTCTTCCAGCTCAGCCGGAAACTTGATTGGAGACAATCGTACTGGAGGGCGAATGGAGGGTCGCAGACCTGGTCGTTCGGTCGACACGAAAGGATCATTGGATCCGTTCAAGAGCGAGCTATCGATCATACGAGCAATTTGTTTGACGACGTTGCCTCCAGTTCGAAACCCATTTTCGTCGCTGTCAAAAGAAACCAGCTTGTCTCCGACGGATGGGCTAGGTGCAGCATCATGGACAGGGAGAGGAGAGGCACGCACAGGGGACGGGGAATCGAATATTGCAGTACGGGCATCATAGACAGGACGCGGAGACTTTTCAGATGAAAGAGGAGGCGTGATAGCAAACGCGGTGGCGACTGATGCACTAGCAGACAACGAAGTGAAAGAGGGACATACTTTTGGGGGCCGCGTGGGGGTTTGGAATGGCTCATGAGATCGGTAGGGCAGAGCTCTGATTGAATTGACGGGTGAGCTCTTCTCAGCTGGCGAATAGGTCAGAGGGCTCCAGATGTGACACGAAGGCGACTCGACCTCAGTGTCAGGCTGTAGATCCTCTTCGTGGAGAGTCGGTAGGGCAGGGCTCCAGTCGCTGCCCAGGGGTGACAGATCGGATCGGGCCGACGGGGACTGCGAAAAAGGATTGCTACTCAAGGGAGAATAACTTCGATGGGCATCTAGAACAGGTTGCGGAAGAAGAGCCGGCAAGGCGGCGTTGGCAGCCTCAAAGTTTTCCAGCGCAGATGTCAGAAGTGAAACTTTGGTGTTCGAGAAGGTGTGTGCAGCTCGTCCCAAATACTCGTAGGATGTCGCTGCATAGTAGTAGAGGTAAGTTGCACGGATTGGTTCAAGCTGCCCGAGAATCTGTTAGCGACCAGTGCGTGATAGTTATGTGTGCAAGTTGACAAACCGGCTCAGATGCAGTTTCAATGAGCTGATTGCAACGAGAGTAGCATTGCTTGTACTGCTGATTGAGACAAAGCCATTTCACCTCAACAAGAGCCAGGTCCCATTCCTCGTTGTTTGTCGGAGGCGAGAACGGACCGGATGAGAAAGGTGCCTCTTCTGGCGATTCTGAAGATCTCAAAGCAGACATCGTGGGAACGATCCGGTGCTCGAGATCAATGCAGCGGAAAAGAAGAGATGAAGAGGAAAAGAGGAAAAGAGAGAGAACAGACGTGGAATTGGAGAAAGATGAGAGAACCTCTCGTGTTGAAGCCTCGGAAATCCTCTCAGATGAGCTTGAAGAACTGCCCCAACAGAAGACGTACGGGCTCTACGACTTCCACCTGACAAGTAACAAGATGAAAATAGCCTACAACGGCTAGAATGATCAGGTTAACCATTTCCTTGTGACCAAAGAGCAACTTCTCCCCGAAGAGATATGCGAGCTCCTGAGACGACGATCAAGACCCAACAAGCATACGGTTGTAGTCCTGCCTTGCAATTGGAAAATTAGAATGAACATGGCCACTTCGGCTTTTGAGTAGAGATTATCTTGTTATTCATTCACTGGCGTTACATCGTAATCAACAATATTTTACAAAAGGTCATTAAGACCTAATTCGCCCCCCGGCCAGGACCACCTCGAGTGTCCTGGTCCATGTCAAATCCAGCCAAGGCCTGTCCAGTGGCAGAGAGACCCATGGTAAAGTCATCCAGCAGTCTTTCGAGCTCTGCGGTCATTGTAGCATCATCAGCCCCTTCCATCAGGCTTGCAGCACTCGGGGGTGCCAAAGATGGGAAGAGAATCCTGCGGTATCCGGCTGGTGATGGCGGGTAGGCATCAACATGGCTATCATCAGTTGGGACACGAGGAATCCACGGGTGGGGTAAAGAGAAAGATTCGTCGCGGGTGGGGCGAACAGCGTCAAGGACGGGGGAACCCGGCTCTGAGACCGGTCCTGAGGTAACGGAGGCGGCAGTAGGGGTTTCGGGGGTTTGGATAGCGGTTGGTGGAGAGCTCGGGGAAGGATCGGCTGCTGCGAGGGCATCAGAGAAGTATCCAGAGTTCTCGTATTGTTTCCATATCGGGTTTGATTCTTCGTCGGGCCCTGGGCCATCAAGAAGCCCGGAACTTTCGGATTCGGTATAGCCAACGGATCGTTTCGTTCTTGGAATCACCGTTTCAAAGAAGTGACTATGATGAAGAGATGATGTGCCTGGTGGGGTGTCAGGGCGATCGAACCGGAATGGATCGTACTCTGAATCGGAGTTATTTGCATAGTCTGAATCCGACACATTTGAGGCGGAGGTAGAAGGGCGAGCCTCATTAGGCTTATGCTTGGACTCTGGCGGGCTTGCCGTGGCTTCAGATAACGCAGGGAGCGGGGCTCGGAGAGTATCATGTCGATCTTCGTAAACCTGGCTGTCAGGGACGGATCCCATGACAGGGAACGTCCATTGCATGGTTGCGCGCTTCTCGGCTCGGACAGAATCTTCCTCAATGGGAGCTGCTGTAGGCTGCTCCTTCTCCTCTGGTGGGTCGTCTTCAGGGGGCCCAAAGGATGGGAATTTCCAATCCATAGTTGGGGGCCGTGGGCCGGATGGGACAAAAGTATCATCCAGATTTGGATTGTGGCTGGAGTTATCGGCAACGCTGCCCTCAGAAGACCTAGAACTGTCATCGTCTGAGTTTCTGTGGGGTCGAATACTGGAGCGAGTTGCGCGTATCGTGTCAGCGTCGACCAGCTGGAAAGGCTGTGCAGATGGAGCTCCTGCCGCATAATGTGAGGCCTCAAAGGATCCGATATCGATATCAAGGAATGTGGAGGTGACGGAGGATCGATCTGTGTCTGCACGAAGGGGGAGATCCGAGGTGGGCTGTGCCATTTCAATTGGAACAAAGTCATTCTTCGTCTCGTATTTGTAAATTGGTTTTTCTCCGTCAAATAGTCCTTCCATTGCCTCGGCACCACGACGCACTCGTTCATCGAAATTCAGCTTGTCTTCATAGTTGAGTGCGCCTTCCGAGAGCTCTTCATTCGTGTCGGGTTCGGGCGAGTGACTGGTGGGACTGGGAGGCTGCTCCATCCGAGCCAAGGTGGCGGCGATCTGGTCTAAGTCAACGACAGAAAACCTTTTTTGAAATCCATCGGTTGTGCTAAAGCTCCAGTCTTCGCCGAAATCGTCCACACCTGGAAGTTCTGCTGCAGCTGCTCCGCCTGGTTGGAACAAGGAAGTACGCTGGCCACCCCTCTGAGACCATTGGTAGTAATTCTTTATCAGTTCAGTGACAGACTCGGTGGGGTACCCCTCTTCGGTGTTGGCAATGTAGGGATGAGCGAGAATATCCTTCATCATGGGGCGGGTCTCTGGATTCGGGTCTAGCGCGAAAGCAATGAGGTCCTTAAGGCCCTGGCTGTATCCATCTTTCTCGAGTTGAGGGGTTTTCCGATTCAGCTGACGACCGATGTGCATGCGGTCTCGCAGGCCTGAGTTTGGTGGATTTCCAGTGGCAAACTCGAATAATGTGCACCCATATGCCCAAACATCAACCTCACTCCCATATCGGTGAGCCTCTCCTCGGGTGGCAAACATCTCAGGTGGCATCCAATGCGGCGTACCAATCCACGTCGATCTCTTATCTCGCTGGGACTGAAGTATACCAGCAACACCGAAGTCACAAATTTCAAGACGGCCCTCTTCATGCACGAGGATGTTTGCGGCCTTGATATCACGGTGGATGACGCCAGCCTCGTGGATAGCACGGAGACCAATGGCCAGCTCCCGAGCAATTGGGATGATAAATTTTTCGTCGAGCTTGTCGTTTGTCGCGCGCATCAATGTACGTACACTGCCACCTGGGCAATATTCACAAACGAGCCACAGCTGAGAATGCATTGAGATCGCTTCAATGAGCTCGTTGATGTTTTTAGCCCCGGAATCCTTCACTTGCTTCATCACCTTGGTTTCGTGGATAAAGTCTTTGATAGACTCATCTCTAAGATCTCGGATGGCGCTGTAATCCAATGAATCAATATCCAGAACTTTGATGGCGACAACCCGATCTGTCGATTTCTGGATGCCTTTGTAGACACGACCGTAAGCGCCTTTGCCGATGAGCTCTTCAAATTCATATGGCGGAACTTCGGTGTCTGCACGGCGACACATCTCTTGAACAGCCACACCCTGTTCCCGGGCCAGCTTAATTGCTTCCGCCTTGTGTTTGGTGATGGCCGCCACTGCGGGATCCAAAAACAAGGAATCACGTGTATCCATTTTTGCGAGAGCGTAGCTTGTTTGCTCCACTTCTGTTTCGCTCGGGTTGGGTTGCGAAGTAGGTATGGGCGAAGTAGGCGCAGGCAAACTAGGCACGGGGAAAGTAAACGCAGGCAAAGTAGGCGTAGGCAAAGTAGGCGCAGGCAAAGTAGGCGCGGGCAAAGTAGGCGAGGGGAAAGTAGGCGCGGGGAAAATAGGCGCGGGGAAAGTAGGCGCGGGGAAAGTAGGCGCGAGTGAAGTAAGTGTGGGCGAATTAGGGCGCAGAACAGGGAGGCTGCTTAGTCGCTCTTCCTTTTGGGTGGGCTTGAGTTGCGATGTAGACACAGGAGAAGTGAGGTTGCGAAACCGTGGGACTCTGCGAAGTCGTGGGGGTCTTATCTCTTCTTCTTCACTTTCGCTCTGATTGGATTGCAATCTGAGGGCGGAGAAAGGGGAAAGGGGAATGCCCGATGTAGACTCGACGAGGGGCCCCTTTTGCGACGAGTGAAATTTGGACAAGTTGGCCTCTGCCTCACACACGAAGACCCGACGAATCAGGGTTTTGACTTTTGCAACTCGACCCTTCGAGGTTCGCTTTGACTCTCGCACAGGAACAGTCGCGGTGATAATGGACCTCTCAGAAACGGAGTGAGCGATTCGGACAGGTGAGGGTATTTTATCTCGGGGTTTAGCCCTTGGTATGCGGCTGCCAATTGAGTCGGTCTCGAAGGTACGTTGTCTCAAGGCGGGTGGGCGCAACGAGAGTTTTGGATAACGGACTCTAGTCTTCGATAAATGAAGTGGCTGGACCCTGGGTGCACGAGACTCTCCCTCAACACTTGGTGGATTCCAGAAGTTAGGAGGTCTTTCGTGGTCGTCGGTAGAAGACGGGGTTGTGGTGTACAGCGAGGCACTCCGATTATCTGGGATGATCGCGCGGCTACTTGCAAGGCCACGCGGCTGTCCCCCAAGCTCCTCGGTGGGCTGCTGCAGGTTGGGTTTGTGGTCAGTCATTGCTTCAATCGGATGGTATCAAGAAAATATCGATTGCTTCTTCTCTGGACAAGAGCCAGCGGACAAGAGTGAAGCTGAGAATTGACGACAACAGAGGAAAGGCATTGTGGGGGGGAAGCGGGGCTAAACCGTGAATATGATGTCGCCGGCGACTCATACATACCTAAATTGGTAAACGCTTGCCCTAGCGATCTCGATTCACCAGGAAAATCAACCTCGAGATGTTCAAGTTGCGAACCGCGGGCCCACAGGTTGGTGAGGAAGTTCCCGAGGTCGAGACCACAACAATCACTCCGATAACGATAAGAAATGATCACGTGCTGATTGCCACGCTATCTCCGAAGCCGCCCGGCAGAATCATCCCCAAAACCACCTAGGTACCTAGGTACATAACCTCCAGGGATTCCAAGGTTGGAACACACCACACGGGCAGCCCTGGAGTTGCCTGTGCACTTTGTATACAGTTTTAGAATGTCTCTTATGGTACAGTTTAGCTCCTGCGGCTCATAACCTTGAAGGGCACACGCACAGACTGAATCTGCGTACTTACAGAGTGAGCTGGACACACCAGCCCTGGAGAAGTACTCATGACACCGTGACACATTGGCAGTTCGCTTGTCTGCCCAAGACATGAACAGATATGACAGCACTGGAGCCGTAGAGGGGTGTCTATAGCTAGGTAGGAAGGTACCTAGGTATGTCTCAGAATTTGGAAAAAACTAGATAGCACAAGCACAAGCACACAGGCAAACAACAAAGTAGATACCATTCGCTGAAGGGCTGCGCCGGGATCTTCAACGAGACATGGAGTCTCAAGTACCTAGGTAGCGACTAATCTACTCCCGCATCTGAGGGGCATGATGCAGGAATCTGGGATGGAGAATTATTGTAACGCTCCTATGACATCGAAAGCCTTGTCGCGGGTGGGATGGATGGGTTTGATGGTGGATTGGAGACTTTCAAAGGAGAAGTGTTCCAACACTTGCTCGTCCGGCTCTGGTGTCCATGAATGTCTCGCTTTATTCTGTGCTGCCCGCAGGTGCAATTATGCTAAGGTTCCAATGTTGATTTTGGACACTCTATGACCGGCTCAAGTGGACATGATTCTCATTGCGGAGCCTGTAGAAGTGACCCCGGGAGAAGTTCCCATCTCGTTGGAAGTATATAATTTGCGAGGACCCACCCAGCCATCGCCACTTCGTAGCCCAAGTACATACTGGGCACAAACCCTGATTCATGACAAGAAAAGAGCAAAGAATAGAGTGGAATAGAACAGAAGTATCTCCAACGATAGAGCAGGCATCGGGATAGGTATCCAGCGTTGACAATGTCGGACTTGCACGCGGAACTGAAAAATACGGAAGAGCTCGTTCTATGGTATGGCGGGACTAAGCACCGGAGGGCTTTCCGAGGTGAAAGGTGTGCCCGGAGCCTACTGCCAGCATGGAAATACATGGAAATTCGTGTAATATGTTGAGCTGACAAGGGCTTTGAAATCTTGAGATCTCGATGAGCTTGATTGTATATAGTAGACTATATGTATGTACTCCAGAGCTGGCAGTACCATCAATACACTGGGCAAAGAGCTCTGGTATGTATCTGTATGAATTCAAGCATGGATGCCTTGGTGCCTGAGGAGGGGGCCTGCCCCACCTAATGCATGCAGCTAGTGCAGTGAAATTTTCAGAAGCTCAACATCCAGGCAATGAATGTGAATGTGTACGAAACCGATGAAAATGCGTCACAAAGGCAAAGTGAATGAAGCTGTCTTACCATGGCTATGAGCTTGACAGCTTCCCAAGCTCAATGGCGAATGATCGCTTATGACTAAGCAACGTGCCCCTCCAGGGCTCCAGGACCCACAGTCGGGTGATAGAGGGGCTTGGGCGAAGCAATGTATTACATCGATCAATATCATGCTACCAGTAGTACAGTAGGATACATGTACAGCCCTGGAGCGGGAGAAGACCATGGCATATTCCAGTCGGGGACTCGATCAAGTAACTATGAGTCGAGACACAAAGTCAAAGTATACAACGTCATCGGGGAGCCACGGATATCCTGTACAGTATAGTACGATAGACGGAATGCTGGCAAGTCGCTTTGAAATCAAAAGACATTACTGAGAGTCAAATGAGAGTGAGAGCCAGCAGTAATCAATCAATACAGTAAGATACCATAGGCCAACTCGGAAACGCACAAAAACCGGGAGAAAAAAAAGTCCCCACTTTCGCTTTCTTTTTTTTCTCTCCCACTTTTCCCCTCTTCCCTCTTCTCTTTCCCCTCTTCATCTCTCCCAGGAGCAGCTGCACATAGAAGTTTTTGATTTAGTGATCGAGAAGTCTCGGTCCTGGTCATCTGTGTGCTCTTCTTCTTTTTATTTTCAGTTTATCTGAGAAACCGCCAAAATGGTTAAGTGAGTGAGATCTGAAGACCTTCTACAATACAGATCGCTAACAATGACGATAGCTTCACTATTGAAGAGGTACGTTTGAATCGAAAACTGAAAGGCTGAATAGCCTCAATGCCATTCAGACCATCAGATGAAGGGTCCCGGGGAGATAAAGCGTTGTTGTCGACATCATCCTCGACGACTTTTACATCCTCCAACCTTCATCTGGTGATCTGGGAAAAAAATCTTCAACATGACAACTGACCCGCGTCACGCTGTTGCACAGATCCGGTCCCTGATGGACAAGCGGGCTAACATCCGTAACATGTCCGTCATTGCCCACGGTAAGTTGTCTCTGGACCACCAGGAAGTAATCGCCGTCTGACAGTTCACCTACAGTCGATCACGGAAAGTCCACCCTCTCCGACTCCCTGGTCCAGCGTGCCGGTATTATCTCCGCTGCCAAGGCTGGTGAGGCTCGTTTCATGGATACCCGTCCCGACGAGCAGGACCGTTGCATTACCATCAAGTCCACCGCCATCTCCCTCTACGCCAAGTTCCCCGAGGAGGATATCAAGGATATCCCCCAGAAGGTCGATGGTCAGGAGTTCTTGGTCAACCTGATCGATTCCCCCGGTCACGTTGATTTCTCCTCTGAGGTCACTGCCGCTCTCCGTGTCACTGACGGTGCTCTGGTCGTTGTCGACTGTGTCTCCGGTGTCTGTGTCCAGACCGAGACCGTCCTGCGTCAGGCCCTGACCGAGCGTATCAAGCCCGTTCTGTGCATTAACAAGGTCGACCGTGCTCTTCTCGAGCTCCAGGTCGGCAAGGAGGACCTCTACCAGTCTTTCTCCCGTACCATTGAGTCCGTCAACGTCATCATCTCCACTTACTTTGACAAGGCTCTCGGTGATGTCCAGGTCTACCCCGAGAAGGGTACCATTGCCTTCGGTTCCGGTCTCCACGGTTGGTGCTTCACTGTCCGCCAGTTCGCCACCCGTTACTCTAAGAAGTTCGGTGTCGACCGCAAGAAGATGCTTGACCGTCTCTGGGGCGACAACTACTTCAACCCCAAGACCAAGAAGTGGACCAACAAGGGTGAGGCCGATGGCAAGCCCCTCGAGCGTTCCTTCAACATGTTCATTCTGGACCCCATCTTCAAGATCTTCGCCGCCGTCAAGAACAACAAGCGCGATGAGGTCTTCGCCCTCCTCGACAAGCTCGAGGTCAAGACCGCCCCTGAGGACAAGGACCTCGAGGGCAAGGCTCTCCTCAAGCTCGCCATGCGCAAGTTCCTTCCTGCCGCTGACGCTCTCCTTGAGATGATCTGTATCCACCTGCCCTCCCCCGTTACTGCCCAGCAGTACCGTGCCGAGACTCTCTACGAGGGTCCCCAGGACGACGAGGCCTGCACTGGTATCCGCAACTGTGACCCCAAGGCTCCTCTGATGCTGTACGTCTCCAAGATGGTTCCCACCTCCGATAAGGGTCGTTTCTACGCCTTCGGTCGTGTCTACTCCGGTACCGTCAAGTCCGGTATCAAGGTCCGCATCCAGGGCCCCAACTACGTCCCCGGAAAGAAGGAGGACCTCTTCATCAAGGCCATCCAGCGTACCATTCTCATGATGGGTCGCTTCGTCGAGCCCATTGAGGACGTTCCCGCCGGTAACATCGTCGGTCTCGTCGGTGTTGACCAGTTCCTGCTCAAGTCTGGTACCCTTACCACTGATGAGACTGCCCACAACATGAAGGTCATGAAGTTCTCCGTCTCCCCCGTCGTGCAGCGCTCCGTCGAGGTCAAGAACGCCCAGGATCTCCCCAAGCTTGTCGAGGGTCTCAAGCGTCTCTCCAAGTCCGACCCCTGTGTCCTGACCATGATCAACGAGTCTGGTCAGCACATTGTTGCCGGTGCTGGTGAGCTGCACCTCGAGATTTGTCTTAAGGATCTCGAGGAGGACCACGCCGGTGTTCCCCTCCGTATCTCCGACCCCGTCGTTGCTTACCGTGAGACCGTTGCTGGCGAGTCCAGCATGACTGCCCTTTCCAAGTCGCCCAACAAGCACAACCGTCTCTACATGACCGCTCAGCCCATCGAGGAGGATGTCTCCCTCGCCATCGAGTCCGGCAAGATCTCCCCCCGTGACGACTTCAAGGCTCGTGCCCGTGTCCTTGCCGACGAGTACGGCTGGGATGTCACCGATGCCCGTAAGATTTGGTGCTTCGGTCCCGACACCACCGGTGCCAACCTGCTCATCGATCAGTCCAAGGCTGTGCAGTACCTGAACGAAATCAAGGATTCCGTTGTCTCTGGATTCCAGTGGGCCACCCGTGAGGGTCCCGTCGCTGAGGAGCCCATGCGTTCCGTCCGCTTCAACATCCTCGATGTCACTCTCCACGCTGATGCCATTCACCGTGGTGGTGGTCAGATCATCCCCACTGCCCGTCGTGCTCTGTACGCCGCCGCTATGCTTGCTGACCCCGGTCTCCTCGAGCCCATCTTCAACGTCGAGATCCAGGTCCCCGAGCAGGCTATGGGTGGTATCTACGGTGTCCTCACCCGCCGTCGTGGTCACGTCTACACCGAGGAGCAGCGTCCCGGTACTCCTCTGTTCATGGTCAAGGCTTACCTTCCCGTCAACGAGTCCTTCGGTTTCCCCGCCGATCTGCGCTCCGCCACTGGTGGTCAGGCCTTCCCCCAGTCCGTCTTCGATCACTGGAGCATCCTTCCCGGTGGCTCTCCCCTCGACCCTACCTCCAAGCCCGGTCAGGTCGTCCAGGAGATGCGCAAGCGCAAGGGTCTCAAGGAGGTCGTCCCTGGATACGAAAACGTAAGTGTCTTGCTTGATTCACATTGGCTACTGTTACTAACTCTGCTTTCTAGTACTACGACAAGCTGTAAAAATGTTCACGGACACCCAGATTTGCGCTACTGCCAGTCATTCGTGGAAACTTTCATGAGATTGATGAATTCAATACAATTTCTTCGGTTCAAACAAAATTTTATTCCCTCATTCTTCGGCATTCACGTTCAATCATGCCGCTCTTAGAACTCGAGTCATGGTTCGTGAAGTCTCGCAACTTCGTTGACTCTTTGCTGCTCTTTGCTTTTTTTGCGGACAATTCTTGCGTTGATTTTTTTGATTTTTCACTTTGCTGTAGCCTAGGTACCAGTTTGGATATGAAATTGAACTTGGTATACTAGGCGCGGTTGTGCATCGTAAATACACGTAAATCGTAGATTATGCGTGTCTCTGTATCTTCAAGACGGTAAATGGTGCAACTGCCCAGAATCCATGGATGTCATATATACGGTCACGTGACTATGATTTTCTGACGCCGTGAACCTTGGAAGTCGCGCTCGACCGGGACCGGATCCTCACTACCTACCCATTCTACCTCGCACCTGGGGAAAGACCATATCTCGACCGGGATCAATTGCGATTGATTCAATTTTTTCTTCGCATATACCAGATAGGCGGCTTCGCTTTTACCACCGTCGCGCAAGCAAAACTTTCCGCGGGTGACGGCTGTCGAAACCGCATCCCTGCAACTATTGCTCCCACATCTTCAGCCTGATTTAATCAATCCGATCCCCAGAGCTCATAATCGCTTAAAACATTTCACAATGCAATTTACCGATGCGGAGGCAGTCGGTGTGAAGAAGTGGGTGGTGAAGAAGCTGGAAGATATGTGAGTTTACTGCCCGCTCGAGCTGGAGCTCGACAATGGCAAACAAGCAGTGGCTAACTTGTCTCTTCCAACATTAGCTCCGATGCCGACTCTGATGTGTTAGCCGATTATGTCCTGGCGCTAGTCAGGACTGACGCGCCAGATGACGAAAACAAAAGAAACTCCGTGGAAAATCTGGAGGACTTCCTGCGCGAACGTGCGTACAACCGATCGCATCATTTTGATAAGTCGCTAATTCATCACAGACACCCAGCCCTTCGTCAACGAGCTCTTTACAAAATTCGGTCCCAAGCCAGCCCCTCCCACCCCTCAGCCAAAACAGGTTCACTCGAATGCCGCTCACAATAGCACACCCTCACAAGCTCCTGCGAACGCCCCCAGTGGCCCCAAGGGCACGGCGACCCCCGGTAGCGGTCGCAAAAGAACATTCAATGATGGCTTCCAAGGCGAGCCTGAACACGATAACGGCGCATTCCAGAACCGCGCTATGAAGACCCCACGACGGGGCGGGCGTGGTGGCGCTCGTGGTGACTTCGCTGGCGGCCATCAGATGCATGGGATGCATCCCGGCCAGCAGTTCGGGCAGCAGCAGTTCCAACAACCGCAGTTCCCGCAGCAGCAACAGCAAGGGTTCCCTATGATGGGCGGGTTCCCCCAGTTTGACCCCAATGACCCTATGGCGGCTATGATGTCGATGCAAGGCATGGGCTTCCCTGGCATGCCTGGTATGCCCGGGATGCCCGGAGGCCCAGGTGACGAACAGATCCCCAAAAGCAATCAGCGCTGCCCATTCTACGACACACAAGGCATTTGCTACCTGGGTAACACATGTCCCTACCAGCACGGCGAGGCTGGTGCTTCAAATGGTGATGGTGAGGCACATACATCCCAGTGCGATACGACGTTGCTAACGAGTGCAGAATACGACCCCAAGACAGCAGGCTTCAACCCTCGTGGTGGTGCATTTGTTCGCGGTGAGCGTGGTCGTGGCCGTGGCCGTGGCTTTGGCGCACGAGGCCGCGGCGGTCGTTCCGATTTCTCGTCTGCTGGCCCGAACGAGGATCAGTCTGTGACGACTATTGTGGTTGAGCAGATTCCCGATGAGAATTTCAACGAAGAATCCGTCCGTGGCTTCTTCTCTGAGTTCGGTAATATCACCGAGGTGTCTCTGCAGCCCTCTAAAAAGCTTGCATTGGTCAAATACGATACTTTCCCCGAGGCCAAGGCCGCGTGGTCCAGCCCGAAGGTCATCTTCGATAACCGCTTTGTGAAGGTCTACTGGTACAAGCCGGAGCCAGAGGCACCGGCTAGCAGTCTCCGCGCCGAGGCTCCAGCATTCAACCCAGAGGAATTCCAAAAGCAGCAAGAAGAAGCTCAAAAGGCCCACGAAGAAAAAATGAAGAAGCGTCAGGAAACTGAAGCCGCGAAGCAGGCACTGGAACGCCAGCGCGACGAGCTCCTTAAGAAACAGCAGGATGAGCGCAACCGTCTCATGCAGCGACTCGGCGGAACGGACGCGAGCACCGTCACCGGAGATGCCATGGCCATCGAGCCTCCTGTTGATGATAATGCCAGCGAGGAGACAAAGCAACTGCGCGCTCAACTGGCTGCTCTCGAAGCCGAAGCCAAGAGCATGGGTCTCGACCCGGAGGCTGACCCCTCAGCCGCAGGACGAGGCGGATACCGAGGACGTGGCGGGTTCCGCGGTCGAGGTGCCTTCCGTGGACGTGGCGGCTATGACCCCAATTTCCGCGGCCGTGGACGTGGTGGGTTTGGAGCGCGTGGACGGGGAGGTGTTCTTCGTCTCGACAACCGTCCTCGCCGGGTTGCTGTGTCGGGTGTTGAGCTTAATTCAGAAAAGGATGAGGCACTCCGTCAACACTTGATGGTAAGCAGTTCATTTACTCCGAAAACACGCTTACAGTATTTACTAATCTCTTTTGCAGGGCGTTGGCGAATACGAATCTATTGAAGCACACCCAGACCAGCCCAACTCGGTTGTCGTGGCATTCAAAGAGCGTTTCCAGGCCGAGAAGCTCATGTTCTCACCTTGGAACATCCCCTCCGTGGGTGATGTCCAGCTCACCTGGGTGGCTAACCCTCCCATCACCCTCCCTGCGTCCACTCCTGGTTCTACTGCGGATGGCAAGAGCCAGGACGAGCCCGAGGATACTGTGATGTCGTCGGCGCCGACGCCGGCTCCGGAGGTCACCGCCGCTCCTGCGCGGGACATGGATTATGATGTTGCGGAGGATGACAATTGGGGTGCGCAGTAATAAATACTCGGTTTTGTACCATCAACCAGCTTGTATAGGTTTGATCAAGATATTATTTTCGGGCTGAGCACTTCTCCCGAGTTGTTCGACACTATTCCAGTCATTCCAGATGTAGGAACCTCGTAATAACCCGAACTCGGCGGGTATATAAGCCCTTCTTCAGGCTCCCTGTCTCGCAATATCAGATACTTTGAGGAATCAACTCAACCGTATATCCATCCTATCCCATTAGCACTCCTCGAACAGCTCCCGAGGTCTGGAGATATCTCAACTCACCGGATCAGCAACCATGGCAAACTTCTCAAAGAACCAAGCATAATTCTCATGAATCTCCCCCCTCCCAATCCCCCTCTCAGCCTCCCACTCCGAAAGCGGCACCGTCTCCCTCGAACAAGCACCCACATCCTTCAGAATCCTCACTCCATTCTCCCTCAACCTCTCCACAGCAGCAGGCACATCGGGAACCGTGAACCCCAAATGCGAAAACCCCAGACTCGGCGGCTCATTGCCCGTAGCGATTCCCGCGCTAGTCTCCGCTCCATGCGTGTGATACAGTTCTAACAAACCGGCTGTTTTGGTCATGGTGGGGATTTCACTGGTGCGCTGGGCCCAGTCGTGGATTTCTTCTTCGCTTTGGCTTTCTGGTGGATGACCTAGGTAGTAGATTGTGAAGGGGCCGGCGTTCATGGTGAAGATGATTCGCATGCCTAGGAGGTCGATGTAGAAGTGGAGTGAGCGGGCTGGATCTGTGATGCGGATGGCGAGGTGGTTTAGTTTGTAGTCTTTTGTTGCTGGGTTTGGTGGTGGGTTGAGGCCTGGGGCTGCGTTGAAAACGCCTTCTTGCTGTGCGGGTACGGATTGGAAGTTGTTCATGGCTGCTGCAATTGATGGATATATCTGCCCGGGTGTGGACGACGATGTGAACAGTAGAGATGAGGGGTTGGATGCGGGGACTAAATGGTGTCCACTTTCTACGACTGTTCGACTGTTCGACTGTTCAATTATTGACTATTTGACTATCCATACACAATCATGTCCATTCCACCCGTGTATGGCATCGTGACTCGTCGGAACCCACTTCCTTCTGCGTCCACATATGCAAAGAGCTCTTGGTATTTGTCCCCGGCCATAACCGTGTTATCGGCGATGATCACAGCTCCCGGTCTTAGGTTCGGCTGGACGAGTTTCAACGCAGGGAGAGCTAAAGGTGTCCAAACTATGCATGGTTAGCATGTGCGATATCAGAAATTTTCAGACACCCCATATGCGAATACATATCAAGGCCATCAAGAATCGAGATCAACTTACTATCCAGCAACAGGAAGTCCACAACCCCCAAGTCTGCAGTAAGAGTCTCACGCAAGTCTCCAACACGGAGATCAATAACATCTTCGACTTCCTTGCCAGCACTGGCCCAATGCTCTCTCGCAAGCTTCGCTTTGGACGCCTCCTTCTCGGTAGCGATCACCCTGGGGGCTCCGGAACCAGCACGCTTCGCGTTCGCCGCGACAGCGAGCGCAAGGTAGATTGTGCTAACGCCGAAACTGGTACCGGCCTCGACGACCGTGGTAGCATTCGTGCTACGGAGAATATGGTAGACGAGCTCGCATTTGTCCTGGTCGAGGGCAATGAACTTGTCTAGCATGATGGAGTCGAATTCGTCGGTACATTGTGCCGGTAGGGTGTTCCAGTCCACGGCTTTTTCCTGATTCAGGGATTTGGCATGGAGGCTTTGGAGGAGAGTGAGGATCTCCGGTGTTGTGGCCAAGGGGCTGGGCATTTTAATTGTTGGATTGGTTTCTTAGGGCTGAGAGGTGGAGACATTTAAGGCCGAGGCTGGATGTCCGCTTATATACATTTGGAGCTCCGCGGAATTCCAATTTCAATATACGACGTGAGTCATCGAAGCGTGTGTCGCGGGCATATTCCGTACGCCCTATGGCGGTGGAGAGGATGCGGTTGTCAGAATCGGGAGACGAGTTGCAACGATGGCATCTCGGATGTTGGGGAAGTGCCGAGGCTGACCCACTTGAGCAACATGATTGTACGAAGCTGCTGTCTACCTGCGTCACCCGGAATGATATTAGCCGGGGTCAGGCGTTGCTATGTCTGTTTCTCATTGGTAATTAGCCCTAAGTGTGTAAGATTGGCGACCCTGCGGAGGGGACTACATAGTTCATTGCTCCAGTAAATCTGCATAACTGTTCAATGACCTTCCAATCAAAGCAACCATTTCCCAAATATAATCCGCCGTAAACAGCCGCGCCCACAACCGGGTAACAGCGGCACTGAGGCGGGTATTTGTTGCAAGAAGCCATTCCCGCGAAACACCATGCTGCACTTCCATGACCATCTCGAGGACGAAGTCTCGCAGACGACTCTCCTGCTCTGAGAGTTGTGGGTCGGGATGAGGCACAGTCACGGCTTCAAGCCACTTGGCCAGCAGGACTGCGCATTCCAGCGAACATAACGCATGCTGGTTGGACCACAACGCGACCTGCGAGTGAGCCACGAAGCCAATACCAAGTTTCACGGGCGTGCTGAGAGCGTGTGCGCAGTGGAGCGCAGCGCGGGTGAGGCGGTCTCCGCGTCGTACGGACAGGTTTTCACGTAGACTGGTTGCGATTTGGACCGGGTCCCATGTTTGCAGCTGACGGGCGGAGCCGCAGTCGGCGTTGAGTCGGATGTATGCTAGACGAAGTAAAGCTGCAGATGTGAAGGACAGTGGGCCGTGAGGACTGAGTGGGTCGACGGAGGATTCTTGGTTGCGTTCCCAACACTGGCACCAACGCTCCAGTGCTTGTTCGACCGAGACAAGCTCCGGAGTGGATGTTATTGACGATGGACTGAATCGATTTCGTCGAGATACTGGCAGTCGACCCGCTTTAGTCATGAGCCAGATATCCTGTAGGATCGCGTGGATCAGGACATAGCCACCAAGCGAGGAAAACCGCTGGACGTTGCTGTTTGGTTCGAATAGGGAAGATAGCGCGTCCTGGAATTCTGGTTCGCCGGGACTTTTCATTCGCTCGACTTGCCAAAGATCTGCACGAGGGGCTTGCCATTCCTTTTCGGTGCAGGGCAGCTCCACTGTGAAGTCTTCCGTGAGAATCACAGGCGGGACGTCGAAGACGATGGTGTGGATATTGAAGAAACAAAACACGATGAGCTTTGTGCGCTTGACGCATTCCCGTCGAATCCAACTGGCCCAGGTTCCATCACACTCGGGCAGTTTATTAAGTCCTCCTTTCCGTAGAAGCGTTTCCATATGGCTGCGAATGGATAGCGCCTCATGGTAGGGAGGATTGTTGATGAACCAGGCGGAGACTGAAGTCAAATACAAAAGAGCTTGCAATGTTTCAAGTGTGTCGGTATCGTCGGCCACATTGACGGGCGGTAGAACACCGGAGAGGAAGACTCGACGGACATGCTCCAGCGTCACCGGCTTGGCAATCTGATAGAGATTGTAGCTGGTTTCCGGTTCCCGACAATAGCGTGCACCAAGTGCGGCCATGGAAAGAAACAGTGGCAGGGACATTGCCTCCACATCCAGGGTCGGGATGTGGACGATCGGGTAATGATCATGGAAGCCGGTGAGATAACCGGTCAAGCATCGAGAGAGCGCATGTCGAGATGGGAGGGACGGATTCGGAACCACATTGGCATACTCGGAGAGCATGAAGAGGAACTTTTCCCGACATTGTGCCGTCACGGGCACGAACCCGGTAGGCTGACGCGCCTTGCCGGAAGCTTGATACCCTTCCGGCTGGAGGGAGGGTAATTGAGCACCATGTCTGGGGAGTACGGAGCTTGAAGGAGTAGAAGAAGCAGTCTCACTCAAAGCGACCCTATCCGAGCTTTGATCATAATCATGAACAGGGGAGAAATGCAGCGGTGGGAACAGCGGCAGGGGCTGATAGGCCGGAGAGAACGGATGACTCGGCAGGGGGACACTGTCCAAGAAAGAAGTGAAATCATTTCCTTCGTAGGAGCCAGGCGCAAAACCACCCAGTGTATACCCGAAATCCGAGCCTGGGATGGGAGTTGTGGGGCCTGCAGAGGGCGTGTCTGTGCTGGTCAATTGAGCTCCTAGCATCGGGGTCTGGTGCACGGCCGGCGATAACGCCGGGAAGTGCTCATTGGCCCCCTGCAGTGACCTGTTCGATTGTGCATGGTCTGTGACTACTGATGCCAAGGTGTCCAACCCATCCAAGATGGGGTGGGCGGGAGAGGGTGTTGGTGTTTGATTGCTGGCCGGGCTTGCGTCCGGGTTGTGGGCAAGACGCTCATGACGGGCCAGCAGATCCCTATGGGTAGTTCAATATGTGGACCTGGATGTTAAGTGAGAATGACATACTTGCGGGTGAATGCCTTGGGGCATTGGACGCAGACGAATGGTTTTTCCTTGGTGTCTGTGGGGATATTAATTGGGGCTCCAAAGTGGTGGTATGGGATCTTACGTGACCGATCGTGACGTTGGAGATGCTCCAGACGAGCAAATGCCCTCGGGCACCGTTGGCACTGGTAAGGCTTGCTACTTAACATGGGGTGTGTTCGTACATGGCGTGTTGTATTGTGAACGATATGTGATCGGGGAGACGGGGCGTCAACTCCGGGGGTCATTGCTTTTGGCCATACATCTTACTATTTTACATACATTTGTACTCCGTCTTTCATGTAGCTATCCATGGATCGAGAGATGCAGATCCTATGTATTTAAGAAATAAACAAGTGGTATTTTCCTATGTTACTCGTACTTTGTGTGTTATCGACAGAATCCAATCGTCGAATTCGCGTTGAATTTCCCCGATTTCCCCAAATTGGAGGGATCTGAGTCATCAATTTGCCTCCGAAAACAGCTTGCTCCACGCCCGCAGACTAAATGCACGTCCTCTCTATGATCTATCTATGGGCATCATTGCATATTCCTATATTCTACGAGCGTACCCCTTCTACTCGTATAGTGTTACCGATTAGACTGAGACTTAACAGATTTGCAGACAGGGGTGAAATTACATCTATTTTGAAACTAGGAGATGAAGCTCATGAATAGAATCACAAGATGCGTTTTTGATTTTAGAGCACAGTTCATAGATACCTGAAGCGCTGGGCAGACTCCATACATATGCAGAGCAAGAGAATCAGCATTCGTGGAAATACGGCAAAGCCGTGGCTACTACTTCATACAGAGCCTTGGAAAGTACGGTACCGGCGATATATGTGCATTTGTAAGATCGCTCAGAATGCCGATCTACCGCACTTCTTCGCCCTCCATACATCATCGGATGGGAATCCGGACAGTCAAACCTTCGAATGAGCGTTAATCTTGGAACCAACCAGGTGGCCTACATAGTACTGTATGGCAAACGCCAATGGTGCAAATTTCTCCAATCATTCACATCCATGGATATCTACTGTACTCCAGGCTTGCAGTGAAGTCACATAAATTGGAGATCCCGACAACCGTCTCAGCTTTGGATCCCGATTTCTCCAATTCTGGGCCCCCACTTCTTACAGCCTTAGCGTTATATAAAAATTGTCTCCCCGGAATGGCAATCAAGCATTCATGACTCAGATGGAATCCTCGCCTGTACCATCCCTAGAGCCAAAAACCATGGCTAAACGAGAAGACTCACCAGAGTCTCTTTGCGAGTCTCAAGATATTGAATTCCGTTACCTGGAGCTGGACACACCCCTTCCAACGCCATGTATCAGTTTACCGCCGGGGCCCAATCAGTCTCCGCCGCCTGAGCCACCCAGTTTGGAAAAATACACGTCTCCTTTCCTTTGGCCCAAATGGCGCAAGTCCATGATGACCTATATCGCCTGTGGCGTCACAGCACTGGCGGGTTATGCGGCGGGTGAAGTCAGTCCTGCTTCGGAGGAATTGACTGAAATATGGGGTATCAGTACTGTGGTTTATAATTTGAGCATCACGCTTTTCTGCTGTGGTTTCGCGCTCGCGCCAATGGTGCTGGCACCGTTTTCGGAAATTAATGGACGGCGACCGATTTTCATCGCCAGCGGCGTGCTATTTGTTGGTGAGTATGCCGCCATCCGTGAGTGGTCTTGAAATTGACATGTTATATAGCCAGTTTGATCGGCTGTGGCGGGACACAGTCTTTCGCCGGATTACTCGTGGCTCGATTTTTCCAGGGTGTTGGTGGCTGTAAGTTTGCAACTGGATATGAGGGTCCAAGAATCAATCATTAACTCGGACTCAACAGCAACGTTCTCCACCATGGTCGGCGGTGTAATCAGTGACATCTATCACGCCCACGACCGCAACACGGCCATGGCCCTCTTCTCGGCATCTGCGCTCTTCGGAACTGGCCTGGCACCACTCATCTCCGGTGTGATTGTCACTCGAACCACCTGGCGCTGGGTCTTCTACTCGCATGCCATTGTTTCCGCGGCATTCGTCGTCATCATTTTCTTTTTCTTCAAAGAAACCCGAGGCAGCGTCCTGCTCAGCCGAAAAGCCGCCAAGCTGAACAAGTATTACGAGCAGCTGGAAGAAGCCGGTCATCATGGAGTCATGCTGACCAGCGAAGAGTCGCCGGATGAGAAGAGCATTCGGCGCATCAGATGGAAGGTGAAGAGTGACGAGGAGCGAGCCTCGCTTCTTTCCATGATCAAGATCTCGGTGTATCGGCCATTCCGTAAGTCAATCCACCCTGAAGTGCTTTCACAGATCGCACATCTAACATTGGAATTTTTGCAGACATGCTCTTCACCGAACCCGTCGTGTTCTTTTTCTCGTTGTGGGTATCCTTCAGTTGGGCAGTTCTCTACCTGCAATTCGGCTCTGTCCCACTCGTCTTCCGCACAAGCCATAACTTCACAACTGAGCAATCCGGCGCGGTCTTCACTTCGATGTGCGTGGGCGTCATCTTGATCAGTGTCATCAGTATCTACCAGGAGCGCATCGCCGCGCGCTTTGGTCTCAAGTCTGCCGCTGCCGAGGGTCGACTGTACTTTGTTTGTGTCGAATCGGTACTCTTGCCTATTGGCATGTTCTGGTTTGGTTGGACATCTTTCCCGTCCGTTCCTTGGATTGTGCCTGCTATGGCTGTTGGATGTTCGACGATGGGAATTTTCTCAATTTATCTCGCCACTTTCAACTACCTCGCTGATACCTACCACCGGTATGCTAGCTCGGCGATTGCGGCCCAGTCTTGCTGTAAGTTCTGTCTTGGCAAACGAATGACAATGTTATTGCGCCTGCTAACATTGTTTCGATAGGCCGAAATCTGCTCGGTGGTGTATTCCCACTAGTAACGAACGCCATGTTCAACAACCTTGGATTCCCCGAGGCATCAAGTCTGCTGGGAGGAATTGTAAGTTCCATTGACCCATGTCGGAACTGAACCGACACTAACAATATTCACAGGGAGCTGGTTTAACCTTGGTCCCCTGGGTGTTGGCCCTGTACGGACCCCAAATTCGAGCCAAGAGTAAGCTCGCGAGTGTATGTGAACCGCCCCCATATATCAGACGCACAACGCTAACAAGCCCGCAGGAGCTCGCACACTGATATAATTGGTCACGTACCCAATCCAAAACTAAAAGTAATTTAATCATAGAGCGCCCTCGGGTGCAATTCATCACATAGACCTATTGACATGCATATACCACAGTCTCCTGTTCCAGGCCAGACTAGCTGGTTCCAAACCTGAATACATCAATGCCGAGGAATCTGTCTCCACCAAAATGATCGTAGAGCATGTTTCAGCCAAGTGCCTCGCTCCAAGGATGCTCAAAACAGAACGCTCAAATTTATATAGAATGACGTCATCTCATCTCATGCCCAGAATATAATTACCTGGGACGTTGGGCATGCCTGAAGGGATGAGCTCCGTTGATACCTTGGCGAATCGACTCATATCGCCCCTCATCTTCACTGTCGCTGTCCATTTGATCCAGCAGGCGATCGATGTCATCGCCGGCACCGGCTTCCATGCCGGGCTTCGCCTCAAGCCCTTGGCTATTATGAGATTTGGAGCTCTGAGAGCTCTGATTTCCATTTTGGTGTGCACCATTGCTGGCCATGATGGTCTCACTGAGACTGCTCTGGGTGCTCGGGGGCTGCATCGGCCGGGGACTAAAGCGATATCCCGAGTTTTCGGGACTGGACATGAACATCAATGTTTCAATGGCGTCTTGTTCCATCAATGTATTTTCAGATTGGGTACGACCGCCGTAGAGCCCATTGGGTGTGGATATCGGTGCGCTTGTATGTATTGATGGGACCAAAGGAGTCTCTGGGCCCATGGCTGTACCATTGAGTGGCCTGTTCAACCCATGCTCTTGGTAGGAATGATGGCGCCTGTGGCGGGTGATAGGACTGTAGGATGAAGGTTTGACGATTGCATTTGGGTTCGGTCGACGGCGCTGACCTTGGCCATTCGAACCGATGATATCGACAGGCGGTGCCAGTTTTGTGTTTGGAGGGAACTGATCAGATAAGAATGCTGATCGCGAGCGGTTATGACTTGCATGGTGAGAGTTCCCATTGGATGAAGATTGCGAGTTGATTGAAAAAGGCGTTGAAGCTCCGGCTGGCAGAGATGCAACGTCGCTGGGCGCCGATGGACTTAATGATGATGCGCTGTGTTGTGTTCGAAGTGTACTTTGAGGGGTACTCCCACGAGATTGCGACTGCCGTGCCTGTTCGACCTTGGCAGCTGCATATGATAACCGTGAACGGATATGCGAGGATAGCTGATAGGATGAGCAAATGTCTCCGGTAGGAAGATGAGAGAATTTTTTTACCTGTGCAATTCTGCTCCCATGCAGCGAGGAACCAGTGCTTTTTGAACGCCGCCTTGACACTCCGTTCGTGTCAGTGCTATGGGTTATGGGCCCATCTATAGTGGACTTATAGTCGCCAGCTGCTGTTCGTTTCTGGCCGGGAGCCAACCCGGCATCGAATTGCGACCGTGTATGCGAGTGCTTTGGAGAAGGCGGCGGTGATAAGGACGTGTCCCCAGCTTTAATTGGGGGTAGTGACGGTTGCCATCGGTCTACTGAGCCTCCATTCACCGACTGGGTCTGCGGGGCCATGTGGGTATCCTGTGGTTCCTGGCCCATCTGTGATGCCGATGTATGTTCGTTCGAATTGTAAGAGCCGTCGAGGTGCGTCGGCTGATCGGCACCATTTGTAGAGGAAGGGAAGCTGAAAAGAGAATCTGTAAGGGTGCTAGCGGAGTGAAGATCTGGTCGTCGACCGTCGACTGAGGTATCGCTACCGCGCTCCGATGATTGGTTGTAGGCCGGTGTGGGATTGTTCTCGCCATGGGCGACGGTGGCATTCAAGCCATCTATACGCAGTGATAGTGGTTTTTGTAATTGCGTACTTTGGTCCTCGGCGGGAGGTGTTTGGTGAGGCACGGGAGGCATCGCGCCCAAGGTGCTCGCACTGGCCTCGACAGGCACTTGAGTAGATGGAGCGTCGCGACTGTCATTCATGATCGGCAGGCTGGAGGTGATTTAAGGGAATTTCTGGGATAGTGATACTCGGCAAATACGCGCGACCTAGCTTTAATTGGATGTTGACGCGGCCGCACGATCTCAACACGCATGACCTGTTCTTCAGTCACCGCATCGAGAGCCGGAGATATCCGATAGCGTTATATGCAACTAGAGAGCAGTTGGGATCTCGACCAAAGGCAGCGTGATGGGAAGAGCGACCGTCCAAGTGGCGATCAACCACGCGCGCAAGGGTTGCGACAGCACGAGGCGGCAAACGAGTCAATTGGTCCCCACTGTGCTTGAGACCCCGGATAAGTGGCCCGACAGGGGTCTGAGGTGAAGAGTGAAAGTAGTGAGGGGTGTGAGATTCGAACAATCCAATAATGCGCCACAAGGTACTAGTATCAAACAGACCAGGATGGTGGGAGGAAAGCCCACGCCTCTGGTCTCTTCGACGCGTTGTCCGCGCGGTCACGTGTACGTCGATATACCTCCAACCAGTTTACTCAAGGTATTTATGCTGTGGACTGAATCAAAAGTACTTTAGGCATGATAATAAGAGTTATAATGGGACATAGCTGAGACGGGGCGCTTGGGAAGGGACCTGGTGACATCTACTCAGGTATATAGTACACTGCAACTATATCCGCACCCGAATCGGCTATGACTACATCATTCATGATTCGGTAGAATTCGGAGAGTATCAAATTGATTATTTGTTAACAGAAGCTTCAAGATGAAATGAAAGTTATTTTTAACACAGAACACTCCCACACGGCCCCCCCCCCCAGGGCTAATAACTCAGGTAAGTCAATCTCAAACAGTGAAAATGGCAGAAGACCAAACATGAAGTAAAGACAAGCTGAACACACACTCAATCTGTAATGACAGGATATTTGACACAATTTCACCTAGAACACTGGGTGAATGACCGCAGTGGTCTTCTTCAGATACTCCGGGGTGAAAGTCTGGGTGATCCGATCAACGTCGGGCCCAGTAGTATGCTGGGCAACATGGGCCTTTGCAGGCTCAACAATAATGCCAGTCATTGGATAGTCCGTATTAGAACCACCTGGAGCGATCATTAGACTCTAGATCAGAAGCATCAAGCAGACAATAACTTACCTTTCTCAGCAAGCTTCCTCTGCTCCCGTGCCGCCTTACGGGCCTTGATTCTCCTTTGCACCTTTGGCGTATGCTTTTTGATCCTACGAGAGCCGTCAGCAAACCCACCGAGCCTTTGGATAGATGTGAAGGGACATACAAGCAGCCAAGCAGACAGACAACCACCAAGCCGACAATGATACCGATCAAGGCATTGCCTACTCTTTCTGATTCTTCAGGAGTCCACTCCCGATTTGCTCGCGGGGCGAGCTTGTTTGAATGGAAGATGGGAGTTGGCGCCATCTTCATGGATTTAATGAAGTTTTGATGATGGATGTAATAAGTAGCTTGATTGCAAAATGGATGCAGATGGAGAAATGGAAAAAGGACGATTGGCAAAACTGCCCGGACTATATACTGAGGGCTCCGACGCCTATTCAAGACCCGACGCTCATTAGAGACCTGATACCAATTAGAGCGGCGGCAAAGGTGAAGCTTGTTTCCATGCCGCCGCCTAGTTAGGGCTGCAGTTGACGGTTCCGCGGACAGAGGGTGTCCGACCTTGGGCTGCCCTCGACACAAACCTTTAGGGCTGTTTTCTGTAGCAAAAGAACAAGAATACTACCTAGGTAGTCGGCCGGCAGTATTTTCAGTAATTTTTCCAGTTGCTCTTGCCTAATCTGGAAGTTTCTGTAACTTTCTATATTTAAAGGAAAACATTGAACCTTGCATCCTACCTTCTTCTCCATCCATTCCAAGTTTCAGTCTCCGTTCTCTGAATCTCATTTTCGATTTATCTTCTTCAAACTCACCCACCATATTCCTCCAAGCCATTCCAATGGCAGAAGAAAGTGTCGAGGTGCTTGAGTATATTGGGTTCGTACCGGATGTTGCCAGACTGATCTATGACCGATATTGCGGCCGCCCAAGCCCAAGCCAAAATCCCGATGACCTAATGGCATATGTCACTGCACATCTCGCCTCTCTTAGCCGACGACAGTACGATGAAATGAGCCATCAGGAGGCGCTCGCTGATGTTGGTCTTACTCGCCAAATTCAAGGAGCAATCACGGACCCGAGATTCTCACACATCTTCAGTACCCAGACCCTCACTTACTGGGCACAAGATACCCTTGAAACCAACTATGCCGCTCTTCTTCGTCAACAGCAACTGCTACAAAGCCATGCAAACAAGCGCATAGCTCATGAAAAGAAACATCAGCGGCCCAGGCATGAGCCGAGCCGAGAAGACCAAGACCCATCTGAGCAGCAACCCGTGACAGCAACGATCAACATGACACCCCAAGATTTCCAGTTCCCAGACACATATGTGATGGTTCAACCTGAGGCCAATATCCTCGCCGATCACATTTCTTTATACAAGGGCAAGGCATATGATGATTTACGGCCAGCGGGTGATATCATTGAGAGTGATGGAAAAGTCAACCTAAGACCACTCAGCACATACCCCGGCGGAGACTTCAATTTCGATTTTAATGCGCAATACTGGACCCCCGAAATTGAAACGGCTGAAGAGTACCGCAAATTTGCAGAAAGGAGAAGCCCTGCAGCCGATACCTGCATTATTCACATTCAGGTTCCGCGACCATTCATCAACAACCTCCGAATGGAGAATCTGGGGTATTCTCCCAACTGGAAAGAGTACATCTGGACCTGCAGGAGACAGGCTACCCCTCACCCGAGATTCGACCACCTCTGGCGATCTGGGCAAGCTGATATCGTCCGGGGCCCCATCTGTTCTACCCTCAGCACACAGCTAGTCCGCATCCGCAGAGAAAACATCCAAAGTCACATCACTGAGGACAACGTGATGCAATTGCTGTCTGGGAGAAAGGCTACTCAGTGGGTATTCGTTCAACGTGATGGGGTTGACCGGTTAGCAGAACACATTCGAGGGAAGATGCATTTCATCATTTTTGAAGCCGCTGTTATGAGCCAATCCTATCAAGAGAAAGGGTGCGTCGATTCAAATTACTAAACATGGAGAAGAGAAAGAGAAAAAAAGATCCATCCGCGAGCTGCCCTTTTTCTCTCCAAGTCATGGGTTCCTTCCTCAGGCTCTCCATCCATCTCTTCTTCATTCGGTCTCCCCTCTCACTACATACCTATGTAGTCAAGCCACCTTGCTCCTTACTAGTTGCTCTACAGACGCATATTGCTGTGTTCTAGTTTAGTTTTTATTTTTTTGTTTGCAACTTGGCTTGGGAAAATCCAAACCCATCATTATTCAAGATATATGAGTTAATTGCGGAGCGAAGCGAAGCATTATTCTACTTCACTCCGCATGACTTTCTGTAGGCTACAGGCCCCCGAGATCACTAGTACCTTGCGACTTAGACGAAGAGATACTGTCGATCCATGGATGAGCTAGCATACCTCGGTAGTCTCACCCACGGGTAAGAAATCCATGGAGATAGGCTACCTACCTATGTACATTTTGAGAGGCGGACCTACGTACCAAAATCCACTCGGCAATTTAACACGAGAGCTAATGCAGGCCAAAAGGCTAGACACACAGTATGTGAAAGTGGATTGACACACGAAGGAAGAAGAAAAGTAGTGCAATCATCAGATATTCTGATATAGAGTAACATTCAAAGTTATGTAGGTAGATACAAGTTTTGGGTCCAAACGCCATCCATCTATGCAAACGACCCTGGCTAGATTAACAAGTCCAAGAACGAACAGATCACTTGCGCTTCTTGCCGCGTCCACGGCCACCAGAGTCCTCATCTGGGTTCTTGCGCTTCTTGCCCTCCTTGCGCCAGTAATCATTGCGCTCTCTCTTCTCACGCTCGGCCTTCTTCTCCAGACTATCGGCCACCTTGGCACGGTAGACCTTGCGACGCTCCTCCTGCTTAGCAGCGCGCTTGGCCTGCTTCTCATTGCGCATGGTGGTGAGCTTCTGCATGAGATCGCGAGCCTTCTTCTCCTCGCCACCGAGGACAACAGCGCGCTTCTGCATGTAGGTCTGGTCCTTGTGGGCCTTCATCTTGGTGATCTGGGACTTGTAAGGAAGGTCCGCGGCCAGCTGCTTGGGGACGCGGAGTGGGTTGAAGTGACGCTCCTGTCGCTCGATGGGCTTGTAGGTCGAGTCCTTGAGTTGAGGGGTGGCAATACCCTGGGCGTGACGGACTTCACCGGTCAAACGCATGCCTTGCCATCCGCTATCGCCCTTCTCGCCCTCAATCTGGTCCAGCAGGTTGGTCACAGGGTTGTAGAAGCGGTGAGGTTTGATGGGGTACCAGGCACGCAGGAAGACAATATCACTCATGAGAATCTTGTCCTCAAAGGTAGCACGGAAGTGTCCTTCGGGCTTGGAAAGCGCACGCTTAATCTGACCACGGATTCCGGAGACGGTCTTGATGGACGCGCCTTCGAACTTGGCAATCTCCAACGAGGAGTTGAACATGTCCTTGATGAAAGCCGTGTTCTTGAAGATCTTGTAGGGCACACCGGTAAGTTTGAGCTTCTTGACAATTTCTGTGTGCTCATCGACGCTCTCAACAACACCAGTTGCGGCGATACGGAAGCCAGGGTTCTTATTAGAGAACGAGTTCACACAGCAGAAACCAGTGTTGGGGGCAACAAGGGGTCCGTAGAAGGTAGCGAAACAATGCATATGCTCAGGTGTGTATTTGAGCATACGGTTTCTTGTTCGACTGTCGGAGGTGCTGTAGATAGGCATTGTCTGGAAGCGGCGCCAACCAAGAGAGAAGATCAACGGGTCGTTGGTCTTCAGAATCTTCTTGTGCCAGCGGTGGCGCTTGATACGGATGCGCACGTATCCGAAGCGGTCCTCTGTAGGAGACAGACCACCCACGATAAGAGGGAATCGAGGGTTAAATTTGGAGACGAACTCGTAGGGGACCTTTTCGAGGACAATGCGAGCGTAAGTACCGGCCTTGTAGCCTTCAGCGCGTGCACGCGATGCCGGGTCAAGGCTATCAAACTCGGCGCGGTTGATGTCGGTTTGCTTTTGGAGCTTCGCCTTTTGTAAATCGTACCAGTCGTCTTCTCCGAATTCGCCATCGATGCCATCGCGTGTGTTATCTTGGGCTTTCCCGAAACCCTCGCGATCTTCCTCCTCGAAACGGAGCTTGAGCTCTTCCTTCTTTTTGGCATTTCGCTCGCGCTCGGCTTCCAAGTCTGGGGTTTCTTCGGGCTCGTCATCCTCTTCCTCGTCGTCGTCTTCGCCATCTTCTTTGATGCCGTTGAAGACTTCGCCCGACTCCAAATCTTCATAATCACCGTCACCCTCGTCCTCATCATCTTCGTCGCCATCCATGTCATCGTCCTCGTCATCCGAGCCGCCGCCTGACAGCTTGGAGGTGATGAAGCGACGTCTGAGTGATTCAATCAGCTCCTCATCCCGCCACTTGCGCTCCAACTCGTCGTAGTCGTATTCGGGAACAGCGCGGAAGTCTTCTTCATCCTTCTTCTCGTTGCCTGTCTTCTTGAAGAAATCCTCGCCGTTGTCGTCGGCAGTCTCATCTTCGTCATCTTCGTCGGCAGAGTCTTCACCGCGCCACGTCTTCACGACATCGGCTGGCGTCATTGATTCATCGTACATCATTCGTGACAGGTCGGTGACTCGCCAAGGGCGGCGCTTTCCATGGGTGGCTTTGGCGTTGGCAAGCATGTTTTCCTTCCAACGGACGTTGCCTTCCGAGTCTTCATCGTCCTCCTCGTCGTCTTCGTCCTCGCCATCTTCACTCTCGTCTTCATCGCCGCTCTCAAGCTCTTGGTCTTCGACGGAGGAGATGGAGCCCAGATCAGAATCGCTGTCGGCGAACGCCATGTCTTCTTCCTCTGCCTCCTTGCCGTTTTGCTTGGCCTTGAAACGTGACTCGAAATCGGCAGGCGCGGACATCTCGAGTTCACCTTCATCATCGGTGACATCATCCTCGTCCATGATCTCATCCTCCTCCTCGCTGTCAGATCCTTCGGGAATATCCTCGTCGTTGAATTCAGTTTCAGCAACACGAGCACGGCGCTGACCCTTTCGGCCGGTCTCGTCGTCCTCGACTTGGGCGACTGCTTCACCGCCACGGAAGAGACGAACACCTTGGTCGGCCTCACCAAGCATCTTGCGGTCACCCTGAAGACCGACAACAAGGTGCTCACCGAGACCACGACGCTCCTCATCGGCAGATTCCTCATCAGAATCCCGGTCAAAGGTATTAGACTTGACGTCAATGTAGACGGCATCCTTATCGACCAAAACACCACCGACATCAGACATCGGGGCGAAGAGGAGCTTCTGCTTCTCGCCAAGCTTGCGTGCCTTCGACTTTCCGGTCGCCTTTTGGATTTGCTGATCCATGAAAGGAGTTGGGCAAGGATCAGGCAAGCTTTCAATGCCGGCAACAGTCAAGTCACCAACACCGGGAACATGAACTCGCGCACTGTGGGCGGGGAAATTGGTACCTCGCAAGTAACCGTAGAGCGCGACTGTACGATCGCATTTAGGGTTCTCTTCGATCTGAGTAGGCGGCGTAATGTCCAAGAAGCGATCCGCGAGCGCATATGGGTGAGAGTTGCGCCAGATGATCGGACGAGGGTTCTTCATGACCGACAAGAAACGAGAAAGGTTGTGGACTTCACGATCGGGGTAGCGACCATTGATAACACCGGACAGATAGAACAGCTTAGCTCCTGAGTAGAGTTCACTCCAGAAACGGTGCTTGAGGCGCTTCTTGGCGTCCTTCAACGTGCTCTGCTTCTTGAACTGATCAAGATGTGTCAAGATACCAAAAACGTTTCCGGGCATACCGGCCGTTGACAAGGCGTTCAAGAACTCCATAGTCTCCATCTCGAATCCGAAGTTTCCGTCGATCATGAGAAGCACGATATCCGCGATCTTGGACACATCAATCGCGGCCGCGAGCGAATCGGACGGACATTCGAGGAAAGTGAGGCGTTGGCGCTTGGTTGTGACAACGGTCAATGGTCCCTGGGGGGAGCTGAGAGACTGCTTGGTGTAGCGACGGATCAGAGACTTGAGCAGAGTGGTTTTGCCGACTCCTGGGGGTCCGACGATTGCGACGACAACTGGAGGAGCCTCCTCGGGCATGCGATCCACGAGAGGCACATGGAGTCTCTTCTCTTTGACCTATAAGGAAGTCCGGGTCAGTCTCTATTGATCGACGAGGAAAAAATTTCAAGTACGTACATCATGTGCTCGCGCCGCCTGCTTGTTGAGCTTTCCGGGTCTGGAAGAAACGAAGGCCTTCGGATTGGCACCTATAACAGATATTAATTAGTAGACGCTCATGCAAGAGATATGCGAAAAAAATTCGCAGCTTTGAGCACCGGGGCGGCCTCGACTTACCCTCAAACTTCTTCTTCTCCTTTGCAGGGCGATGCGCCCTGTTGGACTGTTGCTCCATGCTGTATGTAAAGAGGTAAGATACCTCACAGCTCCTGTCCGGTATCAGAGAAAAAGAATGGAACAACCAAGTATGGGCAACTCCGTGAAATTATTCGAGGCCACTCGAAAATAGTGTCTGACCGCTGAAAAATAGATTCTGCCGTGTCTATGCGCCGTATGGGCGGTACTAAATAGAGTCACGTTATTGGCTGAGAGCTGATCTACACGTGATAAAGCGGATTATTATCCCCCCGAGATGTTCTTATCGGTTATCGCGATGTTTAAAGCTTCACGTTTTCTCATTGGCCAAAGCACCTGGGCAGCCTTCAAATGGATCAGCCCCGGAGATCAGATTTAGATGGAGAGCTCTGGAGGCCTTCCAAGGCCCTTTGGTGAAAGCCCGCAGGCCCTGGACAAGTGAACTTACATGTATGTATCGAGCAAGTCTGCTAGCTGGAATTTCTGCTTTCGACGGGAGCCTTTTGCTTTGACAGAAATCACCCATACGACCCGTGGACGGGGTTTTTGCACGGAAATTGCTCATCAATCATAGACTGGCGACATAAGGTGCTTACTGCGTTAACTCCTTACTTCTTTCGGGCTACTCGGGCTACATGAGAACTCAAATTTGAGCCCCAACTCGCTTGGACAGCGCCGAAACATCCGATCAGCCACGACATCTTAAGCCCCCCGACCAAGTTCCCACCTGGACATGTAAACGAGCTTAGTTGGCGAAAAGGCTTATTCTTTCTGTGTCAGGTATTACATCAGATGTTTGGTCGAGCACAGAGCACACTTTGAGACTCTACAAGGTCGCTTGGTTCAAACATGCCAACATCTAAGTAGTGCAACTCATGGGCTGAGCGATCAGGCAATATCAATTGATCACAGTACACCGTAAGACGATGCCACATGATCCACCGCACCAATTGAAAGGATCTTATGGATCTAAATAGACCTTCTTATACCTGTTGGACACTGGGATGCACCTTGACCTGTTGGCTGCCAAGCACGGAGTATATGGGAAGGTAGGGCTGCCCAATTCAAATCCTGAGTATCTGAAGCTGGCATTTACAGAAAAACACAACTCTTCCAACAATTTTAGTCATATCTTGATAAAGCACGTTATCTCGCACGCCTTGGGTCCATTTGAAGATGTCAATTTCCCCTCGCGGTTAGTTGCCCAGCTGTGCGGGGCCGATAATCAACGATTATCGGGGAGTTCACCCGACGTCCAATGACTACAAGTTCCTCTTAGTCCGCAAATCGAAAGGATCCGATCTCGCTGGGCTGCAGCATTGGCGGAAGTGAATTGACTCTTAAACATCATCCTAGCAGGTAGAATCTTACAACCTGAGAACAATCTTATACACTGGGCATCCGAGCGTACAGTACATCATGTCTACCCGCCAGCCACCCCCAGCTTACACAGCGCCACCTGAATCGGGCGTGCATGCTGTTTCACAGTTTTACAGGTCAATTTCTGAGACCGCCTCCGACATCTCTGCCCGCACCTCAAAGGAAAAGTTTACCATTCGACCATGCTCAGCTCAAGCGTGGGTTGTCCCCGCCGGCCACGTCTGCCGTCTCACTACGCCCAATGGACCGCAAGTCGGTGACCTGAACATCTGGAACGCGAGCAACCCCCGGGAGCGGATGTGGGCTGCACGTACCCGGCAGGTCCACGCCTCCCACGTCTCCGTTGGCGACCGACTGTGGTCCAACCTGCCCTACCTACGGCCCCTGGTTACGATCACTGGTGACTCACTTGGCGGCGGGCAGTTGCATGACGTACTTGGGCCGGATGGGAAGCGGAAGCCAGAGGCTGTCTTCGGGCCCACGCAGTTTGGAGGGCGGGTGCATGATCTGCTGGGTACTCGGTGCGATCCCTATGTCAATCTGCTGATGGGTGGGGAGACCTTTGATTACCACTGTCACTCGAATCTAACACGCTCGGTGGTTCCCTACGGATTGACGGAGTTGGATATTCATGATGTCTTGAATGTGTTTCAGGTGACGGGTCTGGACAAGGACGGGAAATATTTTATGGAGACATCCCCTGCACAGGCGGGCGAGTACTTTGAGTTTTTTGCCGAAGTGGATGTTCTCTGTGCGCTGTCGGCGTGTCCTGGAGGTACGGAACTAGCGCTGCGCATTACAAAACCCATATGCTGATGATACTTCCAGGTGATCTTTCCCAGTGGGGCTGGGATGATAAGGAAGATGGCATGGGGTCGACATGTCGTCCACTAGGTGTGGAGGTATACCAGTTAAATGGCAATGTCCTCGAAGGATGGAAGACACCGCAAAGTCCTCCATACCGGGGGATGCATGGAATGAAGATGCCAGTGCGCGAGGAAGACAACTACGTGGGGCTCTAACCACCCCGCAGTCGTCATTTCCACCTGAAAAATCAGGTTTCAACATTGTCAGACGTGACTTGCATTGCCCAAGGGGGCTGTGAGACAGTCGAAATAACACAGCGTTTGACAGATTCTCATTTGAAAAATCTCAAATTAAAGGGGTTGATGTACAAGAATTAAACCGGGGTTTTTCATTTCCATTTCATTTTATTTTTCAAAAGAAAAAAAAAAAAAAAAAGATCCCAAAAAATAAAAGGACGAGTATGCATGTCAAATGCGGGTCATTAAGGTACCTGCTTCAAAGGAACCCCCCTCGCCTTATCGCGGGGGTATAAAACAGGCAGCTCCCTCTTCTTTTCTTTCTCTTCAACAATCTACCAACAGCTACCATGACTTTGTACAACGTGTGTTTGAGTTCAAATTCAATGCCTCATCTCCAACTGACATTTCCCAGATCACTCTTAAGACCGATTCTCCCCCCGAGGAGCTGGAAAAGTGGGTTGCACTACACCATTCGCCTGTGCCATACTGACGGCAAGTTCCTTCAGAACCAAGGCCACCTTGCGGGAGAAAGGTGGTGTCATCCGCCATGAATACAGCATCATCAAGGGCTTCACGTGAGTCACGCATTGATCTTACGCGCGATGGGCCAAGCCTATGCGTCTTGTGTGGAAATTAACGGTGATCCGTGATAGCATCGAGTTCCCCGATGACATTGCTCTGACTCTGAACCTCGAATCCACCCCACACGTCCATGTCGAACGAGATGGCGAGGTGGAGACTCACTAGTCAGAGTCAACCCAGCTTCGCCTTAGCCTTACAGTCGCCCGTGAACCTTACCTGGAACGGGACAAGATGTGACACAGAAACTGAATACCCGGGGGCCTTTTCTTTTTTTCTTTCCTTTTGAGCGTGATGCCTTGATACCAACTATGCGACTGCTCTGATGCGCGAGGTTATGCATACTTTATGACTAGCGTTTGAAATGCCATGGGTCCATGAGATGGGACCGTCCTTATTATCTCACCTGATTTGGTAGAATCCAGTAGATATTCCACATGTTGATTGAAGATCAAGGTCCAACATTGAAATGTAGAATCGCAGAGACAGTGTAATCAATCCCGACGGTATCCGCTTTATGCAGATCCTCGTCACCGCCGCGGCAATTCGCCATCACTCCTCATCTCCGCTTCATTGTTACAACCTGCAATGGCGACTTCAATACCTCGAGCGTTGTTACGACCCGGCTGCAGGCCACCGATTCGGTGTCACCTCTACCGCCATTCATCCACTCAGAGTCAAAACTGGGCTGGTCGCCCGTTCGATGTCGCCAAAGACAATGTCGCGCAGCTGGCCGCCAGTCCTCGACGACCTCTGACCCTCACGGATTTACTGAAGTATGCTCCCCAGGATCATGGAATGAAAATGGGAATCACAAGACTGACTGCTCCCAAACTTAGGCATGGCCGCCCTCCATTGGACAAAGAGGCCCTTTTAGCCTCGGCCAACTTTACACTCTCCCTCCTCCCCGCCCGACTGGCTTCTCGCATACAAGCTTTGCGGAATCTGCCTTATATTGTCGTCTCCAATCCACACGTTTCCAAAATATACCATAATTACCTCCACTCGCTATCGACACTCCTCCCGTACCAACAGCGGCGCATCACCACCCTCGAAGAAGAAAACCAGTTTGGAGATGTATTGGCAGACCTTGTACAAACGCACACCAACACGATTCCTGTCCTTGCACGTGGCTTCTTGGAGTGCAGGAAATACGTCAGTCCCGCAGATGTCACAAGTTTCCTTGACACTCATCTGCGCGCGCGGATTGGTACACGTCTGATCGCCGAGCAGCACCTGGCCCTTCACTATGCCTCCCAGCCAATCGGCGGCAACTCATCCACCACTCCCGGTACCCCTGCACCCAAGAACTCGATTCCACCAAACTACATTGGCGTCATCGACACTGCCTTGCAGCCAGCACGCATCATACGGCTATGCGAGGACTTCGTCGGCGAAATCTGTGAGCTGAAGTATGGAGTTCGACCCAGCCTGAAGATCGGCGGGGAGCCTGAAGCTACATTTGCCCATGTCCCCGTGCACGTCGAGTACATTATTACAGAACTTTTGAAGAATGCTTTCCGGGCGACCGTCGAAAATGGTAACCAGCGCGAGCCTATCGAGGTGACGATCGCCGCGGCGCCAGACGTACCCGGGGACCACCCACCCACCTCTGGGGACAATGACAATTCCAATGACACCGGGTTTGAGTTGGATTCGGAGGGTGACGGGGCCAATCGGAATGAAAAAATTGGCCACTCGACTCTTTCTTCGCAGAGTATCACAATCCGTATTCGTGATCGAGGGGGTGGTATTCCGGCTGAGGTCCTGCCTCATATTTGGTCCTACAGTTTCACAACCTTCTCGGAAGATGATTTCCAAGGCTCGGAGAATGGCAACATGGATGCCCTGAATACCATCTCTGCTAGTGGTGGAAACCCAAGCAGTATTGCCGGTCTTGGTTATGGTCTCCCTCTGAGCAGAGCGTATGCTGAATACTTTGGTGGTAGCATCGCGGTCCAAAGCTTGTGGGGATGGGGCACTGATGTCTACTTGACGCTTCAAGGAGTTGGCAGAGTTGATTGAGAGAACTCAGATACAGAATTAGATACCCTTCACAGAATTGTCATTCAACCCACGCTATCCCATTGCACAATTTTTCGCAATCTATATCTTCGACTTGGAGGATGGAATGAACAGGTCTATGAAATCCGAGATCAGTATATCCGGCTGTTGAACTGCTCCAAGTATCCGACTGATCTCTGCTGCGGAGAACATATAGCTCATGTTCTTGAAAAACTTCTTCTGCACCGCAGACGCTGTTCGAGGGTTCCGCGCATGTCCCACAGGATACTCGATCAGTATCTCGGGCAGTTCAGCGCCGTTCTCGAGATAGATCGTCACACCTGCACCGATGCTCTTCTTATCAAGATCCAGATAGTCTCGCTGAAGTCCAGAGTCAGCCTGAACCACAATCTTCCCCCGCAGAGCTTCCAGCTCCTCACTCTTAGCCCATGGACTCTCATCCAAGTAGTCCACCGCCACCGGCGGGCTACCTTTCAACAACGCCAAAGCCACCACATACTGAATGCAGTGATCCCGATCAGCAGCATTGTACAGCGGGCCCTTCTTGTCAATAATCATACACGCAGCCTCCGTCACCCTCAGGTATATATTTTTGATCTGTCTCGCAGGGTCAACCACCCCCTTCTTCCTTAATAACCCAGCATGCAAAACCGCAGCTTCGACAGCAGATATCGCATGTCCTTCCACAGGCATAGTCTTGAAAAGCACATTCCGCACCGTCCACGCCCCAAACGCACGCGGGAACACGAACCCACTATCCCCAAACGTCCGCTCCAAAAATCCAAACGGTCTCGCACTCAATGCCCCCGGCGATCCTGCCGCTCCCTGCGAAACCATAAACGCCAATTGCACAGCCCTGCGTGCTGCATCGCCAGCCGCCCACCCTTTCCTGCATACGGTATTCGCGCCGCTTCGATATACCCGACTTGGATGACCGTCCATCCAGACATGAGATACCGCCGCCATGGCTTGCTCTTCTGTCAAGCCGAGTATCCAAGAAACAACAGCGACAGAGGCCAACTTCACAAGAATGACATGGTCAATGCCGTAGGCGTTGAATGCATTCTGCATTTGATAACATCCCTGTATCTCATAAGCCTTGACCAAAGCAACCAGCAGCGTGTGCATGGTCAGCGGAGGTCCGCGGTGGACGATCTCGCCTGCGATGCTCGCGCGCGAAAGCCAATCCATCACGGGAATTATTGCACCGAGATTATCTGGACAGGTCAGTTATGCAAACTTATATATGAGGGCACGCTTTACCAGATGGATGTCCCCATTCTGCACCACCGAGTGCGTCGTTGTGGTCAAGGTATCGGATCAAAAGGCCTAGATCGAAGGCACCTTTCGGTGTGTCGACTTGGTGATCTGTTCCTGGGACTTTGAACCCGTTTGGGACGATTGTTTTGGTCATGGGACCGAGGAAATTGCGGCATGTTGTACTTGTTGCTGCTGTTTCAATGGCGCAGCCCACTGCGTCGAGAAGGGAGGTGCGGGCACTTTTCCATATTGTTTCGTCGTCTTCGTCGAGTTGGTACTTGTAGACATAGTCTACTACGTCTCTTATTGGCTGATCGTATGTGCGAGACATTGCATCCCGAGGTCTGTAGGTTTCTGGCTGATTATGAATTTGTGTTAGGATCGAATGGATGCAATGTCTGACTGAATATGGTCCGTCGTTTGCACTGGTTTGGGGGGAACATCGTCGGCCTGTTGGTGGGAGCGGGCGTTGCACATGTGCTTTTGCAAGTTGTACTCTGTACTTTCGGTGTTTCAGGGTTCCAAGGTTTAGGTGACACTTGCCCAGGTGGGCATTGATTTTACTAGGTACGTGGTGCACATGTGCCTTTGTATATCCGTCCAAGGATTGTATACTGCGCAGATCAACCTTGAACCTTGGAATCCATGGATCATGTCCAGGTGGATGGCACCTGGGTGATCTCGTAAGTTGGAATGAACTAGCTTCGTCGATCTGGGCATTTCTCATATATTGTCCAATACATATCAGCAACATGGCATGGCTCTAAGCTCTGATGTGCCCAGGTGTTGAAGTCCGCGGGTTCCAAAAGCCCATATAGCTACCGGGTATATGTCATGATAGATCAGCTTAGAATCCCCCGACACCCCGAACTCTCTGTACAGCACCAATAGCCCCCTTAGCCCAGCTGAAGCGACCAGGCACAGGCCCCATAGATCCAGGCGGAATCTCATCAGTCTTTGGATCATGCCAGCAACCATCCTTGGCACTGGCAGCACCATACTTGGCCGTATTCTGATTACGATTGATCAACTCCGTCCAAGCGCGACATACCATCTCAGAATCAATAAGAACATTGATCTCCTGACTATGGAAGAAGGACTGGGTATCGAGGTTTCCATTGCCTAGGCATACAAGTATTAGCAAAACATGCGTATAGTATGGACGCATCAACGTACCCTGAATAGCAATTTGCTGGTCAACGATCATCAATTTTATATGGCAGCTGCGTTTCTTGAAACTGTTGTGGATTGGGCGGGTCTGGTCTTTGCCGACGTAGTAGCATACTCGCAGGCGGGACTTTTCTTCGTCTGATCCGAGAGAGTTGTATAGTCTGTTTGCGATCATCTCGTTGGTTCCATTTTGGAATGGAAGGAGCTCGCCTGCGTCATTGTAGCCGAGACATAGGTAGCAGGTTACGATGACGCCGCGGCGAGCGGCGTTGATGAGAGGTTCCATCAGGGGTTCGGCGTTCATGTTGGGTGTTTGGATCAGGATGGATCTTTGGGCGTGGTTGATTGCCGAGATCCAGGCGGAGTTCTGGGGTGTGTGGATGCTGCTGTGGTTTGGGGCTTGTTTGGGGTTAGATGGCGATCTTGGGATCTGCTCGCTGGACGAGTACTCACATCCGAATGGCTCTCTGTTCACTACTGCCATTGCAAAGGGCTCGTGATCTGGAAGGAGCATGTATGGGGTCATGATGGGATTTTGGTCGCTGTCGGGTGCATCGCCGGTTGTGTCTGGTTGGATAGTCGTATCTAGGTGAATGTTAGAAGCGTAGTTGGAGATGTCATCCTGAGCCCACATACTAAGGTGCCGGCTGACGGCCTGCGTCGGAGTTTCATTTTGTAGTGGGTGAATGCTGCCGTTGACCCTCCGAGCCTCGTGATGTAGGTCATGATCATAGTGTGGGGATCTGGTTGTAAGTTCAGGGAGAGCATCTGTTCCATTCTCTGAAGCACCATTCTGCTCGGCTCCGTAGCTCGATATGGGAGCATCCTTGGCAGGAGAGTTCAGAAGGGGGAATGGAGGCTCCAGGGGCTTTCCCCAGGATAGCAGAGCAGCATCATAGAACGAGTCCACGATAGGACCTTCGATGTGCGATAGCATCTCGAGGTTATCATTATCTTGGATGTTGCTACTTTGGATGAGAGCCATGCGACGGTCGATCACAGTGAACTTCGCATGGAATGTTCCAAAAATGGGTCGGTGAAAGTTGATCACTTGAAGATCGACGTTGGGGATCTCACTCGCCGCAGGAAGTCTTACCTTTCCTCCAACGTATTGGTCCTCTTTGACATTGAGCCTGTTGTCCCAGGCCTGCAAATCGCGTTAGAGCTACCCCCGAAATTCTGCATGATGGAACTTACCTGGCGAGGATCTCCCCGATCATAAATCATCTTCATGACCACCTTTCGACCTTGTTCTCCCGCTCTCTTGGAGAGCTCCCGGATGGCATTCGTGATCAGAGTGGATGCGTCAGAGTGAATCCAAAAATTGGTGCCTAGAAAAATCTCATGCTCGGCCCGTACAATGCAATTTGCTAAATGGCGACATAGATCTGGTAAAGGGGCCACAATGGTCAAGGGCAAGACCCCGGTGCCCCCCAAAAGAGGGGGTGAGACCACCCCGGACATGGGGTTCTTCTCCAGACAGCACAGGGCGTCATGGTACACCTGGATTCGAAAATTAGATGAAGCAATTATTTTTTTCACCACTTGTCTGACCTTCAAGAATAGCTCGCTTGTCTCGGTTGTTCCAAAATTCCCACAGGAGCGAGCCTTCTGCAACTCCTCTAACTGCTCCCATTTTGATGCACTGTCCGAGTCCGAGTCTGATCCACTGTGTGCGTGTAATGAATGATGACCCTCAAAGAGCTTGTGAAAGACCTTCTGGGGGCACTGCGAGGGGTCGCGCGCTAATTCTGCGGTCACTGTCTGCCCCTGGGACATGTTGTACAATTTGCGTGACACTATGGTACACATGGAGCGGTTGCGGCTAAGAGGTTGCTGAATCAACAGAAGAATGGAGACAAAGAGAAAGGAACCGGTAGCAGCAATGATTTCGAGCACATCGGTCCAGTCCCGGGGATATAGTGCATCCATGATTGAGAGGATGATTATGACGTATGTGCTTGGCTAACGAGTTTGCTGTCCTTGGCTGGGCATTTCTGGGCTACGGAGCATTCGGACTAAACGAGATGAGTGGAGTTTCTGTAGTCTTTGGAGTCTTGGAGTTCCATGTAGTGAGTAAAGAATTGTGGTGCCTAATGACGCACCTGGGCACTCAGCCCTACCACGTCATGTCTCCACTAATGCTTGTTTTTCGGTTCCAGGGCTCGTAGGGCTGCATTCAGGTATTTATTCCGTACGGGATGCCGCAGCCTTACAAAGAGTACAGTATTAAATCGTATTGATATAGCTCACATTCTGGTGGTACATAAGAAGAGAACCCAACCTGGAATCACACGTGAATCACTTGCTCGTCCAACGCCGTCTCCGAGGCAGCCCATTCCGCACGTTTATCCTGGAGCCCCTTCAACCGAGCCTCTTCTTCAGCATCCAATGAAGACCCATTGTGGTCTGAGTGCTGATCATTAACGGCCGGGATTTGAGGTAATCCGATCCCAAGATCAATATCGCGAACGCCCCACACCGATCGACGAGGTGTCTTGACCCCGGTCTTCAAATACAAATCCAACTCATCAACATAATCGTATGCGGCTTTGCTGGCAATGAACAATCTCTCGTAGGAATCCAGCCCTCCTAAGCGCCATTCAGGCAACGGTTTGCGAGAGCCGCCCAGAGTATATTCGTAAGAGGGGCAACCGGTCTCGTTGACAATCTTGCGACGCTCGTACTTGGTACCAGAGCCGAGAGGTGTGTAAGATGGGATCTCTTGCTTTCGGAATCCCACCACCGGGTGGACGAACTCACAGGTGTCCCCAAGCAGCTTGCCATCTGGGTCGCGGAGATCGTAGCCCGGGGTTCGTCTTTTGGATCCATTGAGGTAGAAGAATGGTGTGAAGCTATCGTCAAGCTCGCCGGTTCCCCAGCCATAGGAACGTGATCTGATCGCAGTCGGGACAGCCGATTTGAAAGTGCTCTTCAAGGTTGACACTGTGTTTTGGACCCAGGATTTTCCTTTTTCTTGCATGCTTTCACCAAGCTCAGAGATATAGAACTCCATGTCAGTCCTTTCTTTCACGAGGTACTCTTCGTCAAGGGAGAGGTGAGGCTTGATCTGGTCCAGCATCCAAGCAAAGGTGATACTGGACATCTCTTCCATATCACCTTCATTCTGGAGGCTGTCATCGGAGCCTCCACCGATATTGACGTGATAGCCAGGAAACCACACTTGTTTCAACGTTCGAGGATGCTCTTGGTGCTTGCAGTCATCCTCCATTTTGACAAATTTCCGGGATTCTTCGTTCAAAATTTTGGCAGTTCGGTTGAGACGGCGAGCGGCGCTATTGATATCCTCGTCGCTGGCCTTGCCACTTTTCTTGAGCTTGATTGCACCTTCCAGAATCTCTTGCCATTCTAATGCTTTTTTCTCCAAGACTTTCTTTTGACTTTCGACTTGTTCGGCGGTCACGTTTCCGAACCGGGGCAAGTACCATAAGGTAGGTGCGAATGAGTCTCGGTGCTCGTCAAGAGCCAGAGCGTGGTATGCATGTTTGATATCTGAGGTTGTGTAAGTCCAATCTATTTTCACATTCACCCGAAAGTGAACTTCTGTCACTTACTGGCCGAAAGATCAACATTTTCCCATCCACTCTGATCAGACCACCATGTAAGCCATGATGGGAGTTTCATTCCCAGGATTGCCGGCATCCCAATGCTGCCGACCGTGTCATAAACCCCAACCACCTCGACGCTCCTTGATCCTTCCTGAGCCCAATCACCTTGCCCGAGCTTCGAAAATTTGAATTCGTCACCTTTCGCGCCCTGTTTCTCGTCGGCTTTGCCTTCCATCCACTCGAACCAGAGGTCGCTGCAATAAAATCTCTGACCGGGCTTATTCTTCTTATAAACCTTCCATAGGTCTGGGAAGCGATTCAATTCATGCTTGTTGCAGATTCCAATGTCCGAGATAAGTCCAGCGATAGCACGGGCTGTGAATGCGCCTCTTGAGAAACCAAAGCACATGATCTGATCACCGGGGTTATAGTTCAAGACACAGAAGTTGTACGCCTCCACAATGTTGCCTTCCAATCCTTGACCGATCGCGCCCTGGATTTTTTTACCCAAGGCGAGGGAGGTCGTACCAATGCCGGAATCGTACCAGACGATCTGTTGCCATTGATTTCCATCCTCATCCGTTCCGACACTGTTCATGGCGCGACAGAGACGCGTCACATTTGATGGTACGTTCCGCTTCCCCGTGACGGCCGACTGCCAGGTTCCATCGCAACAAATGATAATGCGCTTGCGGATGGGAGGAAGCTTGGCATCGCGTCTCTGTTGGAGGATATAGGGGACGTCGTGTCCCTCGGCACACAGTGACATTTTTCCTCTCTCAATATATCAGGAAGAATTATACGCAAGGGTGCGGTTTTCAATTCGACTGATAGGGAGGTGGGCTCGACCTTATATATGGGATACTGCAAGGTGATCCACTGTATGGGGTACACAGACATATTGATAGAGCTAATTGACAGTGCTCGTCTTGGGATTCCCTGATTCTGCCTGGCCTGCATGCAACTATAGGGGCTATAGTGTCGGTGAACTGCGCACTGGGACGCCCCGTTCGGTAGTCTAAACCCTTTTTGGGGTTAGTCGGGGCGACCCAGCGTTCGTGTTGTCCTCAGCCGCTGCAGATATTGTGACTGTTCATAGGGTCAGCTCCTCATTGCGCTTTGATGGGCCAATAATAATTCGAGTGATAGTCACACCCACCCATTGGAGGGCCTTTCAGGCCCACCGGCTCAGCCCGTCCTGGGTTTGCAGGGCAAGCGACAGAGTGAGCTGACCAACGAATCTTTTGCGTCGGCAAGATCGCACCCAGGTGACAGATGAATCCGAGCTGGATTCTCGGTGGCTTTCAGGGTTTGTGGGTTGCCTTACGATGAACCTGGGGAATTGGGCTAGCCAGATCAGGGTAACCCAACCTTGGTCAAGCACAGCCCCGACCACGGGTGCAAAAGTGTCAAAAATCTTAAATTGATCGCTGACTTCATTTGTGAAAGAACTATTTCTGTCGCTCCGATACAACATGTATGAAGGTTTTTTGGACAGTAACATGATTTGGCGAGATTGTCGGACTTGGCTCTGCCTGCAAAGCTTCCTGACTAGTGTTACTGAGACTGAATTTCTTTCTCCTTGGCGATGACACTGTGATCATCATGCTTTTGGTGTCATCAAAGTCAATGTCAGGGCGCCAATATCTCGTGTCTTGGGAACCCTTCAAGCCATCGCTGCTCAGGAGACGCAGTGGATACTCGCGCAAATGATGTTCTTGGCGGTGGGGATCCTGAGATGGAGTGCTCTTCTCATCGAGGAGCCAGCGGAATAACGGACGGAGTGTGATGAGACTCCCCGCCGTAATGCCGAGGCCAGTCTCGATGACAGACCAGATAGCGATCTGCCAGGTGGAGTCTAAAAGGAGATTTAGCTTCAAAATCCATCGGAGCACATGGTCTTTCAACATACAAAGAAAGTTTTGATCGGAATAAAAACGCAAAAATGGGACCCGGCCAGCCACTGCAACGCTAGCGCTTGAAAAAAGTCAGTAGTATCCTTGGCGGGGTGGAACGTAGGGGAAAATCGCATACAGTGCACCGAGGCTGAAAATCCCCCCTACTGCGAACTTCGTCCGGTAGTTCATCTGCAGTCTCCACACCAGGAATGCCGGCAATATCCCCAATGTTAGGTCGCACAAAATTGTAAGAGAGCTGTAGACATAAGCGGAATTGAGCAGCACTGCTTTAGAAAGACAGGTGCCTTGGCTTGTGCGGTCCACCTGCCGCCAGAAGAAGGAGATAGGGTGGCAGTCGAACAGCAATAATAACCAGAACATAAGTCCAATCAATATTGTGACAGTGCTGGTGCACCATAGGATGATCCGATGACTTCTCTTGACGGTCAATCTAAGAAGCGCAAGGGCGATGGATATCTTGGCCGCAGCAGAGGTCCATACATAAAGCATTTGACCAAGCCACCACCACTGTAGATACCGGAGTCAGCTAATTTGCAAGTGTAATAGCCATGCCGATGTATGGCACCTACCACAAGAGCCTTTTGATAGACCTCTATACTTGTGAAGTCCGTATATGTGTGACCAACACCCTTCATTGACCCAATGATGCAACAGCAGTTCAAAAGTATAAAAAGGCACTGTCGAGATTTAGCACGAGATCAAATCACATGTTGACCGGAGACTGTACCAGTGCAGCAATCATTGAAGCATCATCCCAGCCAAAGGCTCGAACAACACTCAAACGGACAAAGGTCCGCAACGAGACGGTAACAATAGAAAGCGACATCATCACAATTGACACGATGAAGATAGCCAAGCTACGGCCCTCCAAAGTCATTGTGGTCCCCATCTCGTGTGATGTATCTTTGTCTTTCCCGATGTAGACAGTAGTTCACAGCCATGTGGAAGCCCGCATATTCTCGGCTCTTAAATCCAGTAACGAAGCCAGTAAGCCAGAGGTCTCAGTCGTATCGGTTCCAAACAATGGAATAGAGATATCTCTTTACGGTACGAGAGACATCAGTACTCTATATAGTACATGACTTAAAACACCCCGGACGCCCCGAGCTCAAGGATCCATTATTGAAGCTGGCGCGAGTGGGGCACCTTCAAAATGATCTTTAGCTGCCGGCCCGCAATCAAGAGAGGACCCGTTACGCGAAAGCAGGGGCGTATTCGCCAGCGTATAAACGTGCTAGTGGTGCCCGAGACCGAAGGAGCGCGCTAAGATAAGATTCTCCTACCCAAAGGCATGGACCGAGGCTTCTGGATTTTGAGATCTAACAGTAAAGAGTAAAGCTTTACCAGGAATTTCCTTTGTGGCTTGGTTCGGCCTATCTCATTAGCGGAATTGGGATCGAGTACTAGTTGGGGAGATACGAGCCGAGATCGTGTGGATCAGGCCCGCGTGGTACAATCTCGGCAAATCTCGCTCCAGATCCAGATCCCTTTGTCGCGAAAGACGCGATGTTTCAAGCTAGCGGCGTTATGTGTTTGAAAGCCAATCTCAATAATTTGGTCGTGATCCTGTCAGAGTTTCAAACTTTGTTGATGTAGCAGATCATCCCAAACTTCGGACTGTCGAACTCTGATTTCACAACCTTCGGGTGTTTGAAGACCTCAAACGAGCATCAATGAGCCCAAAGGAGAAGTGGAAGATGGAATAAGCTCTTCACAGGAATTGCCAAGAGAATGTTGACCCTACTCTCATGTCCGACTTGTTTAATGAGCTCGAGTATATGTGGGTCGGTAGCTCCTTCACATCGCTCAATATTTTGGTCTGATCAAATGGACAGAAAAGAAGTCTCATATGGTCATCAACCCAAGATATCACATGAAACTGTAAGTTTTCCAAAATGCCGTGGACAACCGATGCCCAGGTGATTTGGATGGCTTACATTTGAAGCAACCGGCTTAGGTGACTTTTCTCTTCAGATACATGTCGGTCGCTATTATCATGGAAGTGACTTGTCAAGCTTTCAACCCCTTTCTATGCTGATCTTCGCATTGGCATCTTCTGCTGAGATCACTCTGTGCTCGTGGATCTTGGAATTCGCATCGGAGATCAAATCCCGGTGGGTCTCGATGCCCCTCATCGACGGCCCACCAGGCGTGAGTACTTGTCGATGCTCACAATGGACTTGATCTCCGAAAGGTAGAGCTCGAGCTCGGAGATCCAGCGGAATAGATCATTACCGGAAAACATGATTCGGTCAATGCCTTTGCATTTCCTCAGACCCCCACGTCTCCTCATCGGAGTTGTGGCCGAGATCTCAATCCGTGCTTCCCCAGATTCTGGCGCTTTATCAGCAATGCCCCTCGGCTGAGAAATTATCTCATATAACTTCCATTACTCTTCCATCGTGTATCGTGGAACACATTCCTGTCAACTATCAAGGCTGTCCTGATTCTACAGAAAGATGTCAGACCATTACCTACCTGAACTAGCGTGATTGTTGCTCACATAGCCTAGGGGTTATACGACATCGTTTGCTTTCTTTGAAGCTCTCTGGGAGGTATGCTAAAGTGGCTTCTTTCGCCGCAGGCTTTCTGGCTGGGACCAGACTGAGCTAATCTTCGCAATCGGTTTAGGGCGGCGTGAGATATGTCTTCGTGAACCTGGGGTCTGACCACCCTTCCATTCTCGAGGCTATGGTGAAAGGCCAGAAGGAGAAGAGAGATCAATTCCCAACAATCATCACCTGCCCCAATGAGGTTCGTCAACAATTACATCATGCGACCCACCGGCATTACAGCATCCGTTCCGGTGCGCGGTCCCGCTCACGCTAATTGCTCGATTTAGATGGTGGCTTTGTCCATGGCAGATGGATATGCCCGATTGACCGGCCAGCCTCAAGCTGTCATTGTTCACGTGGATGTTGGAACACAAGGGCTCGGCGCAGCAGTGCACAATGCCTCGTGCGGGCGCGCTCCCGTTCTCATCTTTGCCGGTCTTTCGCCTTATACCATTGAGGGCGAGATGAAAGGCTCACGCACAGAGTACATCCATTGGATCCAAGATGTGCCTGACCAAAAGCAAATTGTTGCGCAATACTGCCGATACACCGGTGAAATCAAAACTGGCAAGAATGTGAAGCAAATTGTGAACCGCGCACTTCAGTTCGCAACTAGTGACCCACAAGGCCCGGTGTATCTGATGGGTGCACGAGAGGTGATGGAAGAGGAGATTGAGCCGTACCAACTCAGCCAGAATGTTTGGAATCCGGTATCACCAGCCGCACTACCCGCGTCGGGAGTTGAATTCATCGTTTCTGAACTGGCGGCGGCGAAGAACCCGTTGGTTATCGCCGGGTACACAGGCAGAAAGGCTCAGGCAGTAACCGAGCTGGTCAGCTTGGCTAACAATTTCAAGGGAATCCGTGTCCTGGATACCGGTGGTAGTGACATGTGTTTCCCTGCCAATCACCCAGCATGGCTCGGAATGAGATTTCCAGGACACGAAGCTGTTGGAACCTCAGATGTCATTCTTGTGATTGACTGCGATGTTCCCTGGGTTCCCACTCAGTTCAAACCATCTGCCTCAGCGAAGATTATACACATCGATGTTGATCCCTTGAAGCAGCAGATCCCAGTCTTCTACCTCAACGCGATGGCTACTTTCAGGGCCGATTCATCTACTGCCCTGAAGCAAATCAATGACCATGTTGCTTCCCAGGGTTCTCTGCAGCAGTTTATTGGATCCAAAGAGAACATCACCATGGGCCAGACCCGAGATGCAGAATACCTGCAGCGCCGACAAGAGATCCAAGAATTGGCTGTCGTGCCCGAAGGCGGCGACGATGCTGCACTGAACATCAGCTATCTGATCGGCCAAGTGCGCCAGAGGGTTCCCGACGATACTATTTGGGCCATTGAGGCTGTGACATGCGGCCATTTCGTCGCCGATCAAATTTCAGCCACCTTGCCAAAGTCTTGGATCAACTGTGGAGGTGGGGGTCTTGGATGGTCCGGTGGTGGTGCCCTGGGCATCAAGCTTGCTAGCGATATGCAGCATGGAGGACCAGGAAAGGGCAAGTTCATTTGCCAGGTTGTTGGCGATGGCACATTCCTATTCTCAGTGCCTGGATCTGTCTACTGGGTGGCACGCCGATATGGAATTCCCATTTTGACCATCGTCTTAAACAACAAGGGGTGGAATGCTCCGCGTCGGAGCATGCTACTCGTCCACCCTGAGGGTGATGGCTCCCGTGCGACGAACGAAGACCTCAACATATCCTTTGCCCCTACACCGGATTACGCAGGTATTGCCAAGGCTGCTGCAGGTGGTGAGCTGTGGGCTGGTCGTGCAGCTACTGTGGCTGAGCTTGCGCAGAAGCTGCCGGATGCCATCAAGAGTGTTCTTGATGGCAAGGCGGCAGTCTTAGAAGCGCAGCTCGATGGAACGACAGGAAAGTATGTTGAGCAGCCTTGAAACGACCACATTGATTCTATGTATATGCAGTGATATACGAAATCATATAACCTTTTTGTGTACACTAGAGTCTAGAGTCTAGGGCTTTCAAGCCCGTCCGATATAGGTGGGCCTTACCGCTTTCACATGTCCGGCAGAGCTCGGCGCATACTCTCACCGCCTGGGACCCCGCGATGTCAAGTACAAGGCGCAGAGTTAAAACTGGGCGAAATACCAAGCTATTTACTTTCGACAGTGCGAGCGAATCAGATGCGCAAAGGTCGAAGAGTTATTCGTAGACTTGTATAGACCTAAATACCGTAAACAATACAGCCCTTGAGGTATTCGGCGAATGAGTCATGTGCCGGGGATCCGATAACGCGATAAGAGGCCGGTCCGCTTTCGCCGTGCAGCTTTCGCCGCTCCGAACTTCCCTCCAACTCAACTGTCTCTTTGTTGGTGTTGATATTTAAATTGGGCTGCTGGATCACTTTCTCGGAGTTTCAATTCGCACATCACAATACACAACTCTTACCCCCTCGCGCCCAACGCTGCATCTATACCTCCGATCTCGCATACACACCGCTATCGTTCCGAACACAATGAGTCCCCCCGCCGCCCTCGATGTCAACCTCGTAGGAGTGACCGACACTTCGACCGTCCCTGTCCCGGATCCTCTTGCTGTCAATGGCGTCTCCGCGTGGAGGCAAAAGACCGCGAAGGTCCCTACTGGCGTGGCGGCGGCATGCAACAGTGATATGTTCAAGAGCCCGGTATGATCTATATGCTTCTCCATGGGAATGGATAGATATGCTGCAGCAAGGCCGAGTTTACAGTGGCTAATTCCTGTATGTGGTATAATAGGCTTGCTATACTAAGCCCAAGGCCAAGCGTTTTGAGCGTAAGTATATTGCTGTCGATTCAGTCTATATTGAACGGACGAATATTTGATACTGATTCCTACCTTCGTTTTCTCATAGACCGATTCTCTGTTGAGTCCAAGGCTCGCAAGGTGAGCACCTATCAGCCCAATTGCGCAATGTGGATTCCATAATTGCTAATCTTACTTCACACAGGCGTCCACCCTAAAGACTGCTGCTGGTTATCTCAAGAACCCAGGTGAGCTTGGGTAAAGCTACTCTGCTCGAAGAATATACTGACTAGAAGTAAGGTCTTATTTCACTTGGTGGTGGATTGCCCTCCTCTGAATACTTCCCCTTCGAGCACCTCGACATCAAGGTCCCTACTGCCCCCGGATTCTCCCCCGAAGAAACCCAGAAGACAGGCACAGTGTTGCGCGCTGGCAAGCATGATATTCAGGAAGGAAAGAGCGTTTATGGTATGGTGTATTTCCTTTTTTGACACGATCTGAAAACAGCTAACGTGGTTCCTCAGACTTGGAGATTGCTCTTAACTACGGTCAGGCTACCGGAGCCGCGCCGTTGCTTCGTTTCGTGACTGAACACACTGAGGTTAGTGAGCATAGGATCGTACACACCATTCATCACTGACGAAACAAAAAAGATTATCCACGCTCCCCCATACTCTGACTGGCAATGCACCCTAACAGCTGGCAGCACCTATGCCTGGGACACTGCCCTCCGTTTGCTGTGTGAGCGGGGCGACTACATTCTCATGGAAGAATACACTTTTGCCAGTGCAGCCGAGACTGCCTTCCCCTTGGGTTTGAAGGTCGCTGGTATTCCCATGGACGAGCAAGGTCTTCTCCCCGAAGCCATGGATGACATTCTCAGCAACTGGGATGTCAAGGCCCGTGGGGCCCGCAAGCCTCATGTGCTGTACACCATCCCAACAGGTCAGAACCCCACTGGTGCAACTCAGACCGCGGATCGCCGTCGCGCAGTTTACAAGGTAGCCCAGAAGCACGATATCATCATTGTCGAAGATGAGCCCTATTACTTCCTGCAAATGCAGCCCTACGTCGGCGAGGACGCTAAACCAGTTCCTCCTCCCGCTACCCACGAGGAGTTCATCAAGTCCCTTGTTCCCTCATTCCTGAGCATGGATGTGGATGGCCGTGTGGTTCGTCTTGAATCCTTCTCCAAGGTCATTTCTCCCGGTAGTCGTGTCGGATGGATCGTTGCCTCCGAACAGGTCATCGAGCGCTTCATCCGTAATTTCGAGGTCTCTTCGCAAAACCCCAGCGGTATTGCCCAGGTGGCTCTCTTCAAGCTCCTCGATGAGCACTGGGGCCACTCTGGATACCTCGACTGGTTGATCAACCTGCGCATGTCCTACACCACTCGTCGTGACTCCCTTGTTCACGCTTGTGAAAAGCACCTGCCCCGCGAGATTGCCCATTGGGAGGCCCCGGCGGCAGGCATGTTCGTAAGTCATTTGTTTATTCTTTTTCTCTTTCTATATGACACGCCATAGAGGATAACCACTGACACCCTCACTAGCACTGGATCAAGGTCGATTGGCGCAAGCATCCCGGCATCAGCGCCGGCAAGACCCATGCCCAAATCGAAGAAGATATCTTCTTGACTGCCGTCGACGCAGGCGTTCTGCTCTCGCGCGGTAGCTGGTTCAAGCCTGACCACGACACTGTTGAGGAGAACATGTTCTTCCGTGCGACCTTCGCCGCTGCTTCCTCCGAAAAGATCGACGAGGCTATCTCTCGATTCGCCGCGTCCCTTCGCAGTCAATTCGGCCTGTAATTTGGGGGCTATGACATGTTTCTGGCCGATTGCGGTCAGACGTTTCAGATGCTTGGTCAATGATCTTCATGAATTTCTTTTCTGTTGCGTAGGAACCCGCGTTTCTCGTCTTCAATTTAGATGATAGATTGATTTTTGTAAAAAATGCATATTCTATTGGCAGTCGTACATTATCAATGTCTCCAGGGCTTGGGTAGTTTGAATTGGGTGAGACAAGTAGGCTTTCCAAAGTTTTATCCAGTTGTCTTGGTAAATCTGTTCCAACACTTGATGCGCTCCATGCCCAGATGTATTCCCGAGGATACGCCAGAATCAGACAAAATGTTGGTAGTCAGTGAAAAGTTCATCACGGTTCCTGATACAGAATATGTACATTAAAAGGACTATGGTATCATGTAACTGAACAATAAGAATACAGTGGTGAATGAAAAATTCCTCCAAGGACAGCATCCACACATCAAATATGTCACTCGCTATGACCCCAAAATCTTCCCATAAGCATCTTCAACCTCCTTCGCAATCTCCAACAGAGTGACGATGATGATCTGGTGAGTCACATTGGGCAACTTGTCTCGCTGCAAACCAATCCACTCGAGGGGCGGCGTAGCCTCGCCCATATCCCGCAACTGGGGCGTCTCAATGACCGGCGGCTCAAGAGCAGTGTAGGTATACTTGGACTGCGGAACGTTGACAACAGCAGTGATCTTCTCTTGATTCTCGGAGCTGTCGCCACTTCCTTCAGGGCTGCTACCTGGCCCACCGGTAATGCGGACAGCAGAAGGCGGTAATGGCTTTCCAAGCCTCGTAGCGAGTGCTCGCGAGTGCGACTCCCACATATCGCGGATGAAGCTGATGCGCGAGTAGTTCCAGCCAACATCAACTTTACCCTCGAATGTACTGCGGAAGGTGTAGTCAATTTGATGGGTCCCCGGGGCCTGCCAGGTTTCCATTCCCGCCACGAGGCGAGGTACTTTGAGGATTGTTCCACCACGAGACGCCGCGGCTCGCTCGGCGATTTCGTCCACCGAAAGCTCGTCTAGTTGGGCGGAGGTTGGTCGGGTGATGCCAGATAGAGCGACGCGCAGCTGGCCCAAAGTCAGGCCAAGTGCACTGTGAATCTTGTTAGATTCGAGCGATACGGCAAAGCGGGCTTCGGCGTCGTATGCTTCCAATTTGAAGATCTGGTTGTCGAAGAATGACCCTGGGAATGCTCCCAAATTGACATGGCGGATGTTGACGACAACTCCGGTTTGGAGAGAAATAGGGGCCTTCTCGGGCGTATCTTCGTTGTTCGTTGATAGGTGCTTGGGACCAGCCTGGGGGCGCTCGGGGAAGACAGATGATTTGCGACGCAAGTAACGCTCCACTTCGTGTAAGGAGGAGTCGTAAGCCGCTTGAACATCTTGGATCAAGCGTTGCCATGCTTGGAAAAGAGCCAGGCCCTGAGAGGCTGTCAGAGAAGTGCAGAAGAGTTGGACCTTGTCTCCGTCTAAAATGCTGAATAGCCGCTGGCCCTGGTCACCGGACGTGTCTCGGACGTTGTACATCAAGAAATTGAACATAGTGATCCGAGCAACTAGGAAAGGTTGGTAGTCGAAGGAAACCTTGGCTTGGAGATGATGGAAAGCAACAGATGCCTGAATCAAGGGTTTGTGGCGGGCTTCGTGGGAGATTTCGGGCCATTCGATGGATGTATGAACCTTGAGCTTGCCGAGCTCGACAATTCCACTCATGCGGCCTTTGCTTTCGATCGCAATAGAGCCGAAATTGATACACATGTTCTGCTCACTGGCGGACGTTTTGCTGGTAGCCACCCACAGATCGACAATGGCGAATTGCGCCTTGCCCAGCGTGGAGCCGAGGTCAAGTTGGATCTGCAACTTTTCGATGGCGATGGTGGTGTTCCACGGGAATGCCGAAGCCGAGGCAACCTGCTGGTATCGCTGTACGATGTAAGATTGGGTTTCGGATGGCTCTGGCGGGACACTCTCATCTGAGCTAGGAGTGTTGTCGGATGGCAGCCAGATTTCCTTGAAGAGTAAAGAATCCTGTACCTGCTTTGCATTGACTGCAACCTTCATGGGGCTCACTCGCAAGATTGCAGACATTCCATTCTTCCGGCCGAGATGTTTGTTGTTCATCAGTGACAGGACCATAGATTTCACCTCAAAGCTTGCGGTTGACTCGTTGGAGTAGACATGCTTGACAGAGGCCTCGAGACCATTGAATGCCAACGAGAGAGCGAGGAATCGGCCTTGCTCTTCCGACAGAACTGTGTTGACTGTAACGTAGACGCTCTCAAACCTTGCGGTGGCTGCAACCCTTGCAATTGGCTGACAGCTTAAGCTGAACTCTTGCTTGCAGAAAAGAAGTCCCAGATTCACTTTGCACCGACCCAGGATGCTGGTAGGATCATCGGCACCGAAGGGCTTCTCTTGCATCAACTTTTGTGGCTGTAATTTTGCCGCTGCAGAGGGTCTGCGTTGCTGACTCTGCTCGGTCTGCGTGGTCTGCGTATTCTCTTGATTGCCCAAAATTTCTTTGACAGTGGCTGTCATTTGCTTCACGAGAGGGACCAGAGTTGGGTGCAACGTGTTGGTGGAAGGGTCGACCTTCAATTCTGCATTGAGTGCGGGATCATCAGTCCCATTGTCCTCAAACTGGACCTTGAGAGCGACGCCAGGAGCGCGAACAGTTGCTGTAGTTGCGGCATCTCCTTGAAAGTATCTCTGGTCAGAGGCCTTATAGCCCTGCCGTGTAGCAGCCAGCAGGGTTTGATGGTCGTGACCGAGCTTTCCTTGAAGCGTCAATGTAGCGCCAGCAAAGTCGACATCGATCAAGAGAGATCGCAGTCGTCTGTTGCCGAAAAGGCTTCGGTCTTTGTCCGTGTCTGTGTTTTCGGGCGATGCTGCTCTCGTCGCCCAAACAGCCTTTCCTTCGCGGAGGGCTTCGCTTGCGGTCGCAAGAGAGTTTCGGATCATGTTGGCTGGAATGATGAACTCCGAAGTAGCTCGAATATCAAGAGATTTACCAGCAGCCTGGAAAGCAAGCCAGAGTTCTTTTCCTTTAGATGCGTAAGCCACATTGAATACCAGCTCTGGCATGAGGGCTGAGTTGAGTGACCGTTTTTCTCTGTCTGCTCCGCACGGAACCATTTGAAGTTGCATATTTTCGATTCGAAGCTTGGCTGCATTCTTTTTCTTATTGGACAACTCGACCTGTTGAATTGAAAATACCAGGTCTTCCGGGTTCCGGCCAGACGTAGGCTTGATTGTGGCCATGTTCCAGGCAACTTGAATGGTCCGGAAGTGCAAGGAGAACAGTGCGTCGAGGAATGTCTCCGAGGATGCATCATCATTGACCTGAATCTTGGGGGCATCAGCGGCTCCGTCCATGGTGTTATTGGTGTGGCCACGATGTCTCAATTTCTTTAGACGTTTGACTTCATGAGACAGGTCCAAGGTTTTGATACGCTCTTGCGTATAAACAGCAATGTCAACCACAAGAGCTGCTGTTTCGGCAAAGAGCTCGATGTCAAATCTCTCGCTAGTGAAATGGTATGCTCTGGTCACTTCCCCATTTTCACGGATGGCGGAGCTTCCTTCAAGCTTTACCCCGGCAGTGAACCCGCCATACGAGTGGCTCTTAAATTTCTCTTGTCTTATCAGCTCAAAGCTGATTTGAGTGGCATCGATGTTGAATTCGGGGTGTTCCATGGCATATCCCCGATCGAGGCCATTTTGCAGTCGCATTCGCATCATTCCGAGACTGAAGATCATCTCTGCAGAGTACTCTTTGCTGTTAAGGCCAGGTGCAATGGCATGGATCTCAAATCCAGCCATCGTGAGACGAGACTTGTAGAGAATCTCTTGACCATCGGATGCCGGTTTGGGGCTGGGTGATGTTTTCTGCAATGCCAGTACATCTTCCAAGTGTGCCTGGAGAATATCGAAGGTTTGCTTGAGATCTGTGACCAAGTGGGTGACATCTGGACCAGTCAAAACAGCCAAGAGACTGCGCACAGAGCTGGCTTCCAGGCGGATGACTTCAATCGTGACATCTACCTCTATCTCCTTGCGGTCCGGTAGGAAGTTTGCAAGGACTCGACCGTTCACAGGGGGTATCTCTAATATCGACAGAACGTGGAACCGTTCTTTTTCACCAGAAACAAACATGTGTGAGTTCTTCTTGACGTCAAAGTCAACCTCAAGCTTCGACCCTTGCGCAGGCATGACGGACATCCGAGCCACTTCACCGGAGATGAGATAAGTCAATGATGGTAGCAGGCTGAAAGTCAGCCTGTAGTCCTCCAAGAACATGGCGACGTGGAAGGTATGTTTGGTTGGCTTTTCTGGGGTCTTGGCTTGCCCAACCTTTGACTTTGGGAGTTTGATATTGTTCACAAGCTGCCTGATATACCGGACTTCGTCAGCGATGAGTCTGTCCGCTGTGTGCGCCAAGCTCAGAGGGTCTTCTTTGACATCATAACGAAGCTTCCTGCAAGAGCTCGCAAATTTCCAGTCATGCTCGGAGTCGCTCGAACCATGTTGGGATGTGACTGAAAGGTTGAGATATGGATCCGCTATTCTTGACAGCATTAGCGTAGTGGATTGACTCTGGAGTTCGGATGAGCAGCCCTCTGCACTAAACAACACAGCAAGATCTTCATGTTGCGACTCTGTTGGGCCGAGACTCCTTTGAACGATTGAGCCTCGCAGAGCCTTTGCTACTAAAGCAAGCTTCACATTGATGCCATCGAGAGTTATGGATCCAAAATCTGTTCCCACCATGACTTGCAACTCGGTGGGCGTCTTCTTCTCGACTGCATCGGACGGGGCATTGCCTGACGATGATTCGAGTGTGATATTCGACATAACCTTGACCACGCCCTCAACGAGGTCCAAGATTTCCCAGCGCAGTCTCAGGGCAGCAGAGCCACAGTAAGACTGCAAGGTGATGAGCTTTCTGCGATGTTTTTCTTCCTCTTCGCTTCCAAGCCAATTCGGATTGAGAGACACAGCGGTTGACAGGTTCTCTATAATCAAATTGCTTTCTCGGGGGCCAGGATCTAAAGAGAGCCGGAATGTTTGTATGGTAGATGAGGCAAAAATCGCGCGCTGGGGGCCCTTCGTGTCAGGCTCAGTAGGAGGCCAAACCCGCCGCATGACATAGCTTTTCTCAACATGAGCCAGGTCCCAGGCTCGCCAGCTATCAAAGCCAGAGATGACTGTCTTTTTCGAGTTTTCCGGTAAAGGCGGATTAACACGTGAGCATTTTCGCTCCAAATCACGTTGACGGTGGTCCGGCAGAGACTTGTAGATGCCGCGGATGCGAGACAAGATTTTCCACGAATCGTGCTGTCGAAGATGGGTCGATGCGACTCGAAGAACATAGGAAATGCGAGCGAGGAATATCGGATCTGGAACATCGGCGGATGATTGGGTGAGCGCGTACATTAAGTATTTTACACGCTTCTCGCTGGATGTTGAAAGCTGTTGGAAAGACGAGGCGACAGAATCGAGCATGGTCGTCGCTCGTCGGACCAGGAATGCAAGACGCTCCACGGATTTTGCGCCTGTCATCGTATCAAATGTTCGCACCTGGAGATTTGCACGGACGCTAGGCGAGGTAACCAGCCATGCATTCAAATCCTCAAGGTGGGTATTGAAGACAGCTTTTTCGTGGAAGTTGTCGGCCCGGCTTCCCTCAACGGTGAGTGACACATAATCCGCTGCTACATGGGCTGTCACATCTTGCTTCACACCTTGAAGAATGTCATCTTTCTCTCGGTGAACCTTCTTGCAAAATTCGGTCCGAACATGACGAATCCCAATGCTATACTCATCTTGGAATTCGATCTTTTCATCGTTGGGGGCTTCAGACAGGTCGACCAATCGGAACTGGATGGATGGGACACGAAGAGCAACGGTTGTTGATGATTTTGGTTTGCTTACAGCCTTGTCGGATCCAACAATGCTTGATATCACATCTTTTTGAAGGGAGTCGATGACTCGGGTGGGATGCTTCGGCTCCAATCCATCCAGTAAAGAAGCCAAGCTCAAAAGAAATCTGGGAGTGCAGAATCCTCGGATCCCAAGTGGGAGGTCAACTGCCAGGTTTGTGTATGTCGTTTGATCATCCTCAAAGGTAAGGAACATGGACCTGGGGGGTATCGAGGGGTCGTCATTCCGGGATGCATCATCGTCCTTTGCGAATGGCAAGGGAAGCTCGGCAGTATCGAATTGGAGCTTGTGATATGAAAACCGAGGCATGATCCATGGGTTTGCATCTCTGGCTGTGGTTGACGAGAAAGCACCTGCTCGAGATCCAGGGAGAGTTCCATCTCTCGACCGATTGCTTTGAGATATAGACCAGCTTGACCCGCGGTTGGGTAGCTCGGGCCTCGATGGAAATTTGACATCGGAAACAGCCTTAGAACTATTGCTGGTGTGCATTCGAACGCTCTTGAGACTTGATGCCTCTGATGTAACAAGGAAGCTTCTGGCGCTTCCCTTTGAACGAGATACCGAGGCCTCCCGATATGAATGTGTAAAGCTTGAGCCAAACCCGCGGTGAATGGGCTCCGGCATTGAGGGTATCGCCATGGTGGGGGGAAGAACATCATCCTCTGCATGAATAGTCGAGGCAGGCCCTGTTTCCTCCCAATCAAGAAGGAGCCACTGTGCACGGTGAGTTCGTTGATCATGGGCTTTGATATGCTCTTGCTGAAGTCTTCGATTTTCCACAATGTCGCATTTTCGCAATGCCATCTTCAGCCCAACGGAGAGTTGGAACAGCCCAATTGGAGACACAGCTCCCCCGGTAGAAGGATTAATTTGATTGGCAGATTTTCGGTCAACAGCACCGATTGAGATGCCTGGCACAATCAGGCTCATGCGCTTTGAAAATGTGGCATTGGCCCAGTCGTTGAAGTTCACACTCAAAGGCTGAGTGCTCAGAATTATCGCAACCTGCTCCAAAAGTACAGAGATATGGATCGAGTCAATCTTGGCCCGCAAGAATGTAACGTCGTGCAAGATCTCCGGGAACAGGGTCGGCAACGCATTTTCCTCGTTGTCAAACGAGAAATCAAAACTCTTTAAAGATGATGTGAAGCAAGAGAGAAACTCGGCAGAGCATTCTCCAACGATTTTTCCAACGTCAAAATCCCAATTACAAACGTAGGTCGGTTCAAGTGGTGGCAGACCAAAGAGGCGATGACCATAGATCGAGATGCCATCGATGAACAACTGAGTGCCAGAAATTGCAGACGGGCCCTCTGGCTGGATGGATTCCAAGTCAAGTTTGAGTGGAGTTACCGAGAACTGCAAGTCCATATAGTAATTCGTGAATCGCAAATCCACCTCAAGCGAGGCCGCACCAATACCTATGCATTTCGAGGTATCATAGATATTCACGGGAAGCAACGCACGTGGGCTATCAACCGTGACGCGAACAAGCACGTCCATATCGTTCGACTTCCGATTCGGGTTGATGCCAGTGGGATTGGACACCGGTTCATCCGCGTAAACCAACTCTTGGTATTCCTCCAAAGTTTTGAAGTGCATCTCTTCGCCGAAATAGTTTTCTCTGATAGTCATGAAACTCTTGATCAGGAATCCAAAGAGAAAGAGCCTGGGCGAAACGCCATCGATGTTGAGAACCAAAGTGTCAGTCAATTCAGGAGAAGTCGACTGGAAGTAATTGTAGGATCCAGAAATGAAAAGACTCTGGAGAGTAGCCATGGACCTTTCAGGTAGAAACTCATGTAGAGTATCCCACAAGGGGGTTGCGTAGTCCACGCCGCCGTCTTCGAGCCCAACGCTGAAGTCAATAGCATTTTGCTCCGGAAGGTATTTGTTCAATGGTATCATAATGTTCGACGTCAACCGGTTGCCTTTGATGACAATGAACCGGTTATCCTCCAGATCGGAGGGATTGCTGATGATGTTCCTATCGTTGACATTGATGAAAAGTTCAAAGTCGGTGAAATTGAGATCGAGATTGTAAATGAAGGGCACAAATGTGTGGTAGTCTGATGGTGGTCCTGATGCCCAGTCACTGACCAGATCGGTTAGAAGAAATATGTGGTCACGGAGGAGGAACAGTTGTAGTTTTTGGCTTTCGGCGGTAAATCTCCAAGAGCGAAGGCTGTTCCAGGACAGAGGATTCGACAGGTCGCAAGTAATATGCTGCCGCGGGCATTGCCAGAGTAAGCCATGATTGATACTGGAAGAAAGTCTTGATTCGCGAAGGTCGAGAGAGAGTTCGTTGCGGAACCCTGTGCTCGAGGCTACCATGTCCATGGTATAAGTGATGGTAGAATCTGGGGCAACACAAAGCGAAAGCCACCCAAAAGGACGAATCTCAGGGCCAATGTGGCCCTTTTCTCCATCATTGCCTCGTGTACTCTTTTTCTCGGCTGGCTTCTTCGTTCTCGATGCACCCCCAACCGCGTCGGCGCGACCCTTCCATTGCCAATCCTTGGACGACTCTCTGGTCGGTATGCGCAATGTTAGTTCGTCGCTAATCTCCACACACAACCTAAAGGATGTGCTTTGCCGCAGAACACCGGGCGCCAACTGCTCAGCAGGCTCGGCGCTGCGATAGAAATTGGGAAAGAAAACGTTTTGAAGGCCAACTCGTTCTCGATCAGTCCATGGTCCATAGTTGATCGTGCCTCCCTCGATATTGACGTCGATACCCCATTCTGGGGGAGAGGCGGAATTAATATTCATATCCACAGAGTCGGGTCCATTGTTTGAGGTCGGTTGAACGATCACTCGGCCGGGAATATCCCAAAAGTACGTGATGTCTATGCTCGGGCTATCCACGATGGTAGAATACCTAGCATATTCGACTGAATTCCACTTCTCATGGTCATCTTCACCACCCTCGTCCAGATATCGAGAAAGGCCAGTCCAGCGCACCTCAGGAAACTCTGCTTGGCTTCGCGGCATGCTGTTGGGATGTTTGCTGTTTGCATGGAAAGACTCGACAGAAGTCTGAAAATAAGGGACGAGATCCCGAATACTGTGCCACACCTTGCGTTTCTGGAACTGATAGTTGAAGACATTGGACTTCCTGCTTTTCGATCCCTTGTCCTTCTCTTGCGCGACCCCGAGAGCTTTTGCAGTTGCGGGCTGAGTCTGTTTGAAGTCAGGATTGGGTCTCATCTGGATGACCGGGTTTGTCAGGTGAAAGGAGAATATTTGCCGATACAAGTCAAAAGGGCCAGAGTTAGAAGCATCCATAGTGCCTGTTCCAGTATCAAAGGTTGTGGTCAGAACAGACCGTGTGTGTTCATTTCCCATGACAATGGCCCCTTTCTTGCAATCTAATCTCACTGGTAGAAGCTGCAGCATGTTGGAAACAGGATCTGATAGTTCGGTTTCTCTGTATGCAGATGCTCCACCCCTGTCACTCATGCTGCGCTCTGACATGGTTCTCAAGGTTGGACGATGGCCTGGCGGAGCTTCGAAATCTGCATCGATGCCATTATTTCCCCCTTGTTCCCCTGGGCGAGAGACTGGGGGATTGGAGTTATCGCCGTCCAAGTCCACATTTTTGGGCGCGTACCCAAATCCAGCAAGAATACTGTCGTATGCCGGGGTCCGATTGTAGATGAACCATTCAAGGCCGTAAGTTTTGATTGTAATGCGACACGGCAGTTCAGTCGTCTTCCCTACACCAGCCTGCTCTCCGAGACTGTCGTCCCCCTCGTGTGGGGGACGCGCATGTCTTTGTGTGGTCGCATCATCGGTCAAACCGGTCTTGCGCCTGATGCCCGTCAAATCGTTGCGCTCGACTGCACGCGTCCAATATCGCCATGTGATGAAGCCTCCGTGAACGAATATCGTCTCGTTCACCCCATGGTACCGGATTCCCTTGAAGAAGATTCTCCCACCTAGCAGGGAGACCTGGAGTGCGTTGATATCGACATATGCGCGGTAATAATACCAGGTGTACGCTCGGATCGCGTAGGAGAGGAGTGTCGCAAAGAGTCGATTAAAGTAAAGGAGGAAGAACAGCGCACTTTTCGTGGTTAGCCTGGGTCAAGCTGCTGCCTCGCGGGAACTTACAGGATGCAAGAGACGATCAGCTCCAGGAGGAAGAACCTAGACAGATCAATATACAGGCTCGACTGCCGGCGAAATCAACACACCAATTGAAGCTTGGATCCGGCGTCAGGAACGTCGACGTCAAGCTTGTGCTAGCCATCGCGCGGCATGGACAGCGTCAGCGCGCAGAACGCGAACGACGAGCCTAACAAGCCAGTAGCGATGTTCCGACCATGGATCTCAGCGTGGCAGCGACGTTTATCTCAGAAATCGCAAATTGACAAAAGTCCGTGAACAAGTCTGGGCGGTGTCACGAATCGTCATCGGCCAACTCTCCCCATTCCGCAACTTTGCTCCACCAGCTCTCCACTCCCTCTGCTCTGGAGCACTATGCCTTGCTTGGTCGACTCGGCATGAGCGGTATTATCTCCGACACAACGCGGTCTTTGAACCGCCCTTGTCTTTAAGATTTCACCATGACGACTGCCGGGGGAACAGGCTCCAGCCTGGCACGCGCCATCACCATTGTCGCAGGTGTCTCGGCGTTGGTTGCCTCTCTCTTATCATTGATGTGAGTATCTTCTAGTTGGGTATCTGATCTCCGATATCTGCTTCGAACGGCTCGATCTAACAATGTATTTCAACGCGCAGATCGATATGGTTTCAAACGTACGAGCTCCCATCACTCGATCCCGCGACCTTGAAGTCATCGCTCACCGACCATTTAGGAAAAACTACCGGAAGCCCCTTCTCCAGCGCTATGTGGTGCGCATATTGCTGATGTTAGTATCGCGTCGAGTGCCTAGCTAAGGGGTCAGGGAAGGTGTGCTAACACAGATCAGGGTCCCGATCTACGCGGTGTCTTCGTGGACGAGCATTGTGTCCCTTACTGCGGCACAGTTTCTGGATCCCGTCCGCGACATCTATGAGGTATCTAGCCTTCCGATGGATATTGGAAGTTTTTGTTGACAATTACGCTTGGCAGGCCTTCACCATCTACACTTTCTTCCAACTCCTCATCAACTTTCTCGGAGGCGAACGATCTGTGATCATCATGGCCCATGGTCGTCCACCTATCTCGCATGCTTGGCCTCTGAATCACTTCCTCCCGAAGATTGACGTCTCAGATCCTCACACATTCCTCGCCGTCAAACGGGGGATCTTGCAATATGCATGGCTCAAGCCTATTTTGGCGGTCGCCTCAATCATCATGAAAGCGACAAACACTTATCAGGAGGGGTACCTCGGGCTGGGCTCAGGATACCTTTGGACAGGTATCGTGTACAATCTGAGCGTGACAATCAGTCTCTACTCCTTGGCCATGTTCTGGGTTTGTCTGCATGACGACCTGACACCATTCCGGCCAGTTCCCAAATTTCTCTGCATCAAGCTTATCATCTTTGCTTCCTATTGGCAAGGTTTCTTCCTATCAATCTTGCAGTGGCTTGGTGCTCTTGGTAACGTCGCGGGGTATACGCCAGATAACCTGGCAGCTGCGATTCAGGACAGTCTGATCTGTTTTGAAATGCCATTCTTTGCAATGGCCCACTGGTATGCGTTCTCGTGGCATGACTATGCGGACCCTACCATCTCATCGGCGCGTATGCCCGTAAAATACGCATTGCGAGATGCATTCGGTGTTCGCGACTTATGGGAGGACACTTTAATGACCCTACGTGGGGATCATTACGAGTACCGACTCTTTGATTCGGGCGACAACATCGTTCCGCACGAGGAGTCGGGATCGCGGGTGAAGCGCGTGATGGATGGTATGAGATATGAGCGGGGTGGAAAAGCAAAGTATTGGATCCCCAAGCCTGGAGAGGTCAATAGTCGTACACCTTTGCTAGGCGGGGACTCGAGGGACCGAGGCCACGGGGGTGAACGCGCAAGTCAACCCTCGCGAGAGCGATTCCGGTCCTACAGCGAGATTGAGGAAATTACCATGGATGAGGAGGACGAACGACTCTTCCTCAATGCCCGGGCACTGGAGTTTGGGGACTGGAATGTAGGTTGACTGCGCTGCGCTGGGAATTGGGAGGCTAATTTCATGTAGTACCCTGTAATTACCGCCAACGAGGTGCCGAGAGACCAGCGACTACCGCCCGCGAGGCGACATCACGATTCAAACCGAGGGTCGGATGTCAAAAAGGCCCGCAGGCACAAAAAAAGTCGGGCGGCAGAAGGCACAAACAGGAGAACGTCTACGCCAAGCTCCAATCCACCCGACAGACCCGCCCCCAGCTCACCAACGCCCGGTTCCTTGCAGCGAAACCCTAGCTCCACGAGCTCCGGCGGCACACGACGCAGCCAGCTCGTCGACCTCGTGGTGGAGAACACGGAGGCTGAAGAAGAAGACCGGGCTCAAATCCAAAGAACGTATGGCACGGCCCATGTAGAGCCTGAGCCCCGGCGATTTTCGTATGTCGCGCAACCATTGGCGAGAAGATCACGAGTTGCTAATCTCATTTCCAGGAGACCATCGGGGGAGCCAATCGAGGAGGAGGCCGACTCTGCGACACCATCTAGTCCCGAAACTAATCAACGGTCTAGATGGAACTATGACTTGGGAGACAATGTTTGGAACAATTAGTGTATATTCATAGAACAGAAATATCAGGCAATTTCGGTAAGCGCCCAATTTGCACCCAAGTCGAAAGTGATGAGCATAGATGTGACGACTCCACAGGGCGCTAACGAATCGCATGGGCGTAATCCACTCCGATGCCGACGATCGTGGTGCTAAATGCGTTGGCGTTAGGATGTACTTCTTGCCTGGGCATAGCTCCCTGTTTTTAGTCTTTCCTAGTCATTTTTAGTGAAGCCTGTGGACGAACTTGGTCCCATGCTCATTTGGGGTCTGACAGGCCTCAATTCCCATAGGTGGGGTTACCTCTTTCTTCTTCTTCTTCCCCTTCTTCATGGAGTGACCTCTCAAACGCGCTGGTCGCAAAGATGCTAGACTTGGAGAAGGCAGGGTCGTTATTCACTGGCTGGATGCGATCATGCTTGACCTGTCTAACCCCCGACAGGAGCCAGCTCAGCGCTCACACTGGTGTGTATCCTCGTTCTGGAGGAAATCAAGTATACTCACTCACTTCTCAGGTGTCGAGCGAGAAATGAATGTATGTCATACGCAGCCTCACCTAGTGCCGCCAATGAAGCTGGTGGTCTATGAGGACCTCCTTAGCCCAAATGTCCGTCAACATCGCAATTCACTGTCGTCATGGTTGAACGAAAGCCGAAACCTGGCCTCGCGAGCCTCAACTCGAGCGAGTATGCCTATGAAAAGATCATCGACCATGCCGCTGAAAATCAGCGCACCTTCGGACTTTCGCAGAGTACAATCATTTCAGTCTCCCGCATCCTATGAGCGACAGGCCGTGCAGCCGGCCAGAAATTACCAACCGCTAGATCTCCGCATACATCGATCAGGTAATCGATTGTCGGACCTCCCTTCTTTCGACTCTTTCCAACTGAATGAGAGTCCTCAGCGCATGACGCTACCGGCCCCACCGAGAGCCCTAACCCCCACCAGCGTCCGCGATCGACGCTGTCAAACAACGTTCGTGGTCTCTCGCAAGCCAGTTGGGTCAGTTGATCGCCGTTCGCTGGGTAACTCTGTGTCTACCAAGGAGCCAGTCCGAATCAGCAGCGGCCTGGTCCCGCACTTCTCTACGGTCACCCCTGTAGAGATTCCCGTTGAAGAGGTTCAGGCAACATCTCCATCCCCCAAGTCAATCCCACGAGGCAGTACACTGAGTTTAAGCACGCCATGGCCGAGCCAAGGGGGTGACGATACTCAACCTTGGGGAAGAGTCCCTCGGACACCTCCCTCATCAAGGAGCCTGCACATGGACTCAGCGACCGCCTCACCCTCGAAGTACTCCCCGACTTCCAAAAACTCGCCTTCATCCGCGAGTTCCCATTCCTTGCCTACCATGATCTCTTCTCGTCGTCCCTCTCTTCCATTCTCCGACCGAAACACATTCCCCCCACCCCATCCTCCGGTTTCCAACCGCGTCACCGACTGGATATTTTCCGCGGACAAACCCACCAAGACCCCTCCTGAAGACTTCAACTGGGAAAGAGCCCGCACTCTTAGCGGTACGACAGTCGCATCAACTTCTACTGTCACCGGCAGAGCCCGAAACAACGGTTCCATCTCAACCGTCTTCTCCAGTGCCATGACTCCACGCACATCATTCTCATTCCACCCCTCGCCCCCGGAGAAAGATGTGGACGCTACTCTCTGCCAACCAACTATCTTTGAAGGCCAGCAGCATGAGGATCCCTTCTGTGGATACCGGGGTATCGATCAAACGCGCCTGGAATCTGGCATCGGATTGGCGTTTTGATACGAGTGAGGCTTCGTCAACACTATTTCCGGGTCATTGATTTCTATCATATCTTTATATTCAATTCCTCGTTCATGTCTTTTAGAATTGTGCTTTCGGCTGGATTACTTCCCGGGTGTTTGGAACTTTGTCTACTATGCCTTGGAATACCCCGATTAAGGCTATGGCTGGTTATTTGCTTCGGATATGGTAATTTTATTCTTTAGTACTAGGTATCAATCTGTCTTATTTCTTCTTTGTTTTTACACTTTTCCTCCAATGGGCAATTGCCTACATACATAGTAGCCCTTTAGGATGTACCGTTGACTCGTGCAAATGTCAAAATCTACGACTACATATTTATATGTGCATCAAGAGAAGTCTCATCAATAGAGATTATATCAACAAAGCAAACGCCATCTCGTCATGGGTCAGCCTCGACCGTAAAGATCGCAGCCTACGAGAAGCAATGCATCACATATTTCCGAAATCCCCGAAATTCCGACGAAAAGCCCCGAAAACCACCAGTTTCCTAATTGGGAACACCGATTCTGCCCATCTCTAGGTTCTTGAAATCCTGTCTGCGTTTTCGACATTTTCATTGATCGAACCTTGAAACATATGATTCTCGAGATTGTCATGCATAATTATCGTCAATTCAAATAATCGCCAGTTCATTCCCGAGTCCTTGATATTCGCGAAGCATTTCCCGAACGCTTCTCATCATTTCAGCTTGATAAACCTGTTCTTTGATTATAAGTGGATTGCCGGGTACCCTCGATCTCTGAATATAAGCTCCCTCGCCTAGTACCGGGCGCCCATTCCGTAAGAAATGAGAAGCCAGATAATACAAGGAAAGACTATTTGCAATCAAAAGATCGCCCAACCCCAATGCAGAATATTGTTGCAGCCTTTGGAGGCGCTCCCATGTCAAGTGCCATGTATTTAATGCTCCCTCTAAGACAGAGAGATCAACAGGGAGCAGTGATGTTTGAGCCTCTAACAGAAGAGAGTGAATCGCCAGTATCAGAAGATTCATGCCGAATGTAGTCAAGTTTGACTCTGACGGGACCTGTCGCGCCATAAGTCCCTTGACAGAGGATAGGAAGCAGCTAGACGGATCTTGAGCGGGGATTGCAGCCCACAATGAAGCGGAACAGGCGTTCCAGCTTGAATCGTCGCATGGAAATGAGGCCCGCGTATCTGTCGGCGAAAGAAGTGGCTTACTCCCACATAATAAGGACTGGTAGCAATCGATTGTGAAGGCGCCCCACAGAACTCTCTTTTCGGACTCTTTCGTAATCCACGATTGCCATTTATGGGCATCTCGCTTAGCCTTAGAGCACTCGCCGTGGATCTTGAGAAGCCCTGCTTGTCGGATGGCTGCGACGAGGAGTGGATGCAGGAGTCGTGAGGCAGCTCGCTCAGCTGCGCTTTCTTCGTTCGCCATACTTGCGAATTGAAAGAAAAGTACTGCTTGGAGCTCTTCTAATTTTGGCGTCGACTTGTCGCAATGAAGGTAGCATTTGGCGAGCAGAGATGATAGGGACTCATGAAGGAGGTTCGCATTCGATTTCGATGCTGCACTGGTTTCGAAGCCAGCACCTATGAAACAGATCGCTCTCACGAGCACTGCGGGAGACAAGGCTAGATGAAAGGTAGGAAGATGCAGCAGAGGGAAGAAAGGATGGAAATGAGCTAGAAAAAGTCTCGCATAAGTCTCCAGTTGATGCACTGGGACAGTTTCTGGGCCTTCTAATCCCAGGACATAATCGGCAGGCAGTCGGAAATTATCTGGTGACAGATATCCCACATTCATGGAGACCTCCGGAACCCCGAGACCATATCTTCTTTCGCTGGTGCTCTGAGACGAACTGTTGTCACTGGCCATCGAGGGAATCTCATGCGATATCCAACTGAAGGAGCTCATATCGACGGAGTTTTCAAGCTCGGCCAGCTGAGCTAGGAAATCAACTTCGTCTGCTGAGTAACTTTCCAGCGAGGACCAATCGACAGAGTCAAGTACATTGAATGTCGATTCCGAGATTCGAGGAGACTCATCCACACTTCTGTTTTGAAGTGGAAGAGGATTAAGCCTGGTTCTTCGTGCGCGTTTCTTGCGCTCCGCCCTCGCGCATGTCCACCCTTTTTGTACACATCGAGAACAAGGACCTGATTGTTTCAGATCGCATCGAAGCTTGGACTCTGCGCAAGCGATACAACTTCTGTTCATTGTTCCGGCCACGATGATGGTAGATGGGAGGATTCCCGACGAGATAATTCCGAGATGTGACTGTGTGGCGTTCTGGGGTTCAGGGCGAGGACGCGAAACCCCGAAATCCCGAAGTCCCGACTCATCGTTCAAATGTATAAAGAGAGCCTCGATGGGATAATTTTCGTCCATCATCCACTTGCTCGACTCTGCACAGAATCAAAAAGAATAAATCGCCATGTCTGAACACGATTCCACCGAGTCAGCGCCAACACCGACATGGTTCGATCGCTTGTGTTTTGTTCATAGGCAGGACGACCCAACTGCTCACTCCATATGGCAAAAACGGAGTATAGTTCTGATAATCACCTTATCAGCCTTTACTGCACCATTTGCATCGTGCATCCTCTTCCCGTCCTTCACAATTCTCGTGGACCACTTCCATACGACAGAGACCAAAGTCGCCCTGACCACCACAGTCTTCCTCCTAGGGCTTGCAGTCGCTCCTCTGTGGTGGAGTACATTGAGCCAGCAGTATGGTCGTCGACCTGTGCTAGTATTCAGCTTTCTCATCTCGACTATCGCCGTCATCATCTGCGCAGTATCCAATTCCCTACCTCTGATCATCGTCTTTCGTTTGATCGAGGCAGTGGGCTGCTCATCTGCCCAAAGTGTGGGTGCTGGTGTCATCAGCGATATATTCATCCCGACAGAGCGTGGCTCAGCCCTAGGTTGGTTCTATCTCGGTACGCTGATTGGGCCCATGATTGCCCCGATTATTGGAGGCGCGATTCAAGTCTGGCTGGGCTGGCGCGCAAATCTATACTTCATGGCAATCTTCACTTTCAGCACTGCCCTGCTTACGATGTTGTGTCTTCCGGAGACATTGGTGAAGTCCCCCGAAACCAAGGAGCTTCACTGGTATCAAATCATGCAACGTGATGCCTTGGCTCCTCTTCCGAAACTGAGGCTTTTATCTGTTCCGTCAATTGCCCTGACAGTTGCCTATGTCAGCATATGCTTTGCCAGTCTCTACTGCTTCAACACTACCCTTCCTTATGCATACTCCGCACCACCCTATAACTTCTCCGCCATCGAGATCGGCCTCTGCTATATCAGCAATTGTCTCGGATACGCGATTGGAAGTGTCGTCGGCGGAAAGTTGAGCGACGCCAAGCTACGGCATTACCAGTTAGCCCATGGTGGAGATATTCGCCCGGCCGAAAGAATCAAGACCGTATGGTACGGCGTTGGCTTTGTTCCAGTCGGCCTGCTGGTTTATGGCTGGTTGGTTGAGAAGCAAGTATTTTGGATCGCTCCTCTCGTCGGCGCCTTTCTATTTGGCCTGGGTCTCATGCTCGTCACATCAACTGTGATGCCTTTCTTGGTTGATGTCAAACCTGGTGCTGGCGCTTCGGTCGTTGCTGACCTAAATTTGGTCCGGAACATCCTGGCCGCTATTGGGACTGTGGTATCGCCAATTGCAGTGTCAAATATCGGTTTCGGATGGTGGATGACAATATTGGCCATAATTTGCTCTTTATCTGTCGGTTTGGTGGTGATCGTTGTCTGGAGAGATGCTGCCGAAAGAAAGATGCTCGAGGTCAAAGATGCAGTTTGAATCTCTCGCTTTTGCTAAGAGGAAGACATACCCAATGGACCTTGGGAGTTCCAAGGTTTTGATCATAGAGTTTACTTTGACATAATGATAATGAGATAATAGACTAAATCAAGCTTCATAGATCTAGCCTTGTTGACATTGTGTAGACGCTAGATTACAGTGATACCGTGAGCATATCGCACTAAATTCCTGGAACAACATAGTTGGAACTCAACATCAGACAATGGTTCATTGTACATATAGTCTAGAGCTTGATAATTCTGCAGGGTATCTCGAAAGGAACAATATAGCTACCACATGGGCAGGAAGACAAATATGGCACAACCAAAAGATATGGACAAGAAAATATGTACCTCCGTGACGAACTACACTCGATGGTGTCGCTGGAATGGAACGAAGTGAAAAGCTCAGTCAGTGGACACAATTTCCACACCATCTGGCGCAGGCGTGCTAATCGAGCCGGTTTTGCGGTGCTTCTGCATGCCCAGGATCTGCCAGGCGCGGCCCATCATACCGTGGCCCAAGCCCTGGGGAAACTCCACAGAACCCTTGTGAGCATGCCGAGAAACGCGATCCCGCATTGCACGCTCTTGTTTCGCGGCAACCAGGCGGTCTTGCTCACGTTCGTGGTTGACAATCTCATCGCGCCACTCAGCCCAGTGCTCGAAGTTTTCGCGCTGCTGAAGGACCTGGTAGCGGAGACGGGTCTTCGATGGGCGCCAGGCAGTGCGGCTGGCATTATCGCCATCACCGCTGACTGGTGCAGCCATTGTGGATTTGAGATCGGTGACATGGGAATCTTTGGTCAGTTTGAGGAGATGCGTCATCACATCTCGACTTTCAAGAGCGGTGCGTTGAATTTTCTCTTGTTCGGCGGTTGGTTTAGCGCGTGTGAGCGGTGCGTCGAGCCAGGCGTGCATCTCCGTGGATCGCTGGACGGAATACGGGTCGAGAATGTTCGAGCGACGATTCTCTTCTCGGAGGAAACGCACAGCTGCCTGTAGGCTTGCGACTTCAGCACGGAGACTTTCGTTCTCGTGCATGGCAGCCAGAGATGCTTCGCTGTCGATGACGACGCCATTGCCCGAGTTAGCCAGGCCGGTTGTTCCTGACATCCGCTTCATTCGTTCAAGGCGTGCCATGACATCGTCACGCTCCGTTTCAGCGGTCGTGAGATCTTTCCGGTGCTGCTCGAGCGTCTTCTCCAACTCGCTTGCCGCAAGTTGGATATCTTCGATCTTCGCTTCGAGGTCCTTGACCATGGCAGCCTTCTTGGTCGCCTCTCTCATTCGGGCCTCAAGATGTTCAATCTTGAGTCCTTGCTCCTCGAGAGTGTTGTCTTTCACGCCGAGCGCGGCTGAGGCTTCATGGATCTCATTCTTTAATTGTCGAATTTCTTCGTCGGCATCCGGGGAGGACATCTTATTAGACTTCAGTTCCGCAGCACGCGCAATCCAAGGGAACGCGCCTCTCTCGAATTCAGTGGTGCGAGAGAGATCCGACGAAATAGAAGCAAGTTCTTCAAACTGCTCACCGATTTCCCGCAATTTCGTGAACAGCAGTGAAACAGGATCGTTGCTATCGTCTGCATTTTCGGACGAGGTGAAAGACGCAGCTGCTTGTGCCATGCTATCCAAAATCTCCTGCGGACTGTATGGCTCTATGCGACCTTCATCACTTGTGAGAGTGACCAGGCTCTCGCCGACCTTTCGAGCAAATTCCAAAAGGGCACGGGTGTCTTGCTCGACCTTCTTGAAAGGCTCATCGGATTCTTGTGAAAGTGCAAGTGATCTAGAGCGTAGATCATCCAGTGCCCGACTAATCTTGCCCATAGATACTTTGTAACCACGCGCCTGTGGGTCAAAGGCACTTAGCTTCTCAAGAGTAACTAGTTTTTCCTCGTCGCCCTCTTCCGCTGCAACCATCTTAGATTGAATCATGGCATTCACGCGCGTGACTGCTGTGGCTGCATGATCGAGGTACGACTGGGATAATCTGGCACGGAGGCACAACTCATCCGCAAACTTCTCCATGCTAGATGGAAGAAGGGTCTCTGCGAGGTGCGCAATAAGGGCGATGGAGCGCTGCAGTTCAACCGCGAATTTCGCGAGGTTTACCTCGTTCTTCTTGACAGTCTCAATCCAAAAGTTCAAAGTACGCTCCACTGGCTCCATTTCGAACATCGCAACCTTAATGTTCACAAATTGTTCAGGCGAGCAACTTGTGATGTAGTTCACGAACTGGTCGCATACATTCGAAATCCACATCAAACATCCAAGAACCTCTTGAGCTTGGAAAACTTCCTCATGCGGCACAGTCGAGTGTTCTGCGCCCTTGTCCTGAAGGGTATTATGCATGATATTAGCCTTGAAACCAACTCGCTTGAATCGGAGCAAAGCTTGGACGGAGTTGGTTTCACTCTCAAAGTATTCAGGAAGGTACAGCTTGACCATGGAAAGCTGCAGAGTGGCTTCTTCGGCATCCATGCGGTTCAACTCCACGTCAACGAAGTTGGCTTGAGACTTTGTTGTGTTGGCCTGTAGTTTGGTGGCCAGATCCTGCATTGTGCGCTGACGCGCTTCGTTCTCAATGGTCTCTGCCTCTGAAAGATGTTTCGTGGCCCGCATATCTTCCAGGTCTGTCTGGAGATTGGAAACTAGTTCTCGGAAGCGATTGAGTGTGTATTCAAGGTCCACAATGACCTCGTCCTGCTGGTTGATTTTTCGGCATTGGTCGCTGAAGACACCTTCCCGATAGTCAATCTCTTCCTGGAGCTGTTTTTCGGTTTCAATGTGCGTGTACTCCATTTCATCGCTGATCTCTCTCAATGATTCCAAATCTTCGATAGCAGCCTTCAGCTCATTGATCTCATCTTGGTAGCGCATGTTCTTGTCTGCCAATTCTTCGATCATTTCTTCGGCGCCCAGTGCAGTTTCTAGCTGTTGCTTGAGATCGTCCACGTTTGTTTCCGCAACCAGTAGTTTCTCTTTGGTGGCTTCGTAATCGGATTTGACGGCAGAGTACTCCTCAAGATCTTCTTCCATCTCTTTGATTTGGGCTTTAAGGTCCGATTCCTGTTGCTGTGTCATATCCCGCAGGCGGATGAGCGCTTCACGCAAACGTTCATTGGTCTTTTCCATCTGAAGCCACCCATGGCTGGATCTTTCCTCGGGACTAGTGACTTGGCTGAATTCTTCATTCTCCTCTCGGAGAACTTCCACCTCTAGATTCAACTCGTCCATCTTAGAGCGCAACGCCGCGCATTCATGCTTGAATGCCTCGGCCGTTTCTTCAGCCATCTCCCGGTCCAAGCCAGCCATTTCCATGAGGGATTCATGCTCTGCCTGTAACCGTTCTAGCTCATCATAGCGGGTCTCGGTATCCTTAAGCTTCTTGCGGAGCTCGGTAATCTCCATTTGTTGTGGTTGATATTTGGCTTGTAGTTTTTGAATGATGGCTTCGAATTTGTCACGTTCGGACTGGAGCTGTTCGAGTGTCTTGAGCTTTTCCCGGTCGTCGGATCGCTTCTTCTCCATAACTTTGAGCTTGGCGTTGAGCTCTTCCAGCTCGCGGTTCACGGCGCCGGCTTGTGCTTGTCGAGTGCTAGTAGAAGCAGGAGCTCCGGGTCGTGATGCTGCGGGGCGTGCGGCGGTCATGGACTGTCGAGGGCCCTTTTGCGCTGGAGCGGCATCTTGTACACCTTCCCCTTCAGTGTCAGGAGATTCGTTGTCGGTGGGATCCCCAGACTGTCCACCAATTCCCGTGTCTCCTCCATCGGATGCTTTTGTAGTGCCTATCTGCCGTAATGAAGGACGTTTTGATAGGCCGCCCGTGGATGAAGCCACTGTACTTTGGGACCCTGGTCGCGAAGTCCGAGATGTTGTCCCGGATATTGAAGGTCGGGAAGCTCTCGTGGTGGCCGGCTGGGTCGGAGCCGATGCCAGCGAGCTTCTGGTGCTTGGGGCTAGCCGAGGTCGAGTTGGTGCTGCCGTGGAGGTGCGAGAGGCACCGCCGATTGATGGGCGAGTCCCGTGGCCTGCGGTAGTGCCGAGCTGTTTCGTTGGGGATTTGGTGGGTGACTGATTTTATGGCGTTGCGTTAGCAAAGTAACAAGCACTAGAAACAATACAAATCAAAACATACTCGAAGAGACGATCGCACGGCTGTACCCCTCGGCGCTGGCGTAGGCGTCGAAGCTGCATTGACGCTTTGCCGTCTGGTATTGGCGGGTGCAGGCCCGGACTGCTTTCTCAATCCACCAGCAAGGCCAGCTTGAGGCTGTACCCTGGTCGCTGCAGCAGTAGTGGCGGGCTTCGTGGTTTGTTTACTCTCCCGCGGAGCGTTTGGGATGACTTTACCAATGACTGTTGGACGAACGAACATGCCATATCCTGGCTCGCAATCGAAGTACCTCTCACCCTGTACGGATCCATCATTTTTTCCCGTAGCTTCATTCAACTCGAGGCCTATCCATTCTCCAGCCGCAAAGTGAGTGCTGCCGACGAAGCGCACAGTCGCCTGGCGCCCATCGGTCAATTCAATGACTGTTCCAGCAGATATGTCGCCAGACATGGTGCAGAAGTCTCAAGAGCTATCACCAGCCCTTGAATAATACTTGGGGGCACTTGCTGGGTGTTGAAAGGGTGGAGGCTCGGAGCTCAGGAGTTGGCGCGCTCCGCTGATCGCCTTTTGCCTGAGGCAGAAACATCTACCATCGCACTGCTGCAGGGCTTGCTACAACACGGCCAGAACATACGGTACATTATGGAATTCCGGCTAATATTAAAGATCCTCATTATTGATAGTCAAAGCTAATGATTCGGTTTTGGGAATTAGATTGCGCGTGATTTGTGGCCGCCGTTTAGGTACAAATACAACCGGGAAGAATGAAAAGACATAATCATAAACTCGTAGTCATGAACCGAAGAATCTAGGAACAGTAAAAAGGGGTATCAAGGTGAGTCGAGTCTATGCATCATCACTCTTTCCTTGCTTGAAGGCCTGTGGGAAATGGATGCGGAGTTCCTCAAGGCTTGAGATCACATATGGCGATGCTGGCTTGGGGGGAATAGGAACCCCGGGTTCGACAAGGTGGGCTGTTTTCCATCCTCGAGCATGCGCATGTACACAGTTCAGGTGAGAGTCATCTAATAAATCACATGGTCAGCATGATGCATCCATAAGCTGTGCGGGAATGTGCAATCGACATACCAACAAAGTAGCACGATTCTGTACTGGGAGCGGCAGCTTCCTTCTCCGCTTTGGCGTACATCTCCTGGCTTGGCTTGCAGACCAGCGGCAATTGTCCATAGTCACAGTATGTGATCCCCTCGAAAAGGTCCTCAATGCCGAGCAACTTCACCACCCGTTTTCCATGGTTCACGTAGGCATTCGTGAGCAACCATGGCTTCACCTTAGTGGTGTCCAGGTCCTTGATCAGCTCGCGCAGCTTGGGATCAGGCTTGAGAATGGTGTCAAGAGGAAGCGCATCATCAACTTCATAGTTAAAAGCGAGAGGATCAATCTTGTGGTGCCGAGTGAGGCCCTCAATGGCGAGACCATACTCCTTGTAGTACTTCTGGTGCAGCATGTGGGCGTCCGAGGCATTAAGGTCAAGATGTTTGACGAAGAACTTATCTAGCAAGTTATTGGAGTTAGCAAAAAGTCATAATGCAGTTTGCGCGTGGTACTTACTGATCAATGTCTGCATCTCATCGTGGATGTTACAAGCTGCGCGCAGGCGAACGGTAAGTAGTAGCCCATAAGAGCCCTAACCGCGCAAACTAACCTTTGGAATAGAGCTAGAGAGGTGTGAGAATCCGACCGGCTTTGTGACATCAGAATCAGGGAATTTTCACTTACACAATTGTCAATATCGAAGAAAAACACGGGCCGTGAGTCATTGACCATGTTGTTTCCGTTTGTCGCCATGGTTCTTAACCCGACAGATCGGGGAGAGGTTCGGGTAAAGGAGAGTCGCGAAGATGCTGCAACGGGCGCTGAAACGCGAGTTAAAAATGCCAATGGCGAATACATGAGAACAGAGGGTCACAACTCACCCGCGAAACTGCTGTTCCGGGGCCCCAGCGGCAATTCCGATCCCCGTGACCTTACCTAATCCCGGGCGGACCCCAAGCTGTTTTCTCATGAACTTTTTTGCACCCTCCTAATCTCGAGCTCGTCTTCTCTTGGAACTCGTCTGGATATCAGAGTGGTCTCAGTGATACTTCACATCCCACTTTCTTGGCATCAGACCAGTGTCCAGCATCTAAACTGCATTCACCCCATAGCTTCACCGATCCCTTTCCTAGCTTCACATCTGCACCATGGCTACAACTCATGGTACAGCAACTCACCTTGCAGCAGGTCCGATGGCTCTCTCGGCACCGTTAGCGGGAGATGAGGTTCAAGAATATCAAAAGATCCTGAATATCAAGGACCAGATATTTTCTGGCACTCATCCCCGACTGACCGTACCTCAGCATCTCGTACGAAAACCGGGGCCTGGAAACGGCAAAAATGCCCCTATACAGGTCCAGCAACCCCAAGCCACAAACCCGAAGGTCAAGGCCGCTCTGGATACCCCACCCGTACAAGATATCTCAAAAATTTCCTACCAAAACTCGGACGCGTCGTCTGCACCGAAGCCTGCTCGCGTGGTTCCAAAGCCCACCTCAGAGATTAATCCGATATTTTTGACAAAATCTGATGATCTGCTGAGAGCAGAACAACAGCTGCAAAGGCAGAGATTGGAGAGAGCGTTACGTGATCAGGTGGAACTGCAGAAGAAGGACTCCAGACAGAGACCTGCGGTCCAGGACACGAAGCCTGACTTTGATGTCTCAGAGGTTTTCAAACAAGCTTTAGAGGTGGTAAAGCCGGTTTCGTTGAGCGATCCATCTGAGTCCAGTGGTGCTGGCGATGATTCCTTTGACGACAATTCATTTTACTCCAGTAGAGCTCCTGATTCACCTCCTGTCCCGCAACGAAAGCCATCCCCCGTGGCCATTGTGCCACCTTCGGGTCCTGCCGTTCGTGCTCCAGTAGCTTACGGGGATGAGTTGCAGCGACTTGAAGCTCTTAACCCTGGATCTGATCTGGAAATGCAAGATGCTTACCTTGTTGCTGACCAGCGTCCCTCTTTTTCCCAAAAACAGGCCAGTCATCACAAAGCAGAGGCTTCCGCCAGCCGAATGCACGATTCAAATCGGATGGAGGTTGAGGATGAACCCGACTATTCACCACCGGCCCCAGCGGTGCCCCCAGCTGATCATCACGACTATTACCGCGGGACAGGAGTTGCTACTGGAAGACAGCCTAGGGCAGATCCTAGATACGCCGAAAAATCGCAGGACTTCCGTGAACCTCCGTCTCCCGCGAATGTGAAGGTAGTGCGGAACCATATCACATCACCGGTAGCGCCTAAGCCATCTCGCGTTTCCCCGCTGGCCACTGCCAAGGCTCCTTCGGTTCAGCAAATTCGAGCCGAGCGACCTGAAAATGCAACCATTCAGCTGTACTCAGACCCAGACTCTGCTCGTGGCAGCCCCGATGCCCCAGTCTCTAACATCGTGTCCCGGAAAAGGAGGAGACTGCGCGAAGGCGACGATGGGCCTCGTCCAGCATCGCAAAGGAGACAAAATGTAGAGCCCGCGGAGGCATTCATCAAGGAAGAGCCGGTCTCGCCACCGCCATTCGCCGACGACCCCTCCTCAGTTCGCAGCCGACACCCTCAGGGCCGCCCCGTCTACATTGATATAGCATCTCCCCAGTATGCCCCCATCTACGAAAGTCGTGGGCCACCAATGCGAGAGGCAATTTATGAGGTTGATCCGTACCATGAGCTTGCGTCTGAGACAGGGCCCCAGCGCGCGGTCTCTCGGCTCAGCACCAGGCGGCCAATTCGAGACGACGTCGATCTTCGACGAGTTGCCAGCGTGCAGTACGCCCGTCAACCAGATTATCCTCGTGAGTACATTGAGGCGCAGCCACGCCCGATTCGAGCTGCCTCGCACGTTGTGGAACGTCCGGCCCAGGAGCGAGTGAGGTACTATGAAGAAGGTCCCTCTTACCCCCAGCCTCGATACGTCCCCGTGGATGACATGCCACCCCCAAGCTACCGGGACCCATACTATGAAGACGCGCCGCCTGCGCGGGTCATGGCACCTCCCCAGCGTCGCATCGTGGTCGATGAGCACGGGAATCAGTACTACGAACTCGTAGCCCCCCGGCTTCAGCCGATGGCGCCTCCGCCGCCGCCCCGTCCAGTCTCCCAGATGTCAAAGGATGTCTACGAAGAGCGACTTCCGCAACATCACAGTGCCAGTGTTCGTGCGCCTTCAGTTGTCCAAGAGCCGTACGGCGAACGACGCTATGTACAGGAAATGCCCCCGCCTCAGCCAGTTTACCGGCGTGTCATGTCCGATTATGCTCGCCCGGCACCGGTTCATGAGCGACAAAGCTACGCCGCTCCATACGAAGCCTACGAGCCCTACGCACGTAGCGGCAGCGTCCAAGTAGCCGAGTATCTCCCTCCTCGTCATACAGTGTATGTCGATGAGCGTGGAGTTCCGCAAGAGAGAGTTGTTCGAACGGCAAGCGTCCGTCCCCCGCAGCCCCGTTATGAGGAACCACCTGAGGTTCAGCGAGTGGGAAGCGTTCGGCCAATGGCCCCGGCCCGTGAAGCCAGTGCTTTCATCGAGGAGAGACCGATGGGAGAATACGTTGAAAGACCATACTACATCAGAGAAAGACGGTACTATCCCGGTGAAGGGGAAGAGGCAGATCGCATTCCCTATGAAGGTGCAACTGATCCAGCCCCACGAGCCCCCCAGCGTTATCAGTAGTGTGTTGTTTTTTTATTGTTGATTTCTGTTGGATGAGCGCTCAGCATGCGCCGCATCTCATGACTGTACTTAAATGACCTCGCGATTCTCAGCGACTTACGTTCAAGCAATACACATCCACGTGCATTGTCCTGACATGTTTTACTCTCTAGTCTGTAGCTATGCCTATGTACTTCCAATGCTACATACCTATGTAGTCTGCCCAGGTGGTCATGTCACCCATTAGGATCCACGACCAATATCACACTTCACAGATATTTTAACCTCGGGTCAACACCTAGGAAAGACGGATGTCAGGTTAATTGTAACACTTCGGAAATCCTCTCTTACTCACGATCTCATGACCCCGACTTCAGGGGCTCGTCACGGACAGCCTACTTTGAATATTCGGATACAGCGCTGGTGGAAACACCGTCAAGGAACAACCTTGCTCCATGAACATCACCATCTTATAACTCTCTCGGGGAGTTCTGCTTCAAGGGAATATCCTCCATTGTTCGGGGCTTACTCCGAATGTTCGACGTCTCCAAAGAACGAAAAGGCCAAGTGTTGATCACACTCCGTTCCCTCACCAAAAGAGTCTCTTGTGCACGTGCTCAATTCTGTCCTTTTCATCCACCTGGACACTAACTCGGGTCCTGTCGGGCACAAGTCTCTCTTCTGATCTAAGGCTAAGTTTGCTGGATTTTTCTCCTACGGTTTCACTTGCGGGACTTCAGATATCTAGTTTCCATCGCCCCAGTGAGTGTTCCAGATCGGCAGTCAGAGCTGAATCTCTCTTGGCTGGGCCTCCTTCAGCTCATCAAGTGTTAGCTTGGTCAAACATCACTGGCCTGTAATACTGGTTGGCATGGTCACAGGGGAGGAACTCATGCAGAATACACAGGGATTGGCCCAGCTGGGTTTCTCCAGGCCGGACAGATGGGAGCAAACCTGGTAACTGGGCCAGTGTCAGTGAAATCTGGGATTTCTTGAAGCCAGAAATTTGCATGCTCTTCCGATGTTGTCTTGTAGCTTCGTCTTCCAGGGTTTTGTCCAGATGCTGGCCCTCGTAACCGGTTAGCGACATCAAACATCCAGTGATGATGGCTCCGTTCCTTTCCAGGTTACAACACCAATAGCGGATTCAGGGTTCAAGTTTGACAGCCAAGAGGAGAAAGCATGGATCACTCAGAGTAGCAACGTGAATGGGGAAATAGAAGCACGTTGGGCTTGCAGGTGGTACAAAATCTAGTGTCTGATCTCCAGGGCTACCGCGAATCAAGTTGCTTCAACGCGTATGGCAACAACCTTGGAAGCATCTTGGGGGAACTCAACGCTGAATAAGTGCCACCATGAAGTCCCGGATATCCGCAGACCACAAGTTAGCCATTGAAAGGTGAATGGAGATTTTTCAATTTGTTGCTCCGAGGTCTGAACGGATATATAAAGACGCAAGCCATGGACATTCCCAGCGAAGATTGATAAATATCCGTACACCTCGATCTATACCAACCTTGGAACGTTTGACCTACCTAGGTAGTCCTTACCTTCAACTTTGGAAGGTTATCTAGTCCTTCACGAACGTTGGCCACAATGAAGTTCCCAACTCTTTCCGCGTTCTGCCTATTTGCACTTATGGTGCTCGTCCTAGCCAGCGACAAAAAGACACGCAAAGAACTACGAAAGTGCATGAACAAGCAACTACGAGAAGACAATGAAGTCGCAGTTTCGAAATACAAGCTCAATCACAGTGAGCTATCTAAGCTTGAGGACTTGATTCGCCAAGAGGTTAATCGAATCCCTCTTCATCATTTCGACGATCAAAAACAGCAAGCTGCTATGAACCACGTTAAGGATGTCGCGAAACAGTCCTTGCCTGGTGTTTCTACGGAGAAACTAAACGAGATCTTATTCAAGTTGAAAGCAACAGCTGGGCATTGCGTGACCGATTTGAAAATAGACACAAAGTAGTTCTAGGCTTTGTGCAAGGGATTGTACGATGCAAGGAATGGTGAAGGCTGAAATTTGAAGTCATTGGGAACGAGCACTTCTATTTGTTGAGGACTGATCTAGTTGAGACTTCGGTATGAGGATCGGAGATCCTAGCTCCTGTGATGTGTTTCATGATGCTTTCTACGATCCATGATTGATAAGAGAAAATCGCACCGTCAATTGATCTACTGGAAACGGAGTATAAAGGTAGCAAATGGTTACTAGGTATTTCGCATCTTCCTAGCTATCACCCCTTTCTTCACTCGGAAATTGAGTCTCTGCTCTTAACGAAAACTCCTTTGGGAAGCTGTCACCATAAATGTATCAATCTTTCGCCCCTCCCGGGGGTTCGAAGTCCGCGATGTTTGAGAACTGTTTCTTGTATGAGTGGACTTTTCAATATATCCCAGGTCTTGGTAGGACACCTGCGAGGCTTCAACTTGGAAGACAAGTAGGGGCAAGGAAGAAAAATGGTCTCAAGAAATGGATGGTCACTTGCCCCTTCCAAGGTTGGCTTGTTGGAAGTCCAACCACGCGAAGAAGAAGGCAGGGTAAGGAGAGAGATTTCTAAAAGCTTACGCTACGAAGTTCGTTCAATATCGGAATCAAAGCCTTTTGCGAATAGATGGTGTATCGCAATTCCTTAGCCCCGGGGGCTAGTTCGGTGGGACCTCGGGAGGGAATTGTCACTAGTTCGGCACATCATGGATGAAGCACCTGGGCACCGAGATCGAGTTAACAACCTTGGAAGGCAGTCTTCATTTCGTCTCTTATTTTTATAGAATCTCCTCCGTCCTTGATCATAAGCGAGAGATCCCAGCTTCGTAATTGGCCTTTCTTTATGGCTGTCTGTTCTCGTGTTATCAGTACCCAATAGGTGGGCTATCATTTGTATTTTCATCCTCAGGTACACCTGGGGAAAATCAGTCGCATAGGTGGTAGCCTTGAAGGATTGGAGTGCTAATTTGGAAGTTAATCGTTCTAGAAGGCCCGGTAGTTGTACTAGTAGCATATGTACTTCATGGTCTCAAACCGCCGTCGAGATCCCAATTTGTAGATCTAGGGCCGACACGGACCCACAGAGGCGCCGTCAGAAGCTCAGTGCTCGAGGGATCGAGTCCTGGTCTTGGACTCCACAGGGAAAGGGTGCAGCTTACCCGCACGGATTCTGGCATGTATTATAGGACAGGGATGGCGTGGAAGCTTTTATGTCAGTACTTTATGTGGTTGGATTGAGCCCATGTCTACTAGTCCAGACTGTAGTCGGGATGCCGGATGGTGGGGACGACCATCAAGTGTATACTATACAGTACTAGTAGTAGGTAGGTGGCGACTCCCCCAGCAGCGGCACGAGCCCTGGAGTGACCCCTGTACGGAGGATGTATTCGCCTTTCACCGTATGTATATGCGTACGCGTCCGTTGCCCTTCAGTTTCAGAGCGAAACCGGGGAATGGGGCCCCTGCAGGCATTGGGAGGCCAGCGTGGTCCACCCAGTCGGAATTGATTACGATCTCTCGATGTTGAAGACCCCACCGTCTATACGAGCAAATGACGTCGTTCATTTCAGCGCGAGAGACCGTTGATCAAGAATTGCGGAATCTGTCAGTATCAGTACTAGTCGGATGCACAGCAGGTTTCCCCCGACGTACGTGTCCAGGCAGCACCCACATGTCTCTCAACCGGGCACAGCCGGCCTCGGAGTCTCCAGCCTCCACCAAAGGGGTTCTGAGATCAAGACGGGATGACTCGGATGATTCTGGGATGGTACCCGGCCCTGAGGACTGGTCGACAGCCCTGGAGAGACCTGGGCAGTGGGGAACTGCACAGCCGCGCATTAACGTGCTCACGTGACCGTGTATTTGGTACTGCGAGTATGAGTATGGCGAGGTGCAGGTGCAGTTCTGGGCAATATTGGATACATGGCTTTTTATTGCCCCTGCGATGCTCTCCCAAACCAACCTTGGAACTCACTGAGGAGTCAGGTGAAGAGAGCTATACTATAGTACGGAGTACTAGATAAAATGAGCCTACCATAGAGTCCGTAGCAGCATTTAGCAGACATTCATAGTGGAAGGCCTGAAAAAGAGATAGAAGAGTAAACAAGAAGAACTAAAAAACCCTTCTATTCCCAATCGTGTTTAGTTGTGCTGGTTGGCCCCATCGATCATCGTTTCCACCATTCCGGATCGAAAACGCCCACACTGGGTCATTCCCATCCCTGTCGAGAACGGTCTTTCTTCCCACTCACCCTCTCCCTCCCTCTCTCTCTATCCCCTCGACTCGCTCAAGGGGTTAGAGCTCTCTTTCTTTTTGGTCATGCACAAGATATCCAACTTTACGGGTCAGGCCCGTCATGGTTGGGAACGAATGACGCCGACTTTCGGGATGTCCAGACCTCACACCGACATGGCCTTTCGCCGACCACACGGAGCGCCGCCGATGACACCGCCGACGAGCATCGACCCGACCGTCAACCTGTCCTTCAACGTCCCATTTTCATCCACTCTAGCCGGGCCCGATGTTGAGGACGTGCTCCACGCTAGCCCCGGGGCCGTTCAACGCTGGACCTTTCCAGAAGGGACGCCCGAGGGCACCTCCGTCCATCAACTGCCCGTACACACGAATAACGTCGAGGGCTTGCAACGATTATGCCGGAAGATCACGGAGGAGAAAGGTGGCCGGGTCGAAGCCACACTCACGACCTCAGAGGCCAAAGCGGTCCCTTCGCTACAGCGCCGCCCAAATGGCTTGGTGACCAACGTCTGTGTGACTGGAGATGGAGAGATGGCGCGCAAGATGCGGGCGAAAATCTTGAACGAGACCCCGATCATGCTGGTATGTGGATGAAATTTTTCGATGGCGGCACCCGGCAGGATTTTCACGCCCAGAGTTCCTCCTTGCTAACCTGCGGTCCTCCAGCGATGTGCGACCGTCGATGTTGATATGCATCTCATCATGGATGCATCACCCAAGGGAATCCGAGCTAGCGTGCTTGAGCACCTCGATACATTGGCTGCTTACACCGGAGCCGATATTTTCTTGCTCACCCCCAAGCTCCACGATGCGGATAGCGCCGTGGTCTCCTCCTATGGCTACGCGTCGGATAACGGCCTGGATCAGCGATTCCGAGTTGCTATCTACGGTGACTTGGAGAGCTCGGAACATGCCAAAACCAGGGTTCTCATTATGATTGACCAAATTGTAAGTTTGGATGCCAAGGTGGGGGAGCACCACAAGTTGACCAGGAAACAGCTCAAACGCCATGTGGACGCCATTAAACTGGACTCGACCATGCACACCTTGGTCTGTGGTCGGACTCGCAAGAACATCAAGCTTATCGAGGCTGCTACGGGCTCCGCCATCTACTTCCCCCCTCCATTCCCTCAGATTTTCGGATATATCCCACCCGGTGCGAATCGTCGAAGCGAGGATGAGGTGTACATCACAGGCGAGACACCCGAACAGATTGCTCGCGCGAAACAGAAGCTGCGCGAGCTGGTGATGGGAGTGAAGATTTTCGTGAAGGATGTGGTGGTGAGCTCAAGCAAGATCGACAACATCTTGCTCGACCGCCTGGACAAAGTGCGAAAGGTCATGGAGATGAACGGATCCTATGTTCTGTTCCCCCAGCTGGGCAGCCAACGAGGCCTCGTTCGAATTCAAGGCACTGAGGTGCTTCATGTCGAACGGACCGTTAGAGAAATCATGGCTTTGGTGCGTGGATTATCATCTGATTAACGGGCTTTGCTAACTTTCAGAAATCCAGGCCGGTCAGTTCTACAGTGCCTCTTGGTGGATTATCATGCCCGACCCCGCTCAAGGTGGTCTTCGTGCCCCTTCGACCACCGACATTCGCTCCATGCTATCCGATATCTGCACCAACTCGGAAGCCGAGGTTAGCTTCGATAATCTGACCTTCACGATTAACGGTTCCGACGATGCGGTTAAGGCTGCCATGACAGTTATAAATCAGATTCCCTTCGTTATGCGAAGCCAATACCAGATGCGAGTCAAGATCGAACTCGCAAACGAGCACAAGGAGTTTGTGAGCGGCAAGAAGAATGGCAAGATCAACAAGATCATGGGCCAGAGTGAGTAACGCTAGGTGTTCGGCCGCGAATTCAATCACTGACATTCTATCAGGCAACGTTCAGATTATCTTCGACGGCTTCAACGAGTACAACTTCTACATCGACGTTTGTGGTAACCAGTACGAGTCGACCAAGAATGGCCTTGATCTGGTCGAGCAGGAGATGCCCGCCTCGATTTCGTTCCATGTACCGGATCAATACCACAAGCGAATTATCGGAATTGGTGGACAGCACATTCAACGCATCATGAAGAAGTACTCTGTCTTCGTGAAGTTCTCCAACGCCATGGACCGTGGCGGTATGGGCAAGGAAGACGACGACATCAAGGTCGACAACGTCATTTGTCGGACCCCTGCTCGCAACGCCCAGAGTCTGGACCTAGTGAAGCAGGAGATCATGGACATGGTCGAGAAAGTGGTAAGCTCAAATTCACCGGTAGAGTTTATTCTAGTGCCGAGACTAACGTGCTTGCAGGATGCCGAATACGTCTCCGAACGAGTCGTCATCAACCGCTTGTATCACCGTGAGCTTTTGGCCCGCATGACTGAGATCGACGAGCTGGAGAAGAAATGGAACTGCAAGATCGAGTTCCCTAGCACGGAACTCGCCAGCGACGTGGTCACCATCTCCGGACCTGAGTACCAGGTCCCTCAAGCCGTCGACGCTCTCCTTGGAATGGTCCCCGAGAGCCACGAGCTTCACTTCCAAAGCTCGGTGGAGCTCCAAGACTACTTCAAGTGCTCTGATTTCTTTGCAGATGTCCGCACCAAGCTCAAGGAGCAGTACGAGGTCGATATCAACGTGGACGTTGGTACGGACCTCCCCACCACTGCCGAAGAGGGATCCGGCTCCTCCTCTCCCACCCCTGGCCCCGAAGATCGTGTTGTGCTAGGCTACACGCGCAACAATGCCGGTGGATTGAAGGATGCGATCGACTTCCTCATTTCCCGTCTTGTTGCGCACGGTCTTGACGCCAACACCGTCAAGGGAGCGATCCCCCGCCCCAAATCGGACTCGTTCGAGGAATCCTTGCCCTTCTTCGATTCGAAGCTGTTGCAGCACGCCCCTGCACCCCTTTCCACCGACTCGCCCACCCGGCCCAACTTCTCCGACGAGACCAGCGAGCGGGGCTCGATCTTCGAGCGCCTCCGCAAGCCCGGCAGCATCTCGTCTTTCTCCTCATTCATCGGCCGCAAGAACCACTCCGCCTCGCCGGGGTCGTTCTTCAAACATGCCTCGAGCAACGCCTCCAAGGCCTCGCTCGTCTCCATGGAGTCCCGCGACAGCGGCTACCGCAACCCATGGAATGACTCTGGCGTGAACCTCCCCGAGGACGACATGCCCGTCCTCGGCAGTTCGCATAGCCACAAGAGCAGCAACAGCAATGGCTGGCCCACGCGTTTCGACGCCAAGTTTCCCTTCGGCACCGCGCCCGGTGACATGACGCCTAAGCATGACCCGCGCACATCTTTTGACAGTGGTCGTCCTAGCACTTCCAATTCTACTTCTGGATACCCGGCCCCAATTGGGCCACCGCGTTAAACCCAAAATATCCATTTGCAGCAGTATACCCTTTTTTTTGGTTGAATTGATTTTTTTGTTTGTTTTTTTGTTATTCATTGCCAGCGCATGCTTTTTTTTCGGTCTTTTTGTTGGTCTCCTTGTTGATTGATACCACGGAACGCAAGCAATGAAGGCGTCAGAAAAGAAAACGAGATATCCAAGATCTTTCGATGGAGTACGTCCTCGGGCGTCTCTTGACGTTTTGTCTTTTTTCGCATTGGAGGAAAGGGTTGGACGGTCTGAATTCTTACCGAGTTCAGATGGAGTTCCGACAGCTGGGCTTTTTTTTTTTATTGATGTTTTAGTCTTTTGATATCCCCCATCATCAATGAGATTTTTGCCACTTGAAACAGGTGTACTTGAGCTGTAGACGATCTACATCTGACGTTGACGTGGGGTCTCCCCTCACCCCCTCAGCTCATAGATCAGCACTCATACCCAACACCTATACCTCCCTACTAAGTATCACCTACCTATCATTACACCAGCTACCCCGTATACATCGAATCTATTCACAATGGACTACCCCCGTCCCGACTTCCAACGCACCTCTCTAAACTGGAGCTCCCTCGACGGACCCTGGACCTTCACCTTCGACGACAAAGACGAAGGTCTAACCTCCCAATGGCAAAAGAACAGCCTCCCAGCCCCATCCCAGACAATCACCGTCCCCTACGCCTTCCAAACACCAGCCTCAGGAATCAACCTCATCGAAGCCCACGAGGTCCTCTGGTACGAACGTCATATCACCGACATCCGCACTCCGTCCGAAAAAGCCAATGGAAACAAACTGATTCTCCGCTTCGGCGCCGTCGACTACGAATGCTCTATTTGGATCGATGGTGTCTGCGTCGGTGGCCACGTCGGCGGCCATGTCCCCTTCGACATCGATGTCTCTGATGCCCTGCATGCGAAAGCTGAGGCTCGTCTCACGCTCCGCGTTAGAGACTCGCCTTATGACATGACGCAGCCTCGGGGTAAGCAGTTCTGGGGCCCGGTGCCGGAAAGCATTTTCTATACGCCTAGTGGAGGCATTTGGCTTTCGGTTTGGTTGGAGAGTGTTCCTGCTACGCGCATTTTGTGTGGTAGTGGGGGGACGGTCTTGCGGGCTGATGATATTGATGGTGGGAAGTTGAGGGCGAAGGTGGCTGTTGCTGGGAGGAGGGTTGGGAGTGTTGCGAAGGTGGAAATTGAGGCTGCGCTTGGAGGTTTGAATATTGGTAAAGCTGCAGGAGATATTCCTAAGGATAAGGAATTCGTTTCTGTGGAGTTGGGAATGAAAGCTTCGGATGCTGCGCAGAGTGAGTTGAAGAAGAATGGAGGTGTCTTTGGTGTTGATGGTGTTTGGCATGGAGGTGTTGCGCTCTGGGCACCGGAACATCCTGTCTTATACGATCTTACACTTCGATTATTCGATGGGTCTGGCAAATTACTCGATGAGATCCAAACCACTGCCGGCATGCGTAGCCTGTCCTGGCAATCTGGAGATGGAACCTTCCGACTGAATGGCAAGCCATATTTCCAGATGTTGTTCCTGGATCAAGGATACTGGCCTGAGACGGGTCTCACGCCTCCCTCCTCAGAATCTCTCAAGACGGATATCGAACTGGCCAAAAAAGTCGGGTTCAATGGCTGTCGCAAGCATCAGAAAGTCGAAGACTCGCGCTTCTTCTACTGGGCAGATCGACTAGGCTTCCTAGTCTGGGGCGAAATGGCCAATGCCTACGAATTCGGCGATCAATATATTCAGCGATTCACCGCTGAATGGACCCAAGCCGTCAAGAGAGATATCAACCACGCATCAGTCGTAACCTGGACGCCAATCAATGAATCTTGGGCTGTTCCAGCCCTAGAAGACAACATCGAGCAACGCAACCACATCCGTGCGCTATACTACTTGACCAAGTAAGAGATCTCACCATCCCATACATCCAACGTGGCTAACAGTACATCAGGAACCTCGATCCAAGCAGACCAGTCAACGACAACTGCGGCTGGCAACATATAAAAACCGATCTCACAACCTTCCACGACTACAGCGACTCAGCCGAGCTGGCGACAACATGCTCTACCATGTCTGGGATTCTCGGCCCAAAGGGCGACCATAAAGAACGCAGCATGTTCCCCAAACCAATCTGCTCTGGCGCAGTAGTCCTGGACGAAGGCTCGCACCATGTCCCCGGCGCACCGGTGATCTGCAGCGAATTCGGCGGTGTCAACATCGCCCCGCCGAAGGATTCTGCTGCTGCTGGCGAGCGGGACTGGGGCTATACGACTGCCAGTGATCCGGCCGATTTCCTCGTGCGATTTGAGAAGCTCGTGAAGGCTGTTGTGGAGCCCGGACATATTTGTGGTCTCGTCTGGACTCAGCTGTATGTTTTGTTCTTGGGTTTTGCACCTGCGTTTCAATCCAGAAATAATTGCGCTAACTATTTCTGTGCAGGTGTGACATCGAGCAGGAGGTGAATGGTTTGTACACGTATGATCGCAAGGAAAAGGTTCCGACCGACAAGGTTAAGGCTATTATGGATGCTGCGAAGGACCACTATCATCAGCATTTGACGGCGGACAAGGAGATGGCGAAGAAGTTGGAGGAGTACAAGGTCATGGTGCATGAGGATCTGATCTGAGACTAAGATCCCAAGGTCTGAATGAACCTTGGAATTTTCATTTCCAATGTGTTTTTAGGATCCCGGCGTTGTCTAGGTTGACAAACTGCTTCCAATGTTGGGATTGGTGATTTGCTGATAGTACCTGGGGGCTGGAGGGCCTGGTTTTTATATGTTGAGACGCACTGGGCACTCTACACTGGAAGCCCCCAAACCTTAGAGATGAACCTCGGACGTTGTAAAGAGTTCGTTCTCATCCAAATGATGTTGAAATTTCCAAGGTTGGAAACGATCGTAAAACGGTCGGGCTGGATCCATACGAAAGGCAATGCCTAGGTATATGTTGCATTCAAAACTCCCGCAAAGACCGATATATTTTTGACACGACCTAAAACGTCGAAAATACATTCCAGATACGCTAAAGAATAGATCTCATTAAGTGCAGAGTAAAGAGCCGATATTTCCAAGACTGCGACGCTGAATGCTTTGCTCAAAATCCAAGCCATATAACGCCAGAGATGCCGAGACCCCGAATCAAAGTTACAAAACAGGTTGAATGCGTAAAAATGTAGAGTGCATATTACAAGAGATATGGTGATCACATGTTAGCCAATTCCTGATCGATCTGGCGGTCGAGGAAGGCTCGTTTTTCGCCCACAAGAGTGGTTTGCAGGCGTTGCTCGACAAGAACGCGGACTGTGAATCATGTTAGTAAATTGTCATTGTCAGATGGGAGATTGGGAAAGCGACTTACCCTGCTTTTTGGTGACGGTGTCTAGATCAACCTCGGCCAGACAGCCGCGGATGGCCTCGGTAATGGCCATCTCGTCCGGACCACCACCAACACGGAAGTCGAGGGCTGTGCTCGCAGGGCGAGCCGGGTATTGAGCCAGGGGACTGCGGGAGCGGTTGTTGGCGAGAAGATTCTCGCTGCTCTGCATCAGGCCGATACTGTGTCTGCTTGCGTGGGCAGGGTTGTCCTGGTATGCGCTCAGACCACCCATAGACATGTGCCGGGAGGCATTGGCGGAATGGCCCATCTGAGGACCCATCTGGGGCATGTCCGTGTAGCGGGAGAAGTTTGACATGTGGGAGTTGCGGTTGCCAGGGACGTTAAATGGCGCGGGGGACTGAGGGGGCATGTAGGGGTGGTGGCGGCCATGGCCGGGGAAGCCGGTCAGGATGGTGGAAGCGGGCTTGACAGATGAGTACTGGGAGTGCATGTCATCCATTTCCATCGCCGCATCATCGTAGTGGCCGGTAGCGTAGAGTTTCTCTGTGCTGATGCCGAGGTCGCCACGACGACCTGGGAGGTTGTTCGCCAGGGCATAATCATCCCAGCGTTGGAGGGGAATGCTGCGTGGGTCGAAGACCTCATCTTCCACGGCGATGACTCGCTTGTCACCCTTCTCACCGATAACGACACGGGTATTACCCCAAGTGAAATCGTCCTGTTTCCAGAAAGCATAGAGAGGAAGGATGAAGTTGTAGATGGGGTACGCGAGGAGATAGATGATCATCCATCCAATGTGTTGCCACTGGCGCTTGACGATGAAAATGATCGCCTGCAGACCATACACACCAGCCAACATGATGATTGAAATCATTGGGAATGGACCTGTGTGACTAGCCACGCGGTAAATCAGGTAGGTGAGATAAACGCAAGTAGCAGGGAGGATAATGGTTCCCAGCAGATCGACGAGAACGACGAAACGCATGCTGAAACAACAGAAACCACAGAGATCTTCAAGTGCAGCCAGCTCCACCAGATTATGGATTGTCGAGTTAATCCAGCGACGTCTCTGGGACAGCAGGACACTCCATGCCTCGGGAGCAGCTGTGCTGGCGTACGCATCGGGAATGAACTTGTATGACATGGCGGGGAAGTGCTTGGTCATGATGGTTGTCAGGTATCGATCCTCACCCAAAGAAAGAAGGTTCTTCTTGTGGAGAGTATCAACATCATTATCAGCATAATCATGAATGACCTTGTCGGAGATGATAAGAGGTCGTCCCTTGTCTGCAGTTCGAAGTCGATACATCGTGAAACAACCAGGAAGACAGGTAACACTGCCAAAGAGGGATTCGAAGGCCTTGGCAAGGTGGTGGGAAATGTAGTACTCGTAGACCTGAATCATAGTCCACCAACTGCCTTCCTCGTTCTGAAGACTAGTCTCACCACAAATACCGGCGATCTTTGCATCTGCAGCACAAGCAGCAACCAAGCGATTGAGAGAATCCTCTCTGACGGTAGTATCGGCATCGACCATGAGACAATACTCATACAGCTCTGGATCAACACCGATGACGTTGTTGATTTGGTGGAACATCTCCAACTCGAGGGGCGACATCGGTGAGCGGTGGTGGACACGGTTCAAGAATTGCATGAGAAGAACCTGCGTGTCTCGCTTACCGCGGTTGCCAGGCTTCGATTTACGCTGTTCGGATTCCTTACCGACCTTGACGACGACGATGTAGGGCACCACATTGCCCTCATATTCGTAAAGGCCGGAGAAGACCTTTCCGTAGTTGAGTTGATCACTTCCTTGTCCGAGAGACTTGCATGGCAAGGCGGGAGGATCCATCTTGGGATCAACTCCGAGGATGTCCAAAACAATCTTGGGAGTGGGACGATCGTTTCCACCACCGACAATCATACCATCACAGATAACAAAGATGAGCTTGCGCTTGTTGTCGTACTGCAAGGCAGTCAGGGAGTCGAGACCCTTGCGAAGATCATTTTCACCCTCAGTGTATGCAGGAACCATGCAAATAACGAACTTATCCTGGGGGGTAGGGCGGCGTTTCGAACCGAGCTGCAAGGCTGCGAGGAACTTCACCAAAACCACGGCACAAATCAGGATGGTGAAGGAGAGCAAAATCCAGTTGTTCACAGTGCACCGGGGGGTTTCACGGAAATCAACTTTGCCCACGTAAAAGACGTAATCGAGGCAGGTTTGAGCGTTTTTGAAGTCGTCCGTATCTTGCCACTTGTCAGTGACATCTTCACCCATGTTATCCTTGAACAATGTAGTCAAAGACGACGGTAGCCAGCTGTAAGAATCAAGATTGTTCATCTTTTTGACCGTGTAGAAGTAGTTCGTCAGATCATACACCTTTTGGTCTTTGATGACCCAATAACGAGAATCCTCATTGGCCTGCTTTTTGATGGTGCCCTTGGTCCAGACTAGATCACCCTTGTAGTATGTCCTGATCTTTGGCAGAAACTTGTTCTCATACCAAGTCTCCTTGCCAAGAGCAGAGGTGGAAACAAGGGCATTTTTGCCGGAACTGTGATCAGCCGTAGGGTACAAGATAGCGTTGGTATCGTTGTTGGACAATTTCATGCTCGAGTCCTTGACGAACGAGGAGCAATAACGGCTGAGAGGAGGGGGGAAGTAAGCGTCCAGGTTTGTACCAGCGAATGGCTCCATGTTGGAGGAACTGGTATCCTCGCCCGTGATGTCACTGTGCTGCGTGCGCCAGAACTTGCTGATATCATATACACGACCGTGAATGCTGACGAAGAAATCGTCGTCTCCTGTATGCCAGCCAACTTCTTTGCTGTTCCATACCTTGTCCTTGTTCGGACATAGAAGGTCTCCGAAAGCAATGATGTAGAAGCAGACAAGGGCGTTGAAGAAAAGAATCAAGAAGACAAGGACAAACTTCTCGCGCCAGGCAAGACGAATATCTGGACGCTTCATACGACCAATGTACTGAAGCACGAAGGATGGAATCCAGAACGTCATTGCCCAGACAAAACCGGCCCAGATACGGCGGCCAGCGCTGATGGTCTTCTTCTCAATGCGCTTGGTGTCACCGAACTCAGGATCGAACTCGCCGACGTAGTTACCATACTCGTCGTAGTATGCGATATCACCTTTGTTGTCATCACCCTTGCGACCCAATCCATAGTCACCAACATTGGCATTAGTGATTGGAGCACTGGGTGCAATGGACTTGGCACCACCCATCACACTTGGAGCCATGGGACCGGAAGGCGGCATGCCGAGGAGGTTTGTCGATTCATGAACGGGGGTTCCGTCAGGGGTGTAGCCCGTCTCGTACATGGCCGGGCCATACATGAAGGGATTGATGTGAGTGTCTTCCGGCTTGAGGTCCAACATGCTCTCTGCTTCCCACCAAGCGCCTTCTCGCATCCACACACGTTGATCTCCGACGACAGCATCGCCGTTGCTCCAACCGCGTTCGATGATCCAGTTCTCAACTCCATCTTGACCATCGACGCATCCAAGACGTGAGTACCGACCCACGAACTCTTCAACGTCAAAGTCGGCAGTGAAATCAAGTTGCTTGAGGCGACGGTTGGCCCATTCCGGGAGACGCCAGTCTCGCAGCTGACGGGAAACAGCGCCTGCGGACCAAGCAGAAGTTCCCGCAGAGGCAAGCTGCTCGGGCATGTCGTCCGTTGGATGAATAGAAAGATGGTACCAGACTCGGCTGCTGTTGAGGGTGTTGGGAAGATCGAATCGGCCTCGTTTGCCGACTGTGATGCCTTCGGTGTCTACAGGGAAGAGAATGCGGCGCAAGAATGCATCAACTTCAAGCTCGACGCCGACTTTTTCCAAGACACCCTGACGTTTGTCAAGATCGTGCTCGCGTTCTCGTCCGGCGAGACCAGTGGTGATACCAAGATCAGGCTCGACTTGAGATACGGCAGAGTTCATTTCGCTGATGACAGAGCCTCCGATGGCTGGGAGCGGAATTCCGTCATCCTTCATTTCGGCGTTGAGTCCCAGGCTATCGTCGAAGATTCCCCGCATTGCAATAGCCTTAGCCAGAGCTGGTCTGGGAACGTCGACGACAGTCAGGCTGACAGTGTCAACATTGGACCATTCGATACCTCCATTGTTGGGGTCACTCTCAAGCATAGTGTGGACGTCAGCCGCAATTGCTTCGTTAGCCTTAGAAATAACCCAATCGACGAGGGCTTCGTATATTCCCGCTATCAGCACCTCTCGCTCATCGGTTGAGCATCCGTGCAAAAGAATCTCGGGATCAATCCCCAGGAGACCACCAGCATCATCGCAGATTTCCTCCAGCTCATCCTGATCCGCCTCAAACCCAGCGGCATTGCCCAGTTTGAGAAGACCGGCGAGGACGGAGAGAAGTCCACGTTGAGAAGCTCCCTTGATACCGATAGCCTTCAGGGAAGCACGGAAATCCTCAGCAGCGGCCGCATCGTCCGCGGCCGGGAGATAGTGGGGAGGGTCATAGGAGTTTGAACGATTGAGTAATGTATACGAAGACGCCTGTTTCAAATCCAAGAATTCACGCTCCGCGGCCGTAGACGCGGATGTCAGAAGGTAGTAGAAAACATCGAATGCGCGGAAGCCAGCTTCGGACTGGATGTCCAGAAGTCCCTTTTTGACATTGATGCCGGACGTGGACAGGGCATATGAGAGGCCAACAACAGATCCCTGCAGCGACAAAGTGTAGGTTGCCGCTAGCGCTGAGTGCAGGGAGTACGATGGGTTGAAAGAGGTGACTGCAGCCAAAAAGGGCCGGAGGGCGGAGAGTGCACTGAGAGCTACTTCTGGGGTTTCGACCGGAATTGCTGTCATGAACGGTTCGAGGAGTGATGGAGTTGACTGGTGTAGGGCACTGTGGTACGTTAGTTTAACCGATCGCAGGGCATCGGCATGGCACATACCCTAGAAAGATGCAGCCATCCTCTGCTCGGCGCCGGGCATGTTCCCAAGCCCGGATTGCCAGGTCACGGTCGACCGTCACACCATTTCGGCCGTCTGGCAAGGTGGTTGATGCCGTGACCCAGGTGTTGACCACCAGACTTGTCGCTGAATCCAGTTGGTACGGTTGACCGGCATTGTAAAACGAGTGGAGGGCATTCAATAGTGTTGTTGTTGACACCTGGGCGCCGTGTTGTGGCCGAGGTCCGCCAGGGAGACCCCCGGACTGGGTTGAGAAGACGGAGTATCGGTTCGACATGATCGGCGAATTGTCGTTCAGATACCGTGGAGGGGAAGGCGAGATGCAATGTCCAGCCTACTCGTTATCACCACCACATGAGGACCCTCTCGTGCTGATCGAATAAACAGACCTCAGTTGCAAGGGTTGGAAGTGTCGAGGCAACTGAATCAGAGTCGATCAGTGCGGATGATTAGCTTCGGATTGAGCGAGTGACTGGAGATAATAGGAAGATGAGGAAGGACAAAACAAAACGAGCTCGGCGTGGGGAGAAAGAAATCCATGGAGTTGAAAAATACAGCTTGTAGCCGGTTTGTAGTGGAAAAATACCGCGGATCCTGACGATCGGGCCCCATTGTCCCGTTCTGCAGTTGGGTCTGCTAAGCTTTTGTGTACGGCGAAACGATATCTTTTACAGTTTACGGGCGACACCTGTCCTACAATGCCTCATTTACAGTACCTTCGAGACGTACGAAACCAATGCACGTACATTTCAGGTATCGACGCGAGTCAGGGTGTTTGGCGTCGCTCCCAGGTGTGTGAGGGTGGACCAATCAGGGATGTGCATTAGAGAGAGAAACAACGGGACAGGACCTGAACCCTGTCAGATCGGGTCATCTTACCGTACCCATACCATGGTACGGTTTGGCCTATTTATGGGTTGATGTCTCACACCTGGGCACTTGGGAGGTTTTTTTTCCTGACAGATGATCTTGCCACAGGGGCTGTCGGAGACTTGATCCACTGCACTGAAGCTGACTGGATTGCGCTTGTATCGAGAATGTCGAGCCACTTGATATAATCTGGCCGTGGAAACCCCCTAGTTTCAGACCTAGCTTTTTAGCTTCCAGATCCACCATAATATGTACAGTCGAATGGATCGATTTGGTCAGCTCACATTTTCGTTATAGTTATATATAGTTCATGCAGGCGTTTAGCAAGGGGGCCTAATATTGCAGAGCTACTGAAGTGACATGTTCTAACGGACCCTGAAGTATGTATCGTAAAGTCAACTGACTATTCGGGTAAGTGGAGATCGCTCTCTTAACTTGAGACTGGAGACCCTGGATAGATTAAGAGCACACGCAGTCCTTGGAAAGCCCGTTATTGGGATGTATTTGCTTCTGCGCCCCTGATGCATGGCCCCAGGTATCCCATCTACGGAGTACTCCGTACTAGTAGTGCCATTTTATAGATAGTCGGCCTTCACAAGCATAGCTTCGTACCGAGAGTGGAGCTAGACCTCTCTGGCACACGGTGGATTCTACCCGACACATCTCCAATCAATAAGCCCCCGGTGAACTCCAATGAGAGGAATGAGTTGGTTCTTACGGCGCTAGGCCCGGCCGAGGTTCACCTATTCTTAGCGGACCCTAGTATTTTTCACGTATTCGCAATACACCTCCACCCCCGACCTCTTATCGATTTGTTGCTTTTTTTCCCTTTGTGAGACTTCTCTCTGCTTCAGCCACTCGTTCATCTGGTAACATCACCCTTAATTCTCAATCCCATGCGTGCCATCTCGATTCGCCTCTAGGGATCACCATTCCTCTCAGAACATTCCCGACTCCACGTTCATTCCGACAGCGCCTGCGAGGCCGACCCTCGCTGACTTTCGGACCGAACATCGACTAGACGGTCGCTTGAGTCTCCAACTGCACCGCTGAGGGGATATCAAGATGGTCAACACATTTGGTGGGAGTGGCCCGGCACACGCCCAGGCCTCGCTCCCCTCGCTCCCCGCTCACTTGCAGTCTGATACACACCTCACAGCCCATCTGGCGAGTCGGTAGGAGAACGATGCTCAATTCACTCGGATATCGGAACTAATTGGGGCCAGATTCCACGTTGGATTACCGACAGCGCGCCTATCATCTCAAGCACTGATTGCCTTGAACACCTATTCGTCCGCTACCAAGGGCCCAGACGGAGGAAAGGAAGGAAGTGCTGCGGGCGAAGCAGAGGATCTCGCTCGGCGCGCCTTCACTCGCTTGGGTGCGCGTGCAGAGAACCAGGCGATTGTATTTTTGTGCGTCCAACCCCCACTTCAATCTGATCAACGCTGACAATATACCGCAGAGGAGAAAGCGGATCTGGTAAAACCACCCTTCGCTCACACTTACTTTCATCCTTCTTGTCCTTCTCATCGACCCCGCTCTCCTCCAAGCTCTCATATGCTGCCTTCGTTTTCGACACCCTCACAACCACCAAGTCCGTCACTACACCAACGGCATCGAAGGCGGGTCTCTTTCTCGAGCTACAATACGATGGCTCCTCCTCTGTGAACCCCACCCTGATCGGTGGTAAAATCATCGACTACCGTTTGGAGCGAAGCCGTATCTCTTCAGTCCCCACCGGAGAGCGAAGCTTCCATGTGCTATACTATCTTCTGGCAGGAACCAGCGGTGCCGAAAAGTCGCATCTTGGCTTCGAGAACAGCATTCACATTCAGACCGGCAGCAAGCTATCTGGAGGAACCGTCAGCCACAAAAGATGGCGCTATCTAGGTCATCCAACCCAGCTAAAGATTGGTATCAATGATTCGGAAGGGTTCCAACATTTCAAGACCGCATTGCGGAAGTTGGAGTTCTCTCGTGGAGAGATCGCCGAAATTTGTCAGATTTTGGCTAGTATTCTTCACATCGGACAGCTGGAGTTCGCTATGGGTGCATCTACGACCACCGGTGCAGAGGAGAGTGGTGGCTACTCACACGAGGGTGGTGAGACCGTCACTGGAGTGAAGAATAAGGATGTTCTCGAGAACGTCGCTGCTTTCTTGGGTCTAAGCGTCGATGCTTTGGAAGTGAGCCTTGGTTATCGCACCAAGACCATCCACCGCGAGAGGGTTACGGTCATGCTTGACCCCCAGGGCGCTCGGGAGAATGCCGACGCATTCGCACGCACTATCTACTCCCTTTTGGTTACATACGTTATCGAAACAGTCAACCAGCGAATTTGCGCCGCCGAAGACAGTGTCGCGAACACAATCTCGATTGTTGATTTCCCCGGATTCGCCCAAGCTCCCTCGACCGGATCTACTCTAGATCAACTTCTCAGCAATGCCGCCACTGAATCACTCTACAACTATTGCCTGCAGTCCTTCTTCGACCACAAGGCTGATATTTTGGACCGCGAGGAAGTTACGGTGGCTGCCACCAGCTATTTCGATAACACTGACACCGTGCGAGGTCTGTTGAAGCACGGCAACGGTTTATTGAGCATTCTCGATGACCAAACCAAGCGTGGAAGATCTGATGCCCAGTTCCTGGAGAGCGTGCGCAGACGATTCGAGAACAAGAACCCTGCCATCTCCGTCAGCGGAGCCAGTGGATCAACCGGTTATATGTCCCAAGCCCGGAGTGCATTCACTGTGAAGCACTTCGCCGGTGAGGTCGACTACTCCACCACAGGTCTCCTTGAGGAGAATGGTGAGGTGATCTCAGGAGACCTGATGAACCTCATGCGCTCCACACGCAGTGACTTTGTTCGTGAACTGTTCCACCAGGAAGCCCTGCAGACCGTCTCCCATCCCCAAGAAAAGACTGCTATCATGCAGGCTCAGGTCAGCTCCAAGCCCCTCCGTATGCCCAGCATGGCCAGACGCAAGGCCGGGCCTCCGTCTCGCTTCGCTGCGCCCAGTGCCCACCCCGAGGAAGAGGAAGGCGAGGACAACGAGGCCCTAGCCGAGGGCTCCAAACGCGCTAGCGCTCGCAAGAGCTCAATGCCAGCCGGTCCGGCACAAGGTGCCGCCGGCCAGTTCCTTTCTGGCCTGGAAATCATTAATAAGTGCCTGAGCTCTTCGAACTTGAACCCCTACTTCGTCATTTGTCTCAAACCCAACGACCGTCGTATTGCAAACCAGTTTGATAGCAAATGTGTGCGTATGCAGGTCCAGACTTTCGGCATTGCTGAAATCAGCTCGCGGCTTCGCAATGCTGACTACAGCGTCTTCCTTCCTTTCGGTGAATTCCTCGGACTCGCCGATATTGGGAACGTTGTTGTGGGAAGCGACAGAGAAAAGTCCGAGGTTGTTCTCGATGAAAAACGATGGCCCGGCAACGAGGCCCGTGTCGGAAGCACAGGCGTCTTCCTCAGTGAACAGCGATGGGCTGATATCGCCAAAGTGGGCGACCGCATTGTTCCTGTGTACGGCGCCTCTGGCGGCGACGGCGGCGACGGCTTCCAAACCCCTAGCGGAGAGCCGGACGCCAAGCACCGGCTTCTGAGTCCCAACGATCAATCTCCAGGCGCCTTTATTTACGGAGACGAGGCGAAACAGGGCTACTTTGGTAGTCGTGAAATGGATGGACGTTCTGATGCAGGCGGCTCGGCATTCAACTCAGGCGATATGTTCAAAAACATGGACACCAAAGAGCAGATGCTGGAGAAGGGCAATGAAAAGAAGATGGAGGAGGTTGATGAAGCTAAGGTCTCTGGTAGCCGTCGGCGCTGGATGTTCCTCGTTTACCTCCTCACTTTCTTCATCCCCGACTTTGTCATTCGATTCGTCGGCCGCATGAAGCGCAAGGATGTCCGAGTGGCTTGGCGTGAAAAGCTCGCCATTAACATGATCATTTGGTTTGCCTGTGGTGTCGCGGTTTTCATGATTGTTGGTTTCCCTGGAGTGGTGTGCCCGACGCAAGATGTGTACAACACTGCTGAACTCAGCGGCAAGAACGGCAAGGGAAACGCAGACTCATATGTCGCCATTCGTGGTGTGGTTTTCAATCTTGGAGACTTCATGCCTACCCATTACCCCTCCATTGTTCCGCAGAAGCAGTTGAAGAATTACGCAGGAACTGACGCCACCAATCTTTTCCCTGTCCAAGTCTCCGCTCTATGCCAAGGTACCACTGGTTCCGTTGATCCTAGCGTTCCTCTGGATTATCGGTCCAACCTCAACGACTCGGCAACTACAACCTCCTCCTCCACATTCGATGTCAACGCCAAGTACCATGATTTCCGCTCTTGGACCAATGATTCTCGAGCCGATTGGTTCTACGAGCAAATGGTCACGATGCGTTCCAATTACAAGAAGGGCTACATCGGTTACACCATGAAGGCCATGAAAAAGCTTGCAACTGATGACTCCAAGAAAGTCGTCAGTATCAACGGCAAGATTTACGATATGACCTACTACATTGCCGGGCCCCGTGTTCCTCGCTGGCCAGCAGGAAAGAATGGCACCAGCAACGTTAAAACCGACTACATGGACTCAAAGGTTGTTGACATTTTCCAAGGAAAGGCTGGGTACGATGTCACCAAGTATTGGGATGACCTGAGCTTGAGCCCGGCAGAAAGATCTCGGATGCAGCTTTGTCTTGATAACCTGTTCTTCATCGGCAAGGTCGACACTCGAGACTCTGTTCGCTGTCAGTTTGCTCGTTACTTCATTCTGGCTATCTCTATCATGCTTGTTGCCATCATTGGTTTCAAATTCCTGGCTGCTCTACAGTTCGGAAGGAAAAGTCTTCCTGAAAACCTGGACAAGTTCATTATTTGCCAGGTGCCAGTGTATACCGAAGATGAGGAATCATTGCGTCGTGCTATGGATTCCATGGCTCGCATGCGTTACGATGACAAGCGCAAACTGTTGCTGGTTATTTGTGATGGTATGATTATTGGACAAGGCAACGACCGCCCCACTCCTCGCATCGTTCTCGACATTCTGGGTGTCCCAGAATCAGTGGACCCGGAGCCCCTGAGCTTTGAAAGTTTGGGTGAAGGAATGAAGCAGCACAACATGGCTAAGCTCTACTCTGGTCTGTACGAGGTCCAGGGTCACATTGTGCCTTTCCTCGTCGTCGTCAAAGTCGGAAAGCCTTCCGAGGTTTCCCGTCCTGGTAACCGTGGTAAGCGTGATTCGCAAATGGTTCTCATGCGCTTCCTCAACCGCGTGCACTATAACCTGCCCATGAGTCCTATGGAGCTTGAAATGCATCACCACATTCGAAACATCATTGGAGTGAATCCACAATTCTACGAATACATCTTACAGGTCGACGCCGATACAATGGTGGCACCTGATGCGGCCACACGATTCGTCTCTGCATTCCTTTCGGATACACGACTCATCGGTGCCTGTGGAGAGACGTCATTGTCCAATGCTAAGACTTCGATTGTTACTATGATCCAGGTTTACGAATACTACATCTCCCACAACTTGACAAAGGCTTTCGAGAGTTTGTTCGGATCCGTGACATGTTTGCCAGGTTGTTTCACCATGTACCGCATTCGCACAGCAGAGAATGGAACGCCCCTCTTCGTCAGCAAGGCCGTTGTCGACGCCTATTCTGAAATTCGAGTTGACACCCTGCACATGAAGAACTTGTTGCACCTCGGTGAGGATCGTTATTTGACGACCTTGCTCATCAAGTTCCACCCCAAGTTCAAGACAAAGTACATCTTCCGATGCCATGCGTTCACCGTTGCCCCTGAGAGCTTTGCAGTTTTCCTTTCTCAGCGTCGTCGGTGGATTAACTCCACTGTCCACAATCTGATGGAGTTGATTCCCTTGGAACAGCTGTGTGGTTTCTGCTGTTTCAGTATGCGATTCATCGTCCTCATTGATCTTCTCATGACTGTCATTCAGCCCGTCACCGTTGCCTACATCGCCTATTTGATCTACTGGTGTGTCAGTGAACCAGATGTGCTCCCCATCACATCCTTCATCCTTCTCGGTGTTATCTACGGTCTCCAGGCCTTGATTTTCATCGTCAGACGCAAGTGGGAAATGATCGGTTGGATGTTGATTTACCTTTTGGCTATTCCCGTCTTCTCCCTTGCTTTGCCTCTGTACTCCTTCTGGCACATGGATGACTTCTCATGGGGTAACACTCGTGTCATCACTGGAGAGAAGGGTCGCCAGGTCGTCATTTCCGACGAAGGCAAATACGATCCCAACTCCATCCCCAAGAAGATCTGGGAAGACTACCAAGCCGAACTCTGGGAGTCTCAGACCTCTCGCGATGATCATCGTGACGATCGTTCTGAGTTCTCTGCGCACTCGTACAACACCAGATTGCCACCCTTCCCTCAGTCTGAGTATGGATATCACACTGGCTCGCGCCCAGTCTCGCAAATGGATCTTCCTCTCGGTGGCGGTGGCGGTGGTGCTCGTTATTCCGTCGCTGCCTCTGAAATGATGAGCAACTTCGACATGCAGGATCTCAGCCATCTGCCCCCCGATGATGAGATTCTTCATGAAATCCGCAGCATTCTCGCCACTGCAGACTTGATGAAGGTCTCCAAGAAGACAGTCAAGCAAGAGCTCGAGAGGCGCTTTGAGTGCAACCTGGATGCTAAGCGGCCTTATATCAATTCTGGTAAGTTAATATCGAGCCCAATCAAATGGAAACCGCTAACCCAGACCCATAGCTACCGAGGCCGTTCTTTCAGGTGTTCTGTGATTTACCATGCTTTGTTTCCCACGGAGTTCTAAATGTCGTTACTAATACTTTGATTTGGTTTCATTTAAGCGACCTTATGCATGGATGAGAGCTTTGCGTAGCGATTCGTTTCGGTCTTTTGAATATCTGAATGATCCCTAAAATTCCGCAATTTTGCAATTGATAATTTCCTCATTTTGATTCCCTTTTAGGAAAATGTAGACGGGTCTGAGACCCACTGACATACATGAAACGCCCTTGGCGGGACTTCATCTCATTTGATGGCGCTAGGCACCTGCCAGTCTCCAAAGGCGTTCGTCTCTAGGTAAGTCTCGTCCGATCTTGGCTGGCGCCAGAAGACACAAAGCGCCTATGAAAGATCCATTGACAGAATGTGGAGTCCTTGGCCCTGGACCCTGATTCTGCTACATCAGAACTGTCAAAGAAACTTCCCACCGAGTTTCATCTTATTGATCTCAAAGCCATTCTTTGAGAAGCCCCCTTTATGCTATTTAACAATGGTCCCTGATCCTATTTTTGTCGTGTTCGACAGTCCATCTCATTCTTTTACCTCGAGTCTGGCACTCGAGCTGCCATTCATTTTGTTCCTATTCAAAAATATCCTGCTGCATCCTTAGACAGCAATTTCTTCTCGATACCTTCATACTTGCTGTTTATTGCAAACATGCATTTCAAAGCCTCGTTCACACTGGCAGCCTCCGCGGCGCTCTTTGCATCTGCAGCCGCAAAGGACTCTCGCACCTTCGCTGTCAACCACTTCTACGGCAATGGTGCCTTGACCATGGGTCGTATGGACCCAATCATGGACCCAGGACGACCAGCGACACACTCCCACGCCATTCAGGGAGGAAGCAACTTCAATCTGACCATGACAGACGACGCCCTCATGGACTCCAACTGCACAACTTCAATCGTTGACGCAGATAAGAGCAACTACTGGACGCCGTCCCTCTACTTCCAAGCCGAGAACGGAAGCTTCCTCTCCGTTCCCATGTTCTACATGAACGTCTACTACTTCTTCGAAGCAACAGACGACGAAATCAAGCCTTTCCCCGTCGGTCTACGTATGTTCGTCGGTAACAGCTCCCTGCGCACCCCTCCCCCCGGTGGTGCGGCAAACGTTCTCGATACAAACCTGGGCCCTATCCAACCCGTCCAATTTACTTGTCCGCGCTCCAACTACGATATCCCTTCCTACCCGGAAGATTCGGACGGACTTCACGGTGTCGGTATCCAAGACCCTAACGATGCCGGCGCTGGCGCCGGGTTCCCCCACATGAACTGTGATGGCTATGCCTCGCCTTTGCGAGCTGATATCCATTTCCCTTCATGCTATAACCCTGAGGTTGGACTACATGATTATGAAAACAACATGGTCTTCCCTAGCAGTGAAGGCACTACCTATGGCAAGGCGAACTGTCCACCTGGATGGATTCATGTCCCTCATATCTTCTATGAGGTGTACTGGAACACCCCACTATTCGCCGATATGTGGACACAGGGAACTGGCTCACAACCCTTCATTCTGAGCAATGGCGATCGGACGGGATACTCGCTTCATGGTGACTTTGTGAGTACATCGATGAATCGCAATGTTATGGACTTTACTAACCTGAATTTAGATCTCTGGGTGGGATGAAGACGTTTTGCAGAAGATCATCGATAATTGCAACACAGGAAGTTTGGGTATGGATAAGTGCGCTGATGCCGGTTATCTCAATGATGTCTCGACTTCATGCAAGATTCCCAATCTTGTTCCCGAACAGATTGATGGCGTTCTTGAAAGGCTTCCTGGAAACAACCCTCCTACCGGTTGGGGGCAGGTTGCAGAAGACGAGGCTATGAAACAGAAGGTCAAGAGACACCTTCGTGGGCACTCCCGGGGAAGACATGTATAGATTTGGCTTTCTTCTTTTCGTGGGCTTTCTTTTCGAAGTGGCCCTGTACAATTAAGTTCACCTTTTGTCTTAACAACCTTGGAATTTTATATCGAAATCGAGTCTTCCATAAATCTATTTATAAAGTGGACGGCCAGTAAGACTCAGAGCGAAGGCGTATAGGGTCTCAAATATGTCCTTCGATTGAAACAAATCACCCCCTCTATGCTTCGACATGGATAGCCTCGGGTACGTGTTTCTCAATTCTTTCCTCATTGATGGCCCGATGATGCCCGGGGTGAACGGGGTAACCCCTAGACGCCCAAACGCCCCCAGTGATGCCGCCATTTTCAAAGAGGTGATCAACATCCTCAAGTTCCAGGCCTTTGGTCTCAGGGAAAAAGAAGAACACCATGGGTATCTGATTCAGGTCAGCAATGCAAGTAATTTATACGAGGTTTCTTCGACAACATACCCACGCAAAGCAGAAACAGGCGAAGATGATAAAGGTCCTCCATCCAATATTATCAATGGCAGTTGGCGTAATCTGAACGACAATGACTGTTTTCAAATGAGCATACATAATTTGAGGCCATGAACACCTCAACTCACAAACACAAATCCAATTCACAAAACCACCAAAAGCCTGAGCGCGTGCTCTAATGCGGGTAGTCGAGATCTCAGAGGGATAGAACCTGTATAATTATGAGCGACACTGTGTTGTATAAAATAGAATAGAACAAGGGGACGTACCATGGGACTGGAAGATAGCCAATACCGAGGAAGAGTTGGAATATAAACACAAAAACAGTAGCGGCATATGCACATTTGGCAGTACCGATTGAAAGGAGAATCGAAGTCATCACGAAGCAGAAGCAAAGTCCAGCAGCAGATACCATGAGGGATACTCTTCGGCCAAACTTGTCCATACTCCATAGTGGAATAATCGAGCCGACGAGGTACGCGAGAGATGTGCAGCCACCTAGAACAAGGGAGAGGTTGCGAGAAAGGTTCATGGCGTTCTTTTTTGTGTTTTGTTAGCTTGGTATCAGACCAGGCTTGAGGGGATGTATACCTGGTAGACAACGGGCGCATAGTAATTAATCATATTGGATCCTGGAACGATGCCGTCGTCAGAATTGAGCCATGAAAAAGGTCCCTGATACCATTACCAGTAAATTGTTGTTGGATATTCACAACAGCAGCCAAGATCATGCGACGAAGGTTACCCATCGACCCACCAGACCAAAGTTCCTTGTATTTGAATGGTCCGCCAGCAGACTCAATCTCAATAGACGTTTCAATTTGGCGACGCAAGTGTACAACTTCAGGGTTTGACTCATTGGCAGGCTGTTGCAACTGAAGACGGGCCAGGACGGAGCCCGCCTCATCACTGCGATCTTGCTCGCAGAGCCAGCGAGGCGAGTCAGGCAATGGAATCATCTGCAAGACCAGGCATATGGCAAAGAATGCCTGGAAGCTGATTGGGAACCGCCACTGGACCGGTGTATCCACGAAGCTTAACCCATAATCTAACCAGTATGCAATGCACAGACCGAGGATGGTCACCGTGCCCTGTGCAGAGAGCAACATGCCACGTGCTTCGGGTCGAGCCAGCTCGGACTGATAGGCTGGGACGGTACTGCTGTTAATACCATTCCCGATACCGGTGACTATACGGCCGACGAGGAATTGGGCGACGGAATAGGAGCTGCCTAGAATGATTGTTCCGATGATCATGATTGAGCCGCCCGCGATGATCATCTTGCGACGGCCGAACCGGTGGCCGATGACAAGACTGAGAAGACAGCCGACTGCACAGCCGATATCGTAAATTGAAGTAAGCAATCCCTGCATTGTACTGTCAGGGTTATTGAAAGTCTGGCCAAACTGGTTGTTGGCGCCGATCAGGCCGCTCATGACTCCTTGGTCATAGCCGAGAAGAAGGAAGGCCTGACAGCTTGCAGCCGTCACAGCCCAGTGTAAATATTTCCCACGCAGACCCATTTTGATGGGGAAGATGAAATCCGGGGCCCCGTGGGCTTTTCAAAACCGGGGATCGACATATCTCGCTGTCTTTTGCTCCGAGGGGACATGGAAGTTTCGGCATAAAGTGCGCCGTGGCCAGTAAGCTTCAGCCACGGGACGGGAGGGGTGTAGCGTGAACTTTGATTCCCCGCGGGGTTTTCTGTGCCGAATTCGGGCATCTGGGGGCGCACTAATTCGGCACACGCCCATCAGGTATGAAATCTTGCCCTCTGTCCCCAGTATGAACAGGTATAACTCTTCGGCCTGGCCAAAAGACCATTATATCCTGCAATCCGCATTACACTGGGTATTCCCAAACACACAAATTTTTCTCGGTCGCTGCCAAGTTCTCGGCGACGCACCACAACGGGCTACGCACCGGAATCTGTGAGGATCTCTTACACGGGATACGCTCACAAAAAACCTAGGACTCCATTCTTCTTCTATATCTTCATCTCTCATTCTATGTTATACTCTATATAGGGCCTTGAACCCTGGAAGTGGATGGTGTGTAATTACCTATATTGAGGGAGAGAGCAGTCGCTACCCAGGTCAAGATCTCGGGAGTTTGATTTATTTTTGGAGCCGTTATATATGACAACAACATTCACAACAATGACAAGAACAAGAACAACCACAAACACAACCACCATCAGGCTCATCACCGATGTCGTCATCCTCGCCCCTCCCCTGCATCACCGCAATGCGGGAGAGATGCCATCTTAGCTCCAATAGGTCGAAAGAGGGTAAAGGTTGGTTCTTCTTGTCCGTCGTCTTCAACGTGAAGATATCCCCAGAAGTAATCATATAGACCGAGCCATCCTCACGGCAGCCGTGAATATAGCAATTATCTCCAGGGGTCTGTCGAGGTCGAAATCTCGTGTGTTCCAGTGGAGATGATAGCAATGGCACTAGATCCATATTCGAAAAACCTTCAAATTCTTTCGGGAGAGGGTGCCAATGAAACTTGAAGGCAATTTTCATTTCAGTTTCATCCTCGTTTCTCCAGACTGGTCGCAATGCGATGATCCTGTTGTCCCAGTATTTTTGCAACAGCAAGTGATCAGGTTGTACGCTCGATGGACATTCATCCCATCGCCCTCAAAAAGCAATTCTTGCCATTTAGTGACTTTCTCTTTCCCCCAGAACATCTCCAACCACCACCACATCGCATGGGCAAGGTTCGATTCATGCGTCAAGGCGTTACCATTCAACTTTGCAGGGATAATATGTGCAATCGCAATCCCGAGCTCCCCGCATCTAGTCAACTGGCAGCGGTTTCCATCCCGTGCGCCAACTACCATTTTGACCTGGGCCAAAGTGGATAAGTTTGTGTTGGGCTTCTGTGTATAAGCTTCGTTAGCACTGGCTGCCCTATCTCTTATATGGTCTTTAATAGACAAACTCACCTTTCTCGCATCTGACTTATCCATTCCAGTTTGTGGTGTTGGAGATCCCAACTGGGATTTCGTACGCTTCAGAGACGAAGGACCCAGTGAGCTGGGTCTTTGCAGGCAAGTTGAAGCAGCGGATGATGCCTGAGATCCCAATCGCACAAGTTCAATGGTACCAGTGCTCGGTCCTTCAGGGTCAGCGTTGCCACTCACACCTGGACGCTCTGTCGCTCGCCCAGCTTCCTCGGAAAAATGAGTTGCTCCAGTCACTATCCAAACGCACTTTGATTAGGTGTATCTTCTCAATAAGTTCATGGAGATGCTCACAGAGAGACGGGATGTTACAGCATGGCATCCACACCGTCATGCATGCCCAGTTGATTTCATTTTTCTCTTGATCCACTAGCCGCCCAAGAACTCTTATGTCGGCAAACCAAAGCGCAAAGAAATCGGTCCGGAAGGACGTCGGGAGACCAAATTTGTCAGCCAGAGACTTGATGAGGCGTTTGCGCTCTTCGTCGTCAAACTCAGAGAGGATGTTCTTCTTGTTGTCACGGTAGCTTTCCATTTCGAAAAGCAAAGGACAAAATAGACATTTTACGCGCGGTCAGTTCTCGAAAGGACAAAAATTGATGATGATCGAGGCGTGTGGGAAAGAATAGAAGATGGAAGACAAAGGTTCAAGGTTGAGGGCAGATATACAGCGGGCATTAATCCCTGCAGCCCTGGAGGGTTGCGGAGCCCACCCGTGGATACAGATCGATATCCAGCCAATGGCAGCAGCCCCACTGTAGATCACTTAGCAGCCATCGGCCCACTCGCCTGTTGAAACATTAGAAATGAGCCAACAGAGTCGAATTTCCTCAACTTGCCTGTTCCGAGTCCACGAGATATTGAGCAATTTTGAAATAATATTTGAGTCCTAGTGGCACAGCAGTGACCATCGCTGGACTCATGCGAATCAATGGTGAGGCTGAAATACTTCCGTTAGGCCAAAATAAGATCATGCTCTTGGGGAACCTCTCCTCTCATCCCAAGGGAAAGGGAACATATACTAAGTACCGTGCTCGATCATTGTTTCTATACCTAGATATTTATTCACCAACGTAAATCATTCGAGGCTCCAAATCTTCACATCCCTTCATTATCTGTGTCTGCAGTATCGTCCTGTGGCCACCAGGCTCGCACTTGTTAGTGCTTCATGACTCTTTCGGTCCAAAAAAGGCTGGTGGGAACAGCACTAAACGAGGAGATCATATTCACTACCTCGATAATAACACATTTGGAATGGAAAGAGTTCGAATATTAAATCCATTGGCAGTGACGAAAGCAATAATAGGAAGGAACCGTTGGGGGAAGGAGCAACTGGAGGGTGTATACTAAGCCCCTCAGTTTCTTCATCTCTTCTTTCTTTTTGTTCTTCCACCTTTCCAAGAACTAATTCTTTTCTTTGTTTTTCGATTTAATTAATTCTTGTATAAAAAAAAAGATGGCTCCCGACACCCCCAAGCGCCCCGACGGGGATAAATCTCCGATGTCGAAGAGGAAGAGGAGAAGACTGATAGAGAGGAGAAGAGTATATAGAAGAGTAATCCATCCCTCTGACCTCGGGAGCCCCCTGATATCTGTAGAGCTATTGGCTAACCCAGATATAGGACACCCGAGAGGACCTAGCGGCCGCCCAGGCCGACCCCATTGCCAGTGCTCGGGCATTCGCAGAGCGCGATAATGCGGCGCAGGTCTTGGCGGACCGGACTGCGGCCCGGGCCCACAGGTTCGCGGCGAGCGCACAGGCTGCGTTGGCGTCGGTGGGTGCTCTTCCTGCTGGTGCCGGAGGTGTTGCTGGGGCTGGCGTGGGATCTGGCAGTGGTGCTAGCACTGCCTCTGCCTTGGTCGGTGGTGGGCGTGGCGACCCTATCACCGTCAAGAAAGAGGTGCGCAGCCCTACTGCTAGTTCCCGCGCTGGTCCCCGCGCACCCGAGGTCAAGCAGGAAGAGCGGGTTCCAGGTCCGGTGGTGAGTCCAGGTGGGGACCACCCCCTAGGTTCCCGGATTCGCCTTCCAGGAGATGTGCCGGCCAAGATCAAGAAGGAGAAGATGAAGGAGGAGAGGCCCAAGGAAGAGGATGAGGATGATTAGGATGACGAGGACGAAGAGTGTGCCTTCGGGCTTTTTTTTCTTTTTTTTTAAAAAAAATATGAAAAGTCAAGATGTCTACTGCTGCCACGGCAATCTCTTCGTAGAGGTCTATGGATCGATAGTATCCCGAGGTCAATTTCCTTCCAAGGTCCCAAGGTTACCTAGAGTAGTGAGGAAACAGCGCCAGTATATAGTCTGAGGCATCGGCCTGGGTCGTACCCATGAAGCGTTTGAATCCTGCCACCTCACACCAAGACCACTGCCTGGCACTGGTGGCACCCCGCCTCTCACCTCACCGTGCATCACCGTCACCTAACACTTCACCCATGCCTAGGCATCGATCGAGCCTCCATCCGTCGCCGAAAAACTACTCCCCCCATAGGTCACAAACAGCCTCTATCTTCTAATCCAGCTGACCTGTCACTTCAATCCGGGCACTTAGCTCCGTGTGTCGTGCAAACGAGCTCCCGTCGTCGAACCCGCACCTCGATTCCTCGAGTCTTGATTTCACCGAGTCTCACTTCCCGATTGTTTTGAACAGCTCCGCAAGCTGCACCGATACTCCTGATCCCCCATATTCACTTTATCGTTTGAAAGTATACCTTTGATACCGCAGTGATTTTACAAAACCTCTTTGTAGTCCGTGCTCCGTTGACAGGTGGGTCCATCCGACGCTCATTTGATCTTCACATTTCACTTCCAATCTTGGAAAGTTGTGGACCAAGGAATCAGAATCTCTTTCTTCTTTCATACTAACGCACCCGTGATCGCTATCAACGCTGATCAACATGGAGTTCAACTATGACGACCAGCACATCTTCTCCGAGTTCGAAGATCCCGAACGGAAACGCCTGATCGGGAAGATCCACAACATCCATCCCGAGCTGGCCGAAGTCCCACGCGAGTTGCTATACCCGATCTGGTTCGCCGATTTGAAGGTATTGAAGAAACTCGCAGCGACCGGTGAAGATGCCAATGGGGCCTTTGACAAACTGGAAGCCTCTACTGGTACTTTGTACAATGTCCCTTTGATCTGTTAGTCCTCACTTCATCCCCATCCTTGTCTGGACTAACCAGGTTCAATCAGGGGGCTGCCCAGGCACTGCCAACAAGTCTGGACCTTTCATGGAGGTCGGTTATCCCTGAAAGCTCTAAAGAGGAGTCGAAACAAGACTGACTGGTTCAACAGATACTCAAGAATCTCAAGCTTCAATCTCGCCGACGAGCTTCGTTCAAGTGCGCGCTCACCGGAGCTGGAATACTAGATACCAAAACCTGCTATATTATTCCATCGGCTCTACAGGGCAAAGAAGATGACTCTCTCGAGAAAGAAGGGGTCTGGGGATTCCTAGAGAATTTCTGGGGCAAGGAAAAAGTTCTCGACTGGAAAGGATTGCTTCTCAAAAACTCTGCAATGGGTTCTAGAATGGAATTATATACTCCTTTCAATGTGATTGACCTGGATATGTATGTGCAGCGACTTTGGGCCATGGCACTCGTGGCATTGCGACCCATTGCAGTCAACCGGGATCGAACGGAGATGCAGATTGCGCTTCATTGGCTTCCTCTTCCGACCGAGTTGGGCAATATCAAACGCAGTGATAAAGTGTTCATCTTACAAAACCCATATCAGGACATCAAATATCGGCCTGTTGAAATCCGCGCGGATATGATGGGGCCGTTCATTCTCCTGGAGGATGGAACATTGGTTCGGGTGTCCTCCGGGCATATCCTCACAGTAAGGACCGATGATCCAGATGCCCGTCCGTTACCCTCATTCGGGTTATTGGAGTTGAGGTGGCACCTTTCGCGCATCGTAGCATTTCAGGGTGCAGGGGAGGATGAGGAGAGTCGTGCTCTCGATGTTTGCAAGTACGACCCCGAATCCGATTCAGATACTGATCGGGCGATGACTGAGTTCTAATACTCCCTCGATGAATAAAACAAGCTTTTGCAACCCGTGCTTCGAGAGGTCTCATACCACAAGCGTAGCAAGAATTTGAAAGACCCCAGGCTAACAACAACGCTGAGGTGAGGCTGTTCACCAGCCTTGTAGTTTTGGAAGGCGTTTGTCTGGCTGGAAGCGAGGGTAAATGTGCAGTCTCATAAGGCAAAGGAAAACTGGATATGACATGACAAAGTTAGAATATTTCAAACTTGCTGCCAAGAAGAAACTTTGCAGTGTAGAGTTGGAGCGATGGAAAAAAGCTTACCTGGATCCATCGGTAAGGTGATCGGCGAAATCGGCTGGGCAACACGGAGCGCCAAGGGCGCGTTGGTAGAGAGCCTGACTTGAATTCTTAGCGGGGGCGCACTCTGACGCCCATGGGGCAGTCCCCACCTGCACTCACGGCCAACTCCCAGGCTGCACAGGTCCCACCTCTAGACCCCCAACTAGCCCTAGCACCCCCGGCACCAGCAGGAAGAGCACCCACAGATGCCAAAGCAATCTATGTGCGGGCCGCAGTCCGGTCCGCCAAGACCTGCGCCGCATTATTGCGCTCGGCAAAGGCCTGAGCAGCGGCAATGGGGTCAGCCTGGGCGACCCTTAGGTCCTCTCGGGCCTCCTGTATCTAGGTTAGCTAATAGCTCTATAAATACTAGGGGACACAGAGGGATGGATTACTCTTCTCTGGACTCTGCTTCTCTCTATAAACCTTCTGCTCTTCCGCTTCGAGATCGGGGACTTATCCCCAGCGGGGCGCTTAGGGGCGCAGGATGCTATCTTTTTTTTTTGAAAAAAAAAGAAATTAATTAAATTGAAGAATTAGTTCTTGGAAAGGTGGAAGAGGAAAAAGAAAGAAGAAATACAGAAACTCAGGACCTCGGAGCTCACTAAATATACTTAGGTTGCTCCTTCCAGCTATTGTTCTCTTCCTGTTGTTCCCATTGTTCCCATCTCCTTCGTCACTGCCTATAAATCCAATGTTGTTCTTCAAGCCCCTTCTGCAATTGCCCTATGATTTCCATGGCTATTGTGCCTCGGTAATGATTGCGCCATTCTCGACAGCCGTCAATACCTAGACCTCGGGACATCTGTGATGGATACGTCGAACTGTTACTGATCTTGTAGATTTTCCCGCAGTCCACCCACTTCATGATCGAAAGCCGAAATGATCTGACCATCTGGTTTGCTACCTGTTTTGTACATACTGTCACACCGAAGTGGTGCAGTAAAGTTAAGGAAGTCAAAATCTAGAAGAATTTGATTCTAGAAAAGCGAAGATTTTGTAAGCCGCGGTATTCAAATCCACTCCACCTCGCGAAACATTGGATGCTTCTCCCCATTGTGCTCAACAAAAGTTTCCAGGATTTCTTCCCTGCATTCAAGGTTCGCTAATGCTAACAACTTTTTTAGTCCATATATAATCCCTATTCAATTACTCTTTCACCCTTATATTTCTTTTACCCTTGGTTTCTATCTTTAAACTATTTACTACACACAACCAACCTTGAAAGGTCCAACATGTATGAAATAGGTTGCGCAAGGACCTCTTGTCACGGTCAAAAAATGCCCAAAAATACGCGTTCCACTAGGTGTGCACCTGTTTGGTTTAATGGTTAAAAACGGAGGTTTATGAGGCGACACCTCTCGCAACAAAGTTGAATTTGTAGCACACAAGTTAAGTCGATGCTCCATCAACCACGGTACCTTGAATTCGCCGACAACTCTTAGTTGCTGCGCATTGGCGTTTTGCAGATCGGGCAAAGAGAGCATGACCACGTCAGGGGTCTTGCAGTCCCCTAGTGCTATATTGATCGATTGAGACTCGAATACTGCACCAAGGACCTGTCCAGCAGCTTGCCGGAATCGAGCATAAATCCCGACCTCACCTCCGAAGAAAACTTTCTGATTGGTGAGATTTCTGGCTTGAATGCTGATCTGAATTACCCGGTTACTCCACTGCTGTGTATAGTAGACATTTTTGACAGAAGTAGTGAATCCTGTGGGGGACTTGAAGGTGCCAGCGACCGCTGGTCGGGTAACAAGATCTTGACCGGGCTTTTGACTAGGCAGAATAGGGAGTGTGGTTTTAGTGCTCGTGAAGAACACCGGAGTGCCAGGGTCCTTGGAGGACTTGGGCTTCGGCCAAGTCCAGTCCGGTTCGAGGTCCTTCTTTGACCCACGTGCCCTTGGGGTGATCGTGATTGGTATCCTTATACCTGGAAGTTGTAGGGTTTGCTCCATATCGATCTCTGATTCCAGCTGGGGTTGAATCGAAAAAGCCACGTAATAGGTCACGTCCGATGATGGCGTCTCCACACTTTCGACTGCTGAGGCAGGGGCCATGTCGAAGTATACTCGCGGTTAAACTGGCAATTGTACGGGCCGTCCGACGCAGAGGCCTCCCGCAGCAATCCAATAGATTGAATTGTCTGGTATTCTCTCTCGTTTATAGAGGTCAGGGGTGGTTGCGCCGACATGTCAATGATTTCCACATCCTGGGTGTAGAACAAACCCCCAGCAAAGATTCGATCACTTTGAGCCAGGTGCTCCTGTCTAGTGGTATTGGGCAGGTAACTGCGCTCCAGTGGGGATTGAGGGACTCTGCTGAGCACCTCGATTAGTCCATCCTCGGTGGCTCGTGTGCTACGCTCCACGAGTAACTCCCGCTCGAGTTCCAAGGTTGGGCAAGGTGCTGACGAAGATTTTTCCAGGCAGCCTCGTAATGGCAGCATTGGCGTCGGCTGTGGCGCTATTAGCGTCGGCTGTGGCGGCAGCGCCGATTGTAGAGGCCGAAGCGGTGGATGAGGTAGACGACCGGCCCCGCTAATGGCTACGGATAGGCCCGCCCGGGGTGGACCGCCCGGGGTGGACCTGTGGAAGTCACACCTCTCCTGGTTGCCATTGAAGTGAAAATTTGCGCAGGTGGTGATGGAAAAGTACGGGTCGGTGAATGTGACACACTGGCTCCACCTGGGCATGGCCCCTTATCGCGGCGGCAATGCGAGCAGGCGGTAGCCGGAAGTTGGCCAACAACTTACATCAGGGCCGACTCAATGTTTGCAACCTGTGCGCTAATGCGGTAGTGCATCCTTCCAGAGGTTCATTGAGTGGATGAACGCTGTAAGGGCTCCCGCAGGGAAGGAGCTGCAACCAGGATGCGGAGGTTTTCCGTGAGGAGTTCTTGTCCGTCCCGGCCTGAACGCTATGGGACTGACTCGATTTTGGCCGCCTATGGTCCAGGAGGAAGGGATGCCCCATCTATCTGGGCGATGGGAATGCTTATGGGTGTCCTATAGTTCGCAGTGCTAGGGATCTCAGCTCGGTAACTAGGGTGTGGTTACCTAGGTACCTAGGTAGTCAGTGAACAGTGTGACCTTGGGATATAAGTTAGATGATCCGTATAATAATACTTACAACCCAGGTGCAGGAGGTGTAAGAAAAGCATTGATGGATGGTATAGGGGCGTGTTGGGCGTTAGGTAGGGTTGTATCTGCTATTCTGATCCATGGATGGCTATATATTGTTAGATACTGCGGGATAAACGCAGAGCAAAATGTTACCGGAAAAGAATTAAAGTGATAAATGCTTACTTGTGAAGAGTGAAGCAGACGAAGGTTGGTGATGTGAGTTGCCTGCTGGTGAATAGTAAGGTAGAGTAGAGGAAGCCTGGTGGTGATAAAATCAGGTAGAGAAGATAGTAATACGGTGACTAGGAAGAGAAGAACAGCGTGTACGAAACATGTAGCAAATCGTATGGAAAGGGTAGTACTTTCATACCTGAGGATACTGCCAAGATCTGCATTAGTATTTGTGAAAAGACTGATTCTTGGCATGTTTGTAATGTTTGGGGTCCAATGGGCCCCCATAAAACCGCAGTGGGCTTTGCCCCTGAGCCCAGAGCCCATTAATGGGCCCGAGGTCCGGCCCAAAACCCAACCCATTAGTGGGCTGGGCTGGGTTGGGCTCTGGGCTTTGTGGGCCGCTGCGGAAGTCTAATCCGGGATGCAATCTGACACCACCAATCCACACTAGAGTCCATTACTTACCAAGGCCAGCTTGCACCCCTCGATAGTGATGGGCCTTTTGAGGAAATTCGAGATCCATCACGGGTATTCGGTTTTCTACTGCTATTATATATTCACATAAGGTTACCGCGCTGGCGCTATGTGCGGATCCATCTTTCGAAGTGGGTACCGCACCTACAGAAACAGTAGCGAGCTAATTCGAATATAGACGATTTCCGCAATGGGTCTGGTACGAGCAGACACGTTCAGCTTCAGCTTTTGCCTTTGCGCTTCCATGGTTGTCAATCTTCTTCCAAGGTTTTTATCGAACCTTGAAGGTGATTTTGAAACTGCTGCTGCCAAGCAGGACCTAAACCCTGTTACTGATCTTCCAAGGTTGTAGATTTTACAAGGTTCCCGCAGCCCACTGAATTCATGGTTGAAAGCCGAAATCATCTGACTACATGTTTAGCTATCTAGGTATGTTTCGTACACGCTGACTCACTGCCGTGGTGCGGCTTATCAACGAAGTCAAAACATGAGAACATGGAAATTGAGAAAAGCGATGATTTTCTGAGCCGTGATATTCAAACCGCCATATCAAAGACTTTCAGAAAAGCTTCTGCCCACAGCTTTCAGACAGAATTTGCAAAATTTTATACCCATTTCCAGGGTTTGCTGCAGCTGCTTGGACTACCTCATCAGAGATAGGGAGCTTCTCCCCGCGGTTCTCAAAGAGAATTTCCATAATTCGATGCCTATTTTGAGTATTCGCTGCAGCTGCCTAGACTACCTCATCAGAGATAGGGAGCTTCTCCCCGCGGTTCTCAAAGAGAATTTCCATAATTTGATGCCCATTTTCAGTATTCGCTGCGGCTGCCTGGACTACCTCATCAGAGATAGGGAGCTTCTCCCCGCGGTTCTCAAAGAGAATTTCCATAATTTGATGCCCATTTTCAGTATTCGCTGCGGCTGCCTGGACTACCTCATCAGAGATAGGGAGCTTCTCNNNNAAGAGAATTTTCATAATTTGATGCCCATTTTCAGTATTCGCTGCGGCTGCCTGGACTACCTCATCAGAGATAGGGAGCTTCTCCCCGCGGTTCTCAAAGAGAATTTCCATAATTCGATGCCCATTTTCAGTATTCGCTGCGGCTGTTCGGACTATCTCATCAAAGACCAGATATCTGTCTCCGAAGTGTCGAAAGAGAAACTCTGAAATAACGAGGCCGTTTCTTGCCTTATCTCCTGCAGCTGCAACAGCGACTCGTCTGAGTGGGGCAAATTCTGGACATCCAAGAGCCAAAAGGTTCTTGATAGCCTCTGTCACATTCACTCTCCCCGCTTCGGCATTCGCAATAGTGTCTACCACGGCCAACTCTATATGGCTCAAGTGGGATTTAGTCTCCATCTGCGATTCATGATGATTGGACGATGACACCTTTTCCACAAGTTTTGCTGGCCTAGTTGAGGCTGGCTTTTGAATATGTGGCAGCTCCCATGTGAAGACGACGTCATCAGGGATAGTTATACAATCTTCTCCGACTGCTTGCTTGAAATGTCGGCCCTGGACGCCATTCTGCGGCACCTCTGGCAGAATAACTGTGAAATGGTCACCGCAAAGTCTTACGGCGGTTGGCTTGGACGTTCCTTGCAGAATCCAGATCAAATCGCCATCCTGGATTGAATCTGCGAACCCCTCAAGGTTCCAGTCTGACTGCCGTAGGTGCTCAAACCCCAAAGCCCGAGCGGTATTAGTCAGAACGACGGTGAAGCGCTGACGGTCATACACAGAATGCTCCTTAGAAACCTCGCAAATGCATCCAAATATCCATGCTTTGGATTTGATTATCGCACACTCGATCCCTTTCCATGTCTGTACAGACATCGTGGAAAATATGTGCTGTGCCACTGTCTTCAATAGGTCATGCCAATCGCATTTATAGTCAACCTGAATTCGACTGGCTTCCTCTTCAGTGGCCAATCCCAGCAGAGCGTATATTTTGTCGTGTTGCTGCGTAGCATGGTGCTTCCAATACATGCCAATTAACTCAGCTAGTGAAAGGCCTCCTGAGCGCATTGTATTCCTTGGTCGAAACGGTGCGCCCTTCATCAAACGAGCCACCGCCCCAGCCATGGTCTGGCAATCAGGGGTAAAGCTCATTTTAGCAAGGCCTTGACAAAATGAATGTCCGCTGATCTGACTTGAGCCACAGAATACCGAAATAGATCGTGCAACCCCAACTTCCTGGAGGACCTATTCCAAACAATGAGTGGCTTGATGGGATGATCCTCCGGTTTCACTCACCCAAATTCGTCGAAACCACTCTCGATCGAGTAGTTTCGAGCACAGAGAAACATCCTCCCCGACCCAGGAATCCACCAGAGGGGTCTCATCCAGTTGGCCAAAGTGACAGATCCTTTCAAGCGCCTTGTCTCCGCCGTCTTGACTTCCGCCAAGCCACACAATGACCCGGCTAGCTTGCGCATAGATTTGACCCATCAACGGAATCTGTTTGTTCTTTTCTTCTATGCTTTCTTGATTGATGCAAATTGCATCAATCCACAAAACTCTCGTGAGTTGTGGGTCTCGAAGGTATTTGAGCGCCATATTGAGATTTTCCGTGACAGAAACAGCATGGCCACACAGGGTGACGGAGTCGGGCTTTTTTTCGCTTTCCCAACAGTATGAAAGTGCCTCGTAGTTTTGAGATTGATGTCCCCCTTTTGCCAGGTCATATTTGACAAGTTCGCACTCGACTGGGGCTTCTCTGTTTTCTTGTGGTAAGAGCAGAAGCATACGAGTCAGATTGGGTTTGTCGGGTAGCCTTTGGTACTCAAAGCTAGTCATGATCGCGAGGAAAATAGACTCGATGTGAGGATCTCGGTGTGGCAATGATCAAAATCGAATCTAGCGGAGGTTGGTAGCGCGGGGCAGCGGGGTTCAGCTGGGTTCAGCTAAGTCTCACTAGCATGCGAAGGATGCGAAATCCCCTCTGTTGGGGCCACGTCTTGAATCAGGTGATTTGCAGGGGTGCAAGCATAATGTGATGAGAAAATAGCAATTTACCATGCACCTGGAGCTACTTCCAATATCCCATTGAGATCATGCTCAGCACCCCAGGTGCCCCCAGGTGCCCCGGGGACGTATTTTGACCCCATGCCCACGTATTTAGACCCGGCCCGCTTTAGAGGAAATTTGATATAGGTAGAATCGCGGTAAGCTACGACAGAAGTGCAGGCCCATCCTCAATAGAAGAAAGTGAGCAAGAGGAAAGGAAGAAGATGGCCCAGTGCCGGAAGGCCTTCACTCCCACTTTCGCTCCTTCAAGAATCAGACTCTACATGTACGCACTCGTTGGGATCACAATCATCACAGAAAAATCCCTCGCTTAAGGGCTTCTCAACTCTTCAAATCAGTAATTATGATCGAAATTTGAAAGAAGATACAAAAGGTGCGCTGATGCCACCATTTCGACATCCATGCCCCGGGGGAGTTCTTTCACGGCCACCTGGGCACACAAGTTCGAATCTGCCAGAAACCAAGTAAGTTAACATCACTTCAGGATTATGTGTCTGATTGAGTATTTGGTCCGATCATACGGGTTTGATATCTCCAACGAAGAACTCCATATACGCTTCATTCATCAACGAGTAATCACTCATGTTTGTCAAGAAAACATTGATTTCGACCTGTGAATCAGGGTGAGATGAATTCCCAATTTCAGATAACATTCAGTCTTGTAGCGTTTTGGATGCCAGTGCCAGCAACATCGAATACCTTTTTGATATTTTCCAAAACTTGCCTCTGCATCCGACGCGTCAGTACTGTGTATTACTAGCCTTGATCGAGAGGAGATACAGTGCGGTGTTGGACGGAGCCTTGCACGAGCTCGCCAGTCTGTGGGTCCATTCCCAGAGTCCCGGAGACATAGACCATCTTCTCTACGACGAGAGCTTGCGAGTAAAATTGCTGAGGCGCAGGGGCACCATCAGCGCGTATCTATTTCTTTGTGATGCCCGACATGCTGGATGTATCAATGACGACAGGTTGTGTGGAAAGCTTCAATGATTGAGGTAGGCCTGATTTTCTACTTGAATCATTCACAAATGCTGGTAAATTTGACCGGAAGATGAGTACATTTCCGTTCGTATGGAGCTGCTCGGAGGTTTGAAGTCCGATTCACCTTCTGAAGTTGGCATGATCAACATGAGTCCCGCAAAATAATGCTTTTTCAACGGTGTATACTGAAGAACACTGGCGCATCAATCCATGGAATTAAGAGTAGATTACTGGATTTGTATACAACTTGTGATGAGAACAGATAGTCTTGGGATTTAGATACGATCATCTTATTCTGCACTCAAGGCCAAGTCGACAGCGCCCTCTGCATGCGCATAGCTGGTATCAATAATTGGAACCAAACTGTCCTCCTCCTTGACCAACATTCCAAACTCTGTGCAACCCAGAATCACAGCCTCGGCACCTCTCGAAACCAAGTCCGCAATGGCTGCCTTGAATTTGGCCCTTGTTTCTGGAAGAAAAACATTTTTCGCCAGCTCCTGATACAGTGCATTGTGTACATTGTTTTCATGCTCACCTTCCGCCACTAGTACATTGAGGCCGTATTTATCCTGAAGCCGTCCAACAAAGTATGTCCCAGTCATTGTGTAGCGGCTTCCAAGAAGACCAACAGTCTTACAACCACGTTGCTCGGCCTTTTTAGCCGCAGCATCGACAATGTGCAGCATCGGGAGGTCGACGTTCTTCATGATGTATGCATCGGCGGTGTGAACTGTGTTGCAGGCGAGGAGAAAAAAGTCGGCACCGGCTGCTTTCAGCTTATGTGCTTCGGCCGCAAGAATCCTGCCCACTTCATCCCAGTTGCCGTCCGTCTGGGCCTGCTCGATCAGGGCAAAGTCGGTTTGTGTGATGATCAGGTTTGGTGTGTGCAGCCCGTTGCTGCCGGTTCGCTCCCTGAAATATTCATTGATCGCTTTATAATAAACCAAAGAGCTTGGCCAGGCAATGCCTCCAACAACACCGATAGTCTTCATTTTGGTCTGAAGCTGTTAGTATTGTCACAACAGGCCACGAATATTGTCACTCACAGCAGTAGAAGATGCAAATCACACGGACCGAGAGGACAGAAGATAAAAATTTCAACCGGATGACATTACTTTAGGCCCGGCTGCAAATATTAATACTTGCCCGTCAATGCTTCGGACATTCCAAGAGTGAGTTCGGCAAAGGCATGTCCGGATGTCCGAAGGCAGAATGTGGAGAAAGCAAATCTCCATATCGCCACATCATTGGGGCCACTATATTACCCGGAGGCCCGGGGTGGAAGAACAGTTACTACCTCCGAAAACCATAGGATTCCCTTGAGTTCGAAAACTTCGGAGATTTCCCTCGCTGCGTTTCCCCGACAGCTTCACGCTCCACGTTGTGCTGAACAGATGTACGGACCTTGCAACATTCTGCGGGTTTTAGGGCCCGGTAAGTGTGTATTCAGGAACTAATGTGGGGGATATGCTCATAGGCGTCCATCTGTCTTATCGCTGGGTTTCAGTGATCGTAACCTTGGAAGTGTCCATGGGCTGCGAAGACGGGCCATGTGACGTCTGTCCCTTGTCTCACTTAGAGGGTTTGGTAGTGCGCCCTTTTTCCTGCTTTCTTTCTTTCTCTCTCTCTCTCTCTCTCTCTCTCTCTATTCTTCGTCTCTCTCCCCTATTGGGAAGTAAAATCGATCGCCTTCTTCTGCTCTGGTCCTCTCTCTTGCTGTCAGATCACCAAACTGGATTGCAGATTCGTGAACGTCGCGATAGAATTCGGTGTGTCAAACCTTTCTCCGCTGGACAGGAATTATCACAAGGAGGTGCTCAAAGCAGAAGAGCTAATCTGATACATCGCACCGTTTCCAATAGAGCATTTTGCTGCGGGTAATTTGGGGCTCAAACTCGATTCCGCTGATGGACTGGGTATCGAAGGCCTTTTTGTTGGCGGAGATCAAGAAGATACAAGCTGTCTGCACTCTGGAAACAGAGAGACCACGGGAGTAGTGTCAATAGAGATGGGGTACTTGCCAGGCTCAATGTTTAGGCGATAAGCCCCCAGTGACAACTGCCGTGCGTATTCAGCGATGTCCAGGAATACTCAGATAATCAAATAATCATGCTGAGGCTCGAAAGACGATTCTTGAGTCTATGCAAGTTAGCAATCGGGCATAATCATTTGCATGAATATACTCACAAACCACACCCAGTAGACGTTGCTGTTATCGTGCTTCGGTTGTCTGCTGCGACCATCCCAGACGGACTTAAGCAGGGAGATAGCTATCTGATTCCCGAGGCCTCCATGATTTTTCACGTGGTCTAAGCGCAATAAAACATAATGTCGAGCATGGGGAGACAGTGCATCTGCACCGGCCATGAAAAGCGGCATGACTAGTAATTCAATCAAACGGCAATCCGCAGGAATTTCGGCCGCAGAATCCAGAATCCCGATGACAGAGCTTTGTATGACCTGAGCATCTGCTGGCTGTTGTGGATCCAACAAGCGGGATGTGTGTAGGATACAAGCGTGACGAAACGCCTCAGCCACAGCAGGCCAGCGTGGATTGTCGGCTGGATATTCATCAGTCGGTAAGCGCCAGGAAAATAGCGCGAGTTTATGGGACTCGAGAACGCTTTCAAATTCTGATCTGTCGATGTTCCCGAGGGCATGGGCCTTTGCGTGTTCCATCACATTGCCCATGATGAGGAACAGAGTGCGTGGAATACCGTTGACACGTTCAAACTTCAGGTCCCCTAGCGTCACGACAGTCTCTCTGAGCTCAGAAGAGAAACGCAATCGTCGGGAATCTGTCAACGATCGGATGATGTCTAGCCTGTGGTTGCGCTTTAGTCTCCGATCGTAGTCAAAAAAAGAGTTTTCTCACCATGCCAGGTTGCCTAAGAAGAAAACGGTTTGCTCATGCGCTTTGGTCAAGCTATCCGATAAGCGCAATTGGTTGCAAATAGATAGGGCACCTGTGATGTGGGCACCGTGGGCCGAAATACCAGACTCAAAGATCTTCACTCGGTGAAAGAAATCAGTTCTTGACGACTTGCATACCATAGTTGGCAACTCACATCCTGAAGTAGCAAGATTTGTATAGTGGCGAAGATTCCATCCCGCTCATTTTCACTCAAGTCGCCAGACAGTCCATTCTGAAGCGTATCTCCGAGACGACTGATAGCTCTCACTCGGTACTCCACTGCCAAGGTTTCTCGTAGATAGAGGTCCTCTTTTTGGATGCCAACATGGCATGCTGTGAGCCCTAGGACTGCGTATAGTAGGCCTATTTGTTCGTATGCGAGTGGTAACACATAGACTTGGTACGGGTTTTCCATCCCTGCGGCAAGCGCAATCTGATGTGGACAAATGACTTCATCATCTGGTATTTTCCGGTCAGAGAGACAAATTTAGGAGCCGGGAAGAAGAGCTTACAATATGCAAGTAAGGCCTCTGTCCTTTTTAGCATCAGTAAGTCGTCCAATTCCACGGATCGTTCCTCCAAATGAGATCCATCACGAGCCAAGGTGGATCGCGGCGCCGAAAGATTTTCATCACTAGCAGTTGCGGTATTTTGAGATTCTCCTCGCTCGCCGGACCCCACGGCGTTTTTTTCCAAGCCCGGCTGACTCTGGGGGCTATGGTTTCGGGTCTCGCTTGGGACCGCATGGTTCTTCCACTTTCCTCGAGTCGCTAGCCCTGCAAAGCGGAACTTGTCTGGGTAGCCTTTACATTCTAGGCCTTTGCTGATGCATCTTTGACAGACAGGCTTTTTTCGGTCGCATTTGCGACACTTTTCTCGGCATGTTATACACGCGGGGCCTGTGATGCGGCTGTCAGAAGCAGGCTCTTCCACACCCGGGACTAACTGACCTCCAGTGGGCATCGCGCTGAGATGAATCTCTTTCCAACTTGTGACATTGGGATGAGGAAATATAAGAATCGCGAAAGATGAGGTTCTACGGCAAGCTGGCAGAAAGGCACGTGACTCTTGGATACATATCACGACCAATCTCGATTCTTTTCAAGAGATTGGTCGTCGATGATTTTTCTTCTCTTCTCTCTGTATCCATGGATGTCTCAACAAATTGAGTCCCGATGGCCACTCGGCGTACAGACATGACTATGCGCATGGGGTCTGCAATACCTGCAACACCTCCCCCTTCGTTGCCTTACGTGAACTTCTGAAGGCACATGCAGTTCCGAGTTCAACGCGACTAAGCACCCATTTTCAAGAGTCTCGGAATGAGTTTCGTCTTTCCTAAGCTCTGTGGGCCACTGCAAGCGCCCGAGTTGACTAGCTTGGCGGCAAACGAAACAAAGAGGGCCGTTGTGTAACCGCCCGAGCAGACCTTGGGATGCTTGGCGATCACCGTGTTTGAGCCCAATGCATGTAGGGCGTTAAGCGCTGTATTGCTGTTCCTCTATTTGTCCCTGGGGTGTATCGGATACATTGACCACACTAGCAGCTCCATAGGACGCTCCTTCGCGTTCACTAGAGCGTAGGATTTCTAATTATGCCTCTTTCCAGGCAGGGATCATGACCTTGTCTCCCGGATTTTCTAGCGACTGAGCCTCAATGCATGACTTGACGCTGGGGCTCATGCCCCAAATTGTTAGTACGCTCGCTGCACTCAGTGCAACTAGGCAAACCTCCACCGTTCTAGCATTCGATCCCAACAAATGAGATTGAATCATTTTCAGCCCCGGCCGTCGTTTAGGAGTCCCTGCTTTCGGTCCATCGTCTTGGATCTTCTGGTACTTTACAGTCCGCCATGTGGATCATGCCAAATCCTGATTTGGCGAGAGAAGCCATGAGTGGGATCTAGGCGCTATGGTTGACACGGTCATTGCCATGCTACGGTCCCTAAATACCAGCGCGCCTGTCACTTCCAAACTCAAAAGCGCTGTTTCAATTTTCGCCCTACCTTTAATATAATGCAGCTATAATATTTCCTTGTTTGCGATCGAAATAATGCGACGACCACAAATTTCCGAGCCGAAGCCTCTTGTTGTTTTGTCACAGAGCGCAGATGACCATGACAGTGACTCTGAGCCAAAGGCACCGTCGAACTCTTGGGTTGAACACTTGCTCTTCTTCCTTCTCATCATACCCTTGACCTTGAGCATCTTGTTGCTGTACAGCGATGCTACGAGGTGGCACCTTCCAGACAATCTATACGTGTTTGTAAACACATACCGAACATCCGTGCAGACAGCAGTTCAAATTTTTGGTGCAATCCTCGCAGCCATTGAAGTCTTTGCAATTTGTCGTCTGATAAATCTTACAACTCGCATTCGGTTCACCAAGGCCCCAGTTTCACTCAATGTGCTAGGCTTTTGGTCTGCTCTATCCACCCCTACGAACAATTTCTGCTTGCCTTTTTGGATGATATTTGCAACTATTCTATTTGGCAACATGTCCGCCATCATATCGGCATTATGGACCGGTGCCTTGACACCGGCAGATGCCATTGGTACCCACGAGTCCACGCTACTCATTCCTGATTGGTCCAATATCAGTTTGATCAAGGAATATCCCGGACAGATCGACAAGACAGGTTTAACAATTCGTGAGACAAAGGGATATTTCACCTACTCCGTGGGATTAGGCATGCTAGGCTCACTTCTATCCTCCGTGAACTCGGCCTCGCCGATCCATGGGGGCATCCGCGATCATCCTAAATTGGATAACAGTCGGTATAACTACCACGGTCGATCATACGGAGTGGGAGCAAGTGCCGGAATTTCTGATGATAACTTAGTCGCTGTTCCCCATGCAAACAATTACACATTCAACGAAGTAGGCCTCGACGCTTCCGTTGACTGCATCTACAACACGAGTTCGCTGTTCAGGCTCCAAGTTCTACCTCAAACAACACTCTACGCCGCTCGAGGTCTGCTCCCTGACAACAACCTTACCGAGCCCGAATACTCGGTCTATATCGGTCGTGGAAGCGATGCAATCGTGGCGATGGGAGTGGCAGCATACCCAAGCGCGTATACCGCAAAGCGATATATGGCCATCACTGCAGGCAATTACTACAAAGAACTGAATCAGGTTCAATGCGCTGTTACCTTCGTCCCGGCCATGTTCAATGTCTCCGTTGATATCCAAGGGCGGAACATTAGCGTGAACAAGGTCAACGCATCAGATCCTTCACAGCCAATACACGACATTGATCCACACCACAAGATAACTCATGTTGTTATGCGACAGCTTGAGCTCATCGCCAATGATCTGACAAGTTACTATCGTTCGACTCTCGGTGATGCTTTCAATGCGAGCATAAGTGACTATCGCACCTCGGTGATTGGTAAAAATCTCTCCGAGACCCAGATCGTGATGAAAGGAATGGAAAATGCAGTGACTTCTCTGGTCGACGACCTGTTGGTTGGATATGCCTCGGCGCAAGTAGTGGTTGGGGAGTTCAGTCGGACTACGCACGCAACGGTGCAGGTATCTGCGCTACGCGTTGGATCAAGAGCATATGTCGTAACGAGTGCGGTGATCACGGGCCTGATTGCACTTCTTGTCCTTGGTGAAGGCCTTCGTATGCGATGGTGGAAAGGGCTTCCAGCTTTTGATTATCAGGATAATCGGGCATTGATTGTGGCAGCCTCAAGAGGTGGAAAGGCTGTTGCAGAATATGCAGAGCAGTTGGAATGCAAAGACTTGGGCAGGGTCCCTGTTATTTGGAGGAAAGGAGATGATAGCTGGGATCATGGTGAAATTTCTTTTCAGCCGATGTTAGATTACCCCAAAGAGGACATAGAGGACGCAGAGCTGGACAGGCATCATGCCGGATGGATATGATAGACTTGTGAGGAGACCATCCATGGGTGGAATGTATATTCTTTTGTATTCAAAACACCATTAATATTAAAAATCATTTCAGTGCCTAGTAGTCAGGGATCTTGCGAAGGTCAAGAGTAAGTTCACTAATCAACGCTTCAATTTTTACCAATCAAACGATCCTGTGTGATAGGGTCTCTATCAAGTCGTATTTGCGCACGGGAAAGATGGAGTTGAACTCGTACTTCGCGGTATGTGTTTGATGCCTTAGGCTACAATTCCCGGTTCTTTTCTCGCCTTCGTCCTCCAAGGCTCACTCATTGAGATAAAAATCAGCCTTCCTGAGAGGTGCCACTGTACTCATTGCTAATCTTAGGTGAGGGGCAAGTACGATGTTTAGTATCAAACTTGGTTGACACCGAGGCCGAAATTCCTACGAAGTACTCCGAATTCCGTGGATATCATCAATACTCTGTGCTCCATGTGCCAAAAGCTACTCATGGGATGATCTTTCCAAATTGATTCGTCCAATAGACTTACTCGGCAGATATCTGAAATATTTTAATACGAATCAACTTGAGCTACGGAGTACTCGTGGCAGCCATGATCGTGGCTTACTAGTACACGCCATCTGCTGCAAGCTTGCAAGCCACTGAATACGAGGGTCCAAACACATGAACTCCAAGCCAATTGCTCACATGTTAGTATATGAAGGCAGGCTCCGCAATTTCTTCCGAATCCTAGGCGCGGTTATACCAACGGGAAGATAAATGAGCCAAAATTTACTGTGACTTTTACCTTCCAAGGTTGCTTTGCCCAACCTCACATTATCTGGCATACTGATATCATTGGATATTGCCATGGTCCGAGAGAGCTTAGATCTACTAAAAGTGGGGAAGGCCAGCTACGCCACAATGAATGATCACAAACTTCAGATTGACAGCGGGTTGAAGCACTAATTACTCCGTACAGGGTGAAGAGCAATGCAGGATGATCTTCTTCTATAATACCTTTTAGCTAGCGGCATGCTCCAGATTTTCAGCATGATTAATGACGCAAAAGGTACCCCAGGCCCTAGCTTGTGGTTCTTCTATCTGCCGGTCATGCCGACAAGCCGGTTTGAAGGAAACCCTCAAAGTGATCACTTCTGCATACTCCACAGAATGCTCCAGCCGACCAGATTGTCGGGAAATTATGAAAGATCCCTCATTCGAGTGAGCGAATCGCGGCATACAGAGGGAACATGGTCAATCAGGATGCGGTAAACAAACCACATCTGCATACAAGTGGACAAGCCCCACTTGAAGTGACAGAACACAGGAATAGAGTGGAGAGCTGGCAAACTCCTCAAATATCGGCAGAATGGAGAGTTTCATTGGCTGGTGAAGATCCACTGTTCGTCCGGTAATCCCTAGCGTGATCGAATATTACAAGCTAATGTGGTCGTGCGGATGGCACACTCGCAGCCCCGTGCTTCAGCATTTGTGATATTGAAAGAGGTATCTCTACAGTACTCCGTACCAGTAGTGTAGAGGAAGTTTCATTTGCAATTGCTCATCTAATAAATATACCTGCTTCATGTCAATCCAGCATATCGCGAGATGAAGTGAGTAACAAGCGAGGCTGGAAGTAGAGTTAACCTCCCGACGGAGTTCTCCATGGGGAGCACTTGGGGAGCATTGTACCTAGGTATTGAATTCCCACGAGAACAAATAGATCCAAAAATGTGTATACAGCACGTGCGTGTGAATATTGCCCAGTCAAAGTGCTCGGGGCATTTTCAACCCAACCACCAGCGTCATATATGCACGATCAGGACTCCGCCGTCACTCGCTTTAGTCGAATTTCCATCCACTGGGTACCGAGCGGCAGATCGGCCCCATTATCATGCTGGTCAAAATACAGGCGCCAGACGTCGCGACCATCGCCGACCCCCAGCTCTGTATCCGCTTGGTCCCGGGTCTGGTCTTCAGGTAACCGGATTGCCAGCCACCCCTCCCATCCCTCAAGCTTCACAAATTGTTCATCTTTTGTCCAGTCAAAAGGCCCACACACGTGGCCTTCGCTGTCAGGACGCCCTCCCCAGCGCATTTCATGTGTATTGGCATCCAAAAACACCCAGCGTAAGGTGGGGGGCTGTTCGCCGGTGATTGTGACCACGCCGGAGGTATTGTCAGGCGGGAAATCGGGGTGTGTGTAGAAGCCACCATTGAAAGGAGACATTCCCGCACTAGGGTGTTTTGTGATGTATAGCTGAGACACGACAATAATCAGTCACGGTGATCATGCATCATTTTGCGTGTGTTAATCTGTAACGATACTTACCTTGCCGTCTCGCCCCACATAAACGCGGGCATTTTGAACCTGCTCGCGTTGACTCTGAGTGCCTTGGGTAATGGCGCACATTGCCACCAGATGGCATCTTTGCTTGCGCGATGTGCTTCGGCGACTGTCCTCTTGGTCGCGGGTGGCTTTGCTGGATTCGTTGAGGCCGTACATCGTCGGCAGCATCGCCGTCATCATAACTATGCCGAGAACCATTGTGAAAATGCGGGCGTTCTCAACTCTGGCGAGAGCGAAAATTTCAAGTTTGTGTATGATCGAGGCGTGGAGTAACACGCAGGCGCGTAATGGATAAATACAGCTTTCAGCTCTCCCCGCTAGCGGTGGAGTGTCGATGACACTAGGTCCGAGTGAGTCCACTTTTTGTCTCCATGTGTTGCATCATCTTCTGCAACTAACTGAATTAGTTCCACGCGCGTCTTGATGTACGAACAGGTCGCAAGCACACGGACTCGATGGCTGAGATGGCGCTGAGGTGATGTGCAGATCTTCAAAGGACCTCAGCCAGCTTCGCCGTCATAGCATGGCCAAGTGGAACTTGCATAGTTCTTGTCAAATGAGAAAATACCTCGCAAACCGGAGAGACCGTGTACTCCGTATCATCTGGCTTCTCGCCTAGCAGGGGAAGTATTTATGCCCTGTTCTTTCTGTTCTTCTCCGCTCAATTCGCCGCAATCTCTCACAACCCTAAAACATTCAGAAACACCATGTCCGATTTCAGGTACTTCTAAACCCTCCCACCCCAACCCAATCTTTCCCTCTCGTCAAGCAATTCCCCCTTCAATTACCTGCACAATGGGCAAAAAGAGCAAGGCCCAAAAAGCCAAGGCTAGGGAGCTATCTTCCATCCCAACAACGAGCCCGGAGCATCCACCAACCGATCTACCTACTCCTCCATACGATAAACCCGTCTATGATGAGACTGACTTTCCTCCGCTCCCGCATAGCCCCGTGAACGATACTCTTCCCGGTAACCGCAGGGGCAGTGGGGACACCGAGGACGTCAGCCCCGGTAACGAGGTCGAGAAAGCCGCCGGCGGTCTCGCAAAGGCTGCCAACGGTGATCTCGACAAGGGCTCCGCCGGTGGCCTGAAGGTCCCCGGCAAGACCGAGGGCAAGGACGACAACGGCTCCCTCCAGATCAAGATCCACCTCAACCTGCACGCCAAGGTCAAGCTTGAGCTCGACGCTCAGGTCTACGGTGACATTGTCATCGGACTGCTGTGATCGTACCTGTTTATATTCGTTTATGGTTAAGGTACGTTGGATATCTTGGACAGGGGTGGGGTGATGCATTGTTCCTGCATTATACTAGCCATTCCGTGCTCCTGCATGACTCTAGTTCTGCTCTGACAGCTTCCTATAGGGCAATTTGCTAGATTGGATCCGGAAAGGTCGGGCCAGGGGCCCATGACTGTTACACTGGAATGCTTATGACTGTATGTAATCAACCTATCGGGTGTGTGCCACCCTTCTAGTGCTTTTTTCGACGTTTTGCCGCTTATAGATCGTATTTTCGTACGGACGGTGCATCCTTCTTGATTCACCTTTGGCTAAAGCATCCACCCATTCATATCGTTAGACTTGGGAGGCCTGGGTAGATAAGCCCAACTTGTTCATACGTGAGACTATGTTTGCCCTAGATCTGCGGAGTAGACAATTCAGGGTGGACTACCATAGGCTACGGGGTTATACTTCAATTTCCGCGCCCTGATGTATGGCTAGGCCGTTAGGGCTTAGAGACTAGGGCATCCCTAGGGCATCCCACGGGAGAAAACCTCAAAAAGACCCTTAAGAGAGGGCCTTTTCTTGAAATGCACAGGAAAATCCACGAAAAGCGGAAATTGAAGTATACATCTCCTGATATCATCACTCAGCTCTAGTCTTCCACGTAAGACAGGTAGCTTCCAAGGCTGGCTACGGGCTTCCAGCGCGCTGTCTTCCTTGCCCACGCTCCATGGTTGAGCCATGTGAAGGATCGCAAGCCCCATATTGCTCGTATCTTTACACAAACCTACCCAGCACCCTTGTGATACAAGCTGGTGCGAAGTAAACCGTGGAACTGTTCATTGAGCTGATCCGCATGGAAGTACCTAGTATGCACGACATACATTGCTCCTTTCTACTAGCTGTACAGAATTCCCGGGTTATGATAAACACATGTATTTCAATTCCAAGGTCGGAAAGAATATGGACAATGTCGAGTGAATTAAAAGGTTTCAAGGTAAGGTAAGATATACACAACCCTCACCAAGATCTGCAAAAGGACCAAACTGAGCCGGGGTATCTCGATCTGCACTGAAAAGCAGATGTGAAAGACTCAAAACAAAAACAAAGAGAGAGGAAACGCCCTTGGTCCCAACACTGGGCAGGACATGACAAGGCCTCGCTATGACCATATTAAAAGACAAGGAAGGAATATGAAAGATATACACAATCACTTAAGCTGGCCCTTGCGCACAGTTCCAAAGCCCTGACTGAACAGTTCCTGGATTTCAAGAGATGGTCGTCTCTCGGGTTCCGGGCGCGCAACACTTCCATTATGACTGGCTGTCGCGCTGGCGCTGGTATACCCATCCATTTCGTGTTCCACGGCATGGGGCTTATCCATAACGCGAGGACGAGCGAGAAGTTCACGGACCTGGCGTTCGCGAGCATCGAGTTCGGCGATCTCTTCCTTTTCGCGGGCGAGCTCGAAACTGCTTTTCTTGGATCCGTGGTCCCAGCCCTGTTGCAGTTCTGAGGCGGCGGCTTCTTCGAAGCGTTTGCGGATGTCGAGATCTTGTTCGTATTCTTGGAAGATGTCGACGTCTGTGGGGAAGAAGAGGGCTCGGAGGGTGGAGACGGTGAACTCGAAGAGGAGGACTGCTGTCACGGAGAGGAGGAGAACGACCCAGAAGAGGAGGTTGTGGCCGCTGTGGTGGAGGAAGTTTCCGGGTACAAAGTACACGCCTTTGCCGGATGACATTGTGTATTCGCGGTCGAGGATCATGTCCCAGACGAACCAGCCGCCTACGGAGATGATGATGACTGCCAGGGACATGTAGGTTTTGTTATGGACTTCCAGGGCTTGGAGTTTGACGTTGATGACGATGATGCAGGCGGAGAAAGTCATTAGACCCAGTGAGAAGATGTCGTTGCCACTTGGATTCACGCGGGCGAGACCGTAGAGTGACCACATTGTGAAGAAAATGATGACTGCTTCACAGGTTGCCATGAAGGACCAGCCTAGGTAGAGCCATATGTTGAAGCCGCCGTGCTTTTGGCCTTTGGTGTACAACTCCGGTACGGCTAGGAGGGTTGGGGCCGCGAGATCCTTGGTGAAGATGCCGAGGAAAATCACAGCGAGCGATGTGAAGAGAGTGTTGAACATGGACAAACTCCATGGCTCGTAAAGACTTGTACCGGTATAGCCGTTCCAACGCTGGTAGAGCGCTTGGGTGAGGTAGAACAACATCTCCTTCCAGAAGGTACCGAGGGTGTACTTGCAAGCGCGCATGTAGTTCCAGCGACCGTGGACGAGAAGCAGCTTGAGAAGGAAGCGGAATTGCGCGATCGAGTAATCTGAAATACGTGCCGCCTGCAGTCCTTCTTTGCCGGTGATGCCAATACCAACATGAGCCTCTTGGATCATGGCAATATCGTTGGCACCATCGCCAATAGCAAGAGTGACAGCATCGTCCAGATATTTGCGAATAGACTTGACGAGGAAAGCCTTCTGCTTCGGACTTGCTCGGCAGCAAATCACCGAATCGACCTTGATAGCGAGCTGGAAGAACTTTTCACACAAGAGTTCATCAGACTCAATGTATGTGAGTGTCTGTCCATCGACAACAGCCACAGAGTGAGCCACGCGGCCACGGGTGATTTCACCAACAAGGTGATCGATAGTCTGTTCGACATCACCATTTTCTTGGTCCAAGATAGTCAGTGTCGAGTACTCCTTGACTAGGCGACAAGAATGACCGACATTGATGGCAGTTTCCCGCTTGTCACCCGTCAACATCCACATCTTGATATTCGCACGTCGCAGCTTATCGATGGCTTCTGGGACTCCCTTCTGCAACTTGTCCTCAATGGCAGTAGCACCGGTCAATTCAAGAGACTTCTCAATGTCTTCGCCGACCTGCTCGATCTTTTCCTGGCGATCAACGAGACTGGTGCAGGCTTCGTTGTACGCAGTCTTCCAAGTCGAATAGGTATTCTCATCCAAGAATCGATGACCATACAGCAAAGTGCGCAGTCCATCGGTAGCGAAATCATTCAGGTGCTGGAAACAACGCTCGAAGATGGCAGTCTCATTGACGACCAATGACTCTTCAACGAGATCCTCATCTTCGCCATTCGTCTCGCTACCAGAGTCGGAAATCGCAGCAGAGGGTCTGCCCATCTGCGCTGATGGCCGAGGGCTGTAATACTCGCTATCAGCCTCTCGGTTCAACATTCCACCATCAGTCTCGCGATCACGAAGCCAGACATCAATGCTCGCGCGAAGAGCCGAGCCCTGTTGACCAGTGATTGACGATCGACGGCGCGTGAAGCTAGGTCTCGTCATGGAACTCCGTGTAGAGTTCTTACGAGAGTGGTGTTCACTATTGCGTCTGATGACTTGGTTGGCCTCGGCATTCTTGCGTCTGCTGGCGCGGCGCTCGATCTCGGTCGCCTTTTCGTGGGCGAGGGAAGCTTGCTTGAGGAGAGACATAAGAGTGGTGTCTGCTCCTTTGCAGAAGAGGCAGATGCGTTGGTCGGGCATACGGACAATCACCGACATGCGTTTGCGGGCGGACGAGAATTCAATCACGTCCATGATTTCGTAGGTCTCGTCGGATGTTGCCTCATCTGGTCCGTTGGGATGCGTCCGGATAGTCAAAGTGTTGGATTGGCGGTCGAGGACGAGGTAACCTAGCTCTTGGGCTGCAAGGACTAGAGCAAGCTCGTCGGGTGAGGATGCTTGGAAGGTTGTGCTGCCGGATTCGTCATTTTCGGGAATGCATGTGTGGCATAGAGCCATGGAAAGAATGAAAAGTTTGGCTTTCCGCGCAAAGATGGTGTATGGTTTGCGTTGGATGTAATCAATCATCTCCGCTGTGCGATAAGTTGTGGCAGAGCGGCCGGGTTTGGGTTGATCAATACCAGAGAGGTTTGATGGGCGAGGCATTTGCATTTCTGAAACGTTCGATTTGCGTCCAATGGCCTTCTTACCCTTTGCGCTGCGCTTTTTGTGAATGAGCTTGGTGTGGTCACCTTCACGAGCGGCTTCTTCTTGGAGATCCGCATCATGCAGCCATGCGGTACCAGCAACGCTCATCTTGCGGAATCGCATGGAGTTGTTTGTCAAGGTACCAGTCTTGTCGGAGAAGATGTAGCTGACTTGGCCGAGTTCCTCGTTGATAGTCGAAGTCCGAGCCTCGAGAGGGGTGTCCGTCTCAGGATCATACATGTCAATGTCGTTGAGAAGTAGCATCTGCGCAACTTTCACAATTTCCATACTCACGTAAAGCGAGATTGGAATCATGGTATTGAACATGATCAGGAAGGAGGTGAAGATAGGCCCGTAGCTGACGCTGGCATCGCTGAGATACCAGGACGTTTGTTCCACATCGCGAGACCAGAACCTGTAGGCCACGGTGCAGACAACAGCCAAAAGCACGACCAAGACAACGATCATCATGACAACACGATTGACCTTGGCTTGAAGTGAAGGCTTCTTGATCCGTGGGTTCTTGTTGGCATTCATGCGAATCTTGCATTCTTCTCCGGTATAGATTACCATGCCGAGGGCACGGTCTGTGTTGCGAAGAATACTACCACGGTAGGCGATCTCATTGTTGGTGAGAGGAATCTTCTCCTGCGCATTGACAGTAACGTGGCCGTCAAACTTGTACAGGTCGAGGTTGGGGTCTTCCACAACAAAGTGCAACGAATTGCTGGTGATATCCTCGATTGTGGAGCAAACCTTGGAAACAGGCTGACAGGGCTGTTTGTTCTTGAGGTTTGTCTCACCATCCAGAGCCATGGTCTCAATGTAAGCAACACCATTGGGACCACTGGCGTGAAGCAAGGCAATATCTGCGGGGATAGGCTGGTCACGATGGAGCTTGATAACGTCTCCAACACGAATATCCTCCCACTTGATACGCAGCCAATCCTGTGCGTTGCTGACCACTGAATCCGAATCGGAAGATTTTCCATGGGCAGGCCGGAGCACCCAAGCATCGCGGTTGTTCTCCTCTTTATCAAGGCGATATCGCCTCCAATCATCGAAGCCCTCTTTTCCCATGGAGATTCCAACGAAAATCAACAGCGGCACAATGGTCGTATACGTTCCAGTCGTACTGAGTCCGGGGATCATTTGCAAGATGGCGACAATCAAAAAGTAGAAATTGGCGACTTTGGTGAACTGCGCGAAAAACTGTCGCGGGAAGAAACTCCAAAGACTATATCGGCTGGACCGAATGTAGTTTCCAATGTAAGCCTTCCCTGTTCGCTCATCCAGCATCGAGTCCACCAGGGAAGGATTCAAATCAAGATGTCGGCCGTCCTTGGTAGGTGGGATATCCTTGATCCTGAGGATGAATTTTTGCGCCGAGGTCAAAGCCGCCTGGACACGCGCCACGGCGACATCTTTCCTGGAGAATTTCTTCGCCCATCGTTCCTGGGCGAGTTCCTTGAACGCCTTCTCGGATGGCTCAGATGAGACATACGTGGTCACCTCCTCTTTATGGGTCGAATCAGTCGTTGGCGCCGCACTCAATTCATTCTTCTCGTTTTTCTCATTCGCTTCTGGCTCCCGAGCCTCCCCAAGCTCAGCTAGGGCCAAATCATCCTTTGCCTCAGCCGAGGTAATGGTTTTATTAAAGATCGAGCGCCGGAGGGAGTACCCACGGTTTCGCGAGCGAGACCGACCGGCGGGCTCGACTGGAGACACGGGCGAAAGTGAAGATTGCGCATTCGGCGGAGAGAGGGGTGAGGTAGGCGATCGCGCAGTGGTAGGAACGGTCGGAGGCGCCAGCGCCGTGTTGATGGTTAAATCGCGGGAGATGGGTCGTGTTTGTCGCTCCTCGTCACGGTCCACATCTGAGGAGAAGCGAACATGTTGCGAGGAGATCCGTCGCCCTGACTCGGAGAGGGCTGAGACGAGTGGTGGTCGGTCATTCTGTTCGGAATGGCGTTCGTTGGACATGGCGGGCTCGAATTCCGCGGGACAGGCCCGACGATCTCGGTATCTCGATTCTTTTTTCTTCTCTCTCTTCCCCGATGGCTGATTCTTCGTACCTCGGGGGAATTATTAAGTTATTCAATCACACTGGCAGTGGTCCGATTGTGACTGTTCATTCTGGGACGTTCCCCTATCGCGAAACGAAGGTGATGCGGTAGTAACGAGGGTTGGACGCAAGGACAACGGCAGGGCGCAACGATGAACCCTTTCCCAGAGACACAAAGGATAAAGAAAAGAGAGGGGTGACTCGAGGAAACCAGAGAATAGACAACAGACAACAGAAAACAGAAAACAGACAGCCAAGACCAACTTTGGAGGCGAGAACACACGGATCCGGTAATGAACCCGAAACGGTCTAGTGGCCAGGATCGGCAGACAAAATCTGTCAGTTGGTGTCGGTTTTCAGCCGAACATGATAGGCACAGAAACCATTCAAGAGTGTGGATTCAGTGGGACAGTCGAGGCGAAAATCTACAAAAGTCCGTCCTATGGTTCTACTGTCTGTACGCGCAACTGGGCACAGGACACAGCCCCCCCATCCACGCAAGTCCGCGCAAGCGGGTTAAGAATAGCCGAGACATTCAGTCTGGGGTTCGCATTGGTCAACATTCCCCAGGGTCTGACTGAATTCGGTCTGACGATTAACCTAGACTAGCTAGCTATACATCGATTCGTACTAGTACTTCTGTAAATTGAAGTATACTTCATGCTCGGTACTAAAGTATAGTACAGTACTCCATACATGTACTTGAAGTCGCCACCACAACCCTTGGAAAGACTATAATTGGGAAAACTCTGAATAAGATTAACGTTAAAAAGCGAAACAAGGTACCACTTGACGCCGTGACAGAGTGGTCCTTTGGGGTAACGCCCCATGACGTCACACTCCACTAATACCGCTGGCCGTAGGGTGGATAGCCAGGCTGGGATCCATAGGGCTGCTGGCCATATGCCCCACGCGATGCCTGATATTGAGGCTGGCCCTGGGACGGTGGGTAGCCTTGGGGTGGGTATCCAGACTGACCGTAGGGAGCACCGGGCGGTGCGCCGGGTGGTGCGCCATACGGAGGGCCTTGGCTGTGACCTGGGGGAGGCCCAGGAGGGGCGCTATATTGCTGGCTTTGGTTTGGTGGAGGTCCAGGAGGGGCGCCATACTGTTGGCTTTGGTTTGGTGGAGGTCCAGGGGGTGCGCCATATTGCTGGCCTTGGCTTTGAGGCCGCCCAGGAGGCGCACCGTACTGACCCGCACCACCTTGGGGAGGCCCTTGAGAGGGATACCCGCCGCCGCCATACTGGCTGGTCGAGCCCTGAGGACCACCACCCCGACGTGCGTTATCGCGCTCGTCTTTGGTATCGTAAGATGAATCGATAGCACCGAGCATGAGTTTGGCGCACTAAGGAAAGTCAGTCACTGTTGGGTACAGTATGTGGATGACACAGGAACACATACCCAGAGTTCACGAGTGAGGTGTACCGGAGGATTAGCGCGGGACATCTCATCCTGCTCCACCTCGAAGTCTAGAACACGTCAGTCGGGAAACCATGTGGGGGGACTCCAGGGCACGAACTGGAGGTACAGTCAATCAAGTGACCGATGTGGGGGTCCTCATCGAGGGCAGACAAGAAGTCGCGAGCGCGCTGATCAGTGCCAACCTGTGAGAACTGGAATGCGACGGCACCTGCTCCATAGCGAGTTCGGGAGGTCTCATCCACAGCGTAGCGAATGACGTCGCCCACAGCACCGTGTGGCTCACCAGCCGGCTGTCCGTCAGTAATGGTGATTACGAGTACGGGCTTGTCCAGGCGGTTTGCACGAGCAGGCTCCACGATCATCGGCTCCACAACCTTGGTCTTGAGGTTGGTGCCGAGAGGCGTCAGGCCTGAGAAACGGACTCGAGAGACAAGCTGGTTCACATCTTCGGCGTCACGGATACCATCGCCCTTTTCAGAAGAGTTCATGAACCGCACAGAGATACCATCCTGGTCGAAGGTCGAAGCTGCAGTTGCGACAATGCCGAGAATCTGTCTCAGTTGATCCTTTCGCAGACCCTTTTCTTCGAATTCAATCGATCCGCTGTCGTCAACGTACAGAATGACGTCGAAAAGCGAGAGTTTCATCACGTCTGTGGCGACTTCCATTGGTACGGCCCATTCGTGAATCAGTCTGGCAAGTTTGCCAGGTGCCTCTGCGGCAAGGTTCTGCACGAGTCGGTCGAGGCGGTCGGGTGGGTAGAAGCTTTGAAGGTTCTTCTCTTGAATCGTGGCAATCAGCAGGGAGCGGTAGGCTGCAACTTGCTGCTGAGTTGCTGGGGGAGCTGGACCACCGGGGGCACCACCGGGAGCACCATACTGGCCTGGTGGACCGCCTGGGCCTGGAGAGGGAACAGGGCGACCCTGAGGCTGTCCGCCGGGGTAAGGAGCACCCTGGGGATATGATGGCGCCTGGTTCTAGGTTCGTCAGCACGTTTCTTCACGAGGCAAGATAAAGAAGTTCATGAAACAAGGCACGAAGTGTTGCGCAAAGACAAAGGGCACGGGGTATTTTGTACATAAGGCGGCTGCTGTCCAGGATACGGTTGTTGTCCAGGATATTGTTGCTGTCCAGGGTATTGTTGTTGCCCAGGGTATTGTTGTTGTCCAGGGTATTGTTGCTGCCCAGGATAGCCTTGCGGTTGCTGGCCGTAAGATTGTCCAGGCTGTTGACCCGGGTGTGGCGACGCCGGGCTATAGGGCTGCTGTGGCTGTTGGCCTGGGTAGGGCGAAGACGCGGCGGCGTAGGGCTGGCCTTGTGGCGGCGGTGGAGGCGGGCGGTTGTAGCCCTGCGCGCCTGGCGATGCGGGGTAGGGCGACTGCGATGGGGGAGGTCTGGAATAAGAAGGAGTGGATGGCGCCGGTGATGGATTGTAGGACTGGTAGGGAGCGGATGAGCCGTTTTGATAGCCTTGGTAGGGATTCGACATTTCGGTGGTTGTGTCCGGGAAAGATCCAAAGGTCGCGACTTCAAATGTTCGGAGGTGGGGGGGATGACAGAAAGAAAATTAAATATTGCTTACCGATCCCTGAGGGGCTGGGGATCCTGAATAAGCCTGATATTGTTCATTCTGATGCGAATTAGCAAGTCTCCTTAGTACTGTACATGACGTCGCAGATGTAGGAACCGATGTACAATGTATGCAGATATGACTTACGTGTCCGGCCTGCAGCGCGGAGGGAGGTCCCCCAGTGTACCCGGACGGAGGCGCACCACCGTAAGTGCCACTGGACATCTTTTCGTTATTCTGGCTGGCAGCGATTTTCTGAGCAAACTAAAGACAGAATCAGCCCTGGAGACTACGATGCCAGACACCAAAGAAGAAACTTACACCCATGATGTATGATGGGAAGGAGGGGTAGAAGTAAGGGTGGGATGAGAGAAAAACCAAGACTTCAGTGTCTCACGGGGTGAGGATTCAATGACGTTGCCTGATGTGGATAGGCGCCCCTCTTATTTGAGGCTGAGCTGTATAACACGGGTACTTCGGGATACTCGGCGTCCCGGGGTAAATTGGCAGTAAACGAGGTACCGTCAAGTACCTTTAACATGAAGTCACCGGGTCATCAGATGTACTGCATTTTCGAGGTTAGGCGTCAAAGTTCTACTTTTCAGTCGCATATACTTGATTTGCCTCGATCAGTTCGCTGATCAAGAACACATGCGCAGTGGTCAGCCCCACATTCTGCGATGCTTCCAGAAGCTGTGGGCTAACCTGACAAGGCTGTGCCCTGCATGGGATACGAATACGTGCAAATCACCACTCACATCATATAGTGTGATCCATACTTGTGCCGTCGCTGGGCCAAACTTGGAATCTGAAGTGGTATGGATTAGAGATAAATATTTTGAAATCATGACGCTCGAATATGTACGCCTTCAATCTCCGAAGTACCTGCCTAGACAGATACCTTCACGGTGATACACAGCCCATAATATGAGTTCCATTCTTGGCAAGGAAGCCTTGGAAGTCTCATCCATGGATGGTATATGGAACAGGTAGCTGGTAAAGGGACTCACTGACTCGCATGCATACACACACCTCGCAGGACAGGGACTCCTTGCATAGAAGATGTCGTAGGACTCATCATTGAAACAATTAGATGCAGCACCTACCTAGGTGAGTTCATATCAGAAAGTTGGCATGAATCATATATAGAATATTGGCTGGTCCTAACACTCGATAGAGTGAAGTACAACCTGACGAAGATCATCGGAGCTGGCATCCGATGATAACCCCGCCTAACGGGTGCGAGCACCCGATCGTCAACCAGACGAGATCAGGTCTATCATCCAACGGATACTCAGGGCCTCAGATATAACCTTTTTTTTTTCAAACCTCCTCTTATTTACACTGACCTCTTCCGAGATCTATACCATCGATCATGGATCTTGCCCAAAAGTTTGACAAGGCCTCTGATGCCCTCAAATGCATTGACATGCACACGACAGGCGAGCCTACACGAATCATATACTCTGGGTTTCCTCAACTCCATGGCACCCTCTTAGAACAGCGAGATCAAGCCAAAACCAAGTACGACAACATCCGGAAACGAATCATGCTCGAGCCGCGAGGCCACTTCGACATGTACGGTGCGATAATGATCACCGATACAGAGCTTGTTCAGAGCGGAGAAGCCCATATAGGGACCCTCTTTACACACAATGGGGGCTTCTCTACCATGTGCGGTCATGCTACTATCGCATTGGGGCGCTTCCTCGTCGATACTCATGACCTGAGCGTCTTTCCCAAACGAGATGAACTAAAAGTTGATCCAAAGACTCAGACTGTCGATGTCAACATTCATGCCCCTTGTGGCTTGATTCGTGTCACTGTTCCCACCACCATAGATGGTCGAGAGTCCGATCCCTCGCGCCCAGTGACATTCGTTTCAACACCTGCGTATGCTGCAGCAATCAGGCTGACCATTCCCATTCCCCCTGAAAAACAATGGGCTGAGCTTGAGGGTCGAGATTCAATTACTCTAGACATAGCTTATGGGGGTGCTTTCTATGCGTTGATCGATGCCAAAGAGCTTGGTTTCAGCGGTCTGAGTAAGATCGATTTATCATCAATTGGGAACGTTGTCAAAGGCCTCAAGGCTTACTTGGAAGCCCAACCGGACGTCATCCAGGCTCTGCAACACCCTGAGGATCAACGACTGTCTTTCCTTTACTCCATCATGGTCGTGGACCAGGGCATTGGATCAAGACCACCTGGAGCGGCCGGTGCGGAGACGGGGCTCTGTTTCTTTGCAGAGAACTCAGTGGATCGATCTCCAACGGGCTCTTGCGTTACTGCTCGTATGGCCCTTGCCCATGCGAAGGGTCTGAGGCCTTCTGATCAAATCTGGGCCTACAATTCTCTGGTATCGAACCGCTTCGATACTGGGGCATTCACCGCAACAATTGTCGAGGAGGGGATTTTACTTCGGGGGGATAATGGCCCGGACAGACAGGCAGTGCTTGTGCGCGTGGAAGGAAAGGCTTATTATACCGGTGCACTTACATTCATTGTTGAGAAAGACGATGTGACCAGCGAAAGTGGATTCACTATGGGAGAGTGCTCAGGTTGAGGTTTACAAACGTGAAAAGGAGAATTCAGGGATGTCGCTCAATCTGAGCCCTGGAGACTATTTCAATTCTGTGTGATCAATGTAGTATACCTAGATCTGAACAAACTTAGTCACGGACCTCGGGACGCTTGCCATGACCTTGAACTACCTAGGTACCACGTAGGTAGGTTTCCAATGTTGACAAGAGAAGCTTATACTACCTACCCAGGTGGTATCAAACGAACACCGAGACAAGGGGCGTTTGACTGCACTGTTTGCTAAAAGCCTTGTTTGAATGTCTTGAGATCGTGATGCAGGATGCGTAAAAATGGGATTGTCAAATTATCTTCAGCAATATATATCGACCGAGCTTTGCATAGTAGAAGCCGACAGCTCTTGAGGAACAATAAAGAGGTACTGAGAATGATCAAAATGCGAGAGCAAGTCATCACCGAAGAAAAATTCATTAAAAGTATAGCCTCAGAAATGCAGAGAGAATGAATTAAGAAAGGAAGCCAAGCTGGGGGTGGGACTTCGAAGTTGATCATCTGCAGTCCCAAGGGCGGTCGAGATTCCCCCAAAATTATTTTTTTGTCGCAACGCCGCATTTCTCAACACACTATCACTCACAATGGCCGCCCCAGTACCATTAGATCGCATTCCTCCCACGACGACCGCCTACGTGATCGCCACGGCCATTCTTGCAGGTGTCACTGGATACTTCATCGGCCAAGGCTCCTCGCTCAACCTCTTCAAAGAAAAGAAAGAAGGTTGGCCCAACAGCTACGATGTGAAGGTCCACAGCCACTCCTCCGACGAAGAGGACCACTCCGAAGAAGAGACCGAGGAGGAAGATGAGGAAGACGAGGGCAACGGCGAGGAACTGGCTAGCTTCAAGGACAACACCGAGGAGGTCAAGTTGGTGCTGGTCGTTCGTATGGACCTGGGCATGACCAAAGGTATGCACTCTACGGATGTCGCTCTCTGCAAATGCTAATGACCCTTCTCTTAGGCAAAATCGCCGCCCAGTGCTCCCACGCTACCCTCGCTTGCTACAAATACTTCCAAGAATTTGCGCCCAACTCGCCCATCCTCAAGAAATGGGAGCGTGGTGGCCAGGCCAAGATCGCCCTGCAGACTAGGTCCGAGGAGGAAGTGCTACTCATGCAGGCCCAGGCCATGAGCCTCGGGCTTTGCGCGCGCGTGATTCAGGATGCTGGTCGCACTCAGATCGCAAGCGGCAGCAAGACGGTGCTTGGAATCTTGGGTCCCAAGAGTGTGGTGGACGGCGTGACGGGCCACTTGAAGCTTTTGTAGATTACATGCGCTTTTGTATACACTAGGCGACGATGATCATGACCTCAATGAAGAGCTTGCGGATATGACGCACACAAAGCCATCGCGATATACGGCATGTCAGGGCTCGACAAGCTGTCAGAAGCCCGCTTCAGACCTGTGCTGTTCCCTAGGAGACGGATCTCACTGAGGAGTAGCATTTTGGTAGTTTCCTTCTTTACAGATACAAAAGCTAGACTAAGGGATGTGGGCAGTCATGGTTATTCCCTAACCTCAGCGGCCAACGGCCAATCGGCAAAGAGACATGAAATATGACGCCGGCTGACACCAAGCTGTCAAGCCGAGCTCACCAGTGGGAGCTCAAGACCCGCAACACAAGGCGCAGACATTTGATCTGGGATCTGTCGACCGGAAACCGTAAAGGCCATCTACGCAAAGTTATGATGGCTCCATTCAGTCGAACTGCCCAGCTCTCAACCATCACACAATAACCAGTCAGACTGGAACCATGGACAGGAAATCTGGACACAAATCCGTGTTTTGGTGAAGAAAAGAAAAGAGAAAGAAAGGGCGGAAGAGCTTCTTATTTATGCTGAAAGTGGGGCCGCTAAGATTTTAAACCACTAGGCCGCATGGGGACTAGCACGGTCACGTGCCACGATTGCGGCTATCTTGCTGTTGCGCAACGGCGACAATCAGCCCGACTCATCTCTTTGTTTCGCCCTCTCTTCAGATCCCGTCAAAATGGCGGACGCTCTCTCAATCGAACAGAACAACAAAATTCGAGCCGCAGTCGGTCTCCCACCACTCCCTGTCCCTGGCGCCGGTCCTGAATTCCAAGAATCCGACAGCGAGTCCGGTGAGGAGGAGGAACAAGCCAGCACCGTTGAAACGCGACAGGCGGCCGGGTACGACAACTGGAAGAAACTCCAAGATGATGCCGAAGCGAAGCGAAAGAGGGACGAAAAGAACGCTGCCATTAAGAAAGCGCGCGATATCGCTCAAAGAAACATTCGACTTCAAGGCGCGACTCTAGGAGAGGAAAATGGCGCCGAACTCGATACCAAGGCCTGGTTAGCCCAGTCCAAAAAGCGCACCAAAAAGATCGAGCAAGAGCGTGCTCGCAAAACTGCAGAGGAACTCGAAGAGCGTGAGCGCCTCGCTGCGGCCGAGTACACCGCTGCGGACCTGGCTGGTATCAAGGTCGGACACTCCGCGCGCGACTTTGATGGCGGCGAAGATCACATCCTCACACTCAAGGATGCCGCGGTAGACGATGATGAGGAGGTGGATGAGCTTCAGGACACAGCCTTGGTTGAGCATGAAAAGCTACAAGAAAAACTGGAACTGAAGAAGAAAAAGCCTGTCTACGACCCCCATGCAGAGAGCCAGGGAATTCTATCCCAGTACGATGACGAGATCGACGGCAAAAAACGAAAGAGATTCACACTGGATGCTAAGGGCTCAAATGAAGAGCGCGAAGCCAAGCGCCAAGAAGTGTCGAATCAACTAAAGAAGAACACCATCAACCTCGAGTTCGAACCAGAGGTACCGGCCTCTGACTACATGGATATCAGTGAGGTCAAGATCAAAAAGCCCAAGAAGAAGAAGGCCAAAACTACGAAACAGAGGGCTGTTATGGACGAGGATGACCTTGCCCCGCCACCCGAGAGTACCGACACCCCAGGAAACTCGGCCATGGACATTGATTCCAGTGCGGGTGTACCAGTCCCTGCCCGCCGCAAGCCCGTCACCGAAAATGTTTCTTTCGCCGATGATGACGATCTCCAAGCCTCTCTTGCGTTGCAACGGCGCGCCGCTTTCAAAAAGCGCAAGAAGCTCAGTCCAGAGGATCTTGCCCGCCAACTTCGCGAAGAGGAGGCCCAGACCCCGATGGAAGTTGAGAATGCGGACGAAGAAGATGAACCTGGTCTTATTATTGACGAAACATCCGAGTTTGTCGCCAACTTAGACAAATCCGCTGTTTTGGAATCCGAAGAGAAACACAAGGCTGCCCATCGGCCAGCGCAGAGAGAGGAACCTACCCATACAGAGCCTGAACCTGCGTCGGAGCCGGAGGGCGAAGGCGAGGGAGTTGAGGTCGACATGGACCGCTATGGCGACGTTGAAGATGAAGAGGAGCTTGCCAACCGCATCAAACGTGATGAAGCGGCTCAGGCTCAGGCTCAGGCTCAGCCAGAAATCACAGGCACCGGTCTGGAGGAGGAGTCTACATTGGACGAAGGTCTTGGAGCCACTCTCAAGATGCTGCGATCACGCGGTCTTGTGAAAGACAACAATGGCGGTGCCCAGAACGCGCTCATGCGAGACCGCCAACGCTTCCTCGCCAATAAAGCCAATCGCGAAACCGAAATTGAGCGCCGCGCACGCCAACAGCGCGAGCGCGACCGTGCCTCTGGCAAACTTGATAACATGTCAGCGCGCGAACGTGAAGAGCACGCGCGGCGGGAAAACAAGCATCGCGAGCAGCAAGAAGGGCGGCATATGGCCGAGGCCTTCAATCGCGATTACAAGCCAGATGTTCAGCTTCGTTATGTCGACGAGTTTGGCCGTAACATGAACCAGAAGGAGGCGTTCAAGCAACTCAGTCACCAATTCCACGGCAAGGGCAGTGGTAAGATGAAGACGGAGAAGCGCCTGAAGAAGATCGACGAGGAGAAGAAGCGTGAGGCCGCGAGTGCCTTGGACAGTAGTCAGAATGGCGGCATGAATAACGCTGTTGGTACCGCTGCGCGCAAGACTGGCCAGCCCGGTGTTCGCCTGGGTTGAGCCCTGTACATAGAGCCCAATACCACCATACCCTCGTAACTACATATAATACCTGCATATTCACCCCTAAAAGGGTAATTTTCCGCGTTAGCTATGTCCTCCCGAGCTACGTAATGATCTATCGACGTCTCCGCATGTGGGGATATCAGTGTTTTTTTACACAATTTTGTTACGCGAGATTTATTTGCTTTTTGCTCTCGGGAGAGAAGCCTATCTATAGCTCCATTGAGCAGAGGGTTATGGAGTGGCCGATCTATGTATCAATGCTACTAACTAGTTAGTGTGCTAGTCCCTTGTAAATCTCACACACCTCGTTTTACCCCAACTGTGCGTGAGGGGAATAGTGTGGAGAAGAAGCTCGATCAGTTCACCGGGGACACAAGTTCCCGGCGAGAAAAGGCCGGGGTTAATGGGCTGATGCGTTGCACATTCTCGTGAGAGTGTGAATATGTCGACATTCCGCATGTAGAAATATTATGAGGGCCAGTAGCACATCCAGTATCAAGTAAACAACCCTGGAGATTCGCACTTAAACAATTAACCGTGAGGGTACTCCGTAGAGCCAATCCTCGCACATCTGTCCGTAAAAAGTACTGGGTACCTGGGCCGCAGTGACGCTGCATACCGCCAAGAAGGTACCCGGTACCGCCAATCCGTGACTCAGGCAAAAAAACATCGGGACTGTGTCTCCGACCCTTTATTACCTGCCTCCTTCCGGTTCTTCCCTTTCCCCTTCTCCAAATCTAGCTGCTAGATCTAGGTCTTGTTTTCCAATTTGATCTTTTTTCATCTCTGCAAACATGCTTTCCACTCTTCGTGTCGCCAGCCGGTCGGCTGCCTCCCGTGAGGCCAATGTGCGCACCGTGATGGTCGCTCGTCACGGCTCTACCTGGGCCAACGTGCCCCAGGGCCCTCCTGTAAGCTTTCTTCGGCTTCATGCGTGCAATTGGGGACTTGGAAAGAGCAATCCTAACGTCAATGGCTTTGTAGGATGCTATTCTCGGCATCACCGAGGCTTTCAAGGCCGACTCCTTCAAGGAGAAGATCAACCTCGGTGTTGGTGCTTACCGTAAGTCTGACCAGGAAGAAATGGCATGTCGCACAGTGAATGGGATTGCTGACAAGTCGGGGCCCGTACAGGTGACGACAAGGGCAAGCCTTACGTCCTGCCCTCCGTCCGCACCGCTGAGGACAAGGTTGTCGCATCGCGCTTCGACAAGGAGTACGCTGGTATCACCGGTATTCCTGCCTTCACCACTGCCGCCGCCGAGCTCGCTTACGGCGCCGACTCCTCCGCCATCAAGGACAACCGTCTCGTCATCACCCAGACCATCTCCGGTACCGGTGCTCTCCGCATCGGTGGTGCTTTCCTCAAGCAGTTCTACCCTGGCGCGAAGAAGATCTACCTTCCCAACCCCAGCTGGGCCAACCACAAGGCCGTCTTCTCCGACTCCGGCCTCGAGGTCGCTCAGTACAGCTACTACAACAAGGACACCATCGGTCTTGACTTCGAGGGTCTGATCGCTGACATCAAGGCCGCCCCCGAGCAGAGCATCATTCTCCTGCACGCCTGTGCCCACAACCCCACTGGTGTTGACCCCACCGAGGCTCAGTGGCGCCAGATCAGCGATGTCATGAAGGAGAAGAACCACTTCGCTTTCTTCGACATGGCCTACCAGGGCTTCGCCAGCGGTAACGCTGACAAGGATGCTTTCGCTCCCCGCCACTTCGTCAAGGAGGGCCACAACATCGCTCTGTGCCAGTCCTTCGCCAAGAACATGGGTCTGTACGGTGAGCGTGTCGGTGCCTTCTCCCTCGTCTGCGAGAACACCGAAGAGAAGAAGCGTGTTGAGTCTCAGATCAAGATTCTCATCCGTCCCTTCTACTCCAACCCTCCCATCCACGGTGCCCGTGTTGCCTCTACCATTATGAACGACCCTGCCCTCAACCAGCAGTGGCTCGGTGAGGTCAAGGGCATGGCTGACCGCATCATCGAGATGCGCTCTCTCCTCCGCACCAACCTCGAGAAGCTCGGCAGCAAGCACGACTGGTCTCACATTACCAGCCAGGTATGTTCCGTCCGTTCAACCCCTATTCACTCCAACTAACATGTTTCTAGATTGGTATGTTCGCCTACACTGGCCTCAAGCCCGAGCAGATGGATGCCCTCGCCAAGGAGGTAAGATCACCCAATCCGAATTCAAGGAAGACTGCTAACGCCTTGCTCAGCACTCCGTCTACGCCACCAAGGACGGCCGTATCTCCGTTGCCGGTATCACCTCCGGCAACGTGCAGAGACTCGCCGAGTCCATCTTCAAGATTACCGGTTAAATTTATACATAGGGATTTTGAAAAGATATACGATAAAATGAGCGCGGCGCGTGATAAACAGGGCCCGGGCAGGACTTGCATTGGACCGGCCCTTTTGTACTGATATCTAATCTCTCTGTTTCATATTTAGCATGGTTCGGCTGTGTCCGTCTTAACGGAGATCTTGGATTCTTTTACTTCACTTGGTCATTCTAGGGCTTGTGTCACTTAGACCGGACTGACAACATGGTTTATCCTGGTGTCTTTCAAGGTTGCATTTCAGAACGCCGGATCCTAGAGCAGGGAAAGGTAGACTTGTAATTTCACCTCTTGAAACATGGTCCAAAGACCTTTCAAAGATATGTCGGCCAGACACTGGTGTGAGGACCACAGCTATCAGGCCGAGATTTTTGAGTGCTCCGGTTCGCGGTGATGCCTGCCGCTTCATATTCCACCAAACCCTTCGACTATCTAAAGAACATCCATCACCAGGGTCTTCAATCAGTGGGCTCCAGGTCCGATCAAGTCTAGAAAGCAGAGCTAGTTTTGATTGAATGTGCACGAATCCACTCAGTCACCACCTGCCTATAATCCCAAGGCTTATATGGTTTCACAATCTCCGCCACGAAAGACCCCTTACGGTGATTCTCCAACCCCAAGTCCCGCACCAGAAGGTCAAAGTATGGAAGGGAATCGAATGCTAAATCCGCAACCTCACCTCCATACCCGCACGGATACCTCCATTTCCCCCACTGTGAATTGATCACTGCTTCCCTCACAGCATCGGCGTCATCAAAAGGGGTCCGATCTAGCTTATCGTCGAAATACGCCGAGATCCAAAGCCCCTGCAAGCTGGCGCAAGTGGATGTGCTCACGGATGAGACCATGCCTGCAAAGGCTAAGCTTCGATCTTCCCAAAGAGAAGGCGGAATCATGAAGCGATATAACAGCAAAGGATCGGACTTTTGGACTTGAGTGCGAAGCAGAGGCTGGGAACTGAGTATTGGGAATCGAGTCAGGATTTCTGCATTGGCTGCATCGAGAAGGTCTGTCATTTCAGCCATCGATCTTCGTGGTTTGATGTCCCAATTGCTAAATTTGAACCCGGGTGTCTTTCTCCAACCCGTTGCACATATCAGGGCATCGGCATTCAGGACTCTGCCGGTGGACAGGTGGACCTTCTTAGGACTGAGAAGGGTGATGTTCGCTGTGTGGACTCGTATCGTCCCGTCTTTGACAAAGTCGAAAAAGCTCGAATCATAATTGTGGATGCTCACTCCGCTGCCAGTCCAGAATGCCGATGTCCATGGTTTAAGAGGAGCAAGGTCTGGGTGATCGCAGTCGTCGTATCCATTAGCCTTGACTATATCCGAGCTTAACATGTGCCAAAATGCTTGCACTATCATTCGACCAATCCTGGTTCCATGAAGGAGTCTCCGGACTAGAGGGAATCCGTCCTCATCGCCCCATGGCGTAGGGCTCATCCAAGTGAGATAGCGGGTGTGAAGCAATTCCTCCATTTTTCTTTTGATTGGAGTCACGAAAGCCGGACAAAGCCAAACAGGTCCGTTTCCCTCAGGTCGAATCACCAAATCGACATGAACTCCTGCTTGTGCATATGCATAGGCTACATCAAATGCAGACTTCGCGCCTCCAACAACGACGACATCTTTGGGGCTACCGAGTGAACTGCATTGTCGAAAATCTTTCGCATGGAACAACGGAGCGTTGAATGACTCCTGTCCCGGGTATGATGGCATGTTAGGCGTTGAAGTCAAACCAGTTGCTATGATCAGCCTCCTTGTGCTAAGGGTAGCTGTCCCTGTCTCGGAAGAGGTATTGACTATCCAGCCACCAAAGCCACGCTCAATAGTTTCAACGGTGGTATTGAACATAACACACTCGAAAACCCCAAAATGGCGCGCATAGTCGGTCAAATATCGGTGCAGAGTCGCGGCGGGAATATGATCGTCTGGTCTCACGCCGTATATTTCGCCCATGTGGAAGTCTGGATATTCATAAGATCCCGCCATATTGTTTGACTTCAGCCCTGGGTACAATCGATGCTCAGCCCAGGTGCCACCGCAACTACTGGCCGACTCGATGACGATGACTCGTTCATAGGGATGAAGTTGGATATAATGTTTGGCTGCAGCAAGACCGAACCATCCTTCGCATAATGGCAACTTAGCTCGGATCAAATGGTACGAGTCGCTCGTATCTTACCGGCTCCAACCACTATCATATCATTCTCTTCGATCATCGTATCTTGATATCGACTGCTCGGCGATGTTCACTCAAAAAGGATCTGCTAGTCTGGATAGACTTGTTTTCTTTTATCCGCCCAAATCGAAACATCATTTTTGCTTTTTCTTTTCATATACCATGGTCACTGGGCAACCCAGAGCCATGATATCCGATATCCAAGGCGCAAAATCAAATCGAAGGCAGTTGGAGTCTAATGAGAAACAACATCGCGGAAACAATCTGATTGATGTCTTGAACGATATCTCTGGGGGACTAGTCTAACTCCAGATTCCAAATTCCTCGGTCTTTGACCTTCTGTGAAACCAGTCAATTCTCGATGTCTTATCTCTCGGTCTTCCTGACTTGGCAGGGGCTGGCGGTCTACAAGGGTTCGAGGTAACAGCCCTGGAGAGATCTTGGTTCACAGGTGGTTTCTCCTCCCATCGCATATGAATAGACCAAATACTTGAACATGCCCACTCGCATCCGTCGCATCAAGTGGCTTCATCAGGAAAAGCGAACCGATGATATCGAAACATTCAACTCTTGGCTTAGATATGTCGGAATCAGTTCCGCGTTACCGACGATGAACATCAGTATATTGCGGGGAATGTCTCGCGCTGCAACTGGGATGTTCAAACTTCTTCGTTCATCAAATAGTGAAACCATCTTTGAAAACTTGGATAAACATGCCACCATCTACAACGGAAGGCTTTTTGTGGACGCCTCAAGGAACAAAAGAAGGCCTGTCCACAAACGCATACCGAGTATCCTCATCTACCATACAAGAGAGTTACGATGTCATCATCATCGGTGCCGGATTTACCGGTCTCATCGCAGCAAGAGATCTCAGCCAAAGACACAACCTCAAGGTCCTGCTCCTCGAAGCCAGAGACCGCATCGGAGGCCGCACATGGACAGCCAATGTCCTAGGCGAAGAAGTAGAAATGGGCGGAACATGGGTCCACTGGGCCCAGCCTCACTTATACAGTGAACTACGCCGATGTGGACTACATTCCAATCTGAAGACATCTGCCGGGACATTAGCGCCAGAAAAGCAATTCTTTGCAGATGGCGGTCCGCCGCGGGAGATATCGATCGTGGAAGCGGGTGAGATCTTGGATCGTGTCTCGCGGGCTTTCTTTACAGTTGATGGTCATGATAGTCGTGCTTTAATGCCTTATCCTCATGACCCATTGAGGGAGCCGGCTTTGTGGCGGTCGTATGATCACTTGTCCATCAAGGATCGACTGGATCAGTTGGATTTCACGGATTTCGAAAGAAACCTCTTTGAATCGAACGTGAGCACATTTGGCAGTGCTCCTGGATCGAAGATTGGGTTTACAGAGGCTCTCCGGTGGTTTGCTTTGGGCGGACACAGTATGGCAGGGGTGTTTGAGATGGCAGGACTTTATAAGATTGGCAGAGGAGGAATGACCTCGTTCGCGCAGGCGATATTGAGAGATTTCAGAGGTGACATGCTGTTTGGCACTGTCGTGAAAGATATCAGTCATTCCGCTTCGGGAGTCAAGGTCACGACTACGTTTGGGAAGTGCTTGAAAGCAAAGACGATTGTCTCAACCATTCCTTTGTAAGTTCAACATACTCCTGTTGGTTCTTGAGTACTAACGGACTTATCAGGAACTGTCTGGGAGACATAACTTTCAATCCACCATTGAGTCCCCTCCGACAAGAAGCTATTGCACAAGGCCACATCAACACGGGAGCCAAAATCCACTTCAAATTACGTTCCACGGAGCCGGCATGGTTCGCAACAGCCTGTGCAAGTACATACCTCTTTGCGTTCTCCGATCACAACGGCACTCAAAGTGTCGGACCGTCGGGAACATGGTGCATCGGCTTTGGATACAGCTCCCATCTGACAGACAAGCGGGATAGCAAGGAGATCATTGGTCAGTTCCGCAAGGATGTTCGTCCAAATGCCGAAGTCGAGGCCTACGCGACTCATGATTGGATGAATGATCCATATGCTAAGGGGGTGTGGGCTTGCTGGGGCCCCAATTCGGCTTCAAGATATCTCCAAGAGCTCCAGAGACCGCATGGCCGGGTCGTCTTTGCTAGTGCGGACTGGTCAGATGGATGGAGAGGATTTGTAGATGGAGCTATTGAGCAGGGCCAACAAGCCGTGCAGGATGTTATCAAGCTTCTGAACGGAAGCTCTGCTGCTCATCCGAACCTGTAAGCACTTCAACCAACCTGGTCCATGTCTACTATCGAGGTTCGTCCGAAGCATTCCTGGGCGTATACTATCACTACCGAAGAAAACAGCAACAGCATGTCTATCATGAGAGAATGTGTTATTGAGAACTTGTGCTTCAACAAAGACTATTGATGTATTAACCTGTCATTTTTGAGGTAGTATGCACTAGAAGTAAAAGTGTTGGAATCCCCAACCCGAACGCCATTCGCGCCAAGCCAGCTTTTTGATAATGCAGCACATTTAGAGACCCATCAAACCACTGACACCCAATTGCGGTTCTCCGCCTGGAACAAGGGAAGGGCATATGCAGCCCTGGGGTACACCAGAGGCAGAGTACGGGGACCAGCCCGAAGAGGGAGAGGGGACAGATCGCCCCATTACCCGGGCCAAAACACTGGCAGGAGTTCCATTAGTACCCTGGCTGGCATGGAGAAGGCCGAAGCGAAGGAAGACTTCGGAGGTGGTGACGAGAATCGAGATAACGATGAGAACAATGATGATCCAGGTTTGGTCTGGCGGGCGTAAGAGTCAGTTAATTGCCAGACATCGCGGGGTTCAAAACTCACGGGAGGTTCTGGTATCAGCAATCGAATCAGAAAGGATCTCAGCCAGATCCAAGAAGACACGGCAACGCTCGTTCAAGACCTGGATGCGAGGCTTGATTTCCAGGTACTCGCGCACAGCAATGTAGAGCGGGTACAGGGTCGGTTCGCTCTCCCAGAAGAAGTTGGGAACATCGAGCATGTTTGATGCTGTAAAAATGTGAGTAAATTTTCAATGTTATTTAGCAAATGCAACTTACAAAGGTTGACTTCCACGCGGCTCTTGAAGAGACGACCGAGGATCCGGAAGACCTCTTCGCGCTTCATTCCCAGCTTTCCTGTGACGGCGAGTCGCCTGGGAACATCTTTGGCGTCTGCCATTTGACGAGCCATGACTTCCTCAAAGAAGCAGAGCTTGGTACTTTGAGAAATGCCATGACTGATCGCCAGCTTGATCATATGGTCACCACTACGCAGGGTAATCATGTCGTTGTAGACCCGCGGACGAGAAATCTCAGTAGAATACTCGAAGTGGAACTCTTCTGTCTCGAAATCCTCTTCATCAAGCGGCATTGTAGCCAGCGGGATGGGAATCCCGGTTGCTGATGACGTAGCAAAGGCCAAATCAGCAAGCAGGTCTTTCTCCTGTCGCTCGGTGAAGTTCCAGAAAACGACAACACCGTAGCTAAAGACGAACATCTCGGCAACATTGTACAGAGTGCGGGCCGGGGCCTGTGGCAATGACGACGAAGAATGCGTAGGGGGTGGTGGAGAAGGACGGTCTCGAATGAGAGCGTGGGTGTCATCTGTGCTGTGTCTTCGACGACGGTGAGGCTCTGGCGAAGGAGGCCTGTTCTCGTTTACTTCAGAGGACTGAGCATGCTCCATGACTTGAACACTCTCGCTGGAGCTAGCAGCTTCTTCATGCTCATCGGCGCGACCACGAACCTCCTCGGTAATGCGATCCAAGAACTCTTGCCGGTTTTCGTGATGATGATCATCCGAGTTGCGAGGCGACGCTTCGAAATGGTGCTCGTCTTCAGGGCGATTGTGGCCACCAACTGAATGCTCCTCTGGCTCCATATAATCATCATGATGATCGCGAAGCTCATTGCGCTCAATCTCCTCGTCCAGCAGAGATTTTCCACCAGGATATTTCAACACAGGACTACTCCTCAACCGGTACCCATCATGTCCAGGAAGAAGGGGCAGGTGATAAGCGGTGTAAAGACAATCATCGTAAAGCTTTGTCCTGCCACCATGCTGCTCTTTAACAAAAGAAGCAAGTGATCCCATCTTGTAAGCCTGTGCCGTACAATAGGCCGTGACACGAGCGAGCTTCTCCGTCCTCCTAGCCTTTGGCAATCGCTCAGCATAACTTTTGGCGCGCTCAGGCGCCACACGCCGTTTCCTCAACACCTCCTCCTCAGCCGACAGCGGGGCAAGATCATTGTCAACGCCAAAGTCACCAGTCAGACGCTTCGAAACAAGAAGCTGGCGTCTGACGACCTCCGGATCAACATTTCTCTCACGCGCCAAGCGATCAACGAGTTCCTCATTCACCATCTCCGTACCATCAGGACCCTCGTCATCATCATCCTCGGTCTCCCCCTCCTCGATTTCATCGGTATCAGGCAGAAGAACCAGCTTCTCGCTAACTTTAGTCGTTCGAGGTGGCAGACGCGGTTGCGCAGCAAGTCGACCAGCTTTTCCACCTCCTGCCGCCGCACTGGAACTACTACCACCCGAATTACCGATCAATCCACCCGTCGCAGACGCGATGCGTCGTGAGCGCGAGCTGGGTGGTGGGCCACGTTGTTGCATTGAAGGCACGTCGGAGGCGTACTGGAGAACATTATCAACGGTGATGAAGCGGGTTGCGGGCGAACGGCGACGGCGGGGGGTTTGGGGATTTTGTTGGTCGCGTGAGTCGGTCACCTGTACGGCATGTGTTAGTATACTTCAATGCAATGAAAGCACCCAGGGAGGGTTTCCCAAAAAAAAAAGTCGGGATTCGTACCAAAACGGTCGGGCTGCGTTGGCTAGTCCCCCGTCCACGGGCCGGGGGCGTCATTGTGATAGCAGCTTGGCTAAGCGATCCTGTAGAGTTGGATTGAGCTCAATGCTTTGCAGAAGCAATGCTTGTGCCGCAGGGAAGGCGAATTCGACAAGGCTGTCACACATGTATGATGCTCGGAGACAGCAAGTCCCATACGAGTTAGGTGCTAGGCTGAATTAGGACTAGCGCCGTATGGACTATGTGATGTAATAATCACGTGCGTTACCGGTCATTACTAATCCTTCCCCGTGACACTGCCACGTGCTAAGCCATCCAATCAGATCCAGACGCAGGTCCCGCCAGCCCGGTGGGACTCGTAGACGGTCGATCTGGGGTAAAGTCCACAGACGCCCAAGTGATCAACAAAAAGTCCAGAATGAACTACAAGCATGGAAAGTGGGATATTTGAGGTATTTGATTTTATTTGTAGCCCAGTGGGATTTATGTTTGTTATTTGTGTTGATATTTGTGTTGATGATAATGATGGTGATGATAATGATAATGATGGACTAGCCATTGCGACAACAATTCTCTAGGACATTTGATGAAAGGAAAACTCATAATGATAGGAAAGTGGGTAAGAATAAAATGGGGGATAATGATGCATACAATGATAAAAATGCCCTTGAACGCCGTTTCTGTCGATTCATGTGCCGCTGCAATGCAAGCGGCCAACCCGCCGGTGATTTAAGAGCGAAGAGCTTTGAGGCGGCGATCTTCATCCCAGATCTCCTTCTTCATCTCTTCAAGGTGGTCGTGCTGGCCCTGTAGACGTGCCAGTTCCTCGTGAGAGGGTTCGGCCTTTTCTGCAAGGGAGGAATGCAGGGCCCGGTATTTGCTGTAAAACTTTTTGAACTTCCGAGACTTTTCCTGCAGCTTCTGCCACATGATCTGGTGGCTCATGGGCGGTGACGCACTGCCGGTGCTGCCTCCGCTGGAGGCGGTGCTGACCGCTCGGCGGCGCTTGGCTTCCAGGTTTCCAGTGGGTCGGCCTGCCTGGGGCACGGACAGTCGGTCAGGCTCCGCCTTGCGTTTCAGTGGGTTGGTAGCGGTTTTGGTAACGCCGTTCGTCTGGGCCGTAGCTTTAGCAGCAGGTAGTTTGGCGGTAGCTGCAGCCGGGCCAGCTTTGCTGGTCTTCGCATGCTGAGACATAAGGGGTGAGGACGAAGATGAACCAGACGATTGGTTCTGACTGTCGGATCGATTGCGACCGGTGGGGTCGGATGCATTGGCTGGGGGGGATGAGCCGAGTGGAGACGGCTTCTGAGGCGAGGTAGATGGTCGCGACGGAGGACGCTTGGAGGCCGTGACCTTGCCGGTTGGCTTGGTGGGTTCCAGCTTGGGCTTCGCTGTCTCGGACTTGGAGGCCTTGACGGGGGCCTTAGCAGGAGCAGATTGGGCCTCGGTGGGACGAGGCTTAGCCGGGGCTTTGATCTTTGGCGCTGGGGCTTTCACATTGGACGGAACCCGCTTGTGTTCCGACTGCTTGGGGGCAGGCGCGGGATGCGCCGGCGCCTCTAGCATGTCGACATCGTCATCCTCGTCGGAATCGTGGACATATTCCGCGGACTTGATCTTGCTGTTGCCTTCCGATTTGGCGGGCGCCTTGGTAGCGGCTTTCTTGGTGACCCGTCCAGTGAGGGTGCTGTTGGTGGTCTTGGGCTTGGCCTTGGCCTTGGTGAGATCCTTGTCAGAGGACCGAGCCTTTTGCAAGTTCGAAGTAGACTTAGATGCCGAGGAAGATGTCTTAGCAGGAGCACGGTCGCCATCGTCCTTGCCCGAATCATCAGCTCCGCCGGCTTTGGGCTTGGGGGCGGGCTTGGGGGGCGGGGCAGTGCGAAGATTGAGACGTGACAAACAAATTCCCTTGCCTCGTTGAACCTTCGGGAGGAGAGTTTGCCAGATCGGGTCGCTCTTCGAAACACGCATGCGATCGAAGGCAGAGATGGAGTTCTCAATGGCCGACTTCTGGTCATCCGGTATGTACTTGAATCCCCAGAGATCCAGATCCTTGTAAACCTTGTCCTTCAGATCATATTTGTCGGTCATGATACGGTTCTGGACACCATATTTCTCGGCGAGGATGGCGCAGTCTTCGGGGGTGCTGCGGGTCATGCGGGCGAGGAACTTGACTGATACGGCGCGAACCGCGAGAAGGTGAATGAATGGTACTTTGAGGGCATCGAGCCTCTCACGATCCTTAGTTTGCATCATTGGAGCAGAGGTGGGAGTCATGGCGAGAGCAGGAGATTTGGGAGCACCCAGTGTAGGACTGGAAGTGAGAGAGCGATGAGCAGCGGTTTTGAGGAAGCGATCTTTTTCGAGCTCGATCTTGCTCGTAGGTCCCTTGTACCCTGCTTTGCCCCGGAGCCCTCGCAGCTCATCAGGGTGTGAGATTATGTGGGTTTTCTTGGACTCTTTCCCTCTTTCGTGGGCATTTAGTTTCTCCTCTAGATCTGCCAGAGCCTGATCCGTGGCTGCGGTGGCATTTTTAGCTTTTTCCACCTCCAAGCTGTGGCTCAGAACCCCCGTAAAATATAACGATTCTTGCTCGGAGCTATGGTAGATCTCGGACCGATGTGTTTCGGGATACGCATGGAAGGAATGGGACTTGCCCCCGTAGTGAAGAGACGGGTGCTTGCCCAGGCGGAGTCGTGCCGGCTGCTCTTTCCGCAGGCTCTGAATCAGATCATCCAGGGTGCTCTGCACCAGGTTCAGCCGCATGATCTGAGCCGGCCTCGCGGAAAGGTCCCCGGACTGGTCTCCAGGTCGGAGCGACAGTCCGGCGGAAGGCACATTGAGACCGGTAGGCATTATGGGAGGAATTTAGAGAGAAAAAGAGTGTGTTTATGGGAGAGGAGGGAGGTCAAGGTCAAGGTCGGACGGTAGGAAGGATTCGAGGTGAGCAGGGTCGGATGGCAGCGTGAGAGCTGCAGGTCAGGCGGCCAACTGCAGGGAGAGAGGAAGAACCATACGCCATAAGATCGGACGCAAATAAGAAGGCAATGCAAATGCTATGTTCACGGGCATATAGACATGAAGCGTGAGAAGGAAAAGAGTGAGGAGCCCTGGAGACACAAGGCGATGAGCAAGGCGAAGCGGAGAGTGGGGAGAGCTGACGGTAAATTACAGGAGACTGCCCGATGGGGATTAATTAATTTACGAGGTACCGCCTATTGATAGTAACGGGTTACGGAGAACGGATTGTATCGATGAAAGAACAAGAATCGCTCGCACTATATTTAAGTCTACAAAGAGTGATACAGTGTCAAAGAATCTATTTGAATTGTCTCAGGATTGCTCTCAAGATTGCAAGACCTGAAGAGTTGAATTAAGCGTACCATACAGCCATAATACACCGAATACCGTGAGGAGAGTCTCCATCTAAAACGGGGCTTCCCGAGTCCAGACTTGTTTTCCGGAGCGGGTGTGGTCGGGTTTTATGGGATTTGAGAAGACTAGACAATTCAGGGTGTTAGTACATACAGACTATGTCCCCCATTGTTGCCGGAACAGAGGCTATTATAAGAACATCTGAAACGAGATCACCACCTGGGCAGCTTTGTGTCGACGGGAACCTTGGGAATGCCTTACCCCTCGTTCACGGATATCCATCCCGGTGTGTCCTGATGGAGGCCCGATTCGTGAAATCCGAAAGTACATTACACTATTCGTTGGCTATAGCGCGAAAGGGAATGTTTCACAAGTACAGTACTCCGTACAGTTCCTTTTTTTCGGCCCCCAGACATTCTTCAGATTGGACAGAACGGTGGCAAATATGCATCAGAGAATTGCCTGAACGTACGTACTGCCGAGATCTCGAGGGGGAAAACATACCGATCCCCTTGCGCCTGGTACGGCTGATTTCCGGCTTACCTGGTGTACAAACTATAGCCTGCTAGTCGGATAGTCTGAGACAGGGGTCCCTTTGCTGAATAGAGTAGAGCTCCGTAAAACCTGGATCTACAGCATTTAAGGCCCTGCACGTCGGGTCCGAAACGGAGATCCTCCGTGGCCATTGGTCACTTCCACTGCAATCTCGTCTGGCGTACGAAGTACGCCCATGTCCTGCGATACTTCATATACCGTACTACACTCGTAGGAACTGACCCTGCACAAGAACATGCAGAATAAAAAAACAAAATAAAACAAAAACAAAATGAACGAGATCGCCAAAACATTTCGCGCCCTCCACCAACCAGGCAACCCCGTCCTCTTGACCAACGTCTATGACGCGGCGACAGCAGCCACGATTGCCTCACTGCCCACCGCCCCGGCCGTCGCAACAGCATCCTACGCCATCGCCGCCTCGATCGGCATCGACGACAATGCGTTGACCAAATCCCAGAACCTGACCGCCATAGCCGCCATCGCATCCGCTATCCGCGCTACGAACCCGCTAAAACCGCTTACCGTTGATCTGCAAGACGGGTACGGTGACACGGCCGAGCTGGCCGATACCGTCCGGAAGGTTATCGCACTGGGGGCTGTAGGGTGTAATATTGAAGATACGGATGCGACGGGGGCCCTGCGATCGCTGGATGAGGCTGTCGAGCGCGTGCAGATGGCGGTGCGCACGGCGGCGGAGGCGGGTGTTCCTGATTTCGTGGTCAATGCTCGGACGGATGTGTTGGCAGGCGGGACGGTGGATCAGGCCATTGAGCGCGGGAAGGCATTCTTGGGGGCTGGTGCCTGTACGGTCTTTGTTTGGGGGCCTGGTGGAAGGGGGGTCTCGGCGGATGAGGTCAAGATGTTGGTGGCTGCTTTGGGGATGGTAAATGTCAAGATGAACCTGAAAGAGGGATTCCTCGGTGTGCAGGAAATTCGAGAATTGGGTGTTGCGCGGATCAGCGTTGGGCCTGAGCTGTGGAGAACTGCTATGGAGGCTTTTACTGAAAAGGCCAAGAGTTTGTTGGCTCTGTGAGCAGAGCATTTGTGTATATACTGTAGTTGGCTGTGAATATAATCCTGTAACACCCTGACAGATCAAGTCGCGGCAACATTTGAATAGCTTGTTGGATTGGACATACTCCGTACTAAGAACATGTTCATCGGAATCTTCGGGGCCTTCACTATACCGCGCGAGCTGATCTTACTACCGCGTTTCACAGAGCCCTTCCTGTCCTACCACATCCAATCCTCACCCTCGACAGATTCCATCCGTGCATTTATTTCCATAACAGCAATTACTATCAACAACACAGGGCCCATTGTCTTCACTACAAGAGGGCCAATCGTCATCCGTCGAGCGACATTTATTCGCAGCACAGTAGCCTGAGCAGCATTGCTTGGTTGGGTCACCGAAAACACAAGATGCTAGGGCTGGTTAGAATGCCATGGTCTCCTGCAGCTTGTGCCTGGGCTCTCTTACAGTAAACACCTACGCAGGTGGGCGTGGGGACACAGGTTGTGATTGTGGTCGAGGGGGAACTAAAAGTCGCGGTCGTGCAGGTTTCTGTCAGGACGCAGGCATCGGCGGTGCCACATCCTGCTGGACATGCTGCCGCTCCTATGTGAAACATGCGGTTCGGTTATCTGAGCTCCAGGAGGTCTCGGGGTACATACTTGTGAGAGCGAGGTGCGCAAGAAGAATGAGCCAGGTGCCGCGATTCATCTTCTGGGAAGTTACTAGGATAAGTCCCACAGGGTAGTATATTGTTCGAACTTCTGAACTATCAGTGATCTTCCAAGTCTGTTTTGCTCGCAGAGCTACTAAATTCGTTCCTTTATACTCTTCGCAGATCCTAGAACGAGCACCAACACCCAAGAAAATGACAAGCAGATGACCTTATACGAGGCCACCCACACTGCCCTATAAATTCAGTATATACAAGACCCGCGGTAGTTCTCATGTTTCAAACCTAAAGCTCTCGCGATTTCCCCAGACCTTCCATATCCACCCACGGTGATCCTCGGCACACAAATACGAACTTCAACACGAGTTGTTAGATAATCCCAAAACATGATTGGCTTTCATGTGAGACATCATCGCTTGTCAACTTTCTCTAACCTTGGGGGGAGGACCTTCGGATCAACCAATACATTGCTGGGTAAAATAGGCCTGAAAACGAAAAGACAGACATCTTCTAGGTAATAAAGAAGCTAAGGCTGTCCATGTGCTACCCACGTATTTCATGCAAATATCCTTTGTAGATTCTACTTATCCAATTGAAACATATGAACATGCCACATGAGCTCGCAAGCCAATCAAGGTGAGCATGCAGGACACCTCCAAGGTTGTTTCCGACATCATCGGGCAACCTTGGAAGCACATTGTATCGCAGCTAATGTCTTAAACCCCATCGCCACTGAAATGTAAGTCCAATACTTCGTACAAGTTCTATCAATTACCAAGATACGATCATCATGTATGGTGTTCATACCAGCACAATGTCGTGCTGTACTAGTACACTACCCTTCCAAGGTTGGCCCCACTAAGTGTAGTTACAGCTTCCAGTGCCCAGGTGGCACCGACAGCAACCTTGAAAATGGTATGGATGACTTGATAGCGACACCCACATACTTACAATTGGTATTTCCAAGGCGGCTGTAAGTACTGGTAACCTTGTAAGTTCGATGGAATGCCGGAAGGTAGTACAACCCCTCTATTGGTGCAGTGTATGTACGTACTGAAGGGAGTATCCATGAATGCAGTTTTGACTGCATGTGAGACGTGCCATGTACGAGAGCTTTGCGTTGCCGGGAATTGAAGCGTCTGTTGACCTGGATCCCAATGGGTGTTGAGGCGGAAGGGAATTATTGTCAATGGTGATTTGGCTAGCTAACCCTTGATGATTTCGTCTCCGCTTCCCTTGCAGAACACCATCGAGATGTCGGTCTGACAGCTTGAGCTGTAGGTAGTGTAACACTACCCAGGTGAAACAAAGAGTTTTTGCAAATCCCGTATCTAGGGACATAACTTGGAATTATCTTAGTGTGCCCAGGTGGAAGATCACCGTAGATCTACCTAGGTATTATGCAAGAGGGTGCCAAGGGTTCAAAAGAGCCATATATTCCAGGCCAGTTGATGAAATGTTGGTTTGGTCAGAATAAAACCATCTATTGATATCACGCTGGGACAATATCATCATCCAGCTCTCAAAACACGCTGATCGTAGACCCAAAGAAATACATAAGATGAACAGAAAATAGGAAAATAAAACGAAAACGAAAGGAAATGGTAAAAAGCAATATTAGATATATAGATGAAAACGACAGAAAGTTTGATAAATGCCAAATCCCAGACACCGCGGCCACAAAACAAAGAAAAAAAAAACCCGGACCCATCCATTGATCCCAATGCCACCAATCTATTCCATGGATGCAGTTCCTCATCTGATCGTGTCTCGATAAATGCCATCCTGACAATGGCAATAAAAGCAAATAACGGCGGAAACACGATCAGATCCGACTCCTTCCCGTGGTTTCCTGTATAAGTACAAATCAAGAAAATGCATGAACAACAAAGGAGATAAGAAATATCAAGAGATTTTCTCTCGTGGGAATCAAGGCTTATGCAATGAGTGACAAATGAAAAGAAACAAAGGAAAATGTAGATCTGAAGATGCTAGATGAGCATCATACAGCAGTGGACCATGAGTGGTCACCCCGGGCCTTCATCTCGTAGTTATCAGGCTCGGTACTGGTGGGCCGCCGGATGGTGGAGTTTGGGAAATACATGTGTGGCGGCATGGAGGTGGGGTATGCCGGGCCAGTAGGCTCAGGGTAGGTGAAATCATTAGCAGATCCTGGCGAAGGCATGCTGCCATGAGACGGAGATGCCCATCCGAGGCTTGTCATGTGAGGGCTTCCATTGACGCTGTTGGGGCGGTGATCGCTAGTAGCTGGGGGCTCCAAAGGCTGGGGCGGAGCGTAAGGATGCGAAGTCATGGAAGGGCGAACATGGGGTGCACTGCCATAGCTAGAAAGCGAAGGTGAAGTCGCGGTTGGAGAAGCTCGAGGGCTGCCCTGGGGGAAATCACCACGCACGTGAGGCGGGATGGGACCGGTGCCCATGTAGTAGTCGCCAGCAGATCGATGCATGTTCAATGGGGGCAGTTCACCGCCTGGCGACATAGAGGGATGTTGCGCGGGTGACGGGGTAGAGTGGATAGAGCCGTGTTCGGAGAACATGCCTTCGCCGGGGCGTCCGCGGTCTTTGTTTTGTCGCAGCTGAGCCTCTGTCTCCGCAGCGGCTTCTTCAATTGTACCAGTATGGTGGTTTTGATGGCGAGTCAACGTAGTCCGACGAGTGAAAGTCTTTTGACAGTTGGCGTACGGGCACTTGTAGGGTCGTTTGCCGGAGTGTATGCGACGATGTCTGGCCAATGAAGAGGAATCACTGAAGGGCTAATCGAATTCGATGTTAGTCCAAAGATACACATGAGGCGGCTTCCTAAAACATACCTTTCCACATCGCTCGCACATATGCGGCTTCTCGCCAGTGTGTACACGGGAGTGCACTGTCAATGCCGAGCGCTGGATGAACTGCTTCCCGCATCCAGGCCAGTCACAAGCATGGGGCCTAACGCCGGTGTGAATACGCTCTAGAGTGAGATGTTAGTCACGATGCAAGATAGAGATACGGGAGAGAACTTACCATGACGAGCAAGATCACTACGCCGAGCAAACCCCTTGTTGCAGGTTGAGCAATGGAAAGTCTTCGGCGGAGGATCCACACCAGCCCTTCCCTGGGCCATGGGTTCCTGCTGCATCTGGGCGTCGGCCGCGTATCCCGCGGGAGCATAGGCCATGTTCCGGGGGGTGGAGCCCGTGGGCTGCGCATAGTAAAAGCCGTCGGCAAGACTCGCGTCCATTTGCATCGGAGGGCCGTGAGGGGGGTATGCGTTCACCGGGTTGTCCGAGCCACCTGATTCGCTCTTCATAGTCGGCGAAGCTCCGGTGTGTAACTGTGCGCTCTGCTGAAAGTACTGGTGTTGTAGCTGCGCCTCGGCGGCGGCAGCGGCAGCGGCGGCGGAATTTTTCCTGTTCAGGATGGTGGTGAAGTCCATGACCCGACCCAAGTCAAGAACGGGACCGCGGTCAAGGACTGTCTTTAACGACGTCCTTCAGCAGACCTGACAGCCTTGGTGGAATGACTGGCGATTCCTTGGGAATCAAGGTCTCGGGTTCTCAATTCAGATTTCTTCGGAGATCGGATGGTTCGCGGGTTCGCAGATCGACCAATGCTAACACACAGACAATTCGTTCAAATGCAGGACTAGGATATAATCAGCACGAACGCTCCAACACAGTGAAAGGACTCGATGTGGCCGTATTTCGCGACGCGGCGATTCGGACCTCGACGGAGACAAGAAACTCACTTTGCGAGAATCAGTGTGGTATGCGCCTGACAGTCTGCTTCGCGGATAAGACAGGGTAGATTATCCACTTCCCTGCAGAGAAATGCAAGGGTGCGTAAGATGTGTCGAAACGATGGTCAAAGACCGAGCTCTCAAAGAATGATGTTTGTGGTCGGCCCAGGGCGGGAACGCGCGGTGGATAATCGCGGTGTAGGCGGGGGTCGAGGATACGGCAGATACTCCGGCTAGAGATTCTGTGCGAAAAGAACGATGGTCAGTATCATGGTACACAGTGGTGGTTGCGATCCCGGCTTATTTCGCGCTGTTTGGGCATCCCGTGACTTCCTGTCAAATACCAGTCACGCGCTAAGGCAGAAAGCTCCAAGACCAAAGAAAAGACAGACGCGTTGGGCACGGGAACTTTGCGCAAGGGGATACGGACCTGCAGAAAAAGGCGAAAGATGAAAGAGATGAGAGTAGAGAATTCGTGCGGGTGGGGGGGGGGGAAATAAAGGAAGGTGAAGGGAGTTTAAGAAGAGAAAGGGGAGGGGATATATTAGGTGTGGTAGGTGCCGTCTGCATCAACTACATCATTATTTACTTCTCTTACTTCGCGTTTTTTTATTTTTTTATTTTTTTCGATTTTCTTATTTTTACTCTCATTTTTCTCGTGCTCTTCGTTTCTCGGGGGAATATTATATCGAGACGTAGCTACGAAGCCTGATTTTTGCCAAAAATCCTTCTAGATCTCTTCTATGTACATATGTGATCTATTGATCACAATCACAATACATCACAACCCAACTCCTATACCCAACTCCCTTTTTTGCTTGGACCCATGCTAATTACCTTAGTTGGACCCAGCGAAGCCCGCTAGAAGGAAACCTGGCCGCACCAGAAGCCCCCCGTCAGCACTGGCTCCACAACGTGCCCTTCTCCCCGAAAAATGGTGGATACGAAAAGGTACGCAGATCTGCAGAATTTATCTCGATTAATTCGAAGGCTCATCCTCCTGAAATTACACCCTAGCGCCTTTTCAGTGAGATCGGACTAGGGCATTCTTGTTTTAGGGGGAACTATGACCCCTGAGGGGAAAAAACAAAGCATAGATACTACTCTTCGGCTGATGCGATATCAGAAAAACAAAAAAGACCGAACAAAAATACACCGCCCTCAAATAGAAAACCAATGATCATGTAGAAGCGGGAGAATTCGGCCTAGGCTGCATGTTTCTTATGGTGCGACAGTCGAGTATATTATTACCCATACAGTTCAGGGCAGGAGGTTGCCTCACCATCTCGATAGTCTGTTCCAACTATTACTAGCCGACTGACCGCGGAAGGTTAACTGGGGGTTTCCATGGCTTCTAGAAGGCTTGATGGCATCCACTTCCCAGTACGTAAGTGTCAAGTGTCATCCAATTTGGTTTCCCCTTACCATACCCGAATGGGTAATGGTAAAACACGTTGATATCACCGTTTCTGTCTGTGAAGTCAGCTTCTACGACCCCAGATACTCTCCTTGCGTACAGTGTGGCGCCATCTATCGAGGGCTCGATATACTTCTACCATCTGAGGGGCTAACAAAGTCAATATCCCCTCATTATAATTGGACAGCAATGGGCCAAAGCGAGTTCTGTTACACTATCGTAGCACAACGCATCGGTCCTTTGCTACTCCGTACTCCTTCATCACGAACTTCTGATCCAGTGGGGCCCAAACCAGTGCGCATCGGTAATTACTCGTACATCTCGCCCCTTTTTCCCTTCCCGGGACACTAGTGGGCACCGGCTGGCTTCAGCCTCGAGCCCACTGCACGGCACGGCTCTGCCAAGCCTTCTCCTGACCTTCCAGAAGGCCACCAGAAGGATTTTGGAACAGCCGTGGAAGCCGTAGAAGCCGTGGAAAGCCGGATCGCAATTAAAAACCTGGTCTGCGCGGCCCCCATCCTGCACGGTGCACTTTACCCTTTACGAGTTCAGCGTGCGAGAATGGGGTTTTCAACAAAATGAAAGATAAAACATACGAATAAGGGGGGCTGGGCACCACGCTGACTGGTTCCAGGTTCCCTATTCATTGTCGTGTTCACCTTACAATGTACTTTGTATGTTCGCTTCACTAGTCGCAGGCCGAATGCACCCCTTGACGAAAGTGACGCACCTCGGGCCAGGTCCTGCGGGGGGTTGCGGAGATTATTTTACACCACCCAAAGCCCAATGGGAAAATCAGCTCTGGCGTCTCAGGGTCTACCAATCACCAAGCATATGATTTATTTTAGTTCGAGCTATTGCCTTGATTTTTTGCGAGAACATCGGATTATCGCGGGTCAGGCCGACACATATTCCCCTCGACACGGGGCGATCTCCACATGGTTGTGGCTGAGACGTGTCTTTGTATCATGTCTACGCTAGGCTCCATATTTCTATTAGTAGAACATCACCCCCTGTATGTTAGGCATGTCCTCTGTATACTAGTACGTTGCATACAGGTCGGGGGCTGAGGGCCCTCGTCGGTTCCTGCAGGACTCGCAAAGTGAATGGCTTTCAGGGGAATCGACACTAGCGCAAACAGAGAGTCCTTCTTAAGACAGTTAACTCGATACCCACCGAGCAACAGCCGCGGAAGCTATGACCAAATGCCCAATTTCATTGCCGTGTCGGATCGCTCTGATGTCACTGTTTGGGGAAATTGAGCTATGGCCCACTGATGTGCCTAAGTTCTCACGCCAATGTAAATAGTCCTGGCAAGTCATGACTAGCCTTCAAACGCGGATCACGAAAATCGGCTCATCTCCCTTGAATCTGTGGAGTGTCAGCTAATGCGAATCACTCTGATCCCCGATCCACCCAGGGGAATCATGTGTGCACTCACTCTTGCGATTCGAGCTGAAACTGCACATTCTCATCCTGCTCGTCTGATATCTTCGGTTTCACAATCTTAATTACCTTTCGAGTACCATCAATATTCAGCGCTCTCGGTCAGGGGATGGTCTAGACTACTCTGCCAGGGACACGCAATGTCTCACAGCTCGTGATAGATGCCCCTCTTCAGATGGCGTCTAACTGCTCTCTCCACAAGGTCTCACATCGATATCCCGATCATCACCCAACGTTGATCGATCTTCAGGGGTTCCATAGGATCTGCGCCGTGATGTGGACTAACGCTAACACGGAGATACTACTTGAAACCGTTAGCACTCGTTGAGAATCGTTGCAAGTCGTTATTGTCTGTGTCCTTGCGGAGTCGGGCGTTTGATCCGCGGCAGGCTCCTGTCGCGATCTTCGCGCCAACTGGCAATCTCCAACATCATTTCAGATATTGGATTGTTTGCCATATGGATCGTTGTAGGAACTGATTTTCGAGTCAGGTTGGTCACTGCCAATTTTAATTTAAGTTCACTTGTTTCTGAGACTCGTGGGACTGCTGGCATCTGTTTCGACTAGCCATTCCGGCTCCGGGGTCCGCTGGTGTTTTCCAAGAGAACCGATCGAATCCCGAGATCCCAGACGCTTTGACTTCAGGTTCTCGCCCCGATCGGGTTGAAACCTGGAAGCACTTGGGTGCCCGAGTGCCCCGGTGGTCGTTTCAATGTTCCCGGGTTGCCGGTGTCCGGCACTGTACTGGGTGAACTGGCTCTTCTCTTGTTACTGTAGCAACCTTGAGCCAAGATTCACTTGAGAAAGAATTCACAGTTTGCCCAGGTGGTCTTAGTGTCTACCGGTGGTTTCTATAGTCTTCCAAGGCTCAGGAGTGGCCTTTAGGGCTAAGTTTGCGGGTGGATGAGACCTTCATCTGCAGACACAACCTTTCAACCTTGGAAGATTCCAAGGTTTACTGGGGGGAAATGACCACAAGATTAACTCTGATTCCACAGATATCAATGTTCAGATAAGGACCTCGGGAGCATGTTCTACCTTTAAAAAAAGTATGCTGTCATGACGATAGGTTCCAACGTAGAGCATCATGGATGCAGATATATATCCACGTATACTCGAAATTTTATCTCAAATTTCCATGAATTTCGTCCGAATGAAGCCCTCCAGGCTGGAAATAACCTTGGAAAAGGTATACCTATGTATATATCTCTTACTTGGGAAGTACCTAGGTACTCGAGTTCTAGTAAGGCCGGGGTTCCCAGCAGGATTGAAGGAGTCCCATAGGCGGTCGTCTCCAGGGCTACCGTATAGTAATTCCATTTCCGCTTCCAAGTTTCTATTAACCTTGGAAATCATGAACCTTGAAAAAGATCGATTATCCAGACTGAACGTAGGGTCAAGATCGCAAAAAAGCTGGGGTGCCCATGTCTGAGCCCCTCAATGAAGATCTCACGCCATGAGATGGAACTCAAGCTACCTAGTAGGCTGGGGTTTGTCATGATGCTCATCGAAAGCGTACTGCGTTGATCTTATCCAGCACCCAATTCGCGGCAAAAGTATCATAGTCCATTGCATAAGCCATGTGGAGGCTTAGAGCATCGGCACCTTCGGAGGGCGAGCAGACACCATCCCCAACGTTACACCAATCTCCGGTGATCTCACTATAACGCTCATTGAAAGTTCGAATTTGAGATGGTAGCCGGGGGTATTTCTGAGAAACGAGGCAATTGTCAGCCAGTTCATACGCAAACAGGCTGGGTTCATACGCCTTGGACGAGTTTCACGCCTGCAGTACCGAAGTCGTAGGGCTGTTGCTGGACATGACGAGGATTGCCATAGAAGACAATCGCTGCGACTGGAATTGGTAGATGATTCGTCAGAACATGACTCGACACTGGGTTATTCTGGTAGATGCCCACATACTTCGCTTCGCAACGTCTTGGGGAATGAGTGGTGGAGTTGCCTTTCCAAGGGTTGAGTTGCCACCACCGCCAGCAAGGGCATCACCTACGATTAGAGCCCCCTGAGAATAAGACAACACCACGATCTGGGATTGAGGACAACGCCGAGCATACGCTGTCATTTGTGCGCCAACAGCAGCCCGTCCGATGAAATAACTATCTGACGTATCCTCGCTGACAGCGGGATAGATGATGTTTTCGTAGTTTGTGCGGAGCGTAGTATTCTGAGCAACCAGTGAAGCAAGCGAATAAGGAGTTCCTGGATAGGATTCCGTAGTTCCTCGAGCTAATACGAAGTGCACGTCTGCACACGCAGTACTGTTGGCGAAAGAGGTCGAGGCACAAACAGATGTGATGAGAGCGACAAGCGCCACGAACACGGGAGAACGCATGTCAGACTTTAAGGTATTTGCAGGTTTAGCAAGAATTTATTGGACAATAATCGACTGAGGACTCGGATCGTTCTTCATATCAGGAGTCAACTCAGTCGTTATCGCCGAGCTGCTGTGGAGTCCGATTAAACCGATTCAGGCATTGAACACCGAACCAAAACCATGCGTGGAGTCAAACTGGCTCTGATTGAGGGATTGCAGAGTCAAGGTTGCTTCGGATTGATTATAACCATAGTGTGCTGGTTCACGCCGGTTTATCAATTGATTGAGGATTCCGAGTGGATGAACTCGAAGACACCGGGGCACAGGGCGCGTGTTCCGTCGGTCTCTGTCACCTACGAGATGCGTCGGATTCACCAGGTGACATTTGGGTTGTTGAGTGCTGATGGACGGCATACGACAGAAAGAAACAGCTGGAGGGAGAAGGGACTTTCATCCTGCCAAATCAAAGCAAAGAAAACCAAAACATGTCACATTATTTGACTCATCTCAAGGGACTCATTATAATAGAGTTGATAGTGTGTATCGCTGATCTATAAACAAACTCCGTGCAAGTGACTTTCCTTAACCCTTGCGCCGGAAGTTGATCTGGACCACCTGGGCCGGAGGCCAAACATTCTGTACAAGGGAAGATGGCGGCTATTTACCTCTTGCGCCATGATAACTCCAAGATCTCATCACCCTTCTTCGCATCCCGTAGGACGTACCATTGAGTGACACTGCCATTTTCTTCAATGACGGCATCCATCAATTGGAAGCTCTTCTTGTCTTCGTCTTTGCGACGCAAAGGACCAAGTTCATGGAGATAGGACTCGTCGTTAGCACCATTGTGCGGTGCCCAGGTCTGCTCCATGGCGATATCATCTTCATTGGGATCGTAATGGTACTTGATGACGGAAAAGCCATTGGTCAGGATCCAGCCATCGCCAAAGTGCCACTGGCGAAGCAGGCATGTATCGCCGCATAGCTCGGCAATGACGGACAGTTTGGGCATGTCCGCGTGGAACCAAGATTTCCAGTGGTGGACTGTGAGAGGGGGCTCGCGACCAGACTCAAAGAAGCCCGATGCATCGTCCATCAGGTCGAGCTGGCGGAGGCGGTGGTCGACGGTTAAACGGGTTTTGGTGTAGCGGTAGACGCAGATGGCAATGCGGCGGTCACCGGTGAAATCCATGGCGGAGCATTCGTCATAGACATTGGTGATTTCTTTCATGAGAGGTCGCGATAGGAAGACGCCTGCGCCTCCAAATCCGATCATTCCAAAGTTCGCGATCTGCGGGATGGACTCCGATATTCCACCGATGTACATGGACTGGGTATGATCGTACTGACCCAGTGCCTCAACCAGGCTTGCCATGGATAAGAAAAATGTATCGTCGTCGATCACGCAGCCCCAGCGGGTAGTTTCCCGGGCATTTGCTTCCAGGAGAGGGATGAGGGCGAAGTACCGGTGCAGATAGTCGTCGTCGGACTCAGTGATGAACAAGTCCACGCCCATGTTCTCAGCTTTAGCCTTGACATCGCGCACACCGTTTTCAGATCTGTCGGTTTCGATCAGCGCAAAGATGCGTGTTTTCGTGTATCCAGCCCAGTGCGCGAAGGCATCGAGGGAGTCGTTCAGTCTCTCGACGCTGGTGGCGACTCCGAAATCGATGTGCGAGGCGACGGGCATTTTGGGCGGTTTGGGGACAGTGAGAGCGACAGGGGCGGAGACCGAGCACCCGTCGGCGGCCCCCTCGGTGCCCTTCTTCAAGCCTAGGAGCGGCTCTTCGAGGCGCCGAGTGTAGGGCACCGGTTCCTCGGTCATATCAATGATAATCTCCCGGCGGGTGTATTGAGCGAGTTTGAGAACCTCCAGCCGACCCAAAAGGTCGTAATCCAGCTCGCAGGCGACATCTGGAGAAATGGTGATGTTGGAAACGGTAGTCAGTGGCAATTTGATTGGTTCCGCCGATAGCCATAACATGACAATGAATCCTATGACAACCAAAAAGAAGACACCGAAGCGCAGCAGCTTTTTCCACGCCCATGAAGCTCCCGGGAGCGACCCATCTCGTGCGCTGAGGAGCATCGTGTGTAGTTTGATTGTGTTCGGGGTTCTACCGCATTGCGGAGACAAGGGTCTAGAGCACAATCGATGGCCCGCGATTGAAGGCAGGGAATCACCAGAAGTGTTTACAGGAGAGAGTCAGAGAAGAGAGAAAATATCGAAGACGGGTCAAGGGACGATCATGGTTCCATGGTATGAAAATGGGCGAAGGCCAATTCTCCCTCAAGGGGTCTGAGGGATGATCATGACGTGCAGGTCACGTGTTCTCGTATCTCTTCCGCCCGTCTGCTTCTGTCAACCTTCCCAGATGCGGTGGTTGCACTTCGCCGCAATGGGTCTCCATGACCTCCACTCGCAAGATACCACTACTACGCTGGATGATCCCTCGATGCTTCCCACGTTCACCGCGTCCCCCAAAGATCATTTACGACACAGTGAATGCCAAGCCCGCCTCAACCAACGCTTCCGCTTTTCACTCGTCGCTGATCCCTCCGGGCCCCACATCCGCGCGTCCACTGCCTTGCTACCGTCGGAGTGCTCGCGTGGTACACATGCAAAAACCAAGGCCAAAATCCGCCCTACAGTAAGCGCTAACAAGATTCGGAACCGCATGGCTGTGTGCCTCATCCCGATGCATACGGAGTACATATTGCTATGCAGATCTTTTCCTCCGGGTTGATGTTTGATACCTCTATACTCACAAAAGCTCGGACATCTACGCTTCCCGCCCAAAGGTTTCTTTAGGCGATCCCTGTGTCGATCGGCCCCTGTCGATTTACTTTACTAGGTAATATTGGATATCGCGGGTAGAGTCTGTAGGGGGTTTCTTCAAAAAGCTTGGTCAATAGAGTCCAGACTCCTGGAGACAAAAGGGCTCTGAAACGATGAATGAGTCCGTTTCTCTCTCCAGGAGCATATTCGGTACTTTGAAGTATCCGTTATGACCCGAGATGTCATTCTCATTGGATCATTTTAGGGGCCAATTCGAGACGTGGGATCCGTCAGGTGCGCTGTACTCCGTGCAAGTGCCTGACACGGCCCCAAGAAACAGGGTTTAGCCCGCTGATCAGGGACCAAACGCTCTAATATCTCGCAGCGCGAAACTTGTTTGAGTCTTGATAAAAAAATAATAGCCGCTGCTGGCAAGAACGAGGATGCGTGTACAGTCTCTCCGCATGCATGGGTTTCCCACAGATTTGTATCTGCTTGCATTTCCAGTGTCTCTTCGGGCGGCTACACTAGGTAGTAGTGTCTTCTAAGGTTGTTTACGGAGTGCTCAAAGTTTTGACCAATTGGGTGGTTTGTTTTCGGCTCCACGATCAATCGTGATTCGGTTCGTTGCTATGGATTTCAACCATAATGAACCATAATGAAGTAGCTTGATGAAGTGCTACTTGCTTCATACTACAGTATACATTGTTGGGCTGATTTGAAGTTATTACCATGCCATCGTTTCGACAGATAGGGCCGTTCGGATGTGGCGTTTTGGGAACCCTTGACACCGGAGATCCTCGAAAGCAGCTCCCATTTAGCTCGTATTCCGTTGTCTTGAAATTGTCCCTAGAATACCTCGTGTCGTGAAGCTTCCCCACATGGTTGATGCGTTTAAATCTCCCGCCTCGGGTCGCGATATATCGGAACATAGATCCGGTGATAGCGTCGAAGGAAAAGATTCGGGCGGTTAAATTTTGGTCCCAATTCCTCGCAAAGTGCTGTAGTTCTGGAGTCATCTCGTCCAGGTTGACCTCACAGGGCTGCCCAGGTGGGCAGACGAGTGTCAGTCAGGTGACTAACTTGGCTCGGCGGGCTGTAATGGCTCTAGTTGCTACGTCCTCTCCATGTTCATAGCTGTATGGCTTGATAGCACGGGCAAGCTACACCCAGAATTGCCCCATAGAGCTTACAGCAATACCTGTATCACTCTCTGATCAAAAAGATAACCTTCGAATCTCAAAGTAAAAGTATCACGTGACTGTTACGGCGGGGCAGACGGCCTTAGACGCAGAACTCCCCCGATCGGGAAAGACCAGTTCCGCACATTGGCGGGTTGATATCAGTTGATCCGGGGAAACTTGCAACCGTGTCACATTGGACAAAGCCCACGGCCTGAACAAGTGCCAGAGATCCAGAACCGCCGAGTCTAGCTCCCCGAAGCCGAAACCCAACCAGCCCCCCGCCATGGTTGCGCAATCGCTGGTCTCGCTGTTGCAGCGGTCGTCGATTGACGACCACGAAGAGGTCATCCAATCGTGCAATGCTGTCCTCGCCAAGTCCAAGTCCGATCTGAAGGCCCAGCACATCAAGGTCATCGCGTTAATAAAACTCGATCGTTACGAAGAGGCACTCAAGACGTTTGAGGCCGGAGGCGATGCTTTGAAGAAGAGCGCGGGCCTGGAATATGCTTATGCGGCGTACAAATGCGGCAAATTGGAAGGAGCCGCTGCAGCAGTCACCAGCGCAGCAGCTGGGCGTGGCGCTTCCCACCTAGAGGCACAAGTGGTATGCGCTCAACCTGCCCTTCCATATCGAATCCGCACTAATTTGTATCTCTTTTAGCGCTATCGTGCCGAGGACTTCAAGCGGGCAGCCGAGATTTACGAACAGCTGTCCCAAGACACAAAGTCTCACAGCCATGAGGTTAACGATCTCAATATCAATGCGTGGGCCACCGATGCACAGCTACAATGGAAAGGACAGCCCGAGTACGTGCGCCATGACCGGTTGTCGAGAGAGGACCTGGAGTCATTTGAGACGACATATAATGCGGCTTGCTTGAACATTGCAAAGGGATCGTTCAAACAAGGCGAGATCTTGCTCAGTCGCGCTCAAAGTCAGAATCCCTGAACCCCACGCGCAACTATGCTCTACTAACTGTGTCATGTAGATATCTGTCGCACATCAGAGGACCTCTCACCCGAAGATAAGGATGCAGAACTTTTACCAATTATGGTGCAGCAACTCTACGTGCTGATTCGACTCGGAAAACTGGAAGAGGCCGAAGCGCTCCTTCAAGATATCTCTGTTGACAAGTAGGTCGCAGAATCCTATACTCATAGGACTGGCTAACATAGTCTAGAATTTCCGAACTATCAACCAAGAAGATTGCGCGCAACAACATTGTCCTCGCCCGCCAGACCACAGTCAACCCTTTCATCCTATACAAAGCCCTCCACGACACCCCAGATGCCACCGACAACGACCGATTGTTCGAATTCCAGGACCGCGATCTTGTCGGAAACTCTCATGCCGCGGATCTGCTTGTTCAGAAATATGACGGAATCATTCGTTCTACAAACAAAGCGCTGTCCAAGCGCCCAACACCCTCCACTGATGCCGCAACCAACCTCCTCTCCGTCTACAATGCCGCAGCCCAGGCTCAAGGCCAAACCGGACAAAAGGCCCTCGCCAAGATTACGCCCTTACTGGAGCGCCGTCCTACAGACCTTGGCCTTCTCCTAACCGTGGTACAGCTCTACGTCAACAGCGGCAACACCACCTCAGCCATCACAGCCATCGAGCGAACGCTCCGCAGCCTCGAGGAGTCAATTTCCGAAACGGATCAATCCACCCGCTTCAACCCTGGCCTCCTCAGCGTTCTGGTCTCTCTCTACCAACTCGAGGGGCGCAAGCTGCAGATCCGCACAACCCTCGCGCAAGCCGCAGCCTACTGGCGCACAAAGCCCGAGTCACCTGCGACTCTCCTGCGCGCCGCAGCCGCCTCCCTCCTGCATTCTGAAGACCGTGCCGACCTCGCCACAGCCGGCGAGATCTTCCGCGCTCTCCACCAGAAAGACGCCAACGACCGCGTCGCTATTGCTGGCTATGTTGCATCCCAAGCAACCCTCAACTATGAGCAGGTTGAATCGCAGTTGGATCGCCTCCCCTCAGTTGACGACTTGATTGGTGATATCGACGTTTCAGCTCTTGAGTCTGCGGGTGTCTCTCCTTCCGCGTCTTCGGCGGCTGCGGCAGCCGCCGCCTTCGCGGGAGCCCGTAAGCGCACTGCCGGCTCCGACGACCGGGCCCACAAGCGTGTGCGCAAATCCCGCCTGCCAAAGGACTTCGACCCTGCTAAGAAGCCTGACCCCGAGCGCTGGTTGCCAATCCGCGATCGCTCCTCTTACCGGCCCAAGGGCAAAAAGGGTAAGCAGCGTGCTGCGGCGCTCACACAAGGTGGGCCTGTTAGCGAGAAGGCCGAGGAGGCTCCTGCCCAGCAGAAGAATGCCGGGTCCAACGCCAAGAAGACCAAGAAGAAGGGAAAGCGGTAGCGTAATTCAATGGCTTGAAATCGTGTCTTCAATTAGAGATGCGTTTGACATTAAAATATTCCAGAAACCTACATTGTGCATACAACAACTTCCAGTCATCTAACCAGACCCAGGCTGGCATGTTAAAAAACCACAAACTTATCGATCGATACCCATAATTCACCCCAGCGGTGTCCTGTTAGTTCCGCACTGCCGATTGTAATGCTCAAAGATCATCAACAGAAGCCTCAAATCCACCACCGCTTCCTCACCCGTCTCAGCCCCGGAAAGATGCTCATACAAAGCCATCAATTCGCGCTCATAAGCCTCCGCGCACGAACTAACCATCTCAGTCCGCTTCACACCACCTGCATCCCCACCCTCTTCCACCACAACCGTCACAAAACTGCCCGTTCCATCCCCAGCCCTCGGGAAATCATACTGGAGACTGACCGTCTTCTCGGCACCATAAACCATCAGATGGGCATCACTCCGCGGCACACCATCCACACCCGCTTCATAAAGCAGCGTAAAGGGATGACCCTTTCCATCCGTATAATGAAAAACAGCCGAGTAGAACGGGTTCGTAATTGCCACGTTCGAGACCGCATCCGGGAACCCTAATGCCTTCCGCATCACTGTTAGATCATGACACCCCAATGTGCCCAGGTATCGAACGAAGGCGATACGATCCAGAGTAATATCATCACCGAAGATATCGACGAGGGTGGAAGAGTCGAGATCGAAAGCCGGGGTCGAGGGCCCGGCGATGTTGCGACAGCGCGCGTAGTAGATTCTATCTAGGGCTGCGAGCTCGGACTGGAAGAGTTGGAAGGCGGGCGCGTGGTGGCGGGCACAGCCTATGAAGACTTTGGGGCCGGTGGGGTTGTGCTCTTTGCCTTTTTGAATTGCGTCGCGCATGCGCCGTAGGCTTGGGATGCTCATTGATAGTGGGACTTCGACCATGACGTGCTTGCCGGATTGGAGGGCTGTCAGGGTGTGGGTCTCATGGTTTGGAAGGAGATTGAGGATGAGATCAATCTCGGGGTTTTTGAGGATCTCTTCGATGGATGCGCTGGGGATTTGACATTGCGCCGGTGTTGTGTCTGGATTGTAGATGGCGATGGGGTTGAAGTAGGCTCGTAGCGATGGGAGGATCTGGATGTAGGGCTGGATGTTGCCCAAGATGCCGAGACGGAATGGTTTGGACATTGTGTAGATGCGAAGTAAATTTGTTTCGAGGGATTCTTTTGAAGGGCAGGTGTGACATCGGAATGACCTATCTGGTATGCTCTGCGCATTTCCCATTTGTACTACGTTCTCTACTTCATTCTCTCGGCCACATTCTCTAAACTACTGGGTCTCAGTATTTAGAGTCTAATTTCTACTTCATGCCTTATGTCTTGAGCGACAGTGATTCAGAACAGTTCTCATTGGGGATGTTTGTCCATCCGAGTCTGTCCAAATCTTTTTTTTGTTTTTTTGTTTTTTTGGGGATTTTCTTTGTTCTCGAAAAATCCCTTCATCCACCCCTCCGACCTTTGTAGATGTCGGAGCCCGTCTCTAGTCACCGATGCCCGGCCAGGGTTTTTTGTTCCTTCTGGGCCCCCCCCAAAATCCCGAGTTTGGAAGCTCGCGCCTCCCTAGAACTCGTCAACTTCATACCCATCTCTGCGCGCCTCCATATTGTGCTGGCGGCATGGTCCGCACAGCTGCAATTGGCAGGCATTGCATCTCAGAACGGCGTATGTGTTCCGTCTGTTGCAGCCAGCGCAGGGAGTGTCGTTGACGAGTCTAGTCCAGCCCTCTTGGTGCTGGCAAACCCGTCGGAAGTCGAACAGCGGGTGATTTGGATCCCGGCGTGCACGTCGCTCGTCGGCGACGGCATCCTCGTCATCCTCGCTGTATTGAGGGCAGATGCAAGTCTTCCACTCTTTTCCGCAAAGGTAGCAGAATTGGTGGCCACAGACGCATCTAGTTTGGTTAGCTTGGATCAATGTATGGAAAGGATTAAGGTACTCACGTCATGTGGTTGCATCCCCAGTTCAGCTCGACCATGTGCCCACAGCCGAAACATCGTCGCCATTTCTTTTCCCGGGCCAGGTCCTCCAGCTGCCGGTCCCCTTCCGTTCCGCGGAAGTCGCAAGTGCCTTCGTGGGCTTCCTTGCGACATTCCATGCACGTTTTTCTTGTGCATTTTTGACATACCCCATGAAGAGATGGGGGAATGTATGCGGAGCACCGAGGGTCGGAGCAGTAGAGAGGCGAGGGATCGTTGAATTTGGCCATCTCTGTTTCGAATGCGAGCCAAATGCCAGCGTCAAACAAGTGCTTTTTTGTTTGATACTGGAGAAACCCTCCACAGCACCGTGGGGGGAAGAGCATTTCGCCCTTCATGGACTCTTCCATCATGTGAAGAGCACACTTTCTGCAGTAAGCATGCTTGCAGTCGCTGACAACCATGGCGTCGCCAAGAAGTCCTTCCATGCAACTGACACAGGAGGCGCCTTCGGCAGCCGTTTCCTGAGTCGTGACCGGGGTTCCAAGGTTGGGAAGTTGATCCGAGTCGGTTGCAGGGGACGAGATATTTATAGCGCTCACGGGATGATTGAGATTGGTCTGTGAGGCTGAATGACTGGAACTGGAACTCGAATTGTTGCTGTCTTGGTTGCAGAGTTCGCAGGGCTTCCGTTGGGTCACACCGTTTGCAAGATCCCATTCCTCTGGAGTAAGTGAGCTAGACATACCACTGCACCATTCATCGAAACTGAGCTCCCTCTCTTGGATATTGAGCTCTGCGCGATGATTGCAAGCATCATTGGCCTTGCGAGGAGTCAAGTCGGTTTGATTGTCCGGATCCTCGGGGGTGAGTGAATTGGTCATGTCATGATGTGATTCCCAGTCTTGAGGGTTCTTCTCAGTCTCACTTGTCGGCAAAAAGAAGTCATTTCTCCATTCAGATGGTACTTGGTCGTTGGCAAATGTCGTTTCAACCTGCGAGTCACTTTTTGATGATCTCGCGTTTTCATTGGACTTTCCAGGCTTGACTCGGCGGCTGTTGGTTGCTTGAGTCTTCTTGACAGCCTGGGGCTGACGGTGCTGTTTGTTTTCTTCATCCTCTGCATCTGAAAGTTCATCGTAAGCTCCTAGGAGATCATATGGGCGACCCCATTGAGTTTCGTATTTCGGTTCCAGCTGCTTGACTGCTCGCATCACTTCGCGCAGGAACCGCATGCTTGCGTAGTGACCATCCCTAACAGGAATATCCTCCAGTTTGAGATCAACGTTGGCCAACATCTTGCCCAGTGGATTGCGAGCACCTTTCAGCTGTTCCTCTGGATCGCGGAAAAAGTGATGAAAGCTACTGAGACGGCTGCGGCGGACTTCCAAGCGGTTGGCTTCCTGCAGTGCGACAGTGAATCCGAGCCCGGTGTAGATGTCCTTTTCGTTGAGTATTTGAGCCTCTTCCACCTCAGCCCGCAGAGCGTTGATCTTGTCGCCAATAGTCTCGATCTCATCGCGAGTGTTCATGTAGACGTCGGCCCAGTATTCGACGAACTCCATGGATTGTTTGTAGGTTGTCCTCTTTGTGACTGTTTTGTGTTAGACTCTTGTACCATAACAGTAAGTGAAGCCAATTCAAAGGGTAACTCACGAGGGTGATCCCAGCCGTTCTTTCCCATGATTGCGGGTTGACTGAGTGATCGAAACGGATAACTTCAAATGATGTCTTTTTGTAAAAGACAAGAGCAGGTCCCTCAGGTGAATCAGAAGGATAATCTAAGAATGTGGTGTCAGTCGAGGTTCCTGAACAGTGAAGCTTTGCTCAAGTGGAAAGGACTCACCGAAGAGAAGTAGGAGATGGTGAAGTAGACTTGTCTGGATGGTCCCACGACTTCACTCGAGAAACGTGATGTGTAGGAGATTGGTTCGAGATCCAGAGAAGTGAAAGGTTGGAAGAAAAGAGGAATGCAGAAGCGCAGGAAGATGTGTATGTGTGCAGTGGGATCAAGTATGAATATGCAGCTCAGCCCGCAAATGCAACGGGGAAGGCACAGATCAATAGCGAATGTCACCACCGAAGTCTGGTTAGTGCACGCCTGAAAGTCAGGTTCAGAAAGATATCGAGAATGATTTGGATCAAGATATTGACTGAAGCAAGAAGATGACTGGATCGAGGCAGATGGAAGAGAAGAAGAGAAGAAGAGGAGAGAGGAAGTGAAGGAGTTTTATAGTTGAAGTGAATGTCCCAAACGGGAGCGGCAGCACTGACGTGTTTGAGAACAATGAGTCGTCACTGACTCAATAATCTCTCGAAGTCAGAATGGGCTCAATAGATATTATTCGAAGGCATTCAGCGGTATTGTACTCCGTGGCACGCCTTTCAAAAGACAGTATACGCATTAATCCACGTGTATGAATGTCAGTCTCGGAGGCATTGATCTATTCTGCAAGTGAGTACGTCTTCAGGCACTCACTTCTACTTCACATTGCCCATGGATTCAGAATATACCAGCAATACACATTGGGCTACTTCAAAGCATTAGGTGTTCAGGAAGTGGCGTGATTGAGAGGAGCATCTCTGGTGATGTTGCCTGGTGCCCACGATTCAAGCCATGTCTGATGTGGCCGCCCAAAAAGATGCATGAACGTTGGGTTCATTCGTAGTCAACCCATCAAAGACCCTTCACGATCGGCATGGTATCAACTCTATCCTCCACTCTAGCTCAATCTGGAAAAGCCTGAGATCGTGTCGATCACAGTGAGCGCCCGAACAGGTCCTTCAGCTTGGACGATCAGTTACTGCATATAGCTAGACACAGATGGCTTGAGGGTCAAGGTCCACCAGGACCCTTTGGACTATTGATTTGGTGCATTGAGAACCCGCATTTTGAAGATCGGTGGTCGCGTCCACGGTGTCGTTCTTGACCTATATAAGGATAAGTCCCCCGAGCCGCGAGGAGGGTGATTCACGATTCCAAGATGCAATTCAAGCTTACTACCCTCCTCATGGCCAGCCTGGCCTCGGCCAAGCTCGCAACATCACCATCCCCTTCGGTCTCGTCCTCGATCGCCGTCTCCTCCACCGCGAGCCCGTCTGCCTCTGCCACGCCATCTATCAATCCAGACGACTACGACTGTGTCTACCGAGGCTGGGGCTGTGACTGGAAGAAAAGCGAGTACGGACAGGGCAGCGACTACTGTGGCTCATCTCCCTTCAAGGCCGGACAGCAGTTGTCGGACGGCTCCCAGGTCCTCGCTGTCTCAAAGGACGGCTCTGGGGATTGTGCGGCCCAGGCCGGGCAGAAGTGCTGCCAAATCGTGGCCGATGAGCCTTGCAAGCGTGGCGAGAAGTACCTGAACTGCGAGAAGCCTCAATAGGTTAGTGACCATGTTTGGGTTCTAGAATTGCCGCTGACGAGAATTAGATGAATGTGGAGACATCAATATATCTGGTTGATGGCTGATGAGTGACGCGGTGGATTTATACATATCAACGTATCGAAATGGAATATAACCATGGTATCATCCATAGATGTTTTTATTGATGATGTCGCCTTCAGGCAATCAATCAACAGAAACATCTATGCCCCGGGTTGAAAGCGAAAATAGACGGAGACTAGAGATCGTAAGCACAAGTGATCCTCAGAAAAACCGACTAGGGGCGAAAAGCACTGCTGCGCCCCGTGGCTGAAAACGCCTGACAGCTCATCGCACATTTATATATGTCCGCGTCTCCTCTTTCCGGAAGACCTGTCAATCCCCGCCGTGAAGTGAATATGCGTTGGAGCTGTCATTTCGCTGCCCCGCATGTCGCATATTTCCGACCTCGTCCGCGACTCCCGACTACCAACCCACTTTCTCCCCAACAACACGATCCATACATTCTTTGAATCGTCCACAGCATCCGACCGATGCGCCAGGCGACAAAGACGAATCGAACAATGGGTCCGATCCCGCGAACTCGGCCGGGGGTCGTTCGGGATCGTGTGGTTGGAGCAGTGCACCAAGGAAGACCGAGTGCGAGCCGTCAAGGAAATTGCAAAGAAGGAAATTCGCGAAAAGACCTACCATCGAGAGCTGGAGGCCGTTGTCAAGTTCTCTCACCCGAGGGTAGGTCTTCGAGATAGCCCCGGGACTTGGCGCTGACGCGAATCTAGTATGATGGCTTTTTTGTGCGGTCCTTTGGCTGGTATGAGAGCCCCGAATCGGTCTTTATCGCCATGGAGTATATCCTCCATGGCGATTTAAAGAAACATCTCGAACAGGCCTTGCCAGAAGACCAGGCTGGCCAGGTGGTCAGGCAGGTTCTAGAGGGATTGGAGTGTATGCACGAGAATGGGTTCGCGCATCGAGACCTGAAGCCCGAGGTTGGTTCTCAGAGTTATCAGACCTCGCGATGAAATTGAACTGACTCGGAACCGCTGTTGCAGAATATCTTTGTCGTCAGCAAACCCCCAGACAAGTGGTGGGTGAAGATTGGCGATTTCGGGATCAGCAAACGGGTTGGGGGAGGCGCGACGGCGCTCAGGACTATCAACGGCACTCCAGGCTTCATTGCACCCGAAGTCGCACTGAGACAGCTGTTTGAAGTCGACGTTGATGAATACAGTTACGATTTTACCGTCGACCTGTGGTCACTCGGCGTGATAACATTCTACATGTTGACCAAGAAGCACCCATTCCTCAAGATAGAAGGCTTACTGTCATACTACAGGGGAGAGGTTACCATGAGAGATCTATGTTCACAATACAAGTCGATTCATGAAGAGACCTGCTTGTTCATGGGACTTCTCATGGCACCGAAGCCCCAAGACCGTGGTACAGCCACGGAAGCGCTCCTACACGCTTGGCTACCGAAAGACGAATACTCTGAGGCTGATCCTTCGACTGAGGACGAGACTGAAACTCGCCTAGTTGGAACAGCCCTCGAAAATCCGAGTGATTCCGAGCCTGAAGTTTCGACGTTCACCACAATGAAATCCGCCAATCTGCCTACAGATCGGCGCCATGGCTCCAGCGATTCGGAGTCTGAAAGCTCGAGACTCTCAAATGTGAGTCAGGCGGCTCCATCAATCTCTCGCGCAGAGAAACCTGGCAAGTCTGGGCGTGCGAATCCGACAGAGCCCCCCACAATGATATGCGTCTCTGACGCCAACACCCGTGAGCCGATCCAGTCTGAGACCAGCACACTGAAACCCGCGCAAAGCCAAGCCGATGCAGCCCCGAACAAACCGAAGAACGCACCGGCTTCTTCGCAGCCAGACGAATTGGAGCCTTCGCGTGATCGTCCCCGCTTGGACAAGATCAAACACACTACGGTGCGAGTGAGGCGATCTTCCACCCGGCCCAAAGAATCATGGGGTCAGAAAATCTCCAGATGGTCTACCCGAGTACCAGAAGAGTCGGCCCCAGGAACCAAGCTCCCCGACAAAGTGGCTCCCGTCGAAGTGATCGCCGTGGATCATGCTGGAAATGAGCAGCCAGGTCTGCCGAAGCCCGTGGATCCGTATACGGGGTTTCCTATAATCAATCCATATGAAATTTATCCGGCGCAAGCTCCCCAAATGCCAGTGATGTCGAACTCGCGACCCAAGCGCCCTGATACGCCTCCCCCGGGAAAGAGCACTCTCGGAGCTCAATATCCAACAGCTATGCCTCTACAAAACCCCCAATATATTTGGTATAGCCCGCAGGAACCAAACAGTTCCTCATGCTTTGGTCCGATTCCAAACCTTCGGGGGGTTTCAGAAGAGCGTTCAAGATTTGACGACCTTTTGGCGTGGGACCTTGCCAGTGAATTGTTTATGTCTACTTCGGAGCTTGAAACCCCACAAAGGCCCCCTCCCGTTCCCCCTAGAATTACACTTGAGGTTGAAAGACCTCCATCGCGAACTGGCCCACGAGCAGGAAGATATTCTCGCGCACCACGCGAGTGCAAGGTAGTCCGTTTTGTTGAGGGAAGCTCTTCGCAACGTTCCACCAGCTCTTCCTATTCTGATCCAATCAGAGAGATCCGGAGGCGTGCGGGTTACAAGGAGAGTGGTCAATCAGACGAGGAGATGGACATGCCAGACGAGGAGACGGACACACCACCGCCTGTTGAGGCATACCACCATTCTTACCGCAGCAGCACCTTGGGGCAAACAGCGGAGACGCACGCAGAACAGTCTTCAAGTTCACCCGGCGTATGGGCCACTGAAACGTCGGTCATAAAGGACGGGTACACACATCTGTCTATGGAACGCTATAGCGAAAAAGCTCTAGACGAGCTCGGGATACACCACTATCCGAGTCATACAAATCAGTGGGAAATTCTGGCATATGGAACTATCAGCCCTGGGTTTCAAAGTCTGCTTCAACAACTGACTGTGGAACTGCGTTGTGAGTATTCTGCCATTCACGGGCAACCGATACAGAAGCTGATAACAAGAACACCCCTTAGCCGGCGGACCCTGGATACAACATGATGACCAAAACGGAAACATCGAGATTCGCACTTCTAGCTGTCTTTTACAGCGTCCAACACTCCGGCTCGAGTATTTTCCCACCCCCGGAACAGATTGGAAGAGATTTGAGTACAAGCTCACACCCTGGTGTTTACCCACGAGTCGCCACTTGAAATATTCCCTGCCATTATATCAGACGTGTATCTTCACCATAGCCACGTCAACAGGGTCAATAAGTAGATGGGCTATTCGACCAGATGAAATCCGGCCTGAAATACTTGTTGAAAACAACATTGCTTTCAACGTACAGGATTGGACTCTTGTTGCCGGGGGCCAATTCACTCCAAGAGAAGTCAATTCATTACGCCATAATTCCATCACGTTGCTCCAAGACGTCAAGAGTGGCAGAAGAAGCCTGGATTTTGACATGTTGAGCACCGAAACAAACCGCGCATGGCCCGTCTTCGGCCCCCGGGCTCAGATCAGGCGATATAAGGACCGAAGCGATCGCCTACCATTACAAAGCCAGGAAAGTATGCTCGATGAGGTATATAACGAAGTCAATGAACAACAGACGCTTGGCAACCTCATCACCGAGATCGATTATGAAACTTTCGACCAAGGCTCATGTTTCAGTGCCGAGCATAAACGATACTTGGACCCGATTGAAGGGTTCAATCCTTTCGAGGGGATGTTATTCTTGGCTTCAAAACCTACAGATTCCATTGACCGTCATTTTCCGGCCCTGGGCCCCAAATATGTTGAGGTCGAAAGGATTTACCATCCGAATTTTCCTCATGTGCCCCTTCACGAAACAAGCTGCGTTGAATTCGAGCGACATTACCATCGCAGCAACCTTCATGTATATAAGAAAGTCCCCCGTCGTCTGAACCCTTGGACTCCAAAGTTCTAAGCTGGAAGCTTTACTGAGTACTAGGCAGCCGTTTCCTTGTGGGGAGCCCTGGACGATATCCGGGAACCTTGGGAACTGAACATCCGCGGCGTTTTGTCGCCGTAGAACCTCCCAAGATTGGAAGTACAGTTGGAATCGGCGATCGACATATTCCATTCAGGTGTCAACATTGGAACTGCTTTCAACTCTGATCCAAGCCCAGGTGGATTGAGCCAAAGACAAGCCCTGCCCGTGCAGGCATGAAAACTCAAAACAATAGCAATTTAAGCGCATCTAAACACAATTATTAATGGACATTCCTCCAGAATATATAAAACGTTAGCACTGGGCAGCAGATCAAATCCTGGAGGACACGCATTCCAAGTTCTACCTAGGTATGACTTGATGTCTCATGTCAGTGCCCAGGTGTTGCTGCCCATGCCCATCGAACAATGGATGATGAATCAATACGGACTCCCAGCCGCAAAGCGATGTGCCGTCTATGTCTTCTTCTTCTTCGGCACTCTGAGAAGCCAGTACAGGAAGATTGCCATGGCCGTGTTGAACGCAACATACACCCACAGCAGACCGAAATCCATCCACCGTTGCGAGTGATGCGCGCCGAGAGAGGAAAGGAACTGATCTGTCTTGCTATATTGGCAATAGCGGCAGCTCTCATTGATGCCCATTACGTCGGGATTGAGAAGGGTGCCCCCATTAGCATCGAGATAGCCCTGCATATATTGGGAGCAAGTCTGATTCTGCGACGCCGCGAAAGTGAGGAATTCGTTACCGGCGCAATGCATAGGGGCACGAGCAAGACTGGTTGAAAGGAATCCGGAGGCGAGGTATGTGAAGGGATTCGCACGGTACACGAAGATCCAGAATTTCGGCATTGAGTTCGGGGACACCAGGATACCGCAGAAACAGTAGAAAATGAAGACAAGGAAGGTGGATATGGAGGAGGCTACCTCAACGGCGTCAAGACCCGCGATCAGCATATGGCCGAATGTGCTGGCCCAGGCGAAAGTGACCCAGATGAGAAGGAAGATGAGAGTGCTGCGCTCGTGCACCGTGTTGGTCACCTCGGCATTTCGATAGCAGCCGAGAGGGTAGTACCAACAAAGGAAGGTGAAGATCGAAAGGAATTAATATTGGAGTTTTCGCATTAGTCTTGATATCGAGTACTGAGTGACACAAGGGTAGAAAAAGAAGAGACCGAAAGAAAAGGGGAGGAAATTCGACCACACTCACCATGTGCCAGGCCAACTCCACACAAATGTTACTCAGAAGGAAGGCTTGCCAAGCGTATGTTTTTGACTGGCGCTCGCGAGCTTCAAATAGCGTCCGCTGTGTGACAAAGGACGGGAGCGTCTGGAAGATCAACTGCATCAAAACGATCAGGACAACGAAGACACCAAACATCTGATTTTGAAGTCCTTGCTTGGTTATCTCCCCCTTGAAAAAGGAAAATCCAATGAAAAGCGCCTGAAAAATGAGTTAGTTCGACAATCTAGTTCGCGCGAACAGAACATAGTATGCAGTCTTGGGACTTACCGAAACGATACAGAGTTCTGCCTTGCAGAAGATGTAGCCAGGGGATCGCCAGTACTGCTGGAAGACACGGCGACCGACTACCGCGAATTGAGTGGTCATTGGGGCCGAGAATTCATCGTAAATAGAGGGATCGTTCGCATCCACCACTTCAGAAGTGTGGTTGGCAAGTCCTCTCAGCTTGACAAGCTCGTTTTGAACATCACGGTACTACGGACTCTTGCGACAAGTCTCATGCCAGTCAATATTAGTGTGTTGCCCGGGAGTTGCTCCAATGATTTTCAACATGTGCTCGGCTGGATTCGCCATAGCTGGACAGAGCTCTCCGCCATTTTTGACGAAGTAGTCCATCAGAACCTTTGAGTTCTCACCGATTTCTCCAAAGTATACTGTCTTACCACCTCTCGCCAAGAGAAGCAATCGATCAAATCGCTGGAAGAGCATTGCTGAGGGCTGATGGATGGTGCAGAGAATGGCCTGCCCGCTGCGAGTCAATTTCTCCATCAAGTTACAGATAGACCACGAAGTCTGACTGTCTAAGCCGGAGGTGGGCTCATCAAGGAAGATAAGCAGCTTCGGACGTGCTGCAAGCTCCACTCCAATTGTCAGACGTTTTCGCTGCTCGACGTTTAACCCTTCTCCTGGTACACCAACAATGGCGTCAGCATACTCCTCCATACTGAGCAAGCTGATCACCTCATCGACGTAGTCGAGCTTTTCCTTGCGTGAAATATGGTGAGGTTGTCTGAGTAGGGCACTGAAGACTAGTGCTTCGCGCACGGTGGAGGTGTGGAGATGGAGATCCTGCTGCTGAGCATAGCCCGTTTGCCGCTGGAATGAAGCATCACGCTGGCGGCCATCCACAAACATGTCTCCGGTGATAACCCCTGTCGTCACCCGACTGGCCAGTACATAAGAAGCGTCGTTTTGCCAGCACCAGAAACACCCTAAGTTCAATGTTTCATTAGTTCACAGATTCGTTTGAGGGAGAAGGAGAACAAATTATCGGCCCTCTGTTGAACAGAATCGCGATGGGCGCTACAAACAGAGTGATTTTTCAACGCAGGGGTAGACCAAGACGTATGCTTCAAGGTTCTCAACAGCCTCGCAGTCCATGTTTTCTCCAAAAAGAAGAAAGAAAAAGAAAAAGAAAAAATCAAAATAGAAAAACTAATGTCACAGTATGTTCCAATTTCGGCAAGGGCGCATCTCTCGAGGCTCGCATATATCAACAGTTGATGCTAGAAACATTAGCATAGTTTTCTTCTCGGATTCAAGGAGCTCACTTCATCAAAATTGTCTTGGGCTCGGTAAATGCCCGTAAAGCCTGGAAGTGTTAGGATGCGAGAATCTTGCATTTTGGAACGAGATGTCTCACATATTCACCGAATTCTCGTCCAGTTCCCGATTGCTTCTTTCCTCCGAAAGGCGCTTGTATATGCATCTAGTTTCCTCAGCAACTGCCACAGTCCTTTGGGATTTGACTTACCATGCTCACGCAGTTAATACCGACGACGCCGGATTCTATCGCCGTCGATAACCTCATGGCGCGGTTTATGTCGCGAGTGAAAACGCCTGCCATCAGCCCATACTCTGAATCGTTGGCCAATTCCGCGACCTCTTCTTCCGTATCAAACGTCTTGATGACTGAAACGGGGCCAAAGACCTCCTGCTTGTATATTTCAGCCTCAGATTTGGGGTTCAAGAACACAGTTGGCTCGAGGAAGAGTCCCTTGTCGCCAATGCGATGCCCTCCAACGACCAGTTCGGCTTCATTCTTCGCGCGTGTAATCATCGCTTGGACCTTTTCATAGGATGCAGAATCTGCAAGAGGTCCAAACTTCGACTTGGCATCCTGTGGGTCACCGATGTCCTTTGCTGCGTCTCTCATTGCCGTGCAGTAAAGCTCGATGAATCTGGAGCTGATCGCGCGTTGCACATAGACACGGGATGCTGCAACGCATACCTGCCCAGTTCGCGCCAGGATTCCATTCACGGACCTGAACGTCGTCAGTCATACTACTTGGGACCAGTGGGCGTGTTGAAGAATCAGGTATAATACCATGTGACAGCATTCTCGATATTTGCATCGTCAAATATGATGGCTGGACTCTTGCCGCCTAGGGGTGAAGTCAGCGCCTTGTTCATCAAAGGTCTGCCCAGGCGCGTGTTCAGGCTTACCGAGCTCTAATGTGACTCTCTTCAAATTGCTTTGAGCAGCAGCTACTTGTATTTTCTTGCCAGTCGCAACGCTTCCTGTGAAACTTATCTTTTGCGTCTGGTTAGTATATCCTTTCATCGATTTTGAGAAATGTCGCGTAAACCTTACCTTTCTCACTCGCATATGACTAGCAAGCCGCGCACCTGTGCTTCCGTCGCCTGTCAAGACCTGGACCACACCAGGGGGAAATCCCGCTTTTTCGAAAAGTGGACCGACCGCTAATGATCCCAGTGGACTCTTTTCCGATGGCTTAACAATAAGCACATTTCCAGTCGCCAGGCATGGGGCAGCTTTGATGAAAAACGAGGCTACCGGTGAGTTGTACGGGTTGATGGCAACACAAACACTAATCAGGTGTTAGAATCGTACTCGAGAAGTTCAAAGACTAAGGTGAAGGGAAACAATACCCAAGAGGCTCGTGTCTAACCAGTTTCACAAACCCATCATCGTCTGGAAAGTAGTCACCGCGTTGCTTGTCCGTCCATCCGGCTGCCACGAAACAAAGATGAGCCCTAAGGTCTGGAGTTGAGCGCAAGCAAGGTTCAGGACAGACTCACCATAGTAAAGGAGACAATTCCGGATGTAATTCCTCTCTCTTGTTGGAATGAGTGAAACTGGGTTTCCTGTCGTCAACGAATCGAGGTGCAGGATATCAGACAATTCATTCTCCAGTAGATCAACTAATCGGTAGAAGCAGGCAGAGCGCTCTGAGGCACTGAAATTCGCCCAAGGGCCTTTGAAGGCTGCCTCCGCAGCAGCCACGGCAATATCCACGTCAACATGGTCGGCGATGGGAATCTGATCCGCGACAAGCGTATTGTCTTTTGGGTTCAGAAGAGAAAACGAGTCAGAGGAATTAGAAACGGCGTATGCTCCATTTATGTACATCTTATTGAAAGAAATCGGAATTGGAGAATCGAAAAGGCCATATTGGCTGTCAAGTCGATCTGACATTGCTTCTGTGTGGTTGGCAAAATATATGAAAATTTTCGTTTTCTCTCACTTGATAAAAGCAGACTCGTTGACGATGAGATCGGACGTGCTGTATTGCCCAAAAATCAATCAAAACAAGAATGGTATTTATAGACCATACCGTCCAAGCCCTCAAAGATCATCTCCAACTTGTTCGGTGTCTCGGCATCTTGGCATTTCGGTGTCTTGGCCGGCATCTCATGTTCGCAGCGCCGTCGATATCTGAGAGTACGTGGACAGGAAGAGACCGAAGCCGAAGAAAACCGTGCGCAGGTCGTTGTTGAAGATAAATAAGCACACCAGAAGCAAGCGAACTGTACTTTGAGCAAATATCTTTGTTTCGTGAACCATGTCTATGAAAGCTGTCATTTTTCGAGGCCCATACGATATTGGCGTCGAACGAAGAGCCAAGCCTCAGATCAAAGATGCTTCAGATGCCATTGTTAAGGTCAAGCTAGCTGGGATATGTGGGAGGTATGAAGTACAAGCCGTCAGCTAAAACCCCGTTGCTAACAAGCACCCTTGGATACAGTGAACTTCACATGTACAGAGGGCACCAGAAAACCGCAGCTGGACACATAATGGTATGGACTCTATGAACATAATATTCCAGGCTCTAACCACTATGAAGGGTCATGAATTCACCGGCATTGTTCAACAGACCGGCAGTGAGGTCACACTGTTTCACGAGGGAGATGAGGTTGTGTCAATATTTTCGGCAGTCTGGTGAGTAAAGCTGTGGTAAACGACGGCAGTTCCAATGTTGACATTGGAATGACTCGAAGTATGAGATGTTGGTTTTGCCTGCGAGGTTTGACCAACCGCTGCGTTAATGGTTCGGCTTTTGGAACTCAATTGCTTGACGGTGGTCAAGCAGAGTACGTCCGTGTTCCCTTCGCCGACGGTACTTTGCAGCATGTGCCAGCCAACCTGGACGGGCGTCTGTTGATCATGATGTGTGATATTTTCCCTACTGGATACTATGGAGCCCTCAGGGCTATTGAAGGCCTTCTGACGCAGTACACCTCGAAGCTCACAAGCTTTTTGCCTGCTAAGCAAAACGGACGGAATGACAATGGCGAGTACGGCACCTCAGCCGATGAAAGGCTTCGGCAATCAACTATTGCCGTTCTCGGGTGTGGGCCAGTGGGGATATGTGCCATTGCTGCTGCTCGATCGCAGGGTATCGAGACCATCTTTGCAATCGACAGCGTTCAAGATCGTCTAGCCGAGGCCGCAAGCTTTGGTGCCGTCCCGATTATCTTGGGCCGGGAAGATGTCAAGGCTCGAGTGATGGAGGAAACGGATGGCAGAGGAGCAGATGCAGTTGTCGAGGTTGTAGGAAGCAAGTCCGCCCTGCGCTCTGCGTTTGATCTGATTCGACCATGCGGCATTTTATCATCTGTGGGCTTCAATCAAGGCGAGCTGCCTTTCACAGCACTTGAATGTTATCAAAAAAACATCACGTTCGTCCCCTTCTGTCCTTCGTTGGTCCGCTTGTCTGACTCTATATTCCAGTGTCAATTTTGGTCGTGTGCCCGTACGCACAGTCTTCCAAGATTCTTTGCAGTGTTTGTCAGTCAATCAAAAGAGGATGCAAAGCTATATATCGCATGAGTTCCCGTTGGATGATGTTGCTGAGGGGTATGAAGTATTCGAAGAGAGGAAGGCAAGAAAGGTTGTCCTGAATATTTCGAGTTAGCTGAATAGAATCAGTACATATTTTATCGGCCATACTCACTTTCGTTCGTATTCAATTATCTGCAGCACCGACTGTGGACTGTGATCATGTGAAGAATTTTATACTCCATGAATCGGTCCAAATGGAGCTGCCCAGTTCAAATCCCTGAAAGGTCGACCCCGTTAATTTATCTCAGACGGAAAGCGCAATAGATCAAAGAAATCTATGTTGCAGGTCTCCAGTCCAACTCCGAACTCATTGGCGAGAAACAAATCAGGGAACATGTCATCATGCTCCGGCATGAGCCCCAGGCTTGCGGGGTTGGTCTGTGGGTGTTGTCCGGCGGGGTTTATCCCACTATTCACTCGTCCTGGAATATTTGTGTCAAGTAAATCATCATGCGGAATCAACGAGCTGTCAGAACCCGTAGTGACCTGAGGGTTAGGCTGGAGGGAGCCCGATGAAGATTGGCTTAGATTCAATGTGTTCGGTCGAGTGTTCAGTCGCTCCATAATGTAGACAAACAGCCGAAGAATCCATCCACTGACGGGCCATGATTCTTGTAGTGACATTAAGCCGAGCATGCACGTGCGAGCCCGGTTTTCCGCCAACTGTCGCTCGATAGCGCGTGAGGTACATATGGTGAACACATGTATCGCGAGAGAATTGAAGAGTGCAGGGATTCTGGTTTCTGGTTTCAGTTTTGACAGGCAAAAGGATGCCGATGAGGGCTCACATACGTGTGGATTTGACATACTCTTCCCATGGATAGCGAGAGGATGTCCTCGATTACCCGAGTGACTTCATTTGCTGCCGCCAAAGCTCTTGGGTGGTTGCCCCAAGGCTGGGGTGTGGCTGCATGGCTCGTATGTGGGGGACGACTCAGCAGAATAGCTCCGAAGCTACAGCACAAATGAGTATGATGAGTGAAGACAAGTACAGGAGATCTCACTCGTGAGCTAACAGTAGCATTGCCGCCCATATACCAAGGCCACCGTCTGTGCTGATACCATTATATCTGAGGGGCTTGGGAACCTGTGAGTGGAACTCATCGAGTTCTTGTTCCAGCTTCATTCTTTTCTGTGTCGGGTTATTTGCTCTGACCGCTGCATATCGAGAAAATATGATGTTGCTGACTATCAACCTGTCGTTTAGTTTGATTCAGACCTGATGAGTGGAGGAAAGACGCACATATACTGCAAAGACGAGCCATCTGGCAAGCATAGTGTAGTTCCGGCTCGTTTCGAAACTCCCCCTCCAAGTCATATGGCGAGAGCATTTCAACATCGCAATCATATATTGAAAAGTGCTGTGGTCGTCCAATAGAGCTACTGACAAGGGCATCTCTTATCTGGAACGGATAAGGTTAGATAGGAGGCCACAAAGGACTAACAGCCTTGGAAGGGTTCCTACTCGTATGCACCACCATATGCGCCTCCACATTTTGGCCCGATGCTCCGGCATATGGGATTCTGCCGTTCTGGGCCAGAAGAATCAATGACTGGTGAAGATGATCCAAGAGCAGTGTGCGACTTACGAACGATGCATCCCAAGATTCTGAGCCGAGCTGACTGCGATCCCTAGCCAGTGCCATGAGTCCTTCTGATCGTTGGGGCCACCCCACCAAAAGCTCATTAGAAAGACAGCCACCACGTTATTCAGTTTATCGGGATCCGAGTCAGTTTCATACAGTACCCTGGCTTGGCGGTAGAAGAGCTCACGTCCTTGATGGCGGTTCCGAGCCCCAAGAAGGGCGAGATCCGCCTCGCCACAAACAGTCACTGCAATCAGAAGTACAGCGTTGAGTAGAAGCAAGGATAGCTGGTTTTCGTTGAGTTTCCGAAGAATGACTTCCCTCTCGATTACCGGATATGCTGGATGAAACCACTTGAAGTAGCTCTCAAGTAACCGCTCCACAACACTCTGGTTTGGCTGAACACAGATATTTCTTTCCTGGAGTAACTTCTTCTGTTCCCCGATTATGCTTCTTGGAGCCTCGGGTGACGGATCGTGTTCTTCGTCGACGGGGAAATGAAGACGCTTGCGGTAGTGGGGAGCATGTTCAGTTCTGAGGAAGGGCGCCAAAACGTCGTGGACGACATATGTCAAGCTAAAAGATTCACCAAGAAAAAGGGTGCCTTTTTCACGCGAGATGGGCTGGGGCGTCGAGCTGACACCCTGATCTGCGATATCCAGGTACAACTTGCGACTATCGTCTTCATTCGCGGCTTCAATTGGTTTTTGAAAGAAGTTGGATGTTTCATTTGGACTCAAGGGTAAACTGGACTGGAAGTTGGTGTTTGAAACCAAGTTTGTGGAACTGGATGAGGGAACCATTCCCTCGCCCTCTTGGTTTCTCAGGGGGAGAGACGATGGCCGAGTCTTTCGCCCCCGGGGCTTCTTTCGAACATACCTATATTCTGATTGTTAGCCAATTGCTTCCATGGACATGTTCAACCTGGGGTTGATCAATACCGTCCTCGCTGTGATTCGATGCGAACGCAATCTGTGTTGCTCGATCTGCATCCCGTGCACGGGATTCCACCCTGTCTATCGCATTTGACCTTCTTCTGATGACATCTCCGACATGCCACATCTGTACGTTGTTGGTTTGATCCGAGCCGTTTGGCAGTCGGAAGATCCATGGCTCACGCTACTACCTAGGTAGTGGAGAAGTCCTCGAAAAGCCAGTGATCACACTAGGGAAGAGCTTGGTATAATCAAATCAACCATTCCAGGTTTGAAGTCGCGTTTGGAGCTTACAGACTGAGACCTCGGGATCGGATGGGTGTTCCCCGCCTTGTCCTCGGGGCAATTGCCGCCCGAGATTACCGAGCGCCGGGCTCCCAAGTCTGCGAAGCGAACCGCCAACATTAGCGCACGGAACATTACGAGGTGGGAGCTCGAACTGAAACGGAGATAAAACCGATTGCACTCCATTGTAAGATCAAAAACGCTCGACAAGTCTAGAATAAGTTGATTAAAAGAGTTGGCTGGACGCAAGTCCAGATTGAAAAGGCTCTGGACATGGAAGATATTTGCCCAACAAGCAACGCAAGCCAGCCGCAGTATATTGCACGAATATACTATCACTTATTATTTACATCCAAGAAAAGACCAGTCATTTAGTTCGCGCTGCCTGCAGGGGCAGCACGGGGAGCGTTGCCGGTAGGACCGGCACGGCGACCCATCATGGTACGGCTGAAGAAACTGATGCCGATCATGAACAACCAGCTGGGAACAGCACCAAGGCCCCAGATGAGGTAGCCAAGAGGGATGTTGAGCTGGTACTGGGCGAGCAGACCGTCGACGGGGTGGAGAAGACCCTCGTAGGGGGTAACCTTCTCGTAGGTCTTCTTGGAGTGAATCTCGTAGATGGTCTCGGGGGTGACGGTGGTGGAGTTCAGGTAGATGTTGCGGAGGGGAGTAGGAGCGCGCTCGCCAGCCTGCTCCTGGGGAACCTGGTAGTACTGAACGGAGGGCGCGCTGGCGGACCAAGCGGCGCAGAGAACCTGGTTGGCTTCGCAGTCCAGGTATCCGAGGTTGGGAGAGGTAGGGTCAGCAGAGAAGAGGAGGACAGATTCCTGGATGCAGATTAGTATCTGGTAGACAAAGGACGCGTCGCGTCAACATACCTTGAAAGCCTTCTCGGCGTGGGCGCAACGACCGAAGCAGGTCTTGTTACCACCGGTGGTGAAAATCAACCAGTCCTCTTCCTTGGGACCCGGGGTCAGGATGGATTGCCAGTTGTTCATGGAGACCGGGGTGACGCTCTTCTCAGAGATCTTCTCGGCGAGCTTCTCAACGGGAGCAACGGGGGCGGCGGTCGGCACGTAGGACTTGACCTGGTTGAACCAGCCCTGCACGCGGTCGGCGAGAGGGACTTGCTCCTGGGCCATGGCCAGGGCAGGGAGGAGGGTGACCAGCGACGTGAAACGCATCTTGAGGACTACCACGGGTTAGCCAGGCATGTTTCGGAGATGCACAAGGAAGAATAATGGGTAGACCCCATCAATATTGATGAAGATAGACATCAAACTCACCTTAGACTGAAAGGCGCGATGGCAATGGAATTGACACAGTCGAAAAGAGGAAAGAAGGCGAAGCGCAGAAGACAGGTGGTGGAACGACAGCTGGCCTGAGCGTCAGCCAACCACATCTCGGGAATTTACTCCTTGCACGTCCCTTTCGCCTCGTGCGACTTTCGCTGCGTTGCTCTCGAGGTCTCTTTTTTATCTCCTCTCGCTTCGAATTTACACCAATAGACTCTCTTTCTTTGTGCATCTGGGCACTCTCCAACAGATGACACCATACCAGCATCCCTCGGTAGCTATGCAGAGGTGGATTCTGACCTGCATACAGACCCACTCCTGATACAATATAAGCAGATCAGTATTCGCATGTCTACAGCGCAGTGCGCTCACTTCCATGAACAGACGGCTGTGGTATGGCGAAAGAAGCGAGTTATGCCATAAATCGCTTTCAATCAACATGGAACAGGGGGGAACGAATTCCAGATGGTGTTCTTTGCAGATCAACAATCGACGCGTCTATGCAATCTAGGCTAGTTAAACCTTGAAAGTAACGATTTTGTCGATCAACAATCCTTGCCTTCGCTTCCTGCGAGGCCGTCTTGTCCGAGTTGTCTGTGGGGGCCATCCTGTGCAACATTGGCCACTACTGCGTTTGCGTCAAGCTCATCCGACAGACCGCAAACACTTTTTCGAAGCAAAATCGAGGCGTCTCCGCTGTTTTTATCACGCCTTTCAAATTTCAGCCAATAGAGATCATGGGTTAGCGACTAATGCCTGGCTTTCATACCTGACTTGGTTTGCGTGCCACTCGAATATATCTGTCAATTGGAACCTAATCAGCACGACTTGAATGAAAGTTAGCGCACGGAACAACTAACAAGGTGGTATGAAATCCTCGCTGTTCAGCTTCTTCGAGAATTTCACGTTTAGCACGCTCTTCCAAGGCGTCCCACTCTTCTGGCGACATTCGATTCGCAAGATCCTTTCGCATGCGCTTGGTCATACCGTGGACAATATCAGCTATGTCCTGGCTGTATTGTGCGCCGACCCAATCACGATCAGCTTCAGGGTCTCGGGGATCAGAATACAAACGCATTTTGAAAGGTGTGTTCTCGACAATCTCGAATCCGGCATTGGCCATTTGCTCAGGCAAATATCCGGATTGATCCCAAGGAATTTGGTGTTTGGCGAGGTACTCTTTGGAAAGTTCAAACCAATGAAGGGCCGACGAATTGGTTGCGGTGCTTCCATCTTCTGCCGTGAGATGCATCAACCCGTCGAACACTTCCAGTGTGCCCCCAGGGCTGAGGCTCGCATAGATTCGGTGAAGGAGGGTAGGCCAGTCTTTGACAGCCAGCATCAGCATTCTCATGTAAATATAGTCCGATTGAGAAGAGAATTCCCAGTCTCGCTCAATATCGGATGTAACGAAAGAGCAGTTTTCTGGGACCTTATTCCGGTCGGCATCACCTTCCAATGCTGGATTGACATCTACCCCAAGAACAGTCGAGTTTGGATTCTCCGAGGCGAACTGGCGAGCCCAAATTCCGGTTCCGCATCCAAGATCGAGTACGCGTAATGGGGATTTGGAGAATTTCGCTCGATGAAGTCCACGGGTTCGAAGAGTGAAGACCGCATGCTGGGCATCTGGGATGGAAACCCCCGTTCAGTCAAAAGTCTCACAGAATCGAGGAGATATATACTTACTCAAACGGCTTGTCTCAATAATTGACTGTTGTCAATAAGTGAGCAGTCTCGTCCAGTGTTCCATGGAGTTGTTCTCACGTTGTTTGATAAGGGGTAAGGCCTAACACCACCTTCTTCGGGCCTGTGAGTGGAAAAGTCAGAGTAACTCAATATGGTGGAATGGCATTATACTCACTGTGGTTTCGGCTCTGGGCTTGCTGGCATTGTGGCGCGCTGCGGGGAATCCATGAGGGGCGGGGGTTCAGAATAGCAAATCTGGGGCTTGCAGCCTCGAGAGGTTCGAGCTCTCACGGGTTCAAGGTAAAGAGGGCAATATAATGGGGCCTTGAAAATGACCAGCTTCTCTTTAGTGTACTGAACGAATACAAAAGAGCAACGATAGAGAGACCAGGACCACAAGGCCGCTGAGTGGATCAGCTTTTATCCCCACAAATACTCCTCTCCTTTGATACTACCGAGCTATTTTGATCTCGGATTTTGAAGTGGCATTGTTTTTGAAGTGGTTTCGAAGGTCGTTGACCCGCAAGTATCGAAATCGATTACCAGGACTATTCAATTGCATATGGAAAATTTTGGGTACTGGTGCACAACATAATTGCTTCACGAATTGAGATAAGTATATACCCTTGGGCGATTCTATACAGAAAGAACAGCTAAACAACACCTGTATGGGTATCAATGGTGGATCCTCGGGGTATCAAACCCTAATCCGAGCCCCCGAAACGGGAATTAACGCCACCGTAGTTCATGCCAACCTGGACCCCACGATTTTCGCCCGAGAAGTTGATTGTATGATGATCCCCTTCCTTGAAAATGTTGACAATCTTAGCCTCCTGCTCAACCTGCCAAGGAACAATTCGGTTTAAGAGATCTTTGGCATATGCCGCAGCGGTCATTGCCGCATAGCCCTGCCAGACTTTGTTCTTATGCGAGTCGGAGTAGTCGCAAATGCCGCGGATGACAAGGCAAGGGAAGTTGTTCATCAAACCAGCCGCTTCCATCTCGAAGCAGAGAACATCCATCTGCGCAGCGAGCTTATCACGAGCGACCGCGTCTTTCATCAGCTGGTTTGCGGATGCGATCAGGCCATAATGAATGGCCGGGTTATCGTCTTCTTCTGTGCGTGGGGGCCGAGATACTAGGAGGCCATCGCTGCAGCTTGACTGGCAGGATAAGTCTTCCTCGGACGGGTGGACGACGTGGCTTTGGTACAGGCGATCGCTAGATGCATCTGGTGCTCGATAGTTCTTCCGCAGACGGGGTTTCCTCTCCAGAATAGCGTTGATTGTTTCATCAATCTGATGCCCCTCGAACTCGTAGTAGGCTTTGAGTCCACTAAGTGCTGTACGCAGCACGGTAGGTGGCTGATTAAGAAATCCAGTAGGCTTGAAGTCTTGGTCCTGGATCGTCTTTCCAAAATCATATTGGACAACGCCACCCCTGCCGTTGCTGGGGACGCTGACCACAATATCTCCGAGTCGAATATCGTGTTTCTGGCTTGGAACTCCGCCTCCGATGCCGACCATCAGGACAATACGGACGTTGGGAAAGCTTTGCATCATATCTTCGGCCACCAGGGCTGCTGAGTTTGTGCCGTACTCTCCCATTGGTAAAGTGGCAATGACCACATTGTGTTTCCCGATTCTGCCCAGAGTGTAGTCGTTTCTGTTGCGAGAGGACAAATGGGCGGGGGCGTCATGCCTTTCATCGAGCAGCGCTTGGGCAGCAACATACTCCGTGGTGATGGCTGATATCCATCCGATAGTATATTCCTCCGGGTTGCTCATCTTTGACCTCAAAAGGAGAGCGCTCAGCAATTTCCAGTTGTTCCAGTGTTCTCTGGCGCGTTCTTATCAAGACAGGCCACATAGTGGGGGCCAAAAAGGCGGGGGCTGTGTACAGGTGATGGCTTCAGAATTAGCGCCGTTTAGTAAGGTGAGATTGAGGCTGGGTTTCCAGGGCTGACACCCGTAGACATTTCTGGCGAAGAGAATCCCTCCTGGTCAAGATCTTACGAAGTAGGCTGCACCTTGATCCATTTGCGAATGGCATCCAACTCTAGTTCCTTTCACGGACTCAACTATGGTCACCAGATAGGGGCCAACTATGGGCCCATCTATGCGCCGATAGGTAACAGCAGAACGCGCCGGATTCTAAGGTAGCAGGTCACCTAATCGCATCACAGAGCGAGGAGAGACTCCTCCAGCCCCTCTGTCGACGTGTCCATTTTGTCGTGATCCGGATTTCGTCGATCGTGGGTCGCTGTTAGAGGAGATATATCAGCGGGGATGCGCCCCGGCGGCTCGGATCGCTCTTGTGGGCCTTGGGGGTGTCGGGTGAGCCAACATTGAAACTCGTCAATAAATTGACCATCGCTAATGGAATGACGCCGAAGTAAATCTCAACTCGCGATACAATGCTGTTACCAAATTGAAGATCGATCTCCTCAAACGTGGGTCTTCTGGATCCATGCAGCCAATGCTGAGCGCTTCGAGCAAAGTTGCCGTGATATCGCCAACCGAATCAAGATCCGGGGGCGGAATGACCCTAAAGCAAAGGTGTCTCAGCTCCTTCACGATTGGCTTGCGGATAAACGGAACGGAAAATGGGTGATAATTCTGGATAACGTGGACGATAGTCGCTTTCTTCACGACGTTGCGGCTGAGCAAAACACGCATGATGGTGGGGGCCGAGGACCCCAGAGATCACTCCTCGAACAATTACCTATAAGCCGCAATGGCTCCATCATCGTCACATCCCGAAGCAGAGGTGCAGTGAGCAGTATTGTAGATCCTGGTGATATGATCATGATCGGACCGATGGATGCAACTGAGGCGACAACCCTTTTTGCCAAAAAGTTGGGGGTACAAATCACGGAAGACGTCAGCCAGCTTGCTAAGGAGCTCGATCACATGCCGCTAGCAATAGCTCAGGCGGCGGCCCTTATCAAACACATGGAGCCGCGACTTTCAGTCTCACAATACCTTCGAAGGTTTCAAAAGAGTGAGCGGGAGAAGATACGCTTTCTGGCTCACGATCAGGGGCAATTAAGTCGTGACAAAGAGGCCCACCACTCCATAATCGTCACTTGGCAAATGTCTTTCGATCATATACGGCGAACTCACCCTTCAGCAGCAGATCTTCTTTCACTGATGTGTTTCTTTGACCGACAGGGGATCCCGGAAAACTTAATCCGACGTTCTCTTGGCTATACCGTCGATGCATCCAGTACATCTCAGGACGAAGGTTGCGGTGACTATGACGACTTCGAGAGCGCCACCCAAGATGCCGATCATGCAACAGAATGGACATTGGAAAAAGCATGTACCAATGAGGGAGACACTCCGTGGAGTGGATTTGAGTGAAGTATATCTACACTGAGAGACTCTTCCCTGATCACTACAAGTGTCGATGGAACAAGCTTCCAGATGCATCGCCTCGTTCAACTTGCCATGCGTCGGTGGCTTGAGACACACAAGCAGACTGAACGGTGGAAACGAAGCTTTATTAGAACACTGTTTTCCGAAGTTCAAGATGCAGAATACGAGAACTGGCCTGTTTGTGAATTGGTTCTTCCCCATGTGTTATCTGCGGTCACTCAGCCACCGATTGAGGAAACTACAATGGAGAAATGGGCTGCTGTGATCCACGTTGCTGCTGCCTTTACCTGTCATCGTGGTGACCATTCCAAAAGTGCAGAGCTTGCAAGTTTGGCATCGGAAACAACAGGCAGGCTACTTGGTCCATATCATGAGTCCACGCTATGTAGTCTCGGGGCACTTGCAGTCGCACGAGAATGCCAAGGCCAATACAAAGCAGCCGAAGAGATCTTGGTGCAATTATTAGAGATACGGAAGCGAATTCTTGGTTCGGAACACCCCCAAACAGTAACCATTATGCATGACCTGGCGACACTCTACTACCACCAAGGACGATATATCGAGGCTGAAAACATTGGCTTCCAGGCGCTCGAGATACGCAAGCGGATTCTTGGGTTGAATCATCCTGCAACCTTGATGGGCATGGGCAATTTGGCAGCATTCCGCGGGAACCAAGGCCGATACAGCGAAGCCGAAATGGACGAGTTGCAGTTGCTCGAGATGCGCAAGCGGTTAGTTGGCCCAGACCACCCTGCCACATTGTGTAGTATGAGCAACCTCGCAACGACCTACTTCGATCAAGGCCGATACATCGAGGCTGAAGACATTTTAGTGCAGGTGGTCGAGATACGCAAGCGCATCATTGGTTGGGATCACCCTGATACCTTGGGTAGTTTGGGCAACCTCGCATCAATTTACTTGGCCCAGGGCCGACACCGTGAGGCCGAAGATATCGGGGTGCAGGTGCTTGAAACTCGCCAACGGATTCTTGGATGGGACCACCCTGATACATTGTACGGTATGAACAACCTCGCATTCATCTACTTTGATCAAGGCCGATACACCGAATCCGAGCAGATCGGTAGACAAGCGATCAAGATGCGTAACCGAATCATTGGGCCAGAACACCCGGATACAATGGTCTCCATGAAAAATTATGCGGTTACACTTCGGTACCTTGGCCAACATGAGTCTGCTTTGCTCTTGCTGGCTCGGTGTACTGAGCTCTCCACTCGAGTACTCGGCCCACAGCATCCGTGTACCAATACTTTCCTCGGCTGTTTGGATAGATGTCGTCAGATATACAATCATCTTCCTCCCCAAACGACCGGAGCACCGTTCGAACGACCTCCTGAAGCGAATTGTCGGTTCGATTCTCAATCCACCTCGGCAGAAGCTTCTGATGAAGCTTCTGGGCCAAGTAAGGCTCGCAAGCGAACAATGTTGACCCGATTATTTCGCAAAAAAAAAAAGATCATCGGGACTGGCTTGGTTTTGGGACGGGCGATGTTCAACTGGCTGTCAGCGATGCATCATCCCACCACTTGAAGCTGCACCAAGACATGGTCGCTGTTGTCTAACGGTTGATCGCAGCAAACACTTACAGCAATGACAGAGTTCCATTCCCATACCGAGTGTCCTAGCCGCTGTGTTGGACTACCATCTCAGGCTCCGGGGAACAGAGAGCTTATGCTGGATTAAATTTAAGGACTCGCAGATCTGTGCTAATCTGCATCCAAGGATCACAGAAGTATGAAATTTAAGCTCGGGTTCATAGATGTGATCTCAGTGCTCGAAAGGGAGCCAATCAGAGCTGCGACAAAGAAACCCCGGAAACCCCTCGAACACGAACACGCGTACTACAAATTTGAGTGAGAGTTTAAAGATGAACATGTACAGTACAGGCCAAAAAATGCGATGACATCAAGCAGCCCTGGAGGCGAGAACGATCGACTTAATCAGATCTCTTATCAGAGAATAATCGCGGGCAAAGCCATTAGCAATGTGATGAGGCGCCCCTCAGAGAAAAGGCATGACTCAGACCCCCCGCGGCTGGGAAGTCCGATGTCGGGTTGACTCCGTATACTAGTATTCCGTGCTTCACAGAGAATGCCTGCATCTTTTACAGTGGGAGAGGTCAATTAAGCACAAAATGGAAAGGATAGACAGACCAAGTCATAACCGATCGAATCAAGCGGCAACAGGGGAAAAGTGTACATGTACAGAGTCATCCTATGACATCGCGGGCCCCCCCACCTCCGCAGCTGAATTTTTCTCGTTTTTTTGCCGCCGAGCGAGCGAGGAGCGATTACTACACACCACACCGCCCACTGCATTGGAATTATGACTCTTTCGCTTCTTTTCTCAAGAAAATCATCATAAATATCGTCTCTCTCCGGATCCCAGTCTCTGATCCATAGCTATTGCCAATTCACCTCGACTCAACTTCCTCGAACCCCACCCCACCACACCCCACTACACAATATGTGCCCCGGTGCCGACCCCGAGCCCAATGGGCAAGCCAATGGTGCCAGCGGTGATAGTGAGTGCGAAAGGCAATCGTTACGGAATTCCACGCTGACTTCCTGGTAGACCACGAAGGTTTCACTGGTATTGAGACTCGCCAGAACCCCCACCCCTCCGCCTCCCGCAACCCCTACGGCCACAACGTCGGCGTCACCGATTTCCTGAGCAATGTCTCCCGCTTCCAGATCATTGAGTCTACTCTGCGTGAGGGTGAGCAGTTCGCCAACGCCTTCTTCGACACCGAGAAGAAGATTGAGATTGCCAAGGCTCTCGATGACTTCGGTGTGGACTACGTGAGTCATGGCAATGTTACTCAAGCCGATGATGATCGGAGACTGACCGGTCCGCAATAGATTGAGCTCACTTCCCCCTGTGCCTCTGAGCAATCCCGCGCCGATTGCGAGGCTATCTGCAAGCTTGGCCTCAAGGCTAAGGTATGTTCAAGGATGGGTGGCGTATACGGAGTTCGAAATGGTGTCTAATGGTATCCTTAGATCCTCACTCACATTCGTTGCCACATGGACGATGCCCGCATTGCCGTTGAGACCGGTGTTGACGGAGTGTGAGTTGCTATTGTTCTACAAAATTGAATCTGGACTAACCTTTCGCAGCGATGTTGTCATCGGTACCTCTTCTTACCTCCGTGAGCACTCCCACGGTAAGGACATGACCTACATCAAGAACGCCGCCATCGAGGTCATCGAGTTCGTCAAGTCCAAGGGCATTGAGATCCGTTTCTCCAGCGAGGACTCTTTCCGTTCCGACCTGGTTGACCTTCTGTCCATCTACTCTGCCGTCGACAAGGTCGGCGTGAACCGTGTTGGTATCGCTGACACCGTCGGTTGTGCCTCTCCCCGCCAGGTCTACGAGCTCGTCCGTGTCCTGCGCGGTGTTGTTGGCTGTGACATCGAGACTCACTTCCACAACGATACCGGTTGTGCCATTGCCAACGCCTACTGTGCCCTCGAGGCCGGTGCCACTCACATCGATACCTCCGTTCTCGGAATCGGTGAGCGCAACGGTATCACCCCTCTGGGTGGTCTGATGGCCCGCATGATGGTTGCGGACCCCGAGTACGTCAAGGGCAAGTACCGCCTCGAGAAGCTGAAGGAGATTGAGGATCTTGTCGCCGAGGCCGTCGAGGTCAACATCCCCTTCAACAACTACATCACCGGTTTCTGTGCCTTCACCCACAAGGCCGGTATCCACGCCAAGGCCATCCTCAACAACCCCAGCACCTACGAGATCATCAACCCCGCCGACTTCGGTATGAGCCGTTACGTCCACTTCGCTTCCCGTCTTACCGGCTGGAACGCCATCAAGTCTCGTGCCCAGCAGCTCAAGCTTGAGATGACTGATGCCCAGTACAAGGAGTGCACTGCCAAGATCAAGGCCATGGCTGACATTCGTCCCATCGCTGTCGATGATGCCGACAGCATTATCCGTGCCTACCACCGTAACCTCAAGTCCGGCGAGAACAAGCCCCTTCTTGACCTGACTGCCGAGGAGCAGGAGGCCTTCGCCGCCAAGGAGAAGGAGCTTCTTGAGGCCCAGGCTGCCGGTATCGCCGCATAGGCGATCCGTGTCCAATAAAATGCCGCGCCTTCAACCGATTCCCACATCTATTCCACGCATTGTGCGTGGGACTCTTGATGATTTGATGTTTTGTTTCTTATATGTTTGGGTTTTTTTTTCCATGGGATTTACAGTCTTCCTTTGTTTCGGAGACTCAAAAGAACTGGTGTTACTAGAGATTTGTCTCTAATTTGTATATAAGCGCAGAAGAAGCCATTTGATCCATACTCCATGACCTCCGAGTCCTTGAAAGTAGTGCATTGGGTCAGACCTCATATTCAGAGGTAAGCCAATTCCTTTCCTAGAGAACGTAAGTAGTGGCTGTTCAATCAAGTCCATATGTTCCAACCTTCAAAGGTTCAAGGTTGTTGGCAGTGAGACCTCGGGCCCCCAGGGCTCCAGGGCTGGAGCTCTAGACTCATTACGTCAGACAAAGGAAAAGATCAATCAAGGGAAAATTACAGATCGTAAGGAGATAATCGATTGTGATAGTATTGATATACTGAGAGGCAATACATGCGAATCAGAAGATTATATAAAATTCCTGTGTGAAGTCGATGCGTACGGAGTATCAAGAGTCACGTACGGACACGGATCCATGTGGAAGCCGAGGCCCGGCTCAACTTCCAAGTTGAACGCAACCTCACCATCGCCACTCTCCTCCCCAAACTCCTCGCCATGAAATCCTCAATACTACCAGTAGCCTTACAGCACAAGCTGGCAGGCTACAGCCGTGTCTCCGGCGCCCAACTATCCGCCCTCAACTTCGACCTGTAAGTGCTTCCCCGCGGAATTCCACATCAGACCACAACTGATACCCAGCAGCCTCCGCAATATAGTCTTCATCCTATTCATCCTCCGATACCTTCGCAAAACTTTCTACTCGCTCCGCGGCTACGGCATCTTCGGTAGCATCCGCAACCTCTATATCTCCCTGCGCCTGTTCTGCTATGGTCTGTTCCTGCGGACGCCCGGTGTCCGCGGACAAGTCGATAGGCAGGTCAGCACGGCGATTACGAATCTGGAATCGAAGCTCGTCAAGTCCGGTCCTGATGTCGTGCGCTATCTATCCTTGCCGAAGGATGGCTGGTCCGGGGACGCAGTGCGCGCGGAGTTGAATAAGTTGGCTGGACTTGAACATACGCGTTGGGAGGATGGTCGCGTCAGCGGCGCTGTCTACCATGGTGGCGATGAATTGTTGAAGTTGCAGGCCGAGGCTTTTGGTCAATTTGGCGTGGCGAATCCCATCCATCCAGATGTTTTCCCTGGTGTGCGGAAGATGGAGGCCGAGGTTGTTGCTATGGTATGTTGCTGTTTCGATCGATATGGGAGATTGCCTAACGGATTAGGTTCTTGCTTTGTTCAATGCGCCATCTGATGGCGCCGGTGTTACGACCAGTGGTGGCACCGAGTCGATTCTGATGGCTTGTTTGGCTGCGAGGCAGAAAGCCTTCTTGGAGCGTGGTGTTACTGAGCCTGAGATGTGAGTTATGGCTGATTCGGTGATTGGGCGGTACTAATCATCCCAGGATCATCCCTGACACTGCTCATGCCGCCTTCATCAAGGCTTGCAATTACTTCAAGATTAAGTTGCACCGGGTGCCCTGCCCTGAGCCTGAGTTCAAGGTTGATGTGCACGCTGTTCGCCGCTTGATCAACCCCAACACCGTCTTGCTTGTTGGCTCTGCTCCTAACTTCCCCCACGGTATCGTGGATGATATCCCGGGTCTCTCCCAACTGGCAACCAAGTATAAGATCCCTCTCCACGTCGATTGTTGCCTGGGCTCCTTCGTCGTTGCACTCCTCAAGAAGGCCGGCTTCCCTTCGCCCTATGAGGAGGAAGGCGGCTTCGATTTCCGTCAGCCCGGTGTGACTAGTATCAGTGTCGACACCCACAAGTACGGTTTTGCTCCCAAGGGTAACTCAGTACTTATCTACCGTAACAAATCCTACCGCAACAACCAGTACTTCATCTACCCCGACTGGTCTGGCGGTGTCTATGCCTCTCCATCCGTCGCTGGTTCTCGCCCCGGTGCTCTCATCGCCGGCTGCTGGGCCAGTTTGATGAGCGTCGGTGAAACCGGCTACATCAACAGCTGTACCGAGATTATCAACGCGGCACGCAAATTCGAGGCAGCTGTTCGGAATGACGCTACCATTTCCCTCCACATGGAAATCATCGGAAACCCCATTGTCAGCGTTGTGGCTTTCCGTAGCAAGAACGGTGCCATCGACATTTATGATATTGCTGATGACCTCTCCGCTAAGGGATGGCACCTGAATGCTCTGCAATCTCCCGCTGCCATCCACTGTGCTTTCACCATCCCTACTGCCAAGGCTGTTGACCAGCTGATCACTGATCTCACCGAGGTCATTGGAAAAGAACTCGAAAAGGCCGAGCAGCGCAAGCGCGAGGGCAAGTCATACATTCTCAAGCGTGGTGACACCTCCGCTTTGTATGGTGTGGCTGGCAGTATCCCTGACAAGAGCATTGTCAACCGTTTGGCTGAGGGCTTCTTGGACACCCTGTACAAAGCATAAGTTCTAAGTTGCCTATATTGTGACTTCATGATTTAATTCCCTCTGGCTGTCTTGCCTGTACTGGAGCAGTGGCGTTATTATTATTTCAAATTGCACATACTTATTCCAGTCAATTCCTTCATTGATGCATATAATACAATTCAGACCCCAAGGGGCATAGAGTACACAAGAAAAAAAAAGCAACCCGCTCCATGCAAGGAAACCAAAACAGAAAATAAAAGACGCGGTTCAATCGCCCAAGTCTTCCAGAGAAAGGTAATCACAGCTCCACGAATCCCAAATTGTGTGGGGATTAAGAGCTCGACTCGCTGCGCTGCTCGGCAGCGCTCTTCTCAAGGTAATATCCAGGGTCGGGCTTACGCTCCAGGTGCACTTCTTGCTTCGTGAGGCGGTATTGGCATTCCTCGACCTGGACAAGCTCCTTGACTTTCATGATCTGACCGGCGACAGAGGGGGAGACAGCGTGGAAGACAGTCGCCATACGCTTCTTCAGGCCAAGGGCCTTGAGGACATCTGTTGAGCGACGCGGCAATCCAATTGCGGAGCGGAGGAGGGTGATGCGGAAAAAGGCCATTTTGGCTGTGGTTTGAGATCCGAGATCCGGATACTTCGTGGGTTTGGGGTGGAGTTGCGGTAGTCGCCTCGGTGGCGCGAAACGAGATTGGTAGAGTTGGATGGAAGCCGGTGTATCAGTGAGCACGAATTGCAAGACCCCGTAACAATCGACTTGATCGGCTGGAGAATCGCGGACTTGGAGATCCCGCAAATTCAAGGCGGTGGGTCACGTGTTGATTTTGCCAGCAACATCATGGCGGGATATACTTGCTGGACTCCCAATTGAGGCTACTCGCTGTATCCTGCTAAATGTGACGGGACCTGTGTGTCTGCTAGCTTCACCTTATAACTCTGCTTTGAATTCACGCCACATACCCACGTTCTCTACGCTTAGTCCGCCGACATCGAGCCATTGACCTGTCACGATACGAGATCCACCCGCGACAATGGCGCAAGCCAGCAACATAGACACGACGGTTGCTTTGCCACGCCTCGAAGACCTCCTCCGCCACCCAGAAGATCTAGACAAGATCAGTGGTCTAAAGGCCGAATACCTACGAAAGAAGGCAGCTGTTGATTCGCAGCTCCGCGAAGGCCTCCGAGACCAGCTTGAGGCGGTCCAACGCAGCATCGGTGCCTTGACAGAAGGTCAGCGCCAAGTGTCCAAAACGAAAGATGAGCTTCAAGGAATTGATAAGCTGTGCGCCGAGTCGCAAGATAGCGTGGAGGACTTCGCGCAGATCGATCGGCTTGCGCGGATCCAACGGCACTTCGACGCTACGCTCATGATGAAGCGCGGATTAGAGAATTTCGGCGCAGACATCCAGGAGGTGGAGGATTTGCTCAGGGAAGACGACGATGATATGGAGAATCAGCCTAATATCCTCCGCGCTCATATGCAGATCTCGCGATTACGGGATTTCCGCGACGAGGCTATGGATCAGATTACCAAGGCTCAGGATCAAAGCAGTGAAGAGACGCTTGAGGAGTACTTTGAAGGCCTAGACTCTGTTATTGAGTGGTTTGATGATCACCTTGGCACGGCTTGTATGAATCTCATCCCTTTGGTGCAGGCGGATAACAGAAGCATGGTTGTCCGACTTGCTGTGGTTGTGATGAACGAAGAGAAGAATGACGATACGGTCAGGGCCCTACAGGAAGCTCAAAAGGATCATAAGGACTTGGCCAGTCGCTTTAAGTCCATGAATATCGGCCCGAAGACTGTTCGTGGCTACAAAGACAAGTTCATCCAAGCCATTGAGCTATACGCCCAGGGCCAGTTTGAAGAGACACTCGAGTCATTCCTTGGTGACCCGGAAAACCTGGAAAAGAAGTTCCGCTGGTACTTCAACGATCTGTTCACAGTCAAGCAGGGCATGGAAAGTCTTGTTCCAAAGAAGTGGAAGATCTTCAAGACATATACCGACATTTACCACCGCATGATGCACGATTTCCTACTTACCATGATTGATGACCCCGAGCTCCCTGCCAGCAATCTCCTCACGATCATTCACTGGAGTGACAAATATTACAAGAAGATGAAGAAGCTAGGATGTGCTCAGACAGACCTCCAACCCAATATTCTGGACGATCGAGAGCCAGAGCTGGTCCACAAATGGCAGAGCGTTATTATCAACGCCGTCGAAGAATGGATGGACAGAATTTTCAACGCAGACAAGAAGTCTCTCGTCGAGCGTGCCGCAGACGCTCTGGACAATAATGCAGAAGGTCACTTCCGCACCAAAACATTGGCCGACATGTGGCGTATGCTGCACGAACAAGTCATGGCATCAGGGAGCTCCGATCGTGCAGACTTGGTGGAGGGCGTCATTGACGCCATGTTCCGAGCTCTCAAGAGCCGGCAAAGCGCCTGGCAAACACTAGTCGACGATGAATGCACAAAGCACCAGAACGGCAGCGCAGATCAGGAAGGTGTGCAGCTCTTGCAAGACTGGATGATCGGCGTAGCAAACGATCAGATTTCATGCATCGACGACAACGAGGAAGCCGGGGTATTCGGCTATCTCACACGGTTCAAGAATGACTTTGAGTCACTTGTCACACCCAAGTACATGGCTACGACAGCTAGCATCGAACTTGATGCCTTGCGTGATGGATACGTTGACCTGAGCACGCACTGCCTGGCGCAGTTCGTGAATATTGTCTTCACGGTCGATCTTGACACGGTACTACCAGATATCTTTACCTCAAGATGGTACGGTGAATACGCCATGAAACGTATCACTTCTACGTTTGAAGATTACATGGCCGATTACACACCCGTTCTTCATCCATCCCTTGCAGAGATTCTAGTCGAGGAACTTTCCGACGAGCTTCTCGTGCGATACCTCTCCTCGGTCCGGAACAAGGGTGTCAAGTTCCGCCGCAATGTGGATCCATTCACCGAAAAATTCAAAGACGACGTCCTCACCGTCTTTGCCTTCTTCGAGAATTACCCAGACTCTTTCGAAGGCACAATCAAACAAAAGTGGAGACTTGTTGAATGGCTTGTTCAGCTTCTCGATACAGACAAGGGTCCTGCCCTCGTCGCTGTCTATGAGGGCTTCAAAATCGAGTACTGGGACCTGCAACTCTCCTGGGTTGAGGCTGTGCTGCGCACTCGTGATGATTTCGAGAGGAGCATGATCACATCCATCAAGGCCAAGGCTGCCGAACTATCTATTGAACGTGGAATGGAGACTATCATGAGTCGGATTCGATGATTGATTGGAACCACGCTTGATACAAACGACTTGTTCAATGGGTGGTCGAATACATTGTTGACTGTATCCTGTGTGGCAGCATTTTCCCTTGGGCAAATGATACCCATAACCATATCCTGATCATGGGAGTAAACTCCGCGCGGAGGAACTCCAGACCTCGGGAGACCCTCCGAGCATGTCGCCAATGTGTGAGCAACTGTGCATGAGAACCCTTCAACGGTATCCCAAGCAGGCTTGGGATCTAGTACTTAATACTATAACCTACTTGAAACAATGGAAGCAAAGCTTTTCCTAAACTTTCTCGGCATTCCAAAGTCGTCGGGATGTTATCAATGTGCCCACCTGGCCAAGTTTGTCTGTCTACGTGTGCATGTTCCGAAGCCTTGGGTCATGTGAAACAGTCATAGGGAGTAATTTCATTGATATAGAGTAATCAAATAACGATCTGAACACTCAATCACAAATTTTATCTTGGACGTTTAGGGGAACCGTGTGATGGCTGGGTGTGTCCCAATTTCCGTTGCGCAACGACTCGATATTCCTCGCCCAAACGCTCGTTCAGGCCGTGGTTATCGTTGGAACCTGTATGTAACTTTTTGGCACCCATTTCACAAATGCATATAGCATCTAATGGAAAATCTTTCGCCCAGACGTAAGAGTGACTGGGTGCCGGCCTAGGGGAAGTGGCGACAACCGGAGGCCGGTTGCCTGGAGATTGCGAGACCACACTGCGAGCATCGAATGTGAAACGTTTTGATGAGCTTTTGCCTTTCGCATTCTGGTCCTGGTTTGCCTTTCGTCCCTTGACATATATCGTGTTGACCAGAGTCGCATGCAAAAGCAGTGGTCGCGGCTTTGGTTCTCGTGTAATGGCGACTGTGTACGGATCCAGGTTCTGTGGTGAGGCCTTTTGGCTTGGAGATGCCCTGGGAGAGGAGGTAGTGTTGGAGCTCTGTGTGGCACCTAATTGACGATTCTGACTTGAATGTGGTTTATTCTTCGCAGCTTCGTTTTGAACGAAGCCAGCTTCGATGAACTTATCCCGCAGCATTACACAAAACGGATATAACCGCCCAGTAGGATCTACTGGGGAAGCATGCAAGATAGTTGCTGAATCATCCCGTGGAAGTGCATGTAATGACTCCAACGAAATGTTCAATGGTGCGTCTGATGTGGACGTCTGTGAGATATGTGACGGATGTTGCTGTGGCTTGTTTCGGTGGTGTGAACGAGTGGCCACTCTCTGAGCTTCACGCATTAGATCTGCCAAGTCGAGAGACTGTAGAAAAGCAGATGCCTGTTCAAGACGCTCTCTCGTGAGACTCATCACTCCGAGCGTAATATGGAGTGTCCCCAGCGGTCGAAAAGCCGTGGCGGGAAGGCCTAGGCGAGTTGGGTTCGTTTGGCCACTGGCCTCAGGTGATCCATGACTTGACTGGTGCACTCTTTTGAATGCTGAAATGGAATTTTCTAACTGTGATATGGATGCAGAGTTTACCAGAGGCAAGCACAGGAAATGAGTCAGGCCTGGTGGCTTACTCGTAGGTGGCCTTGGCTTGGTGTTTTCTGTCATGATTTGCCGGGGATTCGGTTGACGAGACATCACTTTTGACCTATTTCCACGAGAGACTCCCTGTTTCCAGAGGGAGTTCATAGAGTAAATAGTTGGAAAGGTCGAAAGAGTGAGACGCGGAGGATAAAACGCACGGACCGTATGACAAGCAACCTTGTATCAACCGCAGTGATCGGAACATAAACCAATCTCTCACAATAGCCTGGTCCCTGTATAGGGTTCATTTACCCCGGTGAATTTTTGAATCTCAACTTGGCAACTAGCGTCCCCCAGCACTTGACTGCCGAGGGTCCCCAGAACCTTGGGGCCTGGAGAAACCACTTCAGCCTAGGCTTGGAATGTAGCGCGCGAGAGCGCCTAAACGAGTAGAAATAACCTTGGAAATCAAGTTGATAGGTGAAAGTCCCTCATGGCCACGGTGACCACGAGCTTGAAGAAATAGCCCAATCAAGTCTCGGAAAATAGCGCCTTGTCCTGGTCCATGTTACAACTTACTACAGGCAGCTAGAGGGATGATTGACTGGGACTATGACAAAGTAGGAATCTTCGAATGTGTGAGGGACTACGATGGAAAATTCGTTGCATTCTGGTGGCAATGGAATGAGTACGACTACCCAGGCTTGTGGGTGAGAGAAACAGACGTAATGGGAGGTGAAGAGATGAAGGTCATTGAAAAGTTTGGCTGCTTCCGCATGCCAGATCCAGATGAGAAACCCAATGCTTGACGTTTATGGCGAGTGGTTGATGCTGGATATCACAAGAATAGATTCTGATAGCTGCTCGTTGATCTCTTCCTGCCTTCTGATAACTTAGGTCTGCATCATACACGTCCAGCCTACCGTGCTCTGGATGTCAAATGTATGCCAGACTGAGCCAAGTCCGCATCTTGAGCAATGAATTGATTACAGAGGATGCCCTCTCAACCCTGGGAGCTTCTATGCTAATACCCAGGTCTACGAACGCTTGCTATATTCCACTGGTAAAGAGCCAGGTATTTTATTTCATTGCAGGGTATCAAGAGGCACTAGAACCGATCCACCAGTCGAAAACTTAAGCGATGGCTGAACACCTATCAAGCGTCCTTCTTACGGCCCTCAACAACACGCATGACATCTGTAGCACTGTCCTTGTCGCCCTTCTTCTTCTTGGGACCACGCTTCCTTTTCTGACCACCCCGCTTTTCATCATCATCAAAGTCTAGCAAAGGACCGTCGTCTTCTTCGGCCCCATCCTCGTTGCGACTTCCTCCGAAGCCCATGTCCATGTCGGCTGCGTCCATCGCATCACGACGACGAGCCTCTTCGATGAAACGCTTTTGTCGCAGTGCAGCCTCAGATGACTGGCCCTCCTCGCCTTCGGAGGGAGAAGCTTGTCGCAGAGCGGCGGCTCGTTTGAGCGCAGCCAGAATGGTAGGATCATTCTTGAGCGGGTTGGAGCGGTCTACTTCTGTTTGCGCTGGTGACTCGGTTCCGAAGTAGTTTCTGGGTTTGGAGGCTGTCTCGCCAGACTTTTCGGATTTGTCCTCGCTACCGGGTTCCTTCTCCGATTTGCGAGTCGAGTCTGGTAACTCGCCATCTTCATCATCTGACGAGCCATCGTCTTCAATTCCAGCAAGTGGATTGTAGTCATCTCCAACGCCGGCGAAGATGTCATCGTCATCGTCTTCAGGTGCCGCAGGGGCGGCACGGGCGGCAATATCCGCCGGAACCTCCATACCTAGGGGTTTGGCAGCTTTGTCAGGCATGGGTAGGTCTTCTGTTGTAGCAGCAGGTGCCTGGACTGGTGGTTCAAGCCAACGAGTCTTCCGTTTGGTGTTTCCTTCCGCGTCGGTGATGAGGAGCACCTCCCGGCGACGGCCTGTCTCATCTCTCTCTTCGAATCGTTTCTTCTCAGGCTTGCCATCACTGAGCTTTTTAAATCTAGAGCCAAGCGTCGACTCTGGCGGCGGTGCAGGCGCAGCAGCAGCAGCGCGCTTTGCTTTCAGCTCCCGCAGGATTTCATCACGAGTCTTCGGCCTGGCAGGCGGTGGTGCCATGGTTCCCTTCTTCTTCTCTTTGGGTTCTTTTGGTGCCGCAATAACCTCCTCTTGTCCTTTTTCCTCCATGAGCCGCTCGAATTCATCGTCTACATCCTCTTGGGGCGGGGGTGGAGCAGGCTTCTCGGCTGTTTGCGACACATCTTCTCCCGCTCGAATTCTTCGCAGAAGATCCATGTCGAGTCCTTTGACCATATGTGTGCTTCCTAGGTCACCCCCAACACCAAGTTCCCGGCGCAGTTTATCAAAGGTAGCTTGGTCGATCTGCCCCAATTTCACCATATCTTCTAGTGCTTTGATTCGCGTCTCGATAGATTCACCCTTCTCGTCCTCGTCTTGATTGCGCAATTTCGCACGATCTTGGTAGCCGGTGGGCATTGCGGTTCCTTTCGGGGCAGCAGATGACTTAAAGCGCTTCGAGGGTCGGCCATCTGCTTCGCGGTTTTTCTCGGCCAGCTGGCGCGCAAAATCCACACCTCCCACCGAGCGTCTGTAATACAATAATACTGTTAGTGTTGTTTCAAAGTAGCGAATTTGCAACTGCGAGTACGCACGGGGTCATAGGGATGTTGGAGCGCATTCGCGAGCCAAGCAACCCAGCTGGGGTTGCGCTCCCCCGTTGGGGATTGGCTTTGGGACTCGTGCCCTGCTCTTTGGGCTTGGAAGCCGCCTGGTCGACCAGTAGCCGCCGAAACTGCTCGTTATTCATGGCCGTGGACTCGAACGTTGGATTGAAGTCAAGAAAGACTGTCTGAGGTGGAGATCAGCTGGAGGCTTGGCGCCGATAAGACTATCGGTGCATCCAACTCCCGGGGCCGTTGCCCTAACAAAGCAGGACGTGTTCAGTACTTCACAGTGTGGTATGAGGCCTTGTAAGATACTATGCCAGAGTGTCCAGAGATATCAAGACATATGCTTTTGCAACTTGATGAATGTGCCAGAAGAGTGCCATCATGCCGATGGTAAGTTCTAGCACCTTACTCAGAAGCTCTGAACACTCATGTTTACTCAAAAGTAGTAGATTCAACTCGAAGAAGTACATACTTATTTACCGGCAAAGTGCCGATAGTAACGAGAAGATAGTGAAACTCAAAAAACAATGCGATGTGAGGAGTTCTGTCTCCTCGGCAAAACAGATCTAATGCGTGCACCCAAACAATACTCTTTTTGTTCGTTAAATAGTCTCCCATCCGCCGTTGTTAATCTCCGACTCCAGTTTACGGCTGATCGTAGCAGGGATAGAGTGGGACAGCCAAACATCGCGCAAGAGCCGGTCGTATCGCTTCTGGTTGAGAATAAGCTGGCGATTGCGACGGAGACCGGGGTCGACTTCGCCGTGGCGGTCGAGGTAGGGAGCGTAGTGCCATGATCCAATTGAGTTGTGAAGATACAGGACTGTGCATTTGCGAATGTTGATAAACAGACCGATGTTCTTGCCGCATCTGTGGAAAATGTTAGTCTTGGATAGATCAAGTAGAAATAATGATACTGACTTTTGGAGATGCTGGTTACAGCCACCAATCTTGTTAGACATGCAGCATACTGCCTGGGAGCAGAAAATGTCTCCACAGAACAGACAGATGCTAGGATCAGTGATTTCCTTCCTGGTGGTGGGGCAACGTCGACGGTTCGCCTCTTCAATCAGGCTATCAAAGTACATTGGCAACCCGACGAGCTCGAAGATAGCGGGGTGGGGCAAGCTGGGCCAGAGTCTATGGTCTTCGAAGCGGATACCGGAGCGTGACGCGTTCCAGTGGAAGATCCACCCCGAGATAACAGCATCAAAGGGACTGTTGCTCTTGCGTGCGGGCTTGACGGACATGAGAATCTCGTCGATAGATGGAAGTTGAAGTGCCTTGGTAAGGCGCTCAAGCTCGGGCAACTCGACGTCAAAGCCAGTGTTCGGGAACTCTACGCCGTGCTGCACGTGGAGAAGAATGACTGCCTTGCGCAGGAACGTCAGGCCATAGCTTGTGACAAGTCGGCGGAAAGCGCCAATCACGGCGGGCGTCGCAGTTTCTTCGCCATCCTTGACATAGCCACTCTCGGCGGGGAACGAGGAGCCTTCAGCGCGGCCAACAGAGTTCGCCTTAAGTTCGGCAACGATGGAGTCAAAGAACTGCTTGGTCACTCCGAGTTTTTCTTGCGTGAGATTAGTGAGATACTGATCCTCGGGGTGCTTCAGAAGCTCTTCTTTCAGTCCAACGGGCCAAAGAATGAAGGTGACGGCAACCTTGACAATCTCAGCCACGAAACACATTTGCACAAGATGGCGGATGTCAATGTGAAGAACGGGGAGCAATGACAAAGAAGATTCCGCAAGGAACACAAATGTGTCGACAGCAAGTAGTGGCTCAATGTTACGGACATCGTTCAGTAGTGCAGTTCCACTCAAGAAGGGATGACCGACAAGCAGCTGGCAAATTTTCTGTCGATGCATTTCCTGGAACTCTGTGGTAGGGCGGGTCTTTGATGATGACGTTGAGTGAAGACACCCAACAGCGGCGTAAGTCAATGCAGTCTCTGACAGAACGCGCAGATGCGTCAGTGTCATCGGCGGGATCTTATCCAACAAAGTGGAGCCAGGGTCGGACTCGATACCACGCTGTGCAATCTCGACAGCAGCAATGCTGAAGCCAAAGCTGCGGATCAGAGAATCGGTATGGACAAGATCTTCACCGTTGTTGGCCTCGGCAGTGTTGTTGAACGCGGAGCCGACGCTGTTCATCTTCAGGGTCTTCTTCATACGCCTGTAGATCTGTAGCAACTCGGCCATGGAGCTATCGGAGGGACTTGACGCCTGTTGGAGAGGGCTTGAGGGCGCCAAATCGTCAGAAGGAGGGAAGATACCTGGCATAGGCATGCGGGCAGATGCTATATACTGTGCAGCAGCGCTTGCGGGGAAAGATGATGCCATCAGTTGATCGATCTTCGTTGAGAGGGGAAGAACCAGATTTTTGGAGAGATATTCAATGAAGAGGTCAGTGTATGGCTGGGAATTGACTTTGTCCTTCTCCATAAGGACCGTCATATTCTGCTGTTGGTGCAGCGAATGCTTCAGACCGGAACTAATCCACTGATCAAACGAGTCATTTGGGCTGAGTGGAACCAGAGGAGACTCTTCCTTGCCCTTCCAAGTGATGGGCAAGAAGGTATTTCCAAGTGCCTTGCACAGAGGGCAGACAAATTCCTTAAGAGCAGTATTTTCAGGGTGTTGGCGCGCAATCTGCTGGGTGTGGCGCTTCTGGGTCGCTGAATAGTATTGCTCGAAACAAGAGTAATGCATGATGTGTCCGCAGCCAGTGGTCACAGGACCGCGAAGAGTGCTCTTTGAGGTGAACCCTTTGCTCAGGCCAATCTTCTCGCTGATGACTTCACCACCAGCGGAATCCAGTCGCTTTATCGTGGTGCGATTTTCGCCGGAGATACCAAATGGCCGAATTTCCTCCGCTGATCGATCGAGACTTGAGGGTGTCTTGAGAACCTCTCGAATTCTATCAGAGTCCCGAATGTCGGTCTGTCTGAGAATTGTGCTATCCTGGAGCAAGGCAAATGTACCATATAGTCTGGAGTCATTTGTCTCTTCCTGGCACAGAATACAAGTTCCACTGGGATATTTCCATGTCTTCTTCTCTGGCGCGGCGTCTGTATCGGAGTCCATGTCGCTGAAATCCTCTTCGCCCCAATCAAAGCTACCCTGCTGGTTCGTCAAGAATTGTTGTTGCTGGGCCTGGAACTGAGCCATGACCTTAGCCTGTCGCTCTAATGCATGCTTTTTCTTGGTCTCCTTGTCATTGTCCAGGTCGATTGCAGGAGAGTTGGTGTCAATGCGGTCGAATGGGAATCGAAGAGCGGCGGTTGCAGAAGAATATGTACGAGGTCGCTTCTGCCACAGACGTTTCAGAATGTGACGGATCTTAGGACCAGAGCCTGAGAAATCGGTCGCGGTGGAGATCTTTTCCAACAGTCCGACGATAGTCAGATTGCCTGCCTTAATCTGTCGGGCCTTGGACAGAGCATTCCAGTTGAATGAATTGGAGTGATCCTCTACCCTATCATTCTCCTCGGAATTATCTTCCAGTACCGCAGCCAAGATGAGGTGCAGGATCACCTGGAGGAAAGTTTCGACACGGGTAGGTGGGATGCTTGGCGTGCACTCCTTAGACGAAACGACATACTCCAGGCATTGGTGTACGATCTGCGCGAAGAGCATAGTTCCAGCAAATCGGGGAAGATCGGAGAACATGCCGGAGCTGATAGGATGAAGCTTTGGCTCGAATACTATGTCAGAAGCATTCTTGCCAGTCTTCTTCGCCATCCATTCCTTATAAATGTTCTCTGCTTCATCTCTTTGGTTCTTTGTGTAATGTGCGCTGTAAGGATCAATGAGATCTAAGTGTTCAGGCTTCAACTCAAAGGTTCCAGAGTCACTCAAGCCCTCGGGGGGGCGGAAGTTCGCAACGTCCTCGAGCACGTCTTGGAACATATCGGAGTCCAATAGCTTGTCGCTAAGGCGGGTGGAGAGGTCCGAGAAAGAAAGGGGCTTGAAGCACAGAACGTGAGCAATGTCACGCTTGATGTTCTCGTGGGTCAAATGTGTGCTGTCATCGATAGCCGTGAGAGATGTCCTATCAGTCAATAGGATGACCAATAAGTGAACAAATTCCTCGGCAACGTCCACGAGCTGCGAATCCTCGTAGCCAGGGCGGGGCATGTAATTCCGAGCCATCCATTCGACCATGCCGAAACGGTGAGCAATCGTTGCGAGAACTCTGCTGGGATCGCAAACCACAAGAGCAGTCTGGAGCAGGAAGATGTCCCTATAGTAGGCAAAATCACGGGAAGAGACACCGCGATACTGCGACATTTGGTGGCGGAGACTGAGGCCATTGCGAACCCACATTCCAGCCTTCATCTGGGCTAGCCAGGCGCAAACTCTGAGAGGATAGTCAAACATGACAAGCAGCAGATCTTCGGGCCCTAGGGAAACAAGGACGGCATCGGAGCCGCTAGTAGGGGAGCCGCTAGTAGGGCTAGCCTTGACAGTGCGGATATACTCTTGCGCTTGGGCGCCAGCATTCAACAAGGCGCTACGCATCGTCTCGCTGCTTATGTTCCGCCCGCACTCAACAAGCCACGACAATGTGTAGTGGAGTGCATGGTGGAAACTGATGGATCCGCGTTCCACCACAAATTCGACCACTCGGTGACAAATGACGTGGCCAGAAGGCGAATATTCGAAGTCGAACGGCTGCAGCAACTTGAACTTAAGGTCGTCCTTGATCTCGGCCTGGTCGAACCGCTGACGTTCGAGACCAGTAGAGTGCACAATGGCGGAGGCGGCGGTGGTCTCAATCGCTCTGAGAAGGTTGACGCCATTGTCAATCTCAGGGTTACGGAAGGCCTCACAGAACTGGCGGCACAGACGGTTAATCTCCCGCATGAGGATAGAGGCACTAATCCAAGAATCCGTTTCGTATTCAACGTGTTCGCCGACGGCGCGAACGTTAGGACATATTCCCTGTGACAATTTGACAAGGTCAAGGAACTGAGGAAGATATTGTTCCTCGGTCCGAACACGATGCTGGACATATTCAGACTGGAGAAGATATCGCAGGTCGAGGAAGAAGTGATACAAGCGTCTGTTTGTGACTGAGCCAGCATCAAATGCCAAGGTGGCTTGTGAGTCAACCTCTGAGGGTTCGCCAACTTGTCTTGTTGTCAAGAAGGTATAAAGGATTGACATCACCTTTGTCAAGAAGTTCCCTCGGAGGACAATCTCTTCGGTGATGGAGGGGGTCGTAAGAAGTTGCAGTGACAAATTGACGATCGAATGATCCGGCTCTCTGTCTGCAATGAGATACAACTGCGCCAGAGCTGTGTAAAGTGCAGATAAACGAAGACCCATGATCCGCTTGAATTGAGGGACGTTGACAACAGTGCTGATATAAAGATCGCGTAGATCAGTTCGTGTCTTCTTCCATAACCGAAGGTCATAGAGCACTAGGAAGTCTAAGCGAGTGCGTTGCCACAGATCCTCGTGGGGTGGTAAATTTTCATCTGGTGTGGGCATGGGTGGTTGAGACTTCCAGTGACTTTCCGTGGATGATCGCTTCAGCCTGCTGTAGGCAGGACCAGGCGTTTTGGGAATAGGAATGTAACCAGGAGGGCCTGACTCGGGAGCAGGGCTCCCAGAAACCGATTGTTCGCGGTCAGTCAGTGGGCGATCTGCGGGCTCAGCGGGTGCTGGTCGAGGAGCCGGCATTGGTTGACCATTGAGGCCAGCAAGGATCCGTGCAAGATCGGCCTCAGGACCCAGGTCCATGTCCTCGTCGTCATCCTGGCCATCCTGCTCGGCCTGCAGACGGTTGAGTTCCAATTCCATCTCGTCATCTTCCTCGTCATCGGCGTCTTGCGCCTCAACATAGTCTTCATCCTCCTCTTCATCTTGATCAATCACGTCATCCTCGAGAAGATCGTCTTCATCAGCAGTCACAATGACCTGACCATGAGTGGGTAGATTGATCAGTAATGTACGACTTGGGAGGTTTTCGGTCCTCTGGTGGTCGTCAATGCCCTGCATGCCAATATCTTCATTATAGCCACCGCTGCCCTTCTGCCAGGGAGAAAGCATTTCCTCGCAAATGATGTGTCGGAGTATCTCGTTGTCGTCGAGAATCTCGCAGCCGGCGATATCAGCGAACCACTCTACTATCGTAGCACACATATGTTCACGGAACGTGTCACGCGAAGATCGTACTGTGACAGTGACCTTGATATCTTCGATGATCTTCGAAACGCTCATCAATCTATCCACGTCCTTGGAGTACTTGATCACACTGCGGCCGAAATCGTTGGTTTCCTGAGCACGATCAATGCCGAAGCTATCTCTTTCTCGACAGGCCCGAGTTACCTGATGGGACACGTCACGCATGGTATGCTTTTCATCATTCCAGAGTAAGACTGCGAATTCAGCATCTTCCTGCTCTTCGTCGCCATCACCATAGCGTCCAGGGCGCAAGCGAGACTCGACCTCGTCCTGCCTGATCGCTTCAGCCGTCTTTGGCAAGCGCAATTGCTCTGGCGAGCAAGAAATGACATCACAGAAATAGTCCAATGCACGCGACACCGTCATACGGATCGCAGCAACGAGATCAGAAGGCAATTCTTTCTGCGCGCGCTCCTTGCCCTTGGCATTGCCGCTATCGGTATGGATCGCACAGAAAAGCGGAAGCCTCCATGCCTCGTCGTCCCCACAGTCACAGCAGCCACAGTTCCCGGATGAGAGCGAAATCTGATATTGGTGACCCGTATGATCGGACGAGTCAAAACACCGACTGCACAGCACGCAGGTGTCGTCCGCAGCGCACGTCACACACCGATATGTGGCTTCCCCAGCTCGGAAGATATGACCGCAGCGCTTGCCCCTGGCCGCCTCGCTGTATTCTGCGCCTTCCCGGGCACCTTGTGCTTCTGCTAGTTTCCATGGTCCTGGCGGAAGACCTTCTGGGAAAAGCCCTTGGAGGAGCTCACTGTCGTATCCCACGAGCGATCGGAATAGAAGCTCTAGTAGATCCTTCTCGGCCGCAGGACCATAGCGGTAGTTGTGTTTCTTGGGTAAACGTAGGAGACCATCGCCGAGGAGTTTCTCGCACTCTCCGAGCATGAGCATGGCTTGGTTTGTCGATCCGATTCTCGTGTCGCTGGGTGGACCGGCGCGACAATGCGCTGGAGAAAGGGTAGGGCGATAATCGTCTCAAGTCAGGAATATGCAGATAGACGAGAAAATTTCGAATGTAAGCCCGGGTCGAATCGGTTTGAATAGGCTAGGCTGCTGATCACGACACACTTGGTGGGGGAAATATGAGAGTCGAGGTGGACCGATGCGGATCAGCAACACAGTGAAGTCATCTGTTCAAATTTGAATGTGGAGCTCAAGAGCCGAATGTCAAAGATCTTTACAGAAAAGCGACGAGATGGGATTGCTCAGATCGAAGTGAAAGTGATTTTTTTGCGATGACATCGATGGAACCCCGTGTAAACGCCACACCGATCTCCGCTACGGCCTAATCACCCTACATTGCGGTCTTTGACGGCTTCGGCCCTTGGCCCATTTCTGGCAGTTCTTGGATTCTGGAAGTGAAGATCAAAGGGTTCAAAAGGTCAAAATACAGATTTCCATCTATTGCGTACAAGCCCACTTATGGGATGAGAAATAACAAAGGCATTATATTGGCTTTTCGTGCCCCTGTGCCCGCTCTGACAATGCCACGAGAGATTTACTCGTCATCTTCCTCCTCCTTGACCATGTAACGGTGCTTGATATCCTTCCATTGGCGCTGTGTGAAGAGGGTCAGCGTGGGTCCTAGTCAGTGGCCGGGTATAGCGGTGCCCGTTCGGAATAACGTCGGGGATGGAATATCACGTACACCCTGGTTCCAGGAGTCCCAGATCTTGTTGGAGCCGATGTCGAATGCACTGAGGGAGAGAAGCGTGGGTCAGTTTCGTGTGTTCAATAATCGGACCGGATGACACCCACAGCTCGAAGGCGAAAGCACCGGCAAACGCAGTGGTCAGAAGAACGGTGTTCTTGCGGATGAAGGTCCTAAATGCGGCGAAAGATACCTCGGTTAGTATTCCATTGGAGTGCGATCGCGATCGTGGGATCCAGGGGAGACGTGCGAGTAGATAGCGTTTGCGAACTGTCAGAGGTCAGTCAGTGATCGGGAACAATGGGAACCAGAAGCATTGTAGAGAATGAACATACACCAGCCATTGCGAAGGTAGTAGGTGTTTTCACACGACCAAATGAGAGGATTGGGCAAGAGGATGGGGGGAGGTTAGATGAAGATGCGAAGTCGAACGAAAAGCTGCGGGAATTCCCGGTCCGCTGATTGGCCGACCGAGCCTCCGGTCTTCCGCACTCAACTTGGTTGTTTTCTTTCCTTCAGACCTTCTTGACTCTTCAAGGGAGCTGGACTCTGCAGAGTCAATTTCAATTTGCTCGATCTCGAACTATCCTCTGTCTTTCCCGTCACCACTCCACCATGTCCCACGTTGCCAAGTCCGGTATCACCACCGATGCCAAAACCGGCGAGCGATACATCCCCGCCTCAACCCGTGCAGATGGTTCCAAGCGCAAGGAGATCCGTGTACGCCCTGGCTACAAGCCTCCCGAGGATATCGAACTCTACAAAAACCGTGCAGCAGCCGCATGGAAGACCCGTGCAAGAGGCGGGGTTCCCGGTGCCGAAACAGTGAGCAGCGAGGAGGACAAGGACAAGGCCGCGAAGATTACGGCTCCAGTGGCGGCACCGACTACAGCTGCCAGCAACAAAAACGCCAAGCGCCGTGAAGCCAAGCGAAATGCGAAGGATACCGACGGTGTCGATGGCAAGGGTGTGGACTCGAACAATTGGCGTGCCCCGCCACCCAAGAAAGAGGAGCCTGTGCCGGAACCCGTTGATCTTGAGGCTGAGAATGAGAAGAAGGCCCGCAATCTGAAGAAGAAGTTGCGCCAGGCCCGTGATCTTCGCGAGAAGAAAGAGCAGGGAGAGGGTTTGCTGCCTGAGCAGTTGGACAAAGTTATCAAGATTCAGGAGCTGGTGAGACAGCTGAATGCACTCGGATTTGACTCCAACGGGGACAAGAGGGCTGGTGAGAGTGCCTGAATGCCTGGACATATTCCCATGCACTTGATCTCTTTCTTGGATCAAGCTGGCCCCCGCATTCTCATATCTTGAATCCTGTTCATGGCCCGTCACTGCTGGGCTCATCACAGGCGTCCAATGCTGCCTACGTGGTTTCACTCGACTGTTTCATGATACTTCGATCGGTCACTGGTGTGTGAATATCTCCACACGGTGTTGCCCATTACGCCGGAGCAATTTTCAATCCTTCGGCCACCCACCGATTTGCCTATGAGGCCCTCCAACCACCACAGCCCCCGCCTTTTCCAGTTTCACCCCGCGCCGTTGACCCAAATAAGGATCCGGAATTGGGACACCAGATTAGAGACGAAAGGCTGACAACTCCAACCTCAAAATTGCAACCTTGGAGGGTTGGACGTATTTGACATCCGGCATATGCCGTTGATTTTCAATCCAGTATTCAAATCAATTTTCCAATATCTTGGCTGGAAATGCGTTCTGTATATTAAGTGAACCCTTGCGAATATTGGCGACGCCTCTTGCGATTTTGGAAAACAATATCGCTACGCGTTCACTCGTAGTCATCGCGTTTGCTTCAGGGCACCTACTTGGTAGCAACAATCCACTAGTGTGAATCTTGGAATTTTTGGAATTTGCAAGTATCACATATCATACAAGTCTTTATTCAAAGTGCAAACTGCCCTCGGGCCCCAAGAGATATTCCAAGGGTGTCATATACACGGCCAAACACAGCCTCAGATAGTCGAATCAATCAACCTCACAGGAGCTGTAACAACGCCACCTTGAAGCTTCCAGTTCCGGTAATCGAAAGACAGCCATGGCCGCCAAGGCGTCGGGCGACCTCCCAGCTTTCGTCCAAGCCCATATGTAGCAGCCAAAATGCCCTGGTTGACACAGTCGCCAACGCCAATCCCATTATACCAGTTTCCGGCCAGAATAAGTCGGTTATCGAATTCATGGCGCACAACTGTCGACAGATTATACATCCGATCCAGATGGCCAACGGTATATTGTGGAATGGCATCTTTCTGCAAGCGACTCTTTGCAACGGCGGGTTCGGCAGTAATGTTCAGGTGGCGTTCGAGCATAGAGCGCGCCATCTTGACGGCAGTCTCGTGGTTTGGATACTGTTGTCTGCCATCCCAGTAATGACCGCCCATCATTATAGTCAGTTTGGTGCCAGGGACGGAATCTTGGCTGACGGGGGAACCCTCCACGTCTGTGCCTACGCTTGATTGTGAGGCGAAGATCACACCGAGTCCGCACTCTGGATTCTGGGTGTAAGGGATTGAACGTGGGATTAGATACCCGAACCCTTGAACGGGTAGGAGGTTCGGGTCTGTATAGTAGAGGTTCACGACCATGGCAGTCACAGCGTAATTTTGTTTGCTGAGGAGGTGAGGGGTGTGACCGGGGTTTTTTATTCTCGGTTCCTTGTCTGTTGTGTTTGTACGCATGGTTTTAGCAAGCGATACTGGAGGAATTGTTGAGATGACATGGTCGAATTCGGACCATCTTGTCTTCCCCTTTTCAACCAATGAAGGGGATTCAATCTGAGGTTGTTAGTGTCGTTTCGGATGGTCAGTCATAGGTGGTAGGACATACAGAAACGGAAGAGGAGTGAAGAGTTCTACCGAGCGATTGAACTTCGGTATTCTTGTGGATCTTCACTTTCGGGGACGCAGTCAATGAAGTAGCCAGTGCTTCAACGAGCTGCCCAACGCCCTTTTTGAAGCTGAAAGTACTGGCACGCCCAAGGAGCCTCTCTAGTTGGGGTTGGCGTCGGACCAATTCAGGACCCGCAGATATGGCCTCCACGGCCATAAAGTCATCCACTTTCCTTGAGGTCAGCTTCGACATCGACCGAGACATCAAAGATGATATTACTCCGCCAGAAACAAACCCGCCAGTTCCGCCAACACCGCCCTCATTGTTGCGGAAGTCACCCATTAGCGTTTGGGCGCTCAACTGATCGATATCTCCGGCATAGATTCCATGCAGCACGGACGAGACCACATTTTCGCCGATATCAGAGCCCCATCGACGCTCGACAAAATCCGCTACAGATTCATCCTTCGCCCATTCGGACGGGTGTCGGGCTGGAGTAATGAGATCCTTCAAGACTCCGGGGAACAGCCCTTTGAATAATGGTTCTTGAAGTTGTCCCACAAGCTGTTCAATTTTTTGGGTGAATGTGAGCTTCCTGCTGGACGGGCCAGGCAGTTGTACCAGACGGTCTGGGTAGTAAATGAATCGATTGCGGGCGGCCGGACTGGACTTCGGGGTAAAGAGGAGATCTTGATACAGGCCTAGATTTGTAGCCTTTCGGAAACTCAGCAATTACGTTCAACATTCGGAGCTCCCCCAGTCATGTGGATATGGAATTCACGCGAGCGTCACTCACCAGGTAGAGGAGCGGAAGCGACGTTGGTATCGCTCCCCTCAATGTGCGCGGGCCGTACTCGAATAGCACTTCACCTCCCTTAACAGGAACTCTTTCGGAGTCAATCCAGCCGCCTAGCCGGTTGGACTTCTCGAATATAACGACCTCTTCGCATTCAGGGTCTTGTGCCAGCTGCCAGGCGGCCGTCAGGCCGGTCACGCCAGCGCCTAATACGGCTGCATTGTAATGGCGGATTTGGCCAATGCGATTGAAGCGGTAGGTTGTTGGCCGGTGCCTGGCTGCTTTCGCGCATTGAAGCCACATTGCTGCTGTGTGGTGACTCGGTCGGCGACAAGACGCGGAGGTCGGGGAGCTTCTTGTTACTTAATGCGCCAAGGCCTGGAGCTCCCGGCCCGGAGTGGTGTGCGGACTACCTAGTAGATATACATCGGACTTCACCTGGGCACTGTTGTCATCTACTTAGTATATTCCAATATTTCCCCAGGACTGCACCCGACCTATTATCTCCAGTTATACCACCCATTAATTACCTTGGTACTGTCTACTGCCGACAGCATGACTGCTGTGGTTCCAACCTTGGAAGATTATGCCGACCTCCAAGATCAGAACCCTGGGGCCATGGAGGCTCCGAAGGTCCCCCATTCTTTCGCCTTAAAAGCAAGTGTCCGCAGAATCGAGATGGGAAAATTTGCGAATCTTTGTTCGCTTGATGATATTATTCGTTTCAGATCAGGGGAATCTAATTGCAAGGCAGATAACTAAAGCAAATGCATAAAGAATATGAGTGTCCATCCATCCATCCCTCGTTCGTTGATTTGGTTTGTACATGGTATCGTGCGCTTGGGCAGACTTTTTGGGAACGTTTCGCGTTTCTCGCGTTTTCCATCGTGTCAAGTCAGGCGGAGTCACGCGGTCATTTCCTGTCCCTGGGTGTTCTCCTCAGGGGCAGTCTCAGGCTTGATCAGCTCCTCCGGTCCATCGGCATCTGTAACGAACTTTCGCTCGCTGACATGTGTTCCAGAGTGTGGAGTCCACACCTTGTCAGCGAAGGAGCCGCGCTGGCCTTCGGCATGCTTGTAATGGCAAGACGGGTTCAAGCAGGGGTTGAACTTGCAGGCAATCTCGATGTGTGTGAATTTACACCCCTCGGTCGTGCAGTCGGATCCATTGCGGCACACGGGCATGCTGGGGTGCTTGAAGTGACAGTTTGGATTGGTGCAGTTGGGGAAGAATCGACACATGGCCTCGGCTTGGTGAGCGGTCCGCACCGCAGGTGAAGGGTGACGGCCGGTGCACTTCTTGTTCTTACAAGCTGCCCCGTAGGAGCAAGTGTCAGAAGGATCAATGGAAATTCCCTCGGGGGCAGCGGGTGACTGGTGCGCAAGTTGGCAATCTGAGCGCGAGCATCGTGTGTTGAAGCGGCACACACCCTCGGGGGTGTTTTGATCTTGTTGTCCTTCCATGTCGACATCTCCGGAGTCCGCGCCTCGTGGCTTATTAAATCCTCGCTTTCCTCCACGCGAGCCGTTGCGCTCGACTCGGTCAAATAGGGAGCGACCTTGGCCGTTCTGTCCATTCTGGAAGGCGGGGTTGACAGCCGGAGGAACGAATCCAGGCATAAGTTGGGACATCATACGCGCTTGTTCTTCCAGCATGGTCATCAGCTGCATCTGGTTTTCGGGGCTCATTTGCATGTTGCCCTGCATGCCCTGCATGCCCATTCGGCCCCCTCGGCCACTTTGATTGAATCCTCCTCCTCTCTGGCCCCGTTGGTTGTGGCTAATGCGACCATTTCCAGTGTTGCGCACACGGTGTAGAGCGGCATCCGAGCCGCGGTCCAGATTGCGATTGATCTGGTTCAGCATCCGTCCCTTTCCGCCTCGTGTGGTGTTACGCATGGCTCTCGGCCCGGTGGGGCTATAAAATGATATGATTAGCACGGTCAGCGATGTGGGAAGGTAAAAGATCCACTTACACAGCGTCTCCTGCATCGCCCATCTCGGCATCCTGGCCATCCACATGTGCAGGTACTTGGACCATGTTTTGGCCTGAAGCACCAAATCCACCAGATGGTGGGTTTGATTGTCCCATGGCACCATTGTTTGAGGCCCCATTGATCTGTTGGTTGAGCTGTTCGACTTGGCCAAATAACCAATGTGAAAATTCGAGGGCAGCAGTGTCTCCTTCATCCAGGCCGAGGAAATCATTTGACAGCTCAGTGGCAATCTGTTCCTGAGTCTTTCCATTCACCAACATGAGGACGATGTACTCGATCAGTGGGGATTCTGAGCCATCACTCCAACCCATCTCCACCAGCTTGGGTTGGATGGCGTTTGCGACTGCCTGCGCGAGAGGCGACTCTAACGTTATTTGGGGCAACATATTGCGGGCAGGGAGGGCGAAGAGTAAGTGACGGAGTGCGAAAGTAACGGGCGAAAAAAGTGACGGGGTGTGAAGGATTCACAACGCGAAAGGTCGATAAAAGAACGGATTTGCGCCACCTGATGTAAGGCGTTTCAGGTGGTTCAGATTGAGGAACAAAGCAGTGGGGTGAAACTGGGTTGGCCTTTATTGTTGACGGAAATAGATCGTCTCAAATTCAGCGGCCGGTTATGAGGGAGCTGGAGAGCAGTCGAAATAGAAGAACTTCAAGCTCTAAATGATCCGAAGACCAAACGAGGCGCCCGGCGGTGTGGCTGGAAAGCGGTGAGACCATGTGGCGCCATTTACCGCCCTGGCAGATTGACGAATTCGAGTCTTCTGCCCCTACTACATTGTGCTCAGCCACATCTGCCCAGGTGAGCACTAAGGCTATTGTGGGCTCTATGCAGGTTCTTTGTTCCCGAAGTCTGCAAGAATTCCAGCCAATAAGCTCAATATTTCTCTGAACAATAAAGCCTTGCGACATTATCCCGTTGAAAGAATAGCCACTGACGAAGTGCACCTGGGCAATCTTCACTGTCACTAAATATCCACTCCACATATTGCACAGTATTGTAATATCCCAGTGTCAAAACATTAACATAGAGTATCTATATAAGCCGTAGAGGTCAATTCAGCAATGACGTTGTGCGAGATTAGTGACAGCGAAGTGCGAGGTTAGTGACGGCGAAGTGCGAGGTTCATAGTGACAGTGAAGTGCGAGGTTAGTGGCAGCGAAGTATAAGGTTAGTGACGGCGAAGTACGGCGAAGTGCGAGGTTCATAGTGACAGTGAAGTGCGAGGTTAGTGGCAGCGAAGTATAAGGTTAGTGACGGCGAAGTACAAGGTTTATAGTGACGGCGAAGTGCGAGGTTCATAGTGACAGTGAAGTGCGAGGTTAGTGGCAGCGAAGTATAAGGTTAGTGACGGCGAAGTGCGAGGTTCATAGTGATGATGAAGTGCGAGATTGGTGACGGCGAAGTACGAGGTTGGTGACAGCAAAGTGCGAGGTTAGCGACGGTGATTTAACTTGGAAGAATACCCAGGTGCCTTTCTACCTACCTAGGTAGATAAGGTTAGAGATAATATATGACGAAGACCTCGGGAAACCTCCAGGGCTGGGAAACCTATAGTATATGATGTCGAAGTGTGTGATTAGTGACGCTGAAGTGCAAGATTAGTGACGGGGACAGTATAATCTTTAAGAATATCCACCTGGCACCCAGGTGCCTTTCCAAGGTCAGATAATATATGGCAAAGAAACCCGGGGTATATGATGTTGAAGTATGAGGTTAGTAACGATGAAGTGCGAGGTTAGTGACGGCGATGGTATAACCTTGAAGAATGCCCAGGTGCCCTTCCGAGGTTAGACCATGATGTATGTTGAAGAAACTTGACCTCAGGAGGTATATGATGTTGAAGTGTGAGCCCTGGAGGTTAGTGACGATGGCGGCGATGCCCAGGTGGTGACAGTATCGGTTACGGTGAAGTGCGAGATTAGGTAGCGATGATTTCGGTATGACATTTACCTAGGTAAGAATACCCTTCCAAGGATGGATGGAGTATGATAAAGAACCCCAAAGTGTATAGCGACGGAGTGCGAGATTGATGATGGCACCTGGGCAGGCGCCCAGGTGACGGTGAAGTACGAGATCAGCGCCCACTTCGCTTTGACATTTGAAAACGCTCTAGGATGGAGTAAAAAAGCACGATAGTTGCGAGGGTAGAGATTGGCGAAGACCTCTGTTTGACCTTTGAGATCGCCCTTTGAGGATGTCCTAGGATAAAGTATGAGATGAGTATTCTAGAGAACGTGAGGTGTGTGATGAATGACGTGTGATATTAGTGATGTATATAGCTGCCTACTCCAGAAGTGTCTGTATATGACAAGGCGAGAGTCTCACAGCTGCTTTTCTAGACGTCCTGACTCCTGAACTTACACTTGCCTTGGATACATCTATGTATGAAAAGAAGAGCGGGAATGACAATATTTGAATTCAGACCATTTTCACACGATCATGCCGGGATATCAGTGCATCTAGGCTAAGGACCTTGCGTCAATGTAGATTGCAGTAATATCGGTGTGGAATCATATGGTGGCTTACCGAGGCTGCCATGGCCTCAACTCCGCCCTAGACCACGCCAACGTGTGAAACCGAGTGCCTAGTACGGCCCGGAGATCCACGGGGCCATCTCCACCTAACAGCATGACAGCACAGACCCAATCAAAAATCTGGAGAAGCAACTCTGCCACCCGAACGAGTCGATGTGAAGTCATGCCAAAGCGGGGCTCGCAAGAACGGCCGTTTCGAGCCGTCATACTACACCCCTTTGGTACACCCCCTTGGGTTGCGAGACAAAGAAACCCCACGTATTTTCTGGGGAATCGAGCACTATGGCTTCGATACTAAGAGCTCGCAAGTTCTTCCATTTATAAACGTTAGTTCTGATTGCTCATATTTAATAATCTCTTTCGAACTGATTGTTTCAATATTTCTCCCAATTTCCTTTGACTACAACTGATCTCATCCAGCACCATGATTGAAGACCTCGTTGCAGGCACGACTCCTGGTCGAGCCTTTCTCTGGTTACTTGGATCCTTCGTGGTCTTTTGCGTATTTCGCAAGTTTCAAGCCTCAGCGCAAATCGCTCGTCTCGGCGCTAGAGCCCCTAAGATCCAATTCCGCCTTCCATACGCCCTGGACTTTGTATACAAAGGCCAACAGGCAAATGTCTTGAGTCAAGACCTTGAGTTCTGGGATGAAACTGTCTCACGAGCAGGCGGAAGGAACAATGTCAAGACCGCCGAGCTAGACGCTGGCATCTCCACCCGGGCCATCATGACCACGGACCCAGAGAACATAAAGGCATTGCTGACGGGCCAGTTTGCGGATTATGGAAAGGGTGAGCCTTTCCACCAGGATTGGAAGGAGTTCCTAGGTGATAGTATCTTCACAACCGATGGAGACCTATGGTCCCGTTCACGCCAGCTCATCCGCCCAATGTTCGCCCGTGAACGTATCGTCGATACGGAGATCTTTGAAAAGCATGTCCAGCATCTCATCCCACTACTCGGGGGCAGCAATTCGCCAAGCAGCAGCAAAGTCGTCGATGTCGGTTCCCTCTTCTACCGCTATACCCTCGACGCAGCAACAGATTACCTCCTCGGGCAAGGAACAGATAGTCTCGAGAATCCGCAGACTGGCTTCGCCGAGGCTTTCAGATATGTACAACAACGTCAATCAGAGCTGTTCCGCTTCGGGTAAGTCACCATAACATACATGCCACCGATTTTGGTGGATCCGACGTCGCTAACAAAAGTTACAAAACAGCGTCTTCAACTTTGCCCTGTCCAAAGTCGAATTCCGTAAGCAACTCAAGGTCATGGACGAGTTCATTCAGCCCTACATCAGCACTGTCCTCTCTCTTTCAACCGACGAGCTCGACCAAAAGCTCTCAAAGCGCGAGACCTTCTTGGACGCACTCGCCCGCTTCACGCGTGATCCCCGTGTCCTGCGTGATCAACTCGTTGCTGTCCTTCTTGCCGGTCGTGATACAACAGCCGGTACTCTCTCATTCACATTATTTGAACTTTCTCGGAACCCCGACGTCGTGGCCAAGCTGCGACAGGAAATCCGCAATCGACTTGGGGTCGGCGCCTCCGGCAAGAAGCCGACATACACGGACCTGAAAGAGATGAAGTATCTTAACGCAGTCATTCACGAGACTATGCGTGTATATCCAGTTGTTCCATTCAATGTGCGCTATTCCCTGCGGGACACGACACTGCCTCGTGGCGGAGGACCGGATGGTCTGGAGCCTATTGGTGTGCGGGCTCATACTCGAGTCATATACTCAACCATGAAGATGCAGCGCGATCCGGATTTGTACGATGGGTCTGACTCGAAGAACTACTACGATCCGCAGAAATGGATTCCTGAGCGGTGGGCGACGTGGCAGCCAAGGCCATGGCATTTCATCCCGTTCAATGGGGGTCCGAGGATCTGTATTGGACAGCAGTTTGCGACTATTGAAATGGGGTACACTATTATTAGAATTCTGCAGGCTTACGAGCGGATTGTTGGATTGCCTGTGGAGGGCAGGGAAAAGGTTGAAGATCCAGTCATGAGGTTCGAGGTTACCTTGAGTCCTGGATCAGAGTTGAACTGTGTTTTCACTAAGGAGGGTGAAACTTGACGAAAAATGACTTACGATACGAATTTATGCCCTACTTCTCATGCTTGCTTCCTCGCAGTCAGTTATTGATAGTTGTCCTTGGCTCAAATTTTATGCTACTTCATCACACTAAACGAGAACAAAAGCTGATTATCAGTAACCTACACTCCTCAATTTCTTGAGCCTTTGCAATATCTCGACCTTGCGTAGTTCAAATGACAGCTCTTCTTCATCCATATCGTCTAGATCGTCCGCAATTTTTCCAGGGAGCTTGGGCACCGGGAGAACTTCAATTTCCTTCACAGATATCCGTGTCGCTCTCTTGGTCGTATCGGTAAGGGTTCGGTCCTTGGATACTTGGGAAACCAACGAGTGACCTTGATCCTTGATCGTCACTACAAAGGACTCTGCTTCCTTGTTCATGCTCAAACGTGGTGTGGTGTTTGTTCCAGGCTCATGTCTTTCATTAACTCCAACCCAGCCCCTACTCACATTAACAGCCTTTTCCCATTCCTCGAACCTCTCCTTGCTCTTCGTTTGGGAAACTTGAGGTTCAAAGACTGTACCGCCAGCCCGATTGATGTCACGTAGCTCGGCGAAGTTTCGCCAAACGCCGATAGCAAGACCGGCTGCAATTGCTGCACCGAGGGCAGTGGTTTCACGCATTTTGGGCCGGTAAACAGGGATGTTGATCAAGTCTGCTTGAGTCTAAGGCCGGATTAGATTAGCTCATACGGAATAGTAGACCACCTACCTGCATGGCAAGCTCTGAATTGCTCATTCCGCCATCAACAGCTAGTTCTGAAAGTACGTGGCCACTGTCCTTTTCCATTGCGTCGAGAATAGCCTTGGTCTGGAAGCAGGTTGCTTCTAGTGTTGCGCGTGCAATATGCCCCTTTTGAGTGTATTGGGTGATTCCGACTGTGGATGTTAGTTATACCCAGTCTTGGGGGATGAAACTCACAGATGGTCCCTTTGGCATCATCGATCCAATATGGGGCAAACAATCCACTGAAAGCAGTGACAAAAACGCAGCCACCATTGTCATCCACCGAGTTAGCAAGTTCGTTGACATCCTTGGACTCTGCAAAGAATCCTAGATTGTTTTGCAAAAACTTGATCCCAGATCCAGCAACAGCAATACTTCCTTCAAGGGCATAAATCGGCCTGTCAAAGTGATACGCAACTGTCGCCAGTAGGCCATGTGTTGATAAAACCGGCCGTTCCCCAACATTGTATAAGAGAAAGCAGCCAGTTCCATATGTATTCTTCGCCATGCCAGGGGAGAAACCTTTCTGGCCAACCAGTGCAGCTGATTGATCTCCCAAGCATCCCATAATGGGGACGCCAGCCAACGCTCCGGATCCAATGACCCCATACGCAGTAGTATGAGAGGACGGTACAATCTTTGGCAAATGAATCTTCCCCCGGACCCCAAAGAAGTCAAGCAGTGTCTCATCGTATTTCAAAGTTTCTAGATTCATCAACATCGTCCGCGAAGCGTTTGTCGAATCAGAGACAAAAACGTTGGCATCCACACCGTTCAAACGGTAGACTAGCCAAGCATCGACTGTTCCAAACGCCAGGGTGCCGCGGTCGAATGCATCTCTGACCTTCGGGACATGTCTGATCATCCAGAGTAGCTTGGGTGCAGATGAGTATGTTGACAACGGGAGACCACAGAGTTCGGAGAGTTTCACTGCCCCGGACTTTTGTCTCAGTTCCGTGACGATGGATTGAGAGCGTGTATCTGTCCAGACAATCCCATTGTACAGAGGCTCGCCGGTTTCATGGTCCCAGACGATGCTCGTTTCTCGCTGGTTGGTTATTCCGATGCATTTGATACTGTCGCGACCATGGCCTGCGGTCTCGAACTTTGTGATGGCCTCCGAAATGCATGTTTCTACCGAGGCTATTATCTCGAGTGGATCGTGCTCGTGCCAGCTTCTTTGGTTAGCATGTGCATTTTGTGATCTCTCCGGGACATAGATCGGCTCTTACCCTGGGTGGGGATAGATCTGGCCAAATTCAACTTGGTGAGAGGCCACAGGCTCACCATCGCGGTTGAAGATGAGGAATCTAGTACTGGTGGTACCCTGGTCTATTGACCCGACGAAAATATCTGAAGATTCCATGAGGGATGTGTAGAAAGTTGAGCAGAAAGGAAAGCTTTTGATCGGCAGCAAACCATAGATTTGGGATCTGACATCGAGTTCCAAAATTCTCCCAGGGAAGTTGGGACTATGAATACGGAAAAGAAAACAGCAATGTCTCATCATAGATACTACATGGTCACACAGCGGGGTGCTGATTCGAGGGGAAGTCAGAAAGGATTGGTGGAAATTTGGTGAGAGTGAGAGTGGGCGATGTAGGCTCTAGGCACCTGCTCGTATATTGGGCTATATCTACAACAAATTATAGGGGAATGGTCAGCAGAGAAAAGTCTTTACCTTGACTGACCTTGGAACTTGACTAGACTTAGGCAACTAACGTGAGCGACATTAATTAGCTTGCATATTGTGGGGAAGATCAGCAGACCTTAATTTCTGTCAGATGCAGAACCCCTTTATTCTATTGTCGTATAACCTTGACATGAGAAAGATCAGTCCCAATTGCAAGATCTCGTCGGTATTCCAACTGCAATCTCGGCGGTTGAGTTCTACTCTCCGGAAAATGTTGCAGTAATCATCGCCATGGGATTAAACCATCGCTCTCCAGGCAAATTCGACTCCCGGTCGAAATACTACCTAGGTACCTTTAGAGTACATGGTCGCACGGTCAACGGCCAATAGTACCACCGCCGAAGTGAGGTGAGAGGCGACAACAAAATACTACCCCCGGATTGACAGCTCTAGCCAATATCCTTCCAAGGCTCTCCTGTTATCAGTATGCAAGCGGACATACCTCTCTGTCAACGTGACACACCGGGGCTTTCTAGAAAATTTCAATTGGGCCTGCGTGCGAATGAGGACCCAAATTGGCGATGAGCAAGAGAAAGCAGGGAAGCTTTCTCTAATATGGCAAATACCGGGAAGTGGGAACAATACACAGCAGTGCATCAGGCCATCCCAAAGAGAAGACCAACCCAAGCGGAAGCGGGCATGGAACCCGGCCCAAGTCAAACGGCCTACAAACGATGTCCAAAGAAAAAAAAGCTTAGAAAGATGCGCTGTCCGAAAAATGTCTGCTTGATACAGAAGCAGAAAAAATAACAAAAAGGTCAATGGCTGGCTCAGCCATATCAGATCCTATACCGTGGAATTCCGAGTCTGGCCGGAGTATGGTCTGAGAGCCTGCAAGCTACAAGACTCAGCAACAGCACACACACATACTTGACGGAGATCAGCCAATCAAACTTATCTTCACCAAGCAGAGTTTGGAGCAAGAAAGGTTGGTTGCACGGTTATCCTTGGTTCTACCCTGATAGAGCAGACATACTATCGTTGACTGTGCATTCCTTCCGTACTATATCAAGTCCAACCCAGCTAGCCTTTTTCGATGGCCTCCTGGAAAGAAGCAGAGCTTGGTACAATGTCGAAAGTCCAAGAGACGCTGTCTTCTCATAGTGGCTGTGGCTCGTGTTTGGTCGACAAAACTGAAACCGTCCATATCAACCCAGATGTCGAAAGCCCTTACACCCGTCAACCTCTTTGGTTTAAAGTGAGGGAGTATTGTCGTGATGCCTTATCAGAATTCTTTGGAACGATGATCCTGATCCTGTTTGGTGATGGTGTCGTGGCCCAGGTGCTCCTCAGCCATGGCCAAAAGGGCGATTACCAGTCCATATCCTGGGGATGGGGGTACGTCTTTCCAAAGATTCTCTCTGGTACTTGATCACCATGTTGACTTCTCATAGGCTCGGCGTCATGCTCGGGGTTTACGCCAGCGGTGCATCCGGCGGACATATCAACCCAGCCGTGACATTTGCAAGCTGTGTGTTTCGCGGCTTTCCCTGGCGCAAATTCCCTGTGTATGCTTTAGCACAAATCCTCGGGGCAATGGCAGGCTCTGCCATTGTTTACGGAAACTACAAGTCGGCCATCAATGCCTACGAGGGCGGACCCGGTATTCGAACAGTCCCTGGCTACTCGACAACAGCAACAGCCGGCATATTCTGCACATACCCGGCCGAGTTCATGACCAAAACGGGTCAATTCTTCTCGGAATTCATTGCTAGTGCGGTACTCATGTTCATGATATTCGCCATCAAAGATGAAGGCAATCTCGGAGCTGGACCATTGTTTCCTCTTGCACTGTTCTTTGTTGTTTTCGGCATCGGCGCTTGCTTTGGGTGGGAGACCGGTTATGCTATCAATCTTGCCCGAGACTTCGGCCCTCGACTTACGTCTTTCATGATTGGATATGGACACGAAGTATGGGCGGCAGGGAATTACTACTTCTGGGTAAGTGATGTTCCAATGGATCCTTGCCAGGCTTTGCTAATCGGGCATTTGTAGGTTCCTATGGTTGCACCAATTTTGGGCTGTACCTTTGGTGGGTGGATATATGATCTTTTCCTGTATACCGGCATGGATACTCCAATTCATACGCCTTGGGTGGGAATCAAGAGACTATTGGGGCCCGTACGTCAAAGGCGTGTTTCGCTACAGAGCCCTGTCTGACACACGACATATGATTCCCAGGCGCCTTGGGCTTCGAGCTCAGGGCTAGGGTAGTGGATACTCCAGGGCTACGCTGAATGCTCCATGCCATGCCCATAACTCCGTGACTAGTAGTATTATGTGGCAGGATTTTGTTACGATCATGACTTCATATTGTCTTTTATCTTAGCCAGTTCTTGCAGCTTCGAATCAGGATTGCATTTGATTAGTACTATCAATGAAATTCCCGAGATCTATTCTATGGAGACAACTTGTGTATGCTCAGTGTCCTGGTCATGAATACAATCTTGAATAGATACATTTGGGGCATACATAAGTGTCTACTTAGAGCCTATGGCTATTGCATCACGCAATGTGCATTCGGACTGCATGATTCTAGAACCGAGCACAGCATCTGCACCTTGGCCTTTTGACTAGCACATGACTTTTGTTGACAACCGTGGAGTCTACGAAGAGCTCTAGACTGTACCAATTCTTGCGATCTAGCGCCACCACACCTTTCGAATGGACCAGTCTGTGTCTATACATTTGATCCCGGACGGACATGCTCTCCATTTGTTACGCGTCTCATGACTTAGCCGACGAAGGTAACGTCATGTTTAGACTCGGGTAAGTTGCTGCTTGAAGCCACAGAGAACAGTAGATTATGCTCAGAGTATGATATTCGTACACAAATACATGACACTTTTCACACACGTGGAAGCAAATGCACTAACTAGATAGCGACAACGAATGCACACCATTAGCGCTTGCCCTTCTTGCGGGGAGCGACAACCTTGAACGCAGAGGTGGCAGCCTCCTCTTCACGTTGAGCAGCAGCCACAACAGTGGCAGCAGAGCCCTTCTTGGCAACCTCACTCCAGCCGCCGCCGCTCTTCTGCTCGCCGAAGGCACTGGGAGACACTGGGTCAACAATACCCTTATCGGCGAGCTTGCGGCGGCGGATAAACTCCTCAGCGAAGCGACGGCCGTCGAGGGTCTGAGAGTTGGCATAGACAGAGTCGGAAATAATCTCCGCCTCGGCGGGGAGGAAGAGAAGCTGCTGGACAAAGTCATCGACTAGAGAAAATGTTAGTGTTTGAATTGTGAAACTGCTTTGTGGCGACGTACCATTGATGCCAGTGTTCAACCCCTTACTCAAGCTGAGAGTCGCCCACTTGGTGAACTCTTCAACGGCCTGGTTGGGGTTGGACTGGGGAAGATTGCCGCTAGTCACGGTGCGGGGAGTGATGGTAGGACGAGGCTTAGCAATGACAGGTGACATAGGGGCTGTGGCACCGGAAGAGCGGGGTCCCAAGGGGGCAGTGGGTGCGCCCTTGACCTTGCCACTGGCACCGACGGTGGTCCAGGCACTAGAGGCCGGGCCGGCGGGGGCAGCAGGGGCAGGGCCCTTGCTGGCAAGGTCAGCATAGCGCTTGCCGGTGGAAGATGGAACAGGAGGGCTGGGGGTAGCTGCCATGGCGGCGGCGGCAGCCGCAGCAGCACGGTTCTTGCGGGCCTCTTCTTCCTTCTGGATTTGAGCAAGTGTCTTCTTGGCAGCAGCACCGGTGGGAGCGGGTGCGCTCTTATTGGCCCAGGGGGATCCAGTTGAGACAGGGGCGGGAGATCCAGCACTGGCCCAGTTTGCGGATGAGGGAAGACCAGGGGCAGCCTGTGCTTGAGCCTGGCTCAGACGCTCCTGCTCTGCGAGGAACTGTGCACGGCGAGCAGCGGCAGCAACTTCCTCACGCTGAGCAGCAGTGCGAGCCTCGGCTTCCTGAATCTCCTTCAGAGATGGACCCTTCGGCAAGTCATTGGCTTCCTTTGCCCAGGGCGCAACAGAGGTAGGCGCTGCATCGACGGGAGTCTGAGTCTGAGAGCGCGAGCCAGTAGCCAAAGACTCAGCAACATTTTGGCGGTTGCGCTGAGCAGTGGGGGCGGGCAGAGGAGAGGCAGAGGGAGGGGGAGGGAAAGGCTGGGGCATGGCATGATCAACCTTCCAGACGGACTCAGGGGGGCCGTGGCTCTGCTCCTGTTCTTGCTGTTGGCGCTGGGCGGAGGCGGCCTTGTGAACTTGTTGAGAAAGGGTGAGTGGCTCGGAGCCAGTGACAGAGTCAGTGAGCTGGTGAGCTGCCTCCTCCATCTCGGCAGCGACATCAGCTTCGTGCTGCTGGGAAGCAGCGGCAGGGTGTGTGGGTAGGCCCTCTGCGGTGCGCATGCCCATCTCGCCTTCCTGGGCGCGAAGGGCATGGAATTGGCGCAGACGTTCTTCTCGGGCGTGCTGGTCGAATGGATCATCCTCGTGGGCTTTGTCAAAGTCCTCCTGCTCCTGCTGAAGCTGAGCACGGTCCTGGAGCATCTGAGTAACTTGCTGAGACTGCAAGAAGCTATCGGCCTGGCGACCGGCAAAAGATCCGGCATTTCCGAAGGCAAAGGGATCCTGACGGACATTCAATCGGTCCAAAAGAGCGGGAAGCTGGTCTTGGCCACCGAAGTCAGTTCCCAGCATACCTGGTCCAACGTTTGACAATCCACCTTGTCGGCTCTGGGTGGCACCATCAAAGAAGCCAGCACCCGTTTGGGATCCCTGTTGCATAGGAGCCTGGATGGGAGATGGCTGGTAACCAACAGGGGAAGTGATACTTCCGAAGCTGGGCTGGCTTTGGAGGCTGTGGGCACTGGACTGGTGCTGAAGAGGGGGGTTCATAGAGGAAGAAGGAGCTCCAGGAGGCGCCATCTGCTTCATGATAGCTTGTTGCTGAGCCAAGTGCTCCTTCTGTCGGGCCATCAGGTATTGCTCTTCCTGCTTACGGCGTTCAAGAGCATTCTGCTGCTCGGCCGTCAACGTAGTGCCGAAGCTTGGGAAACTGCCAGGGAAAGGTGGCTGTGCAGAGCCGGCATTGCTGTTTTGAGTCCACTGGGCGACAGCAGGCTCTGGGCCATGAGGGAGGCCAATTTGCGGAACAAGGAATGGCTCGCGCGAGTTCCCAATGCGTCGCACTAACTGAGCGAGAGGCTCAAACTCGGTGTCCTCGAGCTTCTTGATCTGCAGATCCGGACTGAAGAAGCCAGCCTTGAACCAATCGTGCATCTCAAGTCCAGTCCACGGGCCTTGGATGTTACCCTGGGGGTCGCGGTAGATCCAACGCATCCTATCGGGCATGACCATGGTACGCTGCTGAGAGGTAGGGATAGAACCACCAGGGGTTCCAGTAGGCTGGATGTCGTGGCCAGCTAGGTTGGCCATAGAACCAACCGCTGAGACAGGGGTTTGAGAAGTAGGTGTCGATCCAGGGTGGCTTGCTTGACCAGCCTTCTCGGCCTGTTGGGGGTCAAATCCTTCCAGTCCGACGGAGTCTGAGCGACCTTGCTCGTCTTGCATCGAAGAGAACAGAGCGCCCAGCTTGCTGGATCGGCCAATGCTTCCTGTGCCGGTAATGCCAGCGTGGGGGCTGAAGAGACCGCCTCCACCCAGGGTAGACAAGCTAGGAGACTGGAGATCGCCCATTGAGCCGAAGATTGGATCACCAAATCCACCAGCGAAAGCAGATCGCTCGCGAGTGGGGGTACCGACGGCAGCGCCAGATGACCAAGCCGATGGACCACCAAGGGAAGAAAGCCCACCCAGGCCGCCGAGTCCAGAGAAGGTACGGTTAGCATTGACACTAGAGTTTTGGCTGCGGTCAACGGAAGGAAGATCCATTCCCGAGCCGGCCCGTCTCATCGAGCCGAATGGGTTGGTAGGGTCCCGAAGTCCACTAAGACCGGGATGCTGAGCCTGCTGGATATCCGATCCATCGGTATCAACATCCTCTGCCTCCGCCCGGTCACCATGGCGATCACCATGCGGGCTTTGGTATGGATTAGTGTTGGTGGGGCTGGTCGGTTCATGGCCCTGGAGAAGACTGGGAGTTGGGTTCCTGGAATTCTCCTGGCTTTGCATCAGCTCACGGAAGCCGGGAATGCTGGAGGTCATTCCAAATGCGCCAAAGCCGAGATCAGATTGAGGAGGACCTTCGACGTCCTGGGATCCGCCAAGGGCAGCACTTCCGCTGCGGGGCTCATCGAAGGGGTTGGTTTCACTCCGGTTGAGACGCGTCTTGACTGCTTCTCCCCAGGGTGACTGAGACCGCGCATCATGTTCGTTTTCAGCTAGCCGTTCAAGGTTACTCAAAGGTTTTTCCTTGGCGGAGCCGGCCATGTCCTCGGTGCTGTCCTTGGACAACAGCCCCTTAAACCTGCTTTCACCCCGAAGGCTTCCATAGCCCGGCTTCTTTTCGGTGGTCGGGGTATTGGCGTTCGAGCCGAGAGAAAACGCTCCGAACGCGCCCATCGGCGAGAAATTGGCGTTGTGCGAGGCCGATCCCCAAGGGGAGCTCGGTCCACTCACACCTGTGTTCAGGGGATTGGTAGAGCTTCGCTTCAGGGAACCAAACGGAGAGGAAGGATCCTCCCTTCCTTCCTTGACCTTCTCATCGAGCTTTGGGTTGGGTTCTCGGAAATCGGTCTTACGGCGTAACAAGGCTGGTGGAGGGGTAGAAGTGTTGGCCTCGTCGCGGAAGAATCGGGAGTTCGAGCCGGTGGGGGACATGGGGTTCCCAATCGATTCGCCCGTCTCCCTACGGCGGACACCAGGACGCCCAGCGGTAGGAGAGGAGGTATTGTAGTTATTGATATGGCCCTGGGGGTAGGAGATAGAAGATTTGCGACCACCTGTTCCGGGAATAACATTTTCCTTCGCGGCGTTGGTAGGAGGCGGCTTCAGAGGGGAATTGACCGAGGCGGCGAACATCTAGGATGAGTTGTTTAGCACAGGCTCTCGGAGCCCTGAAGAACAGATCAGACGTACCTCCCGCTCGTCCTCCGTCATGCCCGTCAGCCCGAGAGGTTCCACTTGACCACCGTGGTCCCAACACACCTCGGGCCCCGCGGAGCCATTCTTGTGGTCATCCCGCTTCCCCCACGCACCGTTTGCGGGAGCTGAAACTGTGTGGGGATCCCAGTCTGCCACGAAGTATTCCTCCACGTTTCTACTCAAGGATCCCACGTCACGCTGTGATTTATACAGCTCTAGAAGCTCATCCTTGGAGTACCGGGAGTCTCCATTCCGTGCAATGCTAGAAGTATTTGAGCTCATGTGTGGGGGGATGTACGCGCCGCCAACGGGTGTCGAAGCAGATGCAGGCTGGCTACTATCCCGCTGGTGGGTGGCGTTGGTCGCGACGGAAGGGCGACGGAAGGTCTGCGTAGCTCCGTTCATGCGGTTTCGAGACCTGATGGGCACCAAAGGTTAGCATCGGATCTCTTGAGCTCAAAACATTGGCCGTCGCGAGGGCAATGAGCTATCTTCCAACCAGTCGATCGAACAATAGCCAGAAATATATGGGCTGATATAAAGGGCAGTGTTGGCATACCATTCTCCGCTGGTCGAACCATCCCCCCTCCGACTGGGGTCCTGGGTGTTACCGGCGGCGGCCGAAGCGAAACTCGATGGAAGTGGTGTAGGCATTATGGTTGAAAGGTTATACCGGTCGGATATTGATCCTCCACGTAGTAACCGTTGCTGAAATAGTGCGCGAGACCTCTGAGGTGGGTTTGCGTGCGAATGTGTGATGCGAACGGATAGGTCGCAGGACACGAGATTGGAAAGTTGAGGAGGGTTGGAAGATGACAGCTAAAAGCTAGTCAATCGAAGCTGTTGGTAAGAGCTGTAAGAGAGGGAATGCAGAATGCGAGCGCCAGACTAACAAGGTCGAGAAAGAGAGAGATCGAGTTTCGATTTCGCTTGGGAAGTTTCCTGGAGCAAAAATGATTAAGCGGTAGTCCGTGGCAATACGCGTGCATCGCTGTAAATACCCTGTACTAGATCCCTGGTCGCGTGACTCAACCGCGAGGCAGTGCTCATTACGGTGTACTGGCAGAACAAAACTTACATACTTGCAGCCAGCCACCCCGGAGCAGGTATTCAATACCCACACAACACCGTGTCTGCACACTCTGGCCTAAGTACCCGATACCTTACTTACATCACCAACACCACAGCCCTAAATGGGACTCAAAGGAGACCTCGTTCGTGAGACCCGGTAAAGTCAGATGAGTAGATGACTGAGAGGCAATTACCTTCTTTTGCCCCTCGCTCAAAGCCCAAAAGCCTATACATAGCGTCAATGCTGTAGGTGGCTTGACGCAACCAGCGTTGTGGAAGCATCGGGATTGATGTGTATGTCCGGTACATCCACGCTCTCCGTCTGATTGGAAGCTCAGCTGCTTTCAAACATTCAAGGTTGGATTGGGTTGCAGGTTTGACTCTTTCATCTCTCAAGAGGACACGCTTTCACCTCGCTCTGAAGGCTGCGAGGACCCAAGGCTGAGGGAGAATAAGAGGGGTACAATGCATGACCCCCTTCATAACATCTGCGGTGTCGAACAAGCCCCTGTCTTGAAGGTTCAACGGTCCTGTGTCTTTGAATTCAGGCTGAGTGTTTTCCGGTTGGATTAAGAATCCCATTATCTGCTGTGCCTGTCAAGAAGGCTGTCTCAACCCCTCTCCTTTGTGAGGCTATGCTTCTGTCTACTTCCGCGTCTCTCTGCTTTGTCTTCTAAACCAACGACACGATGTCGCTTGTTATATTGTCAAGTCACACAGGTACAATCAAGATGCGAACAATGAATGTCTTGGCCCCGTTTGATATGATGGGCTCAGTGTTAGAGCTTCACAGCTGATCTCAAGACCCTATAAAAGTGGCATATGCCTCTTCGGCTTTTCTCGCTTCACACTTCTTTTTCTTCAAGACAGTTCGTTCGGAGCTCTATGAACTCTAAGTGTTCTTGGTCGACTCTTTTTATCTAATCTTGTCTGCCAGACACCCCTCGTTGCCTTGATCGATGAGGAGATCCAGACTCACTGGGCACACAAAATCTGAATCGGACGATACAACATTTGGCTGGTATTTTGCAGGAAAACCGATGGACAGAAGACACCCTCGGAGCAGCCACATCAGGCTGGTCCGCTACCTGTCGGATACGGAAGCTTGTATCCATAGTCAATGTCCCTCGCCGTCGCCAGTGCGGGAGAAGGTATGCACCTGCGGCAATCGATGCAAGCTTCACTCTGGGAGCCGTTCTCCGTCGCCAACCAGCAGCATATCCTCAGGTTTTGAGTCAGGCATAAGGTGCAGGTCATGTGGTGGCTTCCAGGCTCTAAAACAGGAGCCCTCGACGCAGGCGGAGACACTGACGTGCAGCTGTTCTCCATGCGAGATTCACATCCGAGAAGCACGAGCTCGTTCTCCGATCAACAGCCTCCCATCGAACCCCGAGAAGAAGAATTCTGAGAAAAAGAACCAACAATGTGACTGTGAGAGCTGTCTACGTGCTCGCAGTCGCCCGATGCGTCCCCACAAGACCCACATCCTTACACCAAGCAGCAGTGATTCTTCAGACTATGAGCGGACTAGAAGATCTCAAACTCGTCAGCCTCGAAGCCGGAGACCTGCTTCCTCACCACAAGCCGAGGGAGATTGTCCAATCCACTCTCGTCCTACGACCCCTGCTTCATCAACAGCTGTCAACTCGCCCAATCTATCGTTCGCGGCCATGCATGCAAAGCCGCTCGCTCATCGTCACTGTCCACAGGCAACGTATTGCGAACAGCACCCTGAGCTTTGTCGCGTTTCACACGCTCAGGCCCCGAACTTGGCACGCACCCAATCCCGACCGCCGAGTGTCCAGTCCCCGCAAACCTCTCGCGAAAGAAACGCCCAGCACGTCAGGTGCACATGTTGCAGTGATTCTTCGCCTGAGCCCGTTTCTCCGGCCTCTGGTTCATCAAAATTCAGCACTCACGTGCAGTGTTGCGGCTGCGCATCCTATGCGGGACCGTACTTTGTCGACGATGTGAACTGGGAAATGTTTGGCAGTGAGACGGCATCCGATAGTTCGGTTCAGGCAAGGACGGGTGAGTATCGAGAGAACCTCGAGTCACGCTGCCCTTTTTATCATCGTTGTCGTCCGAGGTTCGAGGGCCCGGGCAAGTGGGTTTGTGGGCGGGAGTGAGCTTTATACACCCGTGAACGGTTTTTTCAACCTTGATTCTGCAATTCATTCTAGGTTCCAAGGTCCACGGTTTGGGACTTGATTTAGATGATTGGCTCGTTGACCCGCGGACGCTTGGACGCTTGGTTGGCAGCTTGATACTATCTTCTTTTTGGGCCTAGGTTTGATGTCCGATGTTGATGTCTCTGGTGAGATGGCCATCACTGCTCTGCTGGTAGACACCAAGCATTGCTTGGTCTGTCCCTCTATCCTCGTTTATGATTTCAATGCTTAGATCTCCTAACGCGTCATATGCTTTATCGCTGTTATTTCTCTATTCAGATAGCCCTTTGCAATCATTTTCGCGGTCTAGCATCTGTAATTCAATTCGGCCATCTCTATCAAAAGCATCTCAGGTCGAATACGAAGCTTCAAATAGCTAGAATTCCTTGCTCGAGATACGGATAGTGCCCAGACAGCTTGGTATCACTAGCTGACAATGAGTCTCCAGGAACCAGTCAGCCTAAGTGATGTCTACCCACTTGAGTTTTGAACATGAGCATTCCTTATTCGGGTGGTATCCGTACTTTTCAGCCTATGCCTAAAGTATTTACGCTCTGGAAATTAGAAGGGGGTTACAGAAGGCGTCGCAGTAACATCTCATTCAGATGGTCCTAAGAAACTAATATCCATGTGCAAAACAACTGGGGTCAAAGTAAAAGCAGAGGATCCATCGAGAGCCACAATTGGCCATCCCCGTGACGTGGTAGACTGATAGCCCTGAAGGCTCACTCAGTCTGGTCATCAGCTTCATCTCCATCGCTGTCGTGTTCAGGCTTCTTCGACTCGGTCTCTTGGAGAGCGGCGGTGACTTTGTTGCGCAGGCGTAGCCAGCGCATCCCGGTGGCCTTGGAGTTTATGCCGAGACGTTTGGAGAGTTCCGGAATATTAGCCTTGCCCTGGATATCAGCATGGATGCTAGTGAGTGTGATAAATGGGGCAAAGAACTCACAGTTGCGCCCGAACTTTGCAAAGCGTGCCAGAGAAGATAAAACTCTTCATCGCTGTAAGCTGCTTTGGACTTGGTAGGAGATTTTTCGACCTTGGTCTTGCGGGTGGGCGGAGTAGAGGTTTTGGTGGTACGCTTGACGGGGGTCTTGGGTGCCTTTTTGAGGGAGACATCCTTCGTACCAGACGAGTCCTCTGCGGAAGGCGCGGAGGATTCGGCCTCGGAATTCATCATCTTGGGGGGAGCCATCGGTAAAGCGAAAAGCGAGGATGGGTTGAAGGAGGTGCAGATGAGGGTGGAGAGGAGTCGAAGAAGAAGAGAAGTTTGAAGGGCGCAAAGTATTGATGAGCGTATGGTCAGGTGAAAGCAGTGCTCACCTGGGCAAGAGCGATGGACTTTCCACAAGAGGTAGCTACATTTTATCATAACCCTGGAGCAAACATTTGAAGCCCTGGACATGTTTCTTCTCACCACGACATCACAACTATTCCTCGAGCATTCAAGTGACTCTCACCAGCTGCCCAGTTGGTAATTGCTCTAAGTTCTGATTCATATAAAAGCGTACCTAATCGAGATCAAACGATATCTTCAGGGTCCTTGTCTCTGGTCGTCAATTCGAATCGAAAATGCAAGGGTACACCTCATCATTCTTCACGAGATATTCCAACACGTTATATCACTGAAGATGAACAAGGGTCTGTTATGATTGTTTCCCGAGGTCCAAGATTTGAAAGCTGAAGTCGTTGGATTCAATGACGAGTAGCTGAGAAAATGTGAGTGCGAGATGATTAACCCTATGACCTTGGAAAATAATTGACCGCGGGAGTAAGTCATTCCTACGATAAATATCCATGGATGTGCTATCAGAAAACACACATAAGCTTCTTTCATTTCTAGCCTAATCTGATTTATTCCCTTAACATTGGGAGGCTTGGGCATCATACACACCCGTGGACCGGTCCGATGGTTTCAAATTGAATGAAGATGGCACGAATATATAAACAGTGAAATCTACATTTTGCAAACACCACTTACAGACCTTCCAAGGTTAAATTCCAAGCCTAACTGGAACTCTACCTGGGCATACAATGGAAAGACTGTGACCTGAAACGCCAGATTCATATGCAATATCCAATGTTCAATGTGGAATGTTCATGGATGTAGGTTCATTCGGGCCTCGGTTAAAGCTATCGATAAGGATATTCTAATCCCCGCACCCAACATCCATTGGAGCTCAATACTTCCATCTCGACATAGATAATTCCAATTCCAACGTTGAGATTCAAAATGTCCAAAGCAATTTTCATCTCCCCCATTGACGGCAAGCCCGGCAAGCCCGGGCAAGTCTATTATCCGCTCTCCCTGCGTACCGTGCCCAAGCCATCCCCGCAAGGGGCCGAGCTATTGATTAAGTTGACCGCCGCTTCACTCAACCACCGCGACCTTTTCCTCCGTCAACATCTCTACCCAGGTGTGACATTCGACGTGCCTCTTCTCGCAGATGGAGTGGGCATTGTTGTTGGTGCGGGCCCCAACGTCCCCAGCCCAGAGACATGGCAAGGCAAGCGCGTTATCCTGAACCCCGGCGTTGGCTGGAAGGATTCCCCTGATGGGCCGGAGGAAGCGACCGGGTACAGAATCATGGGTGGAACCCGAGTCTACGAGAAGGGCACACTACAGGAGTACATTGCTATTGAATACTCCGAGGTTGAGGAAGCCCCTGGACATCTGTCTGATGCCGAGGCGGCGGCTCTGCCTCTGACCGGGTTGACCGGGTGGAGGGCCTTGATCACTAAGGCGGGCGAGCGAAACTCCGGGAATGGTGCTGTCTTGCTGATCACAGGAGTTGGCGGTGGTGTGGCCTTGATGGCACTGCGGTTTGCGGTCGCAAGGGGGGCACATGTCTTTGTGACTAGCTCGAGTCAGGAGAAGATTCAGAAGGCGGTTGAGTTGGGGGCGACCGGTGGTGTGAGTTATAAGGAGGAAGGATGGGAGAAGAAGTTATTGGCCTTGCTTCCTGCCGGAAAGAAGAACTTTGATGCCATCATCGACGGAGCGGGCGGTGATTCTGTCGAGAAATCTGTCAAATTACTCAAGGTAAATGTCACCATCAACAAATAGTCCGGCAGCATACTCACACTCACAGGCTGGCGGTGTCCTCTCTGTTTATGGAATGACCGTTTCCCCCAAGATGCCGTTCACGATGTCTGCAGTCTTGAAGAATATTGACGTCCGCGGCTCCACGATGGGCTCTCGCAAGGAATTCAAAGAGATGATTGAATTCGTCAATGCTAATGAAATCCATCCAGTTGTGTCCCGAGTGCTCAAGACGGAGCTAGATGACCTGGCGGGCATCGATGGGTTGTTCGAAGACATGAAGCAGGGCACTCAATTTGGTAAACTGGTGATTGAATTCGGCAAGTCGGGCAGTAAGCTGTGAATAGCGTATTTGCTACGATTCCCACGCAATGATTGTCTATAACCAGATACAAATGGAGATGTTGGCAGCTCGTACCTTCCTCGCAGGGGTTCTTGACGGTTCCTTCGCAACTTGAATGCCCTCAAGTGCTCTCTCCTGCTTGTCCGCTCACTTGTCCCAAATCCAGGCGAGTAATCAAAACTCGAATCCGCTCATTGTATAGCTATCATTCCTTTGATCTTCACTTCAGACATGGGCCCAGTCCGCCGCCCCGAAGTACGTCTTCGTACAGTGTCCCGCGAGAAAGGGTTGGCCCGTCGTGTATCCAACACTGTCCGCCCGGTCGACGAAAGTTGGGACGAAGATAGCTTCCAGGTATCGGATCCGGGAGACTCGAGATATAGGATCCTGCTAATGTTAACCCAAGCCCACTGACGCCACTCACTATGCTCTCCAAACCATCAACCGACAAATCGAACGCAGAATGGAAAAGCTGCTGGCCAACACCACACGGCTGAAGCGTGAACTATGGCTACTACAGCGCCATATTAGAGAATTCCGTCACCCCCTCTTCGAGAGCTGGGAAGCCGACATGCTGACGCGTCTCATCGAAGTCGCCTATGCATCGGAGTATCGGAAGTTGCCAGGTGGTATTGTGATCGGGAAGGAAACATTCTCCGAACGAGAAAATCTCACCCGCGCGTACAGCCTCGCGGCCAGGGATATCCGCTCGAGCACTATTGGGAAACTTGGTTTGTCAGATCGCTATTATGAAGCGTTGCAACGGTATCCCGAGGTTGGTTGTGGCCAGACGTACCTTGAGGTCAGGACTGACATGGACCAGGTTGCTCCCTACAGAAGTGCGAATCCCTTCCGAACAGAGTTCGCTTTTGCCAAATGGTTAGTCGAGGAGAAGGAGGACCGACCAGAGCTGTATGCATTCTGGTCTAAGCTTTTCCCGGTCTGCTATGATCGCAGCGTCCAGCAGAGCGCCTCCTTCTTCTGACGAGACCATTTCATCCTGTCTCGCCGTTTTCCGTTCTCAACGTTCTCACACAGACCAGAGCCAGCACCGCAAAAGGGGGCTTACGGTGGATACAACATGTCAATGTCGTTGAGGCATAATTCTTTTACAGCCCGGGAGACGTTTGTGGGTCAATGGTTGGTCTTCAGGTCCTAGCGAGTACAAATGCGCTCATTGTGTCTCATATCAGCTTGCCATGTACCAAGCCTCACGCCTATTCTTATCTGCTAGTAGAATGCAATGTCTATTTTTTGGTCCTACGCTGGTTTCAGTACTAGTAGAGGTACTGCAAGATCTACCAGCCACAGACCTGAATATGGCATCAGCTAGTCAATGATCACCCATCTCACATATTGGATTCTTTGAAGATGCACGAGTACAGTATATTTTCTGCACCTTACCGGCTTAACCTCTGGCACGGTGACATTGGGAAACCAACGGTATCGATTCACCGCTACAAGCTAGTACAGTACGAGTAAGAATCTCTAGGAATAGCACGGCGTGCTCTGATTCGTGCAGAGCCTTAGCGGATCAGCAAGTCTCACACGGACTTACGCTCCGACACCAATGCCCTCATCTTCATAATCGGAACTCTCCCAAAAAAGAGCCATCGATGTGCCTGCTCGCAAAGGTCAAGCAATTCGACAGTTGCACGGTATGCGATGTCATGAAGTTTATGGTCGCTAATTATAGCATTTCTTAAAATGCTCAGACGGCCCTAAGCGGTTTACTCTCAATTTTAGTGGGCTTGGCATGGCCAGCGCACCTCAGAGATTGATCAACCTCGTGGAGCGCATTCAGGGTCTACCCCCCTCCCCGACTACCCCCGACTCGGCTAGGTTCCGAGCTTGAAGCGTGGGTTTTCGTTGGTTGGTTTTCCCTACTATTATGTCTTGGCTATAAACAGAGTACTATACTTTTAACTTTTCTTGAGGAACCTCATCCGAATTTTGATATGGAGATATGGAGAATACCTTTTTATAGGGACCGTGGTGACTCCATACAAGCCGTGTTGAACGTATGGCACCATATGGCGCTGTATTTTGGTATTTTGTTGTGTAATGGAAAAGACCGAGCTCGGCTGCGAACCCGAACAGTTGATAATTAAGCACATTGTAGTATATTATAATGTACTCTGTAGCATGTAGAAGTTCTATTGTATGTACATAGATGAACACTAACCAATGAACACACCACGACTGTAGAGATGCCAAAAATTCCATCGATAACCGAGGCTCGAAAGGGTTGCTGCCTAGCTTGGCAAAGGTACCAACTTGGCACTCACGTCCGATACAGCAAAAAGAGCGGAGTGGGTGGGGAAAAATGGATCATACCGTCGAACTTGGACTTAGCTTTTTTGATAGCGTCGGATCCGACTGGAATGGGGTTGAGCAGACCAATGGGATGCCCCAGGGAAACCGGTTAGCATCCTAGCGGCGAACCGGCGAACTGGGGCACTCGATTTGGTATAAGTGAAAATGCGAGAGCGAGCTATGCCACTAACGGCTAATTAACTTGCTAAACCTCATGCTAAATCCTGCTAAATCCACCATAGATGCATGTCGGAAGAAGAAGGCTACCGAACTTCCGACGACCAAAATACACCTGAGCGTTGTGATTCGTCCTGCCGGTCCTTCTCTCGCGATATTCCACCACGATAGGCTCACAACTCGAGCAACGTTGCTTTTTTTGCTTTTTTGCCTTGTTATTTCTTTTTCTTTCTTTTTTTTTATTGTGGGCTCTCCGTTCTCTGTTTTATCTCCATCAAACCCCATCAAACGCCGTCCAGATATGCCAGATATGGAAAAGAGTGGATGTTTCAATTTTCTCCAGGTTCTCCGATCGGGACGTGTCAACCTGAAACGTTCACACTTCACGCGACGGTTTCAAATGTCTTCCGAGGTTGATCAGGATGATCTAATTTTGTCCAATTCGTAGAGATCTGAACCGATCTTTTGACGTAGCTAGTGTCTTTTAAAGTTATGCGGTAAAATGGTCGGATAATTTCTGGTCGAAGTTTTGAGGCTCGGGTATTCAAGGTTCGGATGGCGATATATACATCACACCTCAATGTTTATTTCGGTTAGATTTTTACATTTTATATCTTCACCTATGTACAATGTGTAACTCTTCAGTTTAAGTTGCGCAGGTCTTTGTTTTCTCAATTTTCCATTCAACACATTGTGGAGCATAGATAAATTGTGCATAATAGTTAGTACCTACCTAGGTACATAACATCCGGGGATATGCCCTAGTAGGCACCATCACTTCGATGTACTTAGCTATCACCGAGCTCAATCTTGGAAGCTTTCCGCTCATCCGAATCGGATCGTTGTATTTCAGTTGTTTCAAAGCAGAGCGAAGATCTGTCTCACTGCCCCTGACTTGTCTAATACTTACCAACAAAAACTCCTAACCTTTCAAGGTTGAGGCCAGAGCCTTCCAGGATGAGATCTGCTCGTAAACCCGTGTAGAAGGACAGATAGCGGCAAATTGCTCCCAACCAGATGGATTTTCTTGAGACAAAGGTACTAGTACGAAACAAGGAATGCGAAATCGACACGGGATCTCACGCCAATCTCCAGGCCGAGGATCTACAAGGACCCCCAGATGCAAGTGCCACTGGTAGACACTACCATAAATGCTGCAAGCAGACGCTGCAAAAGGGAGCACACACCAAGTCGGTATATGATCAACGAAGGGGCAGAACGGTACTGACGTGGGTTCTTCGTATCCCGTGAGAATTATGACTGAGAGAAGGTTGGTGAGACCCGGCAGCAATCTTTCTCTCCACACCCAGTGAAACATTTGAGCCCCGAAGCGGGAGTCTCTAGCTCGGACGCGGGACGAGGCATCGGTGGTAACGCTGCTCAAGATTGCACTGATGTCTCCGCTGGAGGTGGCAATTGGCGCGAAATTCCGACCCTGAGATCGTCCTGCTCCGCTGCTAGATTGGTACGCGTACGTTGACCGCAACTCCACAACCCAACATCCAAGCTGCAAACTAAGTCAAACAGCACCTTTGGGAGTTAGTAGTTAGTGAGATGTGACAAAAACGTTGGTCCCGCCGAACAAGGTTGCTACCGAAGAACAGAGGGCAGTGCTGAGCACCACTCCCACAGCATACCGAGACGCTCGGGCGCCACCGATATCAGCTACTTGCGTGGCTGAGACTGTTGAGCCCAATCTCCGTCCGCTACTCACGCTAGACACTCCAGAGAAAAAGAAATCCACTCGTCGGTCCAGCGTCAATATCCTCGCCATATTGGCTTCCCATCTGGGACCACACTCTCCCGTCAAAATAGCCAATCTGGTTAGAGCCAGCGTATCAATTGGCTATGAGTGGCCAGTAGAGATGGAGTCGGTGACAGGGAATAACACGATTCTCCCTGCCACAAAGGATCATTGGCGAATAAGGGCGCGGTGCCGGGGCAGATCTTAGCTCAAGGGAGGACAACAAAAGGCCAAGGAGAGGTGCAGCTCATTTGCTGGCAGTCACCGGCGATTCGTGATTGCCTCTGATCGGCCGCCAGTTGAATCACGGCCAACCAGTCTAAGTAAATCGGCCCGGATATACAAGTCGAGCTCGGAAGAAGTTTGAAAGCCGAATCTTGATCATCAAATGGGTACTTCTCCCAGGCACCGATCTCTGCGATCTTGAGTCGGAGACGTGGCTATGCAGAACCAGAGATGCACAATATGAGGGCCCACATTCCTCCGAGCGGTGCAGACCAAACACAAGGAAGGGATTCCTTGGTCACCTCGAGGATCTTTACCGTTTGCTGTATCGCGATCAGAACCGGGCCATCATGAACGCGGGAGAGAAACAAAGAATTTGAAATGTAAGGGTGCCCATCCAGGGTAGAAAGTCTCATCGTCTTTGACTCTGAGATGTTTCACCCGAGAGTTTTCCGCGATCCCATTCAGCACGACGATCGCCATCGCGCGTCCTTGCTGAGTCTGGTTACCTGGTCCCTTCCCTTCCCCGAAGATGGAGGAGATTTCGATGGTCAATAAAATTTCGCCCGTGCAAGGTTATGCACTCCACATTGTAGGCAGGTACAGGTACAGACAGGTACAGGCACGGGCACGAGTAGACAACACGTACATGGTACATACGTGTAGACAAAGCAATAAAAATGCATGCCCTGCATATCCCCGTGAAGGAGCTACAATGTATAGAACCTTTGCCCGACAAAGCAAGGCGTTGCGACGCAAAGCATATTCCAATGATAAAATGGAATATTTAATTTTTTTTTCTCAAGGCAGCGGGGGAAAAAAAATCCCCAAGTATAATCGGGGAGCCCGAAGTGGAGATTGGGAGTATTATGCTCAATCAATAATAGGAGAGGAAACCCTCACCTTCCAATCGTGGATCCGACGGAGAAGGAATCAGACAAGGTTGGAGCTCCGAAGCCCTGATGAGGGGGTCCCGCAACTGGAAGTTTGGAAGGAATGGAAGATCCCTGAAGTTAATTGGGTTAGCCAGAGTACTGTAGATGATGGCGTTTACTAATTTATTCCAAATGACTGCCGGCTGTTTGGGGATTGCTCGGCGGGTTAGGGCATTTTCTGTTTTCAGTGTGGGGTCAATATCCCCGAAGATTGACCGATGAGCAAACGCGGTTCCGCAAACCGACCAAATGATTGAATTATCCATTGCTTTGAGAAGATTCCAAGGGATAATTAAGATCTGACATTGAATTGGGCAACTGGTCCCTTGGAAAGCACCCTTGGCGGAGGGGGCTCCTTGCACTGTGAATATTGAGGTGGTTGGGAACCTCATACAATCGGGACTGCCTGCGATTGACTTTCATGCTAGGTGCATTTTAACTATGAACTCAATAGTAGTAAGGTCTCCAGAAAGAAGCAATGATTTGCTATTTTAATTAACCGTTGTACGAGTACTCCGTAATGTACAGTAGTACCCGGTGCACCTGTTTCAGCAAGCTGATCAGGGCTGCAGACTACGTGGGACTCCGCGCCCAGCACTGACTTCCAAACTATGAAGCTCAGCTCACCCATGGGAGTGGTTTGATATACCCCATGTGGTTTAGTGTTCCAAGGTTGTCCACAACGGTTACCTCCCAAGGTTGGGTGAACGTGGCGAAGTCGCGGAGGTTTACCCGCCCTTATCGATAGCGGAACTTCAACTGGCGCGGGCGCCTGCCCAGGTGTATCCGCTGACGCATCTTTGCCCCTTTCTAGGAGTATCGTGGACCTGCACGAAATCAGGAGTGGTGCATCCGAACCGTTTCCTCAGCGGAGCGAGCTGCTCAACGTTAATACGGCTAAAGCCAATGGCCCTGGCTTCCGACAAATCTCGGACCCCCCGATGATCTCATGGGATTAGAATAGAATTAGAAGTCAACACAAGCCTTGATCTGCATTGTACGGGGCTCCATCTCAGATGCGACCGTAACCGTACGTTTCTATTTTCGACCCGTGAGCTCTCACTTGCAGGTGCAGCTGTAAAGATAACATGGTTGACATTCTTACGGTACTGCAGAACAGAGATGCAGACGCGCTGCGCGGTCGGGCAATTCGTGGATCATCCCCTGCGCGTGTTCGCGTATTCGTATCTGAAAGGGCGAGATAAAACCTGATGACCTCATACGAATAGCAGGGCGCGAGGTTTAGCGTGTAGGCTCCATGAACTCAGTTTGCCCGAATGCCGACTATTATGGGAGTTAGGGCTAAGGTGACAGTGCAGAGTGTTATGGAGAGGCACGGATCGCACAGGTCGTGATACCCGGTTAAGAGGGGCTGAACCAATCAACGGGGTCCCTTGCATAGTCAGGCCACCGAGTCACCTGAAAATACTGCAAGGTGTACTAAACTTAGCCCTTCGTATTTTGTTTTTTTTTTTTTTTTTTTGTTTTTTTCCGTCTTTTCACTTGGTTTCCGGTTTGTTGTTTTGGGTTGGTTTTTGGGTTGTTTATACCTGAGTCAGATGATGGCCAACCCCATTACCCTAATCCAGTCAACCTTCTGTATTAGGGGAATCCTCTTCGAAAAAAGAGAACTCGATCGGAAGATATGCCGGACATCCACGAAATGTCAGCATATGTACCATGTACGTGGTGCATCCTCGTGTTGAGGAATGTGAATTATCAAATTGACCGGCATGACGACACGAGCGCTCTGTAGAGAAGATCCGAAGTGGAGTCTGGAGAAGGGCAAAAAAGGGTCTCCTTCCTCGTTTAGTCCCTCCGATTTGGCATCCCAAGGGTCGGGTCGGTGTAAGGGAGGATATCCCTGAAGGGTCAGATCTGACAGCAAGGACAAAGAAGAGAGACCGCCATTGGACCAAAGAGGTTTCCGCGATGGAAAAGAGCCCGAAAGCTCAGGTAGGGGAGCTAAATATACCTCCTCTGGTGACCTGAGCTCTGTGATTGGCTCCTGTCCCGGAGTAAGTTCCTCTCAGTGCTGATTGGGTCCATGAGGTTACAGTAGGCTATGCGAGTCACCTGGAAAAGCGCACACAAGTAACCACGGTAAGGTTGAGATCCTGGATTGGATATCATTTGAATGCCCTTACGATAACTTCTATCTGTACAGGACCCTTCGTGTTGCTATGTATGTATTTGCCCGATCGTCTTTTTTTTTCATTTTCGATTATTCATGCTCCACTTTTCCCAGCGGTGCAAGCCGCCAGAAGGGTGTCTATCCCGAACCTCACGTTTTTTGATTTCCTCCGTGCCCGATGTGCCTCGCAGATTTTGATTTCGGTTCGGGAGTTCCAAGGTTGTGACATCGGTAGAAAGAGGGCATTAAATAAGGATCTAAATCTGACCGGTCGGACATCTCGGAAAGGCTTCTAGTAAGTTCCGAGGTTCTTTTTTTAACTACGGAGCACGGTAGTATAGGAACCAGCAGTGCAATCGTGCAATCGTGCAATCGTATACAATTGTCTGAAATGGACTCGAGACTCGGAATTCCAAACACACCCTACGACCCTGGACTGTGTGACGAGAGAGCATAGGGGGCAAAAAGCGAAAAAGGAAACGGACCAAGTTTTTTCTGTGCATCCCCCGCCACGATTTCCCACTAGTTTAGTGCCAAAAGAATTAATTTATTAAAATTCCCAAAAAAACTTGTTAAAAAAAGAAAAGGGAAAAATAGAAAAAGAAAAAAAGTAATTCTCCACAGCTCGTGGACCTATACAGTTAGGCTGTAAATTGTGTACTCTCTAATAATATAATCCCATCCTACTTACTTTTAACCCTTCTGATCCCTTCCTTGCATGATCTCCTTTGAACTTCTCGTTATGACATCTTAGTCCACATTCGCTTTTCGCAACCCCACGTTCGCTCTTACGCTCGCTACTTGCTGCTACGAGAATCACGTTCGCTACGTTTTATCAGGTCCTTGCGGAAAATTACTCTGGCCAATACAAATTAATACTTAATTTTTTTCCATTGGGAAAAAAAAAGAAAACAAGAACGAAAAGAGGACCTTGCGCTGAACCCTTGATCTTCGACTCTCCGATTTGACATCTCGGAGATTGTCGTGACAATTTTCTTGTCCGACACTGCGTTTGCGATATACTCAGTAGAACCCCTCCATCGTTTGCGCCCCGTCCCGTCTGGAACTCGCGGCAATTGGGTTCCTTTTCTATACGGCGCCTGAATCTCCCCGGACCTCTCGACCACGACACAACCTGAAATTCGTCCAATCGTCGCAATCTTGTCTCGGCTGGAGACGTTCGATCCAGAATCCAGCGGCAACCGCGCCCTCTGCTTGGAAGGGTCTCAGAGTCATTAAAGAGATATTCACCCAACCGGAACCTGTGAAGATCGGTTCATCAGCTTAAGGTTAGTATCAAGAGTCTCCACCCTCCCTTTGCCCACGGTCTCACTTGGCTTCCCCCCCTCGTGCCTTGCATACTTCCTCTTTGGGCCTCTGTCTTCTTCGTATCTCCTTGCAGTCGCGTTCGTGGGACTATACTCCAGGGAAATGAAGAACTTCGATAGTGTCCAAGCCGTCGGATGGCTTCCGCGTCCCGCTCTGATCTCCCGGGAAAGTGTTTGTTGTTGACATTAGCCTCTGTTCTTTAGATTTGACGACTCTCGGATCTTGCATATTATCTGGGACATCAACAGCCTTTTGGGTCTCACCTCAGAGCTTCTTTTCACTTCCTGTCTCGTCAGTTCGCTTCCCCTTGGGTCGATGCACCGATCCGTCCTGAGTACCATCTTCTCGTATACTCATTGTGTCTTAGCCCGCCTCTTGGTCATTGTGGCCCAATCTCCTGGCTCTTCCCGAAACCTGAAAGAAAGCGAAACTTCACCAGTCTACGTGGCCGTGGTCATTCCAACCAATCTCAGCTTTCCCACGGACCTTTCTGGAGCTGTTCTCTAAGCGAACCTCTTTCTTACCCTGCCTCTTTATGAACATTTCGGCACGGTCGAGATTTCATAACGCTGCAGCCAGCCGTTCCTAGTCTCAGCCTTAGTTGATTCCTGGATGGTGATTCGAAGCCTTTTGTTGCCAACTATCCTGTGAGACTGACAGCTTCGTCTTGTCACTCGTTTTTGTCTCGGAGAGCACCCATTCTCGCGTGCCATTCAACCCACTATCGTTTGGATAAATTCCCAGTCATTCGCTTCAGAAGGTTCTGTCTTGTTGCACTCGCTGCAACATCTTCAAGCTGGCTTACTCCAAGACTCACGGTGTTTTGGTAAGCTAAACCCCCTCATATGTTCTGGATGCCCGCAGGGTTGGGGGGTTCTCTTCCAATCCCAGCACGGAATCCTGTTTGAACACCCCGTCAACCCTGAGCCACAGGTGTACACGGAAATCTTTGGCTGACATGTCTCTTTCTTCCCGTCACAGTTCGACCCAGATTTTCAAACGCCTTTAATACTCGGCGAATCATTGGAACTATCCGATTCTGAAGAGTCACAGTTTGTCGGTGCATATCCAGACGGCCTGTGGGCCAAGTCTGAGCCATTATTGTCTATGTCTGCTTTCCAGAAGCCCGCAGCCGGCGCCATACTAGGTAGGTCAACTCGAATCTTGTCTGGCCCTCCAGTGCTGAGACCAAACACAGAATACGGTTCCACCCGGTCTCTGCATGATGCTGCCTCCTACTCGGCCTACGGTCAATCGCCTTATGTGACCACCCCGATGGTCCCGTCCCCCATGGCCGACCAGGCGAGTCAGATCTCGGACTGTGTTCCATACCTGCCCAACAATGAGTACGCTAGCTCGTACGAAGAGTCCCAGTCCCCGATGCTGGGCGCACGCCACCGCCAGCTGCCCGAGATCGTGACTTACAGCCCCCAACGTGGCCGCGAAGGAACCCGCGTCATGGTCCAGATTCAATCCCCCTATGACCTTCACAGCTCCACCATCGCAGCCTTGTACTTGGTATTCGGCTCCAAGAAGTGTGAATCTCTCCCTACTTTCCTCGGCTTCCAGGGTTCCGCCTTCTCGTACGCTCTTGCAGCTGATGCACCTGCATTCATGTCCACTGGTTCCCCATCATTCGCTGTTCCTCTGTCCGTTTCAATGGACACCCAGGATGACTGTCCCGCAATCACCCTCCAGGTCGGCGTATACACCTATGAGCAGGTTCCTCACCCCTCTCCACCAGGCGACAACCGGAAGAGGAAGTTGGCTTCTTACCCCGAACAGGTCGCACCCTCTGCCAAGCGTCACACCGGCCAGGTCATTCCCAAGGTCGAGCACGAGGGCTACCACAGCCGCAATGTTTCCGGGTCTTACTCACCCTACTTGCAGCCTCTTCCGGCTATGTCTGGCTTCGTCGCACCTTACCACAATGCTCCCTCCCCTCAGACCGGCTCTGCCCATTACTCTTCCGTCACACCTCAGCCTGCTCTTCGTGTTCCCTCCCCGATCACCCCGGCCTGGAGTCCTTCATACCTCCCTGTGAACAATGATGCTCGTAACGCCAATCTCGCCCTCTCGCATGGCATTTCTCAGCACAAGGGCTCTCAACGGGCCCCCTCACACCCTACCCTGATCCGCACCTCGACTATTCAATCAAATGGCATGCCCCATAACCCATCCTTCAACCCTTATGCCATGTACCCCACCAAGGCTGTCCTCAAGTTGAATGGTGACCTCGACTCCATGGCACAAGGATGGTCCAAGGATGAGCGTGCCTCGCAACGCCGTCTGGTCCAGTTCACACGTTCGCAAACTGGCAGCACTATTCAGGCCGACTTCAAGGCTGTTACTCCCGAGGACCGCGCCCCCAGCAGCATTTGCATCAGCTGTATCTCTTGGGAAGGAAAGAATGAATGCTATGTTACCAGCGTGGACACCATCTACCTGCTTGAGTCTCTCGTGGCTGTTCGATTCACTGTGGAGGAAAAGAACCGTATTCGCCGCAACCTGGAGGGTTTCCGCCCTCTCACCGTCTCGAAGGCCAAGGCCGACAGCGAAGAATTCTTCAAAGTCATCATGGGTTTCCCTGCCCCTAAGCCCCGCAACATCGAAAAGGATGTTAAGGTTTTCCCTTGGAAGGTGCTCGCTCACGCCCTCAAGAAGATCATTGGAAAATACGTAAGTATCATGACATCTCCTGTATGAAACCCAATACTAACCGTCCCTCAGTCCGCCAGCTACTCCTCCACCGCTGGAGCCCTCCCCACCCCAATGACCACCAACTACGCCAGCCATGCCAGCCACGGTACAGGATCCGACTCTGGAACTGAGGCTCACACAGCCAACTCCCCGCAGTCCATCTCCGACACCGGGAATTACACCAGCATGCCTGTGCAAGCCTACCCCCAACCCGACCACTCAGCCTCCCACTCCTCGGCTCCCGACTTGCGTTCCATGATCCCAGTCACCCAGCCTTACACCTCTGTTGGCGGTTACTCATATCCAGCGATCTGCCACCCACAGAACGCGCATGGTCTCCCGGCACCCGCTCGACCATGGGAAATGCAACCAGTGGGCCCTGCGCCCGCCGCTGCCCCCAACAACGGAGCCTGCTACACTTACATGGACCCCGTTTACTCGATGCATGATACGCATTGAGTTCAATATCGGGTTCTATTGGCATCTACTTCTTCTACTTGCTTGCCTTTTTACCTTTTTTGAAGATACGATTTTCCTTCTGTCACTCCTTCAGCCCAGCGCGTGCTTCGCACGCTTACGATTCACGTCTCTCCTTACATCGATGCTTCAATGCCGAGCTTTGCATTTTTGATTTTGGTCCCTCGATTCTTGTTTACTTTTCACTGCATTTAGACGGTGTTTCCATTCCTTGGGCATGTTGGCATCTACTTCGCATGGGCTTCTGTATTACTAGGCATAGCGGGCGCTTGCTGTCCTTCCTTCTGCATTCGCAGGTTTTGTTTTTGCGCGATAGACTTGGTTGGGCGGGTTTGCTCAACGTCTTACTGCATTTCCGGTCGTCCATGGCAGAGTTATCTGACCTGGACTGACTGCTTTGTTTATTCTTTCTTCTTTGGATTCTATTTTGGGCGTCGTTATACCTGCCCCATCTGAGCTGGCTGTTATTTACTGCATTGTTCTGGCGTTTGGGATGGAATTCCCGGACTGAATAATATCTTCATATTTATTGAATTATACTCGTTGTTTCTGGACTCGAATATTACTCCAAAGTAGCTTCCTTGGTATGCTCACGCGAAGACAGGGTTGTCTCTGCATCCTCGTATCGTCCTCAACGTTCCAGTTGTATGGTGAACCAAGAGTCATTCAATATCCACATTCATGATGTGTTTCAAATGTAACAGCTCTGCAATTTAAGCTCCTTTTACTTTGCCCAAGCTCCTAACTACATTACCACGTGATGGCCGAAGCCCTCCAGGGCTCCCGGATTAATCACGTGATAAAGATAAGAGCTTATCGCTCTTATCGTTCACGTGACACGTGGGGGAGCCCGCGGGCGGCATCGAAAAAGGTAGTTGCAATTCCGGACTTGACTCATTGAGGTTATTCACTTCACTTTCACTTGGTTCCTTATTAAACCGCAATTTGTCAATTACCGGTCATCAATCACTGGACATACTTGAGGACGATTGCCTCTCGATCGGCTTCCCCTCTTTTCTCCTAAACTTATCCTCATCTTCTCCCCGCCACCTTAGCATCAGCCCAAAATGGACGCGATCAAGCAGACTTTCGCTAAGTGCAAGGAGCAGAAGCGTGCTGCCCTTGTTGCCTACATCACAGCCGGATACCCCTCTGTCGAGGAAGCCGTTGACATCCTCCTCGGCCTCGAGAACGGCGGAGCTGGTAAACAATCCCCAACCGTCCCTCGATCCTCACTTGCTCGTTACTTACATGTTGGACTGAATTGCAGACATCATCGAACTCGGAATTCCATTCACAGACCCAATCGCTGATGGCCCCACTATCCAGACCGCCAACACCAAGGCCCTTGAGAACGGTGTCACCCTCACTACTGTCCTACAGCTTGTCCGTGATGCCCGTCGCCGTGGGCTCAAGGCCCCTCTCATGCTGATGGGATACTTCAACCCAGTCCTCAAATATGGTGAAGAGCGTATGCTGAAGGACTGCAAAGAAGCTGGTGTTAACGGCTTCATCATGGTGGACCTGCCACCTGAGGAGGCCGTTCGCTTCCGTGACCTTTGTGCCAGCAACAGGTAAGTCCACACGACCAGCACGTTCCACATGTGGTTATTGGCGTCTAACAATGCATCCTTTAGCCTTTCTTACGTCCCTCTCATCGCCCCTGCCACATCTGATGCACGCATGCGCCTGCTTTGCAAGATTGCCGACTCTTTCATCTACGTCGTTTCCCGCATGGGTGTTACCGGTGCTACCGGTACTCTGAGCAGCAACATCCCCGAGCTTCTGAACCGCGTCCATGAGTACTCTGGCAATGTCCCAGCTGCCCTAGGATTTGGAGTCAGCACCCGCGAGCACTACCTGTCTGTCCAGGACCAGGCCGAGGGTGTCGTCATCGGCAGTCAGATCATCACCGTCGTTGGCAAGGCCCCTGCTGGTCAGGCTGCCAAGGCTGCCGAGGAGTACCTCTCCAGCGTCACCGGCCGCAAGCGTGAGCGTGACGCCGCTGGCGCCTGGACCCGCGAGATCAACATTGTTGAGGCCATTGAGAAGGCCCAGCCCGCCACTGATGCCCACCCCACCAAGGTTATCACTGATGCTGATGTTCCTTCTGGACCTGGCCTTGGTGACCAGCTTGAGGCACTGAACGTCACCCAGAACCCAGCTTCCCAACCCTCTCGCTTCGGTGAGTTCGGTGGACAGTACGTCCCCGAGTCCCTCATGGACTGCTTGGCTGAGCTTGAGCGAGGCTTCGACGCCGCTAACAGCGATCCCAAATTCTGGGAAGAGTTCCGCTCATACTACCCCTACATGGGCCGCCCCAGCAGCCTCCACCTGGCTCAGCGTTTGACCGAGCACGTCGGTGGGGCCAACATCTGGCTTAAGCGTGAGGACCTTAACCACACTGGAAGTCACAAGATCAACAACGCCCTTGGCCAGATCTTGATTGCTCGTCGCTTGGGCAAGACCCGCATCATTGCTGAGACCGGTGCTGGCCAGCACGGTGTCGCCACCGCGACCGTCTGTGCCAAGTTCGGCATGAAGTGCACCGTCTTCATGGGTGCTGAGGATGTCCGCCGTCAGGGACTCAACGTTTTCCGTATGAAGCTTCTCGGTGCTTCTGTAGTTGCTGTCGAGGCTGGTAGCCGCACTCTGCGCGATGCTGTCAACGAGGCTCTCCGCGCCTGGGTTGTCGAGCTCGACACCACCCACTACATCATCGGTTCCGCCATTGGTCCCCACCCCTTCCCCACCATTGTCCGTACCTTCCAGTCCGTTATCGGTAACGAGACCAAGGAGCAGATGCAGGCCGAGATTGGCAAGCTTCCCGATGCCGTCGTCGCCTGTGTTGGTGGTGGTAGTAACGCTGTGGGCATGTTCTACCCCTTCTCCAACGATCCCAGCGTTAAGCTCGTTGGTGTTGAGGCTGCCGGTGATGGTATCGATACTGAGCGCCACTCTGCCACTCTTTCCGGTGGATCCCACGGTGTCCTGCACGGTGTCCGAACCTACGTCCTGCAGAACGAGCACGGTCAAATTGCCGAGACTCACTCTATCTCTGCTGGCCTCGATTACCCCGGTGTCGGCCCCGAGCTCTCCAACTGGAAGGACAGCAACCGTGCTACCTTCATCGCCGCCGACGACAGCCAGGCTCTCGCTGGATTCCGCGCTCTCGCCCAGCATGAAGGTATCATCCCTGCTCTGGAGTCTTCCCACGCCGTCTGGGGTGTCATGGAGCTTGCCAAGACTATGGGCAAGGGCCAGAACGTTGTTCTCAACGTCAGTGGTCGTGGAGACAAGGATGTCCAGCAGGTTGCTGACGAGCTGCCTCGCCTGGGCCCCAAGATCGACTGGGACCTCCGCTTCTAAGCTGATCATCCCTGGGTTTTTCGAGATTTTTCTCTGAATGGATTTCGGGAAGAGCGATTCGTCGCTTCGCGGTTCTAGGTCTCCTTTTCTCTTTTTTACGGCTCGTGGTTATGCGAGGGTTTACGGTCCATTTCATGCTTTTATGCACTGTGCTCACACGGCACTTCTGTTGAACAAAAAGCGTCTTTCCAAGCCCTGGAGGTTTCAGGTAGTCCTTTCTTCATCCTTTCGGTTTTTTTTTTACATCGAATAGAGCAGAAATTACATTAAAAAAAAAAGAATTAATATCTCCATCTTCACTCAACTTGCATTTGGCGTAGATGATCTCCAATCGCTTCATTTCCGGGGCCTCTGAGGTGTAAGGTGTCTTGAATGTACTCGATAATTCGGGCAGCTGGGTTCGTATGAAACCTTTCTCAAGGAAATGCCTCCCTCAGAATCGAGGGAGCTCCCCCGAGTCTTCTAGCATGCGCTTGACGGCCTACTTGGATGGAATAGAATTACTTTGTGCAAAAATAACTCGAGCAGCCCGTGAGCTGATATCTCGGAGTAATAGGAGGAATATCATAAGAGCGTAAGCCCATGAGATGCGGGGTATCCATACGTTAATTATAGAGCAGAGACAGTCGTGCAGGTAATGCACCTGAGCTAGGCAAGGTGACGGTAGCCAAACTGAATAGTCAAAGGCAAGTGGAGATCAAATGTCGAATCAATCCACCTTTGCCTGAGAAAGACTCTTCGGGGTAATTAGATTGTTGGACAGGCGTACATTCGTCACGCCCTTGAGTTTATCCTTCCACGTGGGTCTCTTCAGTCTCCGGCGTGCTACCATTACCGGTACTGAGGAATTGGAGAGGAGGTAGTTGGAGAAGGAACCAAGAAGGACACTTGGATAAATGTCAGTCGGAGAACGTGGAGCGAGAGGACAGAAGACTTACCCCTTTAATGCACTTTGGCCTCGTGCACCCACGATAACAAGAGTCGGTTCCAGCTCATCAATCTAATGAATGTTAGTGATCTGAATAGCACCTCAAACCAGGGGAAAACTTACGGCCTCTGTGATCATGGACTTTGGGTTCTTGCAGTGAATTACCTCAACGGCAATGCGGACCTGCAAGACTGTTTTTCGCAGTAGTTTCACGCAGGTCTGGGACACAGTCTCGACTGCCCTAACCCGTTCAGCTTCAGCCATGGACGAGGCCCTTGAATCAACCGAGTGTGTTTTACTAGCAGTGCCAGGGCCGAGACGACCCAGTATTGTGCGGGATCCAGAGCTTTGACTCGCCTCCTTTGTCTGGCTTCCAACAACTGCTTTTGCATCTTTCATTGCCTTTGCTCCTTCGCCGACTTGTACCGCTGAAGTGGTTGTCGAGTCCTCATGTATGACGTAGATGGCATAAATCGTGTCGCCATCCCTCAGAACGGTTCCGATGGTCCATTCAAGTGCATAGACGGATTCTTCACTTAAATCAGTGGCGATCAAATATTTGCGTCGGCGCCGACGGCTGCCATCTCCCTGATCTTGCAGGCTTGAGAAATTGCCACGGACAATGGTTCTTATTGATCGATGAGGAACACCGTTGTCAATTTCGGACATTGAGATGCTAAGCTTCTGGGCCCGGTGAATGTCGCCAATCTCAGCCTCATCTTCCGAGCCGTAGGGCGTACCGGCGACGGAGTGGATACGGGGTGTTGGAATGTCGAAGCTCGTCTGCGGATGTACAACGGGCTTCAAGGCAGACTTTCGGGGCTTCTTTTCTTGGGATCCATTGGCCTTGTCAGCCGCTTTTGCTGTGATGTAATGTCAGTTTGAGGAGTTGCGGGCTATTCCAAACTTGGCTTTTGGTAACTTACGTTCCTCCGGTTGTTTGGTTTTCTCATCTGTTGGTTTCTCGAAATCACTCTTGGTGATAGATGTGATATCGCCGCCCTCCTTCTGTTTTTGGGTGCGACCTCGGCCTCGGTGACCATCCAGAGTGCTATCATCATCACTCGAGGTGTCATTGGCCTCGTCTTCGCTACTTTCGATCATGTTCTGGTCGCGATCGAAGACGTCCTTGGCAAGTCGCTCTCCTCCCTCCTCCGAGGCCGTCGGTTTGACGTAGTCGGGTAGGTCCCCAGTAGGCCTTGCGAAAGTTTCTTCGGACTTGTTGAGTGAGTCGTGGATGTTGACAACCTTGCCCTTGTCCGAGCTCGCAGGGGCAGGCTTGAAATCTTCCACATGTGAAGAATGACCACCTGAAGAGCTGGGACGACCCCGCTCCGGGGAAGGGGGAGATCTGGAGTCAAGTGACGATCCACGTTGGGAAGATCCGTGTGATGAGTCTCGGCCACGGGAGAAGCTCCGAGGAAGAAGTCGGCCAGGGATCATAGCTGCCATGCCCTTGCGGCCCTGAGATCTATCCCGGGCTTGCAAGAATCGCTTTTTCGTATGAGGATGCTCTCCAAAATTTGAAGCAACATTGGATTGTGCGTCATCATCGCCAAGCCGGCCCGTACTTGGTCGACCAGTCGCGACTGCCTGGTCGGATGATCTGCGAGGAAAGGCGGGTTCGGCTGTCTGCCTCTCCGGGGAGCTTGGAGCTGATGCCATAGCTGAAGAACTAATGCGCAACGGTGATGATACCAGTGGTTCGACTGGGCTGCGCGTCCCGCCTCGGGGCGAATAGGTTGTTCCGCCCGCCCCTTTAGACTGCGGGGGGATCAGCAAGCTTTGTAGAGCACGATTTGGCTCTGGTCTATCGAGTATTGGAGTTGTTGATACAGTCGCTTGATCAGGACTTTTGAGCTGCTCTGTGTCTAATATGGGGGAGGTTCCAGTGTGGCACGACATGGCGGTACCGCCTCCGGCGTGTGGGGAACACAGCGAACCGCTCATCCAACAATGTCGCCAAGCACTGAGGAATGTGGAGCAAATCACCTCGATATGACGAGTGTGTTGCCGGGTATGGATCGGTACTCTATGCGGCTTGTTAGTGAGGACAGTCTGTCAAACCCTGTGGTAGCTTACTCTCCGAGCTGGAAGTCCAGCAGATTCCATGCGGGGGAGTTTGATAATGGGCCAATTCCTGCTTGGGAAGGCTTGGGTAAGGACAAATATTCCTGTCAATGAGTAGAGACCAGAGGGAAAGCAAAAGGGAAAACTCCCAGGTTGGGAGAAAGAGCCCAAGATGAGGCTTCTTACTGCAGCCACGACCGTGGCTGCATGTCGCGGTGGGATGTTATGCCGGGGGTCTCATGCTGGATGCCCAGAACCTCCAGGGCTGTCTGGTAACTAGATAATCTTACACTTGGAATAAGCCTATACTGCCGATCAAGCTGCTAACCTTGGAATACATCCTATAGCCATAGAGAACGGAGCATCTATGGCCATGTAAAACTCCCGCAATCGATAAGTATAACTGATTTACTATAGATACAATGTATAACGCCTGGCTCCACCGAAATAACATGCTCAAACATTACACATAAATACTCCACAGGAAAAGGTCAAGTCTTGACCCTCTTCGACCTGCTCTTTGTGCTCCTACGTGCACCAACAGCGGCAAAGGCCTCCTCCGAGGGCCCATCATCACCAGGACGCTTATCTCCAGGCTGCGCATACTTCTCCTCCAACCGAGACAGGAAATCTCCGCCCCGGTCTTTCTGTCGCTGGGAGATGATGGCCTGCAATGCATCTAAATCAGACACCCCACCAGAGCTCTTTCCAGACTTCTTCTTCTTGGCCTGCATCTTCTTTTCTTCCTTTGCCGCCTGACCCGCTTCCTTCTGTGCCTGCTTCACCCGCTGTTGTTTCTTCTTTTCAGACTCCTGTGAATAGGCTTTGTAATCCTCCACTTCCTCGTCAGCAATTGCCTGGTCAATGATCGCACGGAATCGTTCGTCATCGTCGAGTACATTGGACAGCATCACAGACTCATAGATGGCATCCATGTCACCCTGGTGAGTTTCATACGACGCGAGCAGATCATTCTTCTCCTCCTCTGAGTTCTGGTAGCTTTTTTGGAATTCTGAGATCCTCTTGGCATCGATCATCGACGAGAACTGTTCGCGGTAGAAGTCCATCCAGTTGAAATCGCTCTCTTCAGAGAATGCTTCGTTCGTGCTGCCCGTGCGATCGTACACTTCTCGTCGCCGAGGGTCGGAAAGAACACCGTATGCCAGCGCGATCTGCTGGAATTTCGCGTTCGCTGCTTCGCGGGCATCTTCGCTCACCTTGTCTGCTCAAATGTCAGCATTTCATGTCTCAAGCATGGGAGTAGATGCTAACCAGGGTGATTTCTCAGTGCACTCTTCTTGTATGCACTCTTGATGGCTTCTGGGGTCGCGTCCGATTCAATGCCCAGAAGCTTATAGAGATCTTCCTCGACCGAGGGCAGCTCTGTGTCGAGTTCGGTATCTTTGGCCATTATTGCGGCAGTATGACAGGTGCGATTGGGCGTAAAATTAGGCGTGAGGTATGTACTCGTACGCAGTCTGATGCCAGAGACCGAACAAACACGAAGGCGGTACGCGGAAGGACTTTACGCGATTGCGACGCGACGGGGGATTTCGTCATGTTTCTGCCGCTCCCCACCTTTGCTCGACTCTCAGCTGTCATCTCTCTCGAGACTCAACTCAGCTATCATACGCTGCTTCTCATCTCTGTCTACAATTTACGATTGCGATACTCATTTCATCAATCCCACCCTGCTACAGCAAAAGATCAATCGCAAATTACATCACCTACCATGACGACAAGCTCCCCACACCTTCCCTACCTACAAAAGTGCCTCTCACTAGCCGAACAATCCCCTCCGCGACCAACAAACTTCCGTGTGGGCGCGATCCTCCTCTCCCGTAAAGACAATGACCCCACCTTCGCAGACGACCGAATCCTCTCCACGGGCTACACAATGGAGTTAGTGGGCAACACCCACGCAGAGCAATGCTGCTTCTCCAACTATGCAGCAGTCCATAAAGTCTCCGACGATGAAGTCGCTTCAGTGTTGCCCGTGGAGTCCGGTCGCAAACTCATCATGTACGTGACGATGGAGCCATGCGGGAAGAGGCTGTCAGGGAACGCGCCATGTGCCCAGCGCATTGCACGGACGACAGCAGGTCACGAGGGTATCCATAAGGTTTATTTCGGAGTTAAGGAGCCTGAGACGTTCGTTGGGCAGTCTGAAGGATGTCGGATGTTGACGGAGGCTGGAATTGAATGGGAGCATGTGGGTGGCTTAGAAAGGGAGATTTTGACTGTTGCCTTTGCGGGCCATGAGAATGGAGCTGAGGAAGTTAGGGCCGCTTTGGGAGACAAGGAGAATACTGCAGATGAGAGTCTCGAGGAACGGCAGAGACAGGAAGCGCAACAACCCCGGAACCCGAAGAAAAGAATGATGGAAGGGGAGACCAATATTTATATGTAAACGAGAAGTTGAGAGCTAGCTCGCTATTGGATAACGCAGCTGTTGTCAATGACTGCAGCTCTTCGTTAAGTGTTGATTGTCACTTGGTCGGGTTAAGTGAAGCATCCCACTTTGAATGAGATTCGAGATAAATCGAGTGTAGAATTTCAATCATCCTGTAAAGGTCAAACAAGGGAATGTTCAAGGATTCCGAGGTGAAAAGGAGAAAGCGAAGGAGTGTTGGCCTGAGTGGATTGTATACACGTGACAGAGACCGGACTTTCAACTTCCTCTGTCTTTTCAGTTGCTATCCGAACACATCTGCTCTTTTCCCGGAAAGCACCTCGATTCTAAAAATGAACCAATGGAGACAGACAACAATGAGACACTCATCTTCTATCCTGCGTTCTGCTTCAAAGCATCCCCAACGCACTTCACCTGGGTGAAGATTGGTGCTGCAGACGTCCATCGTCTTCGAAAAATTGGAGGCTTTGTTGGTAAGTTGCATGCTTGCTTCTTTGCGTATTTCTGGTCTTCGTACTATTGAACGAAGGGCATCAAGTATCCTTGCAATCTTAGATCGGGTGCAAAGGACGTGAACAAAGAGGCTAGCGTGAAAGACCTCCGCCTTAGCTTTGTGGAGTTGCTTTTTATGAGTTGCACTTTTGCACTTTCACCCCATCACGCTGGATTACTACACATACCTCTTTCAAAGCACCGCAAGACCCATGCAGGTCCACGAAAATGGACTCGGCTGATGAGAATTCCAGGCCAAAAAGTATTCTTCTATAACAACCACCCAGTCCGCTTCGTCAGCCTACTAGGCCTCATTGTAGAGCGAAAAGAGGTCTACCGGCGCACGATCTTGACCATGGACGACAGCAGCGGCGCCATAATCGAGGTGATAGTGTTACACAAATTCGACCCAAACAACAGACCCGGTGGCACTGAAGCGCGAAAAGATGTTCATCAAGGTCAAATAAACATCTTTACTGGCGAACCAATAGACGCCGAAAAGACACCCTGGTCTGCTTTCTCGGCCACGGAGCGACCCTCCTTACAGTTGAAAAAGACGGTCCACATTACCGCAACCGATCAGCACGAGGTGGACATTTCCTCTCTTCAACCTGGGTCTCTGGTTCGGGTCAAAGGCATTCTCGGAACATTCCGTAACATGATGCAAATCCATCTTGAGCGCTTTGAGCTTGTGGCGGATACCAATGCAGAAATGCAATTCTTGGATGAACGCTTGCGTTTTCTTCTCGAAGTTCTCTCCGTGCCGTGGGTTCTGACCGACGACGAAATTGAGTCACTGCGCCAAGCTGCCGAGCGAGGCGATGAGAAGGTCCTCGAGGAGAAGAGACGAGCCCAAATGAGAGCAAGGAAGAGAGTTGAGCGCGAAGAGAAAGATGCTCGTACTATCGCAAGGCGGTATGAGCGCGAAGAAAAGGCGAGAGAACGGCAATTGGGCGCTCTGAGAGAGGATGGACAGATGGTAATGAGGAGATTTGGCTTCTAAGGAACTCCACAGGGGGTTTGTTTTTACAAAATCAGCATGCCTTTACAGTATTGAGGATGTGCTCTGCGCCGCAATTTTCTCTTTTCTCTCTCAATTATACTTATAACACAGGAAACGTGGTCATCGTCAAGTCATGCCCCAGAAAGAAGGGGGTATCGTCGTAACCAGAGAACGCCTAGCTTGCAAAACCAAAGCGAGACGAAATGCCAAAGACTCGAACAAAAAAATAAAATTAAGCGGAAGCCCAAAGCAGTTCAATGCCGAAATCACAACACGTATCCCATAGGCAAAAGATCAACCGAGGATCACGATTCAGCCCCTGGACGATCGATCGTTCATGTAGTGCTTATCATAGCCATATGAGCTCCCATGGCCCCCAAGAGCACCCGATCGATAATAGTCCTCATCCGCACCACGACTGCCCCCACGATGATGGAATCTTCGTGCCTCATCATCGACCGAAACAGGGGACTCCATGTACGGCAGATCCTGCGAGGAAAGGCCGGCATATCGCGGCTCCCGGTCTCTGGTAAGATCGCTTTCCGAATGACGATACCCATCGCGATGTACGCTGCGCGAAGAGCTACGTGAGCCGCGCGAGTACTTGTCCCGCGCGTACAAGGAGTCACGATCATACTCCGAGCGCTGGGGCTTGGGTGTGGTCTCGGAACTGGAAGTAGCGGAAGCCGAAGCAGATGGGCGAGATGTCGAGAATGAGCCTGATGCACTGCTAGATCCTGGCTCGTCGTATGTTTTGCCGCGGCCTGGGGCTGCGCTGTAAGGTTTGCGTTCGCGCTCGATGGGGCCCGGAGCAATGGGGATGTCCTCATCGTCGATCATGGCTGGGGTGGCTTCTGGTGCTGCTGGCTTGGGGGTGGGGCGAGAGGGGCGGCCTCGCTCGTAGGAATGAGCTCGTTGGGTCGGGGGAGAGTGAATTGTAGGGGATCGACGGGTTTGGGGCTGAGCGGCCTGGGAACGCTCCTCGGCGGTGATGTAGGGGAGGTCAACGCCACAGTGTTTGATGATATGATCTTCGACACGTTCTCTGAGATCCAAGTCCGGCACGTCTGGGAAGAGACGGCGGGGAAGGTTTTTGGGGAACCGCTCTTTTCTGTCGTCTGCATTGCTGATCGGCATGTTCAGCACTGCCTTTGCAAAACGCTCGTACTCGCGGTTTGGATTGGACAGGATCATTAATGTTGCCCATTGCTCAAAGCCCTTTGGTGTCAAGCCAGGCACATCGGGGCGTTCGGACAGGTCGCCATTCTTTTGCACAAGATGGTGCTCGACTCTAGTCTCTCGGAACAGCCGGGACATCGAAGATGTGCGATCATCGAAAATATCTGGTGTGCTGTTAGCACAAGACAATGTATAAGTTTGGTTTCGAGATTCCCACCTTGCCATGGATAGGGATCATCAGGGTCGTGGGTGTCAAGATAGAACTTCTGCATCTTCTCAGGTACAATGACGATGCTGTTCTTGGGCTCATAGTCCTCGATCTAGGTGGTTTAGTTGACTATTATCAATATCCGAGATTCATGGATATAACATACCAGATGTATCGCAATACCCCGCAAAAATTGGCTGCCTCTCGTCGTCAACGTCCGCTTATCCTCCGCAAACAGCGAGCCCCAAATCTTCTCCAAGGTGGTCATCTCCACGACCGTGACATCACGATCTGGGGGCCTGGGGCGAGCCATATGGCTCCGCGTACTGCCCTGACTGGACACCGAAGCGCGTCTATCGGCAGGTGGTGGAGTCGGTTTCGGGCTTGGACGGGGCTCGTAGTCTGAAACGTACGGCTGGTGGTTGTGGGCGTTTGTAGGCAGCGAGCTGGGCGGGGGAATTGAATTACTCCTAGGAGGAACGATGGGCGGGGACTCTGCGTGTGGCCGCGAATCTGTTTGCCATGGTGGCTGCTGCGATTGCGAGCGGGGCGGGGGCGCACCAGACCCTTGTAGGTTGTTGTCCAACCCGGTGGTTTTCAGCTGTTGGATGACGGTTGCCGTGATTTGCGACAGTACCTCGGGAGACAGATACCCTGTGGACCCGCTGTTGTTGACAGCAGAGTTCACTGCGTCGTCAATATGTCCGGAGCTCGGTTGGTATGGCTGGGGGAATCGTTGCGGCTCTGGGTAGCTGTATGGCTCCGGGGTTGGGTTTGTTGGCAGACCGGCCGGCATCTGCGGCTGCGGCATGCTCAAACGGTCTGGCTCGTAGTACGGATACTGAGCTTGAGGATACCCGTGTTCGTTTGCATTCGGGTCCATGTTGCCCGGTTGATACTGGTTTGCGTAATAACCATCGTAGGCCATCGGGGTTCAATGCGGGGACGGTAAGCACGTATGGCGGGGCGTACAAAGGCGTCCGCTGGTGACGAGTCCAACGGGTGATCAGCAAAACTGTGGGATTATATTCAGTGTTCCAGGAGCAAGAACAGTGTGTAGGCAGAGAGATTTGGGATTACGAATAAATGTTGGAGGGGCTGGTGGGGGCGAGTGAAACAAGGTGGCGATCGCATCGCTAATAAATTCTGCCCTTTGGGATGTTTTTTCTCCGTCTCTTTGTGTTCCCTCGACGTCACATATGTACAATGTCGTTCTTTAATATATTTGAGTGCCACGGATGTCCACTTGTTTATACTGGTAGCGTCATGATCGGCGGTTGACTAAAGCTGCATCTTCGAGTTAGCGCTCTCGGAACGGTACAGGATATCTTCTCCATTGAACATAAACAGACTTTATATGCTCGAAGTCATGTCATACGCCTGTCCCGAGTCGGTTGTGATCCGATGCCCCAATCAGCCGACTTCCCAGTGGGTTTAGGTTTGCCGAAGTGACTGATATGTGTACAGGTATATATTCTACATATTCACAGACTTTTGTGTTGTGCACTCAGGTTTCCAACCATCTATACCTACCTAGGTAGGTAGCATCCAGGCGCAGAGTAAACATAACAACCGGAACCATATCTACGGGTAGCTACCGCGGCAACGTGTATTTATAGCCCAACCTTGGGACTGGTGTGGAGAAACCCGGGCTATAACCATGGTTGATTCCAGTAGCTTGGAGACTTCCAACCTTGGAACCTTGGAAGGCTACTAAGGTAAAATACCTAGGTACATACGAGTAAGGTGCATCCAATCCATATCCCATCTATGAATAGGATACCTCGGATGTACTACACTACCAATGGATGTAGTACTCGAGAAATTCCTAGATACAGAGGACTGATTCCAAGGTTGTAGAAAGCCTTCCCGAGGTCGTGTTTGTCATCTTGAACGAAAGCAAATGGCATATGCCATGGTAAAAGGGATGATCCTGACCCTCAACTCCCCGATACGCTGCACTCAAATGTATTTGTAACCCCTCCATGGTCCCTCCTCCTCGGTGCCATCTTTGCGGATATCGGGACCACTTGACGCCCATCCGGGGGCTGGGGTGGGTGGCTCGACGGGCTCTCGGGGTGCGCGGTGGGCCTAAAGTGAGATTGAGCATCGGCATCCAAAGATAATGCTGGCCTATAGGATGGCTGGAATAGCACTTACTTTGACTCTGGCAAAGCCGCTCTTCCCCGTGACCTCCTGGCTGCTGCTGTCATCTATGCTGCTCTCACCACTGCGAGTGGGAGCCATGCCAGATTCATCGTTAGGCTGTTCCTTGGACTGCACAGAAGTCTATACGTCGTGTCAGAGCCTGTCTAAAATATAGCAAGGCTACTCACCGAGTCCGTATTCTCCGGGTCATCATCCAAGCGAGCGAAGCCGTCGTCAACCTCCTCCTCGGCGTCTTGAAGAGTAGGAACATTGCCACGGGAGTCAAGTGACAGCTGATAGTTCATGCAGGGCTGGCAAAGCTGTAGAACTAGTCAGTCAACGATGCATCGTCAAAACGGAGACCGACATACAGGGCTTTCGCGGTTTCGTTGATTCCGGGAAAATTGTTCGACGTCTAGGATATGACCGCACTTGTGACAGTTGAGCTCGATGGTCACGGAGCCTGTGCATGGTACACATCTGGCGATTTTCTGATTTTCGATTCTGAAAGATCTGTTGTGGACCATAGCTCGACGAAGCTTTGTCAGTTGAGTGCTGGAATATTGGCTACTGGCCCGCGATCTTTCGCAGACACTGCATATGATCCTGGAAAAGGAGACGAGTGATTAGATCAAGATAGAACCGGAGAAGATGGGGGCACTGACTCGGATGGCATGTCATGCTGATCATTCCTGTCATCCTGTCAGTATGCGCTCGCCTGCCCCTCAGTTCACTCTCAAAACTTGCTTCTTCGAATAACGCTCCAGCTCCATGGTGATTGGAGATCCTGAGCTCGAGAGCCCTGAAATGAGTTGGTTAGGGAAAGCTCACAGTTCTTGGGAGATGGTATGGAGAGCGAAGAGATGATTACCAGCTGTCGAAAGATTTTCAAAAAGTAGAGCCCTGGAGGGTAGTCGCGAGAGAAAGAAAGAACCTTCCAAGGTTGGAAAGAGAGAGAGAGGGGAAGGAAGGAGGGAAGGAAGGAGCTCAGAAAAGAGCCCTGAAGAAGTACTCGGATGCTCTCAACCTTGAAGTACTCAAGTAAATGAAGTACAGTCCCGCCAGTAGACAGCAAAAGCTGTGAGTCTGGGGAGGAAGCTGGGTCGTCCCTGCATTGACTATGACCCGAGATTGGATCTTCAAAGCTTCACAGCCATCTATTTAGGTATTCTGCTGTACGCAAAGCACTCTGGGGCTACATGGTCTCAATCTCGACTGATCAAACATGATCGTGGGTGATGTTGGGCCCCGTTGACGCGATAAAACTTCGTTCTCATGTGAGAGCAATACCAGGTGGTGATCGCGGACTATAGTGGAAATCCGTTGATGCAAGGTATCCAACACAAAGACAGATGAAGTGATGCCCAGAACTTGGAAGTCGAAAAAGAATATTTTCCAGGCACGTTTGAAGTTTATTCTGACATGATTAGAAAATCGTAAGGGAAGCGTGCGCCCCTCGGCATTATCAGTATTGGAACCTTCGATATCCATCCATGATGGATATATCTTCGCACAAGCCTCCCGAGGAAGGATATAAAACTGATGATACCCTACAATCCTATGGAGATAAAGATATGTATCTGTGATTGGATATGTCCACAGGTGGAATCAACTGCCCCGGGCCCTTGTCACTGGCCTTCCAACCCGTGGACAGAACTCACCTAAAGAGCGTCCACGGTACCTAGGTACATTCCATGACGAAGTTGGACCAGACCTCGGGGGATACCTACATACATAGATAGTATCACTGGCCTTCGAATCAAAATCCAATACGTAAATGCTCTCCAATCGTACTCAAACTTTGAGCCTCGGTATCGATAACGAATTAATATGCCACATGTCCACGGGTATCTCGAGCGGTGGATCAAACACATATCAAACAACTACCAGAGCCACAAAAGGGGAACTCCCGACCCTCTCTGTAACCTTTGAAGGCTTTCTTCCTTTCTTCCGAGCTAGTATGACCTTCGAGAAATTGATAGAAGGCGGTGCAAGTTCCCCAAATAGAAACATGAGCGAGATAGCCTCTGCATTAGGGGCAATCATGAAAGGGGGGCCAATTTCCAACCAGACCACGGAGATTATTCCCCAAAGCCCTGGAAAAGCTAGTTTACAATGACACACATAAAGACCTAGTGGGACATCAGGGGCAGGACAAAGTACTACTGGTACGGAGTAGAATGTACGGAGTACACAGTATGAGTTGGAGGGGCAATATCAGTGTATGCCAGGCATCGCCTCCACTTCCGGTAATCTAATTATACACCGGCGGGGCTCAGGTGGTCGCCGAAGGATGGTAGGATGCTAGACATTGCTACTGGGGGCCAACTTTAACACCTGGGCACCAAAGGAAGCTAACGTCAGGGAGAAGATCCATGGTTGACACCTTCCTGATCCGCGAAAGCTTTCTTCTAGAAGGTTACTGGAGTGACGGTGACGGCATGGGCCCCTCGAACCACTTTACTGGGGGCAATCCCAGCGGAATCTCGTCGTCCGTAGTCCGGACTATCATTCGAACTAAACTAGCCCCTCGTGGGACAATCTACGTTTGGTCTCAGATCTGACAGTCCCAGCGATCAAGGGGGAGTGTGTGCCTTCCCGCGGCTTCTATGGATTCTGGAAAACACAAACCGTTTCGGGGTTTGGGCTCAGAGTGGGTCATTTAATTAGTGTCGAAGGTACTTGAAGCCTAAGAGGGTAAATGGGAAATGGTCAGCAGCGAAAAACTTACTCCCAGTGCTGTGCTTGCGCAAGTGGAAATGTCGGAACGAGGTTGGGCATGGGATTTGAAATTGACCTTCATCTCCAAAGGATTGCTCCTCTGGTCGGGGGGCAACGAAGGCAACGATTGGCACGGGTTTATCGCCTCCCATCTTTGCTTTTTTGATGAGCAATAAACCCCATCGAGCGTCAGTATCATTTGACCGTTGAGCCGATTATTTCCAATATCCGATAGTAGGATGAACATCCTTCGAGAAGGTCAAGGGAACATGACGGCGCCTCCCGGCAGTTTGGGAAGCAAATAGTCTCCTTTTCCAGGTGGCGGAGGACCGATCCCCCCTATAGCGGCCCTGCGCGGGTAGAGGGACGGGCCTGGACGAGGTCCACCGTGGAGCATTCCGTGGTGCCCCGAATCGACCGGCGCGCGACTAGGCGTTTACGAGGGATGAGAGGCGTCCGAGTGGTCGTCATTGATGTAAAACTGGAGAAAGTGGAGCATTGCTGAATCGGAGACCAATGGCATTGTTGGCGCATAGACTCCATTGCACTAGTGATCTTTGCGCGGTGATTATTGGTTTCCGAATCATACGCGCGGAGTGCCTCTCCACTTCCAGAAAGGCGAGGTGGCTTGGTTATCGAACTTTTGCGTTCTCCGTACAGGTATTGGGCGTACTCCGTACGCGGTGTGTACTCCACGACGCGTCGTTGTTATGGATGTGCAGCGGTCTGGAGGAATGGAGATACTATCTCAGAGCTCATGACCTACAGGGCGGGGACAGCACCACTTGGGTTCCACCGAGAATTTGAAAATCTCGGTTTCCCTACGGTACGGCCCTAACACACAGACTAATAAATCACATCAAAGATCGGATAGGGGCTGATGCTGTTGAAACAGTGGTGGTTAGGAATACAGTACTATACAGCAGATGGCTCTGTAGAAACACACTTGTGCAGGACATCGGTTTGATAGTAATTACCCTAATTATACTTACTACCAGCACTAGATCTACCGGTCAATGATGTCGAATCAACTCTGCAGGGTGTGGAAATCTTCAAAGGCCTGGCGGGCCATAGCGGTTGCCCCAGGGTTCGTTGGTCTGACAGGTGCATCCCGCTTCCTGCAGGTAATTTACATTTACCGCGTAAGAGTCTCCATGGACTGATCGCCTTTGCTTCATTTCCACGACTGTGTCCTCGGGACAGTGAGCGTCCCTTGGCTTTGGAGTCAGTGGAGAAGCCGAGATGACGCGGTAGAGACTTGCATGCGTTTTGATCATTAGAGTGTCAGCACTTTGTTAGCACTTGGGCTCTAGACGGTACCAGCTTACCGACTTTACCAGGAAATATCGGTAAGTACTGGTATGGTCCACGGGTAGCATACATACTCCGTACATCCGTACGGTGTACGGAGTACGAACTACTGTACTCGTATGAGATGTTGTCTCTTAGCCGATGACACCTCGTAGCAACAGACACTACTGTATGGAGTAACTTGCGACGAGTTTTTGAGTCGGGATCTAAACAAAGAAACCCGAGTCGCCGTTGTGAGTCCTGCGCCGTGTCCTCATTGGATACGGAAGAAATAGATGTACCCGTCGACCTCTGGGCAGTATTTTACTGATCTAATCACCGACTCATCTTGGGCCCAGACCGTGTGCCTCTGGTCCTGTACCTTTGAACAAAGAAAATAGAACCCATCATATGCAGCTCCCAGCCCATCGCGGCTTAAGCTTACCTCTGTGCCTTCCTCTCCCGTGAACCTCTCCGTTCCCCCCGGTGAACCTAATTTAAATCATTTCCCATATGGCACGCGAGCCAACCAGCGAGGAGGATGCCAATTACATAGCGACCAGTCGGAGGATCAGTCAGAAAAGAGGTGTCTTTCTCCAGGAAAGCTCGGATGGACCCCCGGAGATCAAGTGGCGAAACTAGAGGCAGGATGCCCGGTCAACCAAAGTCAATCCAGGCAATATCCAATACCGAACCACGCTCACTGAGACAGGGATTCTCCGAGGGTAATCCTAATCCAGGCGTTCGTCCTGAGACCGTAACTGGCAAAAGTCCAAATGGACAGAGTAGGACATGACCCAACGAACACGACATGGCCCAGGAACCAGATTCTCCTTGCGGCCCTGCGAACTGAACCTGCGCGCCGCACACTGGATACATCTGGTATATCAGCTGTCCAAGTGACTCGTACATTGTGCATGAGTCGAGGAGATGACAATTTGGCAACTGGGAATCTCAACCGGGGGATGTCTACTCCGTATACGGGTGTGGACTAATCCGTACATCGTACTCCGTGCTCCGGAGTCGCGTTCGTTTGTAGACCATCGTTCACAGAATACTTGTAAGATGACCGAAGTGGAAGAGTGCATTAGTAAGTCAACTAACCCATTTGACATGGTGGTTCGAGGCAGCCAATTCAAACGGTCAGAATTAATTACAGGGCAACGCGGCCCAACCCCTTCCGAGACGCTCCAGATAGTTGCAGACTAGGGCTGCGTGGGCGACGGTTACAGGCTACACGCACAAGTATTGTATGCCCAACCTCCTCAATTATTAGGCGCCGTGCATCCAAAGCGGTCAGATGAGAGATTTACAGTGCAGAGCGTCGCATATCATTACCAGTCAATAAAGCGTACTTTGTGTATCAGGAATAAACAAAAAAAAAATGAACATCTACACAGTGTCCAGTCCAGATCAACTAGTGAGGCCCAAATAGTAAATAGTAAACAGATACAGGAACCTTTTAAGGTACCCGGTTCCACCAAGTGTGTCCCATTGGGTGACGCGGGGATGAACCCGTTATTGGGCTTCTGGTATTGGTACGGGTATCGTATGGATTTCCTTTTCGTGTTTTGTTTTTTTCCTTTTTATTTGCGGTTTTTCTTTTTCCTGCGATTTGCAGAATTACATACAAATATTACCGATGTGTCCCCATAGAACACACAATGTACACATCTTACACATGATACGGATGCCATTACTTCACATTGTGTTATACCCAGGATCCCCCTCTTGAGACGGCCTTTCTTTGAGTCTCATTCTTTCTGCTCTGGATATATTCGAGAATACGTGGTGACCTCATTTCCAGTATTTCGCCACGGTGGGCTGATCTGCAACGACCTAAAGTCGTTAATTTACCGTCTCCACGGCCCCGTCTACACCTGTACAGGAGCTCGAGCTGTCAGCGTCAGGGGCTCGTCCTCAGTCTCCGATCCCTCCACTACGGGTCCTCTCCTATTCTGGCGCTTTTTCTTTTTTATTGTCCTTGAATCATACATGACCCCGTCACTCCCCCTCCAACTACCTCGTCACTCCTTACTTCTCATCAATGGGATAATCTAGCTTCTGCTCGGACATGAACAACTGCTACAATTGACTTCCCTCACACTCACTTCGGGGATACCTTGCAAATATACATCCCACCCTTTACATAATAGTAAGGCCGGTTGATATCGACACTCCAATGCTCGGAAGGCTGACTAGAACCTCACAGACCCCTCACTCTCCCGATCTGCTGGCAGACCTGAAGAGAGATCACAATGACCGTCACATATGATACTCCCACCCGGGGGTCACATACCTCCATGGCCACCCTCGAAGACCGGTTCGAGGTAATCAAGGAAATTGGAGATGGAAGCTTCGGCAGTGTTGCCGTCGCACGGGTACGGACAGCCGGCGCTCACATCGCTCGGAGAGGCACTATGGTATGGAACGGCAAGATCGGCGGTGTACGCGCTCTCCCCACTGACTCCTCGTAGGTTGCGATCAAGACCATGAAGAAGACCTTTGAGTCCCTAGGTCCATGTCTGGACCTCCGAGAGGTTATCTTCCTCCGAACATTACCTATCCACCCTCACCTTGTCCCCGCCCTCGACATCTTCCTCGACCCGCTCTCCCACAAGTTGCACATTTGCATGGAATATATGGATGGCAATCTGTATCAGTTGATGAAGGCCCGTGATCACAAGTACTTCGACGGCAAACACGTCAAGAGTATCTTGTACCAGATCTTGTCCGGTCTAGACCACATCCATGCCCACCACTTCTTCCACCGCGACATCAAGCCCGAAAACATCTTGGTGTCAACCTCCGCCCCTAACGACTCCGCCTTCAGCCGCTATTCTAACCTCGTCACCCCTCCCTCCACTCCCCCTGTCTACACCGTGAAGATTGCCGATTTTGGTCTTGCACGTGAAACCCACTCAAAACAACCATACACAACCTATGTCTCTACACGATGGTACCGTGCACCCGAAGTGCTTCTACGCGCAGGAGAATACTCGGCTCCAGTCGATATGTGGGCGATGGGTGCGATGGCCGTTGAGATTGCTACGCTGAAGCCCCTGTTCCCCGGAGGCAATGAGGTGGACCAGGTGTGGCGCGTGTGCGAGATCATGGGCAGCCCCGGAAACTGGTACAGCAAGGCCGGTGCGAAGATCGGTGGAGGTGAATGGCGTGAAGGTTCTCGCCTGGCCCACAAGCTGGGCTTCACCTTCCCCAAGATGGCACCGCACGCGATGGAATCCATCCTCCAGCCTCCTCTGTGGCCCTCTGCTTTCGCTGAATTTGTCACATGGTGTCTGATGTGGGACCCGAAGAACCGCCCAACCTCGACGCAGGCCTTGAACCACGAGTATTTCGCCGATGCTATCGACCCCGTGCGCCCCAAGTCCTCCACCTCGTCGAGACTCTTGGGCCGCAAGCAGTCCGAGAAGAGCTTCAAATCACCTGCACTTACCCCTGGAGACTCTCCCACGCTTTCGTCCAAGCCTTCTTGGTTCCGCAGGTCATTGATTGCCCGCTCCGACAGCCCTGCTCCTCCTGTTGAGGAAGCCCCTGTCAGGCAATCGGCAGTGACCCAGATCACTGTCCCTGAAATCATGCCTGTCAAGCCCCGTCCCGCCAATACCAAACGGGCGACATGGGCCAGCGGTGCTCCCATGCCAATTCTTCCTTCCATTCGTCCAGTATCTCCCTTGTCGAACTCTGTCACTGCGCAGGCCAATGCCACAGTAGCTCACAGCGAAAGCTCCAAGTCATCGGATACCTCGGCCAGCACCAAGATTGGGCGCCAGCTTTCTGTCAACTCCAATGGGAATCACTACTCAGACTCGAACCGCCAAGAGGCCGAGAGAATGCTCAATGGCTCTGGAAGCAACACTCCCACAACCAAAGAAAGCTTCTTCTCGCACCTTCGAAAGCGCGCTCGCAGATTGTCTGGACGCAACCAGAATGCGCCAGCCGACGACGTTGAAGCTAACGCGGGTTGCATCCCTTGGTCGAACCGTTCATCAATGGCCCTCGATGGCCCAACCAGTGAGCCCAAGCAAGGTGGTGATCTGAGCGAGCTGGACCGCGCACTGCAGACCGTCAAATACTCATTAGATTCCTCTACTCTCAGCAATGTCCCAGTGCACCTGAGCAATGGTGCTGACGTCCAAAAGCGCCAGTCCATGCCTCAGGCCACTGCCAATACCTCTGCACCGATCTCCAGCCGAACTCGCCGAGCCAAGCAAATGACGACTCATCCCGTGCACCGCTACGAGACCCCCGAGGAAGAGGATGAGCTCCTGGACGAGGTCCTACACTCTGCCAGCAAGGCTGCAAGACGTCTCGGCCAGACCCAATCGATGGCTGTCGACCCTTCCAGTCGCACTTCGCGCACTCTGCCCAACCCCTATCCCACACCGTCACCGACTGCCAAGGAAAACGCTACTTTTGGCCAGCAATCGACGCCTAGCAAGATGGGCATCCAGAAAATGGATCATGCAGCTGCTACTCGTCACTGGCCTACACCCCCTTACGAGGAAGCTGAGTTCCACAACAAGAAGTCTGATTACTTCGCCCGTGGATCCAACTTCATCTAAACATCCTACTTTGCACCACATTACACCATTCCTTTCATCTTCTTGAACAGAAGAACAAAAATCTGGCCAAACTGCCAGAAACTGAGCCACCGAGCTCGAGGCGCATGGATTCGGGCATTTCACCATTTCTGGGGGTGTTTATTTCTTTGATTTTCTTTCCAAGGGCATCGGTTTTCGCCCTCGTTCTTCCTTTTTCCTCTCCATTCATACCCCTACAGGCCGTTTATATAGATGGATGCGGGCCTTGTTACCATTTTTTCTTTTCCTTTCGGAGTCCTTTCATTTACACTCGGTACATTTTGTTTTAGGGGCGTGTTTTCTTTCTTTGGCATTTGATACCACATGTGCGAGTCACATTTACCGCATTTCCCTAGGTCGAGACGGCCTCTCTACCCTCCCTCAATCCTCAGCATTTCGATATTTTGCACATTCTTCTCGATGAAAATGGCCTTTTCTTTTGTTCATACTTACCCCCACTGTACATTGTGTGGCATCTGCCTTTCCCATATTCTTGTCAATCCTTCATTTACTTCCGGCATTCACATTTTCCTGCCTTCGTTTTGTATCATTTCTGACGTGCTGGCGGGGATCCAGCCTTGTTTATACTCTTGTAATATACTATCCTTGGCCGAGGCCATGTCTATACAGCCTGCTATGTATCTATCGCATCTTTGAACTTTCATTCCACTTGCTCTCAGTCTCATACAAAACCCAGTAAGCCTTTAAGATCAAACGAAAACGCAGAGCATACGTCCAAGTTCAGGGATTGCCGTTGGGCGATTAGCTTTCGCGGAAAATTTTCCCCGGATCGCTAGGAATCTGTACATTGGGGTCATTGGAAGAAACAGAAGCCTCCATGACTCTGTTGGATAATGATTTAGGTGCATTGAACCGAACAAGCTTGAGATTTTGTCGAGTCCTCAGGTGTTGGGCGACACAGTACTGATATGAAGACGGAACAACGATCATCCGCTTCATCAAGATTTCCTGATTGAGTATGCTCTACTCGACTGGACAACTTTTTCCCCCACCTTCATTACTCACCAGCACGGCCTTGCCAGTGAAGAATACATTGGTGTTTGATTTCAAAACGGGTAATCAGGCCCTCGCAGACTTAAGAAACACTCAGCCAAGCCTCTATAAAATCTGTGGCCGATCACCTTGAGCCCGCCAACAGCTTCGCGATAAATCTTGCGCAGCCGCTCTACCGCGCTCTACACCTTCTACCTAACCCAAATTATAGCGGCATAGACCGCTCAAGCCTGTCAACATGTCCAACCAAAGACAAGCCTCATCTGCCTCCCAAGTCCCTCACCTTTCGCCCGCCGAGCTCTCTTACCTCTACACCTCCCTCAGCCTTCCCAAGAACCCAATCCGACCAGACGGTCGTTCTCCAACACAATTCCGACCTCTTTCGGCCGAAACAACTATTCTGCCCGGCACCAACGGCAGCGCGCGCATCGGCTTCGCAGACGGCACGCAAGCGATCGTGGGTGTCAAAGCCGAAGTTGAGAAAACCGTCCTCGCAGCTGATACCCTCGACTCACGATCTCTTGCACAACACGGCGATGCGCTGAATCGCGAAGGCGAGGAAGGCTCCGCGGCCGTATCCGGACAGGGCGAGTGGGTTCAGATGTCTATTGAGATTCCTGGATACAGGGACGACGATGCGCTTCCCATTTTCCTGGGCGAGATGATGCGCGAGAGTCTTGTTGGTTCAGTTGAAAATAAGGAAGAAATGGCTGGAGGGTTGAAGGCAAGACTTGTGATCAACAAGCGTTGGCATTGGAGATTGTATATTGATGTAAGTCATTTCCCATTGTTCGATTTGCCCGTCAGGAACTAACGTCAGACAGGTTCTCCTTCTCTCTCAACCTCTCTCTTACCCCCTTCCTCTCCTCTCTCTCACGACCCATCTTGCCCTTCTCGGCACCAAGCTTCCCAAACTCAAGTCCACGGGCGAGGAAGATCCATTCTTCGATGACGATTGGGCTGCTGCTGAATACTTGTACCCTCGCTCAAAACCCTCTTCCGGCCCCTTCCACCCTGTTCGGCCGCCTGTGACGATTCTCGTTGTGTCAGTTGGCGAGAACATCATTTTCGATCCCAACCGCGAGGAGATCTCAGTCGCAGATGCCGTGCTGGCAATCTCAATCACCCGGAGCCATGACTCCGACGCTTTGAAATTGCTTTCTATTCGCTCCATCGATCCCCCCTCTCGCTTGACGCAGTCTGGTATCCCTAACTCTGAGAATGTGAATATGATCGGCTCTACTCCAGCTGAGAACCCGAGCCAGGAGGAGGTCAGTGGTGTTTGGAGACCTCGTCGAGGTGGTGTGAAGCGCTCTGTGGTCGCGCGAATGATCAAGACGGTGCTCGGAAAGGGAGGTGTCGGCGAGGAAGTCCTCGAAGGTCTCGAAGGTGTGGAAGTCCACTGAATTTAAGCTGTATGATAATGCCATTTTGGTTCAATACTATGGGTATTTTAACCGGAGTCTAAAAAGCGCTATTTCTTCATACATTGCGTTGCATGAATAGAATCAGGGTGTTCCTTACTATAGCTAAATCGGCTCAAGTTTATTGTACAAAGTGAGATTTGTCGTATGCAATGATATCAGCCCGCTGGCCCTTGGGGCTCCGTAAAGCGGGAATGTATTAACGAGGGTCGTGCTATAGAAATGTTCTTGCGCACAACTCAAAGTGGTGGTCAAATCAGGCGAGGACTTTCACCGTATCACCAAATGCCAAACCACTTCTTGACGGGCTTCTGATTTCCCTCAAAGTCAACATACACCTCACCCGCAGGCACCGCAGCGGCAGGCTCGGCCACAGGCGACTGCGAGACCGCTTCTTCATCGAGGTTCTTCTCGGGCTCCTCCAAGCCATGGGCGATGCGGTACTGCTTCCTCTTCTCGGCGTCCTCGACACGGCGGTGACGCTGCTCCCGCACGCGCATAGAGTTATGCTGCACATGCATGCGCCACACACTAAAAGCCTGTCCGATGGTGGCAAACGGTGAAGTCAGGAGACCGGACCATGGTGGGAGGAGGTGTGCGAATGGGGAAGTCGCTTTGAAATTCGTAGAGAAGGTGAAACCTGCACAGGCCATGAGAACACTCTATGCATATGATTAGATACCGGCCATGGAGAATTCGAAGAGATGGAGGCAGCTCACCATTGAAATCCAGATGTGAATCCATTTGCTTGTTAAGAATCGGTGCATCACTGTTCCCTCTGGCGGGAACATGCCAGGGTACTGTGTTTTGCTCTGCTCGATGCGCTCTTTCTCGGTTGTTCGCGGACCATATTCGAATGGCTGACCGGGTGGTGCGCTCTTTGGTGAGGGGGTCACGAGGCGCTGGGGGTGAGAGGGAGGGCGGAACCGGTCAGGCTTTTCGAGGACTCGGGGCTTCGGGGTCGCGCTCTTGGCTTTCTTCAATGCCGCGCTCGTTGAGGTGAAGCTGCGTGCATTTTGGCGCTGCAGGGTGCGCAGCATAAGTGCGGAGGGGGGTCCCCGTGGGAGGAGGAAGCCTGGGATTGGAGTCGGCATGTTGCTTAGAGGGGTCTGTTCCTGTTGATCTGGGTGGAACCATGCAATTTTTGGAGAAGGCTTGATATCACGTGCAGATCACATGATACCGGGAAAATGGAAGCCCGAGTCATCACCGCGTGGCACATTTAGTATGTACCCAAGTAATGTCCACGGGTATAGGAATGAACTGTCGAGTACGGAGTACTGTACGGAGTGTGGTGTGCATTGGATACGCAGTCGGAGGAGATATGAGACTATTGAATCGATAGATTGGTTTACGTAGGCATGCTTTGCTTTTGCTAGACTGATCACTTGTGTCAAAGTCAACAGATGTGCTACAGTCCAGCATGTACTCCGTACTATTTGGATTCCTACATGTACTTAGCGGTCATCGGCCTCGGCAATCGTCCAAGTTCGAACGATTCGAGAAAGACCGTTTCTGCCTCAGGATCCACAGATCGGTATCATCGGTGGAGCGGCTCGGGCGAATGACCATCCAGCTATTTCACAGCGGTGGACCGGAAGTGTCTTGAGTGCTCCATGTCTAGCAGGGGGTGAAGGGGGTTGGGGTTGAGAAAGGGCCACATAGTTCAGACTCGGGATCTGATTCAGATACTCCGGAGTATACGGAATCCCTGCTGTAGAGGGAGTGTCCAGAGCTCCAAGCCATAGAAGCTTCGATAGAAGGCAATGACGAAGGATGAGATCATGAGGCAACATTCGAAGGAGCCATTCGGACCAGAATCACCAACAAAACAAGGATCCTAGAATTCATTGAATACGCTGTCTGAGCCTAGGTATCCGGGGAGTGTTGAAAAGAGCCACACCGAAGTTCCCGGTTGCGCCCGTCTAACTGAATCATCTGCACGCTGATTGGTGGACGGGAGGATTACGAGAGGTGTCGGGGCCAAAGTACAAATAACCAGATTTTCTTCTCTCCCTTCCCAGATTTTTTTGTCTGTACAGTGTCTTAATATCTACTATCACACCTAATACTTCACAATGCCTCCCAAGAAGCAAGAATCTTTCGCCCCTGGTAAGCTCCTCCTCCACTGCCATCCTTTCTCGCATCGACTTCTGCACCGCCATTCGCATCGCCATTCGCATCGGAGCTGGTCAGCGCCAAACAAAGGCGACGGGCCCGGATGAAAGAGGTGTTCATCTCTCACATCTACGATCATATCCGATCCACCTCCAATGCCCATGGCCCGACTCTTCCCAATTGCAACCATAGCTGCCATCCGGCCACCACCGCGTCCATGAGCTGCGAAGAAGCCTTCGCAACCATGGGGGTAGCTATGGTGCATGCGCACAGTCGATCGTCAACACCTGCAAGCCGACACCGATCGCTAACCATAATTCTGTTGTAGGTGACGCCGCTAAGGGTGCCAAGCTCTTCCAGGTTAGTGAAATCAATTTTTTTCAGGACCATTCCATGAAACAAAAACTAACAAATCTTGTTTAGACCCGTTGCGCTCAGTGCCACACCGTCGAGGCTGGCGGTGCCCACAAGGTCGGCCCCAACCTGAACGGTCTTTTCGGCCGTAAGACCGGTTCCGCCGAGGGCTACGCCTACACCGACGCCAACAAGCAGGCCGGTGTTGAGTGGAACAACGACACTCTGGTATGTCCCCATTGAGTTCTTTGTTTGTTTACCCTGCTAACCACTGCGTGTCTCCAGTTCTCCTACCTCGAGAACCCCAAGAAGTTCATCCCCGGTACCAAGATGGCCTTCGGTGGTCTCAAGAAGACCAAGGAGCGCAACGACCTCATCACGTTCGTCACCCCCGATCCTTCTCCTGCTCCTATACTGACCATATTTCCAGTTACCTCCAGGAGGGCTGCAAATAAACGACCTGATGTCTTTTTAATTCCCCTTTTTTTTTCTGTTCACCCTAGAGGTCTGGGCTTGGGTTTGGCGTGGGCTGATCACCGGGTATCCAGACCGGGCATGTACTTTTATTACAATTTCTCCATGACCCACAATAGATTCGAATCTCCTCTTTCGATTGACTTCTTTCTTCTTAAAAAAGAAATCTGCAGGTACACTGGCTGCAGATCACCCTAAACACGACCAACGCGTTTTATGTACGGAGTACCTCCAAGGTTGTTTCACATACTTCGGATTCACCTGGCGTTGAGGGTAATGATTGGCCGAGAGTGCATGATGTGTCCATTGGGCAAACATGGGCGGTCAGGCACATCAGAACCGGGGTACTTGCAGGGTACCTTAGTGCAGTATGGTGGATCCACCCAAATCGATGGTACTCCTGCAGTACTCTAGGGGTATCTGAGGTGTACACCCCGTTGGCCTCGAGTCTCAGCACATGACCTCGCAAGGATAGGCTGATTGGTCCAGCCACCGGGACTTGGATACAAGTGAGGGGATGCATGTTCTCTCTTCCTCTCATTCTTGATTTCTGCATTGCTCAACAAGGCTTTTTGATCCCAGTTATTAATATCTTAGTGCTGCGCACCATCGCTTCTTGTCCGACAATTTGAATGCGCTTGTTTCAGAGACCGGTGTCGCCATTTAGAAATCAAGAACGACCCTGTCGCATCAGATCGCATATCTTATCGCCCCCTTGGAACAAATTCGATTGCGTCGCTTTCTTCTCCAACGGGTAGCGCAGGAGACTCTGGTCCCAGCGCATATACTAACCATAGTCCACGAAAGGTTTGATCGTGCACCGCCATCTGGCTTTGATCTGCGCTCAGTCGCTACATCTGCAGTGCCTCTCCTCTTGGGGTGCGACCATCGCCCAACGCCGTCCGGAATGCTGGATGAGCTTGATAACGTCTTCGACGACCACCCGTCCTTGGACGCGTCGCTCGAGGATTTCGAGAGCAACACAAACCCTCACAGGTCGCCCATGTTCCATCTGCCGTCCCAGCACTCGGGCTTCCGATCTGAAGAGTCGGATGGAGAAGATGAACTGGAGGATCCCGTGCAGGAGCGCTGGTCGCCTCCGGGTTTCCAACATGAATACGAAAAGGGCAGAGCATGGTATACTCACCAGCCCTACATGCGCAAAGGTGATCCCCACCTCAAGCCCACAGTCGGGCTTAGCGTCTCCCCGTCGCAATCGCGTGAGCCCAGTCCACAGTATGAGGACGCGCTCGAGGATCCAGTGAAGAGAGGTGATCGTGCGACCCCTGGTGACATCTCTGTAGCGGCAAATGTGCCTCTGCCGGCGGGTGCAGATACCCCCCTCCATGGACGATCCCCCAGTCCACCCCCGGCCCCGAGTACGGATCGCACCGCCCGCCCGAGTCCAGAGGACGACGGTTTTGGCGCCGAGAACTTGAGTAATTGTAGGCCCTGTCTGATCTAGATTTCAGTTGCAGGTGCGCGGTATACTAACATCGTTGCGAATGAAGACATTCGCTTTGCAGTGCGTGCAGAAGTCCAGCACCGAGAACCGATTGCTGCGATATTTGGCTATTTGCGCTCAAAGTTTGAACGCATGACCAGCTCCAAGTCTAACACTACATTGTCTGTGATCGTTCTCTTGCTCACCGTCGCGTTCATGCGCGCCCTGGTCCTCCCAGGTCTTCCCCAGTCCATCCCAGATTTGGTCAAGCTCTCCGGGTTCGCGCGCTCCTTCGAGCCGCTCATCTACTACTCGGAGAACGGCGTGCAACAAATCGGCACGCTACAAGAAACAGGTGTCGCAGTCTGGGATCTGAGCGAATCAGTCCGCGGCACGAATATGACCAGCGCCCCGATCATCGTCCACCAGCTCGATGAGCTCTCCGACTCCCTCAAGTCCCTCTCCCTGGAACTCACGCGCTTCTTCGCAAACGTCGATTCCGATATCGACTCCATTCTTATAGTCATGGACTGGGCGAAGCGCGAGCTCGAGACTTTATCCGCCCAACCTCCTTCCTCTCTGCCAACCATCGTCTTCGACAACATGCACAACATGCTCTCACGCCTCGGTGCACTGGAGAACTCCGTCTCAGAGGGTGTCCCAACATCAACAACCCCCCTCGGCCATCTAGTGATGGCCGTCTTCGGGCCAACATCCGCCCAGCGCACCCGCACAACCCTAACGCGCACCTTCACCGAATTCCTCTCCGTGCTAGAAGAGTCCATCAACAGTGAACTCACCCACTCAACCGCACTCTTCGCTCTATTCGAATCAATAGACCGTCAATTCCTGAACCTACAGCGCACCGTCGTCCGCGAATCAGACGCCCAGGAGCGCGCCGAAGGTGAAATGCTCTCATCACTTTGGACGCGCGTGCTGGGCCCCGACGCCGTGGCAGTCCGCAAGTACGAGAAGAACAAGAAACTCCTGGCGAACGTGCGCTCCCGCACAGTCGCAAACAAGCACCTTCTCGTCGACCACCGCGGCCGACTCCTCACCCTCAAAGTGAATCTCGAAACTCTGCGGAGAAAACTGGTCTCTCCGCTCGTGCGTCGCAATGACTCCGTCAGCTTCGTGGGGTCAGTTGATGGGAATGGAAATGGAAACTCAGGGCCTGGGCGGATGCTCGGGCCTGTTGAGGCCGTTATTGATGGTCAGATACGTGGGCTGGAGGGCACGTATGATTATCTGCGGTCTGTGAGGGAGCGACAGAAAGCGAAGCTGATGGAGATGGTTTATGGGGCAGGCAAGAGACCCAGTCAGGCGATGATTGACGGGCTGGACAGTGATGAGTGAGGGCTTTTGATCTGCATAGCATCTCTGTTTCTCTGTGGCGTTTCTGGGCATATGTCACAGGGCCGTGGCTATGGTTGTGGCTCTTTTGATTCTGTCTTTTTGTCGGCGAATCGGTTGAAAAGGGATAGAAATGTGGCGCTAGCTGATTTTCGATGTAATGGATCCCTTTCGTTTGTGGATTCTTGTATGAATCATCTTGGTATTTACTGTGCGAATGAAGTATAGAATCTCGCCTCTCTGCATCTCCCGGATATTACCGGCTGAATAAACCAAGCCAATTCTTACGTTGTTCCAAGGTTCTCTAATTTCAGAAAATATCTACTGTTACTCCGTACCTAGTATGTTGTCCTGTACGTTCAAGCAACTTGGAAAAGACGGAGTGTTCCAGCAACGGAGTGACCCGCGAGGATCGGTCCGAGTCCGAGATACCAAAACCACCTCGCAGTCCGCATCTCTCTTTCTCATCACACAATGTTTAAAAACATCATTCAGCCTCTCATGAGGAACTCCAGATTAAACTGGACCCAGGCCCAACCAAAAGTCGCAGTGTTGTACCAAGCAATTGAGCCCCCAGTGATCAACGGAGTCCGCAAGCCGCGGAAGCCAGGTGGTAGGTGTATTTCTCCATCTGAAGATCTTCGCTGAACCCGTCAAAAGGATATCAAGACTCAGGTGCAGACATTGCATTTACATTGCAGGCCCGAGGAATCGACGTCCTTACACCCCAGCCCTCTCCCGCGGGCGACGAGGGATGGTGTTTTCCTGATTCCGATCAGGGGATCTACTCCGCTGTATCACAGGGGGCCACTCATCTATGGGCCAACACCATTGTTTTCTCTTCCCACCCACTCCAGACGGCAACGTCTTTGGATTCCTATGCCCCGACATTACGGGTAGTAGGCCAGCCGCCGGGTCTAGTCGAGAAGTTCGACGACAAATTGTACCTCAATAATAAGCTTCGCGATCGCGGAGGGTTCACCTTGCCGCGATCATGGGAAGTCAAATTAGGAGACGATCTGGAAGCCTTGATCCGGACGATCCCAGACTTTCCCATTGTCGGCAAACCAGTTCGAGGACGCGGCAGCCACGGCGTCAAAGTTTGTCACGACGCATCCGAGCTGAAAGAACATATCGAAAGTCTCTTTGCAGAATCACCCGTTGTATTACTGGAAGAGTTCTTGGGTGGTGAAGAAGCAACCATAACGGTGATGCCTCCATCGCCCGACCGGGCGCAATACTGGAGCATGCCGCCTGTAACAAGGTTCAATCACCAAGGAGGCATTGCGCCGTACAATGGGACAGTCGCCGTGACGGCCAACTCACGCGTGATATCCGAGGAGGAAATGCGCGATGTGACATACAGTGAGGTGATGCGTCAATGTGAAGGTGTAGCCAGTCTCATTAGGGCTACGGCTCCCATCCGCATTGACGTCCGACGGTTCCGGCCCGAGTCCAAGTTTGCTATTTTTGACATTAACATGAAACCTGTGAGTGTGGCGGATGTCATGGATGACTGTTGCTAATGACGCACTGTAGAACATGACTGGTCCTGGTCGGCCAGGTCGGGAGGACCAGGCTAGTCTCACTGCTATGGCCGCAGCGGGATGTGGATGGGACTACCCGACGTTATTGGAGCATATTTTGAATGGCGCCTCGACTTTGAAGGCTTTCCGTGAGTATGAAAGCCCTTTGTAGATGGAAAGTGGACCAGACGGCCCCTAGAGGGCAAAGCCATCGAACACATCCACCATGAAACTGTGACAGTCAAATGAACATGAACAATCAGATATGGCCCTCTGTGCTAGATATCAACACTCGATTTCTCCGTCTTTGCCACCGCAATAAGATCACCCCCATGTCAAATTTGCCAAAATCAGGCCAATTCCTCTCAACAACCTCGATGGGAGTATACTGGTGACATTGCCACAGCATGAAGTCACTTAACCGATATACCCCAGAAGTACGTATCATCAAGTCCACAGGGACTTCCATAAACATATTATCCGTCAAAGAGCTCTCCTTGATCTTAGCAGGAGATCCACAGCCAAAGACAGTCTCCCTGATGGCAGTCGCGATTTCATCCCTGCCCGTGTAAGCAACACAGATATTCAAGACCTTGCCCTTGTTATCCTTGGTCGCATCCATAGTCCTAGCAATAGCACTCAGAACGTTCTCATCCAACAATTCCAGTCTCCCAACGACCCGTATTTGAACATCGTGTTTTTCGACGAATGTGTTCGGTCCGTGAATTTGTAGGAGAGAGCTTTCTAACAGTCGCATCAGAGTATCGACTTGCTCTTGGGGTCGCTTAAAGTTCTCAAGACTGAATGCGTAGAGCGAGATTACTTCAATGCCAAGTGTGAAGCATTGATCCAGATTCTGCTGAGGTCGGTTATTCATTGGGTCGACTGATGTTGGGAGCTTACCTGTTTCAATGTGCTAGCACCGGCTGAGTGGCCTTCGGCGACGGTCACTGAGTTTTGTTTTGCATATCGGCGATTCCCGTCCATGATGAAAGCCACATGGCGTGGGATGGGGCCTTCTTTGAGAGTCTCTGTTATGAAATCATTGATGTAAAGCAACAGGGAGGTTAGGATACGATAGAAGAGGTGGATGAAGATCATTGCATCCACCATGGTGTCAGAGAGACAATATTTCAATGGGAGATTGCTCAGTCTGCATAAATGTCGTATCAATTCTGCGTATACCCAGGGTGGAGGAAATCATTTCGGTTCTTAGTCTGCTTTCACTCCACTTTATCTACGCTACTATTGTTTGTTATAGGAGTGCTAGCCACAACACATTCCTCGGATCATGCCACTGCATCCTGGTTCTGGCAGCTCGCTAATCTATAGGAACATTGATTTGGTTCATCACTGATCTACTCGGGTGGATACATGCATGGGTTAACGACGGTAGTACGGCCGAAGCGCAGAAAACCAATAGTTGCATCACACGCCGGACATATTGAAAATGAGCAAATATGACTTCTGGTGGTTGGCTGGTCTGGTATGACAGCTTTGATCCTCGAACGACTAGCCTTGCTCGCTGTGCAAGTCTCCTAGCTGGCTCGTACACTCATCCTTCGAGGAATGATATTAAAGAACCTTTGGTTTCCCTTTCCAAGACGAGTTTAATACCTTATAAAGCCTGACTTTCACAAATGGCGATGGTGCGGAGTGTATCATCGGTCCTTCTTACTTCCTGATCTCAAATCAACAGCTATTTTGATGCCATGTTTCTAAGAATCCCGAGGTCCATGACTTATTTGCGCCAGGAATCCCGAGACAACCCTGTCAGTTGAAGCAATAATACTGCATTTATTCTGCATTGGTCGGCACAGCATATAGGTGTAATACAAGCATGTCTGGCCACCATGGGCGGATCAAACGGACACAAAGCTCCCAGGAAAGACCGGGAGCTCTCAATATCAATATAGGGTGACCAATAAGCTTTTCAGGTATGATCAAGCTGCTTCAAATGTTTCGGCTGTAACTTTCACGAAGACAGTATCGAGTGAATGTGCACACAAGGGACGAGCTAAGACTGTCACTCCAAACGCATACTCATTGCACATCGGTCTTCGATTTTCAAACCAGCCTCAGCTTCGCTCTTCATGGTAGCTTCCAGTGACGGTGATATCTCGGAGGGGTCCAATGTCCTGAATCCCAGAGACCGATAAAACCTTTCATTCCATGGCACATTTCGAAAGGTTGTGAGGGTGATAGATGAGCAGCCAGAGGTGGTGGCCCATTGTTTGGCCGTGGAAATCAAACTTCGTCCGATCCCTCTCCCCTGATGACTTGATGTCACAGAGATCTCATGAATATGAAAGATCGTCTTCTCGAGGCTTCCGTTGAGAAATGCAACTGGGGTGTTTTTTGCATCGACGGCAACCCATTCGAGGCCACGCTTGATATACTCCAAATGATCATCCACGGGCTGTGTGTCTCCGGTCGCGAGCCATGCAAGATTTGGTAGTTGTAAGAATGCCTGAGCTGCCGAGCGTTCCACTGCTGGAAGAAGCGGGGCATCGGTCGCTTCTCCTGGCCTGACTGTGAAATGTTCCATTCGAGGATACTCCAAGGTAAAGATTGTTTAGAAGATCACAAATATCCTCGGTCTTGGTGAATAGAGCAAATGGCAAAGTTGACGATGCGGGCCCTCGGCTGGAGTGAGTCAATATGACTCGGACTCGGACTCGAGGATTCCTGCAGCTTCACTGAATTCAATATTTGATCCAACCCTATCAGACATACCGTCAATGATCCACAGTTTACAAAATCAACAAAAGAGTATGAGAATAGCTACCAGGTGGGCTGGAGTTTGCTCTTCACTCTTTCACCCGCTGGCATGATCCACACAATCAATTGACCCAAGACGGAGACAATAGAGTGGCCACGGCTTTGATAGAAACAATGCCAATAATCAAATCGACCTTGAACAAAGACTTCAAAGTCAAAGACCCGACAAAACGCTTTGTTTGCGCTGCACCGGTTCCCGACAATGTGATTGCGGGAGTGTCGCTGGCACCGTTGTCCAAGACCCAATTTTAGAAATAACCAAAGAAATGCAAAAGAATCATTGAAATAGCTGGAACTACAGCAGATTCCTGAGATAAAAGGTCATCGTTCCCATTTGCTGAATTTCAGATCACAACAGCCTTCACATTCACAATCTACAACGATACAAGCTTCACTTCCAACCAAATCAACAGCCCAGACAAGTAAGTACTCCGATCCAACAATGTCTGCCAACGTCGATGTCGAGCGATGCTGCCGAGTCCTTGAACAAGCTGATCTAGAATACGAGGGCAAGGAACAGTTCACAACCGTCAACGTTAGCCCTACACGCATCATCCACGCCCCTATGACTGCCCTTTGGGGCCAGTCCAAGGATGGACAAAAGAAGATCGACATGAAGAATCCCTTCCTTAGAGCGTTCCTCAAGGCTCTCGCCGCAGAAGGCCCTGGTAAGGCTGGAACCCACGATGGAGTCACCTACTGCTTTGTCTGCAAGCTATTCCCCCGTTTCCCGGAGGGGTACCCAGTCCCAGAGGACCATGTCCTCGCCGCGAAGTGCAAGGATTATTAGGATACTTCCAAGCAAGAGGTGTGTTTTGGTTGTTCTCTAGGCTGTGGATCGGCCAGAAGGATAAAAACCACCTGGGCAGGTTTTAGATATGGAGAATTATAGATCGTTGTCTTTGAAGCAAGCCGTGCTCTGGGTGCAATCCATTTATGTACTTGGGGTTTCCGCATTGAAAATATGGCTATTTATTGCTACTTTGCCGTTTAAGTCAATATATTCAATTGAAAACTTTTATATCATTTGTTCCAAGTTTGTGTAGATTTCAGAAGTACCAATTCAACCCACGGAGGGAATATATCCCATGAGCCACATGTCTCGTGTACCTACATACCTAGGTAGGTAAATTGTGGTACCTAGGTATTGGCCCTCCTACAAAAGACCTCTATCTCAAAAGCTCACACCCCACTGTAGCATTCGGATTGAACATTGTATCCCTTGATATCTTCACCCTCTGGTACTCACTCGCTCATTGATATCCCTTTCTTCTATCTACACCAATCCAACATCTCAGTCCTGAATTATTCAACATGTTTTGGAGACTTCTTTTCGCCCTGGCTATTACCTTGGCCTCTGTATTCCCGGCCTTCGGTGCTCCTAAGGATGTGTTGGGGCTTGCAAGCCAATCCACGGACAAATATGTGTTTGCTCATTTCATGGTTCGTCGGACTCTAACGATACATAGATTATATGCTTCTTCTCTTCAAATAGCTAACTAGGCTTTGACACATAGGTTGGCATAGTGGGGAACTACCAACTCGAAGATTGGAAAATAGACATGGCCGCCGCGCAATCTACTGGAATCGATGCATTTGCGCTGAACTGTGCAAGTATCGACACCTACACACCCACCCAGCTAGCTCTTGCGTACGAAGCAGCCGCAGAAGTTGGTTTCAAAGTCTTTATTTCTTTCGACTTTGCCTACTGGAATAACGGAGACACCGCAAATATTACTGCATACATGCAGCAATATGCGACACATCCTGGGCAGATGCAGTACAAAGGTGCCGCTATCGTGAGTACATTTGTTGGAGACTCGTTTAATTGGAATCCAGTGAGACAGGGCACATCTCACCCTATCTATGCACTGCCCAACCTTCAAGATCCAGCTGAAGCCACAACAGTTGCGGCTAAGAGTGCCGATGGGGCCTTTTCCTGGCTGGCTTGGCCTACGGATGGAGGTAACAGCATTATTCCTGGGCCTATGACTACAGTTTGGGACGACAGATTCTTCCGGTTCCTCAACGGGAAAACATATATGGCTTGTGAGTGACTCTGCTCAGAGCATGATTCACCATGTATACAGAGATTAATCCAAAAATAGCCGTATCGCCTTGGTTCTCGACTCACTTCAACACTAAAAATTGGGTCTTTATCTGCGAGAACTTGCCAACATTGCGCTGGGAGCAGATGCTTTCTCTGAAGCCAGATTTGGTGGAGATCATATCCTGGAACGGTGAGTATTCTTTCCTATATCCGACACCGCAACTTGGAAACACTCCATGGTCGGGCACATCTGATCAAAAAATTGCAAAGACTACGGCGAATCCCATTACATCGGCCCATCTGAGCCCAACCATAGCGACGATGGTTCTTCGCAGTGGGCAGCAAATATGCCCCATGACGCCTGGCGAGAACTGTACAAGCCCTACATCGCAGCATACAAGTCGGGCGCATCGGCTCCCACCGTGGAAGAGGATAAGCTTGTTTATTGGTATCGCCCTACCCCCAAGGGCGTGGTATGCACGGGGGATTCCCTCGGGGCTCCGAGTGGTATAAGCATGCTGAGCGATAGTATCTTTGTCGCGACCATGTTGACGGGTCCGGCTACTCTGACTGTCCAGAGTGGAAACAACAGTCCTGTTAGTGTTAGCGTTCCGGCGGGAATCACGACATCGAATGTGACTATGGGAGTTGGTGGTCAGTGGTTTACTGTCACTCGTGATGGGCAGACCATCCTGAGTGGCCAAGGTGGCCTGGTTGTCAAAGATAGTTGTACTCACTACAACTTCAATGTCTATGTAGGGTCGATCTCTCGGGGCTTTTAAGTTCGACGCTGCTCAAGGTCCAACCTTCGAAGGGTTCAAGATTGGAGAGTGGGTTGTATGGCAGCGATGAGAGCGATTCATAAAAACTGAGATAGAGTCTGAAGCAACAAAACTACCTAGGTACCTAGGTAGATTCTGATCAACGTTGGAGGTCAACTGAAGCAGCTTTTAATCCATGTTTCCAACCTTGGAAGAAAATTAGGCGTTGATTTCTCTAACTCGTAATGCGTTATATATCTATCCCAACGCCCATTCAAATAAATAAAATCATAGAAGCTCCAGGCTTACTGCACGTTCGGTGAAGCCCCTCGCGACATCCTCAAATGCCTGCTGAGCTTCACTAAACTGAGCTATGGCAGCGAAAATCTGAGGCTCGATGGTGACTTCTTGCGACTCGTGACCCGGACGCGTAAAGTAGTACTTCCCCTGATGATATGACAATCTGTTAAGATATGCTCGCAAATCAGTCGAGGCGAGCCGGTGGGCCGTGTCGAAGAGTTCGGTTCTCCTGCCACTTGGAGGGGCTGGATGGGCAGGGAATGCAACAAGGTCCATGTCTGTAGTCCAATCCAATTCTGAGCTTTTGATCTCAAGACACTGGGTCACAGATTTGATGAAGCCGTTGATCCACTTAATGTGTTTGAAGAGCCCTCCGGCCGTTTCAGTTGTGCGGTCAATGTAGTCGATGATTGACAGAACTGACGAAATCATCTCAACGAAGGCGCTGATTATGAAAACAGTGACTGGGCTTTGTAGGCGCTGACGACGCGACGAAATGGTACTCAATGCCTGACAGGAGGCTTGGCACAGAACGTCGACCGTATCGATGACAGATGATACAGAGGCCGAGTCGAACGTGTCCACATTGCAAAGTAGGCTCTTGAACTCCAGCGTGACGGTATGGATGACGGGATAACCCAGGATCCAGGCGGCAGGATTGTTGAATGTTGATTCTAGATATGCCGGGAATACGCACTGCAGAAGGACAGCACGAAGAGTGGGCTTTTCGGGAGCTCCTGACTCATAGGTATTCTTCATCGAGGTGTGAAGCTGGTCAACCAGGTAGCTCTGTTGGCTATCAATGGCGGCACGCTCGGAAATGCTCTGTATGAACCCGACAAGGGTCATGACTTCTTTGCTGGAATACAACTTTGGCTCGTATCGTTTGAGCTTTGCAACGATGTAGCGTGGATCGTGTGATGGCAAGGGGAATGAAGCAGGGTCTGTGAAGAAGGGGTCGATGGGCTTCACGTCGCTGGTGTGTTGCTGCAAAAATGCGATCACGCTGTGCACGAAATTGACATAGGCTCCTTGGGCAGCTTGGGTAGTTCCGTTTCCAAGCTCTTGGTAGTTATTTTTCATGGCAGCCATCACACGCTGAATCACTTCTGAGTATTCTTGCTTTGTCGCAGAGAAATCAGAACTCCCCGAGAGTTCCATTTCCTGAAGATTCTCCCGCATATTGGACAGTAGACTAGAAAGGAGGGACAACCTTCGGGAATTGATTTCCTCTAGTGTGATGGTATACCGGTCTGTCTTCTTGTCCTTGTAGAAAGGAAGATTGCGAAGCAAGAAGTCTTCAGGAACCTGATTCAAGTATGCCTCAGTGAGACGGTGTTGAAACTTCAACATCGAAGAGCGTTCAACTAGCGAAGAGATCCACAAACTCATTGCTTCAACGCGGCAGTCAGGAACAATCTTCGGATCCTTTTCAATGCAAGCTGCAAGGAAGAGAGGTGCAAACTTCCTTGTCTGGGCAGTCTTTCGAAGCTGAATCCACGAATCGTTGCCGTACTCGCTCAGGTAACTATCCCAGCTCCGGAGCCCATGACGCACGAGAACACAAGCGAGAGAGGTCCAACACTCCAAGACACTTAGAAGTATCGAATCCTCGGGACAATGATCCTCGCCAAAACAGTTCGAGACGAGACGCGAGATAAGAGGGTGGAAAGTATTGGCTGCAAACTCGATTCCTTCGCTGGGAGGAGTTTGTTGGTCATAGACTGCCTCAATGGCATCCCAATCACCGAACTCTTGGCTATCCTCATCAATCGGCACTGCCACAGGAGTCTCCGTCGACGAAGGGACAATGTCTTTCTGTGTGTACGCAACCACTACCTGCAAAGCCTCCGCCACGACAGAATTGACACGCGGTAGCTTCGGGTTGAAGAGTGCAATGATGGATTCAAATGGAGTTTTGACAAGCAGCTTGTGGGCATGCGCCAACGTTGGGGCGAGTTGCACCGCAGTCCGCAACCCAGCAAGGGCCACGCTCAGCAGCTCCTCAATTTGCCTCTGATTCTGGGATATTGTGCGTTCAACAAGCTGCTGCGAGACTCGATTGTCACCTGTATTTTGAGACTCAATCTCTTTGCGGGCGTATGAGTGTTGTTGCTGTAGCTCTGTAACAAAGTAGCCGTACCAGTCACCAAATGGATCAAGTCCCGAGAGCTCTTCATCCGTGGAAAGTTTGAAGCGGACTAGTCGCGACCAGGAGCGTAGATTGATGCTGCATGCTTCACGGTGTGAAGTGGCAGGGTGGACCAGATTTCGAATTGTCTCCAAACGGGGACGGCAACCATCGGGGACGGCCCAGTATAATGTACTGAGAAGGTCGTGGTGGTTGCGGAGCGCATCGAGGTCCTCGCGTCGTAATGGTTGCTCTTTTGGATACACGCGCCCGTGATTTGGCAGCAGGCGCCAAGCAAAGTTTCGGATCTTCTTCTTGTCATATCTTTTTGTCAAGAATCGAAGTCCACTTGCTACAATCTTCAAAAAGGTATGAAAGCAGGGTTCTCCCGTTCGGGCATCGAGGGAGGGGTTACTGTCAAGCTCATCGAGGAATGACGGTGAGCCACGAGCTTCTTCCAATTTCAGATTGTGCAGTGTGTTTTTGGCAAAGAAATCAAAGAGCGTGTCCAGGGCAGGTTTGCATTCTCGCCACCCCCAAGAGTTGATGAGTCGATGGCACCTGTGGAACAGGACGCGACAATAGTTGTTGTAGGAGATAGGCTGTGCAGCAGAGTTGGCCTCGAAATGGTCCAAAGCAGGAGCCAGAAGCCGTTTAGCTAGTTTCCAATTGTCATTCGAGACTGTGAAGCGATAGCCGGGTCGTGATATCCCCAGTGGATCAAGCTCATTCAAAGGTAGAGATATGAAGATTCCACGCCATCCAGACTCAAGGCTGCCCACATCTCTCTCATGTTTGAGAAGGGCACCGTCGCAAGCTTGGAGCTGAATATCCTCGAAGCAGCCCTTGTAATGATCCGATGTGCGCAAGAGATGTTTCATAGCAACGTAGGCCTCAACAGATGGATTGTCATCCCGGATCCCCAGTTCGCGGCGCTCAGTTTCGCTGTTTTCTTTGAATAGCGACTTTAGCTCAGATGAACCGTTTTTGGTCACAAGCAGGCCCGCAACGTCTTTGGCAGATGCTTTGACAAGATCCAAGGCTTCAGTGGCAAGTACAGGGCTGACTAGCTGATGGGAAGAAACTTGACGTATTTGGTTCGACATGACCATGTTGAAGGACGCGATTTTGACCAGGCCGTTCTTGTTGTATTCGTCGCTGCTCGTGAATGCAGCCAATGGATCTCTCACCTGAGACACGAGTCCTGTCACACGAGTGATGAAGCCAGTGCGATCGACTGGGTCGATGAAGACCAAGCTCTCCGTAATATACCTGATGAGCAGCCTGTATAGACGTGACGCATCGCTTAAATCAGGTGCAACACCGTCTTCTGGGGAGGTAGTGGCGCCTCTTTCAACAAGCTCAATTATCGCGTCAAAGACCTGGCCCATTTCAGATGACACTGCATCGCTCCAACTGCCCCAACTGAATGTATCATCGTGAACACGAATTGAGAGAGGGCTAGCTTCCCCATCCAAATTCCGTTTTGCGATATCCAAAGAGCGTGAGAACTCACCGCTCCCGATGAATGTAGATTCGTGGAAAAAGGTATTTTCAAGCAGGGAAGTAACGCCAAACTCAACCGGATAGAAACGTTGAAGGTTGAACAAAGCATTAGCTGCGGTGAATGCCGTGGGGCGCCGGCTCTCGACGTGGGTTATCGTTGGTGCGTCGACATCATCAGAAATAATCGCCGCAGGCTCGAGAGTTTGCTGGTATTGATCTGTTTCAAGATTGATACGTGTTGGGGTATGTTTTTTCAAGCGCCGTCGAGCTGGGGGCGGTTTCCGGGCTGCTGTTTGGGGTTTTTGATGGGCGGAATTTGGAGCGGGAGGATAATTTGAGGAAGTGGTGATTCCAGGGCCCGTCGATGTAGTATCCGAAAGATATCGATCCAGGGTGAAACTAGGCTTGTAGTTCTGGGGCGCATAATCATTTCCACCTGGGCGGTTTATCGCAGATAGGGAGTTGCTCAGGACTGCCCGAGACAGTCGCGGGCCTCCAGTGGGCCTCGCTGCACTGGTCCCGGCGGGCCGAGGGGCACTCCTTGCAAGCGGTGCTATGCCGCGGTTATTGGGCATGATCCATAAGCTGCCCCGTTTCTCGAGATGTCGCTGAGGGGGTTCAGCCGCGGGGACTGGGCCCGGAGTTGGGTTCGAGGGTGCAGGTGCAGCCTCTGGTGCAGGTGCGACACTCACATCAAGCGGGGCCTCGTCCAATTCCACTGGATGATTTGATGAACCAAATGCATCAGGTGGTTGCTGAAAAGCCTGGCTGGGTATAGGCGTTCTTCCGGTATTAAGCCTCATTCGGGGCGCTCGAGGCACCCGCGGAAGTCGAGGAGCCTGGGTTCCAATCACAGATGAAGCCTTGGTAGACTGTCTGCGAATCCTCGGCCGGGGAGGACCAATCTTTCGCTGGGGAATGGTTCCTCGTTTCCAATCTCGCAAGGACTCATTTGCATCTGCAGTATCATCCCTTGAAGCTAGTTTCAGGAACTTTTGAGTCGGACTCCTCCTACCAGCATCTCGGCGAGATTGGGCTTGCCGTGCAGCGACCCTCAAAAATTGCGGTTGTTCGCCTCGAGACTTCGTAGCGACATCTGGGGCATCCAGGATGCCTATCCTCGGTCGTTGGACGGTCGACGATTTTTTGGTTCTCCGGCCTCCGTACGAAGCGTCTGTCATCCGGGTCTGCCGAGGTCTTTTGGGGTTTCTTTCGCCGGTCAATACACTGGTCTTAGATTTTGGTCTTTTCAAGCTTTTTGCCTTCCGGGGGCCAGTGGGCTTGCGCGAAACTGGAGCGAACATGTAGTCGATTCGATTGTCCTCGAGAATATCGCCATCAGTCGCAAAAGAATCTTGGAGGCCAGTTCGAGTTGACTGTTGGTTCTCATCTCTGATGGGGCCGTTCACGGGGCCACTAGTGCCATCGTCGTCGTCGTCATCATCATCGGAGTCACCGAGATCGAACAAGCCCCTCGATTGTTGTGTTGCGGGTTGCGTTGAGCGATCGCCCCTTCGGACAAGTTTGCGAGCCACTCCTTTTCCATCTGGCCGGTGGAGCGCGGCTTGTCGTTCTTTCTCTCGCTGCGCGAGCTTTTGCTGATCTGCGGCTTTTTTCTGCTCAATTCGCATATGTGATGCAGGGAGCACTCCTCGAATCTGTCGTTGTGCCCGTCGAATCTCCCGTGTCTCAACATCTGAATCATTCTCGTCACTCTGTTCTTCGTCACTCTGTTGGCTATCAGAGGGAATCGACTGGATGCCCCCATCATCACTGTCTTCTGCATCCAAATTCCTCGGCGTTGAATCTCCCGGTGGCGGTGACCAATCACGAGGAAACCGAAAGCCTCCTTCAGCTGCGCGAGGCGTCCTTGAAGCAGAGGATGGTCGACCTGTATGCGGAGGACTGGAAGTCAGGTCAAATACTGACTCAACAGCTCGATCTTCCGTAGCTGGCGCATCATCTCGAATGCCTCGAGGTTTGACCCTTTTGTGCAGTCCGCGATTTCGGTTAGAGGTTGCATGTGACGTTTTCTGACGCTTCACCATTCGAGCATGCCATGGAGCTTGCTCATTATCGTCGTGTTCGCGATCTCCCCTAGGACGATCGTGTCTGATCGGCGGGAGATATTCCTCTGCAGGGGGACTTGACGAGGGTGCTGCGGGATCATAGGAGTCTTGCTCCTGGCTTTCATCCGCAATATGGCGAACGCGGCGATGAATGGGCAGACCCATTCTTTTTTGGTTTTCTTGCCATTGGACCAGATCCAGGGCATAAGGTTGTAGTTGAATCGTTGTACGTTTTCGAAATCTTCTTTGCGTTCCTTGTGGGAGTTCTTGTAACAGTTCTTCTGGGATGTCCACATGAGGATGCACATCACCCAGGTTGGCATCTAGCTGGGATAAAATTGCTTCTCGCGAAGCTGCATGCCCGTCCGTAGGTCTACTGGACTCTGTTACTCTGCTTTCTCTCGCTTTCAGCAAATGCTCGTTGTTGAAAGACGGAGATCCAATGGATGACGGTACGGAAGATAGCGGCGAGTCATCATCCGAGTTGACCTGTGGAGGTACAGATGGGGGAAGCGGTGGATCCTCCGTCTCTTTAGAACGGTTTTCCGCAGAGCTTTTCTTCCTAGTTGGCTCAGGAATCAACATCAATTCGTCAGGCGAGGAGCTTCTGGTCGTGGATTCTTCATACTGATCCCTAGGCTTCGGCTCCTGCAGCTTCGCTGTTGCTTGTGATTGCGTTTGCCGTTGAGCATTTCGGGCTCGCGGCGTAGAGTTATTACTCGAGGGTCTTGATTGAGGTATGCCTTCTTCTTGCGATGATGTGGGAATATCATATATGCTGCCTCCCTTCGCGGGGGAATTGATATGGGTATCAGTAAGCTCGATGCTTTGACGTTTCTTTGTTTTGGTGGCAGAAGTCCGTGTGCCATAGGTTCTACGGCCTCTTCGTTGGGTGGGTGTCGTTTCGTCAAATGCAGTGTTTGCTGGCCTTGTACCTTCGCTTGTGGGCTGTCCAAGGGATTGGCTGGTGGGCGTGGAGACTTTGTCGGCGCTCTTGGCCGGGATTTGGATTTCGAAGTTTGCTTTGCGCGGCGTCCGAGATCTACTCTCTGTATCGGAGAGTGTGACCGAGCCCTCCTCAGTCCGCCGTACGAGTTCCTTCGGCTGGCTGCTCGACCCTTCCTGCGCGGGCAGGTCGATATACTCGAGGCTTCCCAGCTCCGGGGCTTTCGCGGAAGAGCCTTTTTTCGTATCTAGCGAGTCAAAGCCATCTTCCTCGTCCGAATCGGAATCGGGGACATATCCTCGTCGACGCCATGATTCCATTTGCATGCTTGGCGGAGATCGCCCATGTCTCTAGCAAGTCATCGGGCGGATTTCAAGCGATCGAATTGCTCTTGGGGTGATTCTCAGGTGGAAAATCACGAATGATCGAGTATAAAAAGTTCGTAGAGAGTCGGCAAGGTCGTTTGGCAGGGAATTGAAGATCCGACGCGTGCTAAAGAGCAATTTAGCAGACGCGCCGCTAATCAGCGAACTGATAACCGCTCTCCCGCATCACCTCCGAACTTCACCGTCGGACATCGCTCTGCCTCAATCTCTACAATATGAGTCGCAATCTTGTTCCTGCCTTGTTTGCCATCGGTGTTGGTATCTTCACAGGTTTGTCACTGGGGAAACATCTTCTTGCGATGACCGGTCTCTGACTCCGAAATTTTCGATCTACAGGCTACTACACCTTCAACCCGACATTCGCACAGCTTCAGTACGAGAAAGACCAGGCTCGCAACCCCTCAGCATCTTCCGGTCCCTCTACCATCAAGCCTAACGCCTATTCTTCCGCCCCGGCAAGCTCTGAGCAAGACGGCAAGTCGTCACCTTAGTGGCCATGGCGTTGCTCTACAAGTCGTGCTCTAAAGATTAAAACGGGACAATCAGTGTAGTATCCTTGATCCTCAGTTCCGCACTCGAGATGACAATCTCCCAAGGGCTGTCTGCGCCGCTGGTCCGGCCTCGAGAATCCACTTGAACACTCTGGGGAACATGGTCTATGGGGGTTTGGAATGCCCCAATCAAGAATACTACACATGGGCAGAATGCTATCCATGTCCTTGCGTGTGAACCACTGTTCTCGTGGCCTGATGCTTGAGACTCTATTTCTAGCCATTGAACCATGATACCCACGATCGCTCTGGGACCTTGTACAATATCTGAGCCCTTGGGATAGCCCATGTATTAGACTTTTATGCTTAAAAACCCGATATACCTCCAAACGCCATATACAGCGCAAATAAACCTAGTGCCTGGGGAATGGAATGATCCCAGTCCATTTCCATTCCCGAAGAACTCCAAAAAAGCGCCGTTTCAGGATACCCAGTGCCTCTATCAAAGCTCTTCCACCATCTTTGCCGCCACAGGTGCGCCAAACGTACGTCCAGAGGGGGTACCCAGCCATTCCTCTGGGACATTCACCCTGCAGCCATTTGCGCCGCTGGTCCAGCGCACCAGGGTAGGGTCAGCCTTCTCGGGTTCCGTGGCTTCTTGACCAGGAGTGCCATCGCCGGCCTCATTAGCTGCAGCTCGACCGCGCCGCTTTGGGGCTTGCTTCTTAAGAAGACGGTTGATCGTGTCCATCTGATTGAAATTAGTGAGACGTCCTCGATGTAGTTCCACAGTTCATACCTTTTCCTCTTCATTTCGTTTTTCACTCAGGTTCTTTCTTCGACGAGCCATCTCTGCGCGACGCATCTGGCGCTCTTCCGCGGTCAAATGCTTCTTGACTTGAGGCTCTATTGGCTTGTCAGCTTTGGCTCTCCACGCTCCATGGGCGGAATGATCTATTTACCCATAGGAAGCTGCAGGAAATCGTTTCCAAGATTTCCTCTCTGGCGCTTTGTCGTTTTCCCACCATGCATGGCAAATGCATCGCTATCCATGTCGCCGTCCAGTTCTTCGTCATCGAGATCGTCAAGTTCATCAACATTGACATCGGCGATTGCAAGCTCATCTTGGTCATCCATCTCGCCCTCAGCATCTTCATCCGTGTCAGAGATGGGCTCTTCCTCTTCATCTTCTTCTTCCTCTTCGTCCTCTTCCATCTCCATCTCCTTAGCCTCCACGCTCCTGGCTGGCTTTGCGCGAGTCGGTGCAACCTTGCCGCGCCTGACGGCTGGCTGAGGCGGGGTGTCATCCATATCAATGTCACCGTCAGCGTCGGCATCGGCATCTTCGTCGGCATCAAGAACCTCATCGTCATCGACTTCGTCTTCTTCTTGGTCGTCGATTTCATCATCGTCGCTTGATTCGACTTCTACGACCTTCTTTCGGTTCCGACTGGAGCGGGGTCCTGACACAATAGGATCTTCCCGAAAAACATTGACCGACCTCCGCGCCGCGGAGCGGCCAGAGCCCGTAGCTTCGCGCAATTTATTTGAGGGCATTTTGACAGTCAAACGTAAAGATCTGGGCTCCACTGATTTCAATGGCGATCGAGAAACCGATACTGATGCAAATGCAGATGCAGCGGCACGGGTTCTTCTCGTAGATCTGGTTCTCGTATTAGCCTCGAGTCCTGGCGGATCGTGAGTCCCTCGCGATCGGTTAGATCGACGTAGCGCCATGGTTCCCGGATGCAGCTGAGTTGAGGAAGACAACAGGTGAGTGGCAGTAGAGGGGAAGAAGAGATGGCTGTCCCCCGCCCAATCACCTCAACGGCGTGCAGCGGAGTTGCAAACCGGGAAGGCACAGGTTCTTGTATGAGACGCCACGGGGATGCGAACAAAGCGCAGGTTACAGGGGCATCTGGCCTCTCCAGCTCGGGACATATTGCAAGCGATACATCCAGGAATACATGGCCGTAGTCAAGGGGGGGCATCACTCACAAGTACCTTTTTAGTCTAAAGTTTCGGATTCTCCTGCAGTCGACAGTTCGACGAAGTACAGCACTACGCGGTTCATTCTGCCGGGCGGTCTCATCTAGGGATATCAATTTGCTGTTTATTGGGTCTACCGTCAACTTCAATAGATTCATTGGGATATTGCATGGGGATGAATAGCTGCCCAGAGTAGAGTAGTAGATTCTGGGCTGAGGTGATTCGTCTGACATTCAGACTGGGGGGGTATGGCCACTTCTCCATTGTGCTATGCATACTGAATGAAACAGGCCATCAATACCAACTATCCAACAATCAATTGCTATGATTATAAGTGTCATATTATGGAGTATCTATTACCTTCAATGCAGCTCAAGAGGTCAATGCAACGTTAAGAAGTCGAAGTTTACAGATCTCCGAGTGATGCCTCAGGTGTCTAGATGCAACAGCCGAGGTCGGGCTCACATGGTCAGTCCGGGGAAGGTTACCTCTTCCCTCTCAGCACATACATCTCTATTACCTGTGCTCTGGGTATATCCCAATTCTCCACCATGTCTGACGATAATTCCAAGTCAGCATCCATCCCAGCCTGGCAGAAGGCCAAAACCGATGAGTCGCCATCGCCGAGCTCCGACGATGCGCCCGCAACTACAACACCAACACCCCGACAAACCCTCTTAGACCAAGCATCCAAATTCCTAGAGGACGAATCAATTCGGGATGCCCCCGAGGATCGCAAGATTGCATTCCTCGAGTCAAAAGGTCTCAACACAGAAGATATTCAACAAGTGCTCGGCGTCCCCCGAAACGCGGAGGCGAGCTCAACCGCATCCGCAACTCCAACCGAAGCCAAACCTGAGCCTGAGCCTACTCCAGTCCAAGAGAGCACTCCTCCAGTGACCGCTTCACCAGTAACCAATACACCGCCACAGCAACGCTCTGCGCCCACACCAGCGCCCAGCGCACGCGATGTTCCCCCAATAATCACCTACCCGGAGTTCCTCTTCGAGCAATCCAAGCCGCCACCTCTAGTCACGATGCAGAACCTTATGTACACACTCTATGGCGCAGTTGGTCTCGGGGCGAGTCTGTACGGAGCCAGCGAATATATCGTGAAACCCATGCTAGCAAGCCTGACGAGCGCCCGGCACGAGTTAGCCAGCACAGCACAGGATAATCTCCAAAAGCTGAACAACAAGCTTGAACAGACAGTTTCTGTAGTTCCGCCGCAGCTCACAGCGCGCAAGCCATACGAGTCCGATACGGACTCCGTCACGTCAGATCCAACGGAGCTCTTTCATCGGGATATGGCGACGCAGACTAGCCCCGAGCATACTTTGCCGGCTGGTGTGGTGAACTCGGCCGATGTAGTTACGCCGACTACAAAGGTCGATGAACATGTCAGTCGCTTTGAGTCGATTACCTCCCAGTTGCGTGGGATTGTCGACTCTGAGAAGGATGCCAGTGCGTTGGATGATACTATGCGCACTGGATTGACGGAGTTGCACCATTACTGTGATACCTTGATCTATAGTGCGCCGGCCTACTCTGCTGGGTCGACTTATGGAGTGTGGAACTCGAATACTGGGGCCAATGACAATTCTGGATTACGGAAGGGGGAGGATGAGGCAATTGCTGGATTCCGTGCGGACATCAGAGGTGTCAAGGGTGCGTTACTGAGCGCTCGGAATTTCCCTACTAGCCGGGGAGGAAGAATTGGCGGACTCCCAGTTGGGAGACGGTGATGGATGAGGTTCTGAAATGGCATCCTGTAAATATCAGCTATGAGTTGCTGGTCCAACTTCAATGTTGCACTTGACTGCCAGGTGTACGGAGTAACCTTCGAACCTTCCATGTTGGACTCCAGCCTAAGAATATATTTCTCCAGCTTGCAGTTAGAGTCTGATGTACTAGGTTTTAAATACCCTTGGAACCTTAGAAAGACCTCGGATACAACCTTGGAAACGTCGAGCTCGTAGCAAGCTGTGCATATCTTCATTAGATTCATGTCTATTTGGCAGTCTATTTTGGAACCTCGTGCAGCACACACCAAATGTAAGAACATTGGACATTTTTGCTTTGCTCATCAACAGACCTAGCCCAGGGGATTCCCGGGATAGAACAGAACAGAAAAAAGATACGCAAGACATTAAGTATAACATGGACAAGAACAAAATTCGGACAACGCTGAAGGATATGGAACAAAAGGCTAGACGCAGGGATATGAAGATCCCCGGAGCCTCCATTCCTCAACTTGAGTAGAAAGGTGTCATTTATGGGGTAGCACGGCTCATGCTGATAAGACGCTTGACACCAACCTGCAAATAAATCAGTATATTTATGCAGCACCGAACAGCAGAAATGACTTACCATCCAGTTACCACATTCATCGTTCTGGTTGGTCATGATCGCGACGTGAATAGAAGTAGCGGTAGCATAATCACGGGCTTGAATAGCGCGGGCCAAGTTTGCCATATCCTCGACAGTGTTGGGCTTGAGCAGATCCTCGTTGTTCAGGTGATCGAAGAGAATGTTCAGGCGGCGCTCGGCATCATCAACCTGTTGCTTGAAAGCCGCAGGAGCTCGGCCCTTGACGCGTTCCATGTCCGCTGAGAGAATTTCGAAGACAGGTTGAGCGTTAGCAGGGATGTGGGAACGGTCACCGGGGGCTGAGTGGTAAGTTAGTAATAAGATCATTCATAGCTAATGGCTGAAAGCTTACGATATTTGGGGGCAGCAGGGGGTGGCCTCTGCGACTGAGCCGTGCCAGGTCGGGATCCTTGTGGAGGAGGAGCGACAGCTTGAGGAGCCATGGGTGGAGGCTGAGTGGCGATGGGCGTGGTGGGTGCATACGGGTTCACCGGGGGCTGGGACATCGCCTGCGGCGCATAGGGTGAGGCAGCCGCTGGGGGAGGAGGAGGCACGGGTCCACGGGATTGAAGCTGAGGGTTCGCGGCGGCCTGTGCTGCCGGGCTCGGGGTATACCGGTTTGTGGGAGGGGGGATGCTAGGAGGAGCGTTGTAGGGCGAAGCTCCTCTGGGGATGGACGCCGGAGGTGCCATGTTCCCTGAACCCACAGGCGGCGACTGAGTAAGTGACGCGTAGGGGTTGGCTGGTGGTGGGGAAGGACCAGGGATGTTAGCCCCAGCTGGGCTACCAGATGCCGGCGACATCATGCGTGGAGGAGGCACGCTACCCGCCTTGGGTGGGGGAGGCACGGAGGGAGCTCGGGGGGCACCAACGGGGGGAGGCCCTTGTGGTAGCGTCGGCGATTGGTTAGGGAAGGGAGAAGCAATGGGCCCGGTCGCGGCAGCAGGGGTGGAGCGACGAGGCGCGGGCGCCTTGGCAAAGCCTTCTGGCAGATCATTCCAGGCTGGCAGACCGGTGGCTGTGGTGTAGGTCGTGATAGGGTTGGCGGGCGATTGAGTACCAGACGCACGAGGAGGAGGAGGTACACCAGCGCCAGCTGGCTGTCCGCCGAAGGCAGAAGGCGGGCCATAGTTGGGGGCCCTCATACCCTGAGTTGGCTGGTACCCAGTTGTCGGAGCGTAAGGTCCTGCGCTGGAAAGGGCAGCATATGGGCTGGCGGATTGGGCACTGGCCTGAGGAGCGTAGGGGTTGGCCTGCGCGGGTGCAACAGGCGCAGGAGGTGCGAAAGCATTGGGAGGAGCAACGGGGTTCGCAGCGGGTGCCGGAGCAAATGCCGATTGCGGCTGGTACAGATTGGGTTGCTGCGGGAGGGGCTTGTAGGCACTCTTGGCTGCTGCTGCGGCAGCAGGCTGCACCTTCTGGGGTACCTGGCGGGTGGCCAGCTTGATGCGGTTGCGAGCCAACTCAGCCTCGGGATGCTTCTCGGGCACAAGGTCAAGGTACTTCTGAGCGATTTGCAGGCGTCCATGGCCTGCAACAACATCGGCGTACTCGATGTACTTATCATACAGGACGCTCAGGCTCCAGTCCGAGTCCTTAGTGCGTTCGTTATCCTGGAACTTGGTGACTTGACGGAAGATGGTAACCTTCTCGATCAAGCCCTGCAGAGCACGGACATGAACGGAGAATGAAGAGTTGTCGGTCTTGTTTTCGATTCCCTTCTGCTCGTTCTCGCGGAGTTCCTCGACCCAGATTGCAACCACCTTCTCAAGTTTGGAGCCAGCCAGGAAACAGAAAGAAGCATCCTTGCGGGCGCTCTTGTCATCACTAGACTGGATTTCCTCTTGCAGACGGTCTCCAAGAGCATCACAGAGGTCGGGGAATTCCTTCTCGTCAGCGAACGTGCACAACGCTGCCATGACTTCCTTCCAGTTAGACAAGTCGGCGTTATGGACCACGTCCCAGAGGTTCTTGCCGACAATCGAAGCCAGTAGACGCATGTAGTTCGGACCGCCGGACTGCTTGGAGAAATAGTATGCCTGGGCCTTCTCAACGCACTTAGGACCACCGCAGATAGCGATCATGAAGGCATCAGCCATCTTGTCCTCGCGGATAGCAACCTCCAGGGCCTTCTCAAACTCACCGAGAAGCAAGGAGCGAGTGATTTGCTGCTCGGCTTCGGTCTCTGAGCCATTGAAGATGTGGAATGGGTTGTTGTTTTGAGCGCCCTTGGAAGCAGCGAGCTCTGACAAGAAGCTATCGCCTTCAGGGTTAGGGTCAAACATGGATTGCAGACGCTTGTGCTTCTTGGCACCAGCCGGCTTGGCAGCTACAGCAGCAGGCTCCTCGTCCTCCTTCTTGTCCAATCCAAGCTTGGAAAGGCTGTCGGCAGCTTCGTCGGCCTGGTCAGCGAAACCTAAGTATTCCACCAAGTCCTTGCGAGGGTTCTGGGAGATTAAAGCCTGCATAACCTTCCAGTCTGCCTTCTCGGCCTCGCTGGTAGCATCCGAGGCTCTCGTCTCACACAGAGTTCGAATATCGCCTTCCTTCAAAGCGGTCTCGAAGCTCTCCGTAGCATTGCCAACAGTCTCGTCAACCTCGAAAGGCGTGATCTGAATTTTTGATACGCGGGAGTCCTTGGCAGTGCCAAAGGAGACCACCCGGCCTCCAAACCCGAAGGTGACACCACAAGGCCGCTCAAGCCAGCGAGGGGCCTTGGGGAGGGAGAACTTCGATACCTGAGGTTGAGTCTGAGCCTTGGCAAAGAAGTCTTCACCATCCAGGGACTGGTTGTGATCGGCGATGGCCTGAGAGTTATCGGTCTTTGTGTTCTGCAGAGTCTGGATACAGATCTTTCCGTCAAAGGATGCGGTGGCGAAGAAGTTGGGGTTGTGGGGGTTCCAGCGGGTCTGGAAAGTCCAGTTGGTGACAACGGGGAACTCGCCATAAGCTTGACCAGTTTGAGGGTTCCAGCAGATGTTGCGATTGTCTTTACCGGATGACAAGAGAAGATCCGGGTCGTGGTCACACCATGAAAGTGAAAGCACACCGGACTCGTGGCCTGCCAATACCCGCTCGGGCTCGTGGGAGTTGCGGAGATCCCAAACATAAAGGACCGGGTCTGACTCGAGGGGTGTAGAGGTAATGAGCTTCGTGGGCCTCGCGGGGTCCCATGCCACTGCGCTGACGGCTTTGCGACCCTTGTTGTTTAGGGTCAGGCTCTCCTTCTTCGTCTTGACATCCCAGACCGTCACGAATCCAGCGCTGCTACCGGTAACCAGAATGTGAGGAACCTTCTTGTTCCAGGCCAAGCAGTCAATGTCATCTGTGCGAGCCGCGTTGTTGCCCAATCGATAGGGGTTCTCGATGTCATTCAGATCCCAGATAAAAAGCTGGAATGGTTTTAGCCAAAATGTCCATCATTGGCCTAGAATGTGTTTCCTACCTCTCCCTTTGCGCCACTGGTTGCCAACAGATTCGGGTGTTTGGGGTTGAATTGGAGTGCCTTGATGGCACCGCTGTGCTTGGTGGTTCTTGAGATCAGAGCATCACTGAGGATAATCGGTCAGCGCAAAATTTCCTCGGCATTATTCCGCACTTTGGAGATTGTATATACCTAGATCCAGCGAGAAGCTTATCGGCATCCCACAAGTCCAAGGAGCCGTTCTCCAGACCACCCGCAATCACGCCCCGTTGGTTATCTTCGGACGTAGTCCATGCCAAGTCGTTGAAACTGATAAGATCGTCGAGTCAGTATGCGAACAAGCGGCCCTGTTTCCGACGTCTCAACTCACCCGGAGTCTGTGTCAATCTTAGCTAGAGGGCGGAGCTCTTCACTCGCATCTGCGCGGTCAAGGCCGAGATCCCAAAGTTCAAGACATGTCTTGTTGGAGAAATCGGCATCAACGGCTCCAGCGCGGGTTCCGGTGGCGATCAATGGCGACGCGGCGCCGGGGGACCAGGCGAAGGTGGCCGTCCTTGGGATTTCCCTCAGACGCACCATGATGATGGTAGGGGAGGTATGTTTCGGTGAAGATCGAGGCCAATGGTGTTAAGAGGAATGAATCATCCAGAGAACAAAATGACAGTAACAAAGAGAAAGGAGAGGAATCAAGAACCACCCCCCTGTGAATTATTAGTGATGGGGTGATGCTCTAGATGTTCCAAGTATAGCAGTAAACCAAGTGGCCTCCTGGACTTGGAGGGACCGGGGAACTCGCGCTAAACTATTTTGGGACTCGCCAAAACACTCCGAGGCTTGAGTCGCACGTGATATCATTCTTCCGATCTGGGCGGTGATAGCAGTCTACAGCTCGGATTTAACTACTTGAGCTAGAGAGCCCGCTAAATCTTGCACATCACTGTTCTACCAGTCTCATACCGCCTCCACATCGGTCGAGGTACTTTCTCTCTGCGGAAATCGAGCCAGCCCTCTACTACACATCATGAGTGATACAACACGATTGAAGAGCACCGTCTACGTGGGTGGTCTTGATCAGGGTGTAACCGCGCATACCCTTGCGGAGGCATTTGTTCCATTTGGTGAAGTGGTCGACATCTCACTGCCCAAGCCGGAGCAGCCCAACTCAAACGAGTCTCATCGCGGATTCGGATATGTGGAATTTGATCTACCACAAGACGCCAAAGAGGCAATCGACAACATGGATGGCAGCGAGATCTACGGGCGCACAATCAAAGTCGCCGCCGCAAAGCCACAGAAGGACTCCAACGAAGGACTGGGTAGCAAAACTGCGATTTGGGAACAGGTTCGTTTAACCCAACTTCAATATGTCTGGTGTGATTTCCGACTAACCACGCCTTTTACAGGAGGGCTATTTGGCCAAGCATGCCGTCAGTGAGGAGGATCGGGAGGCCACAGAAAGCGCCCAGGCTGCGAGCGCATCTGCTCAAGACTCTATGCAGGGCTTGACAGAGCGAGATGTTGCCGGGCCCAAGCCTGAGTGAAGCATGGCTACAGCTACAATTTACGATAGCTACGACGAAAATGACAAACCAAAAGCAGAAGTCCAATGCGACAGCACAATTTGCCAATTGGACGAAGATACATGTCCGCGAAGCCGGAGTATATACATGAGCTCCGACGGGAAGCTCGTCCGCCTTTTTTGCTCTTCATTGACTATTCGCAAAGTGCACTCAACGGGTTAAATTCTCTTAATCAACAGTACAAGCGGAAACGATCCAAAATCGCGAGTCTCATTCTGGAACCTCAAGGAAAGATGGTGGTACATTTAGTGCTCACGGCTCTCGGGGCTGTTGCGGGAAAGGCGCAGGGTCTTGTCGGTCATGATCTTGTTGGTAGCAGAGTAGATACCAGCACAGATGGCGACACTGCAATATCAAAATTAGCATCGTGGAAATTAGGTCGGTTGCGAGCACGCGGTAGGGGCAAAAATTTCGGGCAGGTGCTCCGGGATCGAGCGGCAGAGTTTCAATGGGCAGACATACCCGCAGACGAAGACTAGAGAAAGAAGCAAACGTTAGATCAATTTCCGAGTCGCAAGCACGTAAAGGTGGTACATACAGATGGGGAACAGCTCGGGGGGAACACGCTTGATCTGGCGCAGACGCTGGGAGATAGTGTGGGCTGTAGTCGCAGAGTTAGTTCAATTGCAGTCCACATAGAGTTATGAGCCGTCCGAATCCATGAACCATGGGATCTGGGGATCATGGAAATGCATACCGCTATGGGGCTCCTTCTGTAGACAGGAGTTAGTGACTGATCGTATGATCGCAGGATAGCCGAGGGAATCAACATACGGGGGCAGGGAAGGCAAAAGACCGAGTGGCCTGCATGCGCATGATCCGAGTGGCATACATGGTGGAGATCTCTGGGGTTCAACCTTGAAGTTCAAGAAGGAAGAGTGGGATAGAGGATGAGGTTGGACAAGCAGCGTTCCAACAACGTGACTGGCTCGGGTGTAAAAGCGAGCCTGTGAGTGGCCCTCGCTTGACCGCCCGCGGTCATACCCGGCACTTTACAGCTTCAATCACCCAACGTCGCTCCCGGCTCACCTTCTCCCCCCCTCTCACCACTCCACTCCAATTCTTTCTTTGGTTGTTTCCCCCAGAAACTACACCTCGCAAAAATGGGTGCCATTCCGGAAGCTGACCCCGATGAGGTTCTCGAGACCAAGCCCTTCAAGTTCGTGACTGGTAAGTTCACTCCTCTCTCGCGGGAAAACCAGGACCTAGAGTCCCAAGTTGAAGTCAATGGCTAATTGAATCGCAGCTGGTGCGTATCTTCTCTCTCGTCGTTTTAATGTCGCTATCGCCGCATTCGCATGGAACGATGTCCCCCAAACGCTTGGAGCATGGTGAAATTGACAATTTTCGATTGAATCGCAGGCTACGACGCTCGTTTCCCTCAGCAGAACCAGTACGTGATCATCACTGCGACTCGCCGCTGTGTAATTTCACGCTGACCCTCGATAGGACCAAGCACTGCTGGCAAAACTATGTCGACTACTACAAGTGCACCACTGCCAAGGGCGAGGACTTCCGCCCCTGCAAGCAGGTAATTTCGAATCCGACCCGCCCATGCTATACAATAGCATCTAACGGCTGAAATACAGTTCTACCACTCCTTCCGCGCTCTGTGCCCCAAGGCCTGGACCGACCGCTGGGATGGTCAGCGCGGTACGCATATCCCTCCCCTGGGTCTCGGATCATGAATACTAATATGCATTTCCAGAGGCTGGCAACTTCCCTGCCCACCTTGACAAATAGATGATCAGTTGGTCTCATGGGTTGGTCAGTTGAACCGCGTCAATTTTTTATATGTATCGACAATTCCAATGTACTCTACTGGGTCACGCGAGGATACAGGCTCTCTCCCTCTTCCGTTGGGCATTCTTCCCATGTAAAGCAGGAAAGGAAAACCATAGACTCGTCGTATTGCAAAGTCATATTTGTTCGCTTGCGCTTTTTTGAATGATTCCGAGTGCTGAAAGTTCCCTGTTTTGCTCAGTAGATATTCAAGATCACGGATCATACTAATCTTCTTCCAGATGATATAGAAGGATGCTGTGTCCTCGCGGAATTGTACTGAATTCGATTCAGCCTCTATCTAATTCTATATCGTCCCGGATTCTGGGGACAATGTATCATCTAGCACATTATACAGAACCATATGCCCATCAAGATATACGCCACGGCGTTTAGCCACCGGCGGAATCTCAAATGGAGGAACCTCCCAAAGAATGCAAGCTATATACAAAGGGGAAACTTTAAAAGTCCCAAAAAGCACCAACCAAGCGAGGAAATGCCAACCAAATTGGCAGGAAGTTGTATGTGCCGAAGATGTATCGGGATCTGTAAACGGTGTGAGATGGAAATTTTTGTTGAAAAAGAGAAAATGCCACTCTGTGGATTTAAATGCCCTTCAGCTTGCGGTAGAGCTTCTTGTGCTCTTCGAGGAACAAGAAAGTGGCAATGGTATGAGGACCCAAGCGAATGAAGCTAGGGACCCAGCCGCGGAAAGTCCAGCCAAGGCCCTCCTTGCGACAAATGTCGCGAAGGAGACTCACGATGCTCTGGCCACCACCCTCGGTGTGGGATGCGCTCATGATGCGCGTCTTGATCACATCAACGGGGCTGCACACAGTGGTAGCCACGAAGCCAGCCATGAAGGAAGCAGTGAAGTGCGTGCCCAGGTTGTCGGCCATACCGGCCTTCTCAATGCACATGCGCTTGAATGTATCGTAAGAAGCAAGCTGCGAGGCAGTCATGAGAATAGCACGGGTGGAGTTAGGCCACACGCCACGGAAGAGAGAGCTGAAACCCTCGGTCTTGGTCATCTGCACCAGGCCGTGGAATGCATGACGATAGTTGCGGCGCTGAGCCGGGGGAAGTGCGGCGTCCGACTGCATGCGCACGTTCATCACGTCCGCAGGGTTACCTGCGATACCGCCAATGAAGCCCGAGGCGGAGGCCATGCCGATCAAGGTGAGGAGACTCGGTGAGCCAGTTGGGGAGTCTGCGGTGGGTTTCGCAAAGTGCGATTTTAATTCCTCGTAGATGCCGAATCGCGTCGTCGAGTATGTAATTTGTCGTAGCATTGCGGCTGACAGCTGTATTCCGATATCACTGCGTTAGCCACTTGCGTCTTTGCCAACATTCTGGAGTGTTTTGGGTGGCACGTACACCGCTGTATAGACCCGTGAAGCCAGTGTTCTTGACGATATGCGCGAACGTTCCGACCATCGTCCGCGGGCCATCAGGCGCGCGTGTCTGCAGACGAACCTATATGCGACGAATATCAGCGATCCCGATCGTGGGCAAGGTCCGACGCCTCGGGCGAACGGCAGGGACTCGTAATTACCTTGACTGCAGGGCGCGAGGTTAGCATACCATCCCAACAGACTCAGCGGACAGAGCACCACATACCTAGATCCAAGGGGTGCGTTACGCCCGCAGCAAAGCATGAGGCCGACCCTCCAAACCAAAACGGGTAATGCACCTGCTTCGGTTTTGAAGCAGGAAGAGCAGGCTGTGCAGGAGCGACCAGCGTCTTGCCGTCTGCCAATTTGGTGTCTGCCATCTTGTATATAACAAGGGCTCTGTACAGAGGGGAGAGTGTCGAGAGGGTTCCTTTTTTTTTGTGACTTTTGACGTAATTTTGGCCTCCGAATAATAAGTGAAATACGGAGACAAATCAAACCTCCGAACCCTCAGCCGAAATGGGCCCTGCAGCCAATCACGGTGTATTCCTCAGTGGGGGCCATTCAGTTACACCAATCACGGTCTCGGTTTTGCGGTCTCAAGGGCCCTGGCGACAACGCTGTAAGGGGACCCGGTGCCTCTTCGCTATGCTCGGTCTTTAGATTAAACGCCGAATCCTCGTTCGCAAAGGAGTCAATACCTAGCTTTGGAGACAGAGTCCGGCTATGCGGACTCGGAGGTTCGGCGATTTGGCGATTTGGCGGTTGCGGCGCATTACCGAGGGAGATCAGATATGCGATAGCGCATAAAGGCGATTGTCATCAGGTGGGGTCTCCAGGGCTCCAGGGCTGGAACTCCCAGTCTTGAAGGTCTCGAGTGTGTTGTTCTGACATCAGGTCTTCGCTACATCTTCTTTGACTGCCTGCATACTACCTAGGTAGGTAGGTAATGCTCAAGTCTGAACCTCGGAAGCCATACCGAGGTCAAATTTGGTGCTTGGCATGTCATCCAAGGTTCACACTGGGCACGATATTTTGGCAGCTCAATTTTGCTTAGCAACTAGTCGCTTTCGGTGATGTGATATTTCTTGCTGATCGCCTTCGTCAGCTGATTACTTCCAAGGTTTATACAAAATAATCGTAGAAAGACCAATCCGTAGGTACCGGGAAGGCCATGGTGCACCTGGACATTTACTGGTCCAGCGATATATTCGCGGGACGGAGCCGCCTCCGCGGCCACTACGGACCACAACTAGGTACCTACCAAGAGCGAGAAAAGGAAGAACTTCAGATCGACTGTACATTTAATTCTTCGAACTTGATCCATATATATCTGAAAGCATCATGGATAACGTCCGTGGGGAAGTACTCGCCACAAGAACAATAGGCCTGTGTACTTCGGGGACTAATTTTGCCGGCCCGAACTCATGTTGATAGAGCTGATCGCAGACAACGGGCCCACCACTCAACCTCACATCAATCATGCGATTGCCAGCTACGAGCCGAGCACTGCGCGCAAGCAGTGGTCGTTGGTCAATTGCCGCTCGACCAACCATCATCCCGCGCTCAATTCCAATCCCATCGAGGCCGGCCCTCTCCCTCCGAGAATGGAGCTCAACCACAATCCGCCGTATCCCATCCACGGCATCTCCCCAGAAAACTCAACAATCGACCCTCAAGATCGAGAATGAGACCTACAAAACAGACGAATGGACCAACACCCCCGACACAATCCTGTCTCACGTCGGCCGCCGTCTCTACCTGGACGAAAACCACCCTCTCGCCATAACCCGCAAGCTCATTGAAAGCCAATTCGCCGGTCCCGAATTCGGCAATTACTCCGAGAAGAACCCCGTCGTGTCAACAAAAAACAACTTCGATGTCCTGGGCTTCCCAGAGGATCACCCGGGCCGCAGTCGCACGGATACATACTACGTGAACGACAAGACGGTGCTGCGCACCCACACCAGTGCGCATCAGCGCGCGTACTTCCAGCAAATCGCCCGGAATGAGCAGACACGTCCCGACGAAGTGGGATACACCATTATCGCGGATGTCTACCGCCGCGACGCCATCGACCGCAGCCATTACCCCGTTTTCCATCAAATGGAGGGCGCGATGTTGTGGAAGCGGCCGGACAACAATCCTCTTGCCGCGTCAAAGGAAACGGCCGCTAAGATCATGACCGATCTACAGAAGATTCCGAGCCATGACGTTGTCGTGGAAGATCCCAACCCGACAATCCATGACCAGCGCAACCCACTGCAGGATAAGCACCACAGTGCCGAGGAGGTTGAGGCCGTGGCTGCGCACTTGAAGCGCTCCCTCGAGCGTATGGTTATCAAGATCTTCACCGAAGCGAGCAAGGCTGCTAGCAATGGTGGTGCTGAGGTGGAACCTTTGAAGGTTCGCTGGATCGAGGCTTATTTCCCTTTCACTAGCCCGTCGTGGGAACTCGAGGTTTTCTGGCAGGGTGACTGGCTTGAGATCCTGGGTTGTGGTGTGATCAAGCAGGATCTGCTGATCAATTCGGACGTTCCGAATCGAATCGGATGGGCGTTTGGTCTTGGTCTCGAGCGTATTGGCATGCTTCTTTTCAATATCCCGGACATCAGACTATTCTGGTCTCGGGACGAGCGGTTCTTGTCGCAGTTCCGCGCGGGCGAGATCACGCGGTTCGAGCCTTTCTCGAAGCATCCGGCGTGCTACAAGGATGTTGCATTCTGGTTGCCTCCTGCTGCTGTGACGGGCGGTAGCGCTGCTGGCGGGGCGGTGCCATTCCATGAGAACGATGTTATGGAGATTGTTCGTGGAATCGGTGGAGATCTTGTTGAGGATGTCACTCTCATTGACGAGTTCACGCACCCCAAGACTGCACGTAAGAGCATGTGCTACCGCATCAACTACCGTAGCTTGGAGCGAACTTTGACCAATGAGGAGTCCAATGAGTTGAATTTCAAGGTTCGGGAGAAGTTGGTTGAAGAGCTCGGTGTTGAGTTGAGGTAAGGTAAGGATTGCACATATTTTGTACTATAGTGTTACCATTAGGGAATTTGTAAGATAAGGCATTCCTCTCAACAGTTCTAGATTTTGACTCGAGATCTCGAGCTTAAGCAGGCGTGACGATATTAGGATATAGTATTACCGCAGAATCAAGGTCGGGCAGTTGGAGGCAGTGGCAGTGGCCCCAAGGTGTTGTATTGTACAGATGGAGAGGTGAGAGTTATCAGGGTGTGTAGGCACAGACGTCACGAAACAAGTGAAAAGTACACCAAACAGACGAGACAATCCATGCGCCGCCAGAGATATGCAACAGACATGTCGTATCATACAGCCGAATTCAAGAGACAAACATAGCAAGAAAGAGACATTTTGCCGGGTCTAGAAGCCAGCCACATCCGAGCACAAAACCCAATCATGATCGTGAGGGATGATATATGGTACAGAGAAGAAAATGAGTTAAAAGAACATAGGGAGGATTGGAGGATTGGAGGATCATAAGGAATCGGAGGAATTGTCGTTGACAATTTAGGCGTTCTTGACGACACCGACCTTGGCAGCCTGTTGAGGAGTTAATGAAAGTTCTTGGCTGAAGCACAAAATCTCGAAGAATGACTTACCCGCAGAACACGGCCGTTAAGGCGGAAACCCTTGCTCTGGACGTACATAACATCACCGTCCTCGTGCTGGGGGGAAGGAGCCATGAAAGTGGCTTCCATGAGGTTGGCATCGAACTTCTGGGCCTTGCCCTCGACGAGCTCGGCGGGGTCGAAGCGCTCGAGGCCGTGCTTCTCAAGGGTGCTGAGGAGAATGCGCTGGGTCATCTCAAGACCCTCGACAAGCTCGTGGAGAGACTTGTTCTCCTCGGTCTTGGGGGCAGACAGCTGGTCCTTGGGCACAGCCAGGAGCGCACGGTCAAGGTTGTCAATGCTGTCAAGGAGATCCTTGGAGAAGCCCTGGATAGCGAACTTGCGAGCAGCATCCATGTCGCGCTTGTTGCGCTCGATCTGGTTGCGGGACTCGGCGACTTGACGAAGGTACTTGTCCTAAATAGCAGCGCGAGATTAGTTGTTGTTTGGCGCCAAGCCGGTAGCTTGAGGACACGGGGTAACTCGGTACCTTCAATTCAATGACTTCGCGCTCCTTGGCCTCGAGCTTCTTGGCGTCGGTGTTCTCAGCCTCGGCCTCAGCATTCTCACCTTCCTTGGTCTCCTTCTCCGTGGAGAAGAAGCGGGAAGTCTGGGGCGCGAATGGCCGGAGAGCGGGCAGACGCTGTTGTGTTGTCCGTCGCAGCGCCAGCGATGCGGTGGATGGGGAGGTGGGGAGGATGGAGCGGGCGGCCTGAGCCTGTCTAAGGATGGTGCGTTGGAACATTATGAATAATTAGATGTGAATTGGAGATGGAGAAAGCAGCGGAAACGGCAGGTATTCGGACAAAATTCATCGGGTATACCACACCGCCCAAGGAACAACGCTGCGCCGAGCGGAGCTTGGCGGATCCATCTTCTCGCGCCTTCTATCTGATGTGACTTGATCGACTTCCAAGGTTATGAGCAGGAACACCTACCTAGGTAGTGTGTGACCATTATCAGCATGTGAATTCGGATCATAGATGCTGCTACTCATCGTATCGCTGAATCAGGTACACCATTGGACCTCTGGAATAGAGAGCCCTAGGAGAGTGGTCATAGTCTACCGTGGATTGCGATGCTTCTAGCATGCGAGAATGATCTCTCCAAGATGAGCCTCGGAGGACTACTAGGTAATGACCAAAAAGATTCACCACTTGGACCGCCTCAATCAAACTGCCTCATGGGTAAAAAAGTGAAGTATATACATCAAGCATGAATGGAAATCAACAACCAATTCCGGGGTTCTTTTGACCACCAACCAAGCTCCAGAACAAAAGGCATAGTATCATCGACTACATACCGACATCATACACTGGCAATGGCAGCGAGCCTATCAGCGCTGGCCCTCGCTGCTGCCTTTCCAAGTGGAACAAAGAGATCATATCCGTGAGGAAGAGCTGGATAAAGATGAAGCTCGGTCTCAATGTCCTCTTTGGTAATTCGCGCCAGATAATCTATATCTTCATCACGGAAGATATCCAAGGTGCCCAATTCCATATAAGTAGGCGGAAGTCCCTTGACGCTTGTCGCACGCGCCGGGGCAGCATACTGAGACACCCGATCAGTCCCAAAGTCTGACCCCAAATAAGCCGACCAAGCGGTAACGTTTGCTTCGGGCGTCCACGTCAGAAGGCCGTCCATTGTAGGAACAGGATCAACTGTTCGATCGTCGAGCATGGGGTAGATCAGCATCTGCTTTGCGATGGGAGGGGACAGACCGCGATCGCGAGCCATCAGATTGATCGCAGCTATGAGATTTCCTCCCGCGCTCTCACCGTATGTGATGATGCGGCTTGGATCGATGGAGAATCTTTCAGCATTCTTGTGAATCCAAGGCAGTGTAGAGTAGCAATCTTCCACTGGCGTTGGGAATGGGTGCTCTGGAGCCAATCGATAGTCAATCGAGAAGACCTGGACTCCTGAATCCCGGGCTAGCGAAGCCTGCCATTTCTTGAAGTTTGCAGGGCTACCAAAGATCAAACCACCGCCGTGGATATGAAGAATCACTGGCCCTGGTTTTGTCGTATCCTGGTCGATCCTGTGGTAGCGGTGGATTGCAATGGACTGTCCATCGTAAGATGTAAGGTGATGAACTTCATGCTCAACCTCAGGAATGTCAGGGAGCATGTTCATCAAGCTCTCGAAAGAGGGACTCATGGCAGAGCGGACAGCAAATGGGTCGGTCATGTCGGTCTTCGGAGCTGCGGCTTTCGCAGCCAACAGAGGGGCCATGGCCTTGTGGAAACCGGGTTCGTATTGTAGGGGCATATTGATGGTATGAGGCAGACAAGAGCTGTTGAAATGCTGAGCGTGGTTGATTGAATCTCAAGTCTCAAAGGAGCTCTCGTCCTTTATATCACGCTCAAGTCGATTGATCGAATCGTACCTGACTAAACTCTTCATTTTAGCTCCACATACATACATAGACGGCCACATCTTGCTGGCTATCTAATGTAACCGCGATCGGCATGACTCAACTCCATCTCCTGCTCATGCATAGTCTCCGACATGACTGAAAATCTTACTGACCTTCTCAGTGACCGATCGGACAAATGAGGACAGCGCGGCGACTTTCCAGGCTGTTGGCTGCCTGCCTGGGCCCACGGACACTAAATTTGATTAGACAATCGGTGTCTCGGGCAGATCATGGTCCGCGTTTTCTCCAACATTTCTACGGAGTACCAGTAGAATGCTCAGTCCTCATTTCCCTCTATATCCTGTGAGAACCAAGAAGCCCCTCAGGGATACTTAGGGTATTTGGTAGTGAAAATGAGAAACAAAGAGAGATTGCCCAAGTGAGGGCTCCAGCACATGTGTCTTGGGTGTGTTGGTAAGTCGGACCCCAGGTGCCCGGGGCTCGGGGAGTCTCCGAGAGATCCACGGTTCCCGACCGGTGCGGCCCGGGGTGGCTACCAGGTTTGCATCATTTGCATCAGTGCCCCTATACTCCAGACTTGAATTAGTTACACCTACTTGTGGTACTAGGATAGCTTACTCTGCTCTGATTAGGTTGTCTTACTACTGAGTCTCCCTTCCCGAGGTCGCTACACCTCACTGGCGTAGCCTAGATTAACCAGTGTGTGCTCGTAAAAGTCTTTTTTTTGTTACAAAAAACATTACTACGGGCGAGAAATTCCATCACAGAATGTTATCATCGGTTTCTTTCCAGTTCTTGTATCAAGGTACAGTACCTAGGTATCGAGGTCGTTCATATTTATAGATCATGTGTGCGAACAAGTTTAATGATACTCGTGCCATCGGCCAGGATCTCCTTCTCCTCTTCGAGTTTGTAACCCCCATTTCGTGGAAGTATCACGGTCCAAACATACCAGTACAAGATACCGAAGATTATTCTGTGGGCGTCAGCTCGATATCCAGTGACTAGACAAAGCTCATAGGTACTCACATGCCGATACCAACTAAGGCATAGGTAGCGTAAAAGAAATCAACATCACCTTGCCAGTTGGGCGGTGGAATGAAGGGTGTTACTAGCAGGGTAAGGCAGACCGCAACACGTAGCCAGACAGCTGGCAACCAGGCTTTGAAGGGTCTTGGGAGATCTGGCTCTCGATAACGAACTATCAGCAATCCAACAGTAACCGCTAGAGCAGCTACCTGACCTGGATATGCTTCCAAGTCTAGGATAAAGTTGTAGACATCGCCTTGAGGTGGTAGACCTATAACCAGAACAGAAGGAATGTAGTGCACAATGAGACCACCAAGTGGAGTTCCAAATGGTTTCGTAGAAGAGAGAGCATTCTGCCAAGGTAAGAACCCTTGTCTGGCTATCTCTTGATTGACCCGTGCCTATCGATGTAAGTATTGGGGTGATTTGGCTTTGAAGTTGAGCCATACCAGAGCAAAGGTTACTACCATCACATTTCCTGCAGCAGAAATGGCAATAGCCAGAGGAAAGAAAATCCTCCCAATGTGATCGCCGAATAGTCTTTCGAAAAGCAAAGCGCCGACCAGCTCTCCACTATTCTTGATCTCCTCAAGTGGAATCACAAGGAAATAAGAGAGATTGGCAAGGAAATATAAGATTCCTGCTGTCAGAAGTGCAGTGGGACAGACAGTCTTGACTATCCCAACTGGATCATGTACCTCGTTCAGGACATTGTTGATGTTACTCAGTCCTGCATAGGAATAGTAAACCTTGAACAAAGCAGTTGACAACAGACTCCAGCTCCAGTTCGAATCTTTCCAGATTGAATCCCAGGAAAAGGCACCCACGCTTGTCCCCGGGGATATGTCGCCAATGTCACCACTGAATCGGAGGAAAACAACCCAGATTCCAGTGAGCGACATTGCGCCGATCAAGAAAATCTTGACCCACCCGAGGACATTCTGAACGAAGATACCGGTTTTCAAAAACACACCATGAACAATAGTGATGGCTGTCAGGAGTCCTATTGCAAGGAGCTTATGCTGAAGTTCAGTGGGCTCAATATCGAGTGCGAAAAATGTGTACTTCGAAAATATGATGGAGTTGCTTGCGGTAAATCCTAAAAGCACAGCTTGGACAGCAATGAGACTAGAAGCAAGAAATCGCGGTCGCGGATAAGCATACTCGAGGTACACCTGACAAAAGAAAGCCGGCTTAGTTAACGCGTTTCTTTAACTGTCGCACCGAGTGCTTTTACCTTTTCTCCCCCGGAGCGGGGGAGCATACAGCCATACTCCATGGAGACGGCGAGACCGCAGCCTGACAAGATCGTTCCCACTAGCCATACTAGAAGCGTTAATCCGATGCTTCCGGCAGACTTGACGATGGAACCTGGTGTAGCAAATATCCCACTTCCAATGACTCGTGACACAACCAGTATGTACGCGCTTGACCAGTTCAGCGTTTTGGTATAGGTCGCTCCTGGCAGAGAGTCGGGAAGTAGAGTGTGAGACTCGTCAGAGGCACCGAAAGACCTCTGGTGGCTTTCCGGTATGTCATGGTAGTGGGTTGACGGTTGTAGAAGAGGTTGTTGTTCCTGGGTCCCCATGGTGAGTGCAAAGTGAAAAGACAGCCCATGAGCTTGAAGACATCAGAGTTAAATACCACCAGAAAACAAATCACAACCCATGTCGTCAGCCCAAAGTGGTGCTTTTGATTTGGAGATTGGAAATCACACGGCTGGCACGTCATTCAGGCCAAATGTTGTGTTTCCGCACCTTGCGTGCACCTGAGATTCGCCATTGGAATTTGACTGGACAAGTCATATACGCTGACCTGTCATTAGGTCTGGCGATGATCTCTGGGGAATGGCTTGTTACTTTAGTTGTTTTCGAATCAGATTGTATACAATGTTATTATCTTCACTCTCGGCCCATGTTAACCCCATGCCCGAACTTTTACACAGATGCGGCCGAGATGTCGAAAATGACAAGTAAGAAAAAATGTTGTCAACTGGAGTTCTCCATTTTTCTCAGTAACTTTCCCTTGAAGACCATTCTGCGGAGATTTGCAGAGTTCGAGCCTACCTTGAGCTGTTCAAAAAAGCCCCAAAGCCCAAGGCAAGGTGTTGCGGCCCTCGATGTCACCGAGAACCAATGCAAAGATATCTATATTCTTCCAAAATCCGCACGAGCGCAGTTAGTAGCACCCAATGATACCTAGGTACGAAATAGCCCTAGAGCTATTCTAATTTCCACTTTCACCCGTAAATTGAATAGGCAGAATATTGTTAATAATTGAAGCAAATCGGGAGCTAAATGGATCCTGAAGCGAGGCTAGCTAATATGAGCACTATTTTTTCCCTTTTAATGATAGACTGAGCATCGCATGATCCTAGTGCAAGTTAGTTTCCGATAATCATCCGTCTGCTGCCCACCTGGGCAAGGGCGAGCCTTGGATAAAAAGTCAACTTACATCGAAGGTTGCCGAAATGTGTATTTTTGGATGCCTTTTCCGTAAAGTGTGCCGATGGGAATTGCAGGGAAGCCCTGAGTATCCGATCCAGCTTGCATCGGCCCCGGAGCTGCCCACAAAAAGAGGAAGTATAGCTTGAACTACACCATTGCCCTCGCGGACCTTGAATCCTCGCAGTTTTCGGCCGCGAAGGTCAATCACCACTTGACTTCCTGGTATCTGGTACCCCAGAGTGACATTTGGGATTCCTTCTTCTCCACTCATCAGATCGAACCCCGTGATGTATGAATCTCCAAAGCGATGAAGAACGAACACGGCCAAACCTATATGATGCTTTTCCAACAATACTCTTTGCCTCTCACCATACTTGCTTGGTTCGCAAATCATACTGTTTTGGGCCAGTCGCTGAGACATCGAATATCGTTGTTCAAGAAAGTGGAATCTTTGCCATCGCTTGTACCAGAACTTGACATGTACACTTGTTCTGACGGGGATTGTTGTACATTGGTAGATTGATCGCCAGTTCATGGGCCTACAAGTTGAGGCCTGATCGACTAGGGAGGCGAGATACCAACGTTCTCCATTAATCAAGAATCTTGTTTTCCAAAATGATTGACACCAGAAAATGATTGCCATCGACCGAGACACGCAGCGCAGAGCTAAAAAGTCGACGGTGGGAAGATAGGCCCCTATTTCGAGTCGTAGCTCTAGTGCAAGACGACTGAAACAATTGGTTCCAACTGTAAGGTCACTGCTAGGATTCGCATATTCGCGTTGAATCCCCCCAAGCGTACTCGTGGCCTGTGCAGTCAAGATTACCGGGGGTTTGACTATACAGGCTGAAGCATTTTCACAAGGGATGTCGACGGCTGATAACCCTGTTATTATGCTGATTTTCCTTATTCACATAACATAGCTACTCACGGAGCTCAAGGTAATCAGAAGGAAGATATTTGCAGGCATGGTGAAGTCTTCCTAAGTCGATATCTTTGGGAAAATGTTTGATAAACAGGGACTAACAAAAGGCATGAAACACGAAGCAGATTGTACTAGGCCCGAAGCCCGGGAACCTGAAATTATCAGCATCAATTTCACCACCAGCGACGTCAGACGTACCACATGTATGAGAAAAGATTGGTGCTCAAGCCCAGGACATCCGACAAGTACACAGTATTACCTTGTGAATATACTATGAGTGTTAGTGCTGGTGGAGCTGTTGTGACAGATTATCGATGGATTGATTGCAGACTTACAGGCTCGAAACCCTTCCTTTTCAAGGCGCTTATCACCATCAAAAATGATACGGCAACAAGCTAAGCAAATATCCATCTTTGGTATGAGTGATGATTTGATGAAGAAGCACAACAAGGCCAGAACTCTCATATCTCACGAGAACCAAATGAAGAGGTCATCGTGAGATCAACAATTTAGCAACTGTTGTAAACACCCGGTCAGGTGACTATGTTTGTCCCTTCCAAGATTACCTACATAGGTAGATTACTTCCAAGTTTGCTCTCTCCCTCTGTCCCTCTCTCGCTTGCTACAGGTCAATCAATCTTGCGCCTTGTGGAAAGTCCTCCAGTGGCCTAAGAAATCAAGCTTGGAAGCCTTGAGTATACGTGATAATGGCCTTATAAAGTAATCATGAATATAGATACCTCATAGGTCTCGATTTCCTAATTTAGCATTCACGAACTCGGGAACGATATCACCCATTGAGCCAACGGAGAGTTGAGCAAGGAGCTCCATACCCCCTTTGAAGACCCCCGTCCGAAGTCATTGAGACATTTCGTTATATTTCCTCGAATTGATCTTGGCGCTCAAGGATCTCAATGTAACTTTGGGGCCGACATGCCCTAGCAGCCCTGGGCACCACAATGCACATCATGCAAGCACTATGCATATTATCCCAAGGGACGAAATTCGCCGAGGGAAACGAGCACACCATTCAGACTGTAGCAGAAATAAAGCACAGAGATCATCTTCCATCAACGATCCAAGTTGGGTCTGCCATCTTCGGATTCGGGAGTCAGCCCCCCACCAAGCTACCCCCGTCAATCGCCAAGCTACCCCCGCCAAGCGCCCCGAGGCGTTCTTCGAGCTTGGCAACTCTCCCGGGCTATAGCCATCTTACCATGAGCTTCAACAAATCTCATGACGCTAGCCACGTAGTAGCAAAGTGTCCACATGATGTCAGGCGACGTGGAAACCCCTTTTCGATTCCAAAGCCATATATTTGGTCATTTCCCGATCAACTGAGCGAAATTGTTGAGCATCAGAACAAACCTCACTCTCCTGCACTCCACTCGAACATCGGTATTCCTCTTCCCAAGTTCACGATGACCCTCTTCATCAAGGTATTTACGCTGGAAGCCAAAGTGCTGCACATGAACTCATCAACTTGGAATTACACAAACTACCATCCTTGGACTTTTGGCAGCGACTGCCTTCGCTATTCCCGTGGCCCCGAACGATGACATCCTAGCCAAACGTCAAGGTTCTCCCCCCGCAGTCGGATGTCCTGGCAAAAATGGAAGGGAATGTCAGCAAACCCTATCAGCCCCATGTAGTATCGCATGTTCTATGCAAGGAGCGGGTGCACTGGGCTGTCTCCATAACTGTCTCTCAAACGCGGCAATTCAATGTTCGACATGTAAATACTAGACTGGATACTCGCGGTTGCGCAACCTTGTTTCGGACCAAAGGCTGGATTGTGGTAGCCTTCACAGTTTCTTTGATGGAATCGTTGTATGTAATTAGGTGCGAGGTCTTGGCTGTTTGATGCTCTACAGTGGTTCCAAGTTCCTAATCTCGACTGGTTCATGTTATACCTAGTACAACGAATAAATATAAACATTCAATCCTCCTCGAGGTGTATGCAGCCGTGATTACAAGTCGAATATCAGTCAGTGCCCAGGTGATCTCGAGAAAGGCATAAATATTTCTACTCTAGAGTCATTCTATGTCCTAATAACGCAGGCCTCCTCCCATATAGCAAGCCCTTCAAAGTCACAAGGGGTATTCAGCCATAAGATTGAATCCATTGTTGTTTTCAGTTGTTCCCAACTGGTGATCTCCAATATCGAAGCCAGCCAATGAACTTGTCGGATGTACCACCATCGATTCTCCGTTCCTAGAGCAGCCATCCCGCCCATAACAAGAAGCCAAAGTAGTAATTCCAGGTCCGGCATCCAAATGCTCAGATCAATCTGGATCAAATCCAGTTCGTGTCTGAGTAGCTGTGCAAGCTCAGGGTATGGTTCTGTCATCAATGGGACCGGGAATAATATAAGAAGGCTGTAGATAACGAGACCCAAGCGACAAGCCTCATACTTTGGCGAGGGATATTCCAAAAACTCTGACGTCTCACATGCGCTGGGGAGATTCATTATGTGATAGTGGATTGTGTTCCGAATTCCGAGAACATAACCAGTGTCCAAACCAGGTAGGAGTCCCTCGGAGTAGTTGCCCAAGAAGGCAGTATATTGAGAGACAGCTTGGGCCTCCCATGTCATATCTTCTGGGAAGAGAAAGCCTAGCCATGATGGAGATGCTGCATCCTTAGCCCGGTATTTATTTTGACACGTGGACAGAAACCTGGATATATCTTCGGTTTCAAGACCAGATCGAAGTGGCCAGAATGGTCGTGTAAGGCTCTTGCTAGCAACAAGAAGATTGAAACTTGGAAACTCAGCTATTCATCCATCTGAAAGTGGCTTCCGATCACCAGGCGGAAAAAACTTACGTTGATAACCCCTGTTTCAAACCAGGCATCTCAAGCTTGTCAAAGCCCCCTCTGGCCTTGACAAGATGGCGCAAGCCTTGAACCTGTTCATCTGATACCACAATGTCCGTGAATCTCGACAGCCACTGGAGATTCGACAGTGGAGCAGATCTCATTCGAAGTGCGGCATTCCTCCTACGATCTGAAGGGTGCAACGCTATTGCGAAAGCGCTCATGACTATCTCGTCTGTAATCAATTCTGGACACCCAGTTTCGATTACCTTCTTCAAGCTAACGATAGCTTCGCGTTGCATGACAAGCTTTTCGTAGGTTGCCTTCTTCGAGAAAGTCATGTTTGGATTGCTGGCCGATGCACGAAGCTGGAGATGTGATGCGCCCGAGTGAAGCCAAGCATTGAATAATGGTGGGCAACTCATTGCAGAATACATCCAATGATGAATAAATGGCATGCCCTTGTGGATGAAGCCAGGGAATAGTTTGGGCCACATCTCTTTTATTGCTGCGATATAGAGTTAGCGGCATGTAATTGTATGAGTGTTGGACCTTGCGGTGAAACGCACAGTAGGTGAGAACCTCACTTATACGCTCTGGACTGAGCTCGGAGGGATAGGTTCGGAAAGGGTCGAGGTGGGCGTTCCCATAATCGTCAATTGTGAAAAGGGGAGAAATCGATGAGGCACAGTCCGATGCAGAAGAGCCGTCTCGAGAATACCATGTATCTTCATTAAAGCCAGTGCTGCTACACCTCGTGGCTAACACTTCTGGCTGTGACCTCTGAAGCAGACCTAGATATGCTCGATCATATGCACATTTCTTGTTCGTTCTTTGCACTTTGTTAGCTTTGACGCTTGTTGGCCTGTTAAAGAACTCACTGTGTGCAACGAGAACAGTACGGTAGGTCCCTGCTACAGTGCCTTTTACCTTCTCTGCACTGTTTACAAGCCACATTTGACTTCTGAGGTGCGTACCCAGATGGCACCACGTCCAAGTCGATACTATTTCCCAGTCAGTCAAAACTATCACATTGAAACATGCATTCGGACCGCTATGGGATAAAATTTACCTCTGTGTATGAATGTATTGACAAGGATGAGAGAGCCTTCAGATAACTTCAGTAGATGCTCATACATTGGGTGGCTCGCGAACCTACCGTTGGCATCTGGTGCAATTTGGGAATGTCCGGTCACATTTTCTCTTCTTTGATCTACACGAGGAGCATGCTTGGGGAGCAATGCGTATCTCTTTCTGTGATCGAATCATCTTGGATGATCTCAAGAGTGTTAGGCTGTTGCCTTGTGTTCTGCAATTTGGTGAGCTGTGGCAAGATCCGGTGCGTGGGAAGATTTATATGGCTCACATTCTAGAACGTGACGGACTTGCATTTCCGACCATTTCCCAATGTAGACATTGCTCTTCCACGATGCGGCTGAAGTATAGGCGAAGAGCCTAAATGATTGCGCCCTCCCGGGCCCCACATCGCTACCCTTGTTGACTTTGGTCAGCCCTGCATCTGTGGATGTGACAATCCGATCTTGGACTTTTGGCATGGAAATGGTGCTGCCTTGAGGTACCCGTGGGCTCAAGCATGCGAGACATTGTACCCGCGGAGAGTTGAACTTTGGAGTAGCAGAAGCAATCTCAGAGCTATTCACTGTTGACTTTTTGCTCATTTTTGCGATGCAAACGAGCTTGCCAGCAATGGAATGGGGCCCGGCTCGGCTAAAATTGTAGGAATCGACGAGCGGCATGAACCTTTGCAGATGTGCGTGGGGCGACGCTCAGGGTTTGGAGAGTCTGATCCACCAATGGACCTCAGTATAGCCAAAATCACAGCCCTGAGGAAACGGGTGAGAGCCAATCCAACTTGCAGAAGATGCAAGACTAGGCCGAATATGGCATATGCATTTTCTCCACAGATCAGACACCCCCCACATCACTTTCCGAGTCTGGGTTTAGCGCTCTTCCTTGATGCTGATGGCTGCTGATTCCCCAGGATTCCGCGGAAGTGCTTTGTGCAAAAACAAAAAGGGGAAAAGGGACTTGCAAGCGCAAGGACGTCATTCCAAGGAGCACAAAGTGTTGCTGCGGGCAGCCTTGTGACTTCCAAAGCGCGCAACAAGGGTCGGACGATTACGGCGACGATGAGTTCTTCATCACTGGTAAATTTGAAGCGTGTGACGCAACAGTCTAGTGCTGCTGAAAAGTGGAGTCCATTGAAGGTGAGCTTATCTGCCAACGCTTGAATCGTGAGCATCAGGTCCCTCAAAGGGTGGCTGACTTGGCGCGGGTGCACCTCGGCTAACTGTCGATCGGCAACCGTTTACCTCAAATCTACTCCCCGAAGCCTCTAGCTTTGTTTACGAAGACTTCGGAGCGCCCGATCACGGAATGGAGACCCACATGGCTTTCTATTTCCCTTTGTCCAATCGAGAGTAGTAAACAGCATCGCCGACATTCTCCACCGAGCCTGTAGAGCCCGATACAAACGACACATTTCTCATATAGATGATCACATCACAATCGTCTGCCAAACACGCGCCCTCTTCTGAATTGAGGAAGATTCGTCCCCCCGCGACCAGTGTGACATCTTCCAGCCAGATGAAAATAGCTCCACCCGGGGTCCGGTCTGCGACGTTGATGTGGATATCTCCTCCAGCGGTGATAGTTGTCCCGACCATGGTTAAGGATGCGCCTCGTGCATTGGAGTCGCCAGTCGCAACGACGGTGATGCAGACATCGTTCCCAGCTGTGATCACATTCCCGCTCAGCGTGCACACAGAGGTGCAGTTGAAGTTATTGCCGTTGTTTTGGCGTTTTTCAAGGACCGTGGACTGATACAACTGGTTCAGATGCTGGGTTGGCAGAGAGGGTGAAGGCCCGTCGGCCAGGGAATTCGAGAGCCGCTTATATGGCGTATCATGGTTGTTGGGCAAGGCCAGGGATGGAATCACGGAGAAAGCGAGGAAGAGAAATATGAGTTGAAGACGGAGATACATGCTTCCAGAGGATATTCGATCGAGATATGGCACGGGTGGACGTAGTGAAAAGGCTCCGGTGCAAGGATGGCAGTCTTATAAATACTTCGGAGAGGGCGAGCCTCACTTCACCCTCATCTAACCGAGATTGTTGATTGCTGCGAGTGTGGATTATCACGCGGAATCATTGATGCAAACGACTCAATAATCGCGCACCCAGGCCTTGTTCAGTTTCGACATTTCATATCTCATCGAGCTGTGGGCTGCTCACAATCCACTCATGACCTCTTCAACGCGAAGAGCTGAAAGCCCATGCCCGCTAGCCCGCGCTTAGGAGTACTCTAGAAATATAGCAATCAAGTTAGGACTCAGTTATATCATGCTAGTATTTCATAGTAAGCCGCCAGACCTCATTTAGTCGGATGCCCTAGCGGACGTGGCTTGGCTTGGCCACATGAGCTTGGAGCTGAAGATGAGAACTCTTACCTTTTAGGGACGACTTACCCTTTGTGGAAGACTGGTAGCTAGATGGCGCAACTTTCATCACTCTCCATCTCCGACAATCCACCTCATGAATGCAGACTCGCACTACATAAATGACACAAGGCCCCATGGGCAAGACATCGGCAACTCAAGATTTTCGCCATGATTCAAAGCATCGGGCTTCTTGCCTTTTCTATTATATCCACTGCAACGGCATATAACCCTCTGGATCTCTATGGGATCATTGAAGCAGCTGCCCCCTCTCCGGTGGCAGATGGAGCTCAAATCCTACGAAATGTTTCCATCGACCTCTTCAGGCGGGCGGATTCCAGGGACCCCAATTGCCCTGATGGTTATCAATGTAACCTGAATACCCCTTGCGATGATAGCCTTTGCTCCTCCGATAGATTCTGTGTCGCATTTGATGGACGGAATGTGTGCATTTTGCGTGACCAAGACAGTACCTGGTGTCGTGTCAACCTAGGCGCCGGTACATTGGAAGGCTGCAACGGGGCTGGTAGAGAATGCTGGTGCGTATGATCCCTCTCCCCATACCCCAATAAATATCTAAATTTGGCTGAATAGCCATGGGAGATGCCTCTCCCCGGGAAACAAATGCTGCACGTTCGCAGGAGTGAAGTGTGAGGCATCAGACACGAGCTGTCAACAGTGTGGGCCGGAAAGCACCTGCGGCACTGGAAGCTGTATCTCTTCTTCCTCTTCTTCCTCTTCTACCACAACGGGTGCTACAGCTTCGAATCCCACTACTATCCCATCGTCCACCTCTACTGGGACTGCCACTGTGTCTGCAACAACTGCTCAACCTCCCACCACATCAGTGCCAATCTCCGAGTCTACGACAACTTCCACCATGCCAGTGCCAATCTCCGAGTCTACGGCAACTTCTACCACAACGGGCGCCTCTACAACTAACGGTGCGAGCACAACAACCACTGTCGGCTCTGGTCCTTCAACCACTACGACTACCGGAACTACTTTGATAGGCTCTACAGACATTTCTTCTTCTTCCTCTACTTCTTCATCCAGCTCGATTGCCCCCACACCAACGATCGCGCCCCAGGTTGACGCATTCACTTTCGGCGGATGTTTCGTGGATTCATCAGATGCAAGAATCCTTGTAGCTGACTCAACCGAAGATGGAAGCTCAGACGGAATGACCATCGAAAAGTGTATTGCTTTCGCCGACGATGGTGCTTGGAGATATGCCGGCGTCGAGTTTGGAAGGTCAGTCGAGACTATGAATTGTTCTAGGGTCGTGATCATGCTAACCATTTTAGTCAATGCTACGTTGGTAATACTATGCACGGCCAAGACCAATATCCTGATAGTGATTGCAAAACGCCCTGCGCCGGAAACCCTGCAGAAATATGTGGTGATGGTGGCAGGATTCAAATATATGAAGATCCGACATGGAGCGATCCCACCGCGGAGGAGTTAGCGGATGCTGTGCGACAGTATGCATCCGCCGTGGACGATGTTCGATCGGCAATGGTCGACTACAGAGCGAGTTTGAGTGATCTCGCAGACTATGTCTCGTCCAAAACCAAAAGACTTTTGCTAAAGACTGGCCCAGAGATTGAGGCGGACCTTTTGAAACATGAGAGCGTGTTGAAGGCAGCACGGGCAAAACTTCGTATCGTCTCTCCCATGACATCTGTTACCGTGCTTGCTAACTGGTGAATACAGGTAATACCAGGGCAACTAGTGACAAAGTCTTCCTCAAAGGAAAACAAAGGGACACTCCCTCTAGTAACAATCCAACTGTAAGACACTCTAACCCAAATACATCAAGCAAGCTTATTAACCTCGGGAACATTAGGTCACGGAGCCTATCGCCTCTCAATGGGACTTCACAAGTACGTGCTGACTCTACTAAGTGGTACATCAAGAGTTAATGCTGAATGGGTTACAGAACTAGAAGCACAAATCAATGAGGCTATAGACCTTTGCACCCAGAATGCCGAAGCGGTTCAAATCGCGATTGATCAGGATATTGCTCCGCAAGTTGATACCGCTCTGAGCATAGCTCAAGCAGATGCTATGGTATGATTGGCTCAAATGATTCTCTGTGCTTCAAAACTAATACAGTCAGATCAAACTCATTGGACTTGGTCTAGTGTCTGCAGTGGTAGGAACATTCTGTAAGTGTTGACTGCATTGTTTCATCTGTACTTCACGGATCTAGAAAATAGCTGACAATCATCTTATCAGTTTGGGCACTCGGAGAACTTCTGAGTTACTTCGGTGGTGGGAGCTCCTCACCTGAGCCTGGTACTACCGTAGTTATGCCAACCACGACCCTGCCCACAAGCTCAACAACTACGGCTACAACAACTACAACGACCACAACATGCACAGAGACCGCAGCAACGACTGCTGTTGGCATTCTAGCCAAGCAGGGAATCAGCCTTGCCGATTTCAGTGAATTGGTAGCTGGTTTGCCACAAGACTCTGGTAGTGTCCAACTCACAGCTCCATGGCAGCCGAATGTGAGTTATGAGAACTTTGTTAATTTACTTCCGTGCGCCGAGCTAATCCTAAAAGTATTTGTATATCGGAAACATTGATCAATGTACTGCCGATCAGCTCGACACAAATCCATTGGTTGCGCGATGGGATTATGCGTCCGGCTCTCAGTCTGTCTTCGTTCTGAACGAGAATGGGATACCAGAATGCAAGCTATGAATGTATAGGGCCATTTGGATACTGTCCGCCCGCCCAACTATCATATAACCGAAATTTGAGTTTTGGGAAATCCCAGAGTCCCCGGGCATTGTTACTATGAGCTGAACTTTATAAGAAAATTGATGATTAGGTCTTGATTTGACACTTCTTGATGACTTGGAGGGCCTTTTGTTGTTGAAGAATCAATTGGTCTGCACAGATAGAGACTATACGAGACTGCTCTGATTCCCGAGATCTTTTCTAGATAGGATGTACCTAGGTAGGTATACTTTTTATTTCGTGCGTTTGATCAAGTCGTGCAATCTACAAGTCAGCTTCCAAGGTTTTCAATGTTCTTGGAGGGTGTTTAGGGCACACACTAGTTAGGCTCAATAATGCAGAGACTTTGTCTCACTGATTCCAAGGCGCGCTCTCTTCTTATATTGGAAGCAGGAAACAGACAGTACTCTTGTTAAAAAACGGACAAATCAGGCCTTTTATCTCCATTGTATTCCCGCTCAAGTATTTATCTAGCCCAGAAGACTCCCAAGGCTCTGCCCACAACTTCGATCATTTCAAGGCTAGCAGTTGTTGCCCCAACATTTAACGGACTTGACCCTCGATCCATTGCTGCCCAACGACTTGCAGATTCTGTACCCCGTATTCCACTCTAGAGTCGCAAGCCTGTTCCCTTGTCCGTTGTAATCATCATACAAATCACAGTAGATCTCCCAGTAGTCTCCGCCTGTGATAGCGAAGCTGCGTGCATTCGAGAGTTGATAGTTGTATGAACTCCAGGAGTTCTGCCAGTCGATGGTCACAAGGTTACTGCCGGTCTCGCATGATACCCCTGAGTAATAGGTGACGTCGGCTATCACTCCGCAGGTGGAGCGTTTCTCCAAAGGTGTAGTTGGAGACGTTGGAGCTGCGAGAACAGCGGAGGCAAGAAGAAAGGGAGATAGGATCGCGAGATTAACCATGATGATGTTGATGGTCAAGATGAGTTGAATGAGTTTTGGAGAGATGATGAACTGCGGTAGAGCTGTACCAGATAGAATATCAGCTTGGTAAGTAGAGATATTTCGCTTGATTTCACCACACTTTATAGAAAGTCTGAGGCCTTGCTGTTATAGATGTGATCTGACCACCAGAAATCATCCGCTGTCTCCACATCATACATGAACTAAAAGTTCCCCCCGATCTTACGCAGTCCGCACCTGCGTCCGCTAGCTGTCGCGGCGGATGTTACCTCAAAACGCCAAGATCCAACGCGCAGGAATGAATTTGGGTCATCGAAAGCTTTACTCAGTGCTATACGCGGACTTAATACGGGCTCTAGCCGAGCTAGGAAATGGATCATGCGGGTTGCGAATATTGATCTTGATGCAAGAAGTTGATGAACTATACAGCCCTAGTACTACTCCCTCCAGATGTCTCAGTCAGCCAGCCGCTTAATCACTGGCTCCCGGATAGTTGCGCGACGATGCTCTGGTTTCTCTTTTCTCTTCTTTCGACTTTTCTCAATTTCTCCTCTGCGCTGTATCTGACATATTTGACAGGACATAGGTCCGCAAGAAATTCCATCTTTCTTTGTAACCTCTTCCCTCCCCACCTCTCTCTGCTCCGTCCTCGTCGTTAGATCATCATTTGGCACTGGGTCGCACATGCATCATGCTTAAGCCGAAAAGTTACACGGAAGTGAGCCACAGCAATATCCATGATGAGCACTCAGAGCACCCTGGAAATCGATGTTGTGGCATCCGTCATTTGTTCTCCACATAACGGCGTTGAAGTTGTATCCACCGGGACTGGTCTCGGTAAAGCTATGTTTGTTAGTAAAAAGTATAGGAAATAGAAAGATCTCAAGCTCACCGGATCGAGCATTGTACAGCAGCGCAACTGTCGAAACCACCCCAGAGAAGGCCTTGGTAGGTTGATCCTGTATTGTAGTCTGTAAGATAGATCGTCTGGAAAGAAGGTCCCTCTTGATCAATGAGAGCCGATGCAGCCATTTGGCCACTGAAGGCGCTTGCGTAGCCGAAGAAGGCCAAGGAGCCTAGAAGAGCTTGGTATCTCATTGTTCAAAAGCAAGGCTAAGGCTGAGCGTGATGTAAGGTGATTTCTGCAGATGGTTGAGATTGATACTCGAGAACAAGGAGCAGGATCCCCTGACTTCTTGATATACACAAGGCTTTTCATATTAATTTGACATAGCTCTACGTGATGTTGTAGATCCCAAAATGGATAATGGTCGTCCGAAGTACTTCGTACCCAGCTCGGGTATAGCTCTAGGCCCCGCAATAAGGGCCGCAGCCCGTATTATGTGCGGCCTTGGCGTGTCTAGCCCGCAGCTGAGGAAAATTAGCCCCAAATGCTGCGGCCAACGAAATTCGTCGATCGGAATTGAGGCCCATGATACTTCACGAGATAACAGCTACTATAACCAGGTGCTAAAACCTCCTGGATGGAAATGTGTTAAATACTAGTTGTTCAGGTCCGAGCCGAGTCTCTCTCACTTCACTATATTCATTCACCCATTCTTATTTGTATTCAATTGATACTCTTCCAAGCTTTCGACAAGGTAAGAATGTTCAATTTATGATGGATAAAGTCTCTGATATTAATTCATGACTCAAGATGAAGGCAACCTCCCTTGCGTGCATGGCATTTGCCACTGGTGCCATGTCAACAATCCTCTGGGTAAAGCCCTGCTATTACACAGATAGCTGCGAGACCTACGAGTACACCTCGGATTTTAGCTTTCAAAACGGGCAGTGTATCAACTTCTACCGAGGAATGGCCTCTTTCTCGGTATACGGCGCACACAGCTATTGCACGCTCTACAGCGGCAATGATTGTGGTGGGAGCTCATGGAACTCCAATCTCGATAACCAATGGTTCAATTCGAATATTGGATGGCTTTGGTCGTTCAAGTGTGTATGAAAAAGGATGAACATTGTGACCAGGCTATTTGTTGATGGCAAGCCCGGACATGGGATCATATAAAGTCAACATGTATGTGAAAGGGTCATAGTCGATCGTAATGACCAGATTGACTTGCTTCATCTTGATTATATGGAGTAGAATGGCCTGAAATTTATCTACCGGAGACCGTAGGAGTCAAAACATTGATTCGGATCATCTTCTGTCTCGGGAAAGTCAATGAATCATAGCACATATCGGCTGCTGGGTCGTTAGTTGTCATTTGAAACAAATGGAAGTTGACACAACCCACAATCTCAAATTTTCCCTATCAGTCAAATCCAACTGAGTGTTATCAACAACACGAGTGACCTTGCCGCCCTCTGCATCAAGTGTCTCAATGATTCCATTGTTTGCGACATGACTGGCCTCTTCAAGTCTATCACGGCGTGTATTTTCCCGACTCAGATAGACACGAAGAGCGATGATAATCACTGACGGAAGAATTGCTGCGATCTGAAAGAATAAATAAGCTATCTCATGCTCCAGAGCTTGCCTGCGTCTCAACTTACCACAAGCAATATAACCCACGTGGGTCTGTACCGAGGCTTCAATGTTGGTTAGCACTGAAAGGCGATATGATCTGAACCGATAACCAACCTTCCACTCTGGTCTGAATAGCTGCGGCGAAATAATGTTTCCAAGTCCATACCCTATATGATAGAGTGCAATTACCGTCGTCTTTTTCGTATGACCTGCCGATGCATTTGCAGCCCAGATCATGACTACTGCATATGGTATGCCTGCCGTCGAGCGGATCCAAATTCCAGCAATCAGGCCCCACCGGTTGGACCACGGCAAAGCTTGGAGATGTTAGAATTGAGACATACATCAGGCTTTGAGGCTTACCAAGAAGTAGTATACTGGACAGACCAGCGGGTATGTATGCAAGTAGTGAGATCCATGCTCGGAAGTTCTAGATTCGTGAGACCGTGTCTCAACTATGACAAATGAACGTACCTTGGTGTAGTATAGTGTAACGGCTGCGGATGAGAGTGAAAAGAACGATACCAAACCGCTAACAGTTCCCAGTAGTGTTGTCTGAAGGACTGTGAATCCAAAAGAGTTGATGATGAGTGAGTATTGATTGGTTATTCCATTCGCCATTTCTTGCGACCAGGCGTGTAAAAAGAAGAGCCAGGTCTTGGGGTCTTTGACTGCTTCGATGAATCTGCCAATTATTTAGCTGTTAATTCCAGGAGAAGATTTTATGGTTGCTCACTGATATCTTTTGAATCTTTTTTGCTCTATTCCAGAATGGTTTTGCTTGATTCTCAAGATTGCTTGTGCACGCTCCTCGGGTGTCAGGAACTTGGCATGGAGAGGACTATCTGGGAAGAAGAGATAGACCCAGACACCGAAAATAACCGTTAGAGCACCCGTTATCACTAAAATTGAAGTTAGCTACGAGTGCCGTGTCAGTCTCCGGGAACATACCCATGAACCATTTCCAAGGCGAGAAGCTGCCCGTGTCTATCCACAAGACACCATAAGACAGCAAGCCTGAGGTGATAGGGCTTGCATTTCCGATCGACCACATGACTGGCATCATCACAGCCTGTTCGTCGTATGTGAAAAACATAGACATGGAAAGGAGGAATGCCGGCACGATGGATGCTTCGGCAACCCCGAGGAAGAACCTGACCACAAACAAGGAAGCGAAGCTGTTGCATGGAATGTGTAGTAGGGTAATTCCACCCCTGTCAAGTCAGTTCAAGTTCAAGATAAATGCTTTAGTGGGAATCAGAATGTACCACACTACCAGATTGCCAGCCAACCATTTTCCAACAGGAAACCTTTGCAACGCCCAGTTTTGGGGCCATTCAGCAAGCAAATACCCGAAGTAAAAGATTGATGATAGCCAGTTGTATTGATTTGAGTTGAGGTGAGCATCACTCATGATACCGAGAATTGCGGAGCTCCCGAGCTGTTGAGTTTTAGGACAGCATCATCAAGTTCGTTACTTTTGGGACGTACGGTCTGCTTGTCAACATACATCAAGTGATACCCGATGCACAGAAATGGTAGGATACGCCATAAGCATTTGTTGCGTATTCGTTTTGCTTCTTCAGTCGTTGGATCTAGCACTTGGATTTTTGAAAAGAGCTTGAAGCTCTCATCCGCGAACTGATCAGGGACTTTCGGTGCCGTGTCTGTTTCATTATCGCTGTCCTGATTCACTCGAGCTGTTGCCCGAACGGCTGATTTCTGATACTCGCTCATGGTTCGAGACTTAGGTACAGCAGTCGACAATACCACGCAAAGTCTAGATGACAAGCAGATAGGATTTAGCTCATGCGAGGACCCATAGTCATGTATAGTGTGAAAGGAATTGCGCAATGGTCTGACACCTCGTCGTCTTCACTTTGCGGAGACATTCCGACATGGAAAAGAGAGTAAATCGCGGGGGTTGGCCTTGATTATTGCCCAACCTGGAAGGTCGAGCAGTGCCATGCCCTTGGCAGGAGATTCAATGCTTATCTTCTTGCTGGCTTTTGCATGAAACGCGAAAAAGTGTCAAAAGCACGCCTGAAGTCGCCATTGCGGGGTTGCGTGACCGCTGCAGTGTTGGCGTGCTTAAATGCGATAGCGATATCTCAGTATGATTTATTCTCGGACATTTTTGTTTCTTATAGGCTGTCGGCGTGTTGAATCAAGTGCATTCCAGTATGGCAGAGCAAACCCAACCTATTCGAGTGTTGATTGCTGGTGCGGGTATTGCAGGTCTCGCAACAGCTATATCACTGACTCGAATATCATCTCTGGTGAATCTGGATATCCAGTTGTATGAGCAAGCTCCAGAGCTCTTGGAAATCGGAGCTAGCATTGCACTCAGCCCAAATGTATGCGAACTCTCTTGATCAATTCCTGTTAAGTGGAAGCTGACGCGAATATCAGGGAATGCGCACATTGGAGAAACTCGGTGTCCACAATGCATTGAGCGACGAAGTTGGCTTTCGGGGGCCAAGCGGCATACCACAGATCTTTCGGTACGCGTCCAAACTACGGCCAAGCCAATTAGTTGTTGGCTGCTAAAACTTCAACCAGTCATTGGAAAACGGACCAAGTAGTATCGATAGATACTCACGCGGACGTCCCGGACCGGCGACATCACACGACGCGCTTCCACCGCGGCCACGTACACTCTGCCTTGCTGGAGCATGTGCCTGAGGAGACAATCCACCTAAACAAGAAGATCAGTCGCGCAGAAGCTCGTCCGGATGGCGTCTCCCTGTTATTTGAAGATGGGACTAGCGCCCATGGAGACATTCTCATTGGTGCAGATGGCATTCGCTCGGTTTGTGGGAGTGCTTCTCTGGAATTTCATATCACTGACTCAGGTACAGAGTGTCAGACAGTCTTTCATTCCCGATTACAAACTCCGATTCAGCGGCAAGGTTTTCATGAGAGCGACGTTTGATGCTTCTCTGGTCGAGGGGAAGATACCAGATTTGCCAGAGGATTCAATTCATTGGGTAGACGAATCTCCATCTCGAATCTGATAGATATTTGCTGATACTATGATAGTGGGGGCCCAAGGACAACTTCTTCGCATCTCGACTTGGTAAGAAAACAGCTCACCGGTTGACCGCAGGATTGCCCAAGTCTAACAAACACAGGCAAGAACCAGTACACGACAGTTGGCGCGTATGACGACCCTCGGTCATCAGAAGAGTTAGAAAAAACAATTGCCTGGGATCAACTTGGCAATGTCGAGTTCCTCCGAAAACGATACCAGGTATATGCCGACGAACCCGATGCTGCCCCACGGTCATTAATGCAAAGTGCAGGATTGGAACCCGACCGTGAAGGCCCTTACAGATCTCACGCCATCCACGAACCTCTACCCCAATTTCGCCGGGGACGCCTTGCCAACTTGGGTCTTCGGCTCGCGCGTGACACTAGTGGGAGACGCAGCACACGCGCACGGCGGAGCATTCGCCGCTGGAGGCTCGCTGGCACTAGATGACGCCCTCGCTCTTGGCCTTGCGTTCAAACACGTCTTTCAGGGGTCCACGTTCTCAATTGAGAAAATTGAGAAGGCATTGGCGCTATACAGCCAGACCAGGCAGCCTCATACAGCCCGATTATTGGGCATTGTGCATGACCAGATAGATCGGAAAGCCGCAACTTTCGCGACAAGTGAAGCTGAAGACGAGGCGCTTGTGGCCCGATTGAAAGGTCGGCCTGATACAACGTGGCTATCGGAACATGACGTCGAGGCTGCTTTTGGTGCTGTTGCTCAGGGGTCGCACGACGCGGGGGCGCAGCTACAGGTTGGGGATGAACTAAAACCAAATGGAGCCATTGGGATCCAGCACAGTAAGTTATGATCTTGAGCTTTTCATTGGTGTCCGAGCTAGCATCGAGGGCACATTGAACATCCTTCAGCTTTTGAGAGGTTGGATTGATGCAGATGCACTCGTTGTTTTTCGTCCCAGTAGTCTACTTTGAGCATACGTGTATGCAAGTCCAAAAATATCTTCCAGTTTTTGAACTGATCTCATGCTGGAAATTCATGACACCGTCACCCGACGCGACATCTGGCCCCCGGGGGAGTTGCGAGGCTTACTGTGCCTGACCAACCTCGGGGTAAATGACTCTGCTGTCGCGCAAGGCTTGTGCCGGATGTGCCGGAGTTAGTGCGACCGCCATAGCCTACTGGGCAGTCTCTTCATCAAAAGCTCGAGCTCAGGGGTCTATTTCCGTGATCAACAATGCAGTAGCCTTGTCATCACAGTCAATGCGGTTGAGGCCATTCGTAATTTGCAGGCTGGGGGAAGACACGGGTGGCAATGCTGAGTGGGGCGACTCGTAGACTAGAAATGGACTTTCCCATGGCCAAGACAAAGCATAGGCAGAATAATAAGGACGTGGCTTAGAAAGACAAGATTAAGGATAGCCTTGCATGAGTCGCCAGAAGAGGGCGGAGTACAGTAGAAAGTCACGGGGTGTGGCTGGTGCGGTTCACTTAACGTGTGGCGCAGCTGAAAGCGGATTAGTTCGTCGTCGCCGGAAGTGGGGGAATGAGGGCAGTGCAGTCTGCGCCTCCGGATGGCAAATTTACTTTAAAAGATCTTTTTCCTGACTTCAAAGAGAGAGAAAAAGATAAACACAAAGATTCTAGAATTTGCCTGAGGTTCTAGACAACCCGTGCTTATCCCAAGTGGCGATCTCCCCTTTATCACCTTATCCTTTATAACCGTCCCCTCTACATCCAATTGATACTCAACCAAACATGGCCTCTCCTGCTCTCAGCGCAAGCTCATACTCGTCGCATTCGTCGCACTTATCAAGACCATCTCTATCTCTGGATATGAGCAAAATCCCCCAACTTTCTCAACCCACACCACCATCAAACACCCTCCTAATCACCGACCTCAACGACCTGCTGGTCTTCCAACCATCCGCCCTCGAGGAAATTCGCACACTGATCACTTCCGTGGCCGTCCTCAACTCATTCTCGCCTCTACCCTCCCTACGCCGCATCGTCTGCTCCTTCACCACCACCGAAGACGCAACCGCCATCCGCAAACTCCTAGATGGCCAATCCCTCCTCAATCGCGTGCATCCAAGAATCTACTTCGGCGAACCAACTCCACTCAACGACCGTCCCAAGCTCCTCGAAGCACCCCAGGTCTCAAAGCTGTTCTTCATTTCCCCGCCTCCCAGCCCGCCCCACGGCTGGGTCCTGCGCAACGAGGACCCGCCCAACAAAGAGGTTCATGCTTCGGATCTCGCTCATGCCCTGTCAATGCTGAAGACAGAGCCGAAGGAAGATCCCGCTACACCGGTTTCGATCTCGGATGAGAAGCGCACACCCAGTTGGCCGGTGGAGGGCCCGCGGAGTCGGAGCAGCACCATTATCTATCACCCTGATACGCATGGCGATAGCCCGAACCTGCCGGCTGTCATGGTGGAGGATATGAGCTTGAATTTGAATGTTGAGGATGTCGATATGGATGAGATGAGTCCCATTGAGATGTCGGTCAAGTCTATGCCTCCCAAGACTTCCCGGCCACCTGTTGAATTGATGTGAGCCTTTGGTTTGGGATTTAGCGATTTTATGTTTATTGTCACTGCATTGTTTTGCTGGGCGTTGGGATGGGCATCACTTCTCGGGGTTTCGATTTGGCTACGTTGAACATTATAGCTAATTAGATGTCAAAACAAACGAAGAGTCATTATCAGATATTCATCCTTCCCGGGGTCTTTGATGGTATTTTATAGATCTTTTGTGCCTAGGTAACACCGCGTTCAAAGCATATGTGCAAGGTCATGTTTTTCATTTCCGCACCCGAGTCGACGCGTCGAGTATTCTGATTTTATTCACTAATCTTACCAGAAACAGCAAGGGTTGTAGTATCCATGGATGAACAGAGTATCTCAGTCCACCGATTGCAATAGATGACAAAGAAACTAAGAAAAAGAAAACTCCAAGCGCCCCAATCACCAAATCAAAACGCCTTTCATGCTCGAGTTCAACTTTTTCGCTTCCCTCAGAACCCATAGCTAGTCTGGCCGTAAGGCGTGGCACCGTAAGGTGTCTGTGCACTGTTCCAGCCTCCAGGGGCACCGCTTCCGTAAGAAGTCATGTTTCCATCGATACCCTCGGGAGGTTCGTAGGCGTCAGGGTCATTGGCGCCCATCATCTCAGCATCCTCGCCGATGTGGCCCTCGCCTTCGCCAGACAGCTCGGAGACAGTGGTGGCCAGCTTGCGCTGCAGGGAGATGATGGATTGCTGGAGGATCATGTCGGGTTCCAGGTTGCCGATGCTCTCCACGTCGAAGTAGAAGGTTGTTGGTTCGGCATCGTAGTCAAAGGGCTGGTCGGGGTTGGCAGCGGGTTCCCAGGCAGCATTTTCAGACACGGGCCTGTGTATGTTAGTTGTGGACTCAGAGCAAAAATGGGGAGAGATCTCTGCCAACGTACCATTCCTTCGCTGCGTCTTGCTCATACCAGTAATCCACATGACGCAGGTTGTTGTTAGGGTCGTACTCGAAACCGACAGCAGCAGTAGGCGCCCACTTTGCATGCTCCTTGGCAGTTCCCTTCTTCGCCAAACAGGTCATCTTGATCTCCTGGCCCTTGCGCAGCTTGCAAATCAACGGACCTCTGCCCTCGGGATCGGTAGTGACTGGATTACCAATGGTTGAATTGATCCGCTCACCGACGATGACTAGGTCTCTGGCGTAGACAGACATCATTCCCTGGCCACAGCGCGCGTGCAGAGACAGCGTCACGCTGCAGCGCACGCAGTGGTCTTCGCAGTCGCAGTCTCTTGTGTAGTCGAGGTCCTGGTCGCAGTTCAGTGAGTTCAGAGGGATCATGCCGAGACGGTGAGCGAGGAACTCGTCGGGCAGGACGGAGGTATTGCTCTCAATTTCGATGAGGTCAAGAGCGAGGGTTGGCACTTCGGAAAGCATCGTGCGGCGGAGGGAGTTCGCAAATGCAAGGTCGATGGCTGATAGACGGAAATCGACACGGTATGGCTCCGCCTGTACCATGTTAGTGTTTTCAATTCGGCTTTCCTGGGTTTACTCACTTCGCGGACGGTCACTTGAGGCCCGGTGGGCTCGAGGTCCATCTCGTACTCCATCCTGAGTGTACGGCCGCGCTGGTCCCTGCGACCCTTATTCGAGCTGCTTTTGTCTGTGGTAGCGTGGAATAAAGGCGTGTGGTGCCAGTGGCAGCAGTGGCAGAGGTTTGAGGTGGTGTTGTGGTTGATGGGCGCGAAGACAAGCAACTTGGGGTGGACATCGCGGATTTGCTCCCTCGGAGCCAGCTTGGCGCTTTACCTAATTGGGACACCAGTTGATACTGCCCTGCATTTCACCATGGACATTTTATTACAAGTCTACGATCAAGCAATTAAAGGAAGCTTCAACTCTTTGGGTTCTTCTCTCCTCATTTATGGAGAGTAGAATTAGTAGTTCGGATTGAGCAGAGAGGCTCAGACGCTCTAGCGTCTGACTGGCCAAGGCATCTAAAACTACTCTGTAAGAGAAGATTGTTTCGGACACAAATCTGACAGGTGACAGAGGCCAAACAATGCATTCAGATAAGCCGTCCGATGTTGCAAAACAGCAAGGAGTCCTCTACAGAAGTAGGTGAATGTTCCAAAGCCCTGGTGGCGGAAAAAAAGCGTCTATCAAGACGAAACAGAGAGCAATTCGAGTGCCCACACGCAAGCCACAGAACGGGTAGCAGCAGCCCGTTGGAAAGATGCAAAACAAAGTTAAAAAAAAAGTAGAAGCCAATTGTAGAAGCGACGAAGCCACCGTTTTTTGGAAGTCGGTCATGTCGAGTCATAATCAAAAGGAACTCTCTCAGGATAGTCATGCACATGGAGATAGGTGTCGAGAGGAATGTTGAGGGGGGGTGGAGAGTTGTGCGAGAGAGTTTGGATGCGATAGTCACTATCGCTTCAAAGAACTGCGATTCAACGCTTCGAGTAGTTCCGGTCGATTTGCGAGCGCTGTCGCGGCCTGCGCATAAGGAACCCATTGACGTTTCCGCTTGTACATCTCGGGCCATTCGGCTTCTTCGCGTTCCACGGCCACCTCGAAAAACTGATATGAGGCCTTCGGCGCTTGCGCCGTCAAAAGACCGCAGGGCCTCATGTCCGGGATGACTCCCAGATCTCGGCTCACGACACAGACCACGCCGGCCTCTTCCCAGGCCTCGCGACATGCCGCCTGCTCGGCGGTCTTTTCATCCAGCTCCCATCCTCCCTTGGGGAGCACCCAGCCTCCTGGTCCGGCGGACTGGATCATCAGCACTTTGGTCTTGTCGGCGGAAATAGGGACAACGCCGGCGACCAAGCGCTCGCCTTTGGAACCGTAGCCTACCAGCCATTAGAGTCAGAGACGTAAGGGGGAAGAGTGACGATCTGCCACGTGCGCACAGGGGAACATACGCTGGTTTTTCCGCCCAACGCGGGCTTCCATAGATCGTATTTGTGCCATTTGTAGAGTGTGTAAGGCTTATTGCCGAAGGTGTCCGAGGGTATAAAAGTTGGGAGTAAAAAAGAGCGGAAGAGACGAGGGTCTAAACGAAGTTGGGAACCCCAGTAAACGAGCTCCCGCGGAGCCTGTCAGGTCTGAGATTGGGAACGGTAGTGAGGAAGGGCGGTCGGGGGGGGGAGGAAATTTTTTTTTTTCCTTAGGAGAAGACGAGATGACAATCAGGTATTCCTCATTCCCGGGGGATTGGAATGAAAAGAAGAACAAATAGGCATGGTTTCAATATAATATCTGAGGTAGTTGGAGGATGGAAAAAAAGGGAAGAGATGTGGGAATGGAGGGGCAGAACCGGCGGCGCAGTCCGGCTGTACGTTCTTTTTTTTTCGCTCCTTTTTTTTTTGTTACAATTGTTACACTCTCTATTGAATTCTTGGGCTTTGAAGTATTTCTTCTCTTTTTCTTTCGTCCAATGGTCATGTGACTCATCTCCTAAACCGTCTGGCGTCGGGGAGGTGAGTCCCTGGTTCAGGGACTGATTGACTCTGAGTCTGACGCTGAGTCTGACCCGTTGACTCTGTCTTACTACATAACTACGCATAGTAGAGTCTCTCCGTAGTCTCAATTTCAATTGCGTGGACCCTAACGGCGTTTGGTACCGAGTGGGAAATTCGGAGCGAGGGCCGATCAGTACATGTGGCTGCTTAATATTCGATATATCGTGAGATACAAGTAGGAGAACTATAAGAACTCCATGTAAGCAATAAACTAGACATATTTGCCCCTTGCCGTACCACTAGTACATGTCACTCCGTAACCACCTCACCTTCGCATCCACTTGAGGTATTTTGTCTCACAATGCAGGTTGACGCCGAACGCGCGCGCGAGCTCTCGCTCTTTCGGCCCCTAGGTATGTTCCCACTCACCCGCAGCGAGCCACTGGGATAAACCTCTCTTACCCCGTGGCGCTTCCACTGGTCCAGGACCCTGCCGATTGGAGTGACTTGGCGGGCACATCAGGATCGTCCTACCCCTCCTCAGAACTAACGAGGGAACAGGTTACCAGAGAAACTCGTGTGGTTACTGCAAGGCCAAAGATGGCAGTGCGTTGGCCCCTCTGACTTCATGCTCATCACCGTTGACACGTAGCAGGCGCATCGTACTACACCACCTCCACGTCCGTACACCCGGAACATTATGAGGACCTGATCAACAACGGCTGGCGACGGTAAAGTCTTCGGTCCATATCTGCAATCACACGGACTAACCAGCCCGGCAGCTCCGGCTCGCTCTACTACAAGCAGAACTTGCTCCAGTCGTGCTGTCCGCACTATACCCTGCGCTTGGAGGCCGCCGATTATCGGCCCCGCCGCGACCAGCGCAAGGCCATCAACAAATGGAACAAGTTCATTTTGGGGCCGGAGTATATGCGCAAGGCGGCCCGGCTGTGTCCGCAGACTCGCGCGTAAGCATCGATGCCTTGCAGGCGACTGGATCTTCGCTGACGACCCACAAGCCAGAAAAAGCATCGCAAGTGCAACTTTGACGTACTGTCAGCAGTGCATGCGAGCGAGTATGACCACATCAAACGCCCCGTGGACCCGGCGACTAAGCTTCCCATCGAACCAGCCCACCGGTTCGAGGTCACCATTGAAGGTGACTCCGTGTCCCAGGCAAAGTTCCAGCTGTTCCTCAAGTATCAGGCTGCTGTGCATAAAGAGGATGTCTCCAACTCCAAGCCTAAAGACTTCCAGCGCTTCTTATGCACTGGTATCAAGCGTTCCCCAAATCCCTTGACGCCTTCGAATGCCAGCCAGAAGAAACTCGGCTCGTGGCATCAGTGCTACCGTCTCGACGGTGAGCTCGTTGCTGTCGCGGTTCTAGATCTGCTACCCACCGGTGTGAGCTCAGTCTACGTGTTGTGAGTCGCACTGCTTACTCCCACGAGGCCCGATGATCTAACTCGGTTTTCTTTCTAGTCATGATCCAGCCTATGAGCAATGGGGGTTCGGCAAGCTAAGCGCCATGCGCGAAATTGTGTTCTCTATTGAGAACCAATACAAATATTACTATATGGGTCAGTCTTTCCCGATGCTCACCCGACTAGAGCTAACCGAACATAGGATACTATATCCACTCCTGCGTGAAGATGCGCTACAAGGCCAATTTCAGGCCACAGTACATCCTTGGTAAGTTTCATCTATGTCTCACGACCTTTGTGTACAACATCAGCGTCGAGAACACACCATCTGACCATTTTCTTCTGCAACGTAGACCCTGAGTCTGGTGAATGGGATCCACTTGATGGCGAATTGACCGAGAAGCTCAACACTCGCTCTTACGTTTCGTTGTCCCGGGACCGGATGGATTCTCCTCCTCCAATGCCCTCCACTGACTCCAGTGCTGACACCGAGGCTTCCCTTTTTGATATTGGAATGCCTGGTGCTCTGACAGTTCCCCAGGTACAGGCATTGGATCTTGATCATTGGCTGCTATTCTTCAGGAAAAACTTTGTTCACATGGAGGTACGTCGCTTTTTGTCTCTTCTCGGGGAACTCGCCATGGCTAATTACAAATAGGACTTGGTTGGTTGGGAGACCATGTCTATGACTGAGCCGCAGTCAATCAAGGGCATCATTGCAGAGCTAGCTGCTGTACTAGGCCCTACGATTGTTCCGAACAGCGCTGTTGACTTATTTGGTTGACCTGAAGTTGATGCATGGGGATCTCACCTGCTCTAACCCTACAGTGATCTTTCGAACCTTGGAAACATATCCATGGATATCATACAGTATGCCAGTAGATTCAGTTATATTGAACGTCTCGCAATAATCTGAACCTCCATTGTCTTTCTGTTCATTGAAAAGTCTATAAGCTGCTTCAAATATCAAATTGCCCAGGTGTAGAGTTCTACTGTTTAAAAGACCACATACTAGGTATAGCCTTCTATCCACAGGTCAACGTGGCCTTCGCTCTTATTATGATCAAACGTCAATATCCAACGTTTTCCCGGTCTGTGAGCTCTGGATAGCAAGCTCTATAAGTCGAATAACGACAGCAGATTCCGCTGGGTCCACGGGTATATCGCCCTCACCGGACAACGCGCTTGCAAGCTTGTTATAAAAGTCGGTATATAGCGGTGCGTCGACAGTGGGTACAGCTTCACTCTTGAGTGTACCATCGGGTTGAACAGATGTCAGAGTACCTAAACATCCCCCATAATCAGCACAGAACCCCCATATCAACTGCACTTTGAGAATTTGACCACTTACCAAACCGCTCCGAAGGCTCTACCCCATATCCATCATCTCCAGGCCTCATGCCAGCCTTAAGCTGCTCCTCTTGCACATCAAAGTGGTGCTGAAATCGTCAAAAACAAACTCACAGTCGTCAGAAATGACCTTAGCACGTACCTTCATATAAGTCCCCTTCGTGCCCTTGACCCAGAATCGCAACTGCTTCTCCTGTGGACTGACTACAGCAGCTTTAGCCGTAGCAAGGAATCCATCATAGTGCATCAACACAGTGAATGAATCGTCACTCCCGCTCGCTCCTTCTCGCTGATTAGCCAAAAATGCAGTGATGCGCTTCGGCAGACCGAATAGCTGGACGGTTTGGTCAATGAGATGAGCACCCAAATCATATATCGCGCCTCCACCTGGCATCTCCTTAGTTCTCCATGCTGAGCCTGGAACCCCTGGTACGTGGCGCTCGAAGCGGGTCTCATATTCCACGATTCTTCCTAGAGATTTGTTGTCGAGGACTTGGGATAGGGTTAGAAAATCGGCGTCCCAACGGCGGCCTGTTGAACTCGTCAGTTATGCTCAAGATATCTTGGGCCTTGTATTCGATTCCGAAAACAAGTGGAATACCTACTCTGGTATACCGTGAGAAGGCGATTTTGCTTTTTTGCAAGTTCAACGAGCTCTCGGGCTTCTTCGTATGTCGGCGTGAACGGTTTTTCGACAACAACTGATACAAAACAAGTGTCAGATAACGGTCTCTCATAATCTGAAAACCAGTTATCCCGTCATACCGTGATTTCCCGCATTTAGAGCCAATTTTGCCAATTCGAGATGAGAGTCCGGCGCCGTAGTCACAACTACGACGTCGACCGCAGGGTCCGAGACCATGAGCTCTGTGCTTCGGTATCCCTTGATGCCTGGCCAGTCTTTCTCTGCGTCGTCATTTAACTTTGGTGTTCTCTGAACAACGGCATACAAATTGAGGTTCTTTGCAGCTTTGATGAATGGAATTTGATAGATCTTGGCACTAAGGCCGTAGCCGATAACGCCAACGTTGAAGATTCGAGATGCCATTGCCGTGTCGATGAGGGAAAGATGTATCCAGGAGCTACCGTAGCTAAGCCTAGAGCTGTTTATATAGACTTTGGCCTGCCGCAAGATCTATTTGCCGGTTGACAAATTCTACGCTCTGTGGCTTGGGTCTAACACCATATCATAACTCTCAATGAGCTCTCTGGATTTGCCTCGGTGTGTATTTCAAGCAAACGTGCTCTTCTTTCCCCCGCAATTATTCTCCGCATGACACGAAGTGGATAGTAGCGGGTAAGTCCTTAGGCGCATGCGCCCTCGGTTCCAGGGTCTCTAGCTCCGCATTTCGTAGATTGTGACTATATTGGGGCACTATGTGGTACTAGTAGAGGTATGAGTATCTAGAATCGTCGTAGTCCAATCATAAAACCTCAATTTTGATTGATGCAACATTGATGGTTGGAAGTAGATGGCATTCGAAAGATTAGCCAGACTGAGTGAAGCGGATAATATTTTGCCCAGGATACGAGGTTTGCGCATTTGTAAGTAGGTGGCTTCTCTCGTCACTCCTCTTCTAGGGTTACTACGAGCAAGACTGCGTTGTGGGTTGCCATGTATCTCAGCCAGATAAAGAAACAAGTTTTGTATTTTAAGTCTCCCTTTGTACTTATACAAATAAGATCCAGGTCGAGTCACGGGTGTCAAATTGTGGCCGGCACTTCAGTCGTTCCAGAATGTACTGCTAGTATACAACATACGACTTGATCTACAAGTTGTAGGTGTGGGACTGGATCTTGATGGAATCGACAGTCCAGGTTTTTCCGTTGTCGGAGGTCTTGAGACCAGAGGAAGTGGCCTCTTCGATTGCCAGAGTGTCCTTGAAGGAAGAGTCGGCGGCGTTCAAGATGATGGTGGTGTCAAGGTATTCTAGAGCAATTAGCATCGGCTTTATTCAAGTGTGGGCAGATTCAAACTCACCGTGAGCAGCCGCAGTGCCATCGCATGCTTCAGCCTGGCATTCGACGGCAGTACCCCAGCCCTGAGCCTGGCCAGATTCTAAAAGGATTGTCAGTTGGAACGTTTTGTAGTAGCGTGCAAGATCCGTCAAGCTTACTGGTAGAGAGGGTCGACACAACTTCTCCGTTGATGGAGACTGTCTGGTCGAACTTGCTGGTCTCGTCATTGTACTTGTCTGGATGGTCATTAAATTGTGCTCATGTTTCAGACAAATCAAATCTTACAGTGCATGTTGACTTCGTCACCAGCATTGGCAGGGACTTGCTTTCCGCCCAGCTGCTCGCCTTGCAGGGTACTGGCCCATGTGCACCACTGTCCAGCAGTAGCACCACAGTTCCTATGATGGTCAGTTTGATGGTTTATACATGATAGATCGTCTACTTACGCCGAGGGGTCACTGAAGGAAACGGCGAGAGCCTGGATCAGATCACCGCCACTTGTTCCCATACCGGGCCAGAGGGCCAGACGGTCCTGCTGAGGGCTCGGGACCTCGGGGAGGACCAGGGTAGTGTTGGCCTCACGGATCCATGACGAAGTAGGGCCGAGGGAGAAGTGAGGGCCGAATCCGATAGTTTCGGCTTGAGCGAGGCCGAGGACAGCGAGGGCAGCGAGGTTTCTGATGGTAGACATGGTGAAGATGGGGATGTGATGGGTGGTCTTCGAACTGGCTACGGAGGCTTTATATGAACAAGAGAAATAGATTAAGGGTCTTCAGAGTGCCGACTAATTCAGGAGAAAGAAATATAAACCGGATCATTCCACTCCCCCAATCTACAATTTCTCCGTTTCATATACGATTGGGGGGTGGATTCGAAGCGTGAAGAGTATTGGAGTTGCTTGTTTCAAATAAGCTGCATTGAAACAGACTAGCTTGGTTGGTCTCCGGAAAATGGGATCAGCACAACTGTCCCCGGATGCTAGTTTCAGTCTGTTACAAGCAGACCAAACTCGAAGGAGTCAAGTCCAAAAACAAAAAAAAACATTGGCAAAAAAGATAGTGCATCATCCGTGAATCGAACACGGGCCTCGTCGATGGCAACGACGAATTCTACCACTAGACCAATGATGCAGAAGAAACAGGTGTTGGCGAATGCCAATTGGCTGTTGATATTTGGTGGGTCGGAATTGGGATTATAGACCCTTCACAGCCCTGGAGAACAGATGTATATCACCCTTTGGATTGTACGATATTTTGATAAACTCGGACATTGCATCATATTTCTTCGTTCTGCGTAAATAAACCGTAAATCCACATGTTCAGATTATGAACAAGAAAACACAACGGGCAGGGCCACCAGACAGACGCCAGAAATCATAAAGGTAAAAAGAACATCCCGATCCACCCCGGCTGGGATCTGAACCATGCAATATTAATCATGAACAAAGTGTGACAGTCTCCCTAAGCAGCATGCCCCGCATCCTGACTTTGTGAACCGCGACGATGGAACGGGTGGCCAAAGTGAAAGACCTTCTTCACGGCGTTGGTGATGCTATTCTTTCGTCGGCCGGTGGGCGCCTCTTGACGCTCCTCGGGCTTCTTGGGAATTGTCGCATTGTCGGTCAGGACGATGGATGTGACGGCCGGCTTGGGGGGCCACTGTCCATCGGCTTTCCAGCCCTGAACCATGGCTTTGGTCAGATGCGCCAGGTTGACGGGCATCGTCGGGGTCATCCCTTGGACAACAACTTTTGAATAGATAGACGGGTAGATTGAGGGCATGATGCTTGCGCGCACAGGGTTGGTATCTGAGATGAAGGGCGGTGCCACAGGGACAAGCGGCTCATCGAGCTCTTCGATTTCCTTCTCCTCTTCAGTCTGATCTTCCACGGCGGGGAAGGAAGTCAACCCAGATTGACCATTTGATGCATCCGGTTCCGTGATGTTGGTTTCTGACGATGCTTTTCCTTTGGCCTCTTCGTCTGGTGCGGTGGATTGCTCTTCTTCTTGATCCCCCTGCTGTCCTGAAGTCAAGTCCGCGCGGTGCTGAAGCTCCTCGCTCTTCTCCCGGTCCACGATCGCGAGCGAGGAGTCTGTCCGAGTGGCTAGATCAGCCACACTCCCGGTTCCAGAGCCGTTCAAGGTCGTGGAGGGTGACGTCGCAGAGGAGGCTCCCGTTGCTCCCTCCAAGCCATCCGACTGATCTGTTGTGTCTGTCTGCGTGCCGGCCATTGCGCGCTTTTCCTCCTCGGTTCGAATCTGCCGGCGAGTCTTTGCGCCAGACCATGCATTGCGTCTGGCCATCCACACTCGTAGTCCCTCGTTCCATGCCATCTCGTCGTCCATCTGTCGACGACGTTTGCGGCGGCGCTCGATGTCGGTCTGCTGGCCCGCTGGGGTCATGACTTCGTCTTCACTGTCTGAAGTCTGCGGCTCGAGCTCCGATGTTGAGCTGTCGAATTCGCGCACTCGCCATTCGCGCACTTCGCGATTGTGGCAAAGGCCCCCATCGGCAGATGAGGCGGAGGGAACGCCGGCTTCGAAGTCCCAATCATTGCGAACAACTTCCTTGACGAAGATCTTGGCCTCGCGCACCGATGCGTCCCGGGGCCCGGTGGTCATCATTGTTGCGATGAATGTGGGGGTAGATTTCTGTTCTAAAAGTGGGGGGAGCTCGAAGGTTTTTTTCCCACTACTACTGCCGATCCGCTGTTGCAAGCATGGGGACAATGAAGACACTGAATTCAAGAGAAGTCGAAAATGAGCAAAGTCAAACTCCAAAGTGGCGGATCGGGCGAAAATGTCATCAGGCACGTGCCCCAAGTGCGGAGATGAGCTTGGCCTTGCTTCTTTCTGTATACTCCGTGCCACTTCGCCATTGAGCTCGGTCTAGCGAATATTGTTCTTTTCTATGCTTTCTTCTAGATATGCCTGAAATTGAGCTATACAGCACCTGTGTCTCTACCCTACTGTCAACTCGTAGACTGGGCTCGGCAAAATGAAGCGATTGAGCCAAAAGGCCAGAAACTAGGGAAGTAAGCGGCCAACATATGGCCTGACGCAATGCCAAGTGGCACTTCCCATCCCTGTCGTTATCGTACGGTGCTATACTGTAGCAGGGGAATCAAGCATCCAAGACGGAGAGGTTGCATCATCATTCTGAATGCCGACTTCCCGTGCATAAAAGTGATTCCAACGTTCAAAGTGCACTTGGAGAGTGGATTTCCTCACGAAATCCAAAAGATGGCTTGTGCACCTCTCCCCATCTGTTTCTCCAGATTTGCCGATCATTTCCTTTACGTCCACTCAGATCGGTGTGGCCAGATCAAAGTGCTAGGGATGAAATTGAGTTCAGCAGCTTCAACCCAACTGCCAATACCTTTTGCTTCGAGTGCAATCAGACATCAATGCCGTGGACTGGCTCTAAAGATCAAAACCTACTTGAATGAAATGTGCAGTATATACATTTTAACTAATGGTACAGGTCTATCATCGCTAAAAATACATGGGAATCAGATTTCCGATTCAACCCCTAACGTACAAGCCAAGAGCTTTCCAAGAATCAGGTTCGGACGCGCGCAGAATCAGCCGAGGCCTCACCACTTGGTGCCGGAATGAATCCCCAGCCAGGGCTCTTCTCGCGCCGACCCTTGCGATCACCAAATTGCTCATCGAACTTGCGAATCGCCGACAGGGAGGACATGTCTTCGCTGATGGACGCGGAGATTTCTTCCATTCCACGTTCGAAATGCGTGCGGGTAAGGATCCGACGCTCGGGATAGCTGTACGGCTCATCTCCTGTGTGTTTGGCGGCTGCGGCGTTCTCCTCACGGACGCAAGCAAGTGCCGCGGCCACTGACAGGTTCTTGAGGTCAGAGCCAGAGTAAAGAGGTGTGCGGCGGGCCAGCTCGGCGAGATCGACAGATTCGTCGAGTTGTTCTTCTTTCAGATGAATCTTCAGGACCGCGTGGCGGTCTTCCTCGGTTGGCAGGTCTACTAGGAGACGACGGGGAAGACGGCGGAGAACAGCGTCATCAAGATCGAAAGGTCGATTGGTGGCAACCATGATGAAGGCCGAAAGATCGTTCATTCCGTCCCACTCGCGGAGGAATTGATTGATCAATTCACGGTGGGAGGTGCGACTGGCTGCTCCGGTGCGCGAGCAGAAAATGGCGTCCGCCTCATCAATGAAGACAATGCAAGGGCTCAGCTTCTTGGCTAACGTGAAGATTGCTTTCACGTTCTTTTCGCCTTCGCCAACGTACATGTCGTACACTTCGGATCCACTAACTTCGAGGACGGTTGCTCCGCTCTCGCGGGCCACAGCCTTTGCGAGCAGCGTTTTACCCGTTCCTGGGGGACCATAGAGGAGAAGACCGGGGATTTTGTCCGTGGCGAGGACACCGTATGTGAAAGCCTCGGGGCGAATCAATGATAGAGAGGTTAGGGTCTTCAGGGCGTCGATGGTTTCGGGAGGCACATGGACGTCGTTGAAGGTGGTTCGAATGCTCTTCGCATCAACTACACCGTTGAGTAGCTTCTTCTCGTGCGTATTGCACGTCTTGCGCAGAGACGCTAACAACTGCTCTTGACTCTGTCCTGGTTCTAAGTCTTTCTGCTTAGGGGCTTTTTGCTTCAACCAATCATTGGTCACCTTATCACTCTTGTTCATAAGCTCGAGCGCTCGTTGGATATGCTCAAACCCGAATGATTCATTGGTCTCCGCACAGCCTAGCGCAAGGGTGGCAATCCAATGTACCTGGTTGTATGTCCAGAAACGGTCGTCGATCCCGGACTCTTTGATTGCGGAAGATTCAAGGGGCCAATCTCGGTCGCTAAGTATGTTGTCTTTAACGGGCAAAGACTGCTCGTTGATTCGGAAGCGGAGCATACTCTGAAGGTGACGGATATTGATGTCTGTGATGCGCTTCTTGCGGTCTTCCGCGAAGACCTTTTCAGCTGACTTCGAGCTCATGGCAGGCGTAATAAACAAGGTTTTTGAGTACTGATCATCGAGGACATTCTGTAAAAGGCCAGAACCATCCGGTGATGGCGTGGTTCTAATTTCCTGTGAGGTAGTTCCAATCAACAAGACCTTAGATCCTGCTCCTCTCCGCTCTTGGATGACTTTGTGCAAAAGTGAGATAAACCGGGAGCCCTCGCGTGTATTTTGAATATCACGGTAGTCCTGGATATGTAATATTACATCCCGAGATGGAGGGATCTTGCTGGCATCCTCTTTTTCTGTCGATTCACTGGGGGCGGGGGTGGTGGTGGGCTGGCTCGATGATTCGAGGAGCCCATTCAGTAGTTGAGTCCATCGGCCTTCAGCACGCTGGCCACTTCGTGAAGCGCCGGCCCCGGGGTCTGCGTCCGTTTGGCCATTGATTGACCCACCCAAGAGGGTTTTCAAGCCGAGCCAGTTCGGGAGTGGGATGTCGCCAGATTCTTTGCTGCTCTCGATTGTGATGAATCGGGGGGATCCAGTATCGCCGCGCATCCCTTGGGGGCCAACCTCCGTGACGTCGTCTTCGCCATCCGCTTCTAGGTCCTCGGCTTCTGAGTACGAAGGAGTAGCCGGTCGGTAGACTTCATAACCGAGAGATCGAATTGGTGAAGTGACGCCAGCATCGGCGAGATCCTGTTCACTGAACAATTGCGCGATATCTTGGGCGTTGAGTGTCACCAAGTCAGTGCTTAGCTCGTGAGCAAGTCTCTTCACGACGGCGTCGAGGAATAAAATTCCATCGTTTCCAGGGTAGTGTAGCACTAAGTGCGACTTCTTCACCGAGGGCTCTTGGGCATATTTTGCGGGTGGAAGTCGCAGGCCTGCTTTTACCGAGGCGCGCAACTCTTCCCACGACTCCTCGGCCACCGAGTACCGGTTCCCTGACGGTGTCTCGTCAGGATCAGACGGATCAGAGCCGCCACCTGAGACCGCCCTTTGGCTTGTAGTGTCCTCCAATTGTGATCCAGATTTAGTAATCCGAACCTGTTGTGATGATTGCGCAAGGCTGCTCTCGTTCTGGCGAGGAGATAATGTATTGCGCTCATGAAACCATTTTGGCACAGCCGTAGCTGACTGGGATGACTCTTGTGAGGCTTTCCTGTTTCTCATCGCTCTGCGCGCGGCGGAACCGTAGGTCTTTGTTATCGATTTGGCCGATTCGGAGGATGGGTCTGATTCCGGGGAACCGTTGGGGGCACCGTTCCCGGTCTTCAGGGTATGTTCATCCACAGAGTTCCCTAACGCCGCCGGCTCAACGTCATGAGGGTCTTGTGGAGACGCAAGCCATCTTCGCGATAGATGGAATTGTCGCGATGGGGCAACGAAGGGTGCGGAGTAGCGACGGCGAGCGACAATTCGACAAGGGCGTGCAAATAGCCGAGCCTTCTGGATTGAAGAATACATCCGCGACAGCAGGATTATCTTCAGTTGTGATCTTGCAAGTAAAGGAACCAGAGTCTGGGCTTCGGACACACCTGCCCAGGTGAGAAATCTATGATTAGGTAATTTGGTCTTATCGGGTCTTATCGAAAAGTTACTTTGGTACGGTCAGCGTTTGCGGCCAATGACCCACCCGCGCACCTGAGGCATCTATTTTCAGGTTAGATCGCGGTCTTGAACACTCTGTTGACAACCTTCCAAGGTTGGAACTGATATTCCTATCATTGATTTCTGCTGCTCTGTCCGTTCTACTTGTAGGTCTGGGTGTGCTTAACAACCTTGAAGCTTGGAAGTATGTTGAACCTTGAAGGGGCTCTAGGAACTCCGGGATGCATAGAAAGCCCAAGCAACCTGGGGATATGTATCACGATTACTTGGGGTCTTTCTGCACGCTCCTTCCTTAATCCCAATTGAACGCTTCCGAGTTCATAACCTTCAAGGTTGAAGCTGTTTCTCCAAGATTGGAAAAAAAAAAAAAAAAAAAAAAAAAAAAAAAAAAAGGAAGGGAAAGGGAAAAGAAATCCGGGGGAAAAAAGAAAGGACCCGGTCGTTGCTCAGTCTCTCTCCGTGCAACCCGTGGCCCCCGGGCACCCA